TAACACCCTAACACCCTAACACCCTAACACCCCTAACACCCTAAACCCCTAACACCCTAACACCCTAACACCCTACCACCCTAACACCCTAACACCCCTAACACCCTAACACCCTAACCCCCTAACACCCAACACCCTAACACCCTAACACCCCTAACACCCTAACACCCTAACACCCTAACACCCTAACACCCTAACACCCCTAACACCCTAACACCCTAACACCCTAACACCCTAACACCCTAACACCCTAACACCCTAACACCCTAACACCCTAACACCCCTAACACCCTAACCCTAACACCCTAACACCCTAACACCCTAACACCCTAACACCCTAACACCCTAACACCCTAACACCCTAACACCCTAACACCCTAACACCCTAACACCCTAACACCCTAACACCCTAACACCCTAACACCCTAACACCCTAACACCCTAACACCCTAACACCCTAACACCCTAACACCCTAACACCCTAACACCCTAAACACCCTAACACCCTAACACCCTAACACCCTAACACCCTAACACCCTAACACCCTAACACCCTAACACCCTAACACCCTAACACCCTAACACCCTAACACCCTAACACCCTAACACCCTAACACCCTAACACCCTAACACCCTAACACCCTAACACCCTAACACCCTAACACCCTAACACCCTAACACCCTAACACCCTAACACCCTAACACCCTAACACCCTAACACCCTAACACCCTAACACCCTAACACCCTAACACCCTAACACCCTAACACCCTAACACCCTAACACCCTAACACCCTAACACCCTAACACCCTAACACCCTAACACCCTAACACCTAACACCCTAACACCCTAACACCCTAACACCCTAACACCCTAACACCCTAACACCCTAACACCCTAACACCCTAACACCCTAACACCCTAACACCCTAACACCCTAACACCCTAACACCCTAACACCCTAACACCCTAACACCCTAACACCCTAACACCCTAACACCCTAACACCCTAACACCCTAACAACCCTAACACCCTAACACCCTAACACCCTAACACCCTAACACCCTAACACCCTAACACCCTAACACCCTAACACCCTAACACCCTAACACCCTAACACCCTAACACCCTAACACCCTAACACCCTAACACCCTAACACCCTAACACCCTAACACCCTAACACCCTAACACCCTAACACCCTAACACCCTAACACCCTAACACCCTAACACCCTAACACCCTAACACCCTAACACCTAACACCCTAACACCCTAACACCCTAACACCCTAACACCCTAACACCCTAACACCCTAACACCCTAACACCCTAACACCCTAACACCCTAACACCCTAACACCCTAACACCCTAACACCCTAACACCCTAACACCCTAACACCCTAACACCCTAACACCCTAACACCCTAACACCCTAACACCCTAACACCCTAACACCCTAACACCCTAACACCCTAACACCCTAACACCCTAACACCCTAACACCCTAACACCCTAACACCCTAACACCCTAACACCCTAACACCCTAACACCCTAACACCCTAACACCCTAACACCCTAACACCCTAACACCCTAACACCCTAACACCCTAACACCCTAACACCCTAACACCCTAACACCCTAACACCCTAACACCCTAACACCCTAACACCCTAACACCCTAACACCCTAACACCCTAACACCCTAACACCCTAACACCCTAACACCCTAACACCCTAACACCCTAACACCCTAACACCCTAACACCCTAACACCCTAACACCCTAACACCCTAACACCCTAACACCCTAACACCCTAACACCCTAACACCCTAACACCACCCTAACACCCTAACACCCTAACACCCTAACACCCTAACACCCTAACACCCTAACACCCTAACACCCTAACACCCTAACACCCTAACACCCTAACACCCTAACACCCTAACACCCTAACACCCTAACACCCTAACACCCTAACACCCTAACACCCTAACACCCTAACACCCTAACACCCTAACACCCTAACACCCTAACACCCTAACACCCTAACACCCTAACACCCTAACACCCTAACACCCTAACACCCTAACACCCTAACACCCTAACACCCTAACACCCTAACACCCTAACACCCTAACACCCTAACACCCTAACACCCTAACACCCTAACACCCTAACACCCTAACACCCTAACACCCTAACACCCTAACACCCTAACACCCTAACACCCTAACACCCTAACACCCTAACACCCTAACACCCTAACACCCTAACACCCTAACACCCTAACACCCTAACACCCTAACACCCTAACACCCTAACACCCTAACACCCTAACACCCTAACACCCTAACACCCTAACACCCTAACCAACCCTAACACCCTAACACCCTAACACCCTAACACCCTAACACCCTAACACCCTAACACCCTAACACCCTAACACCCTAACACCCTAACACCCTAACACCCTAACACCCTAACACCCTAACACCCTAACACCTACCCTAACACCCTAACACCCTAACACCCTAACACCCTAACACCCTAACACCCTAACACCCTAACACCCTAACACCCTAACACCCTAACACCCTAACACCCTAACACCCTAACACCCTAACACCCTAACACCCTAACACCCTAACACCCTAACACCCTAACACCCTAACACCCTAACACCCTAACACCCTAACACCCTAACACCCTAACACCCTAACACCCTAACACCCTACACCCTAACACCCTAACACCCTAACACCCTAACACCCTAACACCCTAACACCCTAACACCCTAACACCCTAACACCCTAACACCCTAACACCCTAACACCCTAACACCCTAACACCCTAACACCCTAACACCCTAACACCCTAACACCCTAACACCCTAACACCCTAACACCCTAACACCCTAACACCCTAACACCCTAACACCCTAACACCCTAACACCCTAACACCCTAACACCCTAACACCCTAACACCCTAACACCCTAACACCCTAACACCCTAACACCCTAACACCCTAACACCCTAACACCCTAACACCCTAACACCCTAACACCCTAACACCCTAACACCCTAACACCCTAACACCCTAACACCCTAACACCCTACACCCTAACACCCTAACACCCTAACACCCTAACACCCTAACACCCTAACACCCTAACACCTACCCTAACACCCTAACACCCTAACACCCTAACACCCTAACACCCTAACCACACCCTAACACCCTAACACCCTAACACCCTAACACCCTAACACCCTAACACCCTAACACCCTAACACCCTAACACCCTAACACCCTAACACCCTAACACCCTAACACCCTAACACCCTAACACCCTAACCCTAACACCCTAACACCCTAACACCCTAACACCCTAACACCCTAACACCCTAACACCCTAACACCCTAACACCCTAACACCCTAACACCCTAACACCCTAACACCCTAACACCCTAACACCTAACACCCTAACACCCTAACACCCTAACACCCTAACACCCTAACACCCTAACACCCTAACACCCTAACACCCTAACACCCTAACACCCTAACACCCTAACACCCTAACACCCTAACACCCTAACACCCTAACACCCTAACACCCTAACACCCTAACACCCTAACACCCTAACACCCTAACACCCTAACACCCTAACACCCTAACACCCTAACACCCTAACACCCTAACACCCTAACACCCTAACACCCTAACACCCTAACACCCTAACACCCTAACACCCTAACACCCTAACACCCTAACACCCTAACACCCTAACACCCTAACACCCTAACACCCTAACACCTACCCTAACACCCTAACACCCTAACACCCTAACACCCTAACACCCTAACACCCTAACACCCTAACACCCTAACACCCTAACACCCTAACACCCTAACACCCTAACACCCTAACACCCTAACACCCTAACACCCTAACACCCTAACACCCTAACACCCTAACACCCTAACACCCTAACACCCTAACACCCCTAACACCCTAACACCCTAACACCCTAACACCCTAACACCCTAACACCCTAACACCCTAACACCCTAACACCCTAACACCCTAACACCCTAACACCCTAACACCCTAACACCCTAACACCCTAACACCCTAACACCTACCCCTAACACCCTAACACCCTTGAATTACTATAAATCTGGCTAAATTGTCCAGTTATTAAATAAAAAGTATTTTTTAACTATTGCTTAAATAATTATAGAGCTTAGTTCTTTTGGCTTTAATTATTTTAAATTATCAAGATATTTAGATATGCAAATAATTGAATAAATATAAGATTAGTTGGGTTTGAATATATTTATAAATTAATGAATTTATCACTATTGTCTTTAAATTAAGCTTAATAAACTTTAAATATGTTTATCGTTAGTAACTTACACCCTTTTCTATTATTGCTATAGCTTAAACGAGTTTATAAAAATTATTAATATCAAATTAATTACAAAAGCTCAATTTGTAAAAAAAATAGGCTTAAAATATCTTATTTAATATCATTTAATAGCAAATTATTTGCTAAAATGTTTTTAAATATGATTTTTATAAGTTTCTTTTTATTAAAAAAAATTTACTCCTATAAAAGAAATAGTAATGGCCGTGCATAATCTGATTTTTCATTAATTTCTTTTCTAACACTAAGAAAATACACTATACCTACAAGAGCAATAAACAATGCCACAAGCATTAAAATAATCCCAGGTTCTGCTTTAACACCATAATCATGAGAGAGGCCTTTAGGTGGATCAAGAGTAAAAACTTGGCTAATACTTGTATACAGAATAAGCGCAATTATATATAAGGCAGGGTATATATATTGCTCTATATCATGCTTCACATAAAGCGAAAAATCTCTTCCTAAATACTTAAGGGATAGCCTTAAAAGTCCATATGCACAAAAGACAAAGGAAATAGATGTAAATATTAAATAAAGAATTCCTGAGGCTTCTCATGCACTTAAACAGTCACAAATTTTTTGAGAATTCTCGTCTGAGATGTCACAAAATTGTCCCTTGAAGTAAGAAAAAGGTTCTGATTTAAGCACACTGAACCAATCTCCAGAGTAATTTACTGACAACTTTATAAGCCCAATTTCTAAGCTTTCCATGTAGCTAAACTCGTTTACGAAAAAGGTGATTAGAACAATTCCAATGTAGACTAGATCAAGACCGATTTTAATCAGAATTTTGTTTTCAGTTCCTGACATTGTTTATATTGAAATCTATTGCAGAATATAGATTATTATTGATTTTGTTTACATATAATTTGCGATGTCAATGCCATTGAAAATTGATTTAAAAGCGAATTTTTCGATTCAAGTTTATTATTAACAAAAATGATTAAATTAGCTAAATTGATAAACTATTATAGCAAACGCAATATTTATTTTAAGCAGCTACCAATAATTCTTTAAATCTAAACTTTGTTCAAATCTTTTTCGGCACTAAGAAAATAGATTGAAATTACAGGGCTTGTCAAGAGTGCTACAGTCATTAGGAAAGCTCTAGTTTAAGCTATAGCATTATCCAGCTATAAATAGTGTCTGATAATTGGATAAAATAAAAACTGAAACAGAGTAAATTTAATAATCTAAATTATAATAAAGCTCCCCAGCTCCTCAATTTTGAATGGAAATTATTTTATTTGAGGATATATTTTATATATATTAACTGCGGAATACCTGATATTTCTTTAAGACGAGCATCTGGCGCATTTCTTTTAGGAAATTTTAATATTTAAAATAAAAAATGTGCTAAAAATATATGATTAAGCTCTTCTTACTTAAATATGATAATTCTTTAAAAACGGCTTCTCAAGATCTGATTTTTGCTCAAATTTTTTTCTTTCAACAAGAAAATAAATCGCACTTATAAAGCTAATCAAGAAAGCTGCAATCATTAGAATAAGCCCAGCTTCAATTGTCACTTTTTCATCAGTTAGACCCTCATACTCGTAAGAAAATTCAGTTGTAAATATCCCGCTAATAATTATATAAAGAAAAACAGCGAAAAAGCCTAAAGTCGGGTAAATATACCAATCCAAATCATATTTCACACTAAATAAAGCATCTTTATCAGCATATCTAAGTGAGCATCTTAAGAGTACATACATGCAAAAAACGAGAGAGAGGGATGAAAACACTAAATAATAGATCCCTGCAGCTTGCCAATATTTTAAATAATCACAAAAAGTAGCTTCATTATCTATACACATTTGATTCATATAATTAGGAAATAGGATTTTTGTCTCTTCAAGATGAGTATCTGACACTTTTGAGAGATAAATTGATAATCTTTCATCGTAACTAAAAATAGTCACAAAAAAAGAAGTAAGGATAATCAAAATATAAGCTAAATCGAGCACAATCTTCACTAAAATGCTAATTTTTACTTTTTCCATTAAATATAAATGTCTTATAATATCTGGAAATTATTTACAAATTTCAATAAATTTTGCCGTAATGAGTAACAAACATTTATCCTTGCTTATGTTGACTATTCATAACTTGAGCCTTAGGTCTTTTATGCATGCTCATAAAAAATATAGGACTTGGCAGAATTAATTAGTCAATTTTATTTATGACAAATTACCCTTAATTGCACTTAAAAAAGATAAGAAACCAGGAAAATAGTTCTTTTCTGATAATTAAAAAGCTATTGGAATAACTTCAGAAGAATTATTATTTTAAAAAATAATCAGCCTTATTTTCTCTTTTACTCCTCCCTTAGTGAAAAAAACATGACAGAGGATTAAATTTTTTTCTTTGAAGTTCAAAAAAAAATTCAATTATCAAGAAATTAGAGTTTTAAAAACTTTTAGTAAGTACTTATTGCAGGAGATAGAAAGATAATTGATATCAATTAGTAGCGGAATGTCCGGTGTTGGAATGCTTCTGCTTTTCAGATCAATTTAGATTAGGATTCTAATTTAGATATCACCATTTAATATTATATTTTATTGCTCATTTTCGAGAGGAGTACTTAGTCCACATTATCACTCACTTCTTCTGCTTGAGGCGTTAGGAATTCTCTTTCTATTAATTTTCTAGCGATTTTTGTGAAAAAATTATTTAATTTATCTCAAATAACATAGATCTTTTGATTACCAATCAATTATAAATTTCAATATAGATATGATTATTGTATTCAATATTTATATTCCAATTTTATTAAAGCAATATATGTTTTCTCCTGTTTTAGCACTGACTTCAGCATACATCGCTCCTCATTCTTTTGCTTTGTATGCTGCTTCATCTGAAGTGGTACATCTTTCTTCTAAGCTGTCAACCTTATTTCCCACTAGCACGGTGAATGTATTAGCTGGTGCTTTCCTTTTTACTTCTGCCATCCATCCATCAACACTGTAAAATGATTCTCTATTTATCACATCATAAACAATAATTGCTGCTGAAGCTTCTCTAATATATGCATAATGAGCTATTTTTTTTTATATAAATTTTCGCTAGAAATATAGAAAATAATATTATTAAAAAAATTTAATTTTTCTTGGAAATAATGAAACCTCTAACATAGCTCTGTGCCATACCCCTATATTTTTCTGAACCTGATAGATCATAATACAGAAAATTCACAACCCATCTTCAAGTTGAAATGTTTTGTATAAAAAACCAACCCCAATCGTGGTTCAGTAACGCTCATTAAAATCACTTGAGATGAATTGAGTTAGAATAGAAGTTTTTCCCACCTGGCAATTACCTAAAATCGCGAGCTTGTAGTTTGCTTTTATGCCCATCAAGGTTCTAGTTTCGGATGCCATTATTTATGGAGCGAATCTACACTAATTATGCTTTCATATATAATATTTTAGTTATTATTATAAGATTCTTCTTATATGATATACTTTGCAATTCTTATAGCTTTCCACATGTGGAATACTTTTATACGGTAAAAAACTTTTGAAAAATGGTAGTTTCGCGGTTAATTGGCTTGGCCCGAATTTGAGATTTAAAAATGGCAAGTCATAAAACTTTTGACAAGTGTGAACTATTTTGACAATTAAAAAAGCTATTTTTTAAAAAATTAATTTTTATTTTAAGAATTTTTTAAGGACTACCGAACCATTGTTTAAAGACAACTCAGTCATCAATGGAGATTAGCTAACAGTTTTAATAAATTAGTTATTTTAAATTTATTATTCAAATTAATAGTATATCTCACTTTTATAAATTTCAATGCTTAAACATCACATATAAACTCCCAGCTTAATACTTAATTTAAATCTATAATTTTTTCAATTTAGCTTGCATATACTTACTATCAATTTACTTCATTATCGTACATCATTAAAATTAAAATCTAAATAGAATATGGTACATAATTATTAATCAATATTATCTATAACTAAAGCAGCTCATAGCTTAATCAATATTCGCTTTTTTATATTAATTAGCTTATTGATATTATTCGGAATTTAAGTTATTCAACAACTTAGGATGCATGATTTAATAAATAAGACTTAGTCTTCCTTTAATATGCTTTTATGTGTTTTCTTTTATATTTAAGCCCTTCCATAGTATCTACTTATTTTATCAAATCTAGACAATATATTAACTTTTAGGCGTTCTTTTATAAATATTGATCTTATCGAGCCAAAAAGCTGCTTTGTCTCTAGCTCCCCTCCGTGAGAGAAAAAACCCTAATTTTTGACCATAAACCCATCCTCCATAACAGAGCAAAAAATATTTTAATATAAATTGTTTTTATAAAAACATCAAATATATAAGTGATAATTATCACTATGGAATCCTAGCTAAATCTGTTGAATTTTAAAGCATAAATTCTATAAATTAATTTTTACTTTCTCCTTTTATTGGGTTTTTTAGATTTAGAAAAAATAAATTTTTTTTAAAAAAAATTCCCCATCTGTGAAAAAAAAGTTTTTGTTCATTGATTAGGGAGTAAGCTCTTTAATAGCTTCACGAAAAATATCTCTTGGTGAAAGAGCTCCAGTCGTCTCAATTGTAAAGATAAAATGATCTTTTACTTTAGCTAAACTAACCATAGAGTCATCTTCTCTGATGCATTCTCTGCAGGATGTGCAATTTCTAGGGTTTTTTACAACAGCTTTCCCTTTTTTGACGTCAAAAACACCCATAGGACATTTGTTTTTTAGATTGATAGCGTTTTCACCTGCAATTTCTTTTTTCAATGTTATTTTTGGTGCTAGTCTGTATGAAGCTGTACAGACAGGCGACCATTTTGTGTGAGTTGCGCCAATGCCTTTTTCGCAAAATAATTCTGCCTCAATTTCTTGGCCTGGGCCTAATTGGTGCAGGCTTATTATTTTAAAAAAATTATCTAGAGATGCATTATAATAAATACCTTTGCTTCATATTAAATAATATTTTTCTTTAAGTGGTGTATTATCCTCCTTGTTGGGCTCAGCCCCATGGCAAGAGGGGGTCATTGCAACACATGTGGGATTTGGTTTGGTACGTGGCAAAATATCCCGATGTGTGGAAACTATCCCAAAATTATGCTAAGGCATAATATTTTTCGTGTATTCACCCTTTAAATTTGGAATAAAAAATCATTTTCCAATTAAAAGGAGGTTAAAAAAATATAAAGTTGAGCAAATACTTTGAAACTTAATTTATTTTTATGAAGAAATAATTAAAAATTTAATCAATTCAGTGTGAAAAATGTTTAAATGGCATTCTACTTGCGTTGTATCTATTAAATTGGATCAAAACTAATTTTATAAATTTAAAATTTTTTCATTTTTAATTGTTTAAAAACAATAAAATAAGCTGAATACTTTAAATTTAATTGTTTTCATAAAAAAATAAATAAGAAAATTAATAGATTCAGTTGAAAACTGTTTAAATATTATTCTACTTGCATAAATTGGTCAAAACTAATTTTATCAAAATTAGTATCTTCATCGTTAAGATATTTCTATTGAAAATCAAATTTGCTTCAATTTAAAGGGGGATAAAACAGACAAAAAGTGCTTGCCGATATTTTCCGGTTTAAGGACAGAGTTTAAAAAATAAACAGCCTAATTTTGCTATGATAATATCATCATGCACAGGCTTAAAATGGCCAAACCTTTCTTGCTGATTTGGAAAAGGCTGCCATTGCAGATCTCCTGACATCACTTTATCGCCCACAATGCTTCCATCTTCTAGCCTTCTGCATACAGCATGCAGTTTAAAGCAAATGCAATTTTCTGAGGAGTGTTCTTCATTAGGGTGCTTAAACTTGAACAATCGTGGATCAGCATCAATAGGAATTAGTCCTATTCGATGGGCTAAAACTTCATCTGGGATCACTGATGTATTTTGCCATAAATTTATGTCCTCGATTGCCATTGTTGGGACCTCTGAGAGCATAATTCTTCTTAAGGCATTCGCAATAGGAGCTTCAATGCCTACAAGGTCAATGATTAAATGCTCTTCCTTTTCTTCGATTATGGTCATCTCAATATTGCTTAAGATTTCCTCTAAAGTTTTGCCGCCAGATAAAGGATGCTCTACAGTGTGGACGTTTTCTGGTGTGTTTTGGGTCAAATAGGCTGTATTTGCGTCCATTATTAAAACTTATTTAATAGGAAAATTAAGCTTTGTGAAAAGGATTTTATCAAGATATAATGCATATCAAGCTTATAAATAGAAAATTCATTATTTTTAGAGAAAAATAAAGAAAATTTTCTAAAATCTATAATAATTGTTTATAAAATTTAAAGAAATACACTATTTATAGATAAGATCTAAAAGATTATCAAAATAATAATTGATTGTCTCTTAAGAATTGGTCTTTTCCCTTGTCCCTTAATTTTTATGCATAATAAATATGTTGAAAAGAGCATTTTCCTCCCTTATTTTAGCTGAGCACAACAACACCAAGTTGGCTGGAGGCGTTTACAGCGCTATAAATGCAGCTGATTATTTTAACGAAGAAACAACAGTCTTAGTTGCAGGAGAAAATTGCTCATCAGTCGCAGAAGAAGCTTAATGCTTAATTAAGATTATCTGTAGCCCCTTAAAGGCCGCTTTCATCTCCATATCGCTCTATAGCTCTTGCTATTTCGAGTAAGGCCTCTCACTGTGCTGCTTTTCATGGACGAGGGCTTACTCTCGCTACCGTGAGCAGAGTCACTGGGTCACTGCGCCACATGTCAACCAAAATTGGCTTCCAGAAAATTCAAAAAGCGAATTTTTTGATCGCCTGTCTGCAAAATGGAAACTCGAAGCCCAGGGACTCAGTCCCTAGCATTGTGCCAGGAAACATTCCTGATTGACCAGGAGGGACCTCACTGGTGCTGCTGGGACGTCCCTTTCCAGCTTCGGTCTCCGGGTGCAGGTCCATGTAAATTTCACCAAAATACATTGAGTCGAAAAATGGTTTAAATTTTTTTGAGAGTAAACATTTGACCGAAAAAGTTCATTAAATTTTGACCAAATATCTCCTCCAAGTAAAACCTTGGCGGACGTAAGTTTGAGTCGGCACCCTAATATTACCTCCACCAAACCTTATACTATCTAGCTGCAACGCAGCCGAGCGACTCTTATGAGTCGCGTTTTAATCAGTCTGTGATTTTGGTTTGCTTCATTTCTCCTTCCTTAACAGCCTTGGTGCCTTCATATCTTAACGCTTTTCCACTAGTATCTTCACGTGGTATTCCTTGATCAATCTGTCTATTTCTCCTATAACCTCATGTTTACCCAATTCAGATCAAAGCTTTAGCAATTTCTCATATTTTCAGCTTACAGAAGCATGTCAATTATGGGTTTTTTGTTAATAATTTCCTTTTCTTCCTCATTTTCCATCCTTCTTTTTCCTTTCATTCTCCTCTCTCAATTTCTCCATTAGCTTCTTCTTCAGTGCCTCCATCAGTGCCTCCATCAGTTCATCCTCAGAATCTCCTTCAATTTTGCCTGCTTCAATCCACCTTCACTTGCTGCTGCTTCATGCTGCCTTTTGTTTCTCCAGTGTTTTTTTTCTTTCGCTCTATTATGGCCTCATTTTTTATTTTCTTCTTTCTTGCCTTCCACATCATCTTACTTCTTCCATCTTCTGTCAAAATTGCTGCCGAGAAATTTGTTTGAGAATTTTGGTTGGCATTTCTGTTGGTTTCTGTTTGAAATTCTATTGAGCTTCTTGTTTGAATTTCTTTTGCGATTTCTTTTGAGTTTTCTGTTGAGATCTTCTAAAAGGATCCCTTTGAGATTTCTGCAGGTGTTTTTTAGGTTGCCTTTTGAATCTTTCTTGGGGTTTGTGCTGGTGTCTCTGTTGGATTTCAATTGGAATATCTGTCGAGGATGCTGTTGGGATTTCTGTTGAGTTTTTTGAGGATCCTGTTAGAATTTTTGTTGAGGCTGCTTTTGAGCTTTTTGCTGAAATTTCTGTTGAAGTTTCTGTCTGGATATCTGTTGGTCTTTTTGTTAACGTTTTTGTTGGTATCTCTGTCTTTCCTGCCATTATTTCTATTTCAATTGCCCTGACGGAGTGAGTGGTCAGGATTGTTTCTCTGTCATCCAAGACTTCTCCTTGCAATCCTGCAAGCAACTTTACTGCCATCTCGAGTTCTTCATTTTCTTCACTCAGTTCTTCTCTTCAACTGCCATCTTCTTCCCAATTTTTATCAATTTCTTCATCACAAAATTCATCATCTTCGAGCAATCTCAGAAACACTAAGGCTTTTTCTAAGTTACCGCCACATGCATTCAGCGCCATCTTTGCTTTTTCTTCCTCGTAGCCTAGCTCCATCAAGATTCCTTCATCAATCATTAGCATCTCTATCGCATCAAGTTAACTCATTTCGTCTTCCTCTTCACTAGAATCATAATAAAACTTGTTTATGTCAGCTATTTTCTTACTCCCCCCCCCCCCTCCGTGAGCGAACAAAACCATTAGAAAAATCGCCATTTTTTGACCAAAAACCCACCCTCCGTGAGTGAACAAAAATTTTTTTTAATAGAAAAAATTTTAATGGAAAAAAATTTTGATATATAAGTGATAATTAGTATAATGAAATCTAGAGCTAATTCTGTTTAATTTTAAACAAATTGCGTTTTAAAACATAAATTTTGCAAATTAAATTAATATTTGCTTCCCAATTTTTGCAAATTAGGATTTTTTTAAATTTCGAAAAAAATATTTTTTATAAAATTTATATATAAAAATTTTTTTAAAAAAAAAAAATTAACCCCCCTCCGTGAGCGAACAAAATTTTTTTGTTCGCTCACGGAGGGGGGGGGGGAGTTAGGTTTTCCGCACCAATGCTGAATCTCCAATCAGAAATTGAAGCCGCCTTAGGTGGTTTTTGTCCCTTTGGAAATGCTTCCATTGAAAAAATAAAAAGTACCTCCACCAAACCAAATGAAACCTGTCTGGATATACATTCCTGAGCGGCCATCTTCCCTTCACTAGGTCCCTACCCTAGCTACAGGTATTAATTGGTTGGGTTGCTTGCCATACCATTTTTAATGCACATCTCAGAAGAAGCATCAAAAATCAAAGGAGTCACAAAAGTTTTGCATTATGACAATCCAGTACTTATACATAAAAATAGCGACTGGAGAGCCAGCCCTTTTCCTCAACACCTGTAGCCGGGTATCCCGGGGACCTTGTGGAAGGGGAAAAGGCGCTCGGAATGTGTATCCGGCTGGGTTTTACCTTGGGACAGTGGAGCGCAATGTCGAATTTGGTCGACCGCAGCTCATTCTGTCACCAAGGGTTTTTACCTCGAGGAGGAAGGGTCTTCCAAGTTGGAAAGGGGAAGCTCAGCAGCACCAAGAGTCACCTCCTGATCAATCGGGCAATTCCCTAGCGCGATACTGGGCGTTGCGTCCCGGGCTTGGATTTTCCTTCTGGCCGACAGCCCTACCAGAAAATTTGCTTTTCAGATTTTCGGAATGGGCAACCTCGTACCCACAGCCTCAAGCAAGGCCGCAGAATTCCTAAATCTGCCCACTCAAGACTGGAGCAAGGTTGTAGCTTGCAAGGAGGAGACGACCAACAGAACAGGCTAGCTGTAAAATCAGAGTCCTGTAGGCGGAAGTCGCAAAGCGGAGGAACCCTCGAGGGGGTCTGGGTGACTGCGTCAACAAGTAACAGCTTAGCAGCTGATAATCTCGTAATTAAGATTAAGATTAAGACAATCCAGTACTTAAAAATCATATGGCAGACGTTATGACTCAGACTCTTCAAGCAGTCCAAACTCAATATAGATTCAAAAGAATAATTGGTGCTACAAGCCAGTTCTCAAGAGATATCATCCCAAGACTTGGAGGTGTCATGAATACTCAGCCCATATCTGACGTAGTCCGCATTATGAATGAAAAATGCTTCAAACGTCCAGGCTATGCTGGAAACGCTATATATACAGTGACTACCCACCAAGATTTTATTCTTCTGACAATCCGGTCAACTTCATTCGATAGAAACCCAGTTTCCAAAACTGCGTCCCCAATCGAAAGAATTGACCTAAATATACCATTTAGACCTGTCATGACTTGGGTGTCCCAAAACTTAGAAGCCAATGAAAGGCCAGAGCTTGGCACTGCAAAGATCATTGTGACTGGAGGAAGAGGACTGAAAAGTAAAGATAATTGGCATGTAGTATACTATATAACAATAAATATTAAAAATATTTGATTATTTTTTATTTTTAATTGGAATTATTATAGAAAGAATAGAAGGATTAGCTGAAAAATTAGGAGCTGGGGTTGGCGCATCAAGGGCTGCAGTAGATGCTGGATTTTGCTCAAATGACTTGCAGATTGGTCAGACTGGGAAAATTGTAGCCCCAAATCTTTATATTGCTTGTGGAGTTTCTGGAGCAATCCAGCACATTGCTGGTATGAAAGATTCAAAAGTGATAGTTGCTATTAATACAGACCCAGAAGCACCAATTTTCAGTGTTGCTGACTATGGGCTTGTAGCTGATTTATTCAAGGCGATTCCTGAAATAATCCAAAAACTTTAAATAAGTTATAATATTTGGCTTAAATAAGGCCAATATTATTAATAGTCAATGATATTTATATATTTTTAATAATCAGTATAGAATTTATTAATTATTCCTCATCTTCTAATGGAGGAGCGGAAGGCGCATATGCTTCAGCATACTCGTAAGAAAGCTTCTGTACCTCAAAAGTGACTGGATTCCATCCTGCAGGAGCTTCTGGGGCTGGTCTAGGGATTTCCATTATCTGTGGACAAATTTCTAAAGGAATTTCGCATGAGTTGATGTTTCTTACACAGCTGTCATTAGAAATAAAATCGAAAATCAGCTTATACATGCATTCGATTTTGGCTGAGGTTATAGTTGGGGCGTGATGTAGGGTTTTTTGGACTTTTGATAAGTCGAGGGAGGTTGAGATTGCGTTTTCTCGTTCACAGATTTTTCCTTTGCCACAGCCTTTGGTTTTGTGAGAGGAAATATAGTAAATATATATAAATAGCTCGCCAGTATGGCGAGCCAGAATAAAAAAAAATGTAATAAAGTGTTAAAGGTATATAAAATTTTATATGAATTTTAAATTAATAATTACAGGATAATGTAATTATCTACTAAAAATAGTTTTTCAAGAATAAAAAGAGACTAGAAATCATATAAGATTGTATATACTCGCTATAAAATGTATGTTTTTTATTGCTGCGTAAAATAATTTGTCTTGCTAATGATATTGTAATTGAATCCAAATTAGCGCCAGACTCTGTATTGTTGATTTCCATAGAAACTTGGGGCTTTTCTAGTGGCGTGTATGCAGATTTATCTAATTGAATGTTAATCCTGAAGCTACCAACAGAGCAGCAATGAGAAACAGGAATCTTATTACTCGCAATACTCCCTTCTTTAGCTTGCACAAGGTTATAAATTTGAATATCTACAGAACTCTTCATTTTTTTGTGGCCTTCTGGCTCAATTTCTGCTTTTATTCTATTTAATTCTGCCTTTACCCTATTAAATTAGCTAATATTTTATTCATAATAAATCACTATAGTTTATATATAATATCTGCATTATAATTTTGCGTATCAATGTGAAAAGAGTTAGCAAGGTTTTCAGGCAGCGTATAAGTATAAGGGATTTCATAGTCCCCACTAGGGATTATTCCGTCTTCCCATACAATGACTGGGGCTTTTAAATTGATCAGGTTTGTAATACCTTTAGATTTGGAAGAAATTGCAGATGAGCTTCATTGAGTCTGTTCTTTTCCTTTGAACTTCAGTCAGAGAGTAGAAGCGCGGATGGCTTTTTCTAGCTTCATATAAATTTTTCCTGTAATATTAGAGCCTGGGACTGAAGATACTTGGTCAGTCGTGATTAATATGCTTCGAGTGCTATGTTTTCCTCCCATTTTATTATTATAGAAGTATATATCTTGATAGTGTGAAGATAGACGTGGAAAAGGAAAATTTAATACGATATTTGCCGATAAGAATATTTTTTGACAAAAATATAAAAGGAAAAAAAATTGATAGATTTATAACGAATTTTGGAAAAATTAAATTCCATTTTAGAATATAATTTGCAATAAAACTTCTACAGGAAACAATATAAATAGTTAAAATTATTTTTTGATTGATCTTTTCCTTTTTAGGCTTTCTAGCCTTTGGCAGCCATTTAATATGACATTTTCTACACATTTATCTTTAAAGGCTTGAGTAAAGCTTGCTCTTATTGATGATACTTTATCATCTTCTTCATCATTTTTATTGTCTTCTGCAAATCAGTTTAAATGCCTCTTGAAATTTTTCGTTAAAAGCAGCTTGGAAGCGTCTTTTACTACAAATTCTCCTTTTAATGAATTTATTGACACTATGTCCTCCATAGTTTGTTTTATGCCTATTCCATATGAAATATCCTTCTTTATAAAGCCAATTAATAATAAACCCTTTTAATGTAAAATCATATAAAATTTTTTAACAAATTCAAGCTTGAATTGTGTTTCTTTTTAACAGCATCATGGAATGTAGAAATCTGTTTTGCATAGGTTTTTTCAAGCATCATATCAGGCAGCTTATCTTCCCTTCTTTTAAGCCACTTCTGATAGTTCATATACTTCAGGTCTTTCAGGCGATCTTTCCCAATTAAAGTATCAATATCATTTTCTATTGTTTCTATCACAGGAGGGATTTTTTTAACAGTTTGGGATCGTGCTAAAGGCGGTTTTTGCTTAATTTTTTGGGGAGTTATGGGATCCTTATTAAATATTTTATTTAATTCCAAGCTAGGTGTATTATTACCCATAAATGTTTTATCAATATCTTCATGATTTTTTGAGCATATAGTAAGGTTTAATAAATCATGGCCAGTAGCTACCGTTCTATTTAATTTACCTATCATGCTTGGAGTTTCTGTTGATTTTCTCCTAAAAAATGAAATTTCGGCTTTCTTTTCACTAATATGGCACGAATGTAAACTTATCAAAAATCATTCGTTATTTTTACTCATAATAAAATTAGCTGAAACTTTCATAACAGTCCTATGTAATAACACTGCTTTTAATATACTATAAATCCAATCGATACTCTGTGACAATTCAATAGTAGACATAGAAATACTCCCTTTTCCGACACAAATTCCTCTAATTATTATAAAACTTTTGGTTAATGGCTGAAAATCAGAGTATTTTTGTTCCTTTTCTTCTGTAGTCGTTAGGAAAAAGTTTAAATTCGGATTTAACATTACATGATTTTTCTTTTGGCAAATAAAGGAATATTTATTTTTTATGATTTTTGCGGATATACGATTTGCTGAATTTTTTGATACACGGACTATTTGTGTGTAATCTCCGGGGGAAATAATATATTGTTGTAAAGAAAATTCGTATCTGATTTTTACATTTTTTTCTATAAGTGTATAAGCAATTTTTATTTATTTAATAAAAATAAATTTTTTAGAAAAATCCTTTTTTTTATATAAAATCAAAATTTTTATTAAATAATTTTAGGAGATTATATTAAATACAATATAAGCTTCTTGAGGATTATTTACAAGTGTGATACTATCTTTTGTTTTAAATACAGCAAATGGAAAGTTTTTATCCTCATATTCAAATTCATTCAGAAACCTATGCAAATTTGTTAGAGAAATTTCTTGAAAATGCATGGTTTTTTCTACTGTCGAAATCATTGTAAGGTCCTTAAACCCGAAGCCATAAATAATAGTCTTTGGTATTGTTAAAAATATTTTGTTGTTTTTTGAGGCTAGATAAAGCATTTTGAATAAATTAATCGCTGTTTCGCCCATTATTTATTTATAATTTGATAGGAAATGACAAAATTAAAATATATAGAAAAATCATATTAGCATAAAATTGTGTTTACTTGCAGCTGCATTTATTTTCTTCCAAAATTTCTGTATCTTTTCTCCTATTTTCACTCCCTTTTCTAGCTTCTAAAATAGCACTTTTATATTTTTTACACCACTCGTCAGAAAGCCCTATCCCTACATTTTGTGCGAGTTTTGCAAGAGTACTAGAAGGGTCTGACTGTCCTATGATAACAAATTCGATTTTACCATTAACTATCCTTATTCTTGTTAGTCCAATATGAGTAATTCCTCTGGAAACCCATCTCTGTTTAGGCCTTTGCTCATTTTCTACCGAATAATAAACGACTATGCAAATTTGATATAAATATTAAATTCATCATTTTTATAAAATAAATAGAGAAATTCATAGAGATTGGTATACAACTGAGTCTTTATCATAAGCCACTACTCTTTTTTCTATATAATCTCCTTTATATGCAAATAATTTGATAAGGAAATAAATTGTATAATTAGTTGGAAAATTCCCATCAATTATTTCATAAGTTTTGAAATTTTTGTCCCATGACAGTCTTTTCTTGGGCTCATTCAGAAAATCTAAAATGATAGATAATTCAACTTTTGTACCCAAGGAAAACCAGATTTTGCTGACTGGGGTATGAGAATCATATTTGGTAGTCCCATTGAGCTTAGAAATATCAAACCAGCCTGAGTGCTTGATTTTTTCCCATGAATTGGAGTTTTCAAGGGATTCAATGTATAAATATTCATTAATGAATAATTGTATGTCATTTTTTAAAAAAATTAAAAATAATTAATTGAAGATTATTTAATTGTGGAAGAATAACGCTCATAAGCTTCTTTATCTTCTTCATTCAGAGGTTTCAGGCCTAGTGATTTCGCCTCTTCAACAATTTCGTAATTTGCTGGGGTAGGAGGTCTAGTGTAAGTCATATAATGGATTTATTTCAGCCCCTCTCCTATTTACTGACATCAGGCCACTCCTAGACATTGACCAGCACTAATGCCCTTTTCTGCCGACGTCACCAAAAAATGGTGACGCCTCCATCCCTCGGGGATAGACATTCAGATATTCCTTGGGCAACTACTAGCGGCCAGCATGGCTTATTCGGAGATGGGAGATAGGACACGACCCCAAGTCCTCCTTTGATCCTCATTGCCCTTCTCATCCAGAAGAGAGGAGCTGTCTTATGGACTCTGGTTTCCTTATCTGAGGTGAGGGTAAAACCCCTGTCATTATGTCCAACCAGGAGAAAAAACCCTGTGGGCACAATGTTCAGCTCCAGCCCACCTAAACCAAAAAAGCCCCGAGGGTATAGGAGAATGACATTTCGGATAAGTAACCATTTTATTTGTGTTTAAGTCATAAAGGATTGGTAAGTCGATTCCTCTGGAGCTCTATCTTTGCTTTTCTATATAGAAATTACATCTCTTGATTCACAGCAGCCCATTTTAATTTAAATAGCTGTTTTTAAGTTGAATAAAAAACTCGCTGTTTTAATGTCTAATTACTTAAGTTGATTTTATCATTTTTTAAGTTTTTTATTTGACTAAAGTCTATAAGTCTATATAACAGGCAATTGGCTATACTTTTTCCATAAATCTTAAGGAATTTATTTTTTTTAAAGCTTAAAACTGAATTCAAGTAAATTCTCATTAATTTTACCCCAGACACACACAGAAATACAAAAGACTTTATTTAATAAATGGATTTGAAATTAATAGATGCTCCAAGAAGTCTCTTCACTAGTAGAGCTCGCTAGAGACCATGCAATTTTAGGGTTCTATCCTGAATCTCTATCAATGTTTGAGCAAGCCATGTCTCTTGTAAACTCAGCTTTGAAATCTCCAAATGACCTTGATCCAGGTAGAAATTGAAATAAAATAAAAAATGATCTAAATGAAGAATACTCTACTGTGCGGCAGTTAAATCTTACTTTGACAAGACTGCGGCCTTTATCAGGCATTTCACAGCCTCAGCAGCAAGTTGTACCTTTAAGTCGCCAAGAGCTGAACAACGGATTTCCTATAGAAATTTCAAATAATCATTATAGAGGTCCCGCAGAACTAGGGAGATTCAAAGGATTGCCATTTAGCCATCATAAAGCTAGAGATCCTATAGAAAACATTGAAGAAATATGCCATTTTATGTATATGCTCATAATAAAAATAGAACTATTTATAATCAAAAAAACAGTTAAAAAAGTATAAAAGTCTCTGACTCTTTTTCTGAGCTTCCATCTATTTCAGAAAGCTCAATAAGACGAATCCCTAATCCGCCTAGTAAGCCTAAAACTATCCCTAAACCTCGAATTGGAAACACAAATCCTATCCCTAAACCAGCTCGACCATTTAAGCCTCCAGCCAAATTAAATCCTCCTACAATTCCAAAATCCCCTTCATTTAGCCACGATCTAAGCTTAGAGCTGTCACTAAAACCTCGAAAGTCTTTTATAGAAAGCATTTATCCAGATGGGCAAGGTCCAGACTCCCATTTAATTCAGTTAATAGAGCAAGAAATTAATGACAGCAGCCCAGGGGTGTCACTAGATGAAATTGCAGAGCTTGACGACGCCAAATCAATCCTTAACGAGGCCATTCTGCTGCCTTCTCTTATGCCAGAATTTTTCACAGGCATTCGGAGACCGTGAAAAGGGATTTTGCTATTTGGTCCTCCAGGAACAGGCAAAACAATGCTTGCCAAAGCTATAGCGTCAATGGGTGGGACAACTTTTTTCAATATAACCTCATCGTTTCTTATATCAAAATGACGAGGAGAAAGTGAAAAATTGGCTCGGCTGCTATTTGAAATGGCCAGATTTTACGCGCCTTCAATTTTATTTTTTGATGAAATTGACTCTATTATGTCAAGACGAAATTCTGATGACCATGAAGCTTCTAGGAGGCTTAAAACTGAAATATTAATACAAATTGAAGGAATTTCTACGTCGAGTGACCCTTTAAAACGAGTTATTGTGATGGCTGCTACAAATAGGCCATGAGATATTGATGAAGCTATGATAAGAAGACTGGAAAAAAGAATTTATATATCGTTGCCAAGTGAAGATGGCAGGAGAAAACTGTTTGAAAGAAATCTAACTCGTCATGATTTTTTCCGCTTTAGTTATAAATAAAGATTTAAAAGCTCTATAAGGCCGTCCCTAAATTTTTTTAAACTTTCTAATTATATAAATACGCTATTAAATTATTTAATTTTTTTTTTATTATTAATTGAGAGATTAAGTGAAATTGAATTAGGACCAGACATAGACTGGGAATATCTAGTCAAAAAATCCAAACAATACACCGGAGCAGACATTTCATGTGTATGCAGAGATGCCGCTATGGAGCCCTTACGTAAATTAATAAACAAAGCTACAGCCCAAGGCCAGCCAATTCAAAGCCTCATAGACATCAAATTACCTCCCATTACAATGGAAGACTTAAAAGAAGCCCTAACCAGGGTAAAAAGCTCAGTCGACAAATCCTCTCTCGAAGAATTCAAAAATTGGATGAAAAGCTTTGGCTCTAATTAATTCATATAAGCTATTTTTATTAGGCTCCTTCGGTATCTTTCCAGATCTTGCATGTATTATCTTTTGACCCAGTAATTATAGTATCTCCTTCATAATTAAATGCACAAGAGAATATTTCGTCTGTATGTCCTTCAAGTGTCTGCAAGCATTCGCCAGTTTCTGCGTTCCATATCCTACACGTCTTATCATTACTTGCAGTCAGAATTTTGGTCCCTTGAGGGTTAAAGGCAACCTTGGAAATTTCTCCTTCATGGCCGACTAGAATTCCTACGCATGCATTAGTTAAAACATTATAAACTCTTGCATATGTGTCACCACTTGCAGTTACCAGCTTGGTGCCAGTTGAATTAAAAGCGACGTCTAAAACTTCGTTTGTGTGGCCTCGTAAGGTTTCAATGCATCTTCCACTGTTCACGTCCCAAAGCTTGCAAGTGTGGTCGATGCTGCCAGTTGCTACAAAATCGCCTGAAAAATCAAATTGAGCGTTAGAAATTTCGCCATTGTGGCCTTCTAGAAGCCTTATACATTGGCCTGATCTGGTATCCCAAATTCTTGCGGTAAAATCAAAGCTGCCGGTGAGAACTTTATCGCCATCAGTATTGAACTGGACACTTACGATTTCTCCGGTATGCCCTGCAAACGAACAAAGGCGTTCACCTGTTTCAACATCCCATATGCAAGCAGTTTGGTCCATAGAGCCTGTGGCAAATAAAAACCCATTGGTGTCGAAATTTATAATTTTTCTATAAAAATTTTTTTTTTATATAAAAATTAATTTATTTTTTTTTGCAAACCGAAATTTAAGCAGACAATTTCTTTTTGATGCCTAAGTGTATACATGCACTCACCAGTATCCGCATTTCATAGCTTGGCAGTCTTATCAAATGACCCAGTTGCTACTCTGTCTCCATAAGGGTTATTAAACGCAATTGCATACACCACGTTTTTGTGTCCTTCCAAACTCCTTATTTCTTCCCCAGACATCGTGTCCCAAATCTTGCAGGTCCTATCATAGGACCCAGTGATAAATTTATCGCCTGATTTATTGAAGGCACAATTCGTAAGGGGTAAAATATGGGCTTTAAGAGACTTATATAGGATAAAGCGCTGATTTTGGTTGGTTTGAAGTTTTTCTATAAGTTTCAATATAAGCTTTCGCAGCTGTGGCTTTCTTGTCTGAGATATGGCGGGTTCTTCGAAAATAATCTGATCCACAAGGGCATCTACATCAGTCTGAGGGCTTAAATTTAGCAAGTCAATGTATTTGGACTCTATCTGGCCGTTTGATCGGAGGTATTCGAGTATAATTCCTGGTGGGTAATACCGCAATAAGAATTTCTTAAGCTTCATTTTATTAATTTAATGAATTTTTATAAGTTTATGCATCTGGGCTCAGGATTTCAACTGGCTGGGCTGCTTCATCTCGATAAGTTCTGACTGTATTAGGACGCGCATAAATTTCTTTTTCTTGAGTTACGTCAAGAAGCTCTTCAGGAGACCCTGCACAGTCTTGTTTGCAGATGTAGCAAATCTAAATGGTAATTACTTTGCTCATTTTAAGCCAGCGCTTTATGCAATGATCATGGAATATTCTGCCTAGGCTAATTTTACTGATATATTTATAGTAATTTTTTTTTAATTTATAAGGAAAATATGCATAAAGCTTAGGTATTTATAAGGATAAAGGTATATATGATTGCAGTATAATTTTCTTACAAGAGAATTCTCTAAAAATTCATCAAGACAAATGGCACAATTTTTGTCTGAAGTTTTGCTAGAAACTTCTGAATACTGGACTAATGGGAATTTTTCATTTATCTTCGTTAAAGAAAGCCCAATACTTCTTTTTCTATGGCGTCGATGTTTATAATACATAACACCTAATATAACTACAATAATGAATAATAATACACCCAGTGTTGGTAAAACATAAACCAGGATATCATTTTCTTCTATACCTTACTAAAGCGCTTTAAGGCTTATATAAATCAGTCCGAAAATGGCGATTACCATAAAGTAAAAAAACTCGCCAGTCACGCTATTTATTTTTTCTAATTAACACTGTAGGGTATAATGAGCTCCCAGACAATTTTACATACAAATTAAAATTTTCACTTGTGCAGTTCAAGTCATTATAAAGTGCCATATAAATCATATTTGACATCATTTTTACGTCGAGATCCACCTTTAAGCTGTAATTATAGTCAGGCAGTAAAACTTGATAAAAATAATTTCTAGGTGACGGCAGCTCAGCAACTCCTCTTCCTTTATAATCCCAAAACAGTCTGCCTGAGTACTTTGTCCACCCAAAATAAAATTTTAATGCATCGTCTGATACCTTCTGGCGATTTATATAAGCATAATTTACTCCTTGGCAGGGCGCATTCAGCGAATATAAATTATTTTGTGTAATTTCAGTAGCTTGGCTTTCACAGCCAACTCCAATGTACCCATTTTGGCATTCACATACATTAAGAGACACACAAACCCCTCTTGAATTACAGTCCTGTGGACAAAGAATATAGTCATCTTCTTCTATGGAGATTTTGTATGAAATTTGTCCTTTTTCATAGTTATAATTGCTGATTCCTATATAAGTGACAGAAGAACTTGATATTGAGGAACTTTGGAATATTAAGGAATGGTAACCACACTGGGTAAACCATCCATCATAATCAATCATATCAGCATTTACTGATAATCCGCCAGAAGAAAAAGAAGGCAGATCATGGCCTATTGATAAAACTGGCTCTGAAGTGTCAGGTTTTTGTAATATTTTAAGGGAAACTCGTATATACACTTTTGATGGGGAGTTTAAAATTAATTGAAAATAAGATCATTCAGATTCTTGAGTAACGGAAAGACTTTTACCTGTTTGTAAGCTGGGAATGGATTCTGTGGTAGCTTGTTTGAGGAAAACTGCTAAAAGTAAATTTAGCAAAATATACATTATAATGGATTTAGTCTCCAAGAGAAATTCTTTGAGGTTTTAATATACTCTATTAAATTAATAATACCTACCATTAAAATAGTTTATTAAAATTAAAATTTAAATTTATCAGAGTATAATATTTTCAATTATAAATTTAATTAATTATAATTTGGCTTAGACTAGCCAGCTGTTGTGTATAATAACTAAAGTAAAAACGATTTTAAACGGCAGCTTTTACAACATATATGGATGAATTATAATGGTTTTGTTAAAAAAATTAATTTTTAATCAAATTCATTTTTGTTGCCACCTTCATATGTGATTGGTAAGTTTTAAACTAGAAAAGAAATAGACTGATGAATTAAGAGCGATAAAATATTACACAAAAACAATAACAAGATCTTCTTTCTTTATAACGACTTTATTTGAAGCTTGAATATTGCTTATTTTTGGGCTAAAACATTTGATTACTTTTTGATCCAACTGTGGCATGCATTTTTCATTTCTCACATAATCAGATCTCCTTAATTTCTGTGTTAATTTTTTTATTCTTATTCCTTTATCCACAAAATCTTTGTATTTCTCACACAATTTCCCAATATCAATTACCATTTGTGCATGCTCAAACATATTAACGCTTTTTTCAATCTCAAACAATAAATTTTTCCCTTCTTCTATATACATTTCATATACATAAAATGGCCGGAGACGAGCGACCCGTCCTTCCGTGGCGGGTGTCCTTATGTATACCGGACATGGTTTTTGGATGCGGAGAGCTACTCAAGGGAAGAGTTAGCCTCGAGGCGAGAGGCCCAGCCCAATTTCCGCTGATTTTGGGACTTGACCCGGGCAGCAGCAGTTTTTCGCATCTTTTTTGCCAGTAGCGCCGAGGCCCAGACTCGGTGTCCGAAAGAGGCAGGGTGAGTTACCTGCCTAGGCTACTTGGTGGCTTAGCCCCGAATCCCGTAAGGGGTTGAGTTCTTTCTTGGAGATGATCCGGGAAAGAGGGGAGGCGAAGCTAGACTTGGGGATCTCAAGGGCACAAGTCTCTCCAGTTAAAAGGATCCTCTCACGAGGGCGATCTGGCCAACCGGAGGCAAAGACTGGCGTAATTCGGGGCGGAAGGCTGAGTTGGAAATGGTGTTGCCCAGCGACAGTCGGCTGACGACTCAATAGGGCAACCCGCTACCGAGAAACCAGGGGTTTCGGCCTGGGCTCAGAGAACCAGTGATGGAAGTTCATCCTTTTCGCTCTCGTGCCAGCACGGCTCCTCAAGGAGCGCGGAGGAATAAATACACATCTTAAACCTAACCTAACCTAGCCTAACCTATATACATTTCAACTTCTTTTATTTTCATTTCTTCGCTTTTTCCCAGGTTTTTCTCAATCACTCTTAACGACATCTGAATTTTTTCTTTGCATATTTCTATGTCACTTATATTGACATTATTATCATTATCTTCATTATCAGACTGGCAAGGAGCTTCTTCTCTTTTTCTTGACGCACAGCAATTTCCCATAATATGGTAAATTTGAACTATGTGGAAACACTCAATCAAAAAGTCGAAGCTGACTGCAGTGATCTTTTTTTAGTCCTCCAATCTGAATTTATCCAATTAAAATTCAAAGCAGCTAGGTGTGCGAGGAAATGCTTCATAGAAAAATTGATGCCAGAATCATTTCGATGTGAAAAAGGGTGCATGGAAGGGATTTCTAATGTAAAACAATTGATTGAGAAAAAGCAAAAAGAGGCACAAGATAACTTTCATAGATGTGTAGAAAGGACTGGGAGAATGTCGGAAGGGCTTGATGAAGGGGAGGATATTATGGATATAGAAACTGGGGTAACAAATTGCTATGAAAAGTTTAGGGTTAATATAAAGAGAATGAAGGGGGAAATGATCACAGAGTTTAGCTATTATCAATAAATACAAAATAAGTAAAAAAGGATTATGGAAGGATAGAGAAAATTAAAAAGAGTTTTATTAGTGAAGGTATTAAGAGATATTTATATGTTAATTTTAGATAATAAAGAGCCATGGATTTTAATTCTTTTAAATGCTAAAGATGCTCTGCCTTGATGGATTCAAAAATTAATCAATTAAAAATTCTTTAGTCTTTTCTATTGGGTTATTAAAATTTCATTTTATTAAATTTTTAATTTTGCTAACTCCCCCCCCCCTCCGTGAGTGAACAAAAAAATTTTGTTCACTCACGGAGGGGGGGGTTAATTTTTTTTTTTGTAAAAAAAATTTATATATAAATTTTATAAAAAACATTTTCAAGTAAATAGTTTTATATAGGATTTCCCTAGATAGCCCTTACAGGGCTGTGGATTCTGTCCGGAAGGCCGAACCAACTCACTTGTTGGTTCGACCACCAAAGGATTCCGGACAGAATCCACAACCCTGTAAGGGCTATCTAGGGGAAACCCCTATAATTTTTTATTGCATGACTCTTAGAAATGTTTTCACTTTGCTGAATGCGATTTGAGAAATGATTATTTTAGTTGCATATTCTTAAGGCTCATAAGATCAAATACAAATTAGATTATGTTAAAAATGTAAAAAAATTATTTCTTTTAAAATTAAAAATTCTTTATTTTAATTGCAAAAATTATATCAAGAGGCTTTCTCACTTATAAATAAGCCGTTTAAACAAATTAATTATTAACCAAATTAAATTATTGCTTCATGAATTTTTTAATTGAAAGTCACTTAAAAATCGGTAAAAAATAGGCTATAATTAACAATTTTGTTTCCACGAATTTATTTTATTAGAGTTTTGTTGTTTGCTAAAATATGAATCACTCTAAAGATTTCACTGTTCATTTACGTAACCTCTAGAAAATATGAAAATTTTTTTGGATATTCTGAAAATCCAAATTATCAAATGATTTTTCAAAAATAATGATTCTTTTCCAATAATTAGTATGTCAGATAATCCCGAATTAATTGAAATCCTTTATTTAGACTATTATTTTTTCAAGCCTAAAAAAATGAAGATTTCTGCATGATTATTACAGATCAGTGCCTTCTGTTGATATTCCTATCTCAAAGACCTCATAAATCTTAAGAAAATTTAAAATTATTAAATAGTTTCAATTAGCCATTAAAAATTTCCATCTTAATTCTTCTCATAATAAATTTCTGATAATTGACACCATACTGTTTATTCACTAAATAATTATTTGATAAGTAAAGCATTTTCCAAAAACAGTCACCAAATGTTCACACAGACTTATTATTTAAAAATAAATAACTGTCACAGAAACTTATTTAATTATTAATATGAAACTTTACTTCCTTCTGGTTTAATCCCAAGGATTCAACTGTATGAAGAATATCCAATCTTTTTAGATCAACTTATTTACTTATAATAGTCTTAAACTTAACTTATTGCAGATAGTGGTGCCTATTCGTAATGCAGTCACAAGGATTCCCCATAGGATTCATCCTGATTACAATATCGCCAGGGAGAGCTTGTTTGAGCTGGGATGGTTAATTGTTTGACAAGCTAGCTCGAACTTCCTCTTCTTTGTCATCTGATGCCCTTACACCTATAAAGTAGGGCTATATGTCTCAGTTTCCTCCTAGCCTTGTCAGCCGGTGTTGAGTGGGAAGGCTGTAAACTTCTGCGGCTTGCTGTTTGGGTTTACGAAGGTTATCCATAGCCGTCCATTTCTGGTTCGCAAAACCTTGCCGGATATAAATAAATATATCATGCCTTGGCCGGCAATACCTGGCCAAGACACCATATTTATATTTTATAATAGTCAAATTATAAATAAAAACATTACTATAACTATGGACTTTTTTTTTAAATTTACCAATTATAAATATGAAAACACCTAAGCCAACCTCTAACCAATTAACTCTTTACTGCTGTATGGAAAACGACTGTGGAAAATCTTTTATTACCAAGTTCAATCTTAAACGGCATGTGACATCAGTGCATTATAAATCAAAAAAATTTAAATGCAATTATTGCTTCAAATCATTTTCCAGTAAACAAAATTTGGATGAGCATGTTTTTATCCATACAGGGGAAAGACCTTATATATGTGATATGTGCCTAATTTCTTTTCGACAAATTAGTCAGCTGTCTCTGCACAAGCGGGACCATGCAAAGCCGCTCCATAAGAGTAAATTACAGAAAAAGGCTTTAGAGCCAAATTTTGAAAAAGATAAAGAGCCATGCAATTTCCATTTAAACATTAACTATATTATTAAGAGGCCCGTCGTAATAGCTAGGGTTTCCCCCTGCTCTACCTTCACCCGGTTGCTCACCACCAATCGATCATGACCTTCAAGGTGTTGCTCCTACTGGACGAGGATGTGCACTCGCTACCCGTAGTTGGATGAGTTAAACAACCCAGCAGTACGTCAATAGAGGTTGCCCATTCCGAAAATTTGAAAAGCAAATTTTCTGGTAGGACTGTCGGCCAAAATGGAAATCCAAAGCCTGGGACGTAACGTCCAGTTTCACGCTAGGGAGTTGCCCGATTGATTAGAAGGATCCTTCCTGATGCTGCTGAGCTTCCCCTTTCCAACCTTGGAAAAACCATTTACCTGAGGCAAAAACCCTGGTGTCAGAATGAGCTGCGGTCGGCCTAGTCCGACGTTGCGCTCTACTGTGCCAAGGAAAACCCTAGCCGGATACACACTCCGAGCGCCTTTCTCCCTTCCACAAGGTCCCCGCGAACACAGGCTATAGGTGTTGAGAAAAAGGGCTGGATCGCCGTCGCCATTTTAATGTATGCCATGCAATTTCCAAGAAATAAAAAGTAGCGCTAACTCAGCTTTAAAATGGAACAAAATATCGGTAAGATTTCCATTTTTAGTTTAATTAACCCCTTTTAGATTAGATTAGATTAACGCTAGGTATTTAAGGTCCCCACTACGTCCGAGGAAGCATTCTACGGTTTCCCGTATGGTGGCAGAGCGTTCACCAAGCCCGAGCCGAAACCCCCGGTTTCTCGGTAGAGCCATTGTCAAGGGCCGTCTCATACCGGCTTTGCTGACCGCCTCCATTTCCAACTTGGATCGTCACCTAAGTTTACGCCAACACTGCCGCGTCGTCCGCCAGATCTGTCCATTGAAGGGCACCTTTTAAACTGGAGAGACCCCCGTTTAGTTGTCTAACTCGCCTTCCCCTCTTTTCCGGTCATCCCGAGAAAGAATTCAACAGCTTTCGCCATTCGGGGCGAGCCACAAAAGCAGCTTAGGCAGGTAAGTCGCCCTGCCTCATTTCGGGCACTCACTGGGCTGAGCGCTGATGGCAAAAAGAAGTCACGAGTAACTGCCCATGGGTCTGGTCACAAAAACAGCGGCTTTTGCGCTTAGGCCTCTCGCTTCGAGGTCCCAGACGTTGTTGGGCTAACTCCTGGCTCCAAAAACCATGCCCGGATATACATGGGTAACCACCACTGAGAGGGTGGGTCGGCCCGCCGTCCGCCAATTTATGTATATAATTAACCCCTTTTAAACGGAATAATATTTTTATCTTTAGGCAAAAATAATTAATAACCAATTTATTGTTACCGAAAAATATTTGCTGGTAAAGTGCTATACTTAGTTAGTTAGTAGTAAAATAACTCTAATAAATATTTCTCCTGTTTTCTGGAGCCTTTTACGTGAAATATGACGTCCGCTCTGAGCAGCAGATCTGCAGTTACCTCGATCATTATAGTTCATTGCGCCCCAGCTTGAAAAAAAGCTCTTTTCCTTCTATCCCGCACGACTGGATAGTGTCTCTATTGATTAAGACTCCCAGAAAAAAGCAAGAATTCCCTTCACTGAGTCAGAGTAAGGGGACTATTCTTACCAGATCTCCCCATTTTTAATTTTGTGTTACATTTTAAAGAGGAGTGTAGTTAATTGGGTATTTAAGCAAATAAATTATATAGTAATTTTTTTTAAATAAAAATTTCTAATTATTTTTTTTCAAAATATATCAACCCTGATTTAAATTAGAACAGAATTATTTGCTCCATTTGAGGAAAGAGTGAGAAAATTAAAATAGCTTCTAATATATCTTACATTAGTCTACCTTTATTACAAATGCAAGTAGAGGAAGAAATTAAGCTGCCTAGGGTGTCCGATATCATTAGTTCTGATATAATGTATAATTAAATGAATAATAGCGTAAATTTTCAATAAATATATCTTAAGTCAAAAATCATTATTTTGCAAAAAATAGAGAAACCAGTTTTAGCTATAAATTAATGTAACAGCGTACTTAGCATAGTAAGTTTGATTTAAAATACTCGTGATAAATAATCTTTATACTTATTTTATAATATGACAATAATTTACTGTTGTTTCTCAAATACCATGTTTTCTGATGAAAGTCATTTTTTACAAAATTTAAAATTTAAATGTCTATTAGATATCATTTATAAGTAAATATCATTTTTTTTTATGTTGATATTATATTTAAAATATCTTCGAGAGGTGTTAAAGGAGGGATTTTAGTTTAAATTTATAAATTTAACGCATTCTGAATTAACTTTTTTTAAAAAATTGTAAAATATAAATAGAAGCTTGAAGACCAGGAGTATTAAAAATAATATTAAAACTCATAGAAAATTATAAAAAACGGAATAAAAGAATAATTTTCAGATCTTTCCACTGTTGTAGCTAGAGTCCGATCAGTCTTTGTCTAAGCAATAGACTAGAATAGATTATTACATGCTTATTTTAATTTGAATAGCCAGCAAGCTTTGCCAACCAAAGATTTCTGAATTTTTCATCTATTTAACATTCATTAATTCATATAATAAAAAATCAGATCAGAATCAGCATTTTTTAATTTAATAAGAAAATATGTATAAAATACCTTTCTGGTTGGGATAAAATAAATGATAGAGAAAGCTGATCTCTATATTATTTAATAAATTTATCTAAACCACTGGAAAATTTATAAAACTTGAATTTTTAACCTATTTATGCTTTTCTTAATTTACTCAAATGCAATGATTTTCAATTAATCTATACAATTTTTTCTTCAAATTTTTTCTATCTGTCTCTTCATGATAATCAAACAAAAAAGATTTGGCTGCAATATCATCATATTCTGGATCATAAAGCGTTTCTAAATACTTATGCTTTAATAATTTTTCTGCACATCATCTTTTCAAAGGATTAAAAACCAACATTTTATCTAAAAAATTCAGAGCTGCTGGATCAGCCCCTTGGAAAATTTCATTCCACAGGATTTTTTTAGTTTTAGGCAAATTTTTAATATACTCATTTGCTTGATTGCTAAGAAAAAAGAAATCATCCTCTTCTTGAGATCCTAACACTTCTAATATAGAAGCAATCAGCCTCAAATAGCTTTCTGAGTCAAATAATGGCTGCCTTCTTAAGAGAGTTGCCATTATACATCCAATACTTCAAATATCAGATTTTGTTGTAATATAATTCGCCCCACAAAAAATACTCACCTCCCCTTTAAAAGCAAGCAAGGTATTTTTGCATGCTTTTTAAAGAGTTTTGAATATAGAAAGTTTTATAATTAAAAAATATATATATTTTTAAAATTTAATAGAAATGGAAAGATCTCGTATAGCAGTTATTAATTATATATAATTGTAGAAATTTCCCATAGATGGCACTGTTTGCCCTTGATTTGCCCACTGGGGAAATTTTTTGGTTCGGCCAGTCCATATGGTTTTGTCAAACCAAAAAATTTTTCTTATGGGCAAATCAAGGACAAACAGCGCCATCTATGGGAAATTTATATATAAAAAATTTACTCAGGAGCCAAAAATAATTTATTTACTCTATAAACATGATTTTCTGCTCAAAATATTTTGTTATTTCCAAAAGCAAGCCTAAAATTGCAAATTTTTACTTCACAATTAGCATTAATTTCTATAACTCGCGGGCATAAGTTTCCTACAATAACTCCTGATGAATGAATATAAAAAAGTGCTCTGATAGCCTGATAAATAATAAATTGGATATGGTCGTTAGTTATTACCTGTGGTGACCTAATGATGCTTTCTAAATTAGTATCCATTGGCTCAGTAATTATATACATTGTTATTTCTTTGTTTTGCTTGTAAAATTCAATATCATAAAGCTGCAGGATATTTTCATGCTGATAATGCTTGAGTAAGGAAATTTCATTTAAGTCTCCTTTGATAGAGTCATTACAATTAGTAGCATTTTCGATAATGCGAATATGAACATTTCGCTTTAAAATTTGGTCGTAGGCTGAAATAACGCCACCGTAGTATGTACAAGAGATTTTTTGAAAATTTGTATAGCGACTATTAATAAGCGATCGAAGACCGAAGAAATTCACTGGGGTTTTGTCAGAGGAAATTTGGTTCATTTTTACTCTGAGGTATATGAAAAATGGTTAATATAAGAAAATAACCTTAAAATTGAAGAAAATGAATATTTAGTTTGATTAAATCTTAATTAATAAAAATTAATTTTTATTATTTGTATTGCATATTGTGAAAATGAAAGAGGCTTATAATTTTAATTAGAGATAAATTCTCAACCCAGAGTATTTTAAGAAATAAAATGCTCCGACTCTTCATTCTGGTGGCATTATTCATGATTTAAATTTTTTTCAATGGAGCTTTAAATTTTAATTGAAAATATATAATAAATGAGCAATATAAATAGGGAAATTTGTGACGAAATCTTGTGTAGCTATTAATGCTAATCTTGAATTTTAAAAATTTTAAAACGAGGGCAATATTTTTTCCTCTAAATTTTTTTTTGTTAGATTTTAATAGAACTATTGAGAATAAAGCTATAAATTTATGGATAAATTATATTGCTGAAAACAGAATAGTTGCTATAGCTAATTGTAATATATATTTAAAAATGGCCCAAACTTCAAATGAATTTGTACATCTTTTCCCATTACTTACAAATACACTGGAAAATTTCAGCAGAGTCTTAAATGCAGACTTTCAAATATCAAGCAGAGACTCTCAAGAGCTAAAAAGTGCATATAGAAGATGAAAAAATGAATGTAATCACGTAATACAAGAAAACTGCTGAGGAGAAATAATGAATATTATACCAAATGAATGATCCAAACTTAATAGACTGTCTAATAGAGTAGGAAATCATACAGTTAGGCTTATGCTCTGCATGTATAAAGATCAAGAATTTAAAATTTTGGATAATCATGATAAAAACCTATTGCTTTGGGCATCTCTTTTACATGATTTAGGCAAAAGAAGCCGCCCAGAAGTAATAAAAAGAGACCCTTTCATCCTTTTTCAAGCTGCGCTATAGCAATTTCAATATTTTTTTAGATTTGGATGGATAATTAATAATGAATGAATCTGCAATAAATGATGCAATATCCTTTATTAATTCAGCATTCAAGACAAATTCCCAAAATGAAGAAATTATGGACAACTCAAAAATTCCACAAATTCTGTCACATCTTTTTTATATTACAAAATTAACAGTATCTCCAACGTCTCCATGAACTTCTTACCAAGAAATAACTAGAAATATTGACAAATCTCAAGTTTTTAAGCTAGAAATTTTAATAATAATCCTATTTCATCAGTCCATACAAGTACTTAAAGAATATCCATTCCAAGCTCGATTTGAAAATGAGCACGTTTAAACTATTTTTTATTGGTTTGGCTTATTTCCCCTAACTCTTTATTTATATAAAAATAAAGCCTAACTCATCCAGAATAGCATATACTTTTATGTCACCAAGAATTATAGCTCTTTTAAAAATTTTGGTACAAAATGACAGTTTATCATACACTTTTCATGACCTAGAGCTAACCCAATACTACCAGTCTTGCATACAAGACACATATACAAATTTATTAAATTCTTTTCAAATTTTATAATTATTTCACAATTAAACTAATAGCCCTGAAAGTGTCACTGATATATGTCTAAAATCAGGTCTTTTTTCAGGCTCAAATTCCCAGCATCCTCTTAATAGTCTTACTATTTCAGGCTGCAAATTATTTGGTATAGGAAGAATATTTCCTTCTAATCCTACACTTTGTTGTAAAATTTTTAATGTTTTTCCATCATGAGGTATCTGCTGGGTCATAATTTCCCATATAATGACCCCAAAGCTATACACATCATCTGTACTTTGTGCTTTTATTATTGTTTTATAAGGCTCCCTAAATATCTGTGGGCTGCTTCATGCGTTTTTATTTTCATATCCTAAGACAGCTCCAGCGTATTTTTTTACTTTTTCTAGTCCTAAATCGGCGATTTTTGGCTCATTTTGTTCGTCAAGTAAAATGTTGTGTGAGGATAAATGGCCATGGATTTTATTTTGTGAGTGAAGGTCCCTCAGTCCTCTTGCGATGATTGATATGAGCTTTATTTTTTCTTTTATATCAAGAATCCGGGCAGATTCATGTAAATATGAGAATAGAGAGCCACCTTTCATATAAAGAGTGGAGATTCCTATTGCTGGGAGAGTAAAACAAGCACCGTAGAATGGGACTAAAATGGAGTTATCTAATGCTTTCATAGCGGCGATATCAGCATTTATTTCTTCTAGCACTGAGCCACTCATTCTGGGAAATTCTATTTTTCGATATAAAATATCTTTTCCTTTATATGTAGCTTTGAAGAGTTCGCCTAAGCCTTGGCTTTTATTTGCAAGGGATGATATAATTGTGATATCATTAAAGTCCATTAAAAGGTTAGGAGTTTCACTTATACTTCTTCTTGGCTGATATAAAAACATCTTTAATTATCTATTCTTTCATATATTTTTTTATTTTATTTTCAAAATTAAAAATATTTCCTTTTTTTATATATAATAAATAATAATCCTGCTGATATAAAGATCTTTCTTCATCTTCTTCAGTTATCACATTCCCATGGTGATCAAAAAGTCCAGCATGCTGAATTACTTCATCATCTGGAAATAAAAATATTGCCATAAACGAATAGTCCAGCACCGTAATATAACAAATAATCTCACACAAAATCAGCATACACACTAGTGAGCATGCTTGTATAAGTGTCGCTTTTTCAATTTCATGAATATTTCTGATAAAAATATTAGGCTCAATTGTTACAAAAATTTCATAAAACCCTTTTATGTATCTAGCAATTGTCCATAAAAACATAATTGAAGTAATCCTTTGCAGCTTATCACGAGCCGTATTTGATTTAAAAGGAGTTGAGGAGTAATTTATATGTAAAAATATCAAAAAAATAAAAACAAACATTGAACATAGTAAATTGACTGAGCTCAGCTCGAATTGAATATCTTCATTTCTTACTATCCCTTTAAAATACAGTACATATAGTCCTGATTCTACTAATAGCCAAATTATTGTTAAAACTCCTAATATTTTTGTAGCACTGAAATGCCTTGGCTTGGTGAAATGTACTAATAGGCTCATCTGCAAATCATTTTCCATATGGCTGAAATAAAACACCCTAATCATTTGTAAGAATAATAAAAAATATACCATGTGGATTGGGAAAGGGAAAAAATTATTATTATGTAAAATTTTAAGAAAATTACATCTAAAAGGGAATAACTCACTAAAAACACCGCATCAGGTATCGAAATTAATAGAAAAAACACCTTTTTTCCTTCAATACTTCCTGGTAAAGCCCAAGTCATAAACGCAAAAGTGCATAATCTAATCAGAACTTGTACAGCAATAGAAACATAAAATAACTTCGTATATCTCCAATCTGAACAAAATTTGTGTAGCTTGTAAATCCTCGTCATTGCATAAGCTAGTGAAAATCCATATAAAAAAGTAAGGGAAAACAATATCAAAAAATAGGAATTTCCATCCATTTTAAATATGTATACACCTTCTGTATGGTCTCCTAATGGCTGGACTTGGGCAAAAGAAACAATTCCCCCTCATAAGCTTAGAAGATCGATAGAAATTACAAGATAACCCATTTTCTCAGCTATTTCCCTATAAAAATCTATTTTTTCCTTATAAATTAGCTACTTTCCAATCAATTTCCTTAACTATTAATTATAAAAAGATATACAATAACTCCAATAGCATTACGAATGAATTTAAAACAATTGTCCCTAACAGATGAGAAGAAAACGGATGAAGATATGACGAATCCAGCATAAATTACTTAAAAAAGCACAGAAGTTCTTCAATCACAAGAACCACGCTTCCTCAAATAGGCGAATTCATTACAACAAACCAAAAATTTTTTTCAAAATCTCCCCATAAGAAAGAAAAATTATTTACTAATTTTTCGCCAAAAAAGAGGCAAGTGACATTAGGCGGAGTTTTAGGAAATTTCATCAATTAATAATTAATATGTTAAAATGCTTTAGAAAAGTCGCTTCGGCTTACAAAAGTGACGAAGAATGGAACTTCGAGCATTTCATCAATTTTGCTATGCATGATTCCAAAAATAAAACTGTCTTCTAATACTAAAGCATTTGGATCTGGATGGATAATAATAGATCCTTGAGGATGCAGAGGGGCTAAAAACTTCAAATTTACAATTTCACTGCAGGAAGATATGGAAAAATCAGCCACTTTTGAGTTGATGAGCTCGCCAAGCTTATTTTCATCCACAATAGAAAACGCAGGAATCCATATTTCTTCTTTAACGTCCTCCACTTTGGTTATCCGTGACAAAACTTCTTTTGCGTAATTAAAAGCCATAGATCCGTTACTTTCTGAACAAGGGATAAAAAATGCACTAAAATTTGGGTCTTCTGTGGGTACTACTATCCCTATTTAGTATAGTAAATTTTTTTTTATTTTTATAGCAAAAATGATGCGAAATTAATGGAATTTAATATATATATGCTAATAAATCATCAGATTTCATAATATTTATTTGGGTTTGATAGATGCGGGTATATGAAATCCCATTAATTATTGTTGTCATAGATTTGGACCAGGAAAGGCCTAATGCTGAACATGAAACGGAGGTTTCTGAGTCGTCTTTGAAATCTGATAAGGTAAGTCCTATAGATCGGAGGTCGTTTAAGGCGCCGTCATATTTTTCTTTGCGAAATCTGAAAGCAGGAGGCACCCATGATGCTTGCATTTTCCCGATTAGGTCTTGGACTTTGTGGCCAAGGTCAGATTCTGATGAAAATTGACCTAGCGCACGAAGTGCGCAAGAAATCCCGATTAAGCTGAAATAAGGACTATGGGTAGGAATTGTCCTGGAATTGTTTGAAATTTGTGCAGCACAGCCATATGCAAGCTCTATAGAGTCTCCAAAAAGCTGCTTTGCTGGCAAATTTTCATCGCATGGAGCAGTTTCAGGTCTTCTTAGCCCTAGCAACTGCAGTGGGGTTTTATCTCCAGTATAAATCATTTGTTTCCACCTAAACCCCAATTTATCAAAATGCTCCTTAATTGACTTATCAGCCTCATATTTCCCTTGTTCATTGACTTTTGAAATTATCCCACTTCTAATTTCAATGCATGGGTAGTTTTCCCAAATATACCCTACCATCATATTTAAAATTTCCCCAAAAGCTTGCAGAGATTCTGCTGAGATGTGTGAAATCATAAGCCTTTCCTATATATTAAATAATATTTTTATATATAAAAAATCCAATAATTAAAAATGATAATAATTTTTATTAATTGGTATAAGCCTTTTTTGTACTGATTTTTGGTTTTCTAAATTTAGTATCACAAACCCTATGATATTTTGATGCTGTCTTATCCAGAGATATGCTGGAAATCTTAAAGTTTGGGAAAGGACATACGCGTTTTCAGGCTTTCCTAATGCTTCTTTTAGGCTTTCAGGGACTTTATTAGAATATTCCGCAATTTGTTGTTCTATGTTGTTTCCAGATAAAGACTCAATAAAAAGCCTTTCAGTTACCAAGGGCTGTGGCTCTATATTTACAGGCGTTTCTGGTGGTAAAATGTGTATTTTTGACTCTTCTGGAGATGCATTACAGCTGTTGTCTCTTGAGAATAAAGATCTGTTGGATTTATTTCGGCCTCAGGAAGAACTTCTTCTTGAGCTTTTAGAGTCTTCATTTTCTTTGTCTGAATTTACTTGAGGCGGATCATTATTAAAAGCATGAGATTTATTTCGTAAGTCAAATAAAGTTTCTCGAACAGGCGCAGCGGACACCCCTTCTTCTAATAGAATCATTTCACATTTTCTTATCCTACTAACTCTCTAATACTTATAAATTAATACAAAACTATATAAATTATGAAAAAATATAAAAAAATATTTATAGTATTTGCGAAAAAATAAAAAAAATATTCGCATTATTTATATATTGGCTAGGAATGTAAGTAAAGAATTTGCTATTGGAAGTTCCAATTTTCTTGGAGATTTTATTTTTCCCAAACTCACAGAGCTTGCATATACGAAAAATGGGTCTGATTTATTAGAAATGTAAATTAAGTCAGCAATAATTGTGTCTGCAAGATAAATAGTATCAGTTTTCATTTTTATCAAATAATTCTCATCATTTATAAGAAACTGGGTTTTTGATAGCGACATATTCTGGCTTAAATTTGATAATTTTTCTCTCCAGTTTTGTATCAGCTCCACAGCATTCAGCGAAAGTGTTCTTAAATTTGACAATTTGTCAGCTAATTCTTGTCTGGAAATCGAGTTTCTGTCTTTTTGGGTCAATTTTTTCAGCTCTAATAAAGCTTGCTCTCTTGCATTTATCGTCTTAATTGCGTGTATAAGGACGCTTTTATTACTATTTGTTTCATCAATTTCTTTAACCATCTTGTTTGCTTTTTGTTTTGCTGGTAGATTTTCAATAGCTGATATTCCTTATTTAAAAGAATACGTTTTTATATTATTATATCGCCATTAATTTTTTTTATTTTCTATTAAAAAAGAATAAAAATAATCTTTGCTGGTACTCAGGCACACCTTTTTCTTCCCACAGTTCTACTAAATTATCAGTTAGTTTTTTAAAGATCTGTCCCTTCAATACTGGCGGTTTGCCTACCCCAATTCCTTTATTTGAAGCAGATTTGGGGACTCTATTCGGAATATCATTAGCTTTCCTTATTTTTCCTGGTGCTGCAATAATTTTTTTCCTTTTTGTCACGCCTAAATGAACTTGTATGTGCCGATCTTTATTTGCATCATAATCAGGAAGTTTATCTAGATGAAATCGGCTGTCCCAAGATTGTTCTCGCATCTGGATATCATGCTTAGAAGACCTGCGGAAAGGCCGGGCGCCTGGAATACGAAGAATACCATGTTCGAACATTTAAATTATAAGGAAAATTAGGATAAATAACTGATGAAAAGAAACTTCCATCATAAAAGATTTTTGGATGAAAAATGTAAGTAAATATATATGTAAAGAGGAGATAAATTAATCAGGAACAAGATAAAAGATAATGAAATATATTATGACGTAGACAATTGAATAATAAAAAAAAAAATTTTAAATAAAATAAAATAGTAAGGGGAATTTTGGTATATAAAATGGCTGCTGTAATGTCGACTAAGCTGTTGAAAGAAGCATTCTTTCAGAATCTTAAAGGAACTGGAGGCAGTGACTCAGGAAGCAAAGTGAATATCCCTTCAGAAGACCCTATTGAAGTATACAATCATGCCATAAAACAATTTAATGCTAAATGCAATCGCACCAATGAGAATGGTCATTATGAAAAACTCACAAATAATTGATTTTATAAAGCTTGAATGCTGAGGTGGTTTACCAGGATTCGTGCAGACTCAAACTGCCTTTTCTTAGTGCTGTCATTTTTAGCAAGCTTTGCTATAGGAATAATTCCGTATTTGAACATAATTGATTTTACTATTTGGTTTATTATACTTTTATTCTATGAAAAACAGAGAAAAATCCATATTCTTTATAGGAAAAATAAACCTATTAGCATTTTTATGATAATTTACTTTTATTTTATATAAAATAGCTTAATTTAAATGCAAAAATCAGCAAGAACCCATTTCAGTACATGATTTTTGACCCAGAAATATGCAGACAAGCCGGATTAATGAATGCATATTATGAGTTGCCAATTTCTGCATTGAGTACTGTTGGGTTAAAAGAAGCACAAATTCAGATGCTGAAAGGAAGGGCTGGGAAAAGTGGAGTGGTCATTTTTATGGTTTATAACGATAAATTCAGAAGAGCTTATAGCAATTTTGGCTGGCTGAGATATTTTAATATAGTTCATATGATAGTGATTGTAGGGGGAATTATTTTTGCGAATTTTTGGCTTTTCCCAAAGCTTGGAATTTCAGAGTTTGCAGGGACTGGTGTGTAGGTTAATATAACGATTAGCTAAAATAGTAATAAAGGAGTAAGGTTTTCAATTAAAATAATAATATTTATAGATCTCTCGGGAGAGATATATATTTGCAAATTTTAATATCTCTTTTAAATAAAATTATCTTTTATAAAATGCAAATTGATTTTTGTAATGGAAAAAGTTACGACATACTTGCTCCCCTCCTCTGTGAGTCAACAAAACCATTGGAAAAATCCCTATTTTTTTGTAAAAACACCCTCCACAAGCGAGCAAAAATTTTTTATAAAAAATTATTTTGATAAATCAGCTATAACCATTATTATGCTGAATTTTCAACTGGAATTTTTTTAAATTTCGAAAAAAAAAAAAACTATAATATTTTATATAAATTTTTAAAACAAAAATTTAACACCTTCGTAAGTGAATAAATTTTTTTTATTTGCTAGCCGAGGGAGGAGAGGTTAATGATTATTTGCGAAATACCTTTTTGTATCCAAGAACCAAAGCTCGAAATAAGGAAAATACTATTTATCAGCATTATTTCTCCATTCTTCTATAAACAAATTTTAATTTCGGCATTAAAAGTCAAAAAATAGCTAGATTTATCATACCAAAAATAATCGACTACCAAATAACAGAGAAAAATTCCTAAATCAATATGGCAATATAGCAGCTATTGAAGAGATAAATCTTTTATCTGAAGATTATCCTAGAAAACAGCTCAAATGCATAGAAATCATGAGGCATTTAGATCATGAAAATATATTGAATCGCTTCAGTATACATTACAAAAATGAAAAATACTTTTTGGTGACAGAATATTTACTATGCGATTTACACGAAGTTATATATTCTAACTGCCCTTTGGAAAATAATGATTTTAAGCTTATTATTTATCAAGTTTTACAAGGATTATATGCTTTGCATTCAGCTGGGATTGTGCATAATCATATTTGCCCACAAGCAATTTGGATTAATGAAGATTGTGATGTGAAATTTGCAGACTTTTGATTTGCCACAGAAATAAACAAAGAATATAATGATATTATTACAGATTGAACAATTTGTGCTCCAGAAATAATCTGTAAGGCCCCAGCTATAACAGGGAAAGCTGATATTTGAAGCTGCGGATGACTATTATATGAACTTGTAGCCAGGAGGAAATCAGTTCTTTTAAAGAGAAGCCTTTTCAGTACTTTAATCGGAATTATTTGCAAAATAGGGAAGCCAAATGAAGATGATATGTTTTTTGTTGAGGATAAATATTTTAAAAAATTATCATCTTTACAAGCATCGGAAAGCCAAAATATAATAGAGCATGATGATAAATTATTGATAGATTTGCTTACTTTAGTGGCCCTTAAAAATTTATATTTAAATATATAAAAAAAAATTTCGAATTCAAAATTAAAAGACTAAATTTATTTATAAAATGTATGCTTAGAAAGCAAGTTGTCAATAATTTAATATAGCTTGAGATTTCATTTTATAATAATTTTCTTTATATATTAGTATAGTTTATACAAAATAATTTTTATTAAAAAATTTTAAACTAGCAAAGAAGTTAATTTTTCTTAAAATAGAATCATTTGTCCGCTAATTAAGAGTGGTGAGTTAACAAAATGCTTGCTTTTAACCCATTAAAAAGATGAGACGCCGAAAAATGTCTGCAACATCCTTATTTTGAAGAAATATTAGAATATTTCCCTATTCCATCAAAGATTCCAGACCTATTTGATTGGGATATATTGAACAAGAAAATTCCTAGAGAAGAAATTCCAAAAATGGTAGATCTTTAAATCGACTACATATTTACCTCTATTAAATATTAATTCTCCATTAAAAATCTTAAGTTATTTTTTACTTTTTCCTTTCTTTTTTGCTTTTGCTGGCTCTTTCGCTGCACTTGCCGGCTCAGGCTGCACATTAGTTTCTGGGGGCCTCGAAGCTCTCAAGACATTCAATTCTTGTTCTACCTTATTCATTTCCTCCCTCACCAGTCTTGTTTCTTCTTCAATTGCATTAGTTTCTTTCCTCGTCGCTTGTATCTTCTCCTGCAACTCTCTAATAATTTCTGGCATATCCGTTTCTAAATCCCTATTTTCTTCTTCTAGCTGTTTAATTTCCTGTTGAATCTGTTCTTTTTTCGCCAATTTTTCTTCATATTCTTGCTTCATTTCTTCAATAGTTTTCCTATATTTATTTTTCATCGCCTCTAATTCCATTTTTGCCTTTGCAATTCTGTTTTCTTTGTCAGCGATCATAGTCTGTTCTTCTTGGATTTTTTGTCGTTCTAGTTCTCTTTTAGCTTTTTCATTTTCTCTTAAAACTTCTATTTGTGTCATCACGTCTTCTCTAAGCTCTTTTACTTTGTCTACCTCACTAATTTGCTTGTGTAGCAGATCTTCGGCTTCTGCGAGTTTTCTTCGTTCATATTCAAGCCTATATTGTTCATTTTTAAGACGATTTGGCTCAGCGTTTTCACGTTCCCTTTTGTTTCTTTCACAAATTTTTTTTATTCGAGAAATACAGGCGTGGCTGAGTCTGTTGCCAGCTAAAAGGACTTTGCAGAGGAAATAATTAGCGTCGAGGCATTCAAGGAGGAGTCCTTCTAGTTTTTCTGATATAAAATTGTCAGAAAAATTTAGTTGAGTTAAATATTTGTTGTTGACAATTGAAGTAAAAAAAGTCTCGACACCTCGGTCACCAATTCTGCAGGACCCTAAGTTTAGATTTTCAATTTTGCAAGGATAATCAGGGGAGCTTAAAATATTGGAAAATGCAATAGCAGCTTCATCGCCCAAATAATTTTTGCTCATATTTAAGGAACGGATTTTGGTTTGTGGTAACATTTGAGCGACAGCTGAAGCACCTAAGGGACCGATTTCATTGAGGGCGATGTTTAGTTCTCTTATTGTACGATTGGTTCTGAGAGTTTCTACGAGATGGAAAATTCCATCATCTCCGAGGATGTTGCCTTTTAAATTTAGAGATGCATGGTTAGATTAAGATTTAAATGAAAATATCGGGACTCCCACTAGCGGGGCTACCTTGACTCCAGAAAAGGTGCCCTACGCTGGGTGTGCGTATTCACTAGAGTACAAATGGTGGAAGGCCCAACCAAAATTTCGCCCTCGTGAATTTTCTGGCGAGTCTTACCTAACCTAAGAATCAGCTACCTAGATTAGAGTCACCCACTGTAGGGTGCCCCGATAGTCCCGATAGAAAAATACTATATGAAAGGCAAAACCGTATAATCTTCGGGGAGAAATAAAACTTCCCTCTTCAGCAAGGCTTCCCCAACCTGAAGTCCTACTTCAAAAAGAATAGAGACTTGTTTTCAGCTTTTATCAAGATGGGCCCGACCTGCTCTACAACAGTGAACCTCAGGGCCAATTTCTGTCAACGTCACCATTTTATTTCTTAGAGATACAAGAGTTGTATTTTTTCGTAAACCATTTGCAACGAACTCTGCGCCTGAGGGAAGTAATTCATTATATTCTAAAACTAATTTTTTGAGCTTTTTGGAGGAAAGGATTAGTTTTTCAATAGTCGGCCCCGCTTGAGCAGTTATGTATACTAATATAAGTGTAGTAGATAATCATATCAGTATTTGAAAAAATAAATAATAATTCTACTATTAATCAGTCGAATTCATTAAATATTTTATAATTTTTGCTTAAATCTAAGCTTTCAAGTTTATTCGCATTTTTAATAATAAACATCGCACCTTCAGTCCTTAATTCATTTTCTGAGATTTTCAAGTTTTTTAGTGACATATTCTGAGTCAACGCAATTCCAAAACATTCTCCTCCATTGGCGCCAATATCATTATCTTCCAATATAAGTGTATCAATAGAAGAATTTTTTAATAAAATTGCTGCTAAACAAGTTGCTCCTTGCAAACCCAAGGAGTTTTTCCTCATGCTTCCTTCTTGTAGACCTAAGTTAAGGACTTTTAGAGTCGGATGATTACTAATGACATCGACTAAATTTTCCAGCCCATCCCCAGATATCATATTTGAAGCTAAATTCAGCTGCTCAATATCGGTTCTATGCCAAATGACAGTTTATTTTTGATAGTGTACATTTTTTCGAAGTAAATTTGGTCGAAAATTTTTGTGCGATATTTGGTTGATATTTAATGGTTTTTTCAGTCAAATGTCTCACTATCAAAAAGTTTCAACCAATTTTGGAAGGTGAAATTCACACCTTTCAATATCAGTTGACTCCAAAATATTTTTTACAGCGTGCATTCCATAGTCTGATATAGCATTATCAGCTAAATTAAGCTTGGTTAATTTTCGGCAGATTAAAGAGTTAGCGAGAGAAATGATGGAGTTAATTCCCAGGCGCATACCATTCAAATTTATGATCTTTTTATTTAATTTTTATATGATTTTTTATATAAATATTCTTATTTATATAGAGAAATAATCAAGGAAATATTGCATATCACTTCAGTATTTTGGTCATTTCGCTTTAAAACGTCTTCACGGAAATTACGTGCCCCATCAGCATCTAATGGTTCTCCTGTGTCATGGCAGCGGGCGTTATACAGCTCAGCATAAAGATCGTCTTCAAAAATAGAAAGGACTGGATTTTTATATTTGTAGGTAACTGATATTAAATTCCCAGCATCATCGTATTGGGCAATTTCTTCTTTTTCAAGCATGCCTTTGTTCTTTTTGACGCGCTGGCCTTCAAGACTTCTCTTATTCATAGTAAATATGAATTAAAATCGATGAAAAAGGGAATTTATAAATGTAAAAACGGAGAGGCAACAACAGGGAAATGTGAGTTAATTTATATAAGGGTTATTATGAATAGAAAAAATTTGGTAAAAAATTCAGAGAAAAGAGATAGTCATAGGAATAAAGGATACCTGCTACACACTCTCCAACATTCTTAAAACGAAAAAGATAAAGAAATTAAGAAATAAATAAAGAATTATTTAGTAAATAAGATTAAGAGTTTAGGATAAATTGAATTAGATAAGCATCTTATAAGAAATTTATAGAGAATAATGCAACAATTGGGAATATTACATGCCATATGGGGAGTTATATAAGAATTTTATAAAGTAATTTCCTTTGAGTTATTATAAGTGATTTTTAATTAAAATCAATTTTTTGCTTTTACTTTCTAAGTTTTCTTCAATTTCTATCTAAATTTGTCCTTAAAAGGCACAAAAGATATCCAGTCATATAAAATTTCCAAAAATTATACCTATATGAATTACTTATACTTATCAGAATCTAATTTATTAACGTAAAGCACTATCCCAATCAGCTAAGCACAATGGTCCTTTTTGCATGACATCTTCTCTGCATTGAGTTCTCTTTGCATTCCCTTGTCTATCAGATAATTAATATGCTTGTGGCGACCAAATATGTCCTTATGGAGGTTGAGCCACTTTTGGGGCCAAAATTGTTTTATAGCCTAAACCAAGGTCCAAGCCCTTTAAATCAAGCCCTTAGTGTGCGTAATCGCTGCCGTATGGGTTGGATAACCTTGGGTGTCAGCTAGGGACCATTCCAGCCCAGGTATTAATTATCCGGATGCTACTTGGATCACAGGTCTTTTCCTCCCAATTTTCGGGAGGCTGTGGTTCTTTTTTCCTTGTTGCCCCCGAAGGTGGCTGACAAGAGGTATCGGGCTGACCTTTACCTCTATTGCGCCCTATGGCGTACTGACAGGGCATCTTTCTAACCCGTTAACTCTTGAGGATCAAAGTGCAAGCCCTGCTCCTAGAGAAGATCACTGTTCCAAATAGTGGCTAAATTCCGCCCGGCAAGCAGGTTGGCTTATCGAAAGCGTGTGGAGGTATCAAATCTGGAAGACGTTAAGCCTATTTAATTTAATTGTCTATCAATCAAAACCAACATAGGAATTCCTGAAACCCCGTACCTTTGAGCTACCCCATTCCTATGAGCTTGATCTGGAAATGGAATTGCAAGCCAAGGCATAGTTTCAAAGTATTCTTGGAATTGGTCAGGAGACCTATCAGCGCTTGAAAAAATAACTTCAACTTGTTTATGGGCTGAGTTCACAGATTCATAAAATAGTGCAAGTTTAGGGGTAAACGCTCTGCAAGGAGGACACCAGTGGGCTGAGAAATAAATCAATACGTATCTGGCGTTGCTGAGAGAGGCTGTTGGGACTGGCCCATGCTTGCTCATAAGTGTAGGTCCAAATAATTCTTCCATGCTTTATTATATAATGTCAGATATTACTATTAGATGGATATTTTCTGTTCGAAATTTTCTCCGTATTTAAACATTTTATTTTTTGAAAATTGCTTCTGATGGCATTTTTTGATATAAAAGCAGCTATTATTTTTAAATGTTTTGAAGCTTATAAGCTCCATAATAACGACTTAAAAATTTTCTAACTCTCGCCCTCTGCGAGGGAATAAAAATTTTTGTTTAGGGGGTTAATTTTTCTAACTCCCCCCCCCCCCTCCGTGAGCGAACAAAAAAATTTTGTTCGCTCACGGAGGGGGGTTAATTTTTTTTTTTTAAAAAAAAATTTATATATAAATTTTATAAAAAATATTTTTTTTCGAAATTTAAAAAAATCCTAATTTGCAAAAATTGGGAAGCAAATATTAATTTAATTTGCAAAATTTATGTTTTAAAACGCAATTTGTTTAAAATTAAACAGAATTAGCTCTAGATTTCATTATACTAATTATCACTTATATATCAAAATTTTTTTCCATTAAAAATTTTTTCTATTAAAAAAATTTTTGTTCACTCACGGAGGGTGGGTTTTTGGTCAAAAAATGGCGATTTTTCTAATGGTTTTGTTCGCTCACGGAGGGGGGGGGGGAGTAAGATAAATTTTATACTAAATTTTTTTTTTCAAAATTTAATAAAAATCATAATTTGCAAAAATTAGAAAGCAAATATTAATTTAATTTGTAAAATTTATTATGCCTTAAAATGCAATTTGTTCAAAATTAAGTAGAATTAGCTAGAGATTTCACTATAATAATTATCACTTATATATCAATTTTTTTTTCATAAAAAATTTTTTGTTCACTCATAGAGGGTGGATTTTTGGAATTTTTCCAATGGTTTTGTTCGCTCACGGGGGTGGGGTAAGTTCTTGAGTTGAAAATATTCATCATAAATCAGAAAATTGCTTTCATCATATATAAACTTGTAGAATCCTGATGGTGGGATATTTATTTAATTTGCCAAGCCGTTTCTTAAATAACCGAGACATTTAATTTAAGAGTGAAAAGAAATTTTTATCTTAAAGCTTCTAAAAGTTGTCTAATGAGTACTTTGAATTCATTGACATCAATAGTTCCACTTCCATCAGCATCTAAAACTTTCAGGGCTTGGTCAACTGATTGGTCACTTGGTGCTTCAATGTTAGCTTCACGGGCAACTTGAGCCATGGCGAGTTTGAGCTCTCTTCTATCGATTTGGCCAGATTGATCAGCATCAACTTGGTCAAAGACTGCTTTAGTCACCTCTGCGAGTTTTTGTTCGTCAGCTAGAATTTCGTCAATAGAAGCCATTTATTTTTATAAGGCTAGTTACTAAATAAAGCCCTTAAAACATTAGGAAGAAATTTCCAAAAATTCACTTATAATATATGGAAAAGAAAAGTGTATTTTTATTTAAAATATTTTTTAATTAAAAGAGTTAAATAGATATCAAAAATCAGGCTGAACGAGTTGCTTTTGCTATATATGAATGGATTGCTATTTATAAAGTTTTTTAAGAAAATGTCGCTAATTTCTTTATGCTTAATGCAATTCTGACTATTTAAGGAATTTCTCGACAATAAAGTAAAAATTAATTTAAATAATTTTGGATAATATTTTCCTTTTTTATTGTAATTGCCCGAGGATGGCGCTATCTTGCGCCATCCTTGGGCAATTTAAAAATGGCCCCACACCGGGAATCGAACCCACGTGTGGGGCCATTTTTGGTGCGTGGAAGTCGATGTTCTCCACTAACCAAAAATGGCCCCACACGTGGGTTCAATTCCCGGTGTGGGGCATTTTTGAATTGCCCGAGGATGGCGCAAGATAGCGCCATCCTCGGGTAATTGCTATATTTTTTAATTGCTTTGCATTAAGAAATTCTTAATTCTGTTGAAGCAGGGACGTAGATAATAAATAAATAATATTTTGACTTAAGTTTAAAAGTTTAGTCAGCCATTTATCTCCAACTTTTTACTTGAAAGTAAAATAATAGCTCCATAATTTTTAAATGAGGCACAGAAGTTTAGATATGCCAGCACCTAGTGCCGCTAATTCTTCATCTCTAAATCCAGGCAAAATTTTACCTCCTTCAAATGTAGTAACTTGTTTACACGAAAAAATAGCAGGATTAGAAAAAAAATACAATCAATTTGTCGGCCAGTGCTCGCAACTTATGGACGAGAAGCCACAAAACACCTCCCCGAATAGCTTCTTTTCAGATGAATTTCTTTCAACATTTAATCATTTATCCCCTGACCGTACGAAGTATGATTCAACTTATTACAATCAAATAGGGCAAGCAGGAATCCAAAAGATTTTTAAAAATATAGTTACAAAAATAGAGTTTGTTCGAGAAAGAATAATCCCATTGCTTTCTCGGAGGACAAATTATAAAGAAGAAGCCTTAGAATTATTTTCGGAATTAAAAGATTATATTTGAAGCCAAATGTTTGAAAAAGCTGATATGGACGTTGACAGTGGAGGAGAAACCCATAATGCCAGAGAAGTCCAGAGATATCAAGAAATATTGAAGTCAATAATAGAAAGTAAAAAAGAAGCTGATGAAAAAATTGAAGAGCTAAAAGACCTTTTGAATAAGAAAAAGCTTGAAAATATTAAACTTGAATATAAAATCCAACAATTTCACAACAAAATTGAGTCTTTGGTGGATGAGAACAAAAAACTTAAAAATGATTTTGAAATTGGCGACGCACTTTCAAAAACATTGCCTAAATCGAAAAACTTGAGTAATGAGCCAGTCAATAGATTTAGAACTATGATGTCTCCAAATAGGAAAAGTAGTGCAGAAGATTTGAAATTTGAGTTAAAAAAAATAAAAGAAGAGTTACAAAGAATTAAAGAAGAAAGAGACCTGCTTAAAACATGAAAAGAAACTACATCAAAGTCTTTGATTCAAGATTATGAAAATGAAAAAGCCTTATTTCAAAGTAAATTAGATTCTTTACAAAAAAAACTGTTAGGATTTTCTAAAGTCGCACAAAATTTAGTTGAAGATAGTTTTAGACACGAGATGACACTAACAAGTGGCGATTGGGGAAATCTTCAATATAAAACTCAAGATAATCGAAGTATAAGTAGATCTAGACAAGAAAGTCCTATGCTAAGTCCACTAGAATCTCCAAAAGCATCTGAAACAAATAAAGGATCTTCATGCTCACAATATGAAACAATTGAATTTGTACAATCAAAGCCTTTTGGAAAAACTACTAATTCCTTTATTAAAAAGCCGGAAAGAAAAACTCATTTAAGGTCTAATAAGCCTGCAGACAGAAGATCTCCTAAAATAACAGAGCGTTACGGAGATACCATTGATGATTTGAAAAGGACTTTGCAAGCCAGCAATAAAATTTCTAATTCCCTCCGTGAGGAAATAAAAACCATTGGAAAATCCTTATTTTTTTACTCTGAGAACGAACAAATATTTTTTAATAGAAAAATTTTTGATGAAAAAATATTTGATATATAAGTGATAATTAGTATAATGAAATCTCTAGCTAATTCTGGTTAATTTTAAACAGCTTGCATTTTAAAACATAAATTTTGCATATTAAATTAAATTTTGAAGAAAAAAAAATACTATCAAATATATATATATATTTATACATAAATTTTTAAAAAAAAAATTAGCCTCGTCTATAAGCGAACAAAAATTTTTTTGTTCGCTCACGTAGGGGAGTAAAGAAAAAATCCAAGATTTGATAATAAAATTTGAAAATGACATACAAAAACAAATGAGGGCGATAAATAGCAATGTCGAAGATAAAATAGATTTATTTGAGAACTCATTTAAAAATATGCATGGGAAGCTTCAGAGCATTTTTGATACAATGATTTCTTATACTAGTCTTAATAATAAAAGAAAAGAAACAATTGACAGCTTAGAAAGAAAATTAAAAATACTTCAGTCTGAACTCGAAAAACATATTTCTATGGAAGAACTTCTTGATAGCAAAATCAAAGCTAAAAGTTCTGAAATTCTTCAATTGACGACCGAGAAAAATGATTTGAATAAAAAGTATCAAGATTTACAAAAGAAATATAAGGAATTAGATGAAAATTATCAAGGGATTGGATCACAAATAAAAGACCTTGAAAATGAATTGCATGATAAAAATGACGAAGTAATTGGACTAAATAAAAAACATAAAGAAGAGATATCTATTGCAGGAGCAAGAGTAGAAAAATTACTTATGGAAATTTATGATTTAAAGGATAAAAAGAATGAGTTGGAGAACGAAAAAAATGAGATGATAAAAGATATTGAGAAATCAAATGATATGCTAAAAAATATTCAAAAGTCTATTCAAATTAATGAGCAAACAATATTAAATCTGAGGAAAGACGCAGAAAAACATAAAGGAGATGATGCTGAAAATGCCAAGCTTAAAAAAGAATTAGATATCTCTTGCAAAAAAGAAAAAGATTTATTCGAAAAAATTGCTCAATTAAAATATGACACAGAAAATGAAGCCAAAACATATCGGAATGAGCTTATAAGATTAAATCAAAGTCTTGACGATTACAAAGCTAAATTTGAAGACCAAAATTTCAAAATATCATCACTATCTACAGAGATTGAAAATTTGCACTTTATCAATGAAGAACTAAAAGACGAGCTTTTAGAGGCAGCCAACTCAAAAAACTTTTTAGAAAATAAAGAAAAAGCTAGCAAAGTGCACCTAGAAAACGTTTTGGAAGAAAAAAATTGATTAATTCAAGACCTCAAATCAAAAGACGAAAAACTTCAAAAATTGAAATTAAAATTTGATGATTTAACAAAAGAGCACAAAGATTTAGAACTAAAATATGCGAACCAAGCAAAAGAAGTGATTCTTTTGAACACAGACGCTCTTAGAACTCAAAATGATAATTTATCATTAAAAGATGAGTTAAATTCTTTAAAGGAAGCCCATAGTAAGCAAGAAAACGAGCTTGAATCATTAAAGAAATCATATAATGATAATGAAATAAATCTCAAAAATTCCAATAAAACTATTGAGCTGCTAAATGCTAAAATATTAGAAAAAGAATCGGCTATAAACTCAAATAATGAAAAAATTAATATCCTACAAAATGAAATTTCACAATTTTATGAAAAATCAAATCAGCACGAAGCTTGCATCAATAATGTCAAAGAAGTGGAATCTAAGCTTCTTATTGTATCTAAAGAAAAAGATTTCTTACTCCTCTCCCTCAGCCAGCGAACAAAAACATTATATTCGCCTTGAAGGTATTAATTTTTTTAGAAGTTTAAAAAAATCCAAATTCATAATAATTTTAAAGCAAATATTAATTTAAATTGTAAAATACATGCTTTAAAATGAGAGCTGTTCAAAATTAAACAGGTTAGTTAGAGATTTTATTATAATAAATTATCACTTATATATCAAAATATTTTTAATGAAAAAATTGTTATTACGGATTTTTCAATAGTTTTGCTCGTTCACAGGCAGGGAGGGAGTTAGAAAAAGAATTGAAATGCTTGAAAAATTTATATCCATTTTATATAAATAGTTATTTTAAGTTTATTACAGCTATTAATAAATTAAAATGTTATATCTCGAACACTTTACTTTCAGAAAGTATAAACACAGATTTAACTTATGAAATTGAGGCGAAATTACTATTGATAAAAGACTTAGAAGTTAAATTGGAAGGCACAAATAAAAAGTATGAGCAAAAATCTAAAGAGCTTAACGATGAACTAAAATTAAATCAAGACTATTTAGAAAACTTGCAAGATGAGTTAAATACATACCATCTAAGCTATTCTCAGCAGCAAGACCAATTAAAAGACGCTTTAGAAGCTGCAGCACAACTAGATAAGCAAAAATCGATTCTACAAAAAGAAATTAATGAGCTAAAGCAAACTCTTTTAGACTATGAAAAAATTGTCGCAGAAAACAATAAACTATCTATACAAGTTGAGGAACTTAAATCAGAAAAAAATATATTGGAAAAGCATGATGATGAATTCAGAAGGAAATGTGAAGAAATTGAAAGCCAGAAAAATGAATTAGAGAAAAAATTAGAAACAGAAGAAAATGATAAAAATATATTAGAAGAAACCATTGAGTCTTTAAAAAATAGCTCAAAAGTTTTAGAAAGTGAAAATAGTGAGCTATTAAAATCCATTGAAATATTGAAAATTAAAAAAGAAGTTTTGGAAAATGAAAATAAAAGTCAGCAAATTGTGACAAACGAGCTCAAAATGAAGATAACTAATTTACAAGAAATTGAATCAGAAAAGTTTGAGATGGTAAAATATTTACTCCCCCCCCCCCCCCCCGTGAGCGAACAAAACCATTAGAAAAATCGCCATTTTTTGACCAAAAACCCACCCTCCGTGAGTGAACAAAAATTTTTTTAATAGAAAAAATTTTAATGGAAAAAAAATTTTGATATATAAGTGATAATTAGTATAATGAAATCTAGAGCTAATTCTGTTTAATTTTAAACAAATTGCGTTTTAAAACATAAATTTTGCAAATTAAATTAATATTTGCTTCCCAATTTTTTGCAAATTAGGATTTTTTTAAATTTCGAAAAAATATTTTTTATAAAATTTATATATAAATTTTTTTTTAAAAAAAAAAAATTAACCCCCCTCCGTGAGCGAACAAAATTTTTTTGTTCGCTCACGGAGGGGGGGGGGGGAGTTAGAAATTATTGAAGCAGAAAAAGAAAAATTAGCAAAGAATAAAGAAATAATTGAAATTCAAAATAAAGAGCTAACTGAAAATATGGAGTTTAACAAAAACACAATTAATGATTTATACCAAAAACTCTCTATTTTTGAGGAAATTAAAAGTATAACTTGTTAGATTAAAATATAAAATTGGTTTGAAAAAAATCCAAATTTATAAATAATTTTTTTAAATTAATAATGAGTTAAATAAAAGAAGTACAACAATGATATGCTATCAAAAGAATTGCAAGCCTTAAAAGCAGAAAAATCAGACTTATTAAACCAGATTTCACTAGCAGAATCTAAAAGCAGTGAAAAGAATAAGGACTTAGAATTTTTAAGAAATCAAATTATTGAGCTTGAAACAAAAGAAACCAAATATCAAGAGCAAAATGATCGTTTATTTGAAAATCTTCGTATGTGTGAGGTAGAAAATACCGAGTTATCTCAAAATATACTTAAGCTAGAAGGCGAAATTAAAGATGTGCATGATGAACTCAATGAAAAAAAGCAAGTTTTCGACAAGCTCACTGAGGATTACAATGAAAAAAATAAAATAATCAGCGAATTGACTGAAGATTTCAATGAAAAGATTAATGAAAAAGATCAAATGATTAACAGACTCACTGAAGATTTCAATGAAAAAATCAATGAAAAAGATCAAATAATTAGCAAACTCGCTGACGATTTCAATAAGAAGTTCAATGAAAAAAATCAAATAATTAGCGATCTCATTGATGATTTAAATAAGGAATTGAATGAAAAAAATCAAATAATCAGCCAGCTGACAGATGATTTGAATAAAGAATCTAGTGAAAAAAATCAAATAATCAGCAAACTCACTGAAGATCTAAGCAAAGAATTGAATGAAAAAAATCAAATTATCAGCAAACTCAATGAAGATTTAATAAAGGAATCAAATGAAAAAAATCAATTAATTTCAAAGCTAACTGAAGATTTTAATAAAGAATCCAATGAAAAAAATCAAATAATCAGCAAACTTACTGAAGCTTTAAATAAATCAAACGAAAAAAATAAAAAAATCAGCAAACTCTCTGAAGATTTAAATAAAGAAATCAATGAAAAAACTCAAATAATCAGTAAACTCACTGAAGATTTACATAAAGAATCAAGCGAAAAAAATCAAGTTATCAGCAAACTCATTGACTTCCACTCTCCGCTAGTGACCAAAAAATCATTGGAAATAATCTCTAGTTTTGGGTAAAAACTAAAATATTTTATTATAAAAATCTCTTGTGAAAAAAATATTTTGATATATAAGTGTTAATATTATCCAATCTGGAGCTATTCTCTTAATTTTATTTTAAACATAAATTTTGCAAATTAAATAAACTCTTGTTTCTAATTTTTGTGAATAGTGATTATTTTAAATTGAAAAAAAATTTTACTATATATAATTTTTTAAAAATATAAAACCCTCGGTTAGTGGACTAAATCTTTTTGTTCGTTCACAGAGTATGTAGTGAGGATTTAAATAAAGAATCCAATGAAAAAAATCAAATAATCAGCAAACTAACTGAGGATTTAAATAAAGAATCCAATGAAAAAAATCAAATTATCAGCAAACTAACTGAGGATTTAAATAAAGAGTCCAATGAAAAAAATGAAATTATCAAAAAACTCTCAGAAGACTTAAATGATCATTCCATTGCAATGAGCAAGCTCAAAGAAAATATTTTGGAATCAGAGTCTCTCATTGAGAAATATAAATCAGATATATATAATTTCAGAAAAGATATTCAATCATTAGAAAACCAGCTAAAAATAAAAGAAGATGCCATTATAAAGCTTCAAAAAGATTTAACAAATGAGCAGCAAATTTCAAAATGTCTCGAAAATGAAAAAGTATCTCTCGCACACCAAAAAGCAACCGAAATAGCTAAAATAAGTGAAGATCTTGAAGAGGAAAAAAAGAGTAATGATTCTCTATGTATGAAACTGATAGAAATTAAAGAAAAGCATGAAATAACTCTTGAAGAAAAAGATCAGCTTTCTAATTACAATAAAAAATTAAGCAAAAATACTGAGAAATTAGAAGAAAAAATAGAAAATCATGAAAGAACGATTTCTCATCAAGAGACAACAATAAATGAATTAAAAGAAGTTATTGGCTCTAATAAAGATCTTTTAAAAGACAAATTAGTAGAAGTTGAAGCTAGGCTACAAGAGGCAGAGAGCCAATTAGAAGATAAAGAAAAAATAATTGCTCAGCTTAAAGAAGAAGCCAATCATTTTGACAACAAATTAAAAAGCTTGAATGGCACAATTGAGGATCTCAAAATAGAAAATGATAATTTGGATAAAAAAATTGATGAAATAAAAAGAACAAAAGACGAAGAAATTTTATTGAATAATAAAAAATTTTCAGACGAAAAAGCTTTATTGGTTTCACATGTGAGTGGGTATAAATTGAAATTAAACAATCTCAAAGGTAATTTAAGCGATATTGCAAAGGAGATTAAAGAATTTAAAGAAGAAAACAATTTAATGATATCTCAAATCATTGATAAAAGCGATAAACGAAATAAAGAATTCAGCAATATAATATTGAAAAAGGATGAAGAAATCAAACTAAGCAAAAAAGAAATTTTGGAAGAATTTGAAAAAAATTCAGCTCTAAATGAACAAATAAATCAGCTGCATATAAAATTATATGAAGGCCAAACAAAAAGCGCAGGCTGGAGCGATTTAAAAGAAAATTTTGAAAAATCAATTAAAAGTTTGAGAGAAGACAATGAAAATTTAAGGGATATAAATAAAAAAATCAGCAATGAATTAGAGGCGTGAAAGCGAAACTACGAAGAAATTTATAAGAAAAATGTTAGTAACAGGGACACGATAGACAAATTGACAGAAGAAAACCACAGCTTACAATTGGAAATTTCTAATAAAAATCAAAAAATTGAAGAATCATCCAAAATTCTTTCTAGTTTTAAAGAAGAGTCAAACAACGCCAAAAATGATTTAGAAAAAGAGATAGAGCGTCTTCAATCTCTTATAGAAATCTCTCTTTCCTCAAAGCCTAATGAAAATAAAGACGACTTAGAAGATGAAATCAAATATCTATCTTTAGATATCATTAAATCCAATTTAATAGCAGTGGAATCTGAAAGTGACATACAAATTATTCGCACTTGCATTGATTCTTATATACAGATTTCCGAGCTTTTGAAATCAGAGCTGTCTAATGAGCTTTCTACAGCAGAAAACTTAAAAATGCTTATTAAATTTTATAATGAAAATATCTCAAAATCTCCATCAAGATCTCCTACCTTAGATACAAAAGAGCCTTATATTTCTCAGCTGAAAGACCTCAAAACACAAATAACAAACCTTGTCCAAGAAAATAAATCCTTAAAAGCCCATTCTCGCAAGCAAAGTAGAGATTTTGAAGACCCAGACCTTAATCCTTGCTCAGTCCCTATTGTAATTGCAAAATGCGTCAAAGTAGATGGCATTAAATGGGTTCTCGTTAAAGAATCTGATGGAAATTATATTTGGTATCAGGAAAACCAGCTTTCTTTATCTCATGAAGTCAATGAATCAGAAGAAGATATAGATGAAATCAAAACAGCTTTAGGAGAATACTATCAAGGGAGTATATTAAAATCGATTTATGTGCTGAAACAGCAGTCTTCACCACCGAAAAAAACTGAAGCTAAAGAAAGCCAGACTGAGTGTATTTTTGGAGATGTCTTTGGGGAAATTTCACATATAAAAGATACACCTTTTGTATCAGTAGATTTTGAAAATGAGTTTGAAATATATTTGACATCAGAAGTGGAGTCTGAGTCAAATTCTAGTAATTTGAAAAGTGATTTAGAAAAAATTAAGCATGAGCTAGAAAAAAAGACCATTAAGTATTTAGAAAAAAAGAGGAGACTTAAGCTGAATCAAGAACAGATTGATATCTTAAAGCAGCAAATTAGAGAAAATGACGCTAAAATAAAGCAGTTAGAGCAAATCAGAGAAAATGACGCTAAAATAAAACAGTTAGAATCGATAGATTTGAATTATTTGAAAAATCTATTTTCAGAGCTCATCAAAGGCACTCCACCCTTGGCAAATGACGTTGAAAGAATTGTGAAAATATTTTACAAAATTTTGAATTTTTCACAAAGCGAAGAAGATAACATCCAAAATGAAAGGAAGAACAAGCGTCCTAAAAATATTATTAGTCTGTTTCGATAAATAAATTTATTTTAAAAAGTGAAAATTAAAACTTTATTTATTTGTTTATTAGATTTTATCATGCATATGCAGCAATTCTCTTTTTTAAGGTTAAAGTCATATAATTATTCGAAAAATCTATTTTTTAAAGCTTATCCAAGGCACTCCGCCATTGATAAATGACATTGAAAGAATTGCAAAAATATTTACAAAATTTTCAAAGTGAACGAGATAGTATACAAAATGAAGGGAAAATAAGTAATCCAAGAATGTTATTAGTCTATTTAGATAAATAAGTTTAGCTCAAGAATTCGTAAATTAAAACTTGAAAATACCTATTTCAGCTTCACCGCTTTGCGTATTTGAGTATAAAATATAAGGATAAGCAAAATTAAGGACTTTGAGGCTTGGTGGTAACAGTTTGGTGGCTATGTCGTTTTTTTCTCCAATTCTAAATAGTTGAAAAAATTAATATAACTTCCCCCACCCTCCGTGAGTGATCAAAACCATTGAAAAAATCCCTATTTTTTGCTCAAAAACCCACCCTCCGTGAGTGAACAAAAATTTTTTTAATAGAAAAAATTTTTTATGAGAAAAAAATTTGATATATAGGCAATTAGTTAGTATAATGAAATCTCAAGCTAATTCTGTTTAAATAAATTGGGTTTTAAAAATAAATTTTATAAATTAATATAAGTAGCTAAGACGTAGATGCCATCAGCAAAAATATTTTCAACTCCTGGTGTAAGTTGATAATGATGGTCGCAGCACAAATCTGTGAGTATATTATATTTATTTAAAATATAAGAGTGGTTTTGGGTTTTAAACATTTTTATGCCTTTTTCTATGAAATCAATTACGCAAGGCTTGACTTTTCTCATTCAGCCACAATTTTTCTCTCCTATATGAATTATAAGTTTTTCTGTTTCTTTGTCAATTCAGAAATCAGGAATATTAGTAATCGCAGATTCATTGGGAGTGCACAATAACTTTGCAGAGTGAGGCCCAATATATAAAAATTCATTATTAATGATTGCCACGAAGGAATCTTTTTTTCAAGGTAAATTTTTATATTTTTGTATAACTCCTAATTTTCTATTTGAAATAATTTCTCCATTATTTGACATATAAATAATATCCCCTGAAAGGCATTGAAAAATAAGAAAATTTGCATTTGGCAAATAAAACATTTTTGATATTGCCAAATAGCCAAATTCACTAATTTCAAACTCGTTGATTTCCTCATTTTTATGCATATGCTTGACTCTATTATTTGTTAGCATTAATGCCAGATGTTCAGCTTCATAGGCATATGCATGAATAGCAAATTCCATGTCTGCAAAATTAGAAAGTGTTGCAACTATTTGATTTTCACTTTCAGGTCTCCAAATAGTTATTTGGTCATCTATAAATAACTTTAAATCAGGCTTTGGGTTGAATAAATATTCTAAAACATATATGGAATGGCTTGAAGTTATTTTTACGCTGATTGGATAATTTTTATTTTTACACATCATTTTCATTTGATGATATAATCACCTTTCTCGAGGCTCTATTTCTATCGTAAAATTCGGGCGAGTTTCAAATACTTTTGTGGAAATTCTTGAGTTTCAGAGTTTATGTGTATACTGGTTTACGCCAAAAAGACTTACAATTTCTTGAGTTGATAAAAAGTTTGTTATTTCATCAATAATATTTATTCCAAAATCTTTAAATGTCGGCTTTACCATTCTATTTATATTTATAATTTGAGATTATGGCACCATAATTTAATAGTTTATTAAATCTCAACAAATTAAATTTTATATAATCTAAATAGATCTACCAGACTTATCCTTTCAGGGAAGCTTTTATAACTTATGAAAAGAAAGGCAAATTAAGTACTTTGATGCATTTGACGTACTATTAAAAATATATAATTTTAATAGATAACACTTATAAAATGAAATATTTACAAAATTCATAATACATATAAAGAGCATTATTATTTCGATAAATAAATTTCTTTTAAAATTTCTGATTAAAACTTAAAAAGACCAACTTCAGCAAGACCATCCGTAGAGCCAATAGTTAAGTAAGCAATATAAGGATAAGCAAAATTTACTACTTTAATGGAAATAGGAATTCGCTTATTAATAATTGCATCTTTTTCTCCAACAATAAATAGTTGAATTCAATGATAAGATCGATTAATATAATGAACTAAAATATAGTTGCCATTAATAAAGATATTTTTGATTTTATGAAAAATTCTATATTTATATCCACAACATGAATCTGTTAGATTGCGGCTTTGATCTTTTATAAAAAGCAGATGGTTTTGTATTTTAAACACTTTTTTACCTATAGGTAAAAATTCAATTCAGTGATGCATTACTCGTTCAGCCACTATTTTTCTTACCAGTGTGGATTATAAGTTTTTCTGTTTCTTTTGCTAGTCAGAATTCAGGAAGCTTTTCAAGAACAGATTTTGAGTACTGGCATAATAATTTTATCGAGTGCGGCTCAATAAGAAAAAATTTATTATTAATAATAGCTACAAACGAGTCATTTTTTCAAGGCAAATTTTTATATTTTTGTATAACTCCTAATTTTCTATTTGAAATAATTTCTCCATTATTTGACATATAAATAATATCCCCTGAAAGGCATTGAAAAATAAGAAAATTTGCATTTGGCAAATAAAACATTTTTGATATTGCCAAATAACCAAATTCACTAATATCAAACTCGTTGATTTCCTCATTTTTATAAATATGTTTGATTCTATTATTTGTTAGCATTAATGCCAGATGTTCAGTTTCATAGGCATGTGCATGAATAGCAAATTCTATGTGTGCGAGGTCAGAATATGTTGTGATTTTTTGATTTTCACTTTCAGGTCTCCAAATAGTTATTTGGCCATCTATAAATAACTTAAATTCAGGCTTTGGGTTGAATAAATATTCTAAAACATATATGGAATGGCTTGAAGTTATTTTTATGTTTTTTGGATAATTATGATTTAGGCACATCATTTTCATTTGATGATACAATCACCTCTCTTGAAGTTCTATTTGTTTAATCCCCCTTCTGTGAGCGAAAAAAACCACTGGAAAGATCTCTATTTTTGCCCAAAAAACACCCTTCGTGAGTGAATAAAAAAATTGTTTGATATAAAATATTTTACGAAACATTTTAATATATAATTAATTATTAGTATAATAAAATCTCTAGCTAATTCTATATAATTTCAAACAAGCTGCATTTTAAATCATAAATTTTATAAATTAAATAAATATTTACTTTCATATTAGGATTTTTTTTAAAGTTTAAAAAAAAAATATATTATTAAAATTTACATAAAATGGCCGGAGACGAGTGACCCGTGGCGGGTATCCTTATGTATACCGGACGTGGTTTTTGGATGCGGAGAGCTACTCAAGGGAAGAGTTAGCCTCGAGGCGAGAGGCCCAGCCCAATTTCCGCTGATTTTGGGACTTGGCCGGGCAGCAGTTTTTCGCATTCTTTTTGTCAGTAGCGCCGAGGCCCAGACTCGATGTCCGAAAGAGGCAGGGTGAGTTACCTGCCTAGGCTACTTGGTGGCTTAGCCCCGAATCCCGCAAGGGGTTAAGTTCTTTCTTGGAGATAATCCGGGAAAGAGGGGAGGCGAAGCTCGATGCAGATCTTAAGGGCACAAGTCTCTCCAGTTAAAAGGGTCCCGATCAAACGGGGCGATCTGGCGAATGGAAAGGGCAGTGTTGGCGTCAACTTGGGCGACACAGAAAGTTGGAAATGGAGGCGGTCAGCTAAGACAGTATCCTGTCCCTTGACCTCACCTCTACCGAGAAACTGGGGGTTTCGGCCTGGGCTTGCTGTGGGTACGCTCTGCCACCCTGAGGGTAAAACCGCGGTATGCAGTCCACGAAGTAGGGACTATAAATACCCAGCTTTAATCTAATCTAATCTAATTTAAAATTTACATTTAAGCCCCTTCCAGGAGCGAACAAAATTTTTTCGTTCGCTAATGGAGGGGAGTTAGTAAAATTCGGAAGAGCTTTAAATATTTTTTTAGAAATTCTTGAGCTTCAGAGTTTATGAAAATACTGATTTACACCAAAAAGACATACAATTTCTTGAGGTAATAAAAAGTTTGTTATTTCATCAATGATATTTATCCCGAATTTTTCAATTGATAGCTTTCTTTCCATTATTTATATATAAACAGAACAAATTGGTATCAATAAAACTCATTAATTAAAATTATTTGCAAGTAATTATATGCTGATTATAAGTTTAAAGAAATAATAAATTAAAACTTTAGAATGCCTATCTCAAAATCTCCTTCTTCTAAAGCAGCTGAGTAAACTATATAAGGGAAAGCAAAGCTTAGAATATTGATATTGTATGGCAGCCACTTGAGAGCTATATGATTTGTTTCTCCTTCTATAAATAGCTGAATTAATTGATTATTTTGTGGACTTATGCAGTGGGTTAAAATGTAAACACCATTCTGTAAGACGTTTTCAAGATCTTGTGTAATCTTATATTGATGGCTGCAACACTCATCTATAAGTGTGTATCTATCAATTAAAATATAATGGTGATCTTTAGTCCTAAACATTTTAGTACCTTTTTCAACAAAATCTATTCAATTTGCATTCACTTTTTTAGCCCAACCACTATTTTTCTTTCCAGTCTGAAATACATATTTTTTTGATTCTTCATCAATTCAGAAATCAGGCGTTCTCTTAGTCCCCACTTCTTGAGCGAACAAAAAACTTGTTCACTCACGAAATGGTTAAAAAATCCTAATTCGTGAAAATTAATTTAATTTATAAAATTTATGTTTCAAAACGCAATTTGTTTAAAGTTAAACAGACTTAGTTCGAGATTTCATTATAGTAATTATCGCTTATATATAAATTTTTTTGTTCATAAAAAAAATTTTCTATTAAAAGAATTTTTGTTCGCTCAGAGAGGGTGGGTTGTTTGGCAAAAAATAGGGATTAATCTAATGGTTTTTCGCTCACAAAGGGGGGAAGTTAAGAGCTGGGCCAGAATAATTGCACAACAATTTTCTTCCCCAAGTATCATCAATATATAATAAATTTTCATTAATAACTGTAATAAATGCATCATTTGCCCAAGGTACTACCTTATATTTTTCCATTAATCCAAGTTTCATATTTAAGGAAATATTACCATTATAATCCATAAAAACAATTTTTTTCGAGCACTGCATGACAAGTCTCGAACATTTCAGCAAGAAAAACATTTGGGTTATTTTTTCGTAATTTATACCTCTTACTTGAAAATCATTTACTTCTACATTATTGTAAATGTGTTTGACCTTGCCATTTTCTAGCAGTAATGCAAGATGGTTATCTTCATAACCACAGGCTTGAATTGGATATTCTAACTCTGAGATATTTGAACATTTTATATTTTTTTTATTAGGACTCTCAGGCTTCCATAAATTTATTTGACCATCTGTGAACAATTTAATCTCAGGCTCTGGCGTAAAAGATATATCGAGGACGTATATTTTATTATCTGATGTCATTTTTGTAATTTTTGGGTAATTTTTATTTTGACACGTCACTCTTATTTGAAGATGGAGCCATTTTTCTCTAGGATCCATTTGCAAGGTAAAGTCTGGGAATGCTTGGAATATTTTTTGTTGTATTTTTGAATTTCAAAGTTTGTGGAAAGATCGGTTTATACCAAAAATGCTAACAATCTCTAAAGGTGCCAAAAAGTCTGTAATTTGATCAAGAATATTGATTCCGAGCTTATCAATAGCAAGCCTGTTTTCCATTTTTATAAGCTATAAGATTAATATTAATATAATTATTGCACTTTGCCATGGCTTCAAAAAGCACTCTCCATGTACCTCGGGAGTTCAAATGATGAGTAGGAAGGCTGCAGGCTTTCTGCTTCATATGGAGTGCACCTCGGAGTACAATTTCCTTCAAAGTCACATTTTATCTCTATCTTCCGTCAACGTCACCATTTTACTTATATGTAAGCTATAAGGAATAATATGTGTGATTACTATATCATTATAAAAAAATTTCTACAAGCTAGCTCTTAGCATCTGCTAAAATTTATCACTTACTCCCCCCCCATCCAATAATACCATAGCTTACTCCCCCCATCCTTTATCGAACGGCTCGCCATCGTTCGATCAAGGCTGGGGGTTAAAAAAAATTTTTGGGAAAAAACATTTATATATAAAAAATATATATATATATATATATATTTTTTTTATTTACTTTTAAATAAGAGGTTTAAGAGTATTTAATAATTATTTTTACAGCAAAAAATCGAATTAATTTCATAAGAATATCAATTTTTAATATTTTGATTTTTTGGTTACCCCTTTAAACTGTATAAATTTTAATTTGCTCCTTATTGAATTAAAAATTTAAATTTTAAAGAATCTCTATTTTTGAGATTATTGAGTTTTCAAGCCCAGGTTGATCACTAAAGCACTTCGGATGGTTGATTTCGTAGCTTCCTGTTGATTCAAAGCCTCCGACAACAATTTCATTAGGCACATTTCCCAAGCTTTTGATAACTAATATATTTTTATATATATAAAAAATTTGCATGATATGAAAATCGTTCGACCAAGGATGGCGGTTAATTTTCCCAATTTTAGGAATTTTTACAGTGAGTTGTTCGATCAAGGATGGGTGGGAGTTAGTAAAAAGATCGAATGGGCAGAGTTTATACCTCAAAAAATAGCTATTTTTACTTGTCTATCATTATTTTAAGTTAAGTTATGTTCGGCCATAAGTGCATGAAGCACTAGACATGCCTATCTCGGCTTCAAAAAGTTTGCCCTTTTGGATTTCTGACGAGAGCCACCTGGCTCGAGGATTAATTCCTTGGGGCAGAGCCGCCACTTGTAGGATGCCCTGGTGGTGGTAGGCAAAACCTATCTAGTGGACAGGAAAACTTTAGGGGAGAACAAAACTCCCGGTTTCGGCAGGCTCTAGCCGGTCCACCTGCTCCATTCGGAGGTGACGTCTTGGAGCCAAATTTCTGTCGACGTCAGCATTTTATTTCTTATATCATTAAGGAATCTCATAAACTTATTTTTGCAGGAATTAGGCAAAATCAAATATTGTTTATATTTCTCTGGAGGAGAAATATAAAAAATTAAAATGAACTAAAAAATCCCTATTTTCGTTTTAAGCATATCAGTAAATTTATTCAGAAATTATTGTAATTTAATTCATTTTGTGTTTTAAAATCACTTTAATTATAATTAAATGCTTTGTGCTTAAAAAAAGGCCATTTGCTAACTCCCCCCCTCCGTGATTGAACAAAAAATTTTGTTCACTCAAGAGGAGGGTTAATTTTTTTTTTTAAAAAAATTTTATATAAATTTTATAGAAAAAAATTATTTTTCGAAATTTTAAAAAAAATCCTAATTTGCAAAAATTGGGAAGCAAATATTAATTTAATTTGTAAAATTTTATGTTTTAAAACGCAATTTGTTTAAAATTAAATAGAATTAACTCGAGATTTCATTATAATAATTATCACTTATATATCATTTTTTTTCATAAAAAAATTTTTCTATTAAAAAATTTTTGTTCACACTCGCGGAGGGTGGTTTTTTTGGCAAAAATAGCTATTTTTCTAATAGTTTTGTTCACCCACGGAGGCGTGGGGGAGTAAATGAATTCTTTAATTACAATTTCTAATACATATGTTAGATGCTATCTACAATTTTTTCTGATATTTCAGCTGTATTTTGTATGCTTTTAAGTTTTTTTCTTTCGTTAAATGAAGGAATAGAGGGAATCTCTACCCCAGTCCTTTTTTTGAAGTTACTGGGTTCACTTGCTCCAGATCTTGGGAGAATTTTATTTTCAGGTCTGTGGTCTCGGACTATTCTATTCATCATTATTCCTTGGCTGTTCAAAAGCTGTCCAGGGTTAACTTCATCTTGGAGTTTTCTTAAAAATCCTTCACGGCTATTTAACATTTATTTATGGTGAATAAAAGCAGTCAGCATTATAGTTATTGAGCGTTACTCCATATAATTTAAATGCCGCAACAAGATATTACAAAATTAGCATTAAAGAATTTATCAATCCTAAAACGACCCACATAAATTGTTTGGGAAAAAAATGCACTAAAATGAAAAAATCCATTACATATAACACTTAACCTTAAGAATTGAAAAATATTTAAACAATACTGACAAATAAAATTTATACTTAAAATCAAATCCATATCCGATAATTCCCAAATTTCAATCTCCCAAAAGTTATAAATATAAATGGACTCTCAAAAAGATTATGACACTGATGAAGAATACAACCCTGAGCTCAAGGAAGACTTCATGAATATCGAAGAGATGTCAAAAACCTCAGCCCACCTTATCGACGCTCGTTTCTGGAACGACTTTGGCGATCTCTTCGACGAAGAAGACTTTACATAGCTTTAATTAATGAAATCTCTAATCTAATACTTATTATTCCCTTCTGTTTGCGTCTGCTTTCCTTTGTATAGCTTTAATCAAAGCATCGATAACTAAATAATTCTTACAATCTCCGTATTCATTCATGGGAGGAATGTATTGATGAAGTCCTAATGAACTTATCACAGCAAGTCCTGCTTCGCTATTTATTGCAGCAGAAATCACTTTTAAAGCTTGCTGAAGCTGAGGGCTAACTCCCCCCCTTCGTGAGTGAACAAAAAAATTTTGTTCAATCACGGAGGGGGGTTAATTTTTTTTTTAAAAAAATTTATATATAAATTTTTATAAAAATATTTTTTTTTCGAAATTTAAAAAAAATCCTAATTCGCAAAATTTGAAAGCAAATATATAAAATTTATGTTTTAAAAAAGCAATTCGTTTAAATTAAACAGAATCAGCTCTAGATTTCATTATACTAAATATCACTTATATCTCAAATTTTTTTTTTTCATAAAAAAAATTTTCTATTAAAAAAATTTTTGTTCACTTTTGGGCAAAAAATAGCGATTTTTCTAATGGTTTTGTTCACTCACGAAGGGGGGGAGTAAGGAGATTTTCTCGTAAAAAATCAGCTGAATTTTGTCCTTCAGGTAAATATCTGAGTAAAGGATACGGGATTAAAACTTCTTGAAATTCAGGGTCTTGAGAAAGAGAATCGAGGACTTCTGGGGTCAGAATTTTATCAAGGGATGGGGTATGCTCGATACGTCCTTGAGAAAATTGGGCTAAAATTTTAGCTAGAGGATTCGCGTTGTCGGGCTGAGGTCTTTGAGGCTCTGGAATTGAAGCGGGCTCAGGATCATCGTTGATTTCTTGATTTTTTATGAGGTCGTCAATAGATTTGCAGATGTCTAGATCTTTTGAAGGATCTGGTTCTTGAAACCAATAGAAGGCTCTTTCTCCAGAGTATTCAAGCAAATAAACTCTACTTTTTGTCTGTAAAACTTTATAGAATCCATCAAAAGTAAATACTACTATATCTTCTTCAATGTTCCCAGTAGCCAGATCAATCCATTGAAAATGCATCATCCCTTGATCATCTAAACTAAGTCTTATTTTTCCCTTCCTCTGATCTGGCTTTACTTTTCCTTCAACTTGCATCATACGGCCTGCCAAACACTCAAATTTGATACTTTCATTTCTGAGCTGTGGAGACTCTGACATCTAAATTATTTAAATTAGAATAAACATAATTTTGATTCTGATATATTATATTTAATATATTATAGCAAATTTATAAAATAATTAAGCTAAAAGATATATTGAAGCCTTAATTATTTTATCGATTAATTATTTCATATATTTATTTTTACAGAAAAAAGATTTTTATAAAATAATAATAAGGATTAATAAAATTTCTATATAATACATGAGCTCTATGAGGCATTTTCGTTTTTTTCACAGTTCTTTTAGGCTTAATTTTTTTTAATAATTTATTAATCACTATACAAATTTTCTATGGGTTGCAGTGACAGTAAAGAGCCAGACATCAAACAAAATTCAATATATGAATTCGAACTCCCTGATAGCGAGGATAATCCTATCTTAATCTTAATTAATTTATAACGTTTTACGCTCACTACGGGGTAGCCCTTGTCCAGAGCTGCCACCATATTTGTCCACGTGTCGGGCCATGGACCTCTGGATCGGTCCACTTTGATTCACCAAGGTACGGGCAAATAAAGCGTTCCGGCTTCGATGGACTTCTCTACCGTCACGGCTTTATTCCGACTCAGCTCCAGCGCGTGTTCGGCCTAAGGGTCACCTTCCTCGGGTGTGCTGAGGGCTAAAGACCTGAGTCTCTTGAGTGTACTGAGGAACAGTTCTTCTGGTTATCCCCAGAGTTAAACCGCTGTTGCTGTGCAGAAGTTCTCGAGGTAAAACCCAACCCCATAAATAAAATTGCTTGATGGAGAGAAAATTAGCGGAGCTAATTTCACTTGAACCGAATGCCATTTTATTTATGAGGATAATCCTATCAAATTTTCTAAATATTCTGGAAGTGTTATGATTATTGTAAATATTGCGAGCGGTTGCCAATTGGCAAGTAAAAACAAAGCCAGCTAAATGAGCTTTATACAAAATATAGCGAAAAAGGCCTTTGCATTCTAGGCTTTCCTTGTGAGCAATTCCGAGAAATGGGCCTATATAAACAGAAACATGAATCCGGACATTTAAAAAAACAAATAAATGTAAACTTTGGCGAAGTTGAAGTAAATGGGAAAAATGCATGCGGTTTGTGTAGATTTTTAAGAAAAAAATCCCGCTTACGTGGAATGCTAATTGGGTGGAATTTTGGAAAGTTTCTGTTGGACAGAGAAGGATATATTGTTGATTATTATGGACCAACACAAGAACCTTTGGAGTTAGAAGAAAAAATCATAGACCTGCTCTCTAAAAGGTAGTTGATAGTTTTTAAATAATTTTATAATCCAATAAACTGTGCTACATTGAGTTCTTTTCTTATTATTTTTTTTAAATTAAAAATTTTAGCTTACTAAAATTGTTTAAATCAATATAAAATAGTTTAAATCAATATAAAATAGTTTATTATAATATGGAGAACCCAGCAGATATCTTAAACGCCCAACAAAACTCAATTATCGACGAAAGAGTTATTCAGCTGTCCCATATCCAAGATGATTACATTACTCAGCATCCAGAACTTCAGCAGATCCTTAACGATTTTATTACTGAATTGCTGAATCATAAGCCTCAAGACATAACCACTTTTGCTCGTGAATATTTTTCTAAATCTAGCCCAACCCCATCGCTCAACCCTCTAGCTTTAATTGGGCCTTCAGGTGTAGGAAAATCTACTTTAATTAAAGCATTGATGAACCAATTCCCAGGGGTTTTCGAATTCTCTATCTCATCCACAACAAGAAAGCCTAGAGGTGCTGAACAAAATGGAGTTGAATATTATACTATATCAATTAAAAATTAATATAAAATTTACATAAAAAATTACGCCTCAATTTAGACATATGAGAGTATTTTATTACAAAAGAAGAATTTAAGTCAAAAATTGAAGCTGGAGACTTCATTGAGTGGGCAGAAGTCCACGAGAATTATTATGGGACTTCAAAAGCTGCAGTTGAAGATATCAAGTCAAGAGGAAAAATCTGCATCTTGGATATTGATGTACAAGGCGCTATAAAAATTTATGATGCAAATATTGAGTTTAATAGGGTTTTTGTTATGCCAAAAACCATTAAAGATTTAGAAGATAGGCTGAGAGGAAGAGGAACTGATAATGATGACACTTTAAGAATCAGGCTTAGAAATGCAGAATTAGAAATTAATACAGCAAGGTCAAATCCAAGTGTTTTCCCACATTTCATTACCAATGATGATCTCGATGAAGCTTATAAAGATCTACTTCGTTTGATTTATAGATATTATGCCCATTTAAAGAGATAATAAATTTAACAGTTTATTAAGGTAAAGTATCTTTTTAATAAAAAGACCGTTAAACAGTTAAATAAAATATTAAAACGAGATGAACTCAAAACTCACAAAAATCTTAGAAGACAAAGAAAACGCAATTTTAAAAGAAAAACCTCAATTTTCTCTCAATAATTCCCGCTCCTTCGGCACCGAGATCACAAAAAATTTCCTTCGCCCGCTCGATCCAGATACATCAGACTCCCATAACCCTCAAAGACTTGGTGACTACGCAAAAGAAATTTTTTCTTATCTTAATAGCATTGAAAGTCAATATCTTCCTCAATATGGTTATATGAAATTCCAAACTGATATCAATGAAAAGATGAGAGGGATTTTGCTTGACTGGCTTGTTGGAGTCCACTTAAAATTTAAGCTTCTCCCTGAAACTTTATTTTTGTGTGCTAATCTTATTGATAGGTACCTTGAAAAAACGTCGATTCTTAGAGGCAAATTGCAGCTTTTAGGAGTGGCTGCGATGCTAATAGCTTCTAAATATGAAGAAATTTATCCACCATCAGTAAAAGATTTTGTATATATCACTGATAATACTTATACAAAAGAAGAGGTTCTTTGGATGGAAAGGGAAATTTTGAAAAAATTGAATTTTAATATCACAATTGTGAGCCCGCTGAAATTTATAGAGAGGTATGCAAGAGTTTCAGAGATGAATGAAAGAGCGTATTGCTTGGCAAGGTATATGATTGAGCTTTCTATCATTGATTATAAAAGTATGAGGTATAAGCCGTCGATGATTGCTGCGTCTGCAGTGTATCTGGCTAATAAAATTTTATCTCTTGTGCTGTAATTGTGTATGAGCTTTAAATAGAAATAAGAAATTTCAGGCAAATATTTGGAAAAAAAATTTTTTTTAATGTGCTATTGATTGGGTTAAGCATAAATAGTGACTATATTTGACCGCAGTCACTTATAAATAACACGCCATATATAGAAAATGAATTAAAGCCATGCGCAAGAGATTTATGTATTCTACTGCAAGGAGCTGAAAGAAGTCCTTTGCAAGCAATCAAGAAAAAATACTCCTTACAAAGCTACTTTGAGGTATCGCAAATTGTTATTGTTATGGGGCCGCATGTAAATAGCAATAAGTAGTAGTTAATATTTTTTAAAAAGTAAAATTTAGCATTGTATTCATCATATTATTTAGTCAAAAGGTGTTACTCTCTCCCTCCACGAACAAACAAAAAATTTTAATTTGCTCACAGAGGTGTTATTTTTTCATATAATTTTCATAGTACAATTCTTTTTATCGAAATTTAAAAAAATCCAAACTCGCAATTGGAAACAAATATTAATTTAATTTGTAAAATTTATGTTTTAAATGTAATTTGTTTAAAATTAAACAGAATTAGCTCGACATTTCATTATGCTAATAGTCACTTATACATCGAGCTTTTTTTTTCGCTCACAGAGGAAAGATTTTTTGGCAAAAAATAGGGATTTTTCTAATTGTTTTGTTCGCAAGGAAGGGGAAAGTTAAGGATAGCCCATTTAGCTTATTTTTTATTAATGAACTTAAACTTACAGAGTGGCATCTGCCTTATTGGTTGCGCAGTCACCAAGGACCTTCCTATACAGGCGGTTCATCTGCTTTGAGATATCTTCTGCTTTGCCTTGTTCGAATTGGGGCAACGATTCGCCGGGCAAGTGTTCGACTCGGACGCTACCTTTCTTCTTCTTCATCGCCTGATGTCATGTCATCTATGAAGTGAGACTCTGCTTGAACGCCTCCTCCTTCCCTTTATGAGGTCTAGTGTTGAGTGGGCGGACTATGGACTTCTGCGGCATGCTGAATGGATGAACGAGGTTGGCCAATCAAAAATCGCAAAAAATGGAATTTCTGTTCGACCTCTCAGCAAAAGGAAAGTCCAGATGTAACGCCCAGTTTCACGCAGACAGTTGCCCGATTGGTCTAAGTATTATCTGTAGACCTTGCTAGGCTTGCTCTTTCCAAATCTGAACCCTCCTTGCCCTCGAGGCAAAAACCAACCTTGAAATTGGACTAAGGGTTAGGCTATGTACATTACCAGAATTGCTTAACTAGCATTGCCATCCATTTCTAGATTCGAAAAACCTTGCCGGATATAATTAAAATATGTGCTTGGAAGTTGCATGGCCGGAGGTCATGCTAGGTGGAGACGCCATATTTTAATTATTTTATTAATGAACCAATTCTTGATTTAATTTTGCTTTTCAATTCGAGAAGTTTTGAATTTATTTCATTGAAATTTATCATTAATGAGAATATTATTTTCAATGCTAATTTTATCGATTTGTTTTTGCAATTTCCTACGGTTGAAATATGGTAAGTATAAATATGCACAAAAAGAATCCATATGAAATCTATATTAGAAATTAATCTGTTAATAAATAGGGGGCTTATCCAGATTTCTTTAATTTTCTGAATAAATTTTATTGATTTTCTACTCTAGATTCGTTTATTCCTCTTAGCACATATCTGAGTATTAAAAAATGCCTTGGCATTTGCTTCCGGAGTAATAATCGCATTATAATAAACATTTTTATTATTATGCAGTCCTCTATATAAGCTTATGCAAAGCATGCAAAATATAGCTTGGCTAAGAATTGACTTTTTAATAAGAAAATGGGGCTTCATATAATACTTCTATGTTTTAAAAAATGAATTGAAACTATATATTACAATAAAATTATTCATCCTATCAACAGAGAGCTAAATAAAAATATATTGATATTAAAATTAAGTTTTACGGATTGTCGAGATATGCAAATTTCAGTTGCATCATATATAAGTAGTAATAAAATTATAATGATTTTTTATTAATTTAAAATAAATTTGGAATCATGGAAGCTGGCGAACTATTAGATATATTTGTTTTAGTTTTTATTTATCTTACTCCCCCCCCCCCTCCGTGAGCGAACAAAAAAATTTTGTTCACTCACGGAGGGGGGTTAATTTTTTTTTTTAAAAACAATTTATATATAAATTTTATAAAAAATATTTTTTTCGAAATTTAAAAAAAATCCTAATTTGCAAAAATTGGGAAAGCAAATACTAATTTAATTTGCAAAATTTATGTTTTAAAACGCAATTTGTTTAAAATTAAACAGAATTAGCTCTAGATTTCATTATACTAATTATCACTTATATAGCAAAATTTTTTTCTATTAAAATTTTTTCTATTAAAAATATTTTTGTTCACTCACGGAGGGTGGGTTTTTGGTCAAAAAATGGCGATTTTTCTAATGGTTTTGTTCGCTCACGGAGGGGGGGGGGGTTAATAAATTTATTCATGCTGTTTTTATGAATTTTTAATTTTTTGTTTAAGAAAACTTTATTTGGATTCTTCTTACTGGAAAACTAAATATAAAATTTGAGCTATATAAAAGAAAAATATAATGTATTTGGTCAACTATAAAAGGTAGGCATTAAGCGATACATCATGTATGAATCTTATAAAACTAAGGATAAAAATAGCAGATCAATAGAGATCACAACTGAGTAAGTTTAAAAAATTGTAAATTCCCATCCTTGATCAAACTAAAACCGTTGCCCTATCAAGGAAGGAGCTAATAAATATTTTGGAAAACAATTAAATACAAACACGATATATGATTGGTTTTTTTAAAAGTACATAAGAGTCTCTTGATCAAAAATAGAGGCGAATTTTCAAAATATTGGAAAATTTTTAATAGAATTACTTGATTCAAAAGGGGAAGTAAGACAGTTATTTTATCTTAATTTTAGATTTTGTTTTAATGGTAAGAATTTAATGCTTTAATTTTAAATCTTCAATTCTTGGATCAATTTTTGACTCTAATGATTTAAATTTTCAATCAATTTTTTCACTAAAGATTTAAAGTTTCAATCACTCGTATCAAATTTTCTCTCAATATTTTTATTCAAGTTTTCAAATTTTCTCTCAATAGTTTTATCCAAATTTTCAAATTTTCCATAAATATTTTTATCCGAGTGTTCAGATTTTCCATCCAAAATTTCAAGTTTTCTCTCAATATTTTTATCAAAGTTTCCAAATTTTCTCTCAATATTTTTATACAAATTATCATCTTTTTTCTCAATTTTGGAATAAATGCTATCACCTTGAGCTGAGATTTGCCAATATACCTCAAGTATTGCTATAGATAGTTTAAGGTTATTTTATGGTTTTTAGCCTATATTAGAATTTCCGCCTAAGTACGATCTCTAACTGGCAAATTTGCCAAAATAAATTTATATTAAGTCCCAGTTGATAGTTAACATTTTTGTAACAGATATATTAAAATAAGGTAGCAAAGAATTGTTCTTAGACTGATCATTAATGATTTAAAACTATATAAAAAACCAAAACCAAATGCCCCATAGATAAGCCCCAAGAGAACTTTATATGCTATATCATTTTGAAATTCATCTAGATGACTCGTTGTAATTGTTTGAGCTGACAGGTAAATTAAGTTTTTATTTATAACACTTAGATCTGCATTGATTTTATTGATTTTTTTTCTAGTTCTTTTCATTCCTCTTCTGACACGTTTTTGAAGCTGGAGAAGCACCTTGGGAATTGTTTGTGAAGCAATGATCTTATCATTATAAGCAAATTTTATTATTATTAAGTTATCATATAAATGCTTTTGCGAAAGAAAAAATATTCTTTAACTGATTTAACCAAACTTTAGATACAGAAAAATTCGTCTGAATTTGTTTACTTTATGATTGGTTGAAAATAAGTATTTTAATATTAAAATGGGGCTATCTTAAATTGCAAATAATATTTATTCTAAAATTTAAGACATTAAAATAATAAATTTAATCATGATTTTTAAATTTCGACCTGAAGATTAAATGCAATTTACTTTTATATGACAATATAATCCTCGATAATATTTTCTTTTAATTAAATATTTGGCATATTGATCAGGCCTTATATATGTCAAAAAAAGGGAAAGGGCTTTCTCAGGACGAATATTCGCGGTTTATCGTAAATGAGGAGACCTGGAACAACGGATTCTTAAATCACATAAAATCACTTACAGACGAAAGAGAAAGAGAATTCGCTCAGATTAAAAGAAAATACCAAAGCTCTTTCGTTGAAATAGAGCCATTCCACGCAAGATTTACTCACAAGTTTTCCAATCCATCAGAAGTCCACGAATATATTTCTCCTTTGGTTAAAAAATCAGGATTACTACATCTAGAAGTCTTAATCCCTGACAATTTTGATACAGATGGGTGCATATTTAAAATCCTAAATGACGAAATCACTGATGTTTTTAAAGAAGTCTTGCAAGTCTTTTTTAATGAACTGTCAAAACAATATAAAAGTTTATTTTATACAATGAAATACATAGACAATCACATGCAAATAATATCAGGGAAAGCGATAGATAAAATAAGAGAAAGAAAAGAAGAAATTGAAAAACAAAAACAAATTGAAGAAGAAAAGAAGCAGCCAATAGAAGAAGAAAAAGAGGAAAATAATGAAAATGAGGCAGAAAACAATGAAATTCAAGAAATAAACAATCAAAATATCAATTTAAGAAAGGAAAGTAGAGGAACTGAAAAATCAGAGGATTATGAGGAAGATTATGAAGAAGATAAAGAAGAGTTTAAAGATGAGACTAATAAAGAAACAAAGCAAAGGAGGAGAAAATTTGAAATGAGAGATAGGGCCGTGCTAAATATAATAGCCCAAGCCTTGACTTTTAAAAACTATAGCAGCGGAGCCTTGCAAAGCTGCATTTTAGATGTCCAATGTATGAGATGTCAAAGTATTTCTTCTTTATCAACAACCCAAGGAGAATTTGACATAAAAACCGGTACAAATTCACTGCTTGGCTCAGGGGAATGCCAATGCACTCTTATACTTCAATTTACTATCTTTCCAATAATCATGCATCAGTTGACTGATTTGATGATAGCGACGTCTAATTTTGTGAACTGCAAGCCTGTTGATTTTCGCGAATCATCATTTAAATTCACATGTGCAGACTGTGGAGCAGAATCAGCCTTATTAAACATTGCAGGCTTCAATCTTTATACTGAAAATTGCACTCAATACCTTCCGTTTAATTATTATTATTCATTTTTCTTATTTTTTATTATTTGTTAAATTTATTAAAAAATCCAATAAAAAAGCTAGTGCTTTAAAAAACAGTCTTTTAGAATCCAAGGAATAGACTTTTTAAGCGAAAGACCAGATAAGAAAAATGAAGGCGAAAACAAAGAAAAATTCATTGGAAAGCCATTACCTAAAAACGGGACTTGTAAGCATTTCTCACAGTCTTATAGATGGTTTAAATACAATTGCTGCCAAAAAATATTCCCTTGCAGCACTTGTCATGATGCAATTTCTGACCATAAATCCTCCTCTGCTGATTACTATGTCTGCGGGTTCTGTGGAATGCTTCAGCCAATTGGAAAAGAGTCCTGTGGAAGATGCAAAGCAGCAGTCACGAAAGCTGGAGATCCCCATCAAGGTAATAATTTCTGGGAAGGCGGAAAAGGCTGCAGAAATAAAGCCCAATTAAGCCACAAAGACAAGAGAAAATATCACAAAAAAAAATAAGTAGCTTTTTTATTAATTGTAATTAAATAAGATACAATCAATATATATTCCCCTATTTTTCACCTTTATTAATTATGAGACTTTTCTTATTAATTGGTTTACTCGCAATACAGGTAAATTCTCATACCCCATATGACTGCTTTATTTGCCAAAATATTGCCAAAGGACTTCAAGAGATCGCGAACTCAAAACTGGTTCTTAAAGGTATAAGCATTATTATTACTGAACTTTGCTCAAAATATCTCTACCGAGAAGTATGTGAAGGCTACGTTCATTTATATGGGCCTGCTTATGTTAGCTCTTTATCTGCCAAGTATTTAAGCCCTGATAGAATTTGTTCAAAAATTAAAGCATGTGCAGAGCCTCAATTTATTGTTGAAAATTTTGAAAAATACCAAGCAGAAGTCTTACAAGACATGCCAGCTATAAATCCATGGCCTGAAACAGGAAACAACACCTTTTTTGTGCTGCAAATCACTGATATTCATTTAGATTTTCTTTATCAGCCTGGATCTCAATCATCTAACTGTAACTCTCCCCTTTGTTGTAGAAATGGTGAAGGCGATGCAGGATACTGGGGCACTCGTGCAGTTTGTGACCTTCCCCCTCACACCCTTTTAGCATTTTTACAAGATTTTAAGCAGTATAATATTTCTTTTGTAGTATGGACAGGTGATAATTCTCCTCATGACCAGTGGAATTATGATATAGACCAAGTTTTGAACTATACAAAAACCATCACGAAATGGTTTAAAGAATACATAGACGTTCCTGTATTCCCAGTTATAGGAAACCATGACTGTTTTCCTATGGATTTCTTCAACCCAGGCCACGAACAAGTTTTAATAGGAAATTTAAGTGAATGGTGGGAAGGGTGGCTTAGTCCTGAAGAAATTCAACAGTTTTCTATTAATGGATTTTATTCAGCATTAGAACCAAATACTGGGTTTAGGGTAATTGGGATTAATAATATATTGGGAGACAACTTAAATATATTTTTAGTCCCCAATAATACAGATCCCAGCCAAATGCTGGAATGGCTGAGAAATGAGCTATATCAAGCTGAAAAAAATAACGAGCCTGTTATTATTATAGGACATATACCAAATGGAGACAAATTCTTGGACTCAGATTGGGCAAGACATTATAGGGTAATTGTTAACAGATTCCAAAATATCATTAGAGGACAGTTTTTTGGGCATACTCATTATGATGAATTTACTGTAGTAAATTCTATAATCCCAAATACTAAAAACCCAGGAGTTATCCATACTGCCCCTGCTTTTACAACGCACTCATATATAAATCCGTCATTCAGACTGTACGAGTATGATTGGGAAACCAAACATCTTGTAAACATTCATCAATACCGACTGCCGCTTTATCAAGTAAATCAAGGACCTTCTGAAGCGGTTTTTGAAAAGGCTTATGACTATAAAGGATTGTATAAAATGAATGATATGTCGCCTAGCTCTTTTGAGCTTATAGCAGAGCAAGTTTTAAATGACGCTGGGTTTGCTCAGAAGTTTTATGAAAACTGGCTGTCACAATATCCAGATGAGGCTGGGCAATGTGACGAAAAATGCCAAAAATCGTTGTATTGCAGACTTACAAGTGATGTTTTTAATGAAGCGGTTACTTGTGATGTGGATAATAAGTCGAGCTATCTTCTCTATAGAGTGTTAGAAGCTTGGCAAGGTCCTTGGGAGTACATAAGTGAATAAGAATATTCTAATAATTATTCCATTTATCAAATTTGCATACTTAGTTTATGAAATAGCAAAACCTAATAATTTTCGTAAAGATTATTTCTGGCTAATTAAGATAAGCAGAAATACTTTTTTATCATATATTTATTAATTTTTTTAGCCCTAGCTTCATTAAAGGATTTATACTTGATGATTATGAATAGCTGTTTTTAGGTGAATCATTAGACTATTCATTCCATAAAGGATATATTAAATTTAGCTTTTGCTATGGAATTATAAATTATTTGGCAGGCTGTGTTGTACAGAATGACTAAGGATCAATGGATACCTAGCTTCGTGAATACAGGTTAATTTAGCATTTCTTTCTAAATACGTTTAGAAATGCAATGTAATGAAATATTCATTATAAATCCATCAATTCAATAAATTTATTTGCATATTTCTGTATGACACAAAAAATTGATCCAAATTCAATTCATCAAAATTAAAAATAAATTGATCACTCTCTTCATTTCTGTATAAATAAACCTATCGAAATTTAATTTACTTTGTTTAAATAGCTAAAATATTGTCTATTTTAAATATCTAAAATAGAAAAATAAAATAAGGACTATAATCAATCAATTGTTTAATTAATGCTGAATCTCTAATTATTTATTTAAGTAGGCGGAATTAAATTTTGGCTCGTCAGCATAATTCCATTCATATTATTCAGCCCTACTACATGAGAATCTACATAAGGCACACAAGGAGCTTTAAATCTCGGATCAATCGCTTTTGCTTTCGCAGCAAGTGCATCCCACTTCGCTTCAGTCGTAGCCCTTGCCGGCAAGTTATGCATAGTGCCCAACGAATTTGCCCTTGCCAGATCTCTTGATCCGGTTTGTAGAGCTCTATCAAAAGCCACAGGGTCAATTTCTTTCAAAATCACCTTAAGTGCATTTAACGATTCTTGAAGTATTTTATGCCAATGTGTTTCGGCTAGTTCTACAATAACAGGGACGACCATTGGAAAAGTGACTTGTTTAAAGGTACGCAAAATCCCTAAAAAGTAGTCATTTTCAAAGAAACACATAGCACGGTCAGCTACCTGAAGTTGAGGTCCAGAAATACATCTAGCAAGCCTTTTAAAGAGTTTTGGGATTAAAGGTTCAAGTTTCGCCAGTTCGCAGACTTCGAGGACTTCTTGGAGCTCTGTTAAATATAAAGTTTCTTTAACTGACTCCCCCCCCTTTAAATTTGGAACAAAAAATTTTGTTCCAATTTAAAGGGGGTTAATTTTTGTTTTTAAAAACAATATCAACATAAAATTTTTTATAAAAAAAAAATTCATATAAAAATTTCAAAAACTTATCAAATTAGATCAATAAATTTGTTTAATAAATTGATATTTATCTTTATTCTTTATAAAAAAGCAAAATATAACTAAATTTTCATTATTAGTTAATACGCCACTATTAATTGGTATCAAAATTATTTACACAAAAATTATTATTTTTATTGATAAAAAAAAATAAAAAAAATATTTTGGAAAAATTTATCGATCAAATATCTAATTTTGTTTAAATAAGATGTTATTTATACTCTATTCTTTAAAATAAAGCAGCAAATAAGTAAATTTTAAAATTTTATAAAGAATTCGAGTTGAATTTATATCAAAACTATTTAAATAAAAAATATCATTTTTATAAATTTGGAAAATTGTTAAAAAGAAAAATTAATTTTTTTTTAAAATTTAACAATTAAGGATAATAAATTTATTAAATAAGATACTCTTTATACTCTTTTCTTTAAACAATAGCAAGATATAACTAAATTTTTAATTTTAGTTAAGAAGAAGCATTTAACTTATATCAAAACTTTTTAGATAAAAATTATATAGTTAACTACACTGACTGGCATGGGGTGCTTTTGGCTCGAAACTGAGCCAAAAGCACCCCGTGCCAGTCAGTGTAGTTCACTATATATAATTTTTTATTATAAAATTAAATTTTGTTCCAATTTAAAAGGGGTTAATTTACTAAAAAAGTGGAAATTTTACCTTTATTTTGTTCTAATTTAAAGGGGGGGAGTGAGTTTCCAAATGGCCAGTATCGGAGAAGACCTTCCATAAGAGGTATTGCTAAGGCGTGGTTTTTGCTGAGGAAAAGCATGGAGCAACGGAGAAGCTGCTCGTGGAATATGTGAGTAGTTTGGACTTTGTGGAGAGGAATCATGATAACTTTGAAAAAGACAACGTGCTCTTCTCGTAAGGGGACAGCAAAATTACTGATAATTGATGCGAGAATATCTAACTCCTCTCTCTGTGAACGAATAAAAAATATTTTGTTCGCTCACGAGTGGGGTAATTTATATCTAAATTTTATAGTAAAATTTTTGTCATAATTTAAAAAATCGTAATTCATAAAAGTTAGAAAACAAATATTAATTTAATTGTAAAATTTATGTTTTAAATGCAAGCTGTTTAAAATTAAATAGAATTAGCAAGATTTTTCATCATTATAATATTTATCACTTATATACCAGAATATTTTTCACAAAAAAACTTTTATATCACAAAATTTTTGTTCACTCATGGAGATGGGTTTTTGGGGCAAAAAATAGGGATTTTCTAATAGTTTATTTAGGTGGGAGTTAGAGCTCGCTGGCACCGTTGAATCTTTGTGTTTCGTGAATCATTGTAAGGAAGGAGTCGTTTATTGCTTTTCTTATCATTTTTCTTCTTGAAACAAATTTTGCATATAGCAATTGTATACAGTTTATACAGAAATACTTTTATTAATAAAAATAATCTGACAATAAATATTTGAAAACATATTGAATTGGCTAACTATAAAATATTTTTTAAATAGTCTCTTTCTCGAGGCTCCTCACTATCAAAAAGCTGCAAAAAGTCCTGAATAAAGCTTGGAGTTATAAAAACCTTCAAACTTTTCACATCAGTTGCTTCACATATAATAAGCTCAAAAACGAACTCATAAACCCCTTGCAAATGTGGCCACGCTGGGTCAATGACCATATCTTCATCTCCTCCTTCAGCTTGCGCTTCTCCCGGTCCCAATTTATACCTGTTTACCAAGAATAGCCCACTAAGGAGCATTTTTTGGTTCGCCATTCTTAAATTTGGTTAGCCAGAAAATATGGCATGCCAACGAATTCGGCAAGCCAGGTATTGTCCGGCCAACCAAAAAATGCTCCTTAGTGGGCTATTCTTGGTAAATATGTATATCTCCTCCTTTCTTATCCATCGGTAGAGGCCTGAAGATATTTTTCTTGATCATATCAATGACAAGATCCAGATGCGGAATTACATACTGTGCCACATTTTTCGAGTCATTTAAAAACTCCCTTAAATTTTGTAAAGCTGCATTTCTCTCAGATTTAGCTTTAACGTCTTTATCGTCGTCTGAATAATCATAAGTGACACTGCACAGCTGAACCCTTTTCAAAAACATTTCTTTGGCGTCCTTAGGGGTGTGCTTGGCATCAGTCTCAACTTTGCCACGGGGAGCTGGGGCAGGGGCGGCTTTTCCAATTTTTCCGACTATACCACGGGCTTGGGTGTTGGCCCCAGCCTTATAAACGCTTGGAGTTGACATCTATAAGCAATGAATAGGCTTAATTTTTTACAGGAAAAGAAGGCTGCGGCTGGGATATTAAAAGATACGATGAAATGCATATTTATAGTGGAAAATGAGACAAGGGTGAATAGGCATATGAAAGCATGGGAAATCTATTGTCAAGAGGTGAGGGATGAAAAAGGGATCCGTGACAATTGAGAAGCTTGGGGTATGAGATAGTGAAATTTAATAAAGAAATGCAGGCTGATGAGTTTAGAGGGGTTGCATATAGAAGTCCAAGTGTAAGTTATGAGATGCAAGATAGATGGAATGAAATGATTTATAAATATAGGTTTTTGCAAGAATAAAAGAATGAAACAAATTGAAAAATAAATCGAATACTTATATAACGATGACCCCCCCTCAATCTTCATGTCTACTTCAACAAAAATTTTTCGAAAAAAATTTTCATGCCTACTGCAACACAATATTTTTATAAAAAAAAAATAATGCATTTTTCCTCTAGGTGAGTTTCTCAAAAAAACCATAAAACAGCGCTGCTGTAGGTGTGTCAATGACCTTCTCATCGAGATTTGGACGGCTATTTGCCATCGCTCGCCATTTTATTAAACTTATCCAGCTAAAAAGTACGGAAAAATTTAAGATCCGCATCGGAAATTGTTGCAAGAGGATTAGGATTAAGATTATTGAAGACAGGCGCTAGCCATATTGATGACCCAGTTATTAAGGACTTCCCGTAAAGAAGGTTCTACTGCTTTTCGACTCCAGCCCAGAGAAGCTATCCTTCTTACGAGTGCCCTTCCGGTACCTTCTGTCTCCTCGTTGCCTTTGGAGTTTAGTTTTGAGTGGGCGGCTTATGAATTTCTGCGGCCGTGCTACGGGCGATTGGAGTAGCTTGATTCCAAGGATCCTTGGAGTCTATTGGGTGTCAAAGTGCCTTCCTTCGACAGCTACAGGAAAAAGACTGTTCCCCTGTGGCCTGAGCTGAAACACCCAGTTTCTCGTTAGAGGAATACCCATGGGTCCTCGATCCAAGGACGTTGTTGAGCACCTCCATTTCCAGCCATAGGAAAGCAGCTAAAACCTACCCGGATACACACTTCTTGAGCCTGCGGCTGATTCTCGGCTCTGAGTCCGTCCCAGTTCGCTGTAGCCATAAGGTCTGGACTGCTGCACCAAGAGGGCAGGTTGGCACGAGTCGCCATTTTAATGTATAGTAATAGCCCGAGGATGGCGCTATCTTGCGCCATCCTCGGGCAATTACAATATATTATTTGTTGCAAGAGATATGAAAATTATTCTTTTTTTATATAAAATTTTATATTAAAAAATTGCATTTTTGTTGCAATAGACATGAAGATTGAGGGGGGGGTTATCGTTAAAATAACTTTTTGATTAAATCTTATATAGCAATTTTTTTCTATTTTTTATTCGAATTGATATATATGTCTCCCATATCAATTGCAAGGTAAAATATCTTTTGGGAATCTTATTAAATCGTATTTATTAAAAAAAAAAATAAGAACTATGGTCAATCAATAAATATCTCTACGCCCGATTGTTTAATTAATGCTGAATCTCTAATTATTTATTTAAGTAGGCGGAATTAAATTTTGGCTCGTCAGCATAATTCCATTCATATTATTCAGCCCTACTACATGAGAATCTACATAAGGCACACAAGGAGCTTTAAATCTCGGATCAATCGCTTTTGCTTTCGCAGCAAGTGCATCCCACTTCGCTTCAGTCGTAGCCCTTGCCGGCAAGTTATGCATAGTGCCCAATGAATTTGCCCTTGCCAGATCTCTTGATCCGGTTTGTAGAGCTCTATCAAAAGCCACAGGGTCAATTTCTTTCAAAATCACCTTAAGTGCATTTAACGATTCTTGAAGTATTTTATGCCAATGTGTTTCGGCTAGTTCTACAATAACAGGGACGACCATTGGAAAAGTGACTTGTTTAAAGGTACGCAAAATCCCTAAAAAGTAGTCATTTTCAAAGAAACACATAGCACGGTCAGCTACCTGAAGTTGAGGTCCAGAAATACATCTAACAAGCCTTTTAAAGAGTTTTGGGATTAAAGGTTCAAGTTTCGCCAGTTCGCAGACTTCGAGGACTTCTTGGAGCTCTGTTAAATATAAAGTTTCTTTAACTGAGTTTCCAAATGGCCAGTATCGGAGAAGACCTTCCACAAGAGGTATTGCTAACTCCCCCCCCTCCGTGAGTGAACAAAACCATTAGAAAAATCGCTATTTTTTGCCCAAAAAACCCACCCTCCGTGAGTGAACAAAAATTTTTTTAATAGAAAAATTTTTTATGGAAAAAAAATTTGATATATAAATGATAATTATTATAATGAAATCTAGAGCTAATTCTGTTTATTTTTAAACGAATTGCTTTTTAAAACATAAATTTTGCAAATTGAATTAATATTTGCTTTCCAATTTTTGCGAATTAGGATTTTTTTAAATTTCGAAAAAAAATATTTTTTATAAAATTTATATATAAATTTTTTTAAAAAAAAAAAATAACCCCCCTCCGTGAGTGAACAAAATTTTTTTGTTCACTCACGGAGGGGGGGGGAGTAAGGCGTGGTCTTTGCTGAGGAAAAGCATGGAGCAACGGAGGAGCTGCTCGTGGAATATGTGGGCAGTTTGGACTTTGTGGAGAGGAATCATGATCACTTTGAAAAAGACAACGTGCTCTTCTCGTAAGGGGACTGCAAAACCACTGATAATTGAGGCGAGAATGTCTAATTGCCCCTCTCAGTGAACGAATAAAAATATTTTTTTCACTTACGAGTGGGGTTAATTTATATATAAATTTTATATAATTTTTTTTTTCGAAATTTAAAAAAATCCCAATTCGCAAAAATTGGAAAGCGAATATTAATTTAATTGTAAAATTTATGTTTTAAAATGCAAGCTATTTAAAATTAAATAAAATTAGCAAGAGGTTTTTATTATAATAATTATCACTTATATATCAAAATATTTTTCAACAAAAAAATTATATTAAAAAATTTTTGTTCACTCACGGAGGGTGGGTTTTTGGGTAAAAAATAGGGATTTTTCTATTGGTTTTATTTAGGTGGGAGTAAGAGCTCGCTGGCACCGTTGAATCTTTGTGTTTCGTGAATCATTGTAAGGAAGGAGTCGTTTATTGCTTTTCTTATCATTTTTCTTCTTGGAACTAATTTTGCATATAGCCTATGTATACAGTTTACATAGAAATACTTTTATTAGTAAAAATAATCTGACAATAAATATTTGAAAACATATTGAATTGGCTAACTATAAAATATTTTTTAAATAGTCTCTTTCTCGAGGCTCCTCACTATCAAAAAGCTGCAAAAAGTCCTGTATAAAGCTTGGAGTTATAAAAACCTTCAAACTTTTCACATCAGTTGCTTCACATATAATAAGCTCAAAAAAGAACTCATAAACCCCTTGTAAATGCGGCCACGCTGGGTCAATGACCATATCTTCATCACCTCCTTCAGCTCCCGCTTCTCCTGGTCCCAATTTATCTCCTCCTTTCTTATCCATCGGCAAAGGTCTGAAGATATTTTTCTTGATCATATCAATGACAAGATCCAGATGCGGAATTACATACTGTGCCACATTTTTCGAGTCATTTAAAAACTCCCTTAAATCTTGTAAAGCTGCATTTCTCTCAGATTTAGCTTTAACGTCTTTATTGTCGTCTGAATAATCATAAGTGATACTGCACAGCTGAACCCTTTTCAAAAACATTTCTTTGGCGTCCTTAGGGGTGTGCTTGGTATCTTATCTTATCTTAATTATTTATATCGTTTTACGTCCACTACGGGGTAGCCTTGTCCAGAGCTGCCACCATATTTATCCACGCGTCGGGCCCATGGACCTCTGGATCGACCCACTTCGATTCGCCAAGGCACCGGTAAGTACGGGGTTCCGGCTTCGACAGGCTTCGTTGCTGTCACGGCTTTATTCCGACTCAGCTCCTGCGCGTGCTCCGACTAAGGGTCCACCTCCTTCGGGTGTGCTGTAGGGGTAAAGACCTGAGCCTCTTGATCGCACTGAGGAGCAGTTCCTTTGGTTATCCCCAAAGTTAAATCGCTGTTGCTGTGCAGAAGTCCTCGAGGTCAAACCCAACCCCATAAATAAAATTGCTTGAGAGAGAGAAAAATTAGCGGAGTTAATTTCACTTGAAGCGAAAGCCATTTTATTTATATGGTGCGCTTGGTATCAGTCGCAACTTTGCCACGGGGAGCTGGGGCAGGGGCGGCTTTTCCAACTTTTCCGACTTTGCCACGGGCTTGGGTGTTGGCCCCAGCCTTATAAGCGCTTGGAGTTGACATTTATAAGCAATGAATAGGCTTAATTTTTTACAGGAAAGGAAGGCTGTGGCTGGGATATTAAAAGATACGATGAAATGCATATTTATGGTGGAAGATGAGACAAGGGTGAATAGGTATATGAAAGCATGGGAAATCTATTGTCAGGAGGTGAGGGATGAAAAAAGGGATCCGTGACAATTGAGAAGCTTGGGGTATGAGATAGTGAAATTTAATAAAGAAATGCAGGCTGATGAGTTCAGAGGGGTTACATATAGGAGTCCAAGTGTAAGTTATGAGATGCAAGATAGATGGAATGAAATGATTTATAAATATAGGTTTTTGCAAGAATAAAAGAAGTAAACAAATTGAAAAATAAACGGAATTTTTATATAAAATAATTTTTGACTAAAATCTTATGTAGCAATTTTTTTCTATTTTTTATTTGAATTGATATATAAGGATCCCTCATTTGTCCAATTTTCTAGTCTTTTTTTAATAAGAAAAAAAATTCAGGACCTCATTTGTCCCAAAATCTAGTCAAAAATGATTTATCCCATTTTCTAGTCTTTTTTAAATTTTTTTGAACTAAATTTTAGTTTTTTACTTTAAAAACTAGAAAATGAGACAATTGAGGTCCTATCAAAATTTTGACTAGAAAATTGGAAAAATGAGGTCATAAAAAAAACTAGAAAAATGGACAATGATAAAAGACAAGAAAATTGGACAAATGAGGGGGGATCCTTATGTCTCCCATATCAATTGCAAGGTAAAATATCTTTTGGGAATCTTATTAAATAGTATTGATTAAATATGGAAAGTGAAATCGTTTACGAAACTGGCTTCCTTGATGAAATACATACAACAGACTCTGATAGTGATCCATTGACCTCTTCTATTTCTTCGCAATCACTTCCAAGTGAAGATGAGCTCAAAGATATTATTATTCCAGAAAGCGATAGTGATTCTAGTCATAATGACCATGCAGAAGCTGAGTTAATAGTGCAACCTAATATTGAAAAATCTCAGCTTAACTATAATAGAAGACCTATAAATAAGTACTTACTTTTGCATAAAAAAAAATAAATTTTATTATTTGCATACACACTTTTCCATTTTACTATAAATAAATATAACTAAGGGTTAGTAATTGGGACTGCTATTGTTATAATAGGAGCAATAGCAATCACCAGACTGCAGCTTAAATCCTCTCAATAATCCTCAAACAGCCAAAGTTAATTTTAAATTAATGAGAAAATTCTATATATCTCACTAATTTTATTATCTAACTTAATGGGATCAAACTGCTCATCTCTTTCTTGTCGAAACAATGAAGCAGAGCTCAATACTGAACTTTATGTAGAATACGTTCCAGATGATCCCCAAACAAAGCAATCTTCTCCTCCTGCCAAAGAAGATATAATTAAACAAGCCTCTACATATATCAACTCTATTATAAAAATCCAATCTTTATGAAGAGGCTACCAAGATCGTAAATTAGTTTCCCATCTCCAAAAAACCCAAAGAACCAATATTACTTATTTTACTCCTCAAGAATACAAAGAAACCTTATCATCAAAACTCTCAAAATCTACACATAGAGAACAACGGTCTCCTTACAAATATAAATCAGGAGCTACTTATATAGGAGAATGGCTTGGAGGGTTCAGAGATGGCCAAGGCTCACAGACTTGGCCTGACGGTGCTCGATATGAAGGAGGATGAGTCCTCGGCAATGCTTGTGGGAAAGGAAAATTCTTCCATGCCTCTGGAGATACCTATGAAGGTGACTGAAAAGACAATAAAGCCAATGGTTATGGGATTTATAAACAAGCTAATGGCTCTATCTATGAAGGAGACTGAAAAAATGATATGCAATATGGCTTTGGTAAAGAAACATGGATAGACTCAAGTCGTTATGAAGGTTATTATAGGTATGGCAAAAAGCATGGGTTTGGGAAATATTGATGGAAAGATGGGTCTTCTTATGCAGGACAATGGATTGAAAATTCTATTACTGGGAAAGGAACCTATGAGTGAAGTGATGGAAGAATGTTTGAAGGAGATTGGCTTAACGGAGGCATGCATGGAAGAGGAACTTATACGTGGAAAGATGGAAGGAAATATGTAGGAGAGTACAAAAATGATAAGAAACATGGGTATGGATCTTATTATTGGGCGGATGGAAGAGTGTATGAAGGAAACTGAAAAGATGGGAAACAGGAAGGAGTTGGGTGGATGATAAATGCAGATGGGAGCAGGAAAAAAGGAGAGTGGAAAGATGGGAAAAGGGTGAGGTGGATTGTGTAAGAATATGAAAGTTATTTAAATTTTGATGAAATTTTTAAAATAATTGAGAATTTTATTGGGTATAAGATAATGCGTTATTTTAATAGGAAATAATCTATTAGAATTGTCAAAATTGCATCAAAGCAAACTCATATAGCTGATATCTGATTTTAGCTCACTATGAGCTATAGGTATAGTCCAACTATTAGGTTTTCTTGCTGCTGAATAAAAAATTAAAATATTTTCCAAATCTGCTTAAGCCATCTCTTTTAATTAGTAAATTTAATATAAAATTCTGGATAGTTTTTTTGAATTTTAGAGATTCATATTTTTAATTTATAAAATTAATGTTTTAGGCTCTAAGATCTCTTGTATTTAGTTATCTAGTGAATTTTTTGGGGCTATTTTAGAAATACTTTTAATTAAGAGTCTAGCTACATGACATCATCATAAAGAATAAGAGTTTGCATATGAGTTTCAGCTTATTTTACCAAAAAATAATTTAAAATGGATAACTATAAAGAACAACCATTCACGTTTGATACAAGAACCCTTCCTATTATCAAGCAAATTAATTTATCAGCTTCTAAATGCTCATTATGGCCGCGCACTCCAACTGGCAAGAAAATTCTTCTAACAATTCCTTCCATGCTGCCAGTAATCAAATTTAGCCCTGAAGTTTTAGAATCATTATATACAGCTGGTCATAGAGAAAATTCACAAATTGCGTTTGGCGGGTTTTTAGCTGGATCGAAATATAGTTCCACGCATTATTTGAGCGTAAAAATCACAGAGTGTCAATGGCACACAAGAACGCCAAGATCTACAGGGGAATATACAATTAGATTATTCCTTACATCTTCCACATATTTAATAACGATAAAACCTCTAGTTTGTTTTTTAAACTTTCCTTTGAAAATTTAGTAACTACTAAAATAAATGAGTTTTATTTTAAATTTTAGTTGATATGCTAAATAGTGTTTTAATACTATTTACTCCCCTTTCCATGAGCGAACAAAACCATTGGAAAAATCCTTAATTTTGGTAAAAACCACCCTCAGCGAGCAAACGTAAATTTTTAATAAAAAAATTAATATATAAGTGTTAATTGTTATAATTAAATTTTTGATAATTCTGTTTTATTTTAAGCAGGTTGCGTTTTAAAACATAAATTTCACAAATTATTAATAATTGCTTTCCAATTTACGAATTGTGATTTTTATATATAAATTTAAAAAAAAAATTAACCCTCCGTGAGCGAACAAAAAAAATTTTGTTTGCATATGGAGGAAGTGAGTTAGAGTTTAAAAATATACCCTTTTATAATTGCTACTAGTTACCGTTTTATTTTTATATAATAAATATGAAAGCGGCTAACCATTACCAAAGCTTCTAACGATGACGCCCCCTCAATCTTCATGTCTATTGCAACAAAATTTTTTTGAAAAATTCTTCATGCCTAACATTTTTATAAAAAAAAAAACTAATGCATTTTTCTCTAGGTGAGTTTCTCAAAAAAAAGCATAAAACAGCGCTGCTGTAGGTGTGTCAATGACCTTCTCATCGAGATTTGGACGGCTATTGTCATCGCTCGCCATTTCATTAAACTTATCAACTAAAAAGTACGGAAAAATTTAAGATGCGAATCGAAAATTTGTTGCAAGAGGATTAGGATTATTACAGACAGGCGCTAGCCATATTGGTGACGCAGCCACCAAAGACCTCCCCTACGGAAGGTTCTACGCTTTTCGACTCTAGCCCAGAGAATATATACCTCTTACGAGTGCCCTTCCGGTACCTTCTATCTCCTCCTTACCTTGAGGCTTCAGTCCTAGTGGGCGGCTTATGGATTTCAGCGGCCCTGCTACGGGAGATTGGAGTAGTTTGATTCCAAGGATCAGCTCCTTGGAGTCTATCGGGTGTAAAAAGTGCCTTCCTTCGACAGCTACAGGAAAAAGACTATTCCCCTGTGCCCTGGGCCGAATCTCCCAGTTTCTCGGTAGAGGAATGCTCATGGGTCCTCGGATCCAAAGGACGCTTTTGAATACCTCATTTCCAACCACAAGAAAGCACCCAAAACATGCACACTTCTTGAGCCTGCGTCTGATCTTGGCTCGGAGTCCGTCCCAGTTCGTCGTAGCCATAAGGTCTGGACTATTGCGCCAAGAAGGCAGGTTGGCAGGTGTCGCTATTTTGATGTATATAATTTTTTGCAAGAGACATGAAAATTATTATTTTTTTTATATATAAAATTTTATATTATCTATTGCCTAAATTTCTGATCATGCATATGCATGTCATTTTGAATTTGGTATGTAAAAACCGAATATGCGTTTCAAAACGCAGATTTTAGTGCGGCAAATTCTTAATTTGAAATTTCATATGAAAATGGCGCGTATAACGTCCATAAGAAATTTTGCCAACGGATTATATTAAAAAATTGCACTTTTGTTGCAATAGACATGAAGATTGAGGGGGGGTCATCGTTATTTATTATGGATATATAATTTTTTAAAGCTCTTTTTTTATTATCTACTTTTATAATCTTTTGAATCCCATTTTAAAAACTTTTATAAGTTATGCCCCAATTAATATGCTCACTATTAAATTATAAGAGATTTAGAGATATGTGAAGATTAGAAGCAGACAAGCGTGAATTCGAGTTTATGCTGCAAAGCCTGATGTTTAAATTAGACTCATACGCAGAACTAGAATACTTAGAGCCGCTTGATCTTTGTAAAGCCACATTGAGTTTTAGTGTGCACGATGGACGACTGTTAGCTAATTGCCAACTGTTGTTCCCAAGCATAAATTTGCAGTTCGTGCCAATTCCAATATTGAAAATTGTATCAACCCCTTTAAGTATCCAGCTAACTCAAAAATCCAACAAAAAAGCGAAGTTTCAAACTGGGTACTTGACATTGGACCAAAAAAAGCGGGTTTTGCCTCTACTGTGTTCTGATCCCTTAGCGTTTAGATACCCACTTGTAGGAGTTTGAGCTGTCGGCGTGCCTGGAAATCAGCCTTATCCGTTAACTCACCCACTTGTTTGGGCATCTTGTGTAAGGTTTATTGAAAGCAAGCTCATCCAAGACAGAATTTCACCAAGTCCTGATCAAAATACGTTCCTGTTCGTATTCTCTTAAAAATAAATATGCCAAATCTACTTACTTTCCCCCCTCCGTGAGTGAACAAAAGCATTAGAAAAATCGCTATTTTTTGCCCAAAAACCCACCCTCCGTAAGTGAACAAAAATTTTTAATAGAAAAAATTTTTATGAAAAAAATTGATATATAAGTGATAATTAGTATAATGAAATCTCGAGCTAATTCTGTTTAATTTTAAACAAATTGCGTTTTAAAAACATAAATTTTATAAATTAAATTAATATTTGCAGGATTTTTTTAAAAATTTCGAAAAAAAATATTTTCTATAAAATTTATATATAAATGTTTTTAAAAAACAAATTAATCCCCCTCGTTAGTGAACAAAATTTTTTTGTTCACTCATGGAGGGGGGAAGTTAGAGGCTTATATTTCTATAATTAATTATAATAAGAATATATTTTTCTTCAAAGCCAACATTTTATGAAGTAAGCACTCAAGATAAGCCAGCCTGATGCATTGCGAACTCAAATATAGAGGCAAGCAGAGAAAATGGAACTTTTGCATCAGAAACGTGTATGTTTTTGAAAAGCAAACTGGAAAATGATATGTTGGCGTCGCCAAAAGTAAACGTCAGGAAACCTAGAAATACTCTAAGCCCAAGCGTGTCTAGTGATGGGCATTCAAGCATAAAAGATATGCCGATAAGGTCAGCTAGATCAAGCATAGAAACCTGTAACGGAATTTCAACAGAAAATTTGATAATAGAGCAGTCAGAGATGCTGAAGCGGCTTGAAAAACAAATCCAAGAGCTTCAGCATCAGATTTGCTATACGCAGCTTGAAAGCCCTAAGTCAAAAATTTCTTCCCCAGCTCGTTTATCCCCGAAGATGGTGAACTCTTCAACAAACACCACAATTGATAAAAAACTTCCTCCAAACCGAATCCTTTTCCCTGAAAAACGGCCAGGATCAACAAACACTTCATTTTTAGGTCCAAACAAAGAAAAATCAAAACTGCCGCCTAGGATCCCAAGGATCCCTAATTTAAGACTTCCAACAGAAGGCTCTGAATCTTCTGAGACTTCTCCAAAATCTTCATTTACATTTGCGAGTAACCCTATATCTACAAGACATTCATATTCTCCAGAGTCCTCTCTAGATTCGCCTAGGTTTCAAGCTCCTCCTTTAACTACAACGAGGTCAAGCCAGCGTGGAAACTCTGACGTGACGATTGCAATCCCTAAAATAATTTACGAGTCGTCAAGCGACACATCAGATGACGACGATATCAAGCAACTTCAAAAAAAATACTTAAAAACTGAGTAAATAAAATTAGATTGCTAATTTTTTTCTTATATGTGAGACGAAAAGAAATTCCGCTACAAAAAATTGCTATAAAAGTGTCTAGCTGAAATTAAAAATTAGCCGATATATCACTTAAATAACTATTTAATTCCAATTATCTCTTTTAAATGTTGAAAACCTGTCTAAGTTGAGGAAAGTTGCAGTCAGCAAGAAAATCAGAGAATTTTTGATCCCACAAGATATCAAGTTACAAAAGTAGCCTCGGTAGAACGATTTGAACCCCTCTTCATGGTACATCCTAGAAAACGCAAATCTGTATCCTAAATATCTTCTAGGCAGCATAGTATGATCATCAGTTTGAGCTTCAAGTCTTCTCTGCACAGTAAGAAGAGGATAAAGTGCTGTAAAGGCAAATATATTTCCAAGGATTATAGCTTCAAGTCCACCAATATTAGAAATTGACATTGAAGCCACATTTGTGCCAAAAGAGCGAGGGAAAGCCCCAGCCCACCCTTGATAAACTTCGTATGTCTCGATTTTTCCATATAAAAAAGGCAGGCTTCTATAGAGCATTGTATTTTTTTTTTTATGCCAAAAGTTTTGGACACATGAAAGCTATGTGTTGCTAACTCCCCCCCTCCGTGAGTGAACAAAAAAAAAATTTTGTTCACTCACGGAGAGGGGTTAATTTTTTTTTCTAAAAAAAAAATTATATATAAATTTTATAAAAATTATTTTTTTTCGGAATTTAAAAAAATCCTAATTCGCAAAAATTGGAAAGCAAATATTAATTTAATTTATAAAATTTATGTTTTAAAAAGCAATTTGTTCAAAATTAAATAGAATTAGCTCTAGATTTCATTATAATAATTATCATTTATATATCAAAATTTTTTTCCATAAAAAAATTTTGTTCACTCACGGAGGGTGGGTTTTTGGGCAAAAAATAGGGATTTTTCTAATGGTTTTGCTCACTCACGGAGGGGGGAGTAAGGTTTTTACGTGCCAAAAACATTCTCCATGTGGAGTGCCGATCAGAAAATAGTGCAATGTACTATATATGTTGCAAATACAGGCAGCCTGTTTTGCAAAATAAATCGTGTTTGAGCCATATGCAAAGGCTGAGCCACCAAGTCTCCTAAACCTGCTACTGTAAGTCCAAGAAAAATTTTTCATCCTCCGTCTTCATATTTATCTAGCCCTATAATTCACAATAATTGCGACTTTACTATGACTGACGCTACATTGAAAAGGGTTTCTATAAAATTGCCTTTGAAAAATCCTTGGTAGCCTTGTCCAGCAAGTGCTAAAAATGCTTCTCTATAATTCTTATAGATTGGCGCTCTAAAAGGTCGATTTTCTCCAGTTACTCCTGCGGCAAGCTGCAGCATGTTGAATTGGCGCTCTTTAACGCATAAATCGTGACTTTTGGCAAGCAAAAGTTTGGAAATTTCTTTGGATTCCTCTCCATAAAACTTTTTATTAGCCATCACTGAAAGCTGAAGTGAGGTTCCTAGGACAGTAAAAGGGGCTGAAATTGTGTTTGCTACGAAAAATGCTAGGCCTTGAGACAGCAGTACTGAGGAGCTTTTTTCTCGCTGTGTTTTCCTAGCGATTTCTCTGTATTTGTTATCCATTATGGAAAGGAGTATTAAGATATTATTTTTAAATAAAATCATTAAGCATTCTATATTACTATAGAAATTCTGCATTTTAGCTTTTAAATCATCTTCTCCTTTATATCAAAAAATTGAAATTCTTTATTTTGATTATTTTGCACATTAAGTTACTCCATTAAGTTCAATTATTATTTCTATTTCCACACTATTTTCTGACATAATATACATTAATGGCGGAACAAGTGGAAAAATATTTGCTCACACATGAAGAAGCAAAAGTCCGCAGTCGAGCCATTGAAGATGTTTCTTATGAACTCAGACTCGGCCTTTCCAAAGGTGAAGAATACTCTGGCTGGGTAAAAGTCTCATTCACATATAAAGACCCTTCAGCAGAAATTTGGGTTGACTTCAAAGGAAAGCTTGTCCAAACTGTGACAGTGAATGGAACAAATATTGAAATCAGATATAAAGACAACAAAATTTGGTTCTCAGGCTTGGCTGAAGGGAGAAATGAAGTGGTCATTGAATATGAAAACAAGTATTCTCATGATGGATATGGGCTGCATTACTTTAAAGACCCTGAAGATGGAGAAATCTACCTTTATACTCAGCATGAGCCATTTGCCTGCAATAGATATTTCCCTTGCTTTGATCAGCCAGATCTTAAAGCCACACTAGAACTTACAATTGCAGCTCCAAGCGAATGGCTAGTCATCTCCAACACCAATGCTTCTCAAAAAATAGCAATCCCTCTAATTCCTGGCACCACAGAAAAGCAAATCCTTCACATCTTCCCAAAAACTCCTAAAATCAGCACCTATCTTTACGCCCTATGTGCAGGCAGCTACGTAGAGCATAGATGTGACGACAATCCAACCGGAATAAAACTAGGCCTTTACTGCAGAAAGTCATTAAACAAATATCTAATACCAGAGCGATACTTCGGCTGGACCATCAAAGGTCTTCAATTTTACAACGAATTTTTCGCTTATCCTTACCCATTCGGCAAATACGACCAAGTCTTTGTCCCTGAGTTCAATATGGGCGCTATGGAAAACGTCGGATGTGTGACCTACAGAGACCAATACGTCTTAAAAGACACTCCATCAAATATCCAATTAACCAGAGTCTGTGACACTTTTCTCCATGAAATGGCCCACATGTGGTTTGGCGACCTCGTCACTATGAAATGGTGGGAAGATCTGTGGCTAAATGAATCTTTTGCTAGCATTATGTCTGTCTTTGCTATGGAAGGCAAGCTGTATGACGTCTATCCAACAATATGGCTTGATTTCTTAGGCGGAAAAGGCTGGGGTTATGCGACTGACCAGCTTAGCACGACCCATCCAATTTGTACACCAGTAAATGATACTGATGAATGTGAGACCAATTTTGATGGAATTTCTTATGCTAAAGGGTCAGCTGTGTTAAAGCAACTTTATTTCTTAGTAGGAAGAGATGCCTTTATGAAAAGCTTACAGAATTATATGCAGAAGTATCAATACTCAAATGCGGAGTTTAATAATTTGATTGATTTAATTGCTGAACAAGCTAAAGCTGCAGGGAACCCTATTGATATTCACCAGTGGGCTGATAGGTGGGTTAGAACTGCTGGGCTTAATGAGCTTGCTGCTCTAATAGAAAAAGATGAACAAGGAGTTATTACAAAATTCACTGTAAAGCAAACTCCTGCTTTGGAGGCTCATCCTACATTGAGAGACCATAAAATAATTATAGAAGTATTTGATGAAGATTTAAATCAAGTAAAGCAAGCTGAAGTCTTGATTTTGCCTCAGCCTGAAGCTTACTAGATTATTATTTGGTGTTCAAGGAGTCAAGTGTGCATCTCTACTAAAGGGATTAAGCCCAACTAGAGACGTCACTGGCTGTCCTATCACTAAAATGGCGTGCCATATGGGCAAGGATTCCCTTCCCAGCTAAAGCTGCACTTCTCATGTGCCACGTTGCCGTCGCTTTTTTATGACTCAGCTCCTGCATGTGTTCCGACTAAGAATCATCCTTCTCGAATATTGAATAGATAAATACCCAAGCCTCTTGAATGGACTGAGGAGCAGTTCCTCTGGCTATCCCTAGTTAAACCGCTGTTACCGTGCAGAGATTCTCAAATGTAAAACCAAACTTCATAAATAAATTTCTATGAAAGAAAATTAGCAGAGATAATTTCTCTTAAACCGATGCCATTAAATTTATCACCTCAGTCTGAGACAGTTCTTGAAGAATTCCATGGCCTCAAGGCATCCTGTGCGATTCTTAATGTTGGGGATTGGGGATATTGCAAGGTAAGAATTGATGATGGGTCTTTCAATATCCTATCCAATATAAATATAAGTCATTATTTTTAATTCCTGCATATGCATTAATTTTAGCTTTTTAAATCAGCTATAGCATATATTGAAGCACCATTTAAATAAAATCCCAGAACCTTTAACCCGCCAACTTGTCTACAGAGCTCTATGGGATATGGTCCGTGACATCAAGACCTCAGCAGTCGAATTCATTGAATTCGTAGTTCATCAAATCCCTGGAGAAAATAACTTTGGCATTGCAAACTACGCACTTGAGATATCTTCTGCCGCTTTTCATAGCTACATTCCTAATAGCCAAGCAAAAGAAGACTTAGCCCATGAGTTATTAGAAGTAATTCTCGACAAAATAAAAAATGCAGCAAACCCTCAAGATGCCATTGTTTTCCAGAAAAAAGCTATTCACGCTATTTACAACAGAAGCGACATTGATAGAGCTATAGAATGGGTCAGAAATGACAGCACTAATATTGAAGGATGGAAACTAGGACAGCTTGACAGATGGAGTATCATTAAAAAATATGCTGAAATCACACCTGAAGCTAGTTCGCTTGTAGAAGAAGAACTTAAAAGAGACCAATCTGATACTGGCCACCTTTCTAAAATTTATTGTGAAGCTGCCTATCCTGTTTTGCAAGCAAAAAGAGAAAGATGGGAGAATTATTTGACAGAAGGCGAAAAGATGTCAAGATATGAAAGAGAAGAGTCAATGAGCGGATTTAATAGAGAAAAACAAGCTGATATATTGAGCTGGTGCTGTGATGAGTATTTCGCAAAGGTTGGAGAAGTCATTAATACCAAAGATAAGGAATATTCAAAAGATTTTTGCTTCTTTTTGGTTCCTGGATATGTGGAAGAAGGAGTTGTCATTGAAAAATTAGAAAAATTGCTGCCAACTTTGCCACAGGATAGGTTTGATATCTCAAGAGGACTGAGAGAGACTATAGATGACTTGAAAAGATTCAAGAAAGGGAAAGAGCTCTCAGCTGCTTATTTGGCAGGAAAATAAGGTAATTAACCATTATTAAGTTTCTCTTTATTAGTTTGTGAAATAACTTTATTACAATGATTTTACTATAATTATAAATCTTCCAACGAAATATTTGTGTCCCCTTCAAACTTTAATAACTCTTTTTCGCTTTCCTCAATTTTTACACTCAATTCTTCAATACGATTTCCTTGTTTTTCAATAAAATTTTTTAGTTGTTTTATGCTTTCTTGATGAAGAGCACGGCTATCGTCAATTTCCCCCATTTTCTCTTTATTTAGGCACACAAAGTTTGGTCCTGCATTATCAGCAATAACTTCATTAAAAATGCTGTCAACTGATATCAGCAGTGATTCTGACTTTTTAATTAAATCTTCTAGCACTTCTAGTCTCCCCACAAATAATTTGTATCTTTTTTCTTTATTTTCTGTTTCTTTTCTTAGCATAAATCCTTCATCAATTTTTTCTCTTTTTGACTCTTCTAGTCTATTTATGGTATCTTGTAGCTTGTCTTCATTCATTTTGTCCACTTTTTTCATTTCGTCATTTGTTGATTTCAGTTTTAAAATTTCGTCTTCTATATTTGAGACTCTATATCTTGTATTATAAACTTGACCTTCTAAGTCCCTTATACTTCTTACTCCCCCCTACCATCCTTGATCGAACGACTCGCCATCGTTCGATCAAGGATGGGGGTTAAAAAACAATTTTTCGGGAAAACAAATTTATATATAAAATAAAAAATATATATAGATATTTTGTTTTATTTACTTGTAAATAAGAGGGTTAAGAATATTTAATAATTATTTTTACAGCAAAAAATTTTTATTTTATTTCATAAAATACTAATTTTTAATATTTTGATTTATTAGTTACCCTTTTAAACTGTATAAATTTTAATTTGTTCCTTATTAAATGAAATTTTTTTTAAAAAAATTTTAAAGAATCTGTATTTTATTAGATTATTGAGTTTTTAAGCATATGTTAATGACTAAATCACTTCGGATGGTTGATTCCGCAGCTTTCTGTCGTCTCAAAGCCTCTGAAAACAACTTCATTATGTACATCTTCCCAAGCTTTTGATAAATAATATATTTTTATATATATAAAAATTTGCATGATATGAAAATCGTTCGATCAAGGATGGGGTTTAATTTCCCCAATTTTTAGGAATTTTTACAGTCAATCGTTCGATCAAGGATGGGGGGGGAGTTAGTATGAATTGCCTGTTAATTTTAATGTAAAAATAAATATGAAAAAACTTATTTTTTATTTTTTAGCTGATAACAAATTTTAAATGGTGTATTTTTTTACGATTTGATAAAATCGCAGACTCAGTCATTGAAAACATTTTCTTTTTAGTGCTTTGTGGCTCTTCAAGATGCCAAGCTTGGCCTGGATCTAGCTCAGCTTCTTCAAGTGAGAAAATATCCATCCCTGCAAACGATTGCTCAATTCCACCCACAATCAAAAGCTGCTCTCTTCCAAGTCTGTTTGCACCCCAAGCAATACCTAAGCTATGCCTTTTTGAAGGAGAAAACCCTCCTATAAAAGGAGATGACCAGTGCATATCTTGTAAATCCAATATAAAAACATCATTCAATATATTAATTCTTTCAGACCTCCCAGTTTTAATAGCTTCTAAGCCTCCAAAAATGACCATGATTTTTTGTGCTACAATTGCGGCGCCATGAAAAGCTCTTGGACTTGGTCCATGCCCCATAGTGTTAGCTTTATTCCATCTTCAGTCATTAACTGAAATTACAAATAAATCATTAGAATGCCCTTTGTCAGTCAGCCCTCCAAACAAAATTAAATTTCCTCCAAAACCTACTAAAGAGTGTCCTTTTCTACTATTTGGTGTATTTATGGTCTGATGCTTATTTCAGCTTGGACAGTGGCCTTCACTTCTTGCTTCAGTCCAATTGATTTCTTTAAAAGGAAACGACCATAAATCATTGTTTAAAGAATCTTCAGGTGCTGAAGCTCCTCCAAATAAATAAAAACGATCACCCAGAATGCAGCCTGAACTATAAATACGACCTGTCGGCTGATCTGAAGGATAAAGCCTTATCCATGCGTTTAATTCGAAATTCAAAGCATAAAAATCGTAAAGAGGGTCGCGCTTGTCACTTTGGCCGCCAAAAATAAATAAAGATTTGCAGGAGTCGTCAAATCATGATACGTGGTAGTTGCGCTCTTGTGGAGGTTTACCTTGGACAGCTGGAGATTCTCATAAAGAAGTTACAGAGTCATATAAGAAAATTTCGTTGCTTCGAGAAGTGCCGATTCCTCCAAACAAAATTCATTTGCGAAGGGATTGGGAGTTTATTCAAGAGTGGCCTTCTCGGCTTGTAGGGTAGCAAGTACCAAGAGTGCTGAGCTTGTTCCAAAATAAAGATTTCATAGGAAATATGAAAAATTAGTAGTAGGACCAAATGTAATAAAATTATTTTCAAGTAGTTTTTTATTTTATTCTTAACTCCCTCCTTTCCGAATGAGCGAAAATTGTTTTTTAATATAAAATGCTTTATGAAAAAATATTTTGATATATAAATGAAATAATAAAATGAAATTTCTAGTAAAATTCTGTTGAGTTTAAACAAGTTACATTTTAAAACATAAATTTCACAAATTAAATTAACATTTTCATTCCAATTATTTCGGATTGGATTTTTTTAAATTTCGGAAATAATTTAGAAGATATGAAAAAGCGTCAAGAAAAGTTAGAAGATGCTCTTAAATATTCAATAAAGATATCGAAGACTGATAATAGTTGTGGACCCTCCAAAAGGCATTAATTATTTCGATAAGTAATTTAATTTGATTATTATATAGCATTTTAACAGGCATGACTATCTTTCAGCCGATAATTAATAAATCAGAAATCAACTAAAGGATCTTCATTATGTAAAACTTCGTCTTCGGCTTTAATTTTCTTTTCTAGCACTTCAGCATGTATTACCATTAAGTGACAAGCTACATTTTTACATAAGCCATTTAATTTTAATGGCTAAAAAATATTAATTATTGCAAAATACTTTTCAATACATCTTTTAAAATCCTAGAAGTCTGCTTTCGCACTCATAGGTTGAATGATGAGCAAGCTATATATATAAATAGATATTCGATAATAAATTAAATCATCGTAATAGTAATTAATGGTAGAACTATATTATAAATTGGAGAGTTAGCATAAAAATAGTGTGAACAGAACAAAAATCTGTTGAGTAAAAAAAAACTTAGTGAGTTCACTACCCATGAAAATCTGAAAATTTATTAGCCATAAATAAGCTAAAGTGCAAAAATTGATTAGGACCAAGCAAAGTGAAAGAATTAATAGTATGAATGGAAGAATGAATATATAGAGCGAAGAATGCATTTTAATATAGTGAGTGAGAATCAATGCTTATTTAAGAGAGGAGCTACTCTTGATTGAAGCTCTTGCTTATTGCATCCAATTTAAGGTATCATAAGTGGCAATACATCTCATTTTAAAGAATTTGAATTATTTATTAGGAAATTATAAGTGCTAAAACAATATCAAGTACTGAGAGCTTACTCTTTCATTAATTTTTAAATAAAAAAAGACCTCATAAAGCTTTGAATAATTGTGCAAATAAAATCATAAATTTAATTTCCTTTGCGAAATTTAATTATTTTATATAAATAGAGCATATAGTTATAATAAAAATTAAATATAATTAAAATTCTAAATTTTTATGAGATAAAAGTAAATAAAGAATCCAATTTCAGAAATTATTTTAAATTAATTTAAGAATGCTACTTTTGAATTTATTAGCCAGGAGAATTAAAATTATTCTTCGAGCATTGAAAGAAGTTTTGAATACTTAGAAACCTTTGATAAATCCACCACTTGGTAATTAGGAAACATTTCCTTCATGATTTCGTCACAAACTCCATAATTATCAATATATCCAGAAACTAATCTAAGCGGTCCTGTGCTGGGAATTGCTTAATCCCTCCCTCCAAAAAAATTTTGTTCGATCACGGGGTTAATAATTTTTAAGAAATTTATATATAATATTTTGGCATTATTTCTGATCGGCTCCCAAGAGCCAAAAATGGGTTTCCACGTGGAATTTCTGGATTTTCACGTGTGAAATCCATCTTTGGCTCGCAGGAGCCGATCAGAAATTTAAGCAACTGATAATATAAATTTTATCATAATTTTTTTTTCAAAATTTAAAAATCCCAATCAATATAATTTTTAAAGAAATGTAGAATTAATTTTTTTAAAATGCAAGCTGCTTAAATTAAACGGGAATTAACTAGAGATTTCTTGTAATATTTATTTATATATCAATATATTTTTTAATAAAAATTTTTCTGTTCGCTCACTATAATAGGGTTTTTACCCAAAAGATATGGATTTTTAATGGTTTTGTTCGCTCACTGAGGGGTGGAGTTAGCAACTCCCTGAGTTGGCTCTCTAGCTTAAGTTGACGAATCAACTTGGGGAGTTGAAATACCCCCCGATATGAAGTATCTGTCAACTTCTAGAGCTTGTTTGCCAAAGTGAGTTTGAAAACTTGCTCAGCATGCTGTTCAGCATACTCCCAGTCCGGTTTATCTATATCGGCTCTTGGTCTATAAGTCCATACTTCAAAGACTCACCTGCAGTGAAGAGATCTCCATTGTACAAAGCTTCATCTCTTTTTGCTTCTTCGACCTTGATTTTTCCTCTTCTAGCTTCTTCTACTACTCCCTTATAATTAACCATCTTTTCATTTTGCTAACTTTATCTATTACTCCATTTACCATGCATATAAAACATCTTAATTATTTTCGAATACTTTTTAAATTCGACTCCTGTATCTTGCACTAATCCTACAAGCCATTTTTGGGTCTCTGGCTTAAGCTCTTTAAGAGGGTCAATTCTTTCATTCAAATCCAATGGTGAGCTTGCCCAGCTTCTTCTTTCAATCCCATACTTATTTGCAAGCCCTTTAATCCCAAACAAGCTGAATCTTGCCCCAATGCTCCCAATAAGTGATGCAGGAGTCGCATAAATTTCATTTGCAGCTGACATTACATAATAACCCCCAGATGCTGCAAGATCTTCTGCAAACGCAAAGACTGGGATATTATGCTGCTTACTAAACGTCAAAAGCCGTTGTCTAATTAAGCTGCTTTGTGCTGCGCTTCCTCCTGGAGAGTTTACCACGACTGCGAGGGCGACTGGGCGTCGCCAAGCTTTTTTCTTCAGATCCTTGTTCAATTTTTCAAGAGTTTTTTCTGTAATGCATCCTGATATGCGGATTTTAAATACAGCATTTCGGAGATCTAAAAATCTTTTAAAGGCCTCCATTTATTATAAAGATAATTATTTAGCACTTTGTTTGTGGTCTTCTTTAATAGTAGGACCTTCATCTTGAAATATCCCATAGTTTACGATTATTTTGCTGTTTTCTGGGGCTGGGAATTCTTCCATGCTGGGAAGGATTTTTTGTTTAAAAATTCCTTTGGCTTCAGTCTCAATTTTTTCGTCTCTTACAGTCAAGGCTTTGAATTTTTCTTTTTGGGCTTTTAAATCTTCGATAGCAGGCTCTATGTCTTCTTGTTTAGTAGGGACTTTGATGCTTGTATAGGAGAAAAAATTTAAAAGTTCAATAGGGAGGGAATGAAGTTTGTCTTCTTTGTTTTTGTCGCGTTTCTTTTTTTGCTTCTTTTTCTGTTTGAATCATTCTTGATTTTCTAGTTCTCTTCTTTCGTCTTTATTGGATAAATAGGTGTTGTCTTGAGGGATTTCTTTGGTTTCTTCTAATTGACTTGGAGGCTTTGGGAGAATATTTGTTAAGTAGTTGATAAATGTTTCACAGAGATTGATTTCTTTTTGATAAGGATGAGGCTTATTAAGCTGTTTTAGCTGCTCTAAGGCTTCTTTTTCTTTTTTCCGTTTTTCATCTTCGATAAGTCTGTTTTTTAGCTTTCCGGCCCATTCAATATATTTTATAAGTTTTTGCTGTTTTACGTATTTTTATGAGTTCAATATTTGCATTTTATAGCAAGATTATTCCTATATCCAATTTATTACTATTTCAATATAGATATTTCCATTTTCTTGTTATTCTTCCCAGTATAATCATTTTTTGTTTTTTTGAAGTTTTCAAATAATCGCTTTTTATCAGTCTCAATCACATTTATTTGATCAGAAATCAATTTCTTTTCTTCTATAAGGTTTGGGATTGTTTCCCTGGACTTTTCTTGGCTTGATTTTAAATTTTGATTAATATCTTCAATTTCTTTACTGATTGCTCTAACTTCATTATATATAACGTTGATTCTATCTTTCAGCTCTTGCTGCTTCTTTTTATTATGATCAAGCTTCAACGACCCTGCCTTAAACTGTGCTAAAAGTGGCTTCGCCTGCTGCAACTGCGTGAGCTCTGCTACAATCTGCTTTTCTTCTTGCAAAGTGACAGTAGTTGTTTCTAATTTGTATTGTAAAGACTCAATTCTTTTATTGATATCTTCCTCTTCATAATATTTTATTTTCGGTTTCAGCCTTTTCTGTTCTTCACACAATCTTCTAAAATCACTTTTAAAATTTTCTAGTTTTTTTTGATTATTTGTTTTTTCAAGATTCAATTCTTTGCACATATGGATTTTCTCTGTAATATATTGCTTCGTCGAAATACTCTTATTTTCAATCCCGCCCCCATTCTTAAGCTCATTTATTTGTTGAGAAACATTATTTTTTTGTAATTTCAGCTTGGAAATTTTTTCTTCCATCACTTTCATTTCGCTTTCATATTTCTCTTCATCAGGGGCTGGGAGCCTCTCATTTTTTTCAGGAAGTGGAGGAATTTCTGTATCAATTGTGATTCATTCCTTTGTGTTTTTTGTTTCTTCCATTACTAAAAATGATGTGTATTTATTTTGATCAATATTAATTCATAATAAATAAGAAAATGAATCCACATCAAGACTGGAATAGAGTTGTGTTTACTGGTCCTGTTGGGAAAGCCAAAAAAGGAGAACAAGCAGTGCAAGACGCCCAGAGAAGAGGAGCCAATATTGAAACAGTGAGAAAGGCACAAGGTGGACATAATACTCATGGTCCTCAAGTGAATATCAGGAAATTGGCTGAGGAGACCGATGTGGTTGAAGTTCCACAGCTGTCTCATGAGGAACAAAAAAATAATTATAGGAAATTCCCGATGGTGGTGCTCAATTTGCCATCATCGGGCACCTACAGTAAACGGTTCACACTGGAAATGGGTTCCACGTGTAGAGCCCTTTTTGACACGTGGAGAATCCTCACTTTCACGTGCCAAAAAGGGCTTCACACGTGGAACCCAGTGTGGACTCTGAACTGTATTTGCCCGATGATGGCGCATTGAGCGCAACTTGTATGTATAAAATTTGCCAGATGTTTTATTATAATAATTAAAGCTGTCTCATGAGTTCAGGATTGAAATGCAAAAGGCAAGAAGTGCTGCAGGACTGAGTCAGGCTGATTTAGCGAAGAGGATCAATGAGAAACAAAGCGTGGTCAACGAATATGAAAGTGGCAGAGCTGTTCCTGACAACCAAGTTATAGTAAAAATTGAAAGGGCTCTGAACTGCAGACTTCCAAGGCCTCCAAAGCCACAGAAGAGGAAAGCATCAGAAGAAGAAAAATTCTAGAAAACTTTTAACTTCGGTCAATAAGTAATTATTGGTAGTCAAGCAAAATGATTGAATTATTTTTAAACCAAATGTAAGAATGTCAGATCACATTAGATGCCTTTTAGTTCTTTAATGCATTTGCTAATTTTTATTGTTATTTTCGCAATTTTATTATATGAATTTTCTATGCTTTCTGGCAGAATCTTAATGATTTATTTTTAACTTTCTTAGCTTACTTAAGATCAACGGCAGTAGAACCTTTACTTGCTCCAATACCTGGTCTTCCATGTTTAACAGGCTTATAAGTAAGCGAAAATTCTGCTAGATAGTGGCCAATCATGTCAGGCTTGATTTCAACTGGGACAAAAGATTTTCCATTGTAAATTCCAACAACAGACCCTACTAACTCAGGAAGAATTATAGCATCTCTTAAATGAGTCTTTACAGGTTTTGGCTTTTCTCCGACTTGGGTATCCTTTTTGGCAGCCACACATTTCTTGTAAAAGCGGATGTATTTGTGAGGAACTTCTCTATTTAAAAGTCTTCTTCTTTGACGGCAGCCAAGGAGCTTTAGAAAGTCTTCTTTTTCCATTTTCACGAGGTCGTCAAGGTCAACTCCTCTGTAGGTGTACTTGCGGAATGCCCTTTTCTTTGGCTGCGTCTCTGCCATTTATGGAATTATGAATCGCTTGAGATTTTTTGGAAATTGAGAAACTGAATTAAAGTTAAAATGATAGTAAAATGGAATCAAAGAGCGATATGCTTGCTCTAAAGTTAGTGCAGAGATCTCAATTATGATTTTATTAGCATAGTTATTTTTATTGCAATATTGCAACACATTGATCTGTAATTATATGCATAATGAAAGGTAAACAATTATTTATTATAGTTAAATTAAAAAATTTATTAAAAAATTATTAAATATCCAAATTATTTTTAAATTAGAATTAATTTTCGATTTCGAATTATAAAAATTGCTAACCCTCTATTTTAAATAAATAATAAATTAACACATGATTTATAACACTAATTTCTATCTTAATTTAAGCATTGTTACTTATATCTTGTATTTACTCTATACCAAAACATAAATTTTATTATTAACTACATTTAATTGTGGATTGGGTCCCACAAGTGAAAAATTATTCCATGTTTGTAACCAAAATTTCGCATGCGGAGTCTCTGTGCTTAAGTTGTTCTACAAATAGAGAATATGGTTAAACACATACAATAATTTTTTCGGTGTGAGATCCTATCCACAATAAACTCAACAAATTATATATATCTGCTGTGATTAATTAAAATAATGCTATAAAATAGCATAATAAGAACCCAAACAAATTGATTTTTTGAAAAAAATCTCAGAAATAGATAACAATAATAATCTTTTATTTTTTTAATGATAAAGAGAGTAAGCAGTTTATATGAATTTTTTTAGTTGGCCAATCTTGATAATAAATAAAAATTTATTATAATTAAAAACAAAGGGGGATAGTCTTTTATCCCTATTTTTTCATATCCTCCATATATAGGTAGAGCGCCATTTAGGTCGAGCTCCAATCTTTTTGTAAGGGAAAAATGATAGTTGGTTTAATCAACTTTTATTGCTAAAATTAGCCAAAATGAGATAGCCAGGATGCTGTTTGATTTCTATTATTTAGGGCAAATTTGATTAATAAAAGTTGATTGATTTAAGTCCCATTTCGCTTTCAGAAAAGATTGTAAATAACGCGATCTAAGCCACTCCCAGGTTATAATAAATTTATTTATGGCTGTTTTATACTTTCCTCAAACATTAAATCGAATGGGTCAATTTCTTGGATTTCTTCCAAGTTTACTGGATCAGAAGGTTCAAATTTGTGCTTGCACTTTCTTTCAATTTACAGTAAATAAATTATATTCACTTAAATAGTGATTTATCATACTATATTTCATCGGTTCTCTATTTCTATAAAAATTAGCAAGGCTAACAAATGATGCTTGAAAAGCTCTAATAGATATATAACCATCATAAGAATATAATACAACATAAATCTCCAAATATATGTTTAAATCCTCTCACCCAGATCAGGAACTTTTTTAATTATTTCTTCAACTTTTGGCTTTCTATCGATATCAGAATCACTACTGATGACAGTCACATTTACAGGGGCTTCTTCTTTCTTTGCAATTTTCTTTTCTCTTTTCTTAGCCTCATAAAACTCTACCCACTTTGTGATTTTTTCTTGTCCTATTTGTAAAGCTAATGATATTTCTGTAGTAGATTTCCCTTTTATATGCATTTTTAATGCTCTCATTTTAGCTTCTTTACCGTCACCATTACTAGGTTTGCTTCTTTTTGCTGGAAGCTCAACTGCTACTTCTTCATCTCCAAACTCCTGCATCAATATTTCAAGAGTTCGCCGAGGGAATTCAAAGAGTGTGCAAGTCCTTTCTATCCCGATTTTTTTAGCAGTTTTAATTACAAGGTTTCTTAATTTAACGAAAAAAGGGTCTCTGTCAAAATCTAAATCGCGAATCCATGCTTTTATGGTAGCCTTTTCAAGCCCATGAAGATTAGCTGTAAATTGTATCCCGTTAAGCAGAGCATAGAGGGCAATCTCTTTCATGTAATAATTATTGCCATATTTAATATTCTAGGATTTTCGGATTGTGAAGAATAATGTTAAGCTTGTGCAGAGATTAGCAGTATTAATATCTGATTTAGTTGGTAAATATACGTGAGGCTAATACTAAAGGGCTTGAATAAAAAGCATTTTTTATCATTTTTTACTAAAATAAATGTTGATTTTCTATTTTGTGATATAGATGACTGATTTTTGCTTCAGCATTATGTTGCTCAAGCTCCTTTTGATTATAAAATCTAAGACCTTCACAAATTAATAAATCCGTAACACCAATAAGTTAAATCATACTTACGCCAATTTGATAAGCATATTCATCATTATCTTCATCAAACCAAATAATTTGAATTCCTATAGAAATTTTCTTTAATTAGAATTTTCCAAAGAGCGTAATATAGTTAACATAGTTCCACATATACTTCAAATTAAGTATGAAATGACTTATTGCTAGCTAAAGCTTAGCTTATAGGCTTCTATATACTGTCATCATTAAGTAATCTTATTAGCTGTATTTCTCAATAGCCCGCGTCTTATTAGCACTTGGACAAGTTAATACACTTATTATTTAGTGGTTAATTAGAGTAATTAAAGTCTAATCTCTAGCAATTGTTTATATAAAATCATATCTATGAAAAGAAGCTTTTTAAGCTCACACTTGAAACAATTTCTTATTGTATTCAATTATTAAATCAGTGAAAAAATTTTTCATCAAGAGCAGACATATGCTTGTCGTAATCATCATTTTATTTATTATAATCATCCATGCCATTTTCTAAATAAACCATAGAGTTTAATCATAATTCATCTTTATTTATTAATCATTTTAGAGTAAACTCTATAGTTAATTATTAGTTTATTAATTTTTTGTATTAATTTTAAATAGCAAGGATTTATTCTAAATCTCTTAATAATCATTGAAAATTTTTCTAATTGGTAAGCCATTTTATATTCTGATTACTGAATTTATAAAAATTACTAACTTTTCGAAGCTAAATAATTATTTTTAAAATTAAAGAATATTTAATAAAATCATTTAAAAATATATAATCCCAATTAGATAATAATTAATTTTATTTCTTCATTAAAGTGGAACACCTTTCAATTGGCTTGCATAATTCTCGTAGAAATTTTCTACAATATCCCAATCTATAATCTTCCAAAAGGCATCAATATAGCTTGCACGATCCCACATGTACTTCAAATAGTAAGCATGCTCCCAAATGTCGTTAGCTAAGATTGGATAGCACATGCTTCCGTCTACCTGCATCATTGGGTTGATCTGATTAGCTGTATTTCTTATTTCAAGCCCAAAGCTTTCATTTACACACAGCCAAGTCCATCCACTTCCAAACAAGCTAGTGCTAGAGTCATCAAAGGCAGTTTGGAAATCTGAAAAACTGCCCCAAGTATTTACGATTGCCTCATATAGACTTCCACTAGGCTGACCTTGAGCGCAAGTAGGATTAGTCAACACCCACCAATAAAAGTTGTGATTGTATGCTCCTCCAGCATATTTCTGTAAGCTCTCGTCATTAGTTGCACCTTTGACTAACTCTAAAAGTGTGTCGTCTTGAAGGTCGGCTTCTTCGGCAATATAGGAATTTAGCTTGTCGTAGTAGGTTTGGTGGTGATGGTCGTGATGGGCATAAAGGATTTGTGACGTTAGGATGGGCTCTAACCCTCCACCATAGAAAACCATTAGAAAAATCCCTATTTTTGCCTAAAAACCTACCCTAAACAAGCAAATAAAAATTTTTGATATATAAGTGATAATTAGTATAATGAAATCTCGAGTTAATTCTCTCTAATTTTAAACAAATTGCGTTTTGAAATATATATTTTATAGATTAAATTAATATTTGCTTTCCATTTTTTGTGAAGTAGGATTTTTTAAATTTGAAAAATAATTTTTCATAAATTTTTAGAATTTTTTTTAAAAAAAAAATCCTCCTTGCGAGCAAGATGTTTTTGTTCGCTTAGGAGGGGAGAGTAAGAAATCCTGAGGATAAGGAAGGTTAGCAAGGGTGAATTCGTAAGTGTCTGATGAAGGAGAGAACTCGATTTTGTCCTCGCAATCGGTACTGGCTAACGTTAGAGTCAAGAAAAGAGCAACAAGCAGTGCTTTCATTTTTATAATTGTTTAGCCCATCTTCATTAAAAAATACTATTTACTTTGTATTTATTAATAATAAATTAATTATAATTTCTTATATAAATTGCAAGGAAAACTGAGAGTTAAGGTTAGTGAAAAACGAATACTTTTGGATAATAAATAGTAAATTGTTAGCTTATGGACCTTATTAATTTTATAGTAAATATCTGAAATAATTTGGGGTAAGCTCATAAAACGGTGCTAATATTTTTTTTAATAGAGCAATCGTTTAGCCTCCCATTATTTTGCTAACTTCTGACTGATCCAAAATATGTATTTTATTGTTAATGTATTTACTTATCATAATTTATTAACTTTAATAGATATATTATACTAAATTTTGCTAATATTTCCTTATAACTATTCAATTTAATGATTACAGCATAATTATTAAGGGGCTTTTATTTTACAAAATTATGAGCAATAGAAGCTGCAATCTTTATCCTCAAAGTCTTTTGTCTCGCATGGAAGCAATTTCTCCTCAAGAATTTGCAAACTACTCACATGAAACTCAATACACCTCTTTCAAAAATGCTTTCCCAGAATATAAGCTGTTTTAAATTAAATTTCCAATAATATAATTTTTAGTGCCTTTTTAAAAAAAATATCATCCTTATGATGTTATAAGCCAAGATTAATCCCATGCAGCATATCAATAAAAAACCGAATCAAGTTGAAGAACTAATGAAAATTCGAAGCATCACTGTCTTTGCAAAGAAATTCTTTGAGATGCATAAAATGAAATTCAAACAAACAATTACTCATGAAAGGGATAAAATAATTTCTAAAGTCTTTATTGATGGAAATTTAGCGGGACAGCAATCTCATCCTACTTCATTAAACAGGTGCCGCGTTACGTCTGCAATACTTGCGTTTGACAGTTATGATGTAGAAATACTGACTTTCATCTAAAATAAATATATTAAATTAGATGAAAAATTATATGAATTTAATTATTATTTTATTAACTATTCTATTTTAAGTTTGCTAAATGGTATGCTCTAGCAAGTTTATTATTATTTTTTAAAAAAAAAAACTATATTTTTAAATAAATAAAAAGCTCTTGGCTAGAGAAGAACCCCCCTCTTTATATAGAAAGATTTCTAATATTTAACCTATATTTTAACTAGTATGATTCATTTAACTATAGACGAGAATTAAGAGATTGAATGAAAATGCACAAAAGTGATCTTGAAGATTACTTAGCTTATAATAAATTCGATGATTAGATATAAAATTATTTAGCGCGTTTGATTAATTGATTATTAGTAAACTAAATCAATTAATATTTTCTTTAAATTCTTATATTTATGAAGATCAAATTACAAAATATTAACATTTATTTTAGGAGATCATATTATAAGAAACTAATTTACTATAAAAAATTTTTAATTTTTTTGAGATATGATAAAACTTTTTGACTTTTAAAATAAAATTACTTTTAAACATATAAAATCCTTCTAGATTCTTTAGATCAAGCAAAATATTTTTGGTTTTATTTTTAAAATTAATATTAATCGAATAGGATGAATTTATTTCATTATCCTTATTTTATTGTTTAATTTCCTGATTTCAAAAAATTTTAGCTAATTTTTTTGCAAAATTTCCAAAAAAATGATGATAATCGGTTTTAATAGCTCCATTTTCGACCGAAATCTTAAATCCAAATAAGTTAACATGGTGTGATAATAAATATTAAGATGGGTTGTGCTTCAAGTAGTAACCGGAAATCTACCATCAAGCAAGTGCCCAAGTTTATATCTATATCCAGACGAAAGCAAATACCTAGCAAAGAGACATTTGAGGATTACATGCTTTACATCAAGAAACTTGATTCAATCCTCAATGCAAGCAACAGATCAAGAGAGATGAAAACAGAAATGAGCTTACAAAGCGTCAAGGTCAACTAGAAAACAATTTTAAATGTATTTTAATGTTATTTTTATCTAAATTTCTTTTAAATTATAATCTTGTGAGTTGAAAGAAATCCAGCATTTAATATCAAAATAATTTACTAAGAAACTATTAGATGGATTTTTTTTATATTAAAAAAGATTAGAAGCTTATTATTTTCGGATTTTTCAACTCGGGCAGCGGTTGAGTTTTTATATCTAAAATGGAAATTATATACTGGACAAAAATAGTTGAAAAGAAAAATGAGATATTGTAATTATGTCATGTATCTTAAAAAAATAAAATCAAATTAAAATGAATTTAAAAGGATTTTTTGATATTTGAAATGCATTTTTCATCTTTATTTATTAACTAGATGCTCTTTAATTTGATTTTGATAAAGAAACAGCTTGATATAAAAATAAATTATTAAACTAATAAATCTTCCTCATCAGAAAGGTCTTGAACCTCTGCAGGATTATACCTATACTTTTTGAGAATATCTATCAAATCGCTGTCCATTGGTGTTTCAAGCTCTTCTCCTTCATATGAATAAGCAGCTTTTACTGATGGATCATAATACCCTTCTCCAATGTCATATGTTCCAGGAGGTATTTCATTAGGACCTTGAGGATCATTTACAATCAAAGTCGCCCCAGCCGGTCTTAACCCTTCTTTAATTTCCGTATAAAACCTTCTATCAGGAATTTTACAATAATTCCAGTCCTGAGCATTATATTTTAGCCCATCATAATACTCATATTCCCCATCAACAGCTCTGCCTCTATCCCAAGATGCCTTATATCTTCCCCCATTCGGGAAAATTAAAGTCCCTTTTCCATGAAACTCGCCTTTATGGAATTCTCCTTCATATACAACTCCTTTTGGAAACCTAAACCTGCCAAACCCTTCAAACCAGCCATCCTTTATAGGGCCATCATATGAGCTTCCTGACCATTCTAATTTGAAATCAGGCTCATGGTCCTCTTCTTGTTTGGCTTCTTGAGCCCTTCCTGTTCTTTTATTTGGTGATACTTTAGTAGGAGGTTTTTCTATGTTTTCAGGCGATTTTGGAAGTGATGACAAAGGTGATGATTGTTGGACTCTATAAGCTTGCAATTGGTCTGTTATTGATGCAGATTCTAAACTTTTTTGGCTGTTACCTCCAATTGGAGTGTTTGGTGTTGAGCTGTCTCTTCCAAAATCGCTTCCAGGTCTTAGTTCTTTGATTTCTTCAATAGCTTCTAAGCATAGCTTAATATTATCTAATTTTTCTTTAATTGTGAGGAATTCAGCACCTTTATCTTTATAGCCGATTGCATAAATTAGTGGTAAAACTCCTTCGCATGGGAGAAGCTTTTTTTGAATTGTTTCATTTGTTTTCTTTATGGATCGAAATTTAGGGTCTGTGGGATTCATTTGAATATTTGTGAGGAGGCGGACTAAAACACGTAATGCTTCAATGGAGACGTCATCAGGATTTTTACGGAAAATATCTGAAATTAAGGAAAGGAGCTCTGCTTTAGTTATTGTTGCCATTATAAGTTTAATAACTGATATAGAAATTTTTATTTTATTGAGGCTGCATTGAGAGAAGTTATTGTAAACTTATATTTTGCTGTAAATATACTTATTAAGTTATGCTTGAATTGCTTTTAGTATTTAAATTGATTTAAATAAAATGATTTTTTAAATAAAATTTGCAAAAGTATAAATTAATTTATTTTTATAAGCAACGTACATATAGCAAATTGCAAACAGAAAATTATTTCATCACAATTTCTTAGTATTGTCCTTTTAAATACTATTTAATTATTTTTGCCTATATTTTCTAGATATCCGCTCTGAATTTTTTCAAAAGATTAAAATTAAGAAGGAAAAATTGTACGGCTATCTATATTCTTATCCTATACTATAATAGTTTATGAATTATCATATTGCCTCGCAATAACAACCTTTTCTATCCCTTTTCTATCATATAGCTATAATGCTCTTTATTTTATCCAAAATCATTATTTATTCAAATTTATTTTCTTCTTTATCCTATCCCAAAATCATATCGCAATACTTTAATTTGAAAAGAAACGGATAAATATGGTTTTCGTGCTCATATCCCTATTCACACTAGTCTCTTCTGTGAGACTCCGTACATCTTCTTCACAAATAGAACTTGGTAATATTAATATAGAGCCTGCATTGCCAGAAGGCTTTTCATACGTAGGTTATGATTGCTCTACAACTGAGACAAACTACATAAAAGAAGTGTGCACATTATGCCAAGCTGATTTTGTATATACAGCTCCATACCCTGATGTGGCATATCTTGAAGGCTATTATGAGGAGACTAAAGAGCAAATTCAGCCCATTCTAACTGATGTGAGTGATCACATTCCTCAAGCTAAAATGTACGCTGTAGCAGTCAATAATTCAATGATTTGCATTTCTGGGTTTCAGTTTAAAGAAGAGGCTGATTACGAGGCAATTTTTGATTATAAAATTTTACCCTAAATTTGCATATAATTTATATAGAATATATAAAAAAATCTATTTAATTGAAATTTAATATTTCCTCGGAATTAGCCCAATTAATGTAGCAGTCCCTGAGATTTTTGATATAGAAAATTCCACGACATTGACATATATTGGAACCAGATATAATGGATCTTCCTATGACTATCTCTCTTTGAATTATGATGCTCAGGATACAGCAGAAGTATCAGAATCCACTACTTATTATTTAGACACTATGTATACCTATTTTGAATACGGAGTTGGCTACAATGTCTACTCAGGGACTTGTGACATTAAAAGCGGAAGCAATAAAGTAAGTGTCGGCTTTGAAATAGAGACTGATTATTATAGGAATTATAGTGATACTTTTGTAAGCACATTAGATATAGGAACTGATTATACAGTTAACGAATGAGCAAAAGTCCTTGATGCAGACTCACCTTGTACATCAGTACAGCCGCCAAGAGGAATTTCTTCACTACAATCCTTGCACTGCACATCTAGCACACAAACTTTTACATATAGTAGCAATAGTGATGAAATGATAATGAATGAAGAAACCATAGGCTACACAACCCCACCATTTGCAATTTCTCCAGAAATCGCTGTAGACTCTGCGCCTGGGTTTCTAGTTAATGATAAAGCTGAACAAACATGTATTTATAAGATATATACAAACTGGGTTTATTATAATTACACTATATCACTAATGGTTTATAGTGATGCAGACGATGGGCATATGAAAGCTAATGGAGTCTTTACAGATCCAACTGAAATTACAGTTGAACAAATAGATAAAGATTTTTACCAACAAATGTTTCCTGAAGATAACGATATGTTCCCAGTTTTCTTGCCTGAAGATCCTTATGTGGTGACTGATTTTAAGAATGGAACAATCATGAGTCCACAAATTCAGCTTTATTTTGAGCCTGATACAAGCTATGCGATATATGGAGAAGAAGCTCAAGGAGGAAGTCTTGAAGTTATATCAGGAAGAGTCCATGAAGCAGTGCAAACTGTTATAAATTCGTATACAATTGGACCTGATTGGCTATATGATTATGGAATTTCTGTGTACGAAACAACAGTCTATATGAGCAGCGCTGATATTAATGTTACTAGCTCCCCTATTATGGCATCTATGCTGGATGCAGATCGAGAGGAATGGAAACAAGGGGTTATAATAGAAATAAGATGCACTTTTAATGATAACTGCGAAAAAAATGACTTTTGTGGAATATTACAAAGATATGGGGTTGAAGAAGGAGAAACTGAGCTTAAACTAGATGGGTAAACCCGCTTATATTGAATATACTATTATTAGCTGTTTTTAAAAAATAGAATAAAATGGCGCTTCATACACTAAAAGTATGTATATATTGTAGAAAATACAATAGTTCTAGAAAGTGATATGAGTGATATCCCACTTAGTGACTCAGTAGATTTTGAAGAAGCAGGCTTAAGTGCTGAATATGAAGAGCAAGGCTTAGTTTTGATTGTTGAAGGAGCATTTTACTTACAAGTTGATAGTGAAACAACTTTAAGGTTCATCGGAACAATTAGTCAAGGTGAAAATTACACTGCAGAGCTCAAAACTCAGAGTGAAGACCTATGGGAAAATGCTATGGAAGTCCTTCGGCTGCATATTATTGGGATTTCTCTCACAGGCTTTGTGGATGGAAATGGAACTTTGATAGAATCCACAAGTCTTGGGAACGCTTTAATAGGAGAAGACTGTTGGGAAAACAATCAAGCTAGTGAGTCTTGCTTATCAGGAGATACAGAGCTATATCTTAATTTCCATAGCTACACCTATAACAATTTTTCATTATATATCCAAAATATTACAACTGAAGAGTTTTATAACTATCTTGGAGGCTATTCCTATCAATCTTTTGACTCTATTCCATTAGCAAGTGCATGCTTAAGCTTTCCTGCTGGGATATTTATAGATCACCAATATGAATCTTCAATTTTTTACCTTTCAGGAAATGCTGAATATTGCGGAGTATATGGAGAATTAGAAGGAACAACTGATTCTTTTGTATCAGGAGATTTTGATATAAATGTTACCTTGGATGATTTTTATTTCTTAAGAGAAAACGCTAAAATGAGCAGCCCAGCCGCTTTTCTTAAAACAGATAGAGAAGAAGAAAAAAGTGAAGGAACTATATCAGGTGATTTTTACGCTTGGGAAATTGAAAAATCTGAGTCAATTTCTATCAATAACAACAAATACCAGTTTTCTACATCAGGATATATTTTCGCTGGCATTTATAACGTGACTCTTGACTTTACAGGTGAAACCAACCCTGATATATCCACGGCTATTTTTTCAGTTGACTTCAAAATCAATGAAGACCACGTAGACTCTATTGAAGAATCCACAAGAGACCTTATTTATCAATGGGTCAATTATGGTTATGACGCACTAGTCGAAAATGGCTTGTTTATTGATAATTTAACTCAAAGTCTCTCATACTGGGATGCAATGAGATGTAATTCCACCCTAACCTGCCCATCAAAATTGCAATGCACAACTAATATAAACGAAGAATGTACTCAATATTCTAATAAACAGTCCTGCTCCAGTAATAATACAGGCTGTGAAAATATTCAGGTAGAATGCACCTTATCTGAAGTCATCTGTATAAAGCAAAAAAGAAACTGTGATGGAGAATGCCAATGCTTAAGCGAAGTCACAGTCTGCAAAAAATGGGAAAATAGCTGCATGGACCGATCTGATGAATGCCAAGATAAAATCATAGAAAAAGACTATTCAAAATGCAGTCAAACTGAGCGGCTTTGTGAAAAAATAGAAAAATTGGATTTAGAATGCGAGCTGAGGTGTGAATGGATTGAAAATACTTATAATAAAGCCAAAGAAATATATGAGGCTTATGAAGAAGGATATGAAGAGTCTTTGGAAGAGCTAAAAGGGTTTGAAGAAATTTTGGATAAAATGAAGACAAATTATGAGTTTGGACGACTTGTGGAGATTGATAGGATTGATTCAATTAAAAACATCAATGAGACTGGGCTTGGACCTTCTGATTTTACTATGACAGTTACAGGAAAAACTGTAAGTTTAGAAGCTGATGCCTTAGAAGAAACTCAATATGATGTGATTTGGGATTTCTACACTGCAAGAGAGAATCAAGCAGAGGTCTATAAGAATACAAAAGAAAACATCATAGAAAACAGCAAAGATGAGCTCACTGAAGATTTAGTTCAAAAATCCCCACAAGAAGTAATCAGAGAAAACGTCGATTATAATGAAAACCAAGTCGTTTCAGAAGAAATCACATCTCTACTTCAATTATTTGGCCGTAATAATTAAAATTATAAATTAATATGAGCCGATTAAAGCATGACATCTTAGAAGTTCTGCTACCTACTTCCAGATCAATAAGAGATCTAAAATTGTCGAAAATCTCAAGGACATCATCTGTGCTTCCTTCTCTTTCAGCTCGTAAAGAGAGGAAAAAAAGAGGACATTCCAAGTCTGAAGGTTTCAACATATATAAAACTCAGGAAATGAATAAGTCAAAAGCCAAAGGGTTTTCGTATTATTTTATTGATATATATTTTACAAATAAAGTATTATGTGAAAAAATTAGTATTAATAAAAAATAGAATATAAAGAAATCCCGGAAGAAGATTACCAAGCCGAATACATAATAAACGAAAATCTAGCCAAAAACTACAACAAAAAGGATGGAAAGTATACCAGTGAGTTTGTTGGGATTGTTGCGATACCCAGAAATACATTTCAGCTGGCAAGCTCGATTGTGGAAAATATCAACGAAATAAAACCCCAACCCAATCAAAAACCTCACGAAGAAGTAAAATTACCGGAAGCGTCGAAATACCATTTAAGCCAAAAAATCGAGTTTTTTAAGTCGATCAACTTCACCCACCACAAATCATCAAGCGATGCTCAGATTCATAGGCATGCTTATAACCAAGACGTAAAAAATTTTATTACCCTCCCCTTCCAAGCGAACAAAAAAATATTTTTTTTCGAGATTTCGTAAAACTGAGAAGTTAAAATTAGTTTGATTTGTACAATTTATGCTATAAAATCCAAGCTGCTTAAATTTAAACAGAATTAGCTAGAGATTTCACTATAATAATTATCACTTATATATCAAAATAATTTTTCATAAAAAATTTTCTATTAAAAAAATTTTTGTTAACTCAGATTTTTCCAATTTTTGTTCACTCACAGAGAGGAGTTAGAGCTTGCAAAGAAGGTGATGAAACCCTCGTTTATACATATCTCGCAAAGGAGAAAAGTTTAGCATATTCCTATGATTTATTAAATATGACAGGTCTGCACTGGGCAGTTCTAAATTGCTGTCTACATTTGAACGAACTATTAATAAATTTTGGAATTAGCTTATTTGAATTGGGACAAAATTCTAGTTTTCCAATATAAAATTTATATTTGAAAATAAATAACTTTCATATAGCTTGATGGAGCAGATAGTTTATTTAAAGTTTGCGAATCAACTTTTCAACAAAAAATAAATTAATATATTTATATTTTTACTTTTCAAAAATTGTATATAAATATTTTTAATGAACTATTTTTCAACAAAAAAATTAAATCATGACTTATTTGTTAAATTGAAGGTAAGAGGGAATTTTGATATAATGAAAATCCTTTTAGATTTACCTGGACTAATTGATGTTGTTGACCATGTAATTTTTATATAGTTTAAAAGAACAGCCCTTCATTTAGCTAGCAGGACTGGCAATGAAAAAGCTATAAGAATGCTTGTGGAGCATGGCGCGAATCCTAATATATATAGCGAAGGAAATAAGTTGGCGATCGATTTAGCAAAAAATGAAAACATCAGAGTTAATTTGAGAAAATACATGAAATCGTTAATCTGAATAATTACAGTTTTATGCTTTTTCCCATTTTTCTTTTAATTTGTCATATTTATTTGCCATTTCTTCTCTTTTCGCATCTGTTCGTGGTGTCTCAAATTTTACATCTCTTGGATTCAATAGGTGCTCATTTTCTTTATAAAACACTGCATTTCTCAAGCTGCCTCTATACCAGCATCCGATTAAAAAGCATACTAAAACAATGACACATCCAGCTAGCATTGAATATCTGATAGCGTTTGCATACTCTTCTCCTAATATTGATTCATAATCTGAATAAAAAATAAATTCCCAACTCCCTAATCATTAATTATAAAAATTAAAAATTTACTGAAAATTGAGAAAATAAAAATTATTAACTTTAGATATTACTGGAAAATCTACTCTGTTTAATTCTAATACGAATTTTAATAATTTGCTAATATATTTATACTTTATCTCTTATCTTCGGTGCATAAAATTTTTTTATGTGGATTTTTTTAAAAAAAATTCTGTAGTCATAACAAACTTTATAAATTTTTTATTCCCAAAGTAAATCCAATTTCTGCACATAGGCAGGCTAAAAGCAAAAACAAATAAATCGAGATTCAAGCCATTGATTTTCGAGTTGTTCCTGATAGAATTACAAGTAATGTCAAAACACCGCCTAGGATGATATAAGCTCCATTGTACCAATTGAAGCTTTCAGCTTTATTCCAGACTGCGACACCTCCAGCAATATTTCCGAGCCCAACTATCAGTAAAGAGACGGCTGAGGTAAGAAATAAACAGTATAGACAATTGTTTCCAGTAGCTTCACGGCCAGGATCCATATTATAACTTAACTTATAGAGTTTCGAAAATAAAATAGATTAAAGATTTAGATAAATTAGCAGCTTTAAATTTTTAGAAAACTGAGCACTTGCAGCTTGTCTCAGCTTTGGAGTAGCTTGTTAATGAAAAATTGCTTTTTCGAGCAGTTGATCTTGATATGAGCTGGGACTCGAAGGAATATTCAAGGACAGTTGGAGTTTTTTGAGTTGTGTTACAAGATTCTATATTGTAACAGGAAACAATGCTCATGTTGTCGCTTGGCATACTTGATAAAGTCCTTTTTGAGTTCATAATGGATGATTAAAATTAAAATATCGCTTATTCAATATAATGAAACCTGCTAGCTTATTATATCAATTTTCAATCAGAGATTCAAAATTCTTATAATTTAGCCTTTCAAACAATATTTATAGCATTGGCAGCGATTGATATAGTTTGCCACTTGAAGACCATTTTAAATAAACCTAAAATTTTAATTGCTTTTGGTTCAAACTGCTATAGTTAAAACAGCTATTATTCCCATTTAAAGCAAATGCGTAGGATTAATGCGCTTTATTTATTTATTTATTTATTTGCCATCATCTGCATTTACTTGTAATGATTTAAGGCATATAATTATTTTTTTATAAAATTGATAAACTTTCATAATGGCTTATAGATGCAAACATTTTTTGGATACTCAAAAAGAGATTGCAATTTTTGGCTAAATTATTATTATTTTTTAAGATCAAATATAAAAAACGGGATATATTATTCTAATTTTGAAAATTTAACTTAAAATACTGTAAACAAAAATGATAAAATTTTTTGCAAATAATTCTTCACCTATTTCTAAAAATAATTTCTCTCCATATTCTGATTTTTGCTTACAAGAATAAAAATGTGGCAGGTTCTCATGTTAATCTTCTCATTAGCTTTTTCTCAATCAAGCTTAAAGGAATGCGAGATGGAGTGAGCAAAAGTTTTGAAAGGAGCTGAAGGAATTCTTGATCCCAACCCATCTGACTATACAAAGATGTTTAGATACTCAGGGTTTATGATTAATAACTTAGGTGAATATGATCCCTGCACGGATATTTCGATTGCAAAATACACTGTAATTGAGATAGTGTTTCCGTTTATGGTTATTACTCTTTGTGGGCCAAAAGTTTGTATATTTTCTTGAATTAATCTGTTAAAAATTAAATTTTTTATGTTATGCTATTAATCTTATCAGTTTATATGCTAAACACCTAATAAGAGTGTACAGAGGAGGATTATATCCAAATATTGACAAATTCAAGTTTTTTTCACCAATTACCATCTGCCCTAAAATCCCAAAATTCCCAGAAAATTCTTACTCAGTATCCAAATACTCCAATAGTTTTCCCCAAAGAATACATTGATGACAATTTCAGCGATTATTCAGCCGGTGCAATATTAATGATAATTTTTATTGCAATTATTGCTTTTATATGCTTATCCGCCACTATTTTAGAGTATTACGAGATATCAAAACCCCAAAGTATAGATAAGCTTGGCTCTGAGCCACAAGAGAGATCTTTGGCTATTAAATACTTGCTTTGTTTTTCAATGATTACCAATTTAAAAAAACTATTTATAAGCAGAAGCCAAGAAAGATTAGGGAAAAAAGATACGTTAGAGTTATTAAACAGTGTCAGGGTCCTTTCAATTGGATGGGTTATTCTTGGCCATACGTGTTTATTGCTTTGAACAGAGGCAGTGATTTCGAATGGTGACCATTTTATTGATATTTTGAAGAGCTCTGATATGATTATTCCTGCGAGTGGAGAAGTATCAGTTGATACTTTTTTTTGGCTTGCTGGGCTATTAGTTGCATATTTGTTGATAGCTGAAATTAATTCTCCTAACTAAGCTAAACGATAAAGGACTCATAAAATTTATGATCTATTTGATTTTCCAGTTAATTTTAATTTTTAATGAATTATTTTATAACTTATATGAAGTATACACATAGCTTTAGGTCAATATATAGATATCCTAAGATAGTAAGAAAGCGAATTGGATCATGATTTATGTTCATAGATACCTCCGTCTAACTCCTTTATACTTATTTGTGATTTTATTCTATTGGTCTCTCCAAAAGCACATCGGGAATGGCCCACTGTGATATAGAGGAAATTCCATAAACGATCCTTGCAAAAAGTATTGGTGAACTGATATCTTATACGTAAATAATTTTGTTCCCAACTGAAAATCCAGCACTTGTTTAGGCCAAGCATGATATTTAGCTAATGATATGCAATTTTTCATAATTACTCCCCCAATCCTTTGGCTTTACCACAAATACCATAGATCATTTGGGTGGGTTTCAGTGATTTTAATGAACATTCTGTCAATTTTAAGCTCAGGCCTTATAGCTAATCATTTCAATCTCAATGCTGTACCAATTGCAGCTGAAAGTGGACAAAATGGATATTGGTACTACTATGTAAAACCTTATTGCAGAATCGGGCCTTACGGTCTTGGAATAATATCAGGCTTAATCTTATATTCATACAGAAAATTCCAAGATAAGCAAATTACCTATGATTCAACAGCGATCTGGGTTGCTAAAAAATTTGAAAATATTTATTTCAGGTATATTGCTGGCTTTATAGGACTAGCATTGATTAATATCAATATTTTTGTATTGTATGACACTTTTAAGCACCCCGGGAAAGGTCTTACATACCCGCATTGAACTGATTCAGAGAATGTTGCTTTTATTGCCTTCAATAAAGTAACTTTTGGCTTGGGGATTACTTTAGTCCTGCTGCCAGCACTTCTTGGACACTTTAATTGGATTACTTGAGTACTTTCCTGGGACATATGAACTCCACTCGCAAGAATGACCTACTGTGTTTATTTAATCCACTATAACATCCTTGATATCATTTATAGGAGCCAAAAAGTGGCTACAATCTTAAGTGAATTTACTTGAATCCGTGATGCGATATTTTTCTTTGTCATTTCTTATATAATTGCGATTCCATTTGTGCTAATGATTGAAATGCCTGCTTTGGCTATAGAAAAGCTAGCATTTTCTTCAATTAGAGCTATAGAAGTTTCCTATGTTTGGCGCTGTAAAGGCCGATAAATTCTGATCGGAATTTATCGGTAGGTTGCACCAAATCAATGCCTTGGTCGGACCAAAAAGCGATTTGGTCCGACGAACTTGGAAAGCTCCTGGGAAAATGTCTGCGCTTTTAGCGCTATATAGAGGAAACCTCTATAAGCCATCGGAAGATCAGCAAAATAAATCAATTATTCTTCAGCCTTTAACTAAATCACTTCAGATATAGTCAGTTAGGAAGAAAATTTCCTATTTTTAGTTAGCAGCATTTGAATTGTTTTTCAGTAGGTAGTGCAATTATAATTGTATTTTAAACATCGGCACACTAGATAAATTTTTTTATTTTAAATCATTTTATCATAAAATTCAAAAAATTGAATTTTATTTTATTTTTAAAAAATTTTATAACCCAACTTTTAAATTGAAGAAAATTTCTTGTTTCTATTTAAAGAAGAAGGATTAAAGGATAAAATGCATTATCCAATAATATAACATTTAATCGATTTCCATTTATTATTAAAATGTTCAGGTGGATATTCACGCGTGCCGCTCGTATCCCATCTCAAAGCTTGATTTCACGAAATTTGCTCACAAAGCCAATCAATTTTAAGTTTTCCACCACAGTCCCAGATCTTGAAACATCTGATCAAGATGGAGAACAAGACGGCAAGTACTGAGACGGTTCCTTCTCATGACACCTGAACTATAAAGTTTTTTTTGGCTAAAAATTTTAATATAATTTTTTAGAAAATAATAGACTAAAATGGATTGAAATAGTAAATATGCAGTCTTTTCCAAGCAAATTGACTAATAAAGATTAAAAATAATTATAAAATAGGCTAAAAAAATAGTTGATAAAAATAGGATAAAAAAAATTAGTATAAAAAAATGCTAAAAAAATAAGGAAAAAAAATATTCAGGTGTCATGCGATTATAGACTGAGAGAAATGGGAAAAAGGGATTGAAGTTCTGAATGATGCGAAAAAGAAGTCTTTAACTGAAGAAGAATATTTGAAACTTTCCAAAGAAATACCTTATCTTGACGTACAAAGGCTAGATCCAGAGTCAGCTGACGCTGTGAAATTTTTAGTTGGAGATTTGGCTAATAGAGCTGATGATTTCTCTTTGCATGGGGTAATAGAACTCTCATCTAATATAGCTATGAATGACACCCTCAACATTGAACCGTATATTGTGCCTTACTGGCGAGTAGTGACTCAATTTTTATTGAAAAAATACTCTGACTCCGCCCTTTAAATTTGAACAAAATCAAGTTCCAATTTAAAGGGGGTTAAATTTTTTTCTCTATAAAAAAGTTTTAAAAATTAAAACAATGTAAATTAACCTTATTATTTTTTGAATTTTAATTAATTTTATGAAGAATTAATAATTCAATGTCAAAACTGTTTTAAATAATATTCTATTTGCTTTTTTTTCCCATTAAATATGTTAAAAATAATTTTATAATAATATTTCATATATAAAATTTCCTATTGAAAAAAAATTGTTCCAAAATTAGTTTGTTCCAATTTAATGGGGAGAGAGTAAGCTAAAACTCCCAGAAAAAATATTTATTATCTCGCATTATTCAATGATCCCCTATTATGACGCAAAAATCAAAGAGCTGATTGACAATATAATAGAGTCCTTAAAATGGATCCCACCTCAGGAATATGAAAAACTTCCACCTGTAGCTCTATTTGGGACAGCACGTGCTCTCCGTCACAAAGGATGGGGCGACACATTGTTTATTAATACTTTATGTGTGCTGGTTGTAAGAAATAAGTATTTCTGGGGCATGAATCCACGAATAGTGTCCCATTTCCTAATCTTTTTAGAAGAAGAAAAGCACGAGGAGCACATTCAAGTATTGATAAAATGTACAGAAAAAGTCCTGACCAAATGCATCGATAAAGGAAAATTCAATTCTTTAAAATCCTCCACCAAGCTTGCACGAGATATCATTGGTGCTGAGCATGTTTCAAAAGAATTTAAGCTCAAGGTTGAGCAGCATTTTCTTAATTTGATTAACGACCGAAATCAGCCAAAAAATTTAGATATCTTGCTTGCATGGCTCAACATATTTGCGAGACATACATTTCAGCTCCCAGAGCTTGAACAAAAACTAAAAGATCTAATTTTCGAGTTTTGGAAAGACGCGACTGAAATTGAGCTCGCACACATGGTTTGGCTTCTTTCACCAAAACTGAATGACAATGTCCATCATATAAAAATGCTTATTATTACGATAGAAAATAAAGTACGTAAAAGAAATTGGACAGCTCCAGAGTATTTAGAAGCTATTATGATCGAGCTCAATAACTCAAGGATTGTATACCCAAAACTGATGAAAATGCTTGAAGACATTGCGTTTGGAATGCTAGAGGACCCAGAAACCAATCCAGAAGACATTCTGAAGATAATCTCATGCTTTCCACCACAAATGACAAATAACCCCAAATTTCATGAAAAAGCTGCAGAGAGGTTGGCTAACATAAATTATGAGGCACTTGGTCAAGCACAGGTAGCAACCCTACACCCCCCCCCCCCCCCTTTTTTAATGGTACCCCCACCCCCCCCTTTTAGTGGCACCCCCACCCCCCTTTTCACAGATGGCACCCCCACCCCCCCCTTAATATAGTATAGATATATCACAAATGCTAATTTAGAGCAGGCATAATAAATAAATTATTATTTTAGATATTAAAAATTACTGATTTATACAATATCATATAGCGTAGCGCAATCGATTAAGGAGTAGTGAAAATTTCCTATAACTACTAAGAACCCCACATCTGAAGAAATTTGCTGACAAGCATAATGATCTTTGGTATTAATTAGCAGTATATCCTGTATATATTTATGAACTTTGTGGAACAATGGCTAAAGAGTCCATTTAGAGATCTAAAAGTAAAACTGACAATAGCAAATACTATTTTTATTAGCACATTGCTTTTCAAATGAAAGAGATGCTCTATATAAGTTAGGCAATAGAGAATAAGATATGGAATGCTATAAATAAGCTATCAGAGTTGATCCAAATTATGCTGATGCATACAATAGCATAGGAGTTATCTTTTATAAAGAAAAGAGTTATGAAAAAACACTAAAACATTGTAACGATGCAATTAAAAAATTCAAACTGTGAAGTATTATTATTATTATAATAAAAGAAATGCTCTTACTCCCCCACTCTTTAAAATCGGAACGAAATATAGGTAAAATTTCCACTTTTTTGGTAAATTAACCCCCTTTAAATTGAAACAAAATTTAATTTTATAATAAAAAATTATAATAATTTTTATGTAAAAGGTTTTGATATAAGTTAAATGTTTCTTCTTAACTAAAATCAAAAATTTAGTTATATCTTGTTCTTGTTTAAAGAAAAGAGTATAAAGATCATCTTATTTAAATAAATTTATTATCCTTAATTGCTAAATTTTTCAAAAAAATTTTTATTCTTTTTTGATAAAAATGATATTTTTTATTTAAATAGTTTTGATATAAATTCAATAAGAATTCATTATAAATTTTAAATTTTACTAATTTCTTGCTTTATTTTAAAGAATAGAGTATAAATAGCATATTATTTAAACAAAATTAGCACTTTGATCGATAAATTTTCTAAAATTTTTTGTTTTTAAATATTTTTTATCAATAAAAATAATAATTTTTGTGTAAATAATTTTGATACCAATTAATAGTGGCGTATTAACTAATAATGAAAATTTAGTTATATCTTGCTTTGTTTTAAAAGATAAAGAGTAAATAGCATTTTATTAAACAAATTTATTAATCTAATTCGATAAGTTTTTGAATTTTTATATAAATTTTTTTTATAAAAAAAAATTTTATATTGATATTTTTTTTTAAAAAAAAAAATTAACCCCCCTTTAAATTGGAACAAAATTTTTTGTTCCAAATTTAAATGGGGGAGTTAGATAGTTAGGAAGAAGAGAAGAAGTTTTGGAATGCTATAAAAAACAATCAAAAAAGAATAATGGCAACTCAAGATGTGATATAGGCATGGTATGTAAGAAAATATGAATATAAATTAATACTTGAATTCGCAAAAATTTTATTTTATGAATTGATTACTTTTTAAACCTATTATTTAAGCTAATTATCCATCTTCTGCATATCCTGCATTAGCTCATATTACATCCATCTTGAAGTTACCTACACTGTATTCATCTTCGCTGCACTCTGTAGTTATTGTATTGTGCTTGATTCATTTAATAATTACTGACATTATCAATATCTTTGGCATTGTATTTATAAATATAAAAAACAAATTTAATATATTTCCTAATTAATTTTTAATTAATTTGAATTTATTAATTAATCGCAATTATTAAAGCAATTTATAGACTTCATTTATCAATATAGCGCTTTAATTGGATTATATTTAAAATATTCTTTTTGAGGGGGGTGGGGGGGGTGGGGGTGGGGGTGGGGGTGGGGGTGGGGTGGGGGTGGGGGTGGGGGGGGGGGGTGGGGGTGGGGGTGGGGGTGGGGGTGGGGGTGGGGGTGGGGGGTGGGGTGGGGGTGGGGGTGGGGGGTGGGGGGGGGGTGGGGGTGGGGGTGGGGGTGGGGGTGGGGGTGGGGGTGGGGGTGGGGGTGGGGGGTGGGGGGGGGGTGGGGGTGTAGGGTTGCTACCTATGCTTGACCAGACACTAGTTGATGAAAGACAAGAAGAAATTAGAGACGAATACGAAGAAATGAAACGCAATGAAGTTACTAATATTGAAATTGAGGAAGAAGACCTTGAACACCAGATTTACGGATATGCAAAAAACCTCAGTCAAGATGAAGAAACTGCCAGAATGAAAGAACTTAAAAAAATTATGGAGAAGAATAAGAAAGACAATTTTTATGGATTCAACAGCAGGCAGGAGCTAATAAAAATAATTGAAGAATCTATTACAGAAGAAAGGATATATAGTTTAGCATATTTATTAGATTTAATAACGACTGTGTATGAAAACAAGTATTTGCAGAAACCTGAAATAATTGAAAAATTTGAAGGAGAGATGATAGATAAAATTGTGATGCTGAATGAGTTTAATATGTTTCGGCCAATTTTTGCATTTTTAAGGCTAAATTGTGCATCTATCGCATTTTATAATAGATGCATAGAAGTTTTGAACTTGTCCATGCAAAATTTCGCACCAATGCCTACTGCCAGAGCTACTCTTGCATTTGGAATGATCGGAAAAGAAGAATTTTTCATGCAAATGCTACAGAAAATCAGGAAGTTTATAACAAGCAATGAGATGGTAAGAGTTCAGACCAATTTTGGAGTGGTTTTTAGGTTCAGAGGAGTGATGAGCGCATTTTTTAGGTTTGACGAGAATTTCCCTGCGTTTGCTCTAGCAGAAATGGTATGGGGGCTGGCTGCTTTTGAAATTAAAGATCGAGAGATTTGGAATGAAAAACTTTATCAAATTTTGTTAGAACTTCCAGGAGTTGATATAGACTTAAGGCTAAATAAGTGAAGCAGGGCTAGAGACTATAGTGATAAGGAGCAAACACGCTGCCTTGATCCTTTTGATTATGGACTATTAATGCAGGCACTAGCTTTAAATCCTCCCCAGGGTGCAAAGCATAAAGTATTTTTGAACAAATTGAAAAATTTAGTCAAGGGGAAATCAGAAAATTTTATCAAAAAAATGGGATTCCGCGCAGATATTAGACCTGGGTTCCTTGAAAGTGTAAAAGAGGTAGCTAACTCCCCCCGTGAGCGAACAAAACCATTAGAAAAATGCCTATTTTTTGCCTAAAAAACCACCCTCCGTGAGCAAACAAAAATTTTTACGGAAAAAAATTTATATAGTTGATAATTAGTATAATGAAATCTCTGCTAATTCTGTTTTTAAAAAAAATCGCATTTAAAACATAAATTTTACAAATTAAATTAATATTTGCTTTCTAATTTTTGCGAATTAGGAATTTTTAAATTTCGATAAAAAAAATTAACCCCTCCGCGAACGAACAATTTTTTTTGTCGCACACGGAGGGAGTAAGAATTTGCATTTTGATATTGATGACAGGGAAAGACACTTTTTAGGTATGAAGCTTGATTTGAAGCTCGGGCAAAAGGAAATACTTTTATATGACAAAGATCATTACTTATATAAAAGCAATGGGTATGAGAGCAGGACTGGAGAAAAAGATATGTTTAAATACTGGATTATGAAGAAAAACATATTGAAAGCTGCTGATATACCGTTTATAGAGATTTATCAAGGAGAATGGGAAAAGATGCTGCCTGAAGAGCAAGAAGAGTTTTTACATAATGAATACAAAAAGAAAGCCAAAAAAGAATAATGAGACAAGTACTTAAGCTAATTACGTGATTTTGAAGAGTAAAATCTCATTAATAATTTATTTTTATAAAAAATTATGAAAGCTTTGGATAGACCTTACAGTGTATCTACCTTCTTGTGTAGCGAGCATACTTGCTCTTCACAGGTTTCAGTGCAAAGTTTCCATATAGACGAAGCGATATAAATAAATATTCGCTGCAAGTTCCTAAAAAAGTATGACAATTTTTTACAAATGATTCTTTTCTCTCTATTGTGCAATAGATTTTTCCTATTTGCAATGAAAACGTTTTCTTTGTTATTTTCATTGGCTTTTGATTTATCTCTATTATTTACATTCTTATTCAAATTCATATTGTTCCTAAGTACCTTATCTTGTATCAATGATTTGCTGCCTTTTTTGATTTTTGCTTCTAATAGTAATTCATAAGCAATGGTAAAAGTTGATTTTTCATGATTTAAAATCCTGTTTTTTACGAGCTCGAATGGAATTTTTAGGTTTGAAAATTCTGGGAATTTCATAAGGGTTTCAAATATCTCAGAGTCTATATCTTCATATGATGAAATTTTATTATGGCTGTCGAAATAAGAATTTTTTGGTTTTAATACATTTAAACTCATAGGTAAATTTTGCTTAATCCAAGGATGCTCTTCAATCTGTTCTATGTTAATACGAGAAATAGGGTCTGGGTCAAGCATTTTGTATATCAGATCTAAAGCAGGCTTTGAATATTTGACTGGTTTAATGTCAAATCTTCCATTCGCATTATATTAAAACTAATCTTCATCTTGATAACATCCAATAGTATATTAATTCCATGGGATTCTGTTCCTGCTTCTGGCTCCTGGCTACCGCATTTCAGGCACCGCGCGGCTTCGCCCCTGAATGGTCCATCAGCTCCGGGCGTTTCAGATTTCAATGGCCTTCCTTCAGGCTCGATCTAGAAGCCAAATTTGAGTCCTTCAGGCACCTTAAAGGTCCCAGCCTCTGATTTCCTAAGAGATAGGAGTCCTGCGCTGTATCGCAGACACTTAAGTTCTGTCATAGCCGGGAGAAATTCGTGGGAGAATTCTAAACTCATAATCATAAAACGCAAAAAGAGAAAATTGGATTGGGCGACGAAAAATTAAGTGGCACCATTTAATGATTATCGAGTCTTCCATTTACAATTTTTTTGAATAAAGATCTTACATCGCTTCCTGAAAAAGGTAGCATCCCAGTCAAAAAAGTATAGAGAATAACTCCACAGCTTCAAATATCTACACTAGCTCCATTATATGGAGTGCCTAATAATATTTCAGGTGCCGAATTTAAGTTTAAGTTTAACGAATTACTATAGCAAATTGCCATCAATCTTCTTTTACTTGAGGGTCAAAACTGCATTAACAGCTCTGAATAACGGTAGATTGGACCGGCCTTACCGCCAAACCGTTAAAGTTATTAAGCCCGTTAAGACTTCTCAGCACCCGACCCTTCAAGCCGAGACTCTCAAGAAGCTTGATTTCTCTCACTAAGCTCGGATGATAGGATACGGACCTGCGTAGCAGGAGTTAGGACCTATCCCTAACTGACATTTTTAATATTGTGGTGCCGAATAATTTAATGAGCCACAATAAGTTTGTAAAAATTTCCCATCTTCCATAAAATTCGATAATCCAAAGTCACTTATCTTAATATTCATATTTTCATCCAGCATTAAATTTTCTAATTTTAAATCTCTATGAGCAACTTTTTTTTTATGACAAAATTTGACAGCTGAAATAAGCTGCTGGAAATAAAACCTAGCTTTTTCTTCATCTAGTTTCCCATTCTTATTCAAAAACATTTGAAAATCACCATTAGGTACATATTCCATGACCATATAAATTTTGTCAACTGTCTCAATAACTTCGTATCTATATATTTATTACAGCCTGATTATATTAAAATGCCTTAGTTTTTGATGGATCGTCAATTCTCTCATCAATCTAGACTTTTCAGGTTTAGTGTCCTTTTGATGTAATATTTTAAAGGCAACTTTTATGCCCGTCAATTTGTGGGAAGCAACTGGATAATTTTTACGTTTTACTTTACCAAATGTGCCTTTACCGAGTGATTTAAGTATTGTATAATTTTGTAAATGAGACATATTTATTATACCTTCAATTTAAATCAGTATAAGAAGTGGTCATTTTGGATTACTGAATAATAGCCGGAATTTATTTTAAATTACGATTAATTTAATAGAGAAAAGGCTTGAGAAATAATTATGATAATTATTATTAATAGTCTTATTTATCTTTCCTTAAACAAAAGTCGATGGAATGACTTATTTTCCACTAATAGTTTAAGCAACAATGATTTTTGGGTGTTAGGGGACGCAGGGTTTTGCTATCTGGCACTCCCGAGGAAGCAGACACTTAGATGGAGCAGAGCAAGAGTCAAGTCTGAAGCGAGAGCGACGCTTTCTTACGCAAAGAGGTGGTCAAGTGGGTGAAGTTATTGATAAAAAGCTCGTAGGCTTCTCCTTCCTTAAAAAAGCAGCGAAGGAGATGGTTCATGATGTTTATGTTTTAAAACGCGATTTGTTTAAAATTAAACAGAATTAACTCGAGATTTCCTTATACTACTTATTACTTACATATCAATTTTTTTTTCCACAAAAATTTTTCTATTAAAAACATTTTTGTTTGTTTACGAAGGGTGGGTTTTTGGGGAAAAAATAGGGATTTTTCTAATGGTTTTGTTCGCTCACGGAGGGGGGGAGTTAGAGAAACACGCTAAAAATTAATAATAAGTAAGCAAGATAGTTCAAGCAAACAATTATGATCTGAAAGATTTATTTAATGGTAAATCAAGAGGTTGCTAATTAAGTAATTTTCGAGCACACTAGCGTATTAAATATCAGAAAGTAATTAATAGGTTGCAGATGAAATATCAGAATGAGAAAATTTAAAACTTAAGCCCTTTATAAAATTGCAATTGATAATTTATTTTTGCACTGTTCTAAAAATTTTATATTCAAATATGTAGATTTCTGACGAAATTAACATTAAAGATCTCTTATTTGAGGTTAAATTATTTATTAAAGATTTCTGATAAATATAAATCATTTTGATTTCTATCTAGCTTATGATAACTTCTCAAGTTTCTAGCACATATGAATTTAAAATTGTAGTTCAGAAAGCATTAAAGCTTTTGATTCTAAACCATCATTTATTAATCTTTTATATATGAAAGATAATTTAACTAACACTAACTTAAAATTCGAAGCATAATTGTCATATTTAAATTATTTTTGATTTTAAACACAACTTTGATTTTATTTCTTGAAGCTCTTTCAGAATTTTATTTTCATCTGAATCTGACTTTCTGTATTTATGAAAACTTTCCAATTTTAGTTTTTTTATTTCAAGATTAAGCCTCCTTATCTCTTCTTCATAGTAAAATTTGCTTTGAGTATAATGCTCAAGAAGCTCTTCATATTTCTGTTTGATATTTATATATTTATCTCTATCGTTTTCCAACCGTGTGTGGCTTCTTTCATAAATTCTTTCATATCTATCAATGCTTGATGCATGTATCTGCTCAATGCTTCCCATTTCTGATTCATTATGGCCACTTTTAATTGAGCCTAAGCTGAGACGTCCTTCATGATTTGGGTTTCCAAGATTTAAAGTAGGGACATAGTTCGATCTCTGTGAAAATGACCGAATTGTAGGTGATGGATTTGGAGGAGAAAAGATTGCATTTTTAATTTGCTCAATATCTGAGTATTGGTTTGGGATAGGAGATGGTTCTTGAGGAGGCTCCTCAGTTTCAATCTTTGATTCAAGCGGCAATGATTTTCTTGGGGAATGCAAGTATCCTGGAATTATTAGCTTTTTATATTTGGGGTTTCCAATTTTTAGAAACAGTTTTGCTGATGAAAAATCAGTGTTAACGATAACGTTGCCTGGCTTCACACTTTTTGATAAGTCAATTCTTTTATAATGAGCAGAGTGATAGGTTTTTTTCATTGAATGTATTATGATACAGCTGTTAAAAATTACATTGGATATAAATGCTATAGACATTAGAGTGAAGCAATTAATATGATGCTTAATTTAATGCACACAAATAAAATGGAGACGTCACCGACCCATCCTCTCCTGGACTTGCTTTGAGTTTGAGGGCTTTGCTGCGGCCTGAATTCAAACTGAGCAGAAAATGGAATCTACGGGTGCTGGATATTTGAGTTTCGGCTGGGACTTTGCCTCACTCTTCTGGCAAGGAAGATTTATTATCATCCTGATGGAAATTTGGGAAAAAAGGCTTTTTACCCCTAGAGACCACTATTGCTAGCAACGAAGGCATAATTGGTACCAATACTAGCTAGGGAGTTTATCCCTAGCTGGAACTCTAGTTACTCAAGCAGCAGTTCCAAGCCTGCATATTCCAAAGTTTTGAGACAGCATTAAGAGCCAGGCAAGAGGAGCTATCTCTGGCGGAAATGCTGACATAATCATGGAGGTTGCTAACAGCTGAACGAGTCTTCCACGAAGACTTATTTCATGTGAGACTTAAAAGGAGAAAGAGCCCTAATCTATAATTAATGTTAATGCTAATTCTTAATTTAATGCAAAAAATAAATTTGCGATAGCAACTAAATTTGTGGAAGAAATATTGAATAGTAATTAACAATGAAATATATATCAGATTATAAGTCTTAACTGAAAACGCAAATGAAAATAATCAATCATATAAGAAATATGACACTATTCTCAGCATAATTGTGTTAACTTAATATTTTGAATTAATGTTTTATTATCCTGCTTATTATGATTAAAATTGATTCGTTAACAAACATCTACAATGATTCCGAGAATAAAGACTCTGCAGATTATGAAAGCGATTTTGAAGCTGAAAATGAAATAGAAAAGGAATTTCAAAATATCTCAACAGATAAAGAAATTGAAAAATCCCCAGCAAAGCATATAACACATACAGCTTCTTTTCGCTCAAGATCCTCATCAAGCACAGCAAGCTTGCAGAGAGCGAGATCAGGCATAATCTCCCGTAGAATTTCACCTTTAAAAAACCGAAACTCTTTACTTTTACTTGAAAAAGAGAATTTAATGCTAAAAAACCAATTGAAAGCTATTAACGCAAATTTGGATGATGCCTTGGAAAAGCTGAAAAAGAAAATAGTTGTTAGGTCTTCAAGTATAATCAGGCATAGAAGCAAGGCTGAACAGATGAGCATAATAGAAAAGCAACTAAATTACTATGAAGCTGAAAGCAATAAGCTACAAAAAAGAATTAGAAAATTGCGAAATGTGGATTATAAAGAAAACTTAAAAGAAGAGATAAAGGAAAAGGAAAGGATTTTAAAAAATTATGAAAAACAATTGAAAGTAAAATATGAAGAACAGAAGGAAAGAGGTGCAGTTTTAATAAAAAAAGAGCAAGAAATTGAACCAAAAGAAGTCACAGAATATAATGAATTGTTAATTGAAGAAAAAAAGCTGAAATTACAATTTGAAAATTTAGAAGAAAAAATGGAAAAAGACAACGACTACTATGAACATTTGTACAATAAAGAGGCTGACCTAACTAATGAGCTTGAAGTTCTTGAAAAAATCGCAAAAAATTTATTTAATCCTTTATCACAACAAGAAAAAATAATGATTGATACACATTTAAAACTTCAAAAGCAATTATCAATAATCGAAAGAAAATTATTTTTATCTATAGGCCTTAGTCTTAGTCTTAGTTAAATTTATAGAGTAGCTCCCGGCCAGGACCGAAGGTCCTTTTCTTCCGCCTTTTGGACGCCTCGCTTGCTTTCCTTGCCCTGCTCCCAGTGTGCACCTAAGTGCCACAGGCTACCACTCAGCTCCTTCCGGTCATGGGCTTGGTCATGCTATCCCGGAAGTAGGCGAACTGGGTCACCGTGCTTCACGTCGCCAGACTAGGGTTAGAGCTAAGGATTAACTCCGTAGCTCTTGTCGGCTCCTGCCATGCCCTCCAAATTGGCACTAGCGGTCGCTAGAGGAAAAAAAACTTTTTTGCCCCGTGTCCTATCGGGACGACCCTAGGATCGTCGTTGCTGGACTGGGAGGGAAACCTAGCCGGACACAAACTACCAGTACCCATTCCAGACCTTTCCCTGGGCGGATTGGCTTCAGGCCGCAGCAAGGTCCCCAATCTCGCCACAGTTCCGGGAGAGGACGAGTCGGTGCCGTCGCCATTTTATTTTTGTGTTTTTATCTATAGGCCAGTTATCATGTAAAGAGAAAAATATCGAAAAAAAGCTCCAGACAAATAAAGAAAAAATTGATGAAATGGAAACTAAGCTTAAAAATAAAACAGAATTGCTTGAAAATATCAATAAGGAATTATATGACATAATGAAATACGCCACAAATCATAGTTTAGGCTGTCTAGTTGACGCACTAACTAATACTTCAAGTCTTGCAGAGGAGATTGAAGAAATAAATGAAGATCCTTTTAAAAATAAATCAAATGATATAAGCCGAATAAGCAGTGAAGTTGAGCCAATAGAAGAGATTGCTGATGAGGAAGAAATTAAAAGCTATAGAGATAAGATTGCCGAAGAGCTAGATAAAATTGACCCATTATTGGAAAAAGTTAAAGAAATTTATGAAGAAAATGAAGACTTGTGAGACAGCTGGAAAAACAATGAAGAAATTTTGATTGAAAATAAATTAGAAGCAACGTTTAGAGATGAAGCCACGCTTCAATTGACTGAAAATGATACAGAAAGTATCCCTACATTAAAATTAGATACAAATAGTGAAAGGAATGAAGAGGTTTTTCATATAAATGAAAAGAAAACCACTGAAAGAGATTATTCAGAGTCTACAAAAGAGTTTAAAGCTCTAGAAGAAATTATTTCGAAAGAAATGCAATCTCTTCAAAAAACTGATGACAAAGAACATGAAAATGATAAAGACTTAGATATCGCTAAAAAATCAAGAAAAAACTCAAGATCAGGAGACGCAAAGAAGCCTTTTCAGAAGCCGCTGTTTAATTTAAGATCTCCACATGAAAAAGAAATAGGGGATAAGTTTATCAAGAATAACAAAAATTCGCATGAGAGAAAAGAAAGTAATGGATCAGCTGAATTTTCTCAAGAAAAGCAATATTTAAATGTTAAGGATATTCCTGAAAATTTTGGAGGTAAAATATCGCCGCATTTTGTGCAAAAAATATTGGAAAATGAAGAAGCTACAGAAAAATCATTTAGAAAAAAGAAAAGTGAAAAATCTATAAATGAAAAGCAAATTTTAGAAAAAGACCAGCCAATAGATGCAGATTATATATGTAAATCTGGATTTAAAAGTATCTGGCAAGCAAAAGACGTTGATTTAGAGCCAGTTAGAATAAAAGAAAAATCTCCTGACAGAGCAGGTAAACCTTTAGGCTTAAATAAGCCTAAAAAAGTAGAGAAAAAGACAGATTATTATAAAGAGTCAAACTTTCCTAAAGAAAAATGAGATAATATGAATGAGCTAGTTTACAAAGAAATCACATTTGGCCACGAAATGATTCCTCCAATTAACAAAGAGAACCCAAATTTCGAAGTCACATTTAACCACGATAAAACCCCAGCCTTTTCTCAGCAAAAAGCTATTTCACTCAACAAAAAAGCTCCGATCCAAAAAGACTATATTGAGTCTCGAGAAGAATTAATAGAAAAAATCAACAAATCCCACTTTTCGAATGTTCACAACTGTGAAGTCACAGGCGATTTCCCATCAATTTCATATGATTTGAATCAGGTAAAATCATTTTCCAACGATATTTTAAAGCATCAAAGGCATCATGCTACAAGTAAGAAACCGAAACTCTCGTCAAACCAAAATTCTTCCTTTGATTTATCAGAAGGAAATTATTTATTGTAAAATTATTCTTCATCCTTAACCTTTTTTAGCCTGACACACCAATTTGACCTATCATAATAATGCTTCATAATTTCGAATTTCCAGCCGTCAATTTTGGCTTCTTTTGCTAAGCTTTCTAGTTCACCTTGTTTAAAAACATGGTAAAATCGCTTGTAGACGACTTTGTCTGGGTCGTTGCTTTGTTCTCCTTTTGTGTCTTCTTCTTCATTTTCATATACTTTGTTTAGATGCCAAGGAACGAAGCAGTCTTGGTCTGTGAAAGCCCTTTCAGTTTGTTCTCGTGCCCATACATAAATTAAAGCTTGCCCGTTAGGTACAAGAACTCTTAAAATTTCTTTCATTGCTTGAATTCTTTAGACTGGAATAGATTAAGATTATGCTCTAGTGTGTCTTAGAGGTTTATTTCAGCCCCTACTGTCTATCGCAGACTTTAATCACCAGCGTCATGTCATGCCCTTTTTCTGTTGATGGCACCAAAAAATGGTAACGTCATGAGTCTCTCTGGGATATTTGCGCCTGCGTATCATCTTTACTGCACTGACTCCTCAATCTGGTAGTGCTCAGTGTATGGGTAAAACATCTTACTCCCCCCCTCCGTGAGTGAACAAAAAAATTTTTGTTCACTCACGGAGGGGGGTTAATTTTTTTTTTTTAAAAAAATTATATATAAATTTTTTATAAAAAATATTTTTTTTTCGAAATTTAAAACATCCTAATTCGCAAAAATTGGAAAGCAAATATTAATTTAATTTATAAAATTTATGTTTTAAAAAGCAATTTGTTTAAAATTAAACAGAATTAGCTCTAGATTTCATTATGCTAATTATCATTTATATATCAAAATTTTTTTCCATAAAAAATTTTTCTATTAAAAACATTTTTGTTCACTCACGGAGGGTGGGTTTTTGGGCAAAAAATAGGGATTTTTCTAATGGTTTTTGTTCACTCATGGAGGGGGGGAGTTAGTGCCTCCTTCTTGACTACCTACCTGATGCAGGCATAAAATTGTTTTTCCCTGAAGTGCTTGCCAGCATTGCGCTCTCGGTATATCATCTGTAGGTCAAGTAAAAAAGCTTGTCATGGAGTTCCAGCCAGACAAGCATCCACCCCGGGATTTTCTAAAAGTTTCGGATCCACTTGCCTGGGGCTGGGATCGACCCAAAATTTACTTTGACCCACCGCTCTCCATCTTTTAAAAAAGTGATTATTTTAGAAGAAGTCGATAAGTGGTGAATTACAGCAATTTCTATAGCAACATCGACTGAATTTGATCTGATAGGAACATTTAAGCAGTCTGCATTAAAAACTGAAAATCCTCTCTCTGCACAAATTTCAAGCATTTTGAAGCTCCTATCTGTACCAATCCTACATAATGGATCATCATATAAATATTTGCCGTTTCCGCACCCTATGTCTAAAATAAGAGAAAATGGTTCTTGATCTTTTAGAAATTCGTCGACTTTTGGCCAAGGTTTATATCTTGTATGTGAAAAATGTGATGCGATTTTATCATAAGTATCAAACACAAAATCCTTTTCTAGACTGGTTGGGTTGAGGTCTTTTGTTTCTTCTATGATAAGCTTTTCTTCGTTTCTGTCACAAACTGATGGAAAATTGCACTCACAGCGGACATTTCTTACTTTTCTGAAAGTAAGAGAAATTCTTCGTCTTCTATGTATAGAAATTCCTTCAAAAATATGCCTATTTGATTAAAGTTACTATAAGTGTTTTTATTATTTTATTTAAAAAATAAATTTTGCTATTGTTTTTAATTGAGAATTCACCTTATAGAGTATATCATATTTTCGGTTCCAAACTGAATGTTTTCATAAGTACCTCGCTTCATCTGTTAAGGCCAATATTGACCTTGGTGGCAAAAATTGGTTAAACTCACTTCCTTCTGGATGGCGGAAATTCATGCTTGATGGGCTATTTAAGCTTAAACAAACAATAGTGTCTTCAAAGGAAGAGTGAGCATCTAAATGTGGCGCTATAAAATCTCCAGGAATGTATTCTGTAGCAGTAATCTGGTCAAAGCGGATTCCAAGCTCATTTTCAAGCCTATCCAAAATAAAATTAAAAAACTCCGGAATTGCTATATCAGGCTGATTTTCTTGTAAAAAATCATGACCAAACTGCTGGACCCTTCTGTTTGTTAAAGGGCTTCATGATAGTTCATCAATATGATTTGCAAGAAAATCTTCTTCTTCAGGGGTGATAAATTCTTGCTCCAAATTTAGTCCAGGGACTGGGACATTTAAAGAACACCAGCATCCTTGAACTATTTTAAGTTCCCTCACGTTAATTGGTGTGTAAATTAAGGAAATTTGATGAGGCTTTGATGGAAATTGAAGCAGGTTTAAAGGCATATTCACAGAATTATAAGCAGAAATAGCTGAATCTATAGAGCTATAGGTAAGGAACCCATAATTAATACCTGGAATTACCACCAAATTCTTGATTTCTCCATATGAACTTAAATGAGATTTTATGATACTGAAATCTCTTTCTTGGCCATCTGAATAATGAAGCAAAAACATGTCAGCTGATGGCTCATCTTGGAAATATTGGCTAAAATTTTCGTTTTTCATGATGTGATCTTTGCCTTTTTGCATTTTCTTCATCAGACCTTTCAGTGCTGTGGCTTCCTTCTTCTTGGTATTCATTATATTTCTAGCTATTTTTAACAAATTCATTAATATTCCCATGGATACCACAGTTAGAGAGACAAAAACACTGGAAAGACTGACACAAATTGACCCTCAAGAGTGAACTAATATCCCTATTCCTATCAAATCTGCTTTAAGCATGATTATCAAGCTTCTTGCTGACCATCAGCAGTCAATTTTAAGCATAAAATCCACTTTGGGGACAGTTATAGTCAAAGCAAATAAACGAAAAACTAATTTCCTTAAAGCGATTGAGGCTACAAATGAACAATTAAGCAAAAAAGAAGAAGAAATTTTGTTATCAATATCTCGAGGAGAACAAGAAAACAAGCAAAATATTGATAAAATTAATGAGGAAATTAGAAATGATAGAGAAAGCAATAAAAAAGTATAAAAAGTAAACACAAATATATATTTTCTCTATAAAATTTCCCTATTTTTCTTAAAAAGAGGCCTAATTTTCAGCAACAAACGATTTAGCCTATTCAATTGGATATAAATGATCAGCTTTTTCAATACATGAAAGCTGAATCTAAAGACCTTAACCAGAAAATTGAAGCATTACCTACAAAGTTTGAAGTCCACTCAAAAATCCAAGAAATCAAAGATAACATGCCTGCCCAAATCAAAGGGGATATTGAAAAACAATTTGAGCCAGAAATATTAGGAATGTACAAGAGAATTGATGAAACAAACACGTAAAGTCTATTCAGATATATAAGAGACAAAGCAAAAAGTTTAGAAAATCTCATTAATAAAGAAAAAGCAGCAAATTCAGAAATATTTGGAGTTATAAATAAAAGGATAGATGAGGAAAAACAAAAATATGAAGAAGGACTAAAAGAAGCTAGAGAAGAAACACAAAAAGGCATAGAAATGATGGAAACCCTTCTAGAGTACACACAAACGTCTTTTGGGAACAAATTTCAGATTAAAAATACCTACCACATTGACTTGCAAAAAAAAATCGACGAATTAAATGCACTTTTCTCAAAGCACCAAGCTGAATTAGAAGATCTCAAAGTGGCTGTTTCAGAAATCGAACCACCCGCCCCAAAAGAAGAAATTCAAATTTCATCATTAAATCTGGGCGAAATCGACATACTAAAAATCATCAAAGAAAACCAGCCGCCTCCTCCACCTCCAGGGCTGTCAATGGATGAAGTTCGAAAAGAAATTGAAGAAATTTCGAAAATTATCAATGCTGAACTAAAAAATACCCTTAAAGAGCAAGAACTTAAATTCAGTAAAGATTTAAATGACTCAATTCAAAATTTGGAAACCTGGTTAAAAAGCGAAGCATCAAATACGGGCGTGTATATTAAAGAGCTTAGAGATAAACTTGCATGGCTTCCTATGAATTTGAGTCAGCTTGAAGGTATGAGTGCAACTGAAGCACGGCTGTTTACCCTTGAAGCGCGGCTAAGGTCAGAAGAAAATTCAAAATTGCAGATTTATAATGCTTTATCGAGACTTATTGAATCTATGCTGTTCTTGATTAAGCTTAATCAATAAACTAGTTTTTTATTTTTATATAGATTAGGCTTAATCTTCACTAAATTAATTAAAGACTGTATAAATTTGTTTCTCAAAAATCATCACGCCCTGAAAGCTTAACCCCACAAATCCCATTAGGCCGATATTCAGCTTCTCCTTATATTCGAGAGCCAAAAGAAGAAAAAAACAGGTTTAATGAAAGTTTGCATATAATTGAAGACTCAGAAATAAGCCACACAAAAAATGAAACAACTAACACATCACGCATTTCACGGCGCCAGTCACCACTAAATTTTACATATGAAAAAACTCAAAAGGTTTATAAGGAAATGCGAAAACTAAGAGAAACGCCTGGATCTTATGAATTTGAAAATAGTCAAAGAGAGCTGCCTAATATTTCAATTAAAAGACAGACTATGAGGTTGTAATTTTTAAAATAAGCATAGAGTTATATAATTTATAGCCCATATAGACTACGATACCCACATGTCAATTCCATTTTGGCACGTGAGGCTTGATCCATATGAATCTCAACATGTCAAAATGGAATTAGCACGTAAGCATTTTTCAGCAATTAGTGCGATGCATCATAACAGCTAAAAGAATGACCTAACCTTCCTAATTTTGTTTTACTTGCCAATATTATATCTTAATTTAGCATCAGTATTTGTATATAAAGTAAATATTCCTTTTCAATAAAATTAAATCTTTAGCAAAGCTCTATTTTCCTTTTATTTATCCCACATATTTATTTTCTAATAGGTATAAGTTAAAATTTAAGCTTGCGAGGATCAATATTTTCTTTATCACTTGACAGTAAATTTTTAATTTGGTCTTCAGCTAATTCAAAAATTTTATCTTGTTTCAACGCTTGGAATATTGACATGTTCTGCTTTTCAACTTGTTTAATTTCCTTTTGAACTTCTTGCTCGAAATTATATAGGCTAAATAAATTCGTGAGGCTGAGTTCACAGCGCGTGCATTTTTCATTAGAGTTTTTTAGACGGTAGCCGTGAATCCGGCTTTCCAGAGGCGGAATTTGAGGTGATTTTATAAGTTGGCAAGGCAAATTTTGGGTTGGATTGATTTCCAGGGCATCTTGAATTAAAGAAAAGGGTAGGAAGTTGGGAAGTTCTTCTTTAGAAATATCAAGGGTTTCCATTTAAATAATATAGCCGCCATTTTACATCATTTTATATGTTTTAAGCGCCATAATCATAATTTTAATTAATTTTCTTTTCTTCGGCTTTAATAGAAAGTCTCATACATTTTCCGAGCACAACTAGTTCATTTTGGCACTGACGCCAGTCATTTCCGTTGTTTTTTAAGCACAAATCCAAAGCAGCATGAGTCCCTGCGCAGCCAGCCTTGCCAACTTTCGTTTTCATATCAATTACAGTCCTTTCTTGTAATTTTTCACTCATAAATATTATTGTCTGACCTCATAAAATGGAATACCAAAACTCAGTCAAGGATTATATAAAACGGGCTACTAATATCAAGCAGATGGACGTCAATTCTACAGTCTGCCAAATGCTTTATATCTGTTTTGCGCCTCAAAAACTTGCCAGACTGACTGCTATGAGAAAAAGTAAAGAATATTTAGCTGCGAAAAATCAATGGGCAAGGGACGACCCAGCCTTTGTAGTTATGCTGATGCTAGGACTGACTGTTGCTTCGTTTTGTTATGCTTTGACGTTTAATAAGTATTTTGTTATGTAGAGATGGGTTTTTTGGGATTTTTAGGACGATTTTTTATTGCGTTTGTGTGTATTTTTTGGGATTAGGGGCTGTGATATCATATGTAAATTTGTAAGGAATAATATTAGACGAATTGCAGAAAATCATTTGAAAGAGAAAAATAGTAGATATTCAGGGGCTGCTGGGAAGCTTGAGTGACTTTATTGCTTTGATATACATTGCAACTCGTTTTTGCCTGTCTTTTTGATAGTTTATGTTTTACAGTATTTTTTCCTGCCTCTTTTAGTGATGGAGAACTTTTTTAGTGTATGTTTGGCTAATTTTTTGGTTATTGGGTCCTTTTGCTATTATCATTATTTGACGTGTCAAGGATTCGGGACATTACCTTTTCTTAAAAACACAGAAATTTATTTAGCACCTATTTTGGGATTGATTCCTTTAGGAGTGATTTGTATTGCGCTTAGGATTAATCTTACGACTGCAATTATCTCTATGCATTTTTAACATAATTTACATTTAAGAATCATTAATTAATCAAAATATTAAATAATAAATAACACTCAAGCCATTTAAAAGCTCTTAATGAGGAATAAAACTTTTAGGTTTGATGAGGCTATGCTTGGACTTATATTTTAGAGAATTTGAGGAATTTTATATAACGTATTTTCGATTTGTTAATACTTTGGTAGATATTTTATCTGCTCGATTCAAGATTTATTCGAGGAAATCTTATCATTACTCTAGAACATCAAGTTTTTTAACATTATGATGACGCTATTTGGATCATTAAGACTTCATGAAGCTTAATCTGTCTTTTTTATTGTTTTTCTATATCTTAAAAAAGCTGGCAAAATTTCAATTAAATCATTTTATTTTCAAATCTACAAAATTTTCAGGCGACTTTCCAAAAATACATTTTTAAATTTATACTTCACAATCCTCCAAATTTCTTCAAAGAATAATCTAATATTTCTAATTGCTTTGGATTCTAATAATTTATTTAAACTTCTTTGATAGCTTATTTATTATTATAACATTTATTATATATAAAGATATATATCTTTCTTTTATGTTAACAAATATCTATATAGCCTAAAATTAAAAACAATCAGTTTTGAAATACAAGTTCATCAACATAAAATCGAGAAAATGGCAAATCGGTCATATCAGACAGCCAGCCTTCGGAATCCTTCTTCTAGAGCAGGTCAAAATCCGCCCTCAACTCAATTTCCAAGAGCTAGTCAGCCAACTTCATACAATAAAGAGACAGAATACTCTATCCCAAGTGCAGCAAATCAAAGAAAAAGTGATATTGGGGCACAAAACAACAGACCAGCCAATACTGCGAACCCTTATCAAACTGCTTTACCATCTTATCAAATGCAATCTTTGAGACCAAGTTCACAGCGTGAAGTCTATCATCCTGACAACCAAGGCTCACAATTTACTCAGGAGTATGACGAGGTAAAACACCTGGCCTCAAGACTAGCAGGTAATAAGCCCTTCCCATTGCATAATCCACATCAGATACCGCTATCAATACCAAAAGCATCCCCACTTTTAGAACCTAATCTATTTGAAAATAAAAACATGCCAAGCCAAGACAACTTTAAAGAACAATCTTCTAGGCCATGAACTCAGGCAAACTCGAGCAGAGAGAAATTAGGAAATGAAGAAATGGGAAATTTTAGCTCAAAAGAAGTTGATAATCAGCAGCCAGCTGCACAAAATCCAAGCTCTTATATGAATATCAAGAGCCAAGGCGCATTAATGAGAGAAAAGGGTATTCCTTCAAATTTTCTGCCTTTCACTAAAAACCCAATGCCAGGGACTTCAAACCAACAAATTACACCGCAAGGGATTCAGCCAATGGTCAGCCCACAGCCAATTTCAGCAAATCAGCATTTTATAGAATCATATAATGATTCTAGTGCAGCTAATCCAATACCTGAACCAGATATAAGCATACCTGTTCAAAGTAAGGCTGAGAAGGTATTTAATCCAAATTTACAGCCAGGTGGCGTTCAACAATTATATAGGCCAAATTTTCAGCAGAAAGAAAGCAATGGGCCAGTTTCTGTGCTGAATGGACAATCATCTGAGCTTAATCCTTCAATTTCTCAGCCAAAAGCCCAACAGATTGTTCCTAAACAACAATTTTCAGTTATGAATGCCCAGCCAAGTGGAAATAATGTGCAATATATAATACCAAATAGAGCTAATGGTGAAAACAATAAACCAAGATTGCAAGGAAGTATAAAACAAGTTGTGGTAAGTAGGGAATCTATGCCTAAATTTATAGAGCCAAATTCAATTAACAAGCCCTTGCCAACTCCAATGAATCAGCAATCATCCTCCCCTATCAATCAGCCATTTCCATCTCAAATTAATCAGCCAACATCATCCCCTATCAATCAACCATTTGCCTCTCAAATCAATCAGCCAATATCCTCACCTATCAATCAGCCTATTACTTCTCAAATTGATCAGCCACCATCCTCTCAGATTGGTCAGGCTTTTTTGCCTCCACGCAGCCCGCCTCCATACTTCCAAAATAATCAGCCCTTCTCCACTCCATCTAATCAGCCCCTTTCTCCTCCAATTAATCAGCCCTTCTCCACTCCATCTAATCAGCCCCTTTCTCCTCCAATTAATCAGCCCTTTTCTGTTTCAACTACTCAGGTAATTTCCCCCTCAAATATTCTTATCTTATATTAGTCGGTGTTTAAGGTGTCTAGTGCCACACCCTAGTAAATAGGGATTTAGCTAAACTAGTGATGTCACAGAGCTATCTTGGAATCGCGGTGGTCAGCCCGCCGGCCAAGCCTTCTATCGACGCTTCGCTTCCAGTCGCCGCACATCTCTCCTGGCGCGTTGCCGTTGCCTTCCCTTGACTCAGCTCCTGCGCGTGTTCCACCTAAGAGTCATCCTCCCATGGGGATGTGTTGAGAGGCAAAACTCTGAGCGTCTTGAGTGCACTGAGGAGCTATTCCTTTGGTTATCCCCAAAGTTAAACAGTTATTGCTGTGCAGAAGTTCTCGAGAGAAAAACCAGCCCATATATAAAATTGCTTGAGGAGAAGAAAAAATTGGCAGAGCCAATTTCGCTCGAACCGAATGCCATTTTATTTATCCCACTCAAATATTCAGAATTTTGGCTCTCAAATCAATCAGCCATTTTCCACTCCAAATTCTCAGCCAATAAAAATAAATCCTTCATTTTCTGGTCAAAATCCTCAAATGAGTTCTATCAATCCGCCATTTTCCTCTTCAATTAATCTCAATCAGCAATCCTCAGCACAAAATACCCAGTCAGGTATGAATAATCCAATTACATCATTGCCAAAGCCTCCTAGCTATGTGCCAGCCCAAAATAGTCCATATGAACAATCTTCGCTATCAAACAATCCATATAGCTCACCTTCTCCCTATCAATTACAAAGCAGCCATGAAATTGCAAATAGTAATCAAATCAAGCAGCCTCAAGCGCCTTTATTCTTGCCTCCAGCACCAAGCAATCCAAATCAGGTCCCACACTTTTTACCAAATAATCCTCTTATAAATAAGCCTCCAAGTGGCAATCCAATGAGCAATCAAGGATTCCTACCACCAAATAATGGCTCTGCGATCAACCCTGGTTTCCAAACATCAGGTCCTATGGGAAATCCTGGCTTTCAACAACCAAATAATTATAAAATTAGCAATCCTGGTTTCCAACAGCCAAGCAGCAATCCTGGTTTCCAGCAATCAGGCAGCAATCCTGGTTTCCAGCAATCAGGCAGCAATCCTGGTTTCCAACAACCAAGCAGCAATCCTGGTTTCCAGCAACCAATTAGTAATCGAATGAACTTCCAACCAGCAAGTAGCAATTCAATGAGCATCCAACAGCCAGGTAGCAATCCAATGGGTTTCCAATCAGCAAATAATAACCCAATGGGCTTTCAGTCTCAAAAAAATGCTCCTATGGGCAACCCTGGCTTTTCAATCCCCTCCAACCCCAGCATCCCACAAAATCAAGCTCCTTCTGAACAAATTCAGGCTGTTTCAAAAGATATTCCTTGCCCCATTGAGACTTTTTCCAAAATCAATCCAGGGAGTTCCCTAAAAACTCGACTTAAGCAAGAATATTCTGTTGAATTATTTTATGGTGGCTCCAATATTCGGATTGTAGGCCTGCCTCAAAATGTAGAACTCGCAGCAGCCTGCATTTCTCAAAGACTTGAACAATTATCCTCTTCAAGAAATATTAAATGGACTTTTATGAAAGACGATGGAAAATTTGAGCCTTATTCTGATATTATCTGTACTGTTATAGAAAATGCATATGCTAGGGGAGCAAAAGATGTAGTAATTGATATTGACAGAAGAAAATATAAAATCATTTTTGGCAACCCTCATAGGCAAGTCCTGCCAAATTCCAATATAAGTAGAACTGTAAGGAGGAATGATGGAAGTGAAGAGGAAATAGTCAATAAACAATTAAGTGAAAATGAAGTCATATGGTATTGGCAAGATGATAATAGAAGAGGTTGGAAGCCATATACGAAGGAAGCGAGCAGACAAATAGAAGCAGCTTATAGCAATGGAGAAAAGAAAGTTTTAGTGCAGGGTTTAAATGTAAAAGCGTATTTAATTGACTTGGTGAAGTATGAACAGTACAATGAGCAAACAAGATTTAATCGAAAAGTAAGACGAGGAGAACCTTAAAAATGAATTATATTAATATTAAATGCTTCAAAAATATTCATAAAAAGATTTATATAAAATGCTAAGATTATAAATAACATGATTTTCAATTAAATTATTTATAAAATGTCTGGCATGGCTCGTCCTGCTGATATCGGTATCCTCGCAGCCGAAATTTACTTCCCTAAGACTTATGTTGAGCAGTCAGAGCTCGAGTCCTTCGACAATGTTGGCAAAGGAAAATATACACTTGGACTAGGCCAGCTTAGAATGAGCTGTATAGGTGATCGTGAAGACATCAACTCCATTTCCTCAACAGTTGTCGTCAATCTTCTCGAAAAAAATCACGTTTCCCCTCGGGATATAGGCCGCCTTGAAATCGGTACTGAAACAATCCAAGACAAAGCAAAATCAACAAAGACCTTTTTAATGAATCTTTTCAAAGGAAATGAAGGAATTGAAGGAATCACTACGATTAATGCTTGCTACGGTGGTATCCAAGCCTTTTTCAATACAGTTGCATGGATTGAAAGCAGAGCTTGGGACGGAAGACTTGGCATTGTGGTCGCAGCAGATATTGCTGTATATGAAAGAGGCCCAGCTAGAGCCACTGGTGGGGCTGGAGCTGTGGCGTTCTTAATAGGCCCAAATGCACCCCTTGTATTGGCTCCTATAAGGAGTACATATATGGTCCACGCATATGATTTCTACAAGCCAATCCCTCAAAGTGAGTACCCAGTTGTAGACGGGCATCATTCTATTGACTGCTATATAGACGCAATTCATAATTGTTATGAATCATTAAAGCAGAAAACAGGCACTACAAAAATCGAAGAATTAGCTGAGTATTTGTGTTTCCATGCACCTTTTTATAAGATGACCAGAAGAGCGTTCAATAAAATGTTCCTTACTGATATGCTTAACCACCCCAAGGTGTATAAGGCTGATTTCAGCTTTACTCAGAACCCAAATATTAAAGACCCAAAAGTCTATGAAATTGTGAATAGGCTTTCCCAAGAAGCTTGGAATCGAAAATGTGAACCAGCAACATTTCTAGGAAAGCAGCTAGGGAATCTTTATTGTGGGTCTTTACCAGCTTCTTTAATCAGCTTGATTTGTGACCCTACGATTGATTTAAAAGGAAAACGTGTACTGTTATTCGCATATGGCTCAGGACTTGCGTCTTCTATGTTCACTCTTTATATGAGGCCAGACGCTCAAAACTTCATCAACCAGCTACGCGCTAATAACCCTATTAGAGACCTCTTGCAAAATCGTATAAAATTAACCCCTGATGAGTATACAAGAAGAATGGATAAACGAGAAAGTGACTATGTCAAAACTAATTATACACCTAGAGATCCTTTAGATGAAATCCCAGAAGGGGCATTTTACCTTGTAAAAACAGATAACAAGTGGCGTAGATTCTATGCAAGAAAGATTGCAAGGCCAAAACTTTAATAATTTAGAAGCCATTTTAATAAATAATGGGAGTTTGTATATCTGCCTCGATAAAATCAAATTCGCCTGTTTTTTATCTGCAAGCTGGGGATACAAAAGCATTGATAAGCATTTTGACGGTAAATAAAAGCTACATTGCTCAAAGTAAAGGCCTGAATGAGTTTAATGATACTATTTTGCATTATGCTGCTGCAGTTGGGAATGAAGAAGCTGTTGAGTGGATTTGTCGACAATTATTAAACGATTATGGCTCGCCATAAGAGGATAAATCACTAACTGTCCCCATCTTGGCTCCAGAAAATCGACCTTTGGATTTCTGACCTGCCAAATGTCCAAGGGACTAGCTCCTCTAAGGCAAAGCCACCATCTGTAAGGTGCCCAGATGTCCGATAAGAATGATCCACGTGGAAAGTAAAACCTGTCTTGCCTGTCCGGCAGGGACAGGAAGATCTTCTGGGGAGAACAAAACACCCTGCCTTGGCAAGCTTCCAATTGAGATGGTCTACTTAGCTCACAAAGAACTCACTTTCGCATCCCATCTCGCTGTTCCACCGCTCCATCAGGATGTATCAACTCGGAGTCCTATTTTCTGTCAGCATTACCTTTTATTTCTTTTGTCAACAAGGAATTGACGTAAATGCCAAGAATTCTGATGATTGGACAGCTTTAGACGTAGCAATTATAAATAATCATGATCACGTTGCTGAATTCTTGAAAATGAAGGGATGTCTATCATCTGTGGAAATAGATCTTAAGAAATAATGAAAAAAATATTTTAAATTAATTGCTTACTCCCCCCTCCGTGTGTGAACAAAAAAAATTTCTGTTCGCTGAAGAAGGGGGGTTAATTTTTTTTCGAAATTTTAAAAAGTTCTAATTTGCAAAAATTGGGAAGCAAATATTAATTTAATTTATAGAATTTATGTTTTAAAACGCAATTTTTTTAAAATTAAACAGATTAACTTGAGATTTCATTATACTAATTATCAATTATATATCAATTTTTTTTCCATAAAAAATTTTTTCTATTAAAAAATTTTTGTTCGCTCACAGAGGGTGCAAAAAATAGGGATTTTTCCAATGGTTTTTGTTCACTTACAGAAGGGGTGAGTTAATGAAACTTCACTAAAGTCCTCTGAATCAAAGCTATTCTTGGATATTGAACTAACTGATATATCAGTTTTCAAAGTTTTAAGAATCTCTAGTTGTTTAACAGGCTTGTCAAGAAGTTCTTGTATCTCATTGTCGTGCGGACTTTGCTTAATTAAATAATTGCAAGTCTGCTCTATGACGTCTTTTCTCGCACTTACTATACCTTTGCTATTTAGTTTTTCTTCTAACTCCCCCCCTCCGTGAGTGAACAAAAAAATTTTGTTCACTCACGGAGGGGGGGTTAATTTTTTTTTTAAAAAAAATTTATATATAAATTTTATAAAAAAATATTTTTTGTCGAAATTTAAAAAAAATCCTAATTCGCAAAAATTGGAAAGCAAATATTAATTTAATTTATAAAATTTATGTTCTAAAAAGCAATTCGTTTAAAATTAAACAGAATTAGCTCTAGATTTCATTATACTAATTATCATTTATATATCAAAATTTTTTTACATAAAAAAATTTTCTATTAAAAAAATTTTTGTCACTCACGGAGGGTGGGTTTTTGGGCAAAAAATAGCGATTTTTCTAATGGTTTTTGTTCACTCACGGAGGGGGGGAGTAAATATTTTATTATACGTGGATCTGAGGCAGAAAGGAGGGTTTCTTCATATTGGTACGTTACGTCAACTCCTATTTCTTCTATGAGAAACTTTATGACTTCTAAATGCTTTTTGAATGGTCTTTTCTTAGCACCAATCACAGCAATCTGTATAGCGTTTTCTGATCTTGTGTTTAATTTAAAAAAATCGGCCTTGCACTCATGGTACAAAAACTTGGCAATTTCCAGATTCCCTTCTTTACAGACTAGTAAAGCACAGTTTTCACCACTCATTTCGTCTTCTGCATGAACATCAAAATCATAGGAAGGCTCAAGATCATTTTCTTTAAAGTAATACTTGATATATTTTACAATTTCAAGGTTACCTTTTATACAAGCTCTTCGTATGGCGGTTTCTTTTTTCGTTATCTCTACAAAATCACTTCCTCTAACTTCTTATCACCTTATTATCTATTAAATAAAAATGGAATTAAAAAAAATAAATAGGTGTTCATTTTGGTAAGTGAAACTGTAGGAATATTAAAAACGTGAGATTTTCGATATGAGCTGCTTGGCCTATTATAGTAAATTGGCAAAAAATATTTTACCATCTTTAAATCCCCTGTTTCGCAGCAATGTTCAATGATAGATTTTCCTTCCATTTTGAAGACGTCATCAGCAATCTTCAAATTAGCTTTGCAACTTTCAATCAAAAATTTGCAAATTTCGTACCTGCAGAGGTAAATAGAGTAAACCAATGCATTCAATTGATTTCCATGAAAGTTGATGATTGGGTCGTCAATTTGAAAATTATTGAAATGTTTCAGCTTATTTGTTCCTAATTGATCTTGCCACAGTTTGGCAAGTTTTTCAGTTTTACTCTGCTGAATATAGCTGGATAGTTTATATTTTATAACATCCAAGGTATACTCAGGAGCAATCTGTTTGGATCCGCATAATCCCATTTCACTATTATTGGTAATTATTATTTAATAAAAATTATAGAGTTTTTGAAGTATTATCATTCAGGATGCATAAGAGTCATTCATTTTAAATACAACTATTTCGAAATAAATTATTTAGAAATGGCAAATAAGATATATCAAAATGTCAAATTTCATTAATTTTTGCTCTTGAAGTAAGCTATGGTTCCAGGTAATTAAAGGCTTTAGTTAAATATTTTTACTTATTTCCCCATTCTTGATTTAAAACATCTAAATAGGAAAATTAATCTAATTATTTTCATATAGTCAACTCCTCTATATATATTTGATAAATATTATTCAAGAGAGTTAATATAATCAAAAATCTATTTCTTCCTAGTCGGCGATTTTGCTAAATTTTCAAAAACTCCCATCATCACTTTAGCTTGTTTTGGTGACGAATCTTGGGATTTTTGAACTCCTATTTTTCCTAGCGTCATCAATGCACTCTTCTGTGCAACTACATCTTGTCTTTCCAACTCAATTGGTGTATAAATATCAACAAACTCTTCAATTCCAGTGAATCCTCCTCCAATTCTTACAATGAGTCTATTATTTTCTATTTTCATACTAATCTTCCTCGTACCAAACATATAAGTTCCTAATTCCTGCCTCGTGAACTGTATTGGGACAGGGACTTGTCGAGCATTAAGAAATTCAGCTAAAGCGGCATCAATTGGATCGTTGTTAGCAGGCACATATGGTGGGTTTCTTTTCTTTATTTCTCCCATTTGTCCCTTAAGACTGTCAAGCTCGCCATCCTTTGTATCAACTGCATCAATCAGCTGATCTAATTTTTCAGCTTGCCCATGGATTTTTTCACCTTCTTTAACTAAATAGCTTGCTCCAGCTTCTAAGTCACGTAAAACTGCATCACGGGATTCCAAATGTAAAGAATGCAGCCTTGATAAGTCTTCAATCATTTGAGATAAATCAGCACGCACACAGCAAATTTGCTCGAGGGTGATTTTTTTGCAAGAAGATTGGAAAAGTTGCCGTCTGAGGCCAATGATTTCTTGCTCTTTTTCCTCAATGCTTAATTCGATACTAGAAAGTGACTGAGAAAGCTCGAGCTTTGCTGAAAGTAAGCTTTCTTGTTTTGTTTTTATATCTTCTGATTGAGATTTAAGCTGGCTGAATAGAATTGAAAGCTTTTCTTGGATTTCATCACGCTTACTCCCCCCCCCCCCCTCCGTGAGCGAACAAAACCATTAGAAAAATCGCCATTTTTTGACCAAAAAACCCACCCTCCGTGAGTGAACAAAAATTTTTTTAATAGAAAAAAAATTTTAATGGAAAAAAATTTTGATATATAAGTGATAATTAGTATAATGAAATCTAGAGCTAATTCTGTTTAATTTTAAACAAATTGCGTTTTAAAACATAAATTTTTGCAAATTAAATTAATATTTGCTTCCCAATTTTTGCAAATTAGGATTTTTTTTAAATTTCGAAAAAAATATTTTTTATAAAATTTATATATAAATTTTTTTTAAAAAAAAAAAATTAACCCCCCTCCGTGAGCGAACAAAATTTTTTTGTTCGCTCACGGAGGGGGGGGGGGGGAGTTAGCTGACTCTAAATGAAAAGAAGTTAAAGCGTTTTTGTTGGTTTGATCAAGCTCTTCAGAGCTTTCTAGTTTAGATTTGAGTGAATTTAAGTGGTTTTTTAATTGAGCATTTTTATTGGAAATTTTTTCGTAGTCAGCTGAAACTTCGTCGAGTCTGGATTTAATGCTATTTTTTTCTCCTTTAAGCTGCTCAATTTGGCTAATGTTTCGCTGATGGGCTTCATTCAGCTCTTTATGAGCTTGATCAACTTTTATTTTTAATTCAGCTTTTCTGTCTTCAGTATCTTTAGCTTGGATTTCAAATTCTTCTAGCTCATTTCTAACATCTTCTCTATATAGCTTATCAGTGGTCAATCTTAAATTTTCACGCTTTAAGTCTCCAAATTGTGCTTTGAGCCCATCCAGCTCATTTTCTAACTTTCTTGAATTTTCTTGTTTTTCAATCAAAGCCCTTACAAGCTCATTTTTCTTTTTTTGCAAGTTATGAAGCTCATGTTCTTTTGCCGTCCAATTCTCCTTTGTCGCTTCTGTTTCACTCTGTGAACTAATTTCTAAATTTCGCCTTTTTTCGATATTTTGAGTTAAATTCTCACGCATGGCTGGAAGTTGAGACGCAATAATGCTCAAATGTCGGGCTTCTTCACATAAAGCTTTAACTATTTGTTTAAGTTGTGAGCCATTACAAGACTGAAGCTTTTCTATAGTGATTTGGTCTGATCTTGGGGTTTGGAACTCAGATTCCCCTGCTTCAATTTTGGCAGGGGAATCTGGCTCAAGAGTGATTCTTATATAGTTACTTTGGTCGGTTTCCCCAGCGATTTTTCTGATTTTCCACATCTCATCTAGCATTTCTCTATTCGCATCTTTATTAAGGGAAAGCTTATCCAGATAAGGGCATTTAGCTTCTTTATAATTTCTGCTTGATCTTCTCGAATGAGAACTGACTGGGGTGACCATTTTTTGGATCTTCTTATCGTTACGTCCAAGCACAGCTCCGATTTTGAGCTTTAAATTTGTTGTTTCATTATCTTTTTTAAGCCTAAACCATTTTTCTACTGTGCCAAGCAAGCCTTTTCCAAATAATGTTCCTAAAGAGACGTTTGAATTTCCAAGAAGTTTATCACCTTGACGCAACATCAATGAAAGTTTGGTATCTATGGCAATATCATCTAATTTTACAGTTATGACGCCTTTTCCTTCTATTTGTTCTTTGACATCTCCTATTTCTATTTTAAGCGCTGGCGTAAGATCACTACTATTTTCTGCTGATTAGTGGCCTGACTTATGGGACAGGTTTTAGATCTTTTTTGCAGCAGACCAGGCCAGTTTGGGGCGCTCGATAGAGGCAGGGTGTCTTGCTGCCTAGGCTATTTTGCGGCCGATCTCAAAAGCGCGTAAGTGGATTATCTTTTCCTTTGGTGATGAGCCAGGGGAAAAAGGAAGGCAGGTTAGACAAGAATCAAGGGCTAAAGTCTTTCCAGTTGAAAAGGGTCCCAAGAAAAGGAGTGGTCTAGTCTAAGCGAAGCAGGGTCGGGTAGCCTGGCTGCTTGAGTTGGAAATGGCAAATTCCATAGGATTCAGACCATGGAGGAAAAATGCCTCTACCGAAATGGTAGAGGTTTCAACCTGAGCTCAAGTTAAACGTGTATCGCCCACCTCACAGCTCATGCTGTAGAATGCATGATTCTCAGGAAGTGGTACTATAAAGACACAGCTTAACTTAATCTTACCCTTAAAGCACTAGCTTTACATTTGGCACTCCGGTTACATCTTTTAGCTCTAACCGTAACTCAAATAACTTCTTTTCTTCCATATTTAACAATTATATTGAAATATCTCAACTGATTTATTAAGGCATTTGGCATAATAATTTAACAGATAGATTGTGATAAATCTAAGAATTATATAAAGTATACACGCTACATATTTCCAGTTAATTTAATTAATAAAGAACAAATTTCAAATGATTAATTGATTTTTTGATTAACAAATAAACTTTTCACTCTTGCTGGAAAATGCATTATCGATTTAAACATCTTTCCAACGTTTTCCCAAGTCACAATCGGAGTTTTTGCATTATTAATATAAAAAATGTATAAATATGCATCATAAAATTTCCCGTCAATATAATAATGATCAGAAATATGCTCAGCCCTAATAAATCCTTTTCTCTCATAAAAAGCAATCGCTTCATTATTATATACTACCACATGTAAATAAATATAAAGCGGCATTTCAATTAAACTCTCAGCTTGTCTTTGCATCCTTAATATCAATTCACTTCCAATCCCAAGGCATCGTAATTCTTCAATAACCCCTATAGTTATGATATAGCATGAATAAGTGTTCTGCATAAAATAAGTGCACCGCAAAAAACCATTGGATTCGTTATGAGAGACTCGAAACAAAATTAAGCCAGCAAAAATTATTTCAGACTCTCCGTATTCTTTTGTGTCAAAAACTGCGGCTATTGAATACAATGAGCTTCCTATCATATCAAAAAGGGCATCTGAGTAGTTAATTGGAAATCATTCTTTGTGGAGAGCTTTAATTTCTTTCAGCTCTGATTTATTAATTGGGCGATAGATGATCGAGGGTGGCTTATTTTTAATTTCTTCTAGATGGTTGCGTATCCAGAAGTGGGAATAAGATTGAAGTTCAGGAATAATGGAAGGTGGGTATGACCCTGATTTCGTAGTCTTCATAAGTATAGAAATTTCCCATAGATGGCGCTGTTTGCCCTTGATTTGCCCACTGGGGAAATTTTTTGGTTCGACCAGTACCATATGGTTTGGTCAAACCAAAAAATTTTCCTCATGGGTAAATCAAGTGCAAACAGCGCCATCTATGGGAAATTTCTATAATTATAATGCACTGTGAATTTTATTTACAATACACATAAATGCCAATAAAATATGTTAGTTTAAATAAGACAAATTTCATAAATAATTAGAAGTTTAACTATCTAGAAATAAAATTTTTAATTGATTATAATAAGATAATGGAAAGAGTAATTCCTCAAAAGTACCAGACCGAAAATTTTGACCCTTATTTAGAAGCACTAGATATTCTCACTCCCCCCTCCGTCAGCGAACAAAAAAATCTTTTTCGCTCACGGAGGGGGTTAATGTTTTTTTAAAAATATTGTTATAAATTTTATAGACAATTGTTTTTAAAAATCCCACTTCGCAAAATTGGAAATCAAACATTAATTTGATTTGTAAAATTTATGTTTTAAAAAGCAATTTGTTTAAAGTTAAACAGAATTAGCTAGAGATTTCATTATACTAATTACCACTTATATATCAAAAATTTTTTTTCACGGAGGGTGGGTTTTTGGGCAAAAAATAGCGATTTTTCTAATGGTTTTGTTCACTCACGGAGGGAGGAGTCAGTGATTTTTCGCAATCCCAAAGCAAGTTTGAAGCTTTACAACATATAGGAGTAGGATTAGATAGAATTGCATCACAAAATATTGAGCAAAATCATGATGAAATTTCTACTTACTTGACAAACCTTAAAGAAGCAGAAGAAATCATTATTGATTATTTAGCTTATATAAAAGAACTTAGAGATGAGCTTAAGCAATGCAAAGAAACACTCCAAGGCAAGCAAGTCGATATGAACGCTATTTGGCTTAAAAGTATTTACTACAAAAAAATCACAAATGGCCTCGAAGAGCTCTCAGACATTCTATCAAATTTAAACTCTGTAAATTCACTACTCAAAGAAAAGTTATTTGCAAAAGCAGCGGCATTAATCCAAGAAAACACTTCAAAAATTGATGGAAAAGAATATGGGTACTTACCTGTCTGTCAAAGAATAAAAGAAGCCTTTCAAAATAAAATCAAAGATTTGACAGATAACATTATAGCAGAGCTGAGGTCTTTGTTATTTATGAAGCAAGGGTCATTCGAGCTTGAAATCAAAAGATATGCGGTGGTAAGGACTTTAAGGATTGATTTCTTGCTCGCAGAGCAAGAAGAAAAAGATTTATGAGAAACAACTAACCCTATTCCAGGGCTTCTTGAATCCCTTTCTTCAGTAAACCAATTAAATCTAATAGAAACTTTGTCAATCAGAGATATCCAGCCTGATCTGCAGCATTTATTTAAAGTATGTTTTTCTCAGTTCCCATCATATATCCCAGAAGATGAATCTGAAATCAAAAGCAACTTTTTGATATCTTTGTTACCAAATGAGCAGGCCAGAGAGCAAGCCCTTAAAATTATTAATGGAATTATTGCTGCAGCAGCTATTGTCATGAGAAACCATTTTGCTTTAAAAAAGTGGCTGAAGCAATATAATGCTGATTTTTCTGTAATCAGTGTATGGGAAAAAATAGAAAAAGAAATAAAAGATATATTCAGAGCTCTCATCAAGCTTCCAAACCGTTTAGGGGATGCTGCAAATATTGTAGAAATGCTAGGAGAAAACGAGGAAAAAGAATCTACGTACTCTTCATTGCTTTCTTCAATTATCAAGCTCAATACTTATCATTACCCTTATCTTTATAAACCAATTAGTTTATATATAAGACAATTTACAGTAAATGTATTTGGGACTGACATGATAAAAGACGAAGGCTTAAACGATGAAACCTTTTTCCAATTTCTTGATATTTTAAAACAAGACATTTATGCACAATTCTCTGCTTGTGTGACCTCATCAGAAGCATTTAGGTTCAATAAAACGAATTCTGCTGATTTTAATTCATTTTTAGTGCTGAATTCCAATTTGAAAATAATTCTGGAATTTAAAAATTGCTTTTTAAGCTCGCAACATTTAAGCTTTTTGGAAGTCATTGCAATTCAGTTTACTTTGCTGTTTAAAGAGTAAATTATATTTAGACTTGGCTCATTATTTGAAAACCAAACTAAAGGCTCAGCTTATTATTCGTTATTCATAGAAGACTCAGACCTATTTCAAGAATTAAGGTCAGATCCAGCTTTTTTTAATGCAAGATTAGATATCCCAGCTTATGCAAATGAAGCTTTTATAAATATTATTGGGAGGTCAGGCAGTCCTCCTGCAGGCCAAATTTCTGAAAAAGAAGGTCATTTTATAAGATTTGAAACCATGGTAGACCATCCTTTTATTGGCGAAAGCGCGAAATTAAGCTTCTTTGCTGCATTAGCAATCAATATAAAGACCACTTATGATAATTTACTTGTATGTTTGTCAAGCTTATTGGAGCATATTTTTGAAATAAACACTGATGAAAATATGACCCCGCGGAGAAGCTCAATCAGATCTGATATTTCACTACAAGACTCCTCAGAAAAGAAAAAAGGAAAATTCTCAACTTTTACATCAAAATTAAGAGATGGACTTGGAATTAAAAAAAAGAAAAAAGAAAAAGGCCCAACAACTGAAGCAGTTTTTAGGATTGCAGAGCTAGATAAAACTATGGAAGACACCAAGCTGAAATTGCGACATCAATTGTTGAAACTTCATGAGCAGCATGACATGTCACTTTTTATTTTGAGAGGGGAAATTAAAATGAGGATCTTTTATTTTTTATTCCATTTGAAAGATGCAAATTATTGGAGAGATGAAGAAATACCTGATGCGGAATGGTTTATTGGGCAGCTAAGCAGAGAATTGCTATTAGTGCACTTAGCTGTTAGACCTATTTTAAATGCGCAGCAGCTGAAATTCATTTGGGAAAATGTTTTTAACATATTAGCAGAAATGTTAATTTTTGGATTAAGCAAAATTAAAGATCAGCAGCTATCAAAGCAGGGGTTAGCGATTTACATAAAAAATATTAAAGTTCTGCAAAGCGAGCTGAATCAAATAGAAATCGTAATTATAACTTAGCCTGGAGTTTCTACAACAGAGCAGCTAACCAAAGTCAGCCAGTTTTTAGAGCTGCTTCAATTAAATGAAAAAACTCTTGTTCGAGTTATCAGAGAAAATCCATATCAATTCACAACAGACCAATGGAAACTTCAAATGTCACTAAAAGTGCCTCTAAGACCTTATGGAGTCCTCCCACAAACTCAAAGGACTTTAAATGAAATTTTGTCAGCAAAAAAATAATTAAGAAGATTATTATATATTTCCTATCTTTTTAATAGAAAAAAGCTTCGACCTTCACTTTTAGGCGAAATTAACGGAAGCTTTTGTTCTTCATTCCCTGGAGAAAAGCTATCATCGCTTATGCAGGTTTCTTCTTCAGCCTTACTGATGCCTAAAGCGCTTTTCTTTACACTTATCAAGCTATTTTCGATTCTTTTCATTTCCTTAAGTAGATCTCTTTTACCTTCGATTTTCGGAAGGGCTGGAACTGATCCGAAATTCAGCATTTTAGGACGATGCTGTTTAGATTTGATAAATGCCCGAGGAGTTTTCGTTTTAATCGCGCTTTCTTCGTCTATCTGGTTTCTAGCAGTGCTAACTTCTGATGCAGTTTTTTCGAAAGAGCCATCTTCATCTGCATTTGCAGGTAAATCTTCAATGTTCTCGGGACTGTTAAATTTGATTTCATTGATTTGGAACCTTTGTACGAAGGCATCATATTCTTCTTTAAGTCCTAGTCTTGGCTTTGGGTTGTTTTGGAATTTGCAAAGCATCATTGTTTTCACTAACCTTCTATGTTAAAATTATTATATTACAAAATTTTTTAATTTAAATTAAAAAAATATTATAGAAATCATTGGGACTGCTCCTAGAAGGCAAAAGTAATTTTTAAAAATTTTATATCTTAAGTCTGAATCGGAGGAGTAAGTCAGAGAAATTTTTAATATCAGCAATATTTGGCACAACTCCAATGCCTTTTTCAGTTTCTCTTAATTTTGCAATTAAAAGAATTTGCATTTCTGTTGTCATACCTTTTGAATCAATTATGTGGCTTATTTCTTTATCTGAAGCAATTGTATTGAGTAGTAACCCTGACAAAGACTCTAAAGTGCTCGCCAACTGCTTTTTTAGGTTCCTGTTCGCTAAAATAGAAAGCTGGCTAAGGTTTACAATGGCTGAAAGCTGGCCTGAATTCTGATCCTTGCAATCTTTTAGATACTTATATACAGTTTCATTATCCAAAAAATACCTCATAATTGTGTTTTCTAGAACACCTAGTGCAAAGCTTTGAGCAATTGTGGGGAGTCCTGGGAATATTCCAAGATACATTTCTTGCAAATCGAATTTATTGATGTTTTGGAATTTAATTGAAGATGCGCTTTCTTCAGGCTTCAAAGCAAAATCCCTTGGCAGAGGTGAATTAGCTGCAGAACTTGTTTTTCTTCTTGTTAAATTTGTGGGAAGAATTACAACATTTTTCTTTTCATTTTTATTCGGCCTTGAATTCACTTCAACCTGGGTATCTTTAAAAATTGAGGTTCCACCAATATAGTCTTGCAAAGCCTCAGGATGCCCATAGCATTGTTCTTTAATTAAATCCAATTGTTTCTTAACCCGAAAAGCTAATTGATAGAAAAATTTCAAGGAAAAAACAATCACATGCTCATATTTAGCAATTAGCTCTTCTTTTGAAACAGAATTCATAGTGTCCAAAGATACTAATAAGCCTGTATATGTTCCTATTTCAAAGGTTTCATTTCTGGTAAGTCTTCTTGTCCGAGACCGAAGCTCCTGAATATTTCCACTGCTCAATCCTGGGTCTTCTTTTAATTCAGACAGCTCTATAGTAATATCATCGCAAATTTGCCTCAATTCATATTGTTCTGCTGCGAGTCCTAAAAATCTAATTTGAAGCCTTGACTCTATTGAAAGCATTTGCTGGAAAGCTTTCAAAATATCTTTTGGGGAAAATGTATCTACTTTTTCAGGCTCGATTGACAAGCATTTTGATTCCTTAATAATTTTTTTAATTTTTTCAAAAATATCTGAATAATACTCCAGCTGTTTTGTGTAATTTTCTTTGAATTTTTTATCATTTTCGAATTCTGCTAATAATTGCCCATATTCTGTTTTGAGCATTTCATTTTTCAGTCCATTTTCTTCCATTTCTACAGCTGTTTCTGCTACTCTGTGGGTCAGAATTTCTACTTCTTTCTTTATGTGTTTTTCTTTATGTTTAATTCCTTCCATTTTTTTCGCTCTTACCGTTGACTGTTTTTTTATTTCCGTTTTGAGCTTGGAAACTGTGTCATTTGCCTTAATTAATTCATTTTTTGCCCTCGCCTTTGTGTCTTCAATCTGTCCACTATATTTATCAATTCCTTTATTTATTGCTTTACAGTCAAGAAATTTCTCTCGATGATAAATAAAATCTTCTTTTTCCTTCTTGTACATGTTTTCTAATTGTTCGGTTGTATACCTTTCGTGGGTTATTTTCAGCTCGATATTTCTGATTTCTTCGTTAAGTCGGTCTATTAGTTCTTGAAGTTCAAATAAATTGACGTTATTTTTGGAGTTTAAGGTGTTCTGCATGTCTTTAAGAGATCCAGATGAAAATGTATGTTGTGGGGACAGGTCAATTGATTTGGTTTGCATAAGTTTGGCAGTTATTTTGAGATGCTGCAGAAATTCTATTTTTTTTTGGTTAGAATAATGAAGAAGGTTGTATTGCTTTGTCAGATTTGTGAGTTCTTTTTCTTCAGTTTTATGCTCATATGTGCTTGATTTTAATGATTTTTCAAATTCGAGCATCAAATTTTCTTCTTCTTTTTTAAGTCTGGCTTCTCTTTCTTTTTGGAGGTATCCTCGGGCTGTATTTTCTGCTTGAGGAAATAATATTTCAGGTCTGAAAAATCCAATATTGCTCATATGTGATTGGTAATTTAATGCAATGGCCTAAAAAAATAATTAAGCTTATATTTGAATACAAAATTAGATAGGACAACATAAGTGGTATTAATTAGCAATTTAAGCTTATTGAATCTCAGAAAATTATAATTTATGCCTATATTTCATTTAAAACAAAATTTAATTCCTTTTTTTATTTGTTAGCAGAAACATAAAAAGTAGAGATGATCGTAATAATGAAACTTATATAATGGAAGAAGAATATGAAAGTGATTTTGTATCAGACTCAGGATCTAGTATTGAAGAAGTGTCAATTGAGTTAAATAAAGATAAGCCGGAAGAAGATGCTGATGTATATGAAAGCGATTTTGAAGCGAGCTCGACTGTTCATGATCTTCCAAAACCAATTTCTACTTTAAGGTAAGCTAAGTTACACTGGGTATTTATAGTCCTTTCTTCTGAGGCGCCGTTCTCTGAGATTAGCCACAAATGCTGCCCACCGGTGGCAGAGGCATGTAGATGGTTTCCATCTTAGCGAGAGCCCAGTTTCTCATCAGAGGATTACCTAATTTATCCGTCCCATGAGGATGCTGCCGAAACATTCGCCTATGCTGCGTAAACTCTGGGAATCTATGCCAGATCGCCATTTTCATCAAGCCCTTTTAGACTGAAGAAATTCGTCCTTGAGGACCTTGCTTAGCCTGTCTTCCCCCCTTTTACTTGATCACCTCTAAAAAAAGAACTCACTGTAGACCACTCTGAGATAAGGCCAGGGTGGCCTTCTCAGAGTGGTCTTCTCAGAGTGGTATAAAAAAATCAAATTAAAGTAAAAATATTTTTTTATAAATTTAAATCTTTAAATCTTGGACAATATCAAATTCAATACTTTCTCCTTCTTGCCTTTTTAGGTTGCATAATTTGAAGCTTTTTACAATTATCTCTTCTTCTCTTTAATTTTGTCGGGAGTTCTTCATTTATTATTTATTATAAAAATGCCCCTGGCCTTATCTCAGAGTGGTATATTTTTTTTAATGCTAACCGCCCTGAGATAAGGCCACCTAAAATTTTACTAATAAAATATGTTATTTTATTATTAAAATATTAATTTTTCTTATAATAGTAGACCACTCTGAGATAAGGCTACCCTGGCCTTATCTCAGAGTGGTCTACAGTCAGCAGCTTATGCTATTAGAGACAGACAAAGAAATTAGCCTAAGCAGGTAAGTCCCCCCGCCTCTATCGGACACTCATCCTGTGCCTGGATGCTTTTGGTGAAAAGATGCAAAAAACTCCCGCTCGAGAAAAGCCTAACTAGTGAAGTAGTATTGGGTCTCTCACTTTGAGGTAACCCAACCCTTGGGCGCCATTTGCACCAAAAAATCCATGTCCTTATATACATAAGGGCACCCGCTACGGGGAGGACAGGCCACCAGCCATTTTATGAGTATATCAATTTCTACCTTTAAAGCTGGCATAGAAACTCAAAAACAAGAAATAAATAGGCCGATCCAAATTTTAATTTCTCCAAAAGATAACAAAGAAGCAAAAGCTACATTTTTCTTAACTGAAACAAATGAGGAATATCTTTTTGAGAGCAAGTCGAAATTTAATAAAGACACAGTAAAAAAAGAAGAAAACGTAGCTTCTCATAAGAGTTTGCCACAGGTTCCAAACAGAACATCGCCAAGAAAAGAAACTTTTGTTGATCTTGAGAGGCAAAACGCAAATTTAAAGCTTGAACTACAAATTCTTAATGGAAAACTAAATAGTGTGCTGGACGCTCTATCACGCAAAAAAAATTATTCGAAAATTTATGATAGCAATAGGACTGCCTACGATGAATTAAAAAATGCACAAAAAATGCTAGCAAGCTATAAAAAGGAGTACAGTAGAATGGAAGCTAAATTAAATAAATTAATGAAGACTGACTATTTGCCAGAACTCAGGCAAATTGTAGAGAGAAAAAAAGAAAGATTGAAACAGCTGGAGGAACAGAAAATATCACTAAATCGAAAACTGCATATCGAAAATGTAAAAGTTCATGAGCCTGATGTGCTGAAAAATGCTGTGGAAGACTATGCCCATTATACTAATAAAAGAAATGAATTAGCGGATGAAATATCTGCATTAGAAAGCGAATCCGCAAAAAACCAAAAATTGCTTGAAGAAACAAATTATACAGAGTCGGTACTAATTCCCCCTGCAATAAGCAATTTCTTTTTTGTTCATGGGTTTTTGCAAAAATTTTTAAATGTGAATAGATTATAAATTGCTTATTACTGGGGGTTCTCAGATAAAAAGTGAAAATGCAATTTATGGGCTCAATAACAAACAATTTTCGATCTATTATATTAAATTTACTATTTAAAAATTTTTGTCAAAAATATGAATAAACAAGTAATTGCTTATTAATGGTGCAGAGTGAGCGAAAAATATAAAAAACTGCAAGAAATTAGTGAATATTATGAAATAGACTTGAAAAAATCACAAAAAGAAAAAAATGAGAAGCTGCAAAAGCATTATGAAAAATTGCAATTAACTTTAAATGTAAAAACAAAATGTTATGACAATGAAATTAAAATTTTGGCACAAAGAGAAACCGGGCTACAAATAGAGCTGAAAACGTTAGGAGCCAGCCAAAGGGAAATGAGTTTGGATTTAGAAAATTGTTTGATTAAATTAAAACAATTGAATAATGAAGCTAAAGAGCTATTGAATTCATGTAAGGGGACAGATTTGGAATCAATTTTTTCTAATGTGGAAATATATGAAGAAACTAAATTAGAATCCTTTTTGCAGCAACAAAATAGCCAAGAATCCGTGAAAAAGCATTTTAAAAATCCGTCAAATATGGAACAAAGTATTCCTCAAATTTCCAAAACTGTTGAAAAAAATGCAATTCCAGAATTTTCATATGCAAGCCCTGCTCCTCAAGAAAAAAAATCAGCAATTAATTCAAAACCAATTTTCGATATAAAAACTAAGCCTGATTTCAATTTTCGTATAAGCCCAGACTCAAAAGACTTTGCTAATAGTCCTCCATTAGAAATCAAAACTGAGCCTTCTTTGAAATCAAATTTGCATATTAAAGAGCCAGATTTTTTGAAAGGTTCCGAGCCATCTTCACTTTTTGAGACTCCAAATACACAAGTAACCGAAAAATCATCAAATATTCCAGACTTTCTGAAGCCAGTTGAATTGATTCCTCCGAAAAAAAGCAGTTTTATAGAAAAAGAATTTAAATTTGATAATTATAACACAAATAAAAAAGAAGATGCTTTGCGGAACAATAATGATTTACCTGATTTTTTAAAACCAAAAGAAAATCCTATACTTAGCCCAGTGAATCAGGGAAAGCTATTAAGGCCTCATGATGGTGAATTTCAGGAAGAAAAAAATTTAATTAAAATTGAAGAAACTAAAAATAATGGCCCATTGATAGGGATTGCATCCAAAACTGGAAGAGACCGCTCACATCTATTTGAAAACAAAAAAAATGATCAAAATGTTGATATTAGAATCCCGGAAAATAAAGAAATCAATTTGGAGTCTAATAATTCATTTGCTAAAAGACAAAGACCTCAACCATTTGTAGATGAGTATAGCAATTCTCATAAAATGGATCCGCCAAAGGCAATATGACTAAGCGATTTACAATCAAATGTATCTACAAGCACACTCAGCTCAAAAGCTAAGCCCATCCCTGATTTTTTGGCTGATCTCTAATAAATAATGTAATTATGACTCATTTATCTTAATCTGTTTTAATTAGTATCGTAATTAATAGTTTGATTTTCTAAATCCTTTAGATTCTGAATACCTCAGCTTGAATTCTAAGTCTTTTTTATCTTCTATTAGTTTCTCAATCATTGAATTTCTTTCATTCAAATCTACTGATAACTTATCCTTCTCAATTTTAATTCGTTCAATCGTATCTGTCATCGATAGCCCATTCATTGCTGTATGTCTCAGATCCCAATTTTCATTCAAAAGAGCTTTATTTTTCAAATCAAGCTGCTTGAACTGATTTTTTATATGCGAATATTCCTCTTGTAGAACTGTTAACTTCTGATAAAGATCTCTAAATTTAAGGTAAGAAACCTTTACGTGCCAATTGTGTAAAACTCGCTTTAATGTATTGTGAATGTTGAATCCACACACAATTAAAGCTTGATTTTGTCCTCTTCTTACATGCTCTTCTAGTTCTATGCAATATGATTCTATATATTTAAGCTTTTTATGCTTTTCAATGGCTGCATCTTTAAGCGTGGCAATATCCCTATCCATTTTGACTAGCAAGTCTAGAAGTTGATTTCTATTCATTTGCTTTACTTCCTTTGTAAAAAGTGAAAAACTGCGCTTCCAGGTCCTCAAAGCCCACAATTCTTCACCCCTTCTCTTATAAATCATCATTCTTTCAGCAGATCTCTTATATTTGCTTCTTTTAATGATCCAAATTTTCCACAAGGTAAAAGTATTTTCTAATAAGTCCTTATCCGTTTTATAGCTCCCTACCAATTTTCATCTATAAAATATATCTTCACAGCTTAAATTTTCAATTAAATAATTATCAAGTTCTTTAGGATCATGGCCTTCTTTTTTAATAAAGTTGTTATATTGGATTAATGTTCGTTTCAATCCTTCGTTTTCTGTTTGGATGTCAATTTCTGTTTCTGGGTTTTTAATTACTGGAGAAATTGTGGTTGACTCCACATATTTAATGAATTTTCGGTACTCTATGTGATAATTTTTCCATTCTTCAAATACAGTTCTTAATAAGTCCAAAAATACTTTTCTCCTCACGATCTTAATTTTGTGATTTTTAATCTTCTTTTCTATTTTATAACTCAGCAAGTAGTTAAAGCCTAATTCTGTTCTCATTGAAATTTTCTTGTTTCGGAATTTAGCAGTTGCAATTTTTATGTTTCGTAATTCGCTGGCAATGCTAAACCATGCATTAAAAACTTGGTTTTTTGTTTTAGAAACTAAAAAGGCAAATGATTTTTTCATATTCCTCTTTTTAATTTGATAAAGCTGCTTTTTAAATTCACTTATTTGGTTTGCTCTTTTGTTTACCTCAGCATTGCCATTTTCTCTTTCCCCTAAATGATAATTTCTCCTCCATAGTGCGACTGCTTGTTTGCAGGTATGCGCTCCATAACTATAAAAAAATTTGTATAGCTGCTCTTGAACCCTTTGATTTTTCAAGATATTTTTAGCATATTCTTTAATTGAAGATAATCCTAAAATGTATCTAACTTTTTTGGCATGCTTACTCAATACATTGCAAGCTCTTCTGGAGTGGCTATATCTAATCTTCCACTCTTTGAATGCATAAGATGCTTTATTGATGGAATATTCATATGAAAAATCATTTGCTCGTTTCTGCAAAAAGAAATTTATTATTTTTTTCAGTTTTTTTTGTTCATTGACATTCAAAATAATTTCTTTATTTTTCTCCTCTATTATGGTTTCGAATTTCGTTTTAATAGCTTGCATTTCTCTTCTAATAGCTTTTTTATCTGAAATATGAGTTGATATAGTTTCTTCACTCCCCTTCTTCTTGAGCGGACAAAACTATTGGAAAACCCCTATTTTTTGTATAAAAATCTACCCTCCATATGAGCTAACAAAAATTTTTTTATGAAAAATACAAACATTTTGATATATATATAAGCAATAAATAGTATAATGAAATAATTCTGTTGAATTTTAAAAAGCTTGCATTTTAAAACATAAATTTTACAATTAAATTAATTTTTTGTTTTCCAATTGGGATTTTAAATTTCAAAAATATAATAATACTATAAAATTATTTATAAACATTTAAGTCGCCTTGTTAGTGATGAGAAAGCAAAATTTTTTTTGTTCGCTCACGGATGGGGAATTCAGATGCTTTTTTAAGATTTTCTTTCATGTTATGTATCCAAGTTCTACAAGCTTTTCGCAAGTGCTGATTTTTCCATGCTCTTCAGACTTTTGCTAATTTTATTTGTCTTTTTGTGTCAAGCTCTAATAAAAAAAGTCTTCTGTTTTCATATTCTTTAACTTTTTCTGAAAAATTAGATATTTCATTAAACCCAATTCTTATGTAGCACTTCATAATTTGATATTCCATTTTATTGGAACCAAGCTTAACATCTGATGCTTTCATAGCATTTTGAGCAAATATTTTTATTTTATTTTCGTTATTTTGCTTCCAATGGTTTTCAAAAAATTTCTCAAGATACATGAATTTTCCTACGCTGTGAGCTCCAGCTTTAAGGATTGGAATTTTTAATTTCCAGACCTTAAAATAGCTTGCAACTAATCGTTTTGAAGATCTTAGTATTGCTTTATAAGTTTTTACTAACTCCCCCCTCCTCCGTGAGTGAACAAAAAATTTTGTTTCACTCACGGAGGGGGTTAATTTTAGTTTTTTTAAACAATTTTTATATAAATTTTATAAAAAATTTTTTTTTTCAAAATGTAAAAAATCCTAATTTGCAAAAATTGGGAAGCAAATATTAATTTGATTTATAAAATTTATGTTTTAAAACGCAATTTGTTTAAAATTAAACAGAATTAGAACTAGATTTCATTATACTAATTATCACTTATATATCAAAATTTTTTTTCCCATTAAAAATTTTTCTATTAAAAAAATTTTTGTTCACTCATGGAGGGTGGGTTTTTTGTCAAAAAATGGCGATTTTTCTAATGGTTTTGTTCACTCACGGAGGGGGGGAGTAAGCCTTTATAAGAACTTTGGTACTTTTCAATAGATAGCATTTTTTTAACTTCTTGATGTTTTTCTTTTTCAACTGTGAACTCTTTTAGCATTTTTGCAGATTTAGATTGACTAGTAAAGAGTTTCCAAGCAGTCAAAGTGATATCAAGGCATTTCCCATTATATTCAAGATCTTTATTGAGTAAAATGTTCTCAATCCTGTTAAATGATTTGGATTCTTTTGTTTCTTTTTTCCAAGTTGTGAATGCATTTGCTTCAGCTTTATTTATCCAAACACTAACCACATGATTTATTCTTGCAACCTTTTGTTTATTATAGCTTGATATTTTTTGAAGTTCATTAATTATTTTGAACTGTTCTTTCCTTTCATACTGCTTTCGGACCCAATAGTGGTATTGACGCTTCATTAAAGATAATTGGCAAACTCTTTTGAATTCTAAAAAGACAGATTGCTTTAGAGCAAAGGCTGCGAAATCAATGGAAAGATCAGCTTTTCCTTGTAATAGTCTTACTTTTGTACAAGCTTTTGATCATGAATTGAAATAAACATTTAAGGAACTGCGATATTTTCGATTTATGATTCTTTTTAGCAGTTTTTTTATTACGGGCTCAACTCGAGGTTTTGTTTTTCATTGAGTAAAACGTTTCGCAATTTTTGAGCTAATTTTCGGTGAATAAATATAAAACAGCTTATCAATCGACTCTTTAGCCACTTTTTTATACTTCATTCTTTTTAAGAACAAATTCCTCCAATTAGAAAACGCTTTTCTCCTAATTTTAACTGCACTTATATCAACAACCAAGTTATCTCTCATTTTTTTCAAATGATTCCAATTTAATGCTTTCCGTCACACATTGTGTGCCTTTTGCAGTTTATTTCTCCAAAAAATTTTTGCTTTATCTATCAAAATTCTTGCTGCACTATTTTTATTCAAACTAATAACCTTCAAATCTCTGATTTTTTTGAATCCAAAGCTTTCTATCTTTATAATAATTTTCTCAATTACCATTGCTAGGCCATTTCCAGCCAATAATTTGCTGTGCTTCACATAATTTCATTTCAAATGGTCAATTTCGTTATTACTTGCAATCATAAATTGTTCATGAGAGCTCCGAAAGTCACTGAATCTTATTTCAGCTTCAGCCTTTTCTCCTTCAAGCTTAGCAAGAGAAGACTTTAAATTGGCTTTTTCTTGAAGCAGAGAAGAATGAGCCACTTCAAATTCCATCAGCTGCATTTGAAGCTGCCTGATTTTTTCAGTTAATGAAACTTTGTCGCCTTCTAGTAATGAGGAATGTTCAGATCTCTGAGAAAGAGCTCGAGCCAGTTCTTGGTTTTCCTGAACGATTTTTTCTTGGTTGATTTCGAGAGCTCGGATTGTTTGAATTAAGCTGTCTTTTTCTTGCTCTAATGACCGAAGTGAATTAAGCTTTAATTCAAGCTGAGAAGAGCTCATAAGGCCTCTTGAAGAAGAAAATCTGGAGTTTTGGGCGAGTTCTGCCTTCTCTCTTCGAACTTCAGTCAGCTCGCTTTCAAGTATTTCAATTTTGTGGGCTAATTCTGCATTTTGAGATCTGAGAGAGTTCATAGTCTCAGTAATGCTTGGTCTATTGTTTGGAGTTTTTGACTGTGAGGCATCTCATAAAGCTTCTTCTAAGTTTGGATCTGATTTTCTTTCGTGTGGCCTTTTGTCAGCTTTGATCATGGTTTATTTATTAAAATTTAAGACGTTATTTAGCTTTATAATTATAAATTTCATAAAAGTGCACGCATAATTATATAAAAATTGCATTTGATGATGATTTTGAGACTTATTCTAACTCCCCCCCCCCCCCTCCGTGAGCGAACAAAAAAAATTTTGTTCACTCACGGAGGGGGGTTAATTTTTTTTTTTAAAAACAATTTATATATAAATTTTATAAAAAAATATTTTTTTCGAAATTTAAAAAAAATCCTAATTTGCAAAAATTGGGAAGCAAATACTAATTTAATTTGCAAAATTTATGTTTTTTAAAACGCAATTTGTTTAAAATTAAACAGAATTAGCTCTAGATTTCATTATACTAATTATCACTTATATAGCAAAATTTTTTTCTATTAAAATTTTTTCTATATTAAAAATATTTAGAATTTTTATTATAGTTATTGCCGAAAAATACTGGGAAACATAAAGACTTCAAAAAAAATCTTGGAACAAAATTAATTTTTATAGCAACAAAAATTACTCTTTATAAAATTTATATGAAAATAATTTTAGAATATTTTACTATTTAATTTGGCTGCATTGAAATATCAATTTTTTCATAAATAAATAGACTTCCTTTATTTAGCATTTTTGATTCTTGAATAAAAAATGAACTAATGCCAGAAATCAAAAAATACAGGGAACATAAAGCCAAAACTATTGGTTTGCCATTATTCATGCTCAAGAGCCACCCAGTAGCAATAGGAGTTAACAATCCTCCCGTTCTTCCACATGCATTAGACCATCCGCAGCCTGTGCTTTTTATTTCTATTGGATAAGACTCGGGAGTAATCATATAAAGAGTGCCATATGCAAGCATAATTACCAAAATCAACAGAGAAGTAAAAGTTAAAATCTAAATAAATTTTACTGTAGCAAATTCATTAGCCATATAAAATAAAATGCAAAATATAGCCGAAAATAAGATCCCAATTGATAGGGTATGCTTACTTCCTAAGCTTGATTTGCATAAATAAGATGAAACAATAGTCCCAGGTATTGCGCACATTTGTTGAAGCATGATAATTAAATATCTTTCGGTTAAAGAATACCCATCTAAGAATAAAGGCATAAAGTATAGCATATTTGTATATCCACTAGCAAGAAAAAAGTAAATAAAGGCAAAAAAGATGCTATTTTTTGTGTATTTTTCAGAAAATAATAATTTTAATAAACCCAAAATACTCTTTTTGTTATTTTCTCCATACTCTATATGAGTTTGTAAAACTAGCGGCTTTTGTAAATTATAGTTATTAGTCTTCGCAATTTTCTCTATTATTTTTTCAGCCTTGTCTATATTTCCAGAGCAACCCAAATAAAATGGTGTTTCGTCCATTTTGAATCTAAAACACATTATGCAAAATTCATATAAAAATGCAATTGCTATCATAATTCTTCATGAAGTAATTGGAAGAAAATTCTGTTCAGTGCAAAATATTCCAATTAAAGCAGCAAATACTCCTCCAACTCCCCAAGTAAATGATAGACTTGCTAATTTATTGATATCTTTAGGTGGGCAAAACTCTGAAAATACTGCCCCTCCTACAGTCAATTCACCACCAATAGAAAATCCCATAAAAAAGAGGAAAACGAGAAAGGAATAATATTCAGGAGAAAATATCAATAAAAAACTTGTAAGAGTTAGTAAAACTGCACTTTTCTTGAAAGAAAACATTCTCCCAAATCTGTCGCTGAGATAACACCATATATAAGAACCCATCATGATTCCTAGTTGCATTGATGTAGCTAAATAGCCTTCCATTTGAATGCTTAAGTTTCAGTCGTCTGCAACTAAGCCCAAAAGGAGGCCAATTAAAACTTCTCACATTTGAGTCGTCGTTCATGCCTAAATTATCTTTACAAGTCCGCATTGCAATGCCATGATATTTTGATACTTTCCTCAGCCTATTTGATTCAAAAAATCCTCAACTATCACATTCACACTTCTAGTGGTCATTAAAATTAACAATAAAGGACACCAGAAATTATCTATATGTGCTTAAATAAAATAGATAAGCTTCTGATTGCTCTATGTAGCTGAATTAATTAAAAATTCTTATAAAAAAATAGTTTAATGCTACTGCTTGAACTTTTGGAATAACCTTTTCGGACTTGGCCCTGTTGATTTCACATAAATCAACCAATTTATTACTAAAATTTTGCATCAAGGCTTAAAAATTATTTTTGCACCTAGAAGTTATTTTATGAACCTATATCAATTTCCGTCAATCTTTGCTAGTAAACAGTGATGTATGTGCTAGTTTATCTATCTCAATGCCTTGCTACATGAACTAATGCCATTTTTATAAGAAACTTAAAAAACTCAGCCTATTAAAATTAGCATTAATTAAAACACACAGCAATTGATTGAAGCTTGTAGATGACTCTTCTTTGTTTGCTTACTTATATTTTTAAGCTTTTTTAAAATAACTTTTCTATGCTTAGGCTCTTTGATACCTATTTCTTCTTTTAATAATTTGTCAGTAATCACAAGCTCTGAGCTCATCTGCTCAACCAAAAATTCTAATTCCTCATATCCAACTTCATAAAAATTTTCAAGTAAAAAGCTTAGGTTCAAAGACTCTAGCATATCTTTTAGTGATAAATTAGCCCTTTCTGTTTGCTGAAAATATATATAGAAATTTCCCATAGATGGCGCTGCTTGCCCTTGATTTGTCCACTGGGGAAATTTTTTGGTTCTACCAGTACCATATGGTTTGGTCAAACCAAAAAATTTTCCTCATGGGCAAATCAAGGGCAAACAGCGCCATCTATGGGAAATTTCTATATAGTAATTGCCCGAGGATGGCGACAGATAGCGCCATCCTCGGACAATTACAATACATTAAAATGGTGTGATGAGCCAACCTGCCCTCTTAACACCTTCGGCTGGTAGGTTCATTGGGAAAGCCAGGACCTTGTGGAAGAGAGGACAGCGTTCGAAGTGCAATGTTGGTTTTAGCTGACTGCATGCTCACATCCAGGTCAAGGTTTTATCTCGTGTGGGGAAATGGTTCGATGGAGTTAAAAAGGGGAAGCCCAGCAATCGGATTTAGACTGCTGTCCTTCCAGCTCTCAGGCTTGAAAATGGGTTTCCTGCGCAGAAAATGAAAACTCTAGCCAGCTGAAACTAGGAGTTACGTCCTGGGCTACAAGTTTGACCTGCTTACTGGGATTTAGAGAGTTGACTGAAGGGCCAAAATGATTGCTGGGCTTACCATTTCCAACTCCAAACTCTTCCTTTCCCACGAGGTAAAATCCAATCTTGAAAAGAAACTTGGCTAGGCTCCAATCGCTACTGAATTGCTTACCTAGTATTGCTGTCCCTTTCTGGATTGGTAAAACTTTGCCGGATATAAGGATCCCCCCCTCATTTGTCCAATTTTCTATTCTTTTATCATTTGCCCATTTTTCTAGTTTTTTTTATAGGAAAAAAATTTTTTTAGGACCTCATTTGTCCAATTTTCTACTCGAAATTTTGATAGTAAAAAAAAATTTCAGGACCTCAATTGTCTCATTTTCTAGTTTTTTTAAAAGAAAAAACTAAAATTTAGGACATTCGAAAAAATCCAAAAAAGACTAGAAAATGGGACAATTCATTTTTGACTAGATTTTAGGACAAATGAGGTCCTGAAATTTTTTTTTCTTATAAAAAAAAGACTAGAAAATTGGACAAATGAAGGGGGGGATCCTTAATTAAATGTGCTCTCGAGGCTGCATGGCCGAGACGTCATATTTAATTATACCTTGAAGTGCAACACGGTGGAAGGCTCTGTCCAGATTGGCAAACAAGCAGTGGAGTGTTATGTGGAGGCTAGTAGTGGCCTGCAGACCTGCAGGGGACTTCTCAATAATTAATTTAAGTTAAGTTAAGCTTGCTGAAATATGCAGCATTTCCATCAAATGGATTCAGTTAAAACGTTTTCATCAACATTCCAATTATTAAAAAAATCGTCAGGGGAGTTTTTGACTTTTTCAATCATAATAAGGATTCTTTTCTGGTGGCCAGGCTTCGTTATTCCTGTTCTATCAAGCATATCTGCCGTTATTGGCAAAGGAGTATTCATTTGAGAAATCAAGCTTTCAAAATCATCAAAACCAGCATTTACTAAGTTTGGAAAATAAATATCGAGCTTAATGTTTGTTAAAAATTGGTAAAGTTTGTCGTTATCTTTTGCATTAATTGAAATTTCATGACTTCCTGGTAGTGATGTTGACCCTTGATTCATTCTTAATGTTGTATCAGCTGTCCCACATGATTTAAGATGCTTATCAAAGGGAGATAAAGAAGTTGACTGGACTTTTTCAGTAGGACTCATAACAGCTGAAGAAATTGATGACTGCAGCTGTAATGAGAGTCTACTTGATATATCTTCTTCACTTGGTCTGGCTTCTCTTATTTCTCAAAGCCCTGTATTTGCGTCATATTTCACTTCTTCACTCCAGTCTTGCAAAATTTGTTTGATTTTTTTATTTTTAGCTAAATTCAGCGCAGAATCTCCTTGTTTGTCCTTTATATCTGGATCAGCACCATGTGAAAGAAGAAGCTTAATAATCTCTAAATGGCCGTTTGATGCCGCTATATGTAATGGAGACTGACCCAGCTGTGTAATAATAATAAAATGGCTTTGGATGAGAGGAAAATTCACTCTGCAAATTCCACACTCCCTCACCCAATTTTTATTATTAGAGGGTTAGGCTTTTAGATGTGTAGTTCTGTCTAATAGTGAAGAGATGGTGAAGGTTTTCTTACTTCACATCCTACAGGCATCGTGCTTTACCTCTTTCCACTACCCAATAAAGGTAGGACCCTAGGGCAGAACTGGCGCTGGAAGAAAGTCGGATAGAGCGAGGCAACGCGCCAAGCCACAAGTGTTCCCAGGACTTCTGGGCATTCGTTTGGCTTCACGGAGGCTAGAAGAAGTGACTTTTGTCGGCAGGCTGTACGGACTATCTAAGGAAGCGACCAAAACCGAGGAAAAATAGACTTCATTGTCCTGCGCAACTTGAGCTCCCACTAGATGTGAGTTAAATTAAGTAATCTAAGTCTAAGATCCAGCTGAGTAGTCAAGGAATTCGGATCTGCATCATTTTGTAGCAAAAGATTAACAATTTTGTCGTCTCCTCTATATGTTGCATTGTGTAGTGGTGTTTCGCCTTCCAGATTTGCGATTTTAGGGTCTGCACTATATTTTAATAAAATTTTTGCAGTTTGATAGTCGAAATTATCAGCGGCTATATGCAGAGGGGTTTCTCCCAAGTCATTTGGGATATTTGGGTTTGCTCCAGAAAGCAAGAGAAATTCTATTTTTTTAAAGTTATTCGAGATCACTGAGGAAATAAGAGGAGTGGAACCGAGACGGCTGTCACGAAGATTAATAAATTGTGGATCGGATTTAATTAGTTCTCTGAACGAGGAGAGTTCTTCTGACTCCCCCCCCTCCGTGAGTGAACAAAAAAATTTTGTTCGGGGTTAATTATAAAAAATATTTTTTTTTCGAAATTTAAAAAATTCCTAATTCGCAAAAATTGGAAAGCAAATATTAATTTGATTTATAAAATCTATGTTTTAAAAAGCAATTTGTTTAAAATTAAACAGAATTAGCACTAGATTTCATTATGCTAATTATCACTTATATATCAAAAGTTTTTTCCATGAAAAATTTTTCTATTAAAAAAGTTTTATTCACTCACGGAGGGTGGGTTTTTCGGCAAAAAATAGCGATTTTTCTAATGGTTTTGCTCACTCACGGAGGGGGGGAGTAAGGAATTGGAAAGGTTGTTATCATTCTTTATGAATTCTTCATTTTCAAGAGCTTGCATTTTATCAAAGAATTTCATGGCATCATAAACACTTAATGCTCATTAATCAATGTTAGCAATTGAGAGGAATAAACTAAATTATATGAAGTTTAGGTTTACTTCTGCATAATTTGGCAGTTGGATATACACCTCATGCAATGAAATGGTCACCAGGAAAACCTATTCCTTTTCATAATAGGCATTGGCGAAAGTCTGAAGGGACTGGATTGAAAGAATTTATTAAGCTTGCTTGAGGTTAAATCCAAAAGAACGAATTACTTCAAGAGATGCACTTCTGCATCCTTGGCTTAGCTTTAATCAGTAGTGTAACTCAAGATAAATAGTTGGGTTTCTCTTTTAGATGTAAAATAATTTCTATGTGATAAGGAAACATTATTTTTCTTTATATTCCATTAATTGAAAGCGATTTTCTAGCTTCAAATGCTTTAATAAGCTTTAAGACCGCCAAAAGTTTAGAATTATATTTTTGGCAAATCTTGTCAATATATAGTTGGTTTTCAAGATCAAAACTGGAATCTTTCAATTTAAGTGAATTTTGATAGCTCTAAAAGCTATAATCGCTCTTTATAATTAAAATGGTCATTCATATTAAGAAAACTGATCTCAACCAATTTATCCATGAAGCTACCAGAGCTACTCCTATTGCCCAGCTCATTCAAGATATCGTAGAAAGTCAGAGACCATCAGGTTAACAACTTAAGAGTAAAAGTAGATCGAGCTTCGCATTTCATTGAAGAACTCGTCAAAGCGGGTCCACTTAAACCTGAAGAAACTAGAGGTCTAGCAAAGGCGAAAACTCCACAGAGCCAGACCTGCCTGGACACAGATTCTGTGTTGACGAAACCCATTATCGAACTGGCTGGTGCGTTCCAGAAGACCTTGGAATCAGAATTTTCGAAACAGCTCAGGCCTCCAAAGACTAATTCACAAAATGAACGCTGAAAGGAGAATTCCACTGACAAGGAATCAGCTACTAGAAGCTTTAGACTTAATGAAAGGCGCTGTAATGATGGCCTATCCAGCTTATCATGGACTTCTACCATGGGAGCCTGCAATGTTGGTACTCGAAAGTCCTGATATTAAAGAACTTGCACAAGGTGAAGATATTTTTGAAGCAGAAACTCATCACTTTGGTTTGCTGGAAAAGAAATGATGAGAGGAAAAGATTTACTCACCCCGCTCCGTGAACGAACCAGTGAAAATACAAAAATCATCGCGAAAATACAAAAGCAAGGGCAGGGAGCGCGAGGGAGCCTGTTGTGGGTGCAGAGACTCAGAAAAATATGATTGCATTTTATCATAAAAAGCAGGAAGAAGCGAAAAAGCTAATGTCGGTAGATGAAGATGAGTATTTAAATTCTGCTTGGGCTGATCCGAAGAATTTGAAGAGACAATTGAATGGGACAGGAGATGTGAGGTGGAGGATTTAGGCTGCTCTTCAATATAATAAAATTAAAATAATTATTTCAAACAAGATTTTCGTATATATATAATCCTTTGCACAGTTTATTATTAGACTTGGCATGTCAAAATACTTTAGCTTGCTATGAAATATTAAATGGTGCAAAATTTTTTATATGAAAGTAAATAAATAGATTATGCAGCTCATTAGAGATATTTAAAGCTTAATTTGAATCTATCATATGACCTAAATCAGATAAAAATGCGTAATATTATTGGTAAACCTAATGCTTTTTTTTTATGACGAAAAATAATATACTCGTAATTCGGCCAAATGCGTTACTCTCACATAAGCAGATTATGAATATAAACATCATTCTCTAAAAATTGCAAATTGCCTAAAGCCATATCAAAAATACTTATTTTAAAAACATAAAAACATGCATCATGTCTTATATAACTTAAAGAGAAAAAATATTTTTCTTCATCCAATATCGTTAAAAATTATGATTAGCTCCTAACTCTTCTATATTTTCTAAAATATATCACATGCTGAATTTATTTTCATCCTTTTTATAAATAAGTTAGCATATGGGAGTTTCCATATCTCAAAATCACGAATATAAATATTTGGCTTTAATCTATAATATCAATGTCATTGAGTTCAAATCTAGATCCAGATAAAAAGAAAAACGAAAACTGAAGATACATCCATCTCCTTGGAAACTCCAAAAATCCAAATAAAGGTTACCAAAAAAACCAAATAACAACGTATCGATATACATTCCTGAATTTCTTCCCAAAAAATATCCGTGACCAATTTCGAAATTACGCTTATTACTGATATCTAATAGACCCAATTTCACAATTAATTGAAAATCCCAATTCTTATGACTGAACATCACGGCTTCATGCCAAATGACTGTGGAAATTTGATAGTGCGACATCTCCTAGGGGAAAATTTGTTCGAATCATTTTCGATAGTGAGACATTTGACCAAAAAAACCGTTAAATTTCGGCTAAATGGGTACGTTTTTAAAAAAATTTTCAACCAAAAATACTTCGGTGAAATGCACATATCAAAAAGGCACTATCATTGGGCCTGCACCCGAACATCAATACTGCCTATAGCTCTTCTTTTAATATTTACTTTTATGTTTGATGCTTATAGAGATATAAGAAATCATAAAAATGATAAGAAAGTAAATGAAAAAATATTTGAAATATGAGATGGGCTACAATTTAGACAGACAAAAAGTGAAAATATTTGTGTAGGAGATATAATTTTACTGAATGAGAACGATTATGCACCAGCAGATATTCTTATTATTTGCATTGGAGAAAATGAGAAAGAGTGCTACGTTGAAAAGTCTGGGTTTATTGGAGGCACAGATATTAAAGTAAAGAAGCCGATAAAAGATGTACAAAGGCTATTTGATACTATTGATATTGATGAAGCGTCAACAATTTTAGGCCGCATAAATGGAAAAATAAAAATCCCCGATTCTTCATCCAAAGATATAAAAGGAACTTTTAAGATGAGTATAAACCCAGATCACACAGAAATTAGCTCTGAGAATTTTATTCAGCAGTGATCTTATATAATTGAGACTTCATGAATTTTAGGAGTTGTAATATACACAGGGAATGAAACTTCTGTATCAGTATCATTAAGAGAAAAATATAGAATTTCTACTATAGAAAAGCAACTGAATATATGGGTTTTGTGGATCGGCTCCATATATTTTTGTTTTGTCATCGCATCCTTTTTAGTTAATTTACTTATATATGGCACAAAGTACGATGATAATTCTCGATCTTTGTTTCTAACAACGACTTTTGTTTTAAACAGGCATGTCCATATATTTTTATATGTGATTTTGCCTATCATTCGGTTTATCCAAATCTGGAGACTCTCAAAAACCTATCCTGGCGTTACTTTTCACTCAAGTAAAGCTCTTGACGAGCTTGGCCAAGTTGAATATATTTTAACAGACCGCTCTGGAACTATTACAAAAAATAAATTGATGATATCATCATGCATGGTTAATGACGCAGTTTACATTAACACAAAAACTCAATTGCCAGATCAAAAAACAGATACATCGCCGTTTCATACAGGGAATTTCCTTATTGATAGCGCAAATCGTAGGATATCAAATGAAAATTTATCATTTTATACTTTAAAAAATGAATTGATTGGCTCCCAAAACATAAATAAAATGGTATTCGGCTAGACGAAATTAGCTCCGCTAATTTTCTCTCCATCAAGCAATTTTATTTGTGGGGTTCGGTTTATCTCGAGAACTTCTGCACAGCAATAGTGGTTTAACTCTGTGGATAAATAGAGGAACTGCTCCTCAGTGCACTCAAGAGGCTCAGGTCTTTACCCTAAGCACACCTTGAGGAAGGTGGCCCTTAGGGGGAACACACACAGGAGTTGAGTAGAATAGAGCTGTGGCAGCAGCAAAGCCCGTTGAAGCCGAAACGCTTTATTTGTCCGTGCCTTGGTGAATCCAAAGTGGATCGATCCAGAGGTCCATGGGCCCGACACGTAGACAAATATGGTGGCAGCTCTGGACAAGGTTACCCCATAGTAGACGTAAGATATTATAAATAATTTAAGATTAAGACTGGCTCTCAAAACAGGAGAGGAGATGTTTACAATTTTATTATGTGCATGGCAATTTGCAATCAATTTTTCCCAAAAATTTCTAGAAAATGCATATCGATATCTGCAGATGATAGAACTCTTGTAGAAACCGCGGGACAATTAGATTAGATTATTAAGTATCTTACTTAATTATCTATAACGTTTAAAGTTTACTACGGGGTAGCCGTTTCCTGAGCTGCCACCATATTTGTCCACGTGTCGGGCCATGGACCTCTGGATCGATTCACTTTGTTGCACCAGGGCACATGTCCATATGGCGTTCCGGCTTCGACGGGGATTATTAAGTATCTAGCATTAAGCGGTTGGTCAAGCATAAAACCCATCCCTCTAACTCCTTCAATATCAAACTACCTAGTCTTAATAATAAGAAATATAAGAGATATTGCAGTATTTTCGCTCCTAAACTATTAAAAATGTGATTTATAGAATGCTTATACATATTTTAATACTTTATTTCATATCTCTACTATATAAAAAATTTATATGGCTATCACATTTAGCTTATATTTTTGTATTAAATTTAAATGAGATATATCATATCATGTTTTATATTTTAAGTTTAAGTTTAAGTTTAACGAATTACTCTAGCATATTGCCATCAGTCTTCTTTTACTTGAGGGTCAAGCTACATTAACAGCTGAATAACGGTAGGTGGACCGGCCTAACCGTCAAACCATTAAAGTTAATAAGCCCGTTAAGACTTCTCTAGTCAGTGCCAGCCTCAGCACCGACTTCTTCTCTTTTAAGCGGATACTCTCAAGAAGCTTGACTTCTCTCACTAAGCTCTGATAATAGGACCCGGACCTGCTTAGCAGGAGTTAGGACCTATTCCTAACTGGCATTTGTAATATTGTGATGTTTTTATATTTAAATATAAGCTATTAAGCATACTATATCTGTTAAAAACGCATTGTTTAGTGAAATCGATGCTAGATATATTATGTGCCTATGATGCATAATTATGCTTTATTTATTTATTTATTTATTTATTTATTTATTTATTTATTTGTGCCTATCCATTTTAAGGATAATAATGCTATTTAGCCTAGTAAACAAAACCACCTAAGCAGTATTTTTCGACTATATCAAAGAGTATAGTTTAATTTGAGGGATATGGGGTGGGTTTTATACTTGATCAAGTGGTTGATCTACTAGTCTTTACCTTATCTTGTTCCCAAAAAGGTACAGTAAATTGATTCAGGGTGCAAATAAGAATAATAAGAGTACTTCTTGAATTTACAATCTGATGACCTACAACAAGGATCAGCTTCTTGGGGTAGAGCCACTCTCTGGGAGTGCCCAGACAGCCCCCATAAGGAAAGACTGTGTGGTAAGGAAAATCTGCCTAGCGTAAGCAGTAACAGGAAAAAATTCGAGGAGAAACAAAACTTCTCTCTTCAATAGTATCCCTAGTCAAAATGCCTTCTGGGAAGCACATAGGTGCTTGAATTTAGCACCTAAGATACGCTCTACATCTTTTAGGGAGTAAGCTTAGGAGTCCGCCTTTCGTCATCATCATTCTATTTTTATCTGGACAATTAGGAATTCAATTAGTAAGCAGAACACATAAAGAATGCCTCGTTAATATTCTAGGGAATATAAAAGTATTAGATATAATTGCATATCGACCATTCTCAGCAAAAAACAAGAAAAACCGAATTATCGTTTTTGATGAAAGCACTAAAGAAACTATTTTATATGTAAAAGGTACAAAAGAATCTATGAATGAATTATTTGATTTATCGAATGAAGACAAGCTTAACATTGAAGAAAACCTATACACCTTTAATCTTTTAGGAAAAAGATTGATATTTATGGGCTATAAAGTTTTGACTGAAAAAGAGATTAAGTACTTCAGTTTTGCTTATAAAAATGCTAAAAGATCACCAGTTAATAGCGAAGGAAGGATTGAAAGCATTTTTGAGTCATTGGAGCAAAAGTTAAAATTTCTGGGCTGCATTACAATAGAAGATAAAATTTCTAAAAAAACAAAAAATGCTGTATCACTTTTAACTCAAGCTGGAATAAAATTTTGGCTTATGAGCGGTGATGATGAAGAAATCACACTTACAACTGCGATTTCTGCGAATATGTTTGATCTAAATGCTAGTATAGCAAGATTAGCGTCTTATTCTTCGCATTTAGAATGCCATATGGATATGATTGAGCATGTAAAAAGATTTATTTTGCATGTAGGTGAAGATATGACTGATATAAACCCCTTATCAATTCCAAAAGAATTCGGAAAAGCTCCCTTGCACTCTTCTCAAAAGCTTTTAAGTGTCCCGAATCTATCAGAAATTGACCAAAATTGAACCCCAAAGCTATCTGGGATTATAGAAAAAAAGAATATAGGAAGAGAAAAATCAGCAGTCAATAATATTCATCCATTTTTAGCTCAGCTGACTACTATAAATTTATCTTCACCTCTAAAGATGACTTTTAACCCTGAATCTGTCTTTTTTGTATTATCTGTTGATGCGCGAAGTATCACTCATGAACTTGGCTCAGAAGAAAACAGAAAATTATTTTGCGCTTTACTAACTCTACTCACTAAAGAATGAGAAAAACCATTTGAAAATACAACAATTCTGATGAAATTAACTAAATTTTAGAGCTAGCAAAAAAATTTTCTATATAAAATTTTATTATAAATAAATTAGACTTTTCATTTTGATTCAGATTTAAAAAAATATTTTTTTATAATAAAAAACTTTTAGAAAATAATTAAGCTACTCACTCTCAAAGGGGGTAAGTGCTGCCAATTGCGTTTGTTTCCATTCACTTTTACCAGGGCATAAAAGACAAATCGCCTCGTTATTGAAAAATAATTTTTCATATAAACCTACTTTTTTGACAATTGGAGATGGCGCAGGCGATGTGGGGATGATTAAAAAAGGTCATGTTGGAATAGGGATTGAAGGTAAAAAATGAGGATTTGCTGCGGATGCAGGAGATATTGCGGTTAAGGACTTTTCGCAAATAAAAGATCTGATTTTGTTTGAAGGGCATTGAAATTATGTAAAGATTTCGAATGTTATTTTGATATATTTATTTTCAAGCTTTATGCATACTTATATCATATTTTTCTATACTTTTGTGAAAGTGGCTGGCGGAAACGCAATATTTAGCATTGGGATGACATGATATTATTACGGATTTTTAACGGCAATTCCCTTAATTATAATTGGAATTTTTGATGAAGATGTAGAAGGCCATCAAATTGCAAAATTTCCTGAAATTCATAATGTTGGACTACATAAGCTTATTCTTACAAGTAAAAAGCTGATTCTTATTTCTATAAAAGCTCTTATCCAATCATTGCTGATTTTTTATATGGTGCTTTATTGTGGAATATTAAATAACGATGGATACACTGAAAATGGTGCATATATGTCATTGGTAATGCATATATCACTATACGGCTCATTTCTTGCATATTTGATACTGGAAACTTACTCTTACAGCTTTATTAGCATTATTGGATATATCATTTCTATTATCTCGCTAATAGTATATCTAGAAATAATGTCAGAAGTACCGAGTTCTCATATGTTTGGAAATTTAGAAATGACTAACACTTCTCCATTGCTTTTTTGCCAGTTTTTCTTTATTCCACTGATCTGTCTAATAGTAAATTATGCAACAAAATGCTATGAAATAATGTTTTACCCAGGATTCATTGATTTTATTAGAAGTAAGTTTAATGGAAAATTGTTTTTTGAAGCAAAATCCAGAGTAGATTTATTTAATGGAAGACTTGACAAAGTCTACAAAGAAAGCAAAAAATTAAGAAATACCAAGATTAAAAAGGAATTTACAATAAACAAGTGAATTTTGAGATTTTGGGATGAGTCTACTGAAAAAGACTATCAAAATGAAAAAATTGAAGAAACATTGATTATTTATCGAGCATTCATTATGTACCGGTTTATTGTAATTTTATCTATTTTCATCTACGTATGGTCGGATGAAATTGATGATACAACTCTAGGTCCATTTTTTACTGTGACTGCATTTATTTATGCAGGATTTGTTGCATTTTCTTTTATTTCTCATTTTAAATATCAAAGAAAAACAATCACATTATTAATGAATCTTTGTGATATCATTATGATTATAATTCACTCATTTGTTCTAGGCTTCCAAATTCCCACCATATATCTAAGCTGGCCTTCTGTAATTTTTATTGGTTCCTGCACAGATTGGACCACAACCATATTTTCATCCTTATCAGCCTCAGTATTCATATGTATTTCTGCTTACATCCACACTTCTAATCTGGATGGCCTTACATCTACTGAAGCTTTCATATCAGGAACAGAATTTACAATAATTTATTCCGCAATATGAATTTCTTCAGCTATAATTGGCTATTCAGTTGAAAGGTATAACAGAGAAAAATTCATCCTATTAAAAAAAGTAGAAAATGAAGTAGAAAAATCCAAACAAGTTTTAGACTGCGTCTTGCCTGATTTTGTTAGAAAAAGGGTTAAAGATGGCGCAAGATATATCGCTGACGATCAAGGAACAGCTACTGTGCTATTTTGCGATATCCACAACTTTGAAGATATAGTGGATGCTTATCCTTTATATGAGCTTACTGCATTTTTAGACAATGTTTATAGGCAATTTGATAACCTTTGTGAGATAATAGGGGTTACTAAGGTGGAAACTGTAGGAAAAACTTATATGGCCTGCGCTGGCATTAAAGACAGCGAAGCTGAACTGGATTGAATAATCCAATCTGTCCCTCATGCAAGAAGAGCTGTGGAAATGGGTTTGGCGATGATTAAAGCAGCTGAAAAAATCAAATTAAAAAGTGGAGGGTCTTTACAAGTGAAAGTTGGCATCCACAGTGGGCCTGTAACGGCAGGAGTTGTGGGGTTTCATAAGCCTCAGTTTTCGCTTGTTGGAGACACTGTTAATACTGCAAGCAGAATGTCTTCAACTAACCAAGATCCAAATACAATACAAATTTCTGAAGAAACCTATAATAGTATAGAAGAAAAAGATGATTTTGCATTTGCAAAACGCCAGGTTGAAGCAAAAGGGAAAGGTTTCATTACTGCATATACAGTAAGAGAAAGCGAATTAAATGATTTGCCTTTATTTAGCTTTGGTGATCCTGATTTTGTAATGACAAACTCAATGCATTCTGTTAGAAAAAGAACTATGGTAGAGCATGCATGAAGCCCTGAAAGAAGACCATCAGTTGCAACTGGAAAGGAGCCTAGAAGGAGGCACGCAACTGTCACAGGGGTTAGGAGGAAATCAATTGCATTATCTCCTGACGCCAAAAAAATGCCAACATTAACTCCAGCTGACGGAAAGAGAAATTCAATTGTCATTCCATCAGCAGGAAGGCAATCAACTTTAAATTCAGTCGAAAAAAGAAACTCATTATTTACTTCAGAGGCCCGAAAGCAGTCCATTATGACAACTCTTGGAGTTTATGACCAATCTCTCCTATATAAAAGAAGAAATACTGACAAAATTGACCCTATAAAATTTCATCCTTTTTCATGTCGCGAATCTAATAAAGAAAGATGCCTGAGGATTCACATAATAGAGCACAGCCGATGAATGCTAAAAATCAGAATTTTAACAGCCTTTATATGCAGCTTATTGTTAGGAATTATGAAATTCATTCTTATCCAGCTGTCAGATAATAGCAACTATAATATCATTTCAGCGATTTATTTTACATCAGTTCTTATTTGGTACATTTCACTTTGAAGGATATTTGCAAGGATTTACAAATCAAAGTACATTTCATGAATTATGCAAGTTGGCTACTTGACTCCAATAATTTTAGTTCTTATAATGAGATTAAATCGAAAAGATGAAGTTGAAATTGTAGAAGTTTCGTATCTGTTATATTGCACTTTATTATCTTCTCAATGCATCTGTTCATTTTTCAAAAACATTATAAGCACAACAATTCTAGCTACAATTTTTATAGCTCTTGACCAAATGCTCATTGGTGGTTCTGCTAATAAATATATATATTTGATATCCATTATATCATTTGAGTTCGCTATGCTATCAATTTCTTATTTTACTGAAAAAACGATGAGGTTTAATTATGCGTTAGAAGATTTTGCTAAAAAAGAGCTTGAAAAAACAGAGAGCTTGCTAAAGCAAATGATGCCGCCTCATGTCTATAATAATTTAAAAGAAGAGACCACCACCACTGATTCTTTAAGCCAAGTCACCTTATTGTATGCAGATATTGTAGGTTTTACAGAATGATCATCACAGAGAACCCCAGATAACATTGTTGGGATGCTTTATGAGCTTTTTAGCAAGTTTGACATGAAATGTGTGGAGCATAAAGTCTATAAAGTTCACACCATAGGAGATTGCTATGTAGCTATGGGATTTAATGGAGACATAGAAAGAAACCCAGGAGAAGAGTGTTTAAAGGTCATAAGATTTGCAGAGTCTATGGTAGAAATAATTGAAAAAGTGAATGCAATTAATAATTCAAAACTGAATATGAGGATTGGGATACATACAGGAAATATTATAGGAGGAATTGCTGGAACTAATATAGTTCGATATGATATATATGGAAAAGACGTACTTATAGCAAATAAAATTGAAAGCAATGGGGCAGGTGGGAAAATACTTGTAAGTGAAGCTGTTAAAAGCTTGATTGAAGGGTATAAGCCTGAACTATATAACTTTACTTTTCATAAAGAAATACCAATTCAAGCAATAAAATCGAAGATAAATGCATTTTGACTGGATCTTGATTAAGATAATGACAATTGCTTATTTTAAATAATTATACATTTAAAAATACTTATTAGTAAATTTATACCCCTAAAGCAATAAATATATTTTCACTCTTATTTTTGAATATGGCCAAATCATTTCTTAATAAATTTTGTTTAAAATTCTTGCAAATAGCTTCTTTCGCACTGTAGTAATATCTCGATTAAAACTTGTTTGCATCTTTAATAATTGTTTTAGAAGAAAATCTGTAACCGCTTTTCCAGAAAATTCTTACATATAAGATCGATTGAGTTATTTAACTTGATTTTAATCTTAATCTTATTATGAAGAAAATGTTTTTCATATTTGTTCTCGCAGGGGTTGATTTTCATGGTATAGGGAGCATAGTTTTGGATTTAAATGTGTTACCTCGAAATTCAAAGGCATTTTCTATTGAAAGTAAATGTTAAAATTAGAGCAGAATGGCTAATTTCTTTTTTTGAGTTTTATATAAAATTATTGAAGATTAAAATAATGTCTTTTAAGCCAATATCATCCTTAGAAAAAAAAGAAGAGAGGTGAAGGTATATTCACATACAAGGAAGCAATTCAATCTCCATGAAAGGGTATGCAAAGAATAAAATTGTAACATCACGATATACACTTTTAAATTTTATCCCCTTAAACATCAGAGACCAATTCAGAAGTTACGCATATTATATTTTTTTAATTGACCCTATAGCTCAGATATTCCTTGATCCATACTCAAGCTTCAGCTGGATGTTTATGATACCATTTCTCCTACTATTGTTTACAACTTTTATTTTTGATGCTATTCAAGATATAAAACATCATAGGAATGACTCAGCTACAAATAATAAAGAATATGATATATGAGACGGATATAAATTTTCTAATAAAAAGCTCGAAGACATTGAAGTTGGCGACATTATTTTACTAAAAATAAATGAAATAGCACCTGCTGACATTCTTGTGCTTTATGTCAGTGAAAATGATAAAATCTGTTATATTGACGCAACAAAAGCTATTGGAGGCACTGATATCATAATTAAAAAGCCAGTCAGAGAAACTCAATTAAATTTCGATACAAATGATATTGATGAAAGCAAGCGAATGACAAAGCTCGACATTGAAGAGATAGCAGCACAAATTCCAAAACTTAATGCAAAAATAAAAGTCCCAGAATCTTCCCAAGGAGAGTTCTATGGATCGATCAAGCTTAGCACATGCCCAAATCAAACTGAAATTGATATATATAATTTGATACAATTGGGATCTCAGCTAATAGAAACCTCATGAATTTTTGGGGTTGTAGTTTACACAGGGACTGAAGCATCAACTATTGGAGGCCTGTCTTGTAAACCTAAAAAATTATCAACTCTAGAAAAGAAACTCAACAGGTGAGTTTTTTGAATGACTCTCTTGCTATTTGGAATGGTATTGTCTGGATTTTTTGTAAGTATCTATAGCTATGGATTAGACTATGATGATACATATATGAGTCTTTTTCTTAATTTACTTATCCTTGACCGTAAGCATATTCCTGTGATGCTTTATGTAACACTACCAGTTATCCGATTTTTCCAAAGCTGGAAAATTTCTAAAAAATATGAAGGGATTTGTGTTCGTTCTTCTAAAGCGAGTGAAGACTTAGGACAAGTGGAAATTATTTTAGCTGATAGAGCTGGAACAATTAGTAAAAATAAGCTGAAGATCACTGCTTGCTGCATAGGAGAAACAGTTTATGAGTGAACTGATACTATACAAACTGAAATTCCAGAAACCTGCACTCCTAAAGAGCAAGATAAAAATAATGAAATTACATGCATAAACCCTACAAACGAAAAACTATCATTCAAATCTTTAAAAAATGACTTCATAAAAGGGATCAACGATGAAAGCCCAGTATATAACTTTGTAATGTGTATGGCCATTTGCAACCAAGTCTTTCCTAAATCAACTGAAAAAATGATATATATGAGTGCTGATGACCGAATTTTAATGGATACCAGTAAAGATTTAGGGGTCTCATTGCTATCTAAAGCCCATGATACTTGCCTAGTTGATATATTAGGAAATATTATAGAGTTCCCTATAATAGCATTTCATCATTATACAGGTGATTCAAGAAAATACAGAATTATTGTAGGGAGCCATAAAACAGGGGAAGCTATTCTTTATGTGAAAGGGCCCAAAAGCAAAATGTTTGATATTTATAATTTGACTGATGAAGAAAAACTTAATGTTGAAGAAAATCTGTTTAATTATAACCAATGGGGAAAAAGGCATATTTTTATGGGATATAAAAAACTTGCAAAGGATGAAATGGACTCTTTTAATTTTGCTTATAATAATGCGAAATTATCCCCAATTAATCGAGATGGAAGAATTGAGCACATTCTTGAAGAATTGGAACAAGGAATAAGCTATCTAGGATGTGTGACTATTGAAGATCAAATCTCAAATGGCACGAAAAACGCAATTTCATTATTGTCTGAAGGAGGTATAAAGTTTTGGCTGATGAGTGGAGAAGATGAAGAAATCACTTTAACAACAGCAGTGGCTGCAGAAATTTTTGAAATTGAATCCAATATAGCAAGAATTGGAGGATATAATTCTCAGCTAGACTGCGCTATTGATATGATTAATCATGTGAAAAATCATATTCTCCATTGCAACACTGAGAAAACAGCCATAAGCAACCAAATCGCTGTTTCTGGAACATTTTTAAATTGTGACATTAAGAAAATGCCTAATTCCAAAACTGACCCAGTTTTGCTTGATGGAGATGAAAGTCCTCAATCATTTTTTCAATATGGAAGGAGAAGGTCTCAAGAGTACATGAAAACTAAAAAATTCCATCCATTTTTGACACAAATAGCATCATTCAGTATTTCATCACCTCTAAAGATGAGTTTTAACCCTGATTCAGTTTACTTCGTGCTATCAATTGATAGTAATGGAATTGATTATGCACTTAGCTCAGAAGAAAACAGAAAAATATTCTGCTCTCTTCTTTGTGCAGCACATAGTGTTTGCTTTCATTCACTCAAGCCCAATGATAAAACAAGAATTGCAAGCTTACTTAGATACAATTTTTCATATAAGCCAATATTCCTAGCGATTGGAGATAGCTCAAGTGATGCTGGGATGATAAATTCAGCACATGTTGGAGTTGAAATAACTGGATCAAAAGGCCTTTGCTCGCTAAATTCTGGACATTATGCTATAAAGAAATTTTCTCTACTGAAAAATTTAGTTTTAATAGAAGGGCACTGGAATTATGTTAGAACCAGCAATATAGTGATGATGATTTTATTTAAATCTGCATTTTATTCATTTTTGGCCTTTTTTTATTCACTTATAAAGTCAACTGCTGCGAATAGTATTTTTGAATCCTGGTTGTTGTCGATGTATAATTTAGTGATCACAGGAATTCCTTTGATTATTATTGGAATTTTTGATGTAGATATTGATGAAAATCGCATTTTTACGTATCCAGAAGTATATAGAGCAGGTCTATACAGACTTTTATTAACAACAAAGAAGCTCTTTTATGTATTTGCAAAAGCATTGGCATATTCTTTAATATGCTTTTTTATAATAATGAATATAGGAATATGAAATGATTCGGGGTTTACTGAAAATTTTGATTTAAACTCAACAATTTTATATTTATGTATGTGCTTTTCATTTTTACTATACATGATTATCGAATCTTATTCTTATAGCAAATTCACAATTCTTGCCTACGTTTTTTTTATTATTTCTGCAATTATAATTTTAGAACTTACTTCTTGAACTATAGTTTTTGAAAAATTTGGGATTTTGCAAATGATTAATATATCCCCAATGGGAATTTTACTCATCATTTTTGTAACTCTAATAACTGCAATCTTTAACTATGCCTTAAAAACATATAGCATATTGTTCTTCCCAAGCTTTGTTGACTTTTTAAGAAATAATTTTAAAGGTAAAGCATATTATGAAGATCAAACAAGAGTTTCTTATTTTAATGAAAGATTAGATGAAGTTTACAAGGAAAGCAAAGACTATAGAAAGAAAAACCATCATGATATGTTCAAAATAAACAAGTGAATTTTAAGATTTGCCTCAGAGCTTACAGAATCTGAATACCAAACAGAAAAATTTGATGAAAAAATAAAAAGTTATAGAATTCTCATCATGATTCAGTTCATTTCTTGCTTTATTTTCAACCTCTATATATGAGCTGCTGATATTGGGAGCATATCGTTTCAAATTTATTACACGATATATAAATTTGTCTACTTTGCATGTATTTTTATATCATGGCTGCCTTACTTCAAAGGAAATTTAAAGCAGCTTATTTTTGCATTAAATGTATACGAAGGTGTTGCATTTCTAATAACTACTTTTGCTTTTAAAGTCTATCTTCATGCTTTATATGCTGTGATAGATTAAATTCAAGTTTATGTGTGGCTATAATTAAGACTCTTTTATAGGTAATTATCTATATGCGATTTCAACTTAAAGTTCACCACTATACTATTCTTGGCCTCCATTAATCCTTATAGGTCTTTGCAATGACTGAGCATTTTCGCTTATCTTGACATTTATAATGTGCATTTTTGTCTCTACATCTGCTATCATCGAAATATCGCTCATTGACGACCTTTCCAGCTCTGAAGTAATTCTCCATAGTTTTGAGTTTGTTACAGTCTATTTCTCAATATGGCTCACTTCTGCTTTTATCGGCTATTTCACAGAAAAATACAACAGAAATAAATTCATCCTGATCAAAAAAGTAGAAATCGAGGTTGAAAAGTCAAAGCAGGTCCTGGAATGTGTACTCCCCAATTTTGTTAGGAAAAGAGTTAAAGATGGGGCAAGATACATCGCTGACGACCAAGGAATAGTGACTGTGCTTTTCTGTGACATTTATAACTTTGAAGACATCATTGAAGGTTATTCCCCTCAAGAGCTCACAGCTTTTTTAGACAATGTATATAGAAAGTTCGACCATCTATGTGAAATGGTCGGAGTTGTAAAAATAGAAACAGTAGGGAAAACATATATGGCTTGTGCAGGAATAAAAGATTGCGAAGCAGAGTTGGATCCTCATTTTCAGTCGGTGTCACATGCAAGGAGAGCTATAGAGATGGGGATAAGCATTTTAAAGTCTATACAAAAGATAAAGCTATGGAATGGAGAAACATTAAAAGTAAAAATTGGAATTCATAGTGGCCCTGTAACTGCAGGAGTTGTAGGGTTCCATAAGCCTCAGTTTTCACTTGTTGGAGATACAGTCAATACGGCAAGTAGAATGGCATCTACAATTAAAGAGCCAAATATCATACAGATATCTGAAGAAACTTATGCATTGGTCGATTCGAAGTCAGACTTAATTTTCACACAAACAAGAGTGGAAGCAAAAGGAAAAGGGTGAATAGAAACACTTTTAGTCAAAGAAAGAAAAATTCATGATACGGGAGTTGAAATTCCAGCTAAAGAAGGACTTCAGCTGCCACTCATACACTCGCGAACATTTGCTAGGAAGAAAGTTAGCTCAGGCGAAATTCGAAGAAATAGCGAAGTCAATAGAAAATCTATAATCATGCTGCAGCTTGACATAAATGACCCTTCACAGCTTTTTGCGAGGAAAAATACAGAAATTATAGATCCAGTTAAACTAATTTCATGCAGCTGTAAAGAAAACAAAAAAGAAATGCTATTAAGGATACAAATGATAGAAAACAAATTCTCTATTTTATATCCAGGACTTCTAATAGGAGCTGTTTCGAATGCATTTTTAGGAGCTTTTAAGATTGTATATATCATACTGAATGAGGGCAATGATGACGCTAATATCATCTCTTCAGTATTTCTCTTCATAGTATCTTTCATATTCATTGGAATTATCATTTCAACTAAAAAGTGCTATAAGTCAAAAGCTTTTCCTTGGTTTATTAAACAAACTTGCTTTTTTATCATCTGTGCAGTAATAATAGAAGGATTTACTGAGAACAATGAGCTTGACTCAGTGGAAATTTCATATGTAATCTACAATGCTTTATTGATAGTTCTCTGGGTTCCTTCACACGACGACTATTTCATAACGACTATTTTTTTTTTGGCCTATTTTTTTTTGGCCTATTTTTTTTCACCTATTTTTTTTTGGCCTATTTTTTTTTGGCCTATTTTTTTTTGGCCTATTTTTTTTTGGCCTATTTTTTTTGGCCTATTTTTTTTTGCTATTTTTTTTGCCTAGCCTCATTCATGAAGCTGCTGAGAGGACTAAAACCTTATTGAGAAACAGAGACCTTTCCTTACGCGATTAATATTGAGTAAATTAAGTTAAAAACTCCTAATTAAACCTAAAATTCTCGAAATTTTAAAAGCAGTGAATTAGTATTCATGGAGTAAGAAATCTGTTAAGGGTGCATTTTTTGTTGGTTAAATCGTTTAAAACACATTAAAAATTAGATTAAAACAATTAGTATGGAATTATGCCCAAATATTAGTAAAAAATAGTTAAAAAATTGTCAAAAAAAAGCCAAAAAAATAGGCCAAAAAAAAATAGGTGAAAAAAAATAGGCCAAAAAAAAAAAGGTGAAAAAAAATAGGCCAAAAAAAAATAGGCCAAAAAAAAAATAGTCGTTATGAAATAGTCGTCGTGTGAAGATACGAGTTCTCTGTTCTGGTCTATTTATGAAATACCTTGTTATCACAAGCTTAATGATGCTAGGAGTTGTAGTTCCCCTTATAATTATCGACCATACAATGGACACTTGCCTGCATTTAATAGCTTTTGGAGGCTTCATTGTTGTCATCAACTGTATTGGCTATACAGTTGAAAGCGATCTCCGTGTGTTCTTCGCATTAAAAGACCTAGCAAAAAAAGAGCTTGAAAAAACAGAAAACTTGCTGACACAGATGATGCCTCCACATGTATATAAACGACTTAAAGAAGAGATAACGACCACTGACTCATTGCCTCAAGTGACACTCTTATATGCTGACATTGTCGGTTTCACAGCCTGATCTTCTAATAGGAGCCCAGATAGCATTGTAGGCATGCTTTATGAGCTTTTTAGTGAGTTTGATAAAAATTGTGATATAAATTAAAATGGTGTGGTTAGCCAGCCTACTTTTTAGCACCCTTAGCCAGAGGATTCATTGGAAAAGCCGAAGTCCATGTGGAAAGGATGGGCAGCGCTCTTAAATGTGTGTCCGATTTGGTTTTAATTAGCTTGCTGGTGTGCAATACAGGATTAGCAAACTGCATACACACATCCAAGCCATGGCTTAACCCATGGGAAGATGGCTCACTGGAGCTGGGATGGGGATGCCTGGAAAGCCAGAGGTGCTCAATTAGCCATCAGGCAAAATTCCCAGAGCGATCATGTGTTACGCCCAGGGTTCAGATTTCATCTTGGTCAGCAACCCAACCAGTATTCAAAAAGTGAATTTTCTAGAAGACAAATTCGTTGATGTATGGTTTGATGGTCTCAGTGTCACTTACTCTCAACTAACAAGTACAAGCCCTCATTCGTGAGGAGCCATACATTCAAGGCCATGTCCTAGCTGACAAGCAAACAGTAGAGCATAATGCGGAGGCGAGTATTGGCCTACAGGCTTGGATAGGATTTCTCTAAAAGCTATTTAAGTAAATCAAGTAAATTATAAAAAAATGTGTCGAAAATCATGTATATAAAGTGCACACAATTGGAGACTGCTATGTTGCGATGAGCTTTAAAGGAGATTTAGACAGGAATCCAGGGGAAGAGTGCTTAAATATCATTAAATTCGCTTCTTCAATGATTGAGGTTATAGATGCTATGAACCAAGAGCATGGAAGTGGGCTGAACATGAGAATTGGAATTCACACCGGAAATATCATAGGAGGAATTACTGGGACCAATATAGTCAGATATGATATTTATGGAAAGGATGTATTGATAGCAAACCAAATAGAAAGTAATGGACTAGCAGGAAGAGTATCAGTTAGTGAAGCAACAAAGAACTTAATAGAAAATTATTCTCCTGGCTTATTTGGGTTTTCTTCTTATAAAGCAATCGATATTTCGTCAATAAAAACGAAAATACAAACATTTTTAATTGACATTGAGTAATAAAACATTTTGATTAATTTAGAGCTGATAATTAAGTTGAAGATTTTGTATATAAATTGCTATCTCCCTTTTGTATTGAAATTAATTGGACTTATGTTCTAAATACTTTGATTTTCTAAATATCTGTATTTTGTTATTTGGCAAGCTTCTAATAGTAAGGAATATGCTAAAATGCTATCAATAAAAAGAATAAATGGTAAACTTGAGATTAATTCAAGTGACTGGCCAAGGAGAAAATCAGAATAAAGGGTTCCCAAGAAACGAAATTATTACTTCTCGCTATAACTTATTTACATTCCTTCCTAAAAGTGTCATTGAGCTGTTTGGGAACTACGCCTACTGTATTTTTCTTATTAACCCTCTCATTCTGGCTATTTCCCAATCAGATGTAAATATTTACTGGCCTCTGATATTCCCTTTTCCCTTTTTGTTGCTGATTGCCTTTATCTTCAATGCCTATCAAGACATCAGAAATCACAAAAACGATAAAAAATCCAACAATAAGCTATATTATGTATGAAATGGACATAATTTTGCCTACAAGGCAAGTCAGGATATTAACGTTGGAGACATAATTTGGCTCAATAATAAAGAATATTGTCCTGCCGATATTTTAATTCTAACAGTAGGAGAAGAGGAGCACATATGCTGTATCGACTCCACTGGAGTGACTGGGGGTAAAGATATTAAGGTAAGAAAGTCTATAAAAGACACCCAATTGCTTTTCGACTCCATAATCGTTGACGAAGCCGCAGCACAAATCCATAAACTGAATATGAAAATCAAAGTACCTGAAACAGAGCAAAAAAACATTTATGGATCTGTCAAACTCGCTGCAAATCCTCAACTGGCAGAAATAACTAAATTAAATTTTATTCCTCGAGGATCTCAGCTAACTGAGACTTCTTGAATTTTTGGTGTTGTTTTGTATACAGGAAAAGATTCATTCACTTCAGCTGCAATTTCTTGCGATTATGGGAGTTTAACAATATTAGAAAAACGGTTGAATGGATGAATTTTTTGGATGATTGCTTTATCATTTTTAATGATAATTTCAGCATTTTTTGTTAACAGATTTTGGTTTGGCTTAGATTTTAATGACACTACAGGAGATTTACTGGTATATTTAATTGTAATTCTCCATGAAAATATTCCCTTATCGGTTTACATATTTTTACCTCTAATTCGTTGGCTGCAATGCTGAAAAATCACCAAAAATAATGAAGAAATTAAATTTAATTCTAAAAAAGCTATAGACAATTTAGGACAAATTGAATATATATTAGCTGATAGATCAGGGACTATAACAAAAGATAAGTTTATTGTAACATCTTGTATAATCGAGGACCGTATTTATTTAAGAGATGAAAACTTAAAATTCTTAACCCCTGATACCAAATCTGAAACCTCTCCCCTTACAAAAGCTGGCCCAGCAGACACTGTGCAAGAGATTAATAATGATTTAAGCTGTGATAATATTTTTTCATTCAAGTATTTGAAAAATAAACTTGAAAAAAAATCAAGTGAAAACTCAAAAGCCTATCATTTTGTCATGTGCTTAGCTCTTTGTAATCAAGTCTTTCCTTACTCTTCAGGAAAATGCATAAGTATATCTGGTGACGATAAAATTCTAGTTGAAACAAGCAAGATTTTAGGGATAAGTCTGATCAGCAGAAATAAAAAATCATGCGTTATAAATGCGTATGGAAATTTTATCGAATATGGAGTTATTGCTTATAAATATTCTGGCTCAAAATCAAATAAGTTCAGAATCATTATTTCGGATATTGCTCAATTAACAATGATATTATATGTAAAAGGATCAAAAGAGCCAATGTTTGATATATTCAGCCTTTCACAAGAAGAAAAATTAAACATTGAAGAGACTCTTTACTGTAATAATCTTATTGGTAAAAGATTAATTTTTGCAGGGTATAAAATACTATCAAGCAATGATATTGCTAATTTTAATTTCAAATATGAAAATGCAAAGCTTTCTCCTGTAAATAGTGATGGAAAAATCGAAAATTTATTTGAAGAGCTAGAAAAAGATTTAACTTATTTGGGAGCTGCAACAATTGAAGACAAAATTGCAGATGACACAAAAGACACTATTGATTTATTTAAGAAAGCTGGAATAAAATTCTGACTGATGAGTGGAGAAAATGAAGAAATTACCCTTTCGACAGCGGTTAGTGCCGGATTAGTTGAAATAAACGTGGGCATAGCTCGACTTACAGAAGTCAATAATGAACTAGAAGCAAGATCAGTACTAAACGATCATATAAAAAGATATATCATACATTATAGAGAAAGCTCAAAACCCAGCCACTCAAATCTTCCAAGTGTAATGTCTTTTGAATCTCAAGATTGCAATAGTGAGCCTTTAGCCCCTCTCATTAAAAGTGAATGTTCTATAGTGTCGTTGAACGATGATTTTTATATAAACCCAACACAATTAAAGCATCAAATAAAAATCCATCCTTTTTTGAGCAAATTTGCAAATGTGAATATGGAGTCTCCATTGAGTATGCATTTTAACCCCAATTCAGTGTATTTTATTTTATCTGTAGATTCAAGCGGCATTAATTATGGTCTCAGTACAGAAGAAAATAGGAAATATTTTTCAGCACTTTTATGTGCAGCAAATTGTGTGTGCTTTCATTCACTAAGCCCAAATGATAAATCACGGGTTGCAAAATTTTTGAAAAATAATTTTTCTTATAAACCGACTTTTCTGGCGATAGGTGATGGGAGCAGTGATATTGGAATGATAAAGCAAGCACATATTGGTGTTGGAATTAATGGGAAAAAAGGAAAATCAGCATCAAATGCCGCGCAAATATCAATCAGAAAATTTTCTCAGCTTCAAGATTTATTGCTATTTGAAGGGAGAATATTTAATATTAGAATAATCAACGCAATATTTATTTTATTTTTCGGAAGCCTGATTTCTGCATTTTTGCTATTTTTTTACACTTGAATTGAAAATACTGCAGGAGACCCTTTGATTGATTTGGATTTAATGCTCTTTCACTATCTTATTTGTCTTGTAATTCCATTATTGATATTTGGCATATTTGATAAAGATTTTAGTAGGGTTGAAATTCTGAAATTTTCAGAAATTTATTCGATGGCTTCTTATAGAAAATTAATCACAGTTAAAAGATTGATTTTTATGATTATATTGTCATTATTATGTGCATCTATTATATTCGTATTCAACAATCCATTAGAAATAATCAATAATAAGGGTTTTACAGAAAATAGAGAGCTGTCATCAATACAGGTGCTATTAAATGCATATGGAGCGGTGCTATTATATTTTATTCCAAAAATAAATTCATATACGAGATACACTATTTTATCTTTATTAGTGTCTGTTTTGCTTATGGTTATAACACTAGAAGCAACTTCTTGGTCAAGTCATTATCCAAGATATGGAATATTAGATATTCTGAATTCAGCTCCAGTAGCATTTTTGCAGATTTTCTTTGTACCACTAATTTGCTTTGTGCCTATTTACTTATGCCGGATTTGTAACCCTTTTTTTCTTACTAAACTTACAATGATCCTAAATTTATTTTTCGAATCTAAGGCATGGATTGAAAATTACATAGGAAAACTTGGTGAAATATACAAAGAGAGTAGCGATTTCAGTAAAAAAGGCGACATTAATGCATTTAATTTCAATAGATTTACCCTGAGGTTTAAATCCGAATGTGCAGAAATAGGATACCAAACAGAAAAATCATATGAAGTTTTATTCAGCTATAGGGTGTTCATTGTTTGCCGTTTTATTGGTATACTATCTCTTATGTCTTCTTTAGTATGATACAGTAATTACGGAGGCAAACAATTCAAACTTTTTTCAGTTATTTATTTGCCTATATATTTTATTTTTATGGTATTTTCCTGAACACCTTTTTTCGCGTCACGTTTAAAGCTATTTATGATGTTTCTGAATTATTATGAAGCTTTGCTGCTTTTTATCGGCTCATTCGTATGCAGGATTTATGTTGTTGAAGTTATGATAAGTTGACCTGTAATTTTATTTATTGCTGCTTGTGCAGACTATTTTAACTCATTAATGCTATCCTTTGCAGTGTGCGTTGCTGCTTCAGCTATATCATTTATCGAGGCTAGCTCACCTCCGATTTCAGAAAATAGCACTTTAGCAGTATTTTTTAGTGGAACTCAATATACAATTATTTTATTTTCAATTTGGATTTCTTCAGCAATTGTAGGATATAAAATCGAGATGAACAGGAGGGAAAAATTTATTTTAATCAAAAAAGTTGAAGCAGAGGTAGAAAAATCTAAACAAGTTTTAAGCTGTATTTTGCCTAGGTTTGTTAAAAACAGAGTAAAAAATGGGGTTAGATATATAGCTGAGGACCAAGGAATCGTTTCAGTGCTGTTTTGCGATATTTATAATTTTGATGAAATTGTGGAGATTTATACAGCTAATGAATTAGTAGCCCTTTTAGATAATATTTATAGGCAGTTTGACCATATATGTGAAATTGTTGGGGTCACTAAAGTCGAGACGGTGGGGAAAACTTATATGGCTTGTGCTGGAATAAAAGATAATGAAACTGAGTTGGATGTTAATATAGCCTCAGTATGTCATGTTCGAAGAGGAATTGAAATGGGAATGAGTATATTAAAAGCAATTAAAAATATAAAATTAAAAAACGGTGAACATTTGAAAGTAAAAATCGGATTGCACAGCGGGCCTGTTCATGCTGGAGTGGTAGGATTTCATAAGCCTCAGTTTTCATTAGTTGGGGATACTGTAAACACTGCAAGTAGAATGGCAACAACTAACGTCGAAATAAATTCAATACAAATATCTGAAGATTCTTTCAACTTAATAGAAGATAAAAATGAATTTTCTTTTTGCCTTAAAAAAGTTGATGCCAAAGGAAAAGGGCTAATAAACGTTTTTACTGTCAAAGAGAAAGAAATAACAGATCTGAATCGATCTCCTCCATTATCTCCTAGCTTATATGTTTCCTCTCCTCTTAGAAATGCAATCAGTTTAACTCTCTCAAAAAGTAGTTTTATGGAAAAACAATACAGCATGGACTCGAAGAAAAGATCTTTGATGATCCAAAATTTTGATCTACTGGATCCTTCTGAACTATTTGAGAGAAGAGAAAGTGATATAATTGAACCCATTAAATGCTTTTCATTTAAGTGCAAAGAAGGAGAAAAAGAGAAACTTTTCAGAAGTCAAGTGATGGAAAATAATTCAATATGCATTTATTGTGTATTGATTGTAAGTTCTTTATGCAATTTTATTATGTTTTTAGTAAAGATAGGGCATTTTATAAGCACTGATGAATCTGATACTGGATGTTTATACTTTTCAGTCATGCTATTTGCTTTATCAATTCTTTTTATGTCAATAGCAGTAACATTAAAATGAATTTATCTGCATTGATCATTCCCATGAATTTTACAAATTTTTTATATTTGTGTTACATTTGCAACTATAAATTTTTGAATTCTAGATACAAACGCTCATGAATTCATAAAATTTTCTTATTTAACCTTCAACATACTCCTTTTAGCACTTGGCTCAACCCTATTTTTCAAGCGTTTGATCATCTCTATTTTAGCTGAGTCTATTCCCTCAATTATATTTATATCGTTTCTTGACACGAACAATAAACTGCCATATATAGTAGTTTTGTTATCCATCACATTGATCACCATCCATATAAATTATTATAAAGAAAAAAACTTACGAATTATTTTTGCCTTTAAAGACTATGCGAATAGAGAATTAGAAAAAACTGAAAATTTACTAACTCAAATGATGCCTCCACATGTATATAAAAACTTAAAAGAAGAGATTGCTCAGACTGACTTTTTAAAAGATGTCACTCTCTTGTATGCCGATATTGTTGGCTTTACAGCATGGTCTTCAAACAGAAGTCCTGAGAGCGTTCTTGACATGCTATATGAGCTTTTCTGTCAGTTCGATAGAAGATGTGTAGAATTTAATATATACAAAGTACACACTATTGGAGACTGCTATGTTGCTATGGGATACAAGGGTGAAGAAGGAAGAAATCCAGGAGAAGAGTGCTTCAATCTCATTAATTTCGCAATTTCAATGGTAGAAATTATTAATGAATTTAATTGCCAGCATTTTACAGAGTTAAATATGAGAATTGGCATACATACAGGAAATATTATAGGAGGGATAGCTGGGACTAATATTGTAAGATACGATATATACGGGAGGGATGTATTAATCGCAAATAAAATGGAAAGCAATGGCATATCAGGGAAAATTGCTGTAAGTGAAGCCACTAAAAATTTGATTGAAAATTATAGGCCTGGATTTTTCAAATTCAAACTCCATAAAGAAGTTTCCATTTTTTCGATTAGAGCTGATATTAAATTATTTTTGATTGATGATGGAGATCTGGAAACATCACAGAGCGCATCAGAGTGTAGCTTAGAAAATAAACATCCTGAGTAAATGATTGGTAAAGTGTAATTAATGTTCATAGAATTCGATTAATAATGTTTATTCTTAGCATTGCAGTAAAATGATACAATCGTTATAACTTATCAAAAGTGTCTTATAGATATTTTTTAGATCATTTTTCGATGCTTTAAGTTGGTTGCTCATTTAATTATTGTCAAAAATTAATGGTCATAAAATTATAAATGTCTAGACCAGATTTAAGAGATATCACAAATTCCGATCTCTTTGCCGAAGTAAAGCGCAGATTTGAGTGTTCATTCAAGCCCCAAAAAAGAGTTATCATTACTGGCCCACCAGGCTCAGGGAAATGGACTCAAGCATCTAAATTAAGTGAGGAAAATTGCTGATGCCATTTAGCTGTAAGAGGCCCTTTATCAAATGTTCGTGAAAATGCTGGATCAGAAGGAATCGATTCGATTGACACACTTAAAGCAAAATTAAAAGATCCGCAATGTAGCAGGGGAGCAGTCATTGATGGGTTTCCCCGAACTCCTTTGGAAGCTCAAGAGCTTGATGCGTTCCTTGAAGAGAATGGTATGAAAATTGATAAAGTTATTGAGCTGAACGCGACTGATAATATTCTTGCTGAAAGAATTACAGGAAAAAGAGTTCATTTGCCAAGCAATAGAAGATATCATGTTAAGTTTAATCCCCCTAAAGCACCTGAAGTAGATGATGTTACTGGAGAGCCTTTGGTTCAAAGAGATGTGGATAATCTAGAAACTTTAAATAAAAGACTTGAGGAATACAAAGAAAACACAGTAAATGCAATGAGCTATTATACAAGCAAAGGAATTTTAGCAAATATTAACGCCAATCAAAGTTTTGAAAATGTTTGGGAAGATATTTTACAAAATTTGAAATAAATTAATTAAAAATCGGTAATTGATGATGAGATAATGTATCGAGTAGTGCTGATATTATAAATGATGAGTATGAAATGAATTAGAAGGAGTTGTTAAGATGTAGGAGTAGCGTTATTTAGCCTGATCTGGAATTGGACGACTGGAAGAGGCTGATTTTCTCTCCGCCAGGGGTGAAGGTGATCTCCTGCTTCTATGGCTTGAAGAATTTCTATATTTACTCGAAGCGCCTTCAGGCCCACAATAAGCACCAGGAGTAGGGACATGTGGCTTGCTTCTTCGAGCTCTTTCCACTCTAATAGTCTTTCCTTGCAATTCTGATTTATCTTTAGTTTTTATTGCCTCTTCTGCGTCTTCCATGTTTTCAAAGGTCACAAATCCAAATCTTCGTGATTCCTTTGTAAAAGGATCTTTGATAATTCTCATGTCTAAAATGGTCCCAAGATTAGAGAAGAGCTCTTTTAGGTCATTTTCTGTCGTTTCCGATGCAAGATTTGAGATATAAATGTTGTTACCTGGATTTGCATCAGGATGGCCAGGAGGTGGGTTGGAAATTCCTCCGTGTCGTGGAGGAGAGCGATGTCGACGATGATAAGACCTGTCATAGTCATCATATCTATCTCTACTATGGCGATGGCGATGACGGTGGCGGCTGTAGGAATGATCACGGCTTGATGAACGTCGATGCCGCCTTTCATAAGAACTACTTCTTGAATAGCTTCTTTTCCTGGGACTTCTCATTTTATTATTTGGTTAGTTTAAATTCAAGGAATATAGAAATTGATTTATTTACAATTAAAGTTTTGCTAATAATTTATCTATAAAGTGTTTAATTATAATTTTTAATTAGAAAAACTAGATATGCTCATAATTTTCTTTAATTTAATTGCTGTAAACAATGGATAACTATAAAATGATTATGACTTCATTATTTTATTTAATTGTATTCTCTTGTGCAGTCTTCAGCAAATCTATCAGTACCATAGTTAGCATCTCTAAACAAAATCGATGGGCTTACTTATCAAAGTTTAATTTAGGACCTGAAATAGGATATTGGCAGCTACGAGCAAAATTAGTCAATCCTATAGCTTCTGACAATATTGCTTTAGAAGTCATGACACATATAGATTATGAATGGGATTCAATTAATCAGCTTGTCTTCTGCCAGCAATATGATAAAGAGGAAGTAAGAGAAAAAACTTTGAGTTTGCTCCCAAATGGAGATTGAACAGATTTCACTCATGGTGAACTTGCCAGAAATGTTTTTCCTCACACTTGATTTTTTACTGTTTCGTCATGCAATAGTACGCTTCAAGGAAAATACAAAGTAAAAGTAGAGCTCACCATTCAAACAGAGAGCGGGTCACACATTTCATATGAATCTTATTTTTTGACATACTTATACCCAGCAAGCAGCATCTTATTTGCAATAGCGTTTATTCAATGCTTTATCAATTTACAAAATTATTTGCAGCAGACAGAGAAAATTGAGAAAAAAATATTTTTGTTATGTTTAACAATAGGTATTGAGCTTCTTGGGATTATTTCAGAAACTACGCATTTATGATTATATTCATATAATGGTATTGGCATGGAAATATTGTCCTTATTTTCACAATTCTGTGAATTCTTATCCCAGCTTCTATTTATTACTATGCTGATTCTAATTGCGACTGGATGGGGCATAAAACATGATGAATTTCCAGACTCAGAAACATTTTTGCCAATCGGAATGTTGATGCTTTTTATCCATATTGTTATAATTGGATATTCAAAAGCCCATAATGAAGACCCTGGAAAAATTTCAATATATGATGGGATGCCAGGAACAATTTTATTTATTTTTAGGCTTTCATTTTGAATTTTTTTCTTATATTGCGCAGCAAACTTATATCAGCAAGTCAAATCTAAAACTCGTACGTTTCTTATTAGTTTTATGATATTTGGGTCAATTTACTTTATTTCTGTACCGCTATTTGTAGTGATGTCGTGGCAAATCCCGAAATATCATCGTTGGTTTTTTATTATTTCATCGACTTTATGTACACACTTTATGGGATATTTAGTGATTATGTGCCAGTTTAGCTCTAAAGGTTCGTATTATAAAATATCAAATCTTTCAAGCAATGTTCTCCCAGGAAAGGATCTTTAAAAACTATAGAATGCCCACAATAATTAATTCTTCTAGCTCCTTAAATAGTCTAAACTCACAGTTTCTATTATTCAGAAGTATAAGTATAAAAATAATTATAAAAATTCAGCATTTTCTTCCCGAAATCGAGAGGAAATTTGAACTGTTCTCTCTTCTAGAAGTCTTTTTTAAAATTTTATGCCGTTAATTTTGGAAATGCTAATAATATAAAATTAGATCTATATAATTAGAGTTAATTTAACTAGTAAAACATTCTGTTATACAACCAATTAATTAAGATTTATTTTTTTTCATTGACTTTCTTTTAGGTTTGGCTTTAGATAATGCCGATTCAAGTTCGAAAATTAATTCATTTTTGTTTCTGACTTCATCTTCTGTTTTATTAAGCATCGCCTCTAGTTCAAACACTTTTGTTCTCAACACCTCATTTTGATCTAATACCTCTCTTAAAGCATCTTGAAGAACCTTAGTGTATTGATCGTGCCCTTTGCATAGAGGGCAAACTTGATTTTCAATTTGAGCTTTTAAAATTGAATCTCCAATTGATTGGCTTTCAAATAAAAGCTGAGGCTCAGATAATATGCTGAGATTTTCTTTTTCTGAAAGGTCTGCAGATGCAAAGGCTTTTATTTGTCTGGAGGCGTTTGAAGATACCTTTGAGCTTTGAGAAGACATAAGGGGGCTGTAATTTATTTAAATTTGAATTTTTTAATATTTACTCTAATTTTGGGAATAATTAAAATGCAAATATTTCGCAATAAAAAATAACTCAGAAATATTTTAAAAGAGAAATCTTGCTCTAAAATTTAGATCTAGTTAAATAACATAGTCAGAGCCTGTAAGCCACTAATTATACAGAGTATATAAAATATTTGAGTAAATAAAATTTCAAAGCAATAAATGATCATTAAACATGATCTAAATTATTTCTTTATCTAAATATATTAATTGCTCTTTCCGTTATTTTATCCAATAATTCATTTTGCTTTATAATAAATAATGGGTTGCTGCCAAGCTTCGAGCATCGTCAAGGAAATGGAGGTGGCAATAAATAAAGACGAGAATCTAACACAAGGTCCAGATTTAACTATAAAGTCCAATATAAATGATGACAAAGAAGATATTATCATTGATGAGGGAACCCTTTTTAGCGACGATGTAAATGAAATAATAACTTTCAGAACTCATCGAAATGATATCGACCCTTATAATCGTGAGCAATTGTTTGCTGCTGCGCAATATGTAAGCAAAAATGCTATTCATAAACTCTTGGAAAGAAAAAAGGCAGAAAAAAGAATGCTGAAATTGAAAACTATTGAATTTGACGCAGAAGCAATGCTGCAATCAGCATTTTTATCTAAAATTACTGATCTTTAATGATAATAGAATCAAAAATAATTGATATTTATAATGCAATTATCTATTCATTCTTATTTTGCCAGGTCACTCATTGAGTCCAATGAACTATAAAATCATTAATATTAATAAATTATAATGTAAAAAGCAAAATTTTAGGCATATTTTTATAATTTCAGATACAAATATAGTAATTGATATCAAAAATTTTAAATTATAATTTTTATTAGGTATAGTAAAGGAAAATAGCATCACATTAATTTTTGTTATAATAATCATATAAAGTAAAATTTAATGCCAAAAATTGACAAGAAAGCATTTTAAATTTATAAAATTTACTAATAGATAGCAAAACAAGCCAAATAATCATAATAAAATATCGGACTCTCATAAATAATTAAATAAATCATTAACTTCTTTGTTTTTGAAAATTAATAAACTTATAAATGGATTGCATTCACCTTCAAATCTCCCAAATTTCTAATCTGAAAATAAACCAAGCAATAGCATTAAGCACTGTAAGATCAGAAAGCATTACTCACTTGCCTCTCAGAAAAGACCAACAGTTGCATATTTTAGATAGAAGGGAGTTATGGTCCTGAGCAATGGACTCGTCTGGAAACAAAGGCTGGGTTCCTAATACATTTCTAAAGTTCACTGAGACCAGCGTTACGAAAAACAATAATCTTAGCCCAGAGTTCATTGTCGACTGTAGCCTTTCACATGATTTTCAATCAATTGTATTTCAATCTTCTGAAGACCAAAGTGGCAAATTATTTAGCTCTTCAAGTATTATTACATTTGAAAACTTTAGCTGAGACGATAATCTTTTGCTCACACTTAAAAGTCAAAATGCTGTTATTGGGCAGTCCTTGCATAAATTGTCTGATATTCAAAGCCAAACAGCAGAAAGCGATGATTTTTCTACCATTGTAAAATTCAGCTTACAAAAATATGCAATTGCTTCATGTGAAATGCACATCAGGCTTTCAATAAATAAGCCATTGTCTAAATCAGAGAGTATAGAAACAAGCCTATCTCCAAAGCAAGTGCAATTGCCTGCTCCTGATTTATTTGCTGGAGAATTAATCTTAGATTCATACCCTGGTGTGGCAAGTTGCCGATGCTTGAAACTGGAAGGTATGTTTTATCTAACTAATTATAGGATTTTATTTATGGCTCCATCAGAATATATTCATTTCTTTGAAGTCCATATCTACTGCATAGATTCCTTTGAATCCTTAGGTAACGTTATAAAAGTAATCGCTATATAGATTTACGCGAAAGATTCAAGAGTGATTGACTATATTTTTGAATCTCCTTCTGCAGTTGAATCATTTAATGAACGTTACACACCTGACTATGGCAGCTCTTTTTGTTTTCGCTATTATCAAGCTTTAGAACAGCCTCGTGATTTTGGTTGGGATGTATATGACCCAATACGCGTAAATTTTATGATAGGAGTTTACTCGCCTAGGAGCTTTTGAAGGAGGACAGTTAAAAGTGACACATATTAATAGTGACTATTTAATGTGCGACTCTTATCCCACAGTCTTGATTGAGCCTTCTTATATATCTACCGAGGAACTAATCAGTATTAGTAAATTCAGAAGCAGAAGCAGGATCCCAACAGTTTGTTGATATAGACGTGGGGTGACTTTATACAGAAGCAGCCAACCTCTAGTCGGTGTTTTATCTTATCGATGCAAAGAAGATGAAGATTTGATAACAAAGTGTAATATCACATATATTTTTGATGCCCGGCCTAAAATGAATGCAAAAGCTAACAAAGCTGCAGGAAAGGGATACGAGCTTACAGCTTACTATCCAAGCTCTACAATTTTATTTTTAAAAATCCACAATATCCATAAAGTCCAGCAAAGTTTTCATGCCCTTAATCAGCTTTATGAAAAAGAAGACGGGTTTTTTGAAGCTCTTCACAACTCCAGATGACTTCATCATCTAAAAACTCTTCTTGTCGCAGGAAAAGCTGCCGCGGATTATATGGTATATGAACACGCCAACATTTTAGTACATTGCAGTGATGGCTGGGATCGGACATCTCAGATTACCTCAATTGCCCAACTTTTACTCGACCCTTTTTATAGGACTTTTCACGGTTTCCAAGTCTTGATCTCAAAAGAATGACTTTCTTTTGGGCACAGGTTTAGAGACAGGTCACAAAAGGGTGGCTCTCCTATTTTTGTCCAATTTTTAGACGCAGTTCATCAGATTCTTAGACAGTGGCCGCGAGAGTTCCAGTTCACGAATAAATATTTGCTGTTTCTAGCAGATTCACTTTATTCTGGACTTTTTGGAACTTTTATGTCGAATTGTGAAAAAGGATCAGAAGAATTTAGGCACCATACGCTATCGGTGTGGTCTATGGAAAGAGATGAATTCATATCAAAAGATTATAAACAGACCCATTATGAAATTTTGCCGATTCTTACGCAAGTGCCTGATTTGGAGATTTGGGATTATTTTACAAGATGGCAATTGTATTAGATATAAATAGATTTTAAATAGAAATAAGGAGTTTAGCCAATAGACCAAGAAGCTTTGGATAATAATTAAGTAGTTTTAGTGTGTTAATTCTCCACTCAACATGCTAACTAATCCCTCATAATGCAGTTCGTTGTTAAGATTATGAACCTTATCGTTGTTCGTCCTTCTTAAATCTTGCTTTACAAACACCATACACAATCCCCCAAGTAAAATCCCAGAAGAGCATATGATTCCGACAATTATTGCTTGATTTGACAGCAAATATGAAAGCCCCACCTCAGCTATCCCAACAATCTGTCCTCCTCAGTTTAAAAACCCTCCACTCATGGCTTCTCCAATTGGAAATGTTACTTCACACACAAATTCAAATGATACTGGGAGGATTGGCATCAATAGCAATCCAAGTACTGAAGCAAAAATTGCTGATCACAATGTTGATTCTAAGGGCAGAACTGCTAGAAATGCAACTATTCCTCCAAGCGATCCAAAAGCAATAACTAAACAGCTTATTCTATATCTCTGGGTTACTGCTACAATTCCTCCTGCAATTCCAGAGCCAATAAGCCCAAAAATGATGACAAGAGCTCCAAATAAACTATTATCAGATGAGGAAAACCCATAAGGCTTGCTGATTTGGTCAAGTAAAGTTGCAAATGCATTGAGTGCTCCTTGCCCCATAGCAAAGAAAATAAAGAGCATAATAAAATTCTTGTTTTTGAGTAATTGCTTCATTGAAGGTAGAAATTCTTCTCTTTTCATGTCTGCTGAGTTGCTTGGAGGAGTTTTAGGTTTCGATTTAAAAAATATGATGCAACTTATGCATACAGCAGTAGACAGGCAGGCTTCAACAAGCATTAAATTTCCAATTTCTTCTTTTGATTTGCTGCTTGTAACTATAATTCCAGGCAATCCAAAACCTATAGCTATTCCTATTGGGTTTGATACAGATCCAATTGTTGTTGCAATTGCTCTCTATTTAGGTTTTACAGTGTTTGGTCTAAACCAAAAGGCAGCTAGCTTAGCAGGAGCATTCAAAAGAAATGGCTGCCCAATTCCTCCCAAAATGCTACCGACCAAAATGCTCCAAAAGTTATCATACGCACCCACATGAAATCAAGCTCCAAGTGTAGTAATGCCAATTCCAATTATTGTCTATTTGAAAAATACTCCTGCTTTTAAACCATAAGTGTCAAGAATGTAATTAGAAGGAAATACGAGAGGAATATATGCAATCATATATACTAAGGAGCACAAGGCAACAGCAAAGGTGCTAACATTATAGGTCTAATCGTATTTTACTTTGCTTATGACTGAGGTAATAGAAGAGCAAGTAATTCATACCATTGCATTCATCGCTTCAGCTAAGCAGTAAAGTAGCAAAATAACCCATCTATACTTATATTCCTGGAATTCCATTTATTAGTAAAATTGTTGCAACATAAAGGCTTTGCAAAATAAAACTAGAAAATTTTTCGTCGTTTGCTGGATTCTCTAGCATGATTTTAACTATCGATACTGGTCAATCATAAAACAATCTCCATTTCAAACTTTCTGTCTAATAAGAATAAAGGTACTGCGATTTATATAAATATGTTGTTTAAATATTTTATCAGCAGATTTATTGATATATATAATACCTTATCGCTTACTCTGTATCATAGGTAGCTTTAATAACTATTTATATCTGTTTTCTTATAGTGAATTCAATCAAAAAAAATCATGCTTATAAACCCAAAAAGAGTCCTTAATAATAAAGAACAAGCAAATACCCAAGCTACTTATTACTATTCTTCAAATTAGCAAATGCAATTAGTCTATAAATTAAAATAAACGATTGGCCATAAGTGGGTAAACCCACTAAGTTTTACTATAAATGATGGGAATTTTATTTATATATAGGCATTCAAGCTTTACAAAGCATAAGAAAAAAATTAATGGCAAATACCTATCAAACATATCTAACTATACTAGGAGGAAATATCTATTTAAATATGAGAAATGAAATCTCTCGTTAAATGCATATTATAATAAACTATATAATGCAAATTCAGATAGAATTCTTAAATATGTATTTAATTCATACGACTAAGCTTTTGCAGCGCATAATTATCGAAGAAAATAGAGCAAATCCAATTATTTCCTGACTTATGAAATATCTAAACCACACATCAGATTCTCCCACAGTTTCAACAATAAAATTTTCATTACTGCCAAGTGATTCATGCATTTTCACGATCCTCATCTATACTTTTTCATAATTTAAGCAATAATAAAATGTTTACCAAGAGCTTGCGATCAATAGCTCGTGCTCCATTCTTAAGATTAAAAATCCACGAGAAGCCAGAGTTCCAAACCGACTTTATTAGGTACCCATTCGGCATTCCTCCAGTTGAAGTAATCTCAATGGAGAAGAAAGTTGACCACGGTTTTGATTATGCCTCTGAATCCTACGACTATGAAGACCACGGTATGACTGTTTTGCATCAGAGACCATCCCACTACAGATATTTTTGGATTTTCGCAGGATTTTGGGTTTCTAGTGCTTTTCTCTACTTCATTTGGCTTGAAGTTCCATACACTGGGACTTTCTTTGGGCATTATAACATGGATATTGAAATGAATGCAATCAAATATGTAAACAACGATGAACTTTATCATGACTGGGAAGGACTCAAAAAGAAGTACCTGGAAATAGAGGCTGCAGCTGAAGAAGGTGGGGAGGATGAAGAAATTACTCCAGAAGAATAGATGAGTTGAGGATAAAGCTAACTAAGCTATTACTCAATATTTGAAATATTTTTTCTAAATTTCTATAATACAAGTCATAAAGTCCTATTGACTGTTTTAGCTTTATTTCTTATATGACGTAAAATCCGTCAAATATCCAAAATGCCTCCATTGGCTAATAAATGTCAGGGGATAAGAAGCCAAGTATCATAAAAAACTACATAATTGGGGGCGCAGCTGGCATGATTGCCACATCTGTCGTCCAGCCAATAGATTTTGTTAAAGTTCAGCTCCAAATCAAAGGAGAAGGTGTTAAAGGTGCGCGTCCAAATCCTTTCACCATTTTGAAGCAAACAATTAGCGAATTTGGAGTGAGGAGACTCTACACTGGCTTGGACTCTGCGTTGCTAAGACAAGCCACTTATACAACTACAAGAATGGGCACTTATAAGTCTTTGATGGACTGGGGTGCTGAAATGAATAAAGGAGTTGTCCCAGCATGGCAGAAGGGTGCTTATTCTCTATTTGCAGGAGGCTTCGCAGCTCTTATTGGAAACCCAGCTGATCTCGCTTTAATTAGAATGCAAAGTGATCATACTCTGCCAGAAGCACAAAGAAGACACTACACTGGCGTTGTTAACGCTCTTTCTAGAATTATAAAGGAAGAAGGGTTCTTCAGTATGTGGAGAGGGTCAACCCCAACTATTTACAGAGCCATGGCTATCAACTTTGGCATGCTAGGTCCTTATGATCAGGCTAAGGAAATGCTGACTAAGAATTTCGGCGAGTTCAATGGCATCAGAATAGCATCCTCATTTATTGCTGCATTTTTCGCTTGCGTCTTTTCTCTGCCTTTTGATAATGTGAAAACCAAATTCCAAAGAATGGCTAAGAAGCCTGATGGAACTTATCCATATAAGAGTTTCATGGACTGCTTTATGAGATCCCTGAGAAATGAAGGGTTCCTTGGATACTACGTTGGGTTCAGCACCTATGTGGTCCGTATTGCTCCTCATGCAATCATCACTTTGCTGTCTGTTGACTTCTTAAACTCTATATTTAATAAGCCTAAGAAATAAACCAGCCAGCATTTAATCGGCTTATTATTTTTTTAAAGTTAAATTAGTATTAAATTCTTGAATTTTACAAAGAGGCAATGATATTAAATTTTTAATGTTTACCATAACTTATTGCTTGGAAGAAGTTTGTGGCCTGGCTCGAATAGCTGATCATATTTTGACTTTAATTCTTTATAGTGAGTGTGATTATACTTCCCCATATATTTTGCCCATTGCACATCTTCATCTGTCAGCTCATATAGCTGCCCTTCCTTTGCCCATGCATATTTCATCATGAACCTCGCTCTCAAATACGGTCTTATATCAGGCAAATCTTTCATTTCCATTAAAAATCTTGGAATATCATTCTTTAGCCAATCGTCTTGATAATAAGCTTCGAATTTGTCGATATTCAAATAATTATCAGGCTGAAAATACATTCCTTGCCAATCATCGTCAATAATCACTGTTCTAGATACATCATTTCGAAGTGCTCTTATGTCTTTAAGAAATTCATACTGAGGGTAGTTCCAGACTCTTTGATAGGTGCAGTCATCTTGGTAAAGCCTTTGTCTAAATATCCCTTTAGGGTCAATCACATCAGCTACAAGATCGGTGTACTCTTTTTCGCCAGTTGACCAGAGAATTGGTTCAAAGTGTTCATCAAGCAGCTCTAGAAACTCTTGTAGATGAGGTCTCTTATATATGAACAGCTGAGTTTTGTGTGTTTTTAAATCAATCACTGCATCTTCTTTTATATCTGGCTGATATTGATACCCACATACGTCTTCTGGGTGATATACATAGCCAAGAGTTTCATCTAAGTCCAAAACCACTGTTAGCTTACCTTGATCTTTGGCAGATTGTGGTCCTAGTATGCTAAAAGCCCTTTTTAGGAGTTTGATCATCAATGATTAAATTTATGTTTAAAATGCTGATTTTTAAGATTGAATAATTTTCGCTTATCATTTATATAAGAATTAAAACTAATTAACTCGAACTTGTTGGGCGTTCTCCTCCACGAACAGGAGGTAAGTTTACCATATCAGAGTTGTTTCCTGGCATATCTTCTTCAAAATGAGAATTTATTGGTGACTGGGCATGATAGTGAGAAGTTCTTGTGCGATTGCTCAGCATCTCTGGGTTTACCGTTGCAAGCATCCTAGAGAACCCAGGGCCAGCTCTCGCAATGCGATCTGCGGGATCACGATGAGGCATTTTGTTTCAAGGCTGATAATTTGCGACTTTTCCTGCTAATTTCTCAAGCTGTTTTTCACATGATGCACAAGACCAGCCGCCCAATGGCTTTTTAGCCAGCATTGCATCTTCCCCATCTCTTCTTTCTTTGCCAGGCGACTCATAAATTTCTCTTATTAGCCTTTCTAAATATTTCAAAGCTTTTTTCGTGTCTGTTTTATCTGCAAATTTTTTGCCCATTGCATCGCAGACTGCAATGACTTTTTCTTGCAAGCTTTTTTCAAGATTTTTAAGGTCTTCTTGGCTTGCTTGGCCTGAGAATAAGTCATTAAGTTCTTTTATTTTTGTTCAAAATTCTTTATACATTTTTTCAAACTTTTCTTTCAGTTCTTTTATATCTTCTGTAGCTCTTTGTAGAAGATTTCACATGTGAATTAAATCAATGCCTTCAGGGAGCACTAGTAATCGAAGTTGCTCTTCAATGACTGCAATTCTTCTTGATAAAGAGTTAATTTTAGAAGAATCAGCGCCACTGGCTCCTATGTCTTCTCCACTGGCTCCAAAAGAAATTGGCCTTTCCTCTAGGCTTCTGATTGATCTTTCATGCCGTTCAATGTCGCTTTTAAGTTTGCTTAAAAGACTTTTGACTCTCCCACTCTGTAATCGGAACTGTTGAATTGATAATTTTTTTTTAATATTTTTTTTTGTTGAAAATTTTAGCGTTTTGTCTACCGAAATTTTATTATTTTCCAATAACAAAGTTAAGACTCTTTCATTGGATTAGACTTATTCGGTTTTAAAAAGCAAAGCGGAGTAAGTTCATCTAAATCGCTTTTATCAGCTTTTTTAATGATAGTTTCTTCAAGCTTGCTTATTCTGCTCAAAATATCATCAATAAGCTGAGGATTAACCCCACTTAATGATTCCAGCTTTTCTCTGAGATCATCATATCGTTTTCCAAGTTCCCTCAATAAATTTAAGTCTTTAGTAGAAATAGATCCTCCAGAATTGCTAGGCTGAGGATGTCCTCCTGCACTGCCTCCTTGGTTTTGAAGCATTGATTTAAGCTGATCAAAATCTTCTACGTCCACTTTCTGCCTTAAGGTTTCTTCAAATTGTCTGAAAAGTTTTTTCAATGAATCTAGTTCATCTGAAACTGATTGTCCATTGCTATCAAATCGCTTATATAAGTGTTCTAATTTTCTTATAGATTCTTCAAGTTCAGTGATTTTGCTATCATGGAAAGCTGTTCTTTGGTCAGCTCTATCAGCGATTATTTTAGCGTCTTCAGATTTCTCATCAACTGATTTCAGCTTGCTTTCAAGCTCTCTTAGCTTAATATTGAGGTCTCTTACTTCTCTTGTTATATCATTTGAAATGTTTGTCCTTGATTGATCTGAAAATCGTTTTGACTCATCATTAGCTTCGCTGCTTTTTTTATTGTTAGAGAGTGAGCCATTCCTAATACCGTTGATGATATCATCAATATTTTGTTCTAAAACTCTCAACCTAAGCTCATGATCATTGATATCTGACACGTTTTTTTCAGTTTTATTTTGAATTTCCTTCATTTTTATTTCATTTTCTGAAATTCGCTTTGCTTCGTCTTCAACTTCAATCCTTAAGGTATCGATTTGTCTGACTTGATTGTTTAGCTGTTCTTGGTGCTGGTCAAGGCGCTGATATATGTCTTCAAGAGAAATATCATGACGCTTGAAACCATCATTTAGCTTGTCATCAATGCTTTGTATTTTGGTGTTTTGCTCTGTAGAAATTTTCTTCATCTCATCAATATCTTGCTGTTGAGCTGCAAGCATTTCTTTAATTTTTGATATCTCTGAAGATAAGCCTTCAGAATTTGTAATATTTCTAATTAGAGGTTACTTTATATCGCGCATCACGTTTTCATGCTTTCTGAGAATATCTAGGATAAAGTCAAATACAAGTTTGAAATTGTTGGTATTAACGGAAACGCTAGCTTCCCCCCTCTGTGAGTGAGCAAAACCATTAGAAAAATTCCTATTTTTTGCCAAAAAACCCACCCTTCGTGAGTGAACAAAAATTTTTTAATAGAAAAAAATTTTTTGATATATAAATGATAATTAATATAATGAAACCCGAGCTAATTCTGTTTAATTTTAAACAAATTCGTTTTTAAAACATAAATTTTATAAATTAAAATAATATTTGCTTCCCAATTTTTGCAAATTAGGATTTTTTTAAATTTCGAAAAATATTGTTTCTATATTTATATATAAATTTTTTTAAAAAAATTAATCCCCTCCGTGAGTGAACAAACTTTTTTTTTGTTCACTCTCGGAGGGGGGGAGTAAGGATATCTTCAAGGGATATAGGAAAATCTAGCTTAACTTCAACTTTTGTTCGATCTACCATATTATAATTAACTGCTCTTATGAGTATGAAAATCACAACAAGATAAAGGCTAAAACAGCTGTAGAACAAAATTCAGTTCAAAGAAAAAGCATTGCTAATCAATTGTTGAAAATGATTTCAAATGATTATTTCATTTAATGACCGTCTTTAAATTTGCTCACTCCCCATCCCTCCGTGAACGAACAAAACCATTAGAAAAAATCCCTATTTTTGGTAAAAGCCCATCTCCGTGAGCAAACAAAAATTTTGATATATATATATATATATATGTGATAATTATTATAATATAATTTCTAGCTAATTCTGTTTAATTTTAAACAGCTTGCAAATTTTACAAATTATATTAATTAGAATTTTTTAAATTTTGAAAAAAAAAAATTTTCTATATATAAATATTTTTAAAAAAATTAATACCTTTCCGTGATGGAGCAAAGTTTTTTTTATTGCTCACGGAGGATTAGAACTATTAATCATTTTAAGGTCATTTAAGATGCTGCTATGCTTTGCAATAAAAATTTGGTTAGTTTTTAAAATCTTATAATTTATGAAAATTTCGGTTTCATGTGCACGAATAAAATTGAGCAGATGATTATTTAATATATTCAATCGCATTGATATTTTTTCACTTGTTATCATGCTGCTATTACAGTTCTTATATTGAGATCAGAATCAAATAATTATAATTTATCGTTTAATTGAATCTTGAATATAATTTAAAAGGGTGAAGAATTAATATGAAATACTTAGTTATCTTTATCTGCCTTTCTTTAGCTCTAGCAATTCCTTCATCGGCGCACGCTTCAATAAAAGAGTTTGAAAAAATATGCTCAGACCCCAAAAGTCAAAAATGCGTATTTTACCTAATCACAAAAGCAATAGAGCTTGCTAACTTCAAAGGATCAGAAAATTTGTTAGGCTCAGGATTCCAAGACTTTTTCTATGGAATATAATCCATGCACTCGTATAGATTTCTCTTTAAGACTTTTACAATGGACGGCTGAAGTGCTGGAATATTCAATACCAGGGAAATGGGCTCGATAACAATTTATAATAGTTTATTAGTATAGGATGATATATAAGTATATAGTAATTGTTCCTAAGTCAAAAAGAAAGACATTTGTTTATGAAACAAGTTGAATTCGGGATCTTATCGGAAGAGTTTGGGTTGCTATGCAAGCGGACACTAAAAATGGAAACTGGGCAAAGAGTGATCTCAGGAGAAAGTAGCTGATATGTGAAAGAAGTGCATAAAGACTGCCTTTATCGTGGTTCCCAGCAGCTTGGGACAGTGTAATCTGAACTAACCCTTGTTCCTGAGTCGCGGGATTTTGTTGTGTTCGATCCATTTTTATTGCCGACTTTGACAAGCCAAGGTAACTTGGCGAGCCTAATTATAAATGAAAATGTAAATAAGCAACGCTACAATACATACAAAATATAACAGTGCACCAGACAATAGACCCTTGAAATTTAATAGGCAAGCAGCAATGCTTTCAATGATGAAAAAACAAAATGAAAATATCAACTTATATAGGCATCTTTCGATAAACATTGTTTTTAATTCGCCCTATACACCTCAATTTGCATTTGCCGAAAGAGTATAGGGATGATAAAAAATAAGTTTAACAGAGTTGAAGGAAATGAGATCCTTAAAAGTTGAATACTGTGCGAGAGTTAGAAATGCAAGTTTTAAATATTTTAGACAAGATTTTTGATTACAATACACATATAAGCTTCTCTTAGTGAGTTCTTTTCGCTGCCGATCCGCTCGAATCCGCTTCAAGTAATATCTGCTAAATGCTAACGGCAATAAGTATCACCCTTTACATATACCAGAGAATTGAACATGTAGATTGGAATATTTTGTACAAGATTTTCAACGATAATGCACGCTTAAGCTTTATCAATAATTAATTCTTGCTGCCTAATCTGCTCGAATCCGCTTGCAGTAATAGCTGTTAAACGCTAAAGGCAATAAGTATCGCCATTTACATATACGAGAATTAAAGTAAAAGTTTGAAAGTATTTTGTACAAGATTTCTAATTCTAATGCACGCTTAAGCTTTATTTAATAATTAACTTTTACTGCCTAATCCGCTCGAATCCGCTTCAAATAATATCTGTTAAATTCTAACGGTAATAAGTATCACCCTTTACATATATCAGAATTGAACATGCAGATTAGAATATTTTATACAAGATTTTCAACGATGATCCACACTTAAGCTTTATTCAATAATTATCTTTTGCTGCCTAATCCGCTCGAATCCGCTTCAAGTAATAGCTGTTAATGTTGACGGCAATAAGTATCGCCCTTTACATGTACCAGAATTGAACATGTAGATTGTAATATTCTATACAAGATTTTCAACGATAATGCATGCATAAGCTTTATTCAATAATTACCTTTTGCTGCCTAATCCGCTCGAATCCGCTTGCAGTAATAGCTGTTATATGCTACCGGCAATAAGTATCACCCTTTGCATATGCCAGATTAAAATGCAAATTTGAAAGTATTTTGTAGAAGATTTCTAATGCTAATGCACGCTTAAGCTTCTCTTAGTGAGTACTTTTTGCAGCCTAAACCACACAAATCCGCTTCAAGTAATATCTGTCAAACGCTAACGGCAATAAGTATCACCCTTTATATATACTAGATTAAAGTGTAAATTTGAAATTATTTTGTACAAGGTGTTTAATTATAATATATCTATAAGCTTCTCTTAGTGAGTACTTTTTGCTTCCTAATCCGCTCTAATCCGCATCAAGTAATATCTGTTAAACGTTAAACGGCAATAAGTATCACCCTTTAGATATACTAGAATTAAGCATGTAGATTAAAATATTTTATACAAGATGTTCAACGATAATCAAAAATCTTTTATAAAATATTATAGCGTTGCTTATTTACATTTTCATTTATAATTAGGCTCGCCAAGTTACCTTGGCTTGTCAAAGTCGGCAATAAAAAATGGATCGAACACAACAAAATCCCGCGACTCAGGAACAAGGGTTAGTTCAGATTACACTGTCCCAAGCTGCTGGGAACCACGATAAAGGCAGTCTTTATGCACTTCTTTCACATATCAGCTACTTTCTCCTGAGATCACTCTTTGCCCAGTTCCATTTTTAGTGTCCGCTTGCATAGCAACCCAAACTCTTCCGATAAGATCCCGAATTCAACTTGTTTCATAAACAAATGTCTTTCTTTTTGACTTAGGAACAATTACTACTTATATATCATCCTATACTAATAACTATTATAAATTGTTATCGAGCCCATTTTCCTGGTATTGAATATTCCAGCACTTCAGCCGTCCATTGTAAAAGTCCTAAAGAGAAATCTATACGAGTGCATAGATTATATACCTAGGAATTCAAGAAAACCCAATTTCTCCTGGTTTTTGTGTCAATTCTTTTACCCCTCTTTCCTATTCTTATTCTCAGCTGCGTCAAAGTATAATTTCCATTTTCACTGAACTAAATCTGAACTATCTATTCGCAGCCATCACCAATTTTAACTATTACAACAATAAGCTTGTAAATTCCTGGGATTTATGTGGGGGTAACTATTTATCAACCATTTTACCAAATTTATTTACTGAAGATGGGTTCGGAAATCTCATAGTGAATTTTGGAGCCAGCTATGCGCAGATAATAGAGAATTGGGAGAAATTAGTAGAAAATGCTGGTAATAATAACTATATAAATGCTGGCGCTGCTTGTGGGGAAATTCTAAGCGATCTACTGGATTTTTCAATTTAAAGAAAACATAACTTGGTTTTTTATAAATATTTTAATAATTCTGATCTGGTTAAATGAGCCTCTCGATGTCGGGTTTTATTAACTCTGGCTCTGTCCCAGGGCTATAGTAGTTATAAATATCACCGTTTTTGTCCACTAGAAACTTCCCAAAATTCCATCCTATTCTTCCTCCTCTCAGTTTACTGTTCTGCCTCAAGTATTTGAATAAGTCATGAGCTTTATCTCCGTTGATTTGAGTTTTTTTGCATAATATGAATCTGGCGCCTTTAGACTTAACAAAAGCCTTGATCTTGGCCTCTTCCCTTGGCTCTTGGAATAAGAACTGATTGCAAGGGAAAGCTATCACATTGAACCCTTTTGAGTTATACTTTTCATATAATTCTTCTAATTGAAAATAATTTTTGTCAGTCAGTCCGCAATAAGTTGCGACGTTCACTATCAATAAAACCTGGTTTTGAAATGTTGACAACTTGATTTCATTACCGTCTATATCTTCTATTGAAATGTCATATATTGATTTGTAGTAGGTCCTACAATCATCTCGACCAATGCAAGTACCCATATTGAGAAACGTATATAATCGTTAAAAAAATAAGGTCTGATAAGTAGAATTATTGAACAAAATATTATTTCATTTAAAAAAATTCAAAAATAATTTATTCCTTTTTCTGGGCTTAATGAGGCTTATACATGTTAAAATATAGTCAAGATTTTTAGCTAAATTAAATTTTGATTAATAACTCCCCACCCTTCGTGAGAAGTAAAATTAATTAATTTCAAAATTTATGCTTTAAAATGCAGTTTGTTTAAAATTAATAGAATAGCTAGAGATTTCGTTATAATAATTATATATATCAAATTTTTCACAAAAAATTTGTATATCAAAAAAATTTTTGTCCGCTCACGGAGGGTGGGTTTTTTGGGCTATAAATAGGGATTTTTCCAATGGTTTTGTTTCGCTCATGGGAAGGGGGAGTAAGATATTTTAAAATCATTTATGTGGATCAACCATATTTTATGTTCACCAGACATCTTGCGAGGTTTATCAGTAGTTTTAGACCTGTAAAAGTATCTTACCAAGAGCTTCTAAGTGATGCGAATATTGATAGCAAAATAGAAGAAGGGTATGGAGCAAATGGCTTAGGAATTATCACTGTGGAAAATATTCCTGGTTACCAAGAAAAGCGAATGGCCCTTTTACCCTATGCCCGACATCTCGCATTGCTTCCTGATGCAGAAAAGCAGAAGTTGGAACTTCCTGAAATAAAATATACAGTTGGATGGAGCCATGGAAAAGAGTTTTATGAAGGAACTCCTGATTTCTCTAACCCTTATAAAGATATCAAATTTTTTGTTATTTAAAAAATAATAAAAATTATTATTCAAGTTTTTTCATTAAAAGGAGAAAGGCTCTTTTTATGCAAATCCAGAGGTCGATAAAGCTCCAAAATACCAAGGAGCATTTCATGACAATGTCTGGCCTCAAACTTTGCCAGGACTTAGAACTGCTTTTAGAGAGCTTGGACAGGAAATAATGAGAGTCGGAGCTCTATTGGCAAAGCATTTAGACAAATATGTGTTAGCCCGTTATAGCGATTATCAGCCTGGATTGTTAGAAGATATAATTAAAAATCACAAAAGTTCAGTTGGGAGACTTCTTCATTATTTCCCTCAAGTAGGGTCCACCCATGAGTGGTGCGGCTGGCATAATGACCATTCTTCCCTTACAGGTCTGACATGCCCTTTATATATTAACCAAATTACTGGTGAAGTTATCTCTCCAAATGAGCTTCCAGACCAGCAGACTGGACTTTTCATAAGAAATCGGAAAGGAGAAATCCTTAAGGCTCAGCTAACGAGTGATTTATTGCTATTCCAAATAGCAGAGACGTCTCAAATTCTTTCAAACGGACATCTTCAGGCTACTCCCCATTCTGTTTTAACCGGAGGAAGTTTCGCTGATATCTCCAGAAACACCTTTGCAGTTTTCATGGAGCCAAGACCTGATTTAAACTTAAGAGTTCCTGATGACTATTCCAAAATTTTTATAGAACATGAAGGAATTCCATCCCTAACTCCCCCCCCCTTTAAAATTGAAACAAAATATAGGTAAAATTCCTAATTTTTTGGGGGAAATTACCCCCCCTTTAAATTGAAACAAAACTTATTATAATAGAAAATTTTATAGGTAAAAATCATTATTTTATATGTAAATACGTTAATACCCTATTTAATATGCTTCAAACATATAAGATTTAGAAATTAAACTCTATTTTGTCCAATTGTTATGGGGAGAGTTAGAAGAAGAATACCATTTCAGCAAGTTTACACTTTGAGATTGAGAAAAATTTATGAATTAATTTTTCATGAAATTCTTTAAATTTATATAATTTATTTTCTATAAAATTTTATCTCTGAAAAAAATTTTTATATATAAATTTTTTTTATAAAAAAAAATTTTCTTAACCCCCTTTAAATTGAAACAAAATTTTTTGTTTCAATTTAAAGGGGGGGGGGAGTAAGATCTCGCTTCTCAAAAGGCATGACTTTTGGTGACTTCCATAACGCAACAATTGCACATTTTAACTAATAATTTTGGATTCCGCAAATCCGTTAATAATATTTTAAATGAATTTTGAAAAATATCTTGACGAGTATGAGGAAGATAAACCAAGAAGTGGAGCAAAAAAGAGATTTTTTAAGGACACTGTTAAAAGCGTTAAAAAAAGAAAGCTCGACAATAAAACGCAATGGATGACTTCTGAAGAAATTGAATTCCAAAAGGTTGAAGAAGAGAAAAGGAGAATTAAAGAAGAAATGGAGCATCATCAAAGAATGTATAGCCAATATAACTCGGTGGTTATGAGCACTCCTAGATCAGCAGGGTTTCAAACTCCAAAAAAAAGAGAAATCGAGCAAGATGTGTTTAGGCCAAAATTCAAAGCAAGGAAAATCCCGAAGTCAAATAACCAGCCTATGCTATTTGTGAGAAGCAGTGACAGGCCTTTGACTATTCCCCGTGAGTTTAATTTATCATCACCTATAAATAGACATTCACTTTGCTTCAGCCCAAATCCTGACAAACGCACTCTCCAAGATATAACCCCTTTCAGCTCACTTCACAAGTCCGAATATACTCATACCTTTGATAGTCCTGGCTTTAAAGCCCGCCCAGCACCAGATTTTTCTTCCCCTTTTACCCCTAAGAAAATGTTCACTCCTACAAAGCATCAAGAGTTCAACCTTAGAACAGAAATTAGAGGAAGTGCGAAAAAGCAAGAATTTGAAAAACAAATAAACGAGCAGATATCCACTGAGGAAAACAATCGCCAATTTAAGGCGAGACCATGGAGTAACAAAGTCCCAACCCCTGTGAAATCTTCAGAAATCCCACTTGTATATCCGATGGATATTGAGTTAAACAGTGATAAAAGAGCTGAACAAAGGGCTTTGTTTGATAAAGAGCTGCTGGAAAAAGAAAAAATAAAAAATGATATAGAGAGACAGCAAGCAGAAGAAAGGAGACTAAAAGAGCAACAAGAAATATCTGAGCTGCGAAAAAGCATGATTTTCAGAGCTCAGCCTATTCCAAAGAGCATATCGAAACAATGGAAAAATGATGAGAAAGAAACACATAAAAATTGGAAAGATGAAAACGCGGATCCGAATGTTTCGAGCATGATTTGTGATGAGAGCACAATTATGGAAACTGAAGATTCTGGTATGGTAGATGAAGAAATGGTAGACGCAATTTAATATTAACCAATATTATTGTAAATTCTTATAAGAACATAAATTCATCCTCTTCCAGAGGGTCTGTACTCATTTTGCTTTTATCTTCCTCACATAATGGAGCAGCTTTAACTTTTTCTTTTTCTTCTTCTGGCTGTCTGACTGCTCTCATAAGTTTTATCATCTGAAGCTGCTGCTGTTTTACAATCCATTTAAGTTTGTCGTTGTTCAAGTTCAATGATTCAATACTTATTTGCTGACCAAAAAATTCCAGTACGACCAAATTTGCTATTTCAAGTGCTTCTTTTGGCTGCATGTTTTTTCCTTAAGGCATATCCAATGGCAATATTTTCCAGTACTTTGGTCAAAACTTTTCCTCGATAAACATTTAACCATAAATAAAGGTTTTGCCAGGAATATCTGGTGAGAAAAATGCTTCGATCAGCTAAATCGGGGAATATCTTCGGGGAAAAAAATCACGACTAAAGATATGCTACTGCTTCTTTGGCTAAATGTTTTTCGATTAACGACGATATTAAATTCGATAATAAATTTCTAGTGATATCTTTTTTGAATAACCGAATATAGGGTACAATTTTATCACTTTCACTTGATTTTACAAACTTTGAAAATGCGCAAAGCAAAGAATCATCTTCAATTTGAAAAATTAATAAAATGGTGAATGCTGTTAGGCCTTCCTCCTGCGAGTTGTATAGACCCAAAGAAGGTGAGTCCTAGTGGCGATAGTTCTCCTGTATGGGTTTCTTGTGTTAGACCTTTATTACTCTACCCACAGATGACAGACTTAGGCGCAAGCATCCTTCCGCACTTCTCTTTAGTCTGTAATAGGGCTAAGGCAGACCAAGAAGGAGATTTTGGGCTATTCAGCAGTATCAAGCCTTGACGGTAGGCAGTCATAAATAGTTTATCAAGAATCAAGCCCTGGACGTGACATAGGGCGTTAATTGGGGTTAGTGTCTAGCGCCTATTGAGCCTAAAGCTAATTCGTAGAGTGTAGGGACTGAAATAAGCCCTAATTGCTAGCTAGAATTAATCTTAATCCAATCTTCAATTTGAAGCTGGACTTCATTGATCTGATTTAGGATTCTACTTACATCGTATCCTGAAGTGCTTGAACTTAAAGACGCTTTTTTCAGAAGGCTATTCCACCATTTTTCTGACGTCCTCCGGTTCGATTTTAAAGAAACTTCTATGACAGTTTCATATGCTGCTTCAAAAAGATTCCCAGCAATGCATCTGTCAAAATATTCTTCCCACAACCTTAAGCAATCTAAAACGGGAGGTTCTAAGAGCCTCAAACATTGTCCTGCGTGCTGAATCCCATCTTTCCGTAAATATCCTTTAATAGTCGCTTCCCAGAACTGCTCGATCAATGGAATTTTTTTTTCAATCAGTTTCATTATCAAGGCAAAGCTTTGTTCAAATCCTTGGACTTCCAATGCTGATTCAATGTAGACCAAGGCAGCTTTAGCATCTTTTATTATTTTTGCTTCGATATAGGTAATCATAATGTCAAGACCTTGGTCAAGTGTGCCCACTCTTAAGAGGTTTTTGATGCAGGATTTAAAATCGTAGGGATCAAGCTGCACTGGAGATTTTTCAAATGCTTTGAGAGCGGCAACGGCTAGGTCAGCTTGCTTGTAATCGAGTGCTTGCTGGATTAAATAATAAATAGACTGGAGATCGGAGCTTGTTATTTCTTGTGACCGTCTTTGGATTGTTCGGACAGCTTCTTCAGTTTGTTTTGAGTCAAGAAGCTCATTTATGCGTGACCTTAAACTCATATTTTATATTTTATTCGGATACCTTGTAGCATAAAATGGATTACTTCAAGACCCTAAAAAGTAAAAAGTGAGTATAATTTTTTATAATCAATTTTATTAATTATTCTTTATTATATAGCTTGATGTGAATTTCTATTGCAAGATTTTAATTTTTGTTTTATTTGGCTATTTTATTAGTTATATTAAAAAATAAATCTTATCTCATTTGCATTTTTACTATAAATATTATACAATATCATATAATTTCAATTGGGAGTCTAGCTCAAATGGTAGAGCGCTTGCTTAGCATGCAAGAGGCACGGGGATCGATACCCCGGTCTTCCATTTTTATCAGGACTATAAAATTCCTAATTTATAAATTAGTTTCATTGATTTATTATCTTTTCTTATACTGAACACTTCTTATAATTGCTCTATCATTCATTTCCTCTCTTGTCAGCAAGTTTCCTTTATCATCTTCTTCTCCAGGGTCCTTTTCATCTTTAAGAGGCGGAGCATCAATTTCAATTTTTATTGGCTGCTTTACTGCAATCTGCTGACTATGATGTGTATTCGATGGCAAAGCTTGTGATGGAGCGTAAGAATGATCATTAGTGCAGCCCCAATACATTTGCAGTATTTCATTGGTCCTCAGCTCAATCACGCCAAGGCATTGCATCATGTTAGACTCATCAACTCCTTGCGTATCCAACATCATTTCTGTCATTTCGTTATTGCAGCCAATTTTTTTTAAAATCTGTTGAATCCCAATTTTTAGTGCATTTATTGTTTTCATGGTCTTTTCGTATTTTCTTTCGTAATTTTCAGCTCTTGATTCAGTCATGCTGAGTCTTACTTCTAAATCACTCATAATTTTTTTCCTTTGATTGTCTGTGTTTATTCCTTTTCCTTTGTATTTTTCTATCTCTGCTTTAATTTGAGCTATTTGCTTTTCTAGTCTTTCAATGTCATTGCTTAGCTCATTTACATAATTAATGCCTAAACCTCGTTTTGGCTCGGGCTATGCCGATGTCTCCCTAGGTCACTAAAGGAGTTTGCAAGCTAAGGTTTTTGGTAAAAAACCAACTCTTGGGTCGTAAATCTCCAGTAGAAGTGGATTTGCAACCCAGCAAAATGTTTTTACTAACAAATGCTGGCTCCTCAACTCCCTGCATGACGTCTAGAGACGTTATCACAGTCCCTAGTCAAAACGATATTCAAGCTATATATAATGAATAATTATGTTTTTCAGCTTCTACAAAAGTTCTGACAATTTGATCGATGTCAGATAGCCCTGTAGCTTCTTCGATTTTCTTAAAAGCTTCTTCATATTGCTCTACCTTTTTGACCGCTTCTCTAATGTTTTCTCTATCTTTTTTACTGATCGATCCTGTACGATCTAAGTTTTTGATAATGTCCATATCATGTTTTTTTAATAAGCTTTCTTCTTGGCTTTCATCTTCTTTTTCTTCCTGCCTTAAATCCAAATAATCTTTTATTTTCGAATCATTTTTTATCAGCTCTGTTAATTCTTGCCACTCTTGCTTGAACTTAGCTTGCTCCCTTTCGGCAGTTTCTTTAAGACTTATCCTATACAATAACAAAATATTTATTTAAAATCAAATAAATTATATTTTGTGAAATTAAAAAAATTATTTTTCTCTGTTATATGAGATTTAATAATTTCTTTTTAGCTTCGTCTCTTTGGATCTTAGCTTGCTCCTTTTGAGATTCAATTTGTTTCATTTCTTGCTGCTTTTTATCAACTTCTTCGGTTAAACTTTGACGCAGGGTTTGATAAACAAGCTTTTCTCTTCTCAATGAATCAATTTGGTCATGCAATTTTTTATTTTGTGCTACAGCTTCGTTATATTTCTGCAAGGTTTTATCGAGTTTATGCTCTGTTTTTTTGATTTTCTGGACTATTGTATCATTCGTTTCTTTATTTCGCTTTGCAGCTCCCAATGCTGCACGTTTGTTAATAATTTTTTCTTGCATTTCAATAATTTTTTTGTCAAGCTCGTCACGCTTCTTGGTCTCGATTTCAATTTTTCTAGTGTAGATGTCACCTTGATCTTGAAGGCGAGCAATATGTGATTCGTTTCCTATAGGGGCTGTATGTATGTGATCAAGCTGCATTTGGTCCTTTAGCTTTTTTGTTTCAGCTTTTAAACTTTCTATAGTTTGCCGATATTGGAGACTTTGGTGAGTAGCATTTGGGCTTTCCTTAGCTTGAATTCGATCTCTCATTATATATGCCCTATTTATTAAATTTGATGAATCAATAATAGATAAAATAATAAATATAAAATTAATTTTTAGAATAAGGAGTTGCATCATGATTGGCTGATTTAATTTATAATAATTTAATTTAAATTATGGGAGTTATCTATTTTGTGATCAAAAAAAAATCGAAAGATTGAATCAGGCTATTTTATTTTCAATACTAAAAACGAATTTTTTATTCAATAATCTTTATTGTAAGGTCATTATAAAATTAAAAATTGTTATTTGATCTATGAAAAAATAATTATAATGGTGAAATTTAAAAAAATATATATTAGCAATACAATAAGAGTTTTTTTCTTTATTCTTCCTTTTTGTCTTCATCTTCGTCACTCAGTGTATCTGGAAGAATCATTGAATATCGATAGAGAGTTGGAATTTCAAAAACGGTATCTTGTTTTAGACTTGCCTCTGATAGAGTTGTGGAAACACTAATAGGGGGTTTCGAAATATTTAGGTAGTGCGAGACTTTACGTCTAATCTTCCTCTTAAATAGTTATCAATAATTAAGTTTGAAGCAAAAACTTATTTTTATTTTCTCATTTAGTTTTAATTTTAATAATTAAAAAAATATGGTTTCCTAAAATATTTTTTAATGTTTTTTTTGATGACATACTTTTATATTATGCTTTTTTAAAATCACTTTAAAAATAATTTTCTCAATAAATATGTGTAAGAACATCATCATTTTTATACATTTCTTCTGGGGTTCTCTTAATACCCAGAATATTGTTTGCTTCAATCCTTCTTTTAACAACCCTGGACTTACGACAAAGCTTTGGCATACTTGGATCATGTGGATTGATTTTTTTCAATCCTTTAAAGTTTTTGGCAAGTCATTGCTTTTTAGCTTGGTCATTATGAGGGCTAAGAAAACTACACTTGGTGGCAACATGGCCTGTGTTCTGGCATATATAGCATGATACCCCAATTTCTGAATAGTCTTCACGTCTGCAAGCTGACTGAATTAGCATCAGCACTTCTTGAGATTTTGTATCTTTATAAAGTGAGTTATAAGCATCTTCAAATTTCAAGGATAGAAGATCAGCAAAGCCAGCGCAATGAGCACTGGCAGTGCGAGGATGACCTGCAAAAAATCCAATTTCTCCAAAATAATCCCCCTTACGAAGATCTGCTAAATGAGTTTTAAATTGTTTGTAATAAATAAAAATAGAGCCTTCTATAATGATATATATGGTTCTATTCTTTTCTCCTTCAGAAAATATTTCATCGTCAGGTGCATAGGTTTCTTCTCTTAGATTTTTTAGTACTATTGATAGAGCTTCTAGGCTCAGGTATTTCATAAAAATTGGGCAGCTTTTAATTGCAGGATAGTGTATGTATGCAGTTATTTCATCTTTTAATGGCTCACTAACTCCACCCCATTCAATAGCAAACTAAAAAAATTTTTATAAGCATATCTCAACTAGCATTTCTAATGTTTCAACGTTTAAATTAAAATAATTGATATAATCCTTTGATTATTTTGTTTAAAATTAATAAATCTGAGGCATTTAATAAAAAATAAAATTTTTGAAATAATTTAAAATTAAAATTTTTTTATAGTTTAGACCTAATTAATAAGATCAAAAATGTGTTTGTTAATAAATGAAGACGGGGTAAGGAGATTAAGAATTTCATCTTCTCTTATGTTTATATTTTTTTGATTTTCATAAACGTACTCTAAATAATTTCTGACTTTAAATTGCAATTCTTTAGGAATTCTTTTCCTCCTCATATGATTTGTCATTGCAATAATTGATTCCCTATGCTTCCTTTCCTTAAGAGTAGTTCTCTCAACAAATTCATGTATACTTCCTAAAGCAAAGCCATAAAAAGCAGAAGCAAAAACCATAGATATCATTGCAACGATTTTTTCTGGAGTTGTTTGAGCATGAATATCTCCGTATCCAATAGTAAGTAGTGTTGTTATGGCTCAATATAAGCTTGTTACATACATTTCGCCCTTTGTTGGAGTTTTTACATCTTTTTCTTCATAAAGATTAACTCATGTATTGGAAGCAGATAACCCTTGAGACACTCCAGTATAATGCCAAAGGCAAGCTAGCCAATGTGCAATTGTAAATATGACTATAATGAATCGAAAAAAATGAAAAACTTGGATCAAATAGTCATTGAAGATGTTATCCTCAATTTTCACTAAAAAAAGCTTGATTTTTGCAAATTTTATTAATCTAAGTATTTTAATGAACCTCGGTATTCGGAATGTCCTTAGCAGTCTTGTTGCACTAAGAGTATTGTTGACGGTATCATTTTGAAATATTCCACCTTGAATAATTCAAGAATAAGGAAAACTTGACAGAATATCCAATATAAATCAAGTTTTAAGGTAGTTTCAAGCAATCAGTTTCCTATTCATAATTAATATGCCTCTTTTGAAAAATCCTGTGTTGAAATTAAAAATAATATCAACAATAAAAGCTAAGGAAACAATAAAATCGTAATAAATTAAAAACCCTGCTGATGCAACATCAAAGCTGATCGCAAAAGGAACATAAATTCCTTGCAAAATTAGGCTAAATAAAATAAAAATATCTCAAGTCAGCTTTCAATAGCTTTCTGCATGAATTAAATATTTCCCATTTCAATTGTTTTTATCTCACATCAATTCAAAATTTGCTTTAGGAATAAAGTCAATAGCAGTTATTTGTTTTTGAGGTTTTAATATTGCATTAGGAGATTTAGGGTCTTCAGAATTAGAATGGATAATCAAGTTTGATAGACTGAATTCTGCTTCTGCATCTTGCTCCATCTTATTTATTATTGCTAAAGTAGAATCACTGACTTCCCCTCAGATAAGTAAATTCTTGCTGATTGGGGTTTTAAAAATTTTAAATATTAAATTTTATATACAAAATAGAAATTTGCTATCATTGGAGATAATGCGCAAAATTTGCATTTTCGCATTTTATCTGAAAACCCCAATAATAAGCGAATTTAGATTTATTCATATAAAATTTACTATTTGAAAACTTTGTGCTAAAATCCCCCACGAATAAAAGACTTGTTTATTACTGGGGAAAGTGAGATTGTGAAATTATGTCTTCCCAATCATAATTGATCTTTAAACTATTTTCTTATTCAGCTTAAATCAATCTTCTAAAATTATGAAAGCCATATATTTTTCCATGTTTTAATAAATTTAATAGATATGATAGTCCCATAAACTCTATTTATATTGAGCATTTAGAAATTGAAATAATTATAAGTTTTTTATTGTTTTTTATGCTAAATAAATAATTTAAATCTGAAATATAACGATCTTTTAAATTATTAAGCAATAAGGAAAATAAATTCACTAGTTTCCTCGAGAAGAGGGAGATTATTAAAAAAAATGTATTTTGATTTTTAAATGTAAGGAATAATAAATTTTTATGAGAGAAAATATTATTTATAATTAGCACAAGTTCATGATCTTAAAAAAATGACTTAACTATGTATTATCCAAAAGAAATTACTTACCACCATTTTAATTGGAACGAAAAATCTGTTCAAACTTAAGGGATTAATTTTTTTTTGTTGTTGAAAATATGATTATAAGTTTAAAAACAATTTTGAGTTTTAATTTAATTGTATAAAGAATTATTTCATAAAATTCATCAATTCAGGATAGCAATGTTTAAATAAAATTCTACTTGCGCTCTCTCATTAAATTGTTTCAAAGATATTTATATAGAAATTCTTAATTTCACCTATAAAATTTTTCATTTATTGATATTTTATTCAAATTAAAAAATAAGGAGTTAGAGCAAAGCAATTTTATAAGAATTAATTTTAAAAACTAAATTAAATCTTATGTCAAAATTTAAGAAATTAAATTTTTAGAAATTATACTTATTGATAAAAGCTGATGATAATTAAGTGCTTAAATATGTAAGAAAGTATGGATGCAGGGCCCAATGATCATTCGCTTTTGATAGCGTATATTCACCCAAGTATATTTTGGTCGAAAATTGTTGAACTTTTTGATAGCAAGACATTTGACCAAATAAAAGTTAAATTTCAACCAAATACCACACTATTTAAAAATTTTCTATCAAATGTACTTCAATGAAATTTACACTATCAAAAGCATGCTGCCATTTGGCATGAAGCCGGAAAGTATTTATCATTTTTCAATAGTTTTATTTTCCAATAATATAAAATCTGTCTTAATTTCGCAATTTAATTTTATTTTGGACAAAGGTTAAATTATATTATTGAAGATCATCTATAGTCTCTATTGTTTGCAATTTCTGCAAAACCATTCTCCAGGATCATCAGGGCTAATTCCCACACAGTGAGGATGGAATAATTCCCAGCAATTATCACAAGCTACATATAGAGTATCTGGATTTATTATCGACTTGCATATACAGTTCTTTTTCCATTCAGAAATTGGCGGAGTAATTGTGCCATCTTTATAATTATATACTGCTCTTGAAAAGAAAACATCGTCATCTACTTCATCCAAACAATGATAATCCTCAAAAGAAAGCACAGTCACTTTATCATATAGAGATTGAACCCATATGTCTTGAATATTGTCACTATCAAACAGCTCTGCTCGGGAAATAAAATCGTGATCTTCATGAAAAACATCAGCTGGCTTGTAAAACCATCTAAGCTTCACATAAGCATCAGGTTTATTTGTGTCTTTCCAGATCTTCACAATTGTACCATAAGCACTGTCGTCATAGTATTCTTTGATTTGAACTGTGTCTCCTACGTGATAATCTGTATCATTCAGCTTGAGTTTTTTGAACTCTACGATATTTCTTGGCTGTTTTTTGGCAACTGGCTGTTGAGTAGTCATCCAATTTTTTATTATAAGGGAGGGGGACTTAAATGTTTTATATTAATGATTTTTTAAAATTTTATTCTAATTTTTTTTACGAAATTTAAAAATATAAAATTTATTTAATTTTAAAGTTTATATATAAGGATGCAAACTAATTTGAAATTCAGTTAAATTTGTTAAAGGTTCCGTTATCATTATTATAATATATATATTAAAAAATGCTATGATCGTTGAGTTTTTTTTTTCCCAAAAAAATAGGGAATTTTTCCAATGGTTTCGCTCGCTCAAAGAGGAGAGCTAGCATAATTGAATTAACTTTCAACTCTCAAAACTTTTTGAAGGTTTTCAAAATAATTATATAGATCCTAGTTGCATTGAATGGCTCAATAGCATTCATAAGGATGTGTTAAATGCACCTATATGATCAGATTAGATTATTAAGTATCCGATCATAAGCGCTACCGCAGGCGCTGACCATCCGCCCCGTCTCTGCTCCAAAATGGCATCAGGGATGCCATTTTGAATTTCCGACCTGAACCATCTGTCAAGGGGATTAGCTCGGCTTGGACAGAACCGCTCCTTGATAGCGACCCGATGGTCCCGATGATGAAAAACATTGTGGTAGTCAAAACCTGTCTAGCCTATCTGGCAGGGACAGGGGAAACCTACCGGGCAGAAACAAAATACTCTGTTTTGGCAAGTTTACCATTGAGACAGTCTACTAAAGCCCTAAAGGCACATTTCGCCACCTCTCTCGCCGGTCCACTGCCCCATCAGGAGGTGTCGCCTCGGAGTCCACTTTCCGTCAGCATCACTATTTTATTTCTGCAACCATATGAGGCATTTACTGATTTCTAAAGATGCTTTATCAATCTCAGTGAGCTGATCAATTCTGGTAATAGCCAGGTTTCTCCAGTTCAGAGCGATCTAATATCTTGCGAACTATATTATCATATATAATTTTGCGTTGTTCCTATCTAAAAATAAATTGCGTGCTCTCTCTGCCTATAGGTCTTATATTAATAAAGTAATTCATAGTAAATAGGTTTATATACTTTCCTTTAATAGCCAATCGATCTAGATTACCAAATCAAAGGTTTATGAAGCTAAAACGGGTTTCACTCATTAATCATCATAGTTTTATTATAGGGGAAATATTATATATTAAAATAAGAACTTATTGCAAACTGATTTTTAACGATGGTTCATAAATTAATTAATTTCTCAATACTTGCAACTAATTACTATAATTCATCAGTAATTCCTCTATAAAGCTGCTTATGATTTACAGTGAAAGGTAATCTATTATACTTTCTATTTGTTCTTGCTTCTTTTTCTTTGAGTTTCAGATTTTTTATTCGTTCTGAAGGTAGAAACCCATTTTCCCCAACATTTTTCTACATTTAAAATACCTTAACAGACTTTTGCTTATATGCATTCCTCGAATTTGAAATCTCTGGAAACGTAGAAATCTGGTGATCTTTTGGACTTATTTCTTTATGAACATTCACTATATTACTCATGAGATCTAAATTTTTCCTCGCAGTAGCATTTGATAGAATATCATTTGTATTAAACAAATCTTGGTAAATCTTCTCATATTTCTTCACATCAAGTAGCTTCATACTTTTAGATTTCCTTGTCAGCTCATCAATTTTTTCTTTAATAATCCTTTCTTCCCTTTTCTGGTTCAGTAACTTATCCACGATCTCGAAATGGTTCCTCATTGTATCTGTGAACCCAATCACTTTTTCCTTTTTATTATGCCGTTGCTTATCCTGGGCTACAATTTCAGAGTTTTCTAAAGCTTCTAGTGTTTCCGTTCTTTTTGTGCTTGGGTGTGTTTTATCAAGAGTAATTTGAGACTTTGTCTGGATTATTTTCAGAGGAGGAATTTCGTCAAAGGATTCTCCTTGAAATTTTGCCTGTTTTATCTTCATGCGGCCTTGAGCTGATAAAGAGGTTTCTTCATCTAAGTCAGGCTCTGGGATTCTACTTACTTTCTCTTTAAGAATGAAGAGAGATTTTTTTGGTCGCTCACAAAAGAAAAATCTAATTAATTTTATAAGTTTAATGCTTTAAATTGCAATCTGTTAAATTTTAATAGAAAAAGCTGAATATAGCGTATAATAATTGTTAATTCTAAATAAAATAATTTTTCTGGCTTGAAAATAGTGCTAATTTCATCAAAATACGATTTTCAATTTTTTGCTTGCCTTAAAAATGGGGAATTAGCGAATGTATGTCGTGGGTTCAGATGTAGTGGTTAAACAAAGGTGATTCCTTTATATTTGTGTTCATATGAGCAAGCTGAATTGTGTCGTAAAGAAGCCCTTGGTCAATTCGAGGCCTTTTTAATACGTTCATTTTATAAAATAAATAATCTATATTAAACTATTTCTTCTAAATCATTAGCATCTAACTCTATCTTCCAATATACATTCTCAAAATACTCGACCTTATTTTCTTCAGTCAGCTCTGCATTATAATTTTTAGCTTCTTCTGTAGGATTAAAGCGATTTGTTTATTTTCTGAATCATTAAATATTGGTAAATTTTGATCTTCAGTTTCATTATGCCCTTCAGAGCATACACTTTCGAACACATCAATGCATCCTTACTCAGAATTTGCAACTTTTCTATACACATCTAGGATTTCCATTTCAAATAGACTTCAGCCCTATATCTTATGGTGCCCTCCGTTAGCGAACAAAATGTTTTTGTTCACTCCGGAGAGGGGAGCAAGAATTTGCTGTGTTATTCTAAAGTAGTGCTGAGCTTGAAACGGTCAAACTGAAACGAGCTTAGTCTCTCTGAAATTATTGAATTCTAACACCAAGTCTTTAAGCACATGAGGGAAAAAAATGAGGATAGTTAGCATTTAAATTTTTTATTATGTAATCATAACAAAAGCTGCTTGGGTTATTATATCATGAATGATCTTAATATTGCAACTAAAAGAGAATGAATTATCACACAATATAAGCATAAGCAGCGGCTAAAAGAAATCAAAAGCAACCCATCAAAAAGTGTGGGATCTTCATCTTCACCTCAACAGATTTTGCATCGCAAAAAAAAGAAAAGATGTTCTCCAAGTAATTTAAGCTTTTGCTCAAGCCATCAGACAGAAAATTATAAGCTACTAAACCAATTAATCGAAATTACATCATTCAACAAAGTAACCAACAATTAGCAAAGTGCAAAACAAGAGCATCATTCTGCAAGATCTCACTCTATAAGGATGCCTGCTATGGAAAGAGAACAAAGGAGGATAAAGGACGAAAATTTAAAGTTGGCTCAAAGATTGATTGGAATCAGGCCGTATTTTTCAATATCAGAGTGGGAAAAAGCGTTTAAGGAATCAAGAAAATATCGAAAAATTTTGAATAAAGATAATGTGCTGTTAAATGGAAAAATTTCTCATGAAAGGGTTAGAAGCGTGTCAAGAGGAGAAAATAGGTCAATTTTTGAGAATAGTGAAAACTCAAGATGTATTACAGCTTTACCACAGTCAAGGGCTAATGAGGTTCAAAAACGATTCAATTAACTTCTTCTATACAATCGTAATTCCATAATTACTAAATTGATTTATCGAGTAATTATAGATTATTTGGATGATATAGTAACTCTAAATTAATTTAAACTGTCCTGATAGATAGAAATTCGTCTCAAAAATTTCCCTTCTTTTTTCAACAACATTTTAAAAATCTGCATTTATCATCTTAATTGTCATAACATCATAGAATGGGGTGCTGTTCGAGCGAGCTAAGAGACAATTCTAAATCTGAGATGATTCAACTCAAACTCAAAGAGTCAATCGAAAGAAGTAACACGAAATCAATCCAGCAAATCATTCGCCCTTTAGAAAAACCTCTCCCAGACAATGACTCTTCTTTATTAAATGAGCCAATCACACGATATAAAGAAGTTGAGGTCAATTCTTTAGGATATTCCCTTGTTTTGGGGAAAATTGACGTCTTTAAGCACCTTCATCAGAAGCTTGGTGCAAATATTGGGACAATGGAAAAACTTTTTGAGAAGCAAGGGATCAATCCTCTAGATATCCTTTGCCAGCAAGGCTATGTAGAAATGCTGAATTACTATCTCCCACATTATCTTGCAACCCATAAAGACTCACTTCCCCATACCACAGAAGACAGCATGACTGTTGATTTTCAAAGAGCTGCATACATTGATGTGCCAATCAAAAAACCGCAAACTGCGATACACTTGGCATGCGAGCGAGGATACATAAATGTCATCAATTACATTCACAATTATTTTAAAGATGAAGCATTTGTTCCTCACTTTCTCGACATCGATTACCAAGATGACTATACAGGAGAGAACTGTGCCATGATTGCTGTAAGAAATGGAAACTACGCAATGATCAAGTTTCTACATGAGACATGCAGAGCTAATTTTAATTTACGAAATAAAAGGCATGAAGGTGTTGTTCAAGTCGCTGCTGCTGGAAGCAAAAAGAACGTGAATAAAGATTACCTGGAGGTTTTTGAATATCTAGTTGAAGTAATTAAGTGCGATATCACTGATAATTACGAAGAAACTTTGCTTATGATTGATGATACTAATGTTGTCAAATATCTGGAAAAAATGCTTAAAAAGGCTGGAATTAATGTGAAGAAAAAGGAGCTGGAGGAAAGAAATAAAATAGTGCCGAGGAACTTGACCAAAGAGGAAGAAGAGGTGAAGATGGATGATTTCGGACAACACAATTTTGTACTAGGGAAAATGCTGGAAGAGCCTGAGAGAAAAAGCATGCTCAGTTCAATCATTCCTTCAGAGTCTAAGCTGGAAACTCCTTTTATCAGTGTATTTGAAGGAAATTAAATTTTATAATTTCATTAGTTTAGTAGATATTTTAAATTTATTTCTGGGAAATTCCTAACTTTTTAAAAATGGATCCATTTCCGGCATATACATTTATCATAAATTAAATAGAAATGCAAGGAGATGCAAAGAAAAAGCGGCTTATTCTTAATTGCAAAGAAAAGAAAAAGGAAACGGTTCCATCTTTGCCGTTAAATAGGCTAATTTCAATGAAATCCAACTATTATATTAAGTCAAGCTATCCATCTAAACGAAGCAGTGATGTAATTAATGAGAAAGATGCATACAAATTCAAAAGGACTGGATCAGATTTCAAATTAAATCCTCAACAATCAAGAAAAGAATACATCAAGCAGTTTTTACCGAATTTTCATAGAACTACTTTATCAAGCACTAATAGAGACATATTAAAGAACAGAAATTTAACCTTAAGGGAACTTTACAATCAAGATAAGCTTAGGCCTTATTGCGAACCTAAAGTAGAGTTTGCTTCTCCGAAAATGATGCCTCACTTAAATTATCTAGTCAACTTCTATGAGCAAAAAGCTAGCTTAAAGCTAGGAAAGCTTATCCAGAGTCCTTTATTCGATGAAATTTCAATAAAGTCTGTCCTCTCGTCTCCGGAGTCTGAAAAAGATATTAAAGATCCTGAGCTATCACGAATTGATAGCAATTGCGATGTAACCCATTTTTATGCAGAAACAAAAATGTAAAATATATTTAGAAACCCTGATGACAGTATAAACATCATTATTGGCGCATTAAATGACTCTTAATTTTATTTATTTGTAAATAATTATAGTAATTTACATTAAATAGCCCCATTAGCATAAGAGTTTATTTCATAAGATTGCTTATGGAAAACAGCATAAGTTTAAATGGATGACAAGTCAATTGATTTAAGAGGAAGCCAGATTGAGAAACTGATGGACATAAAGCAAAAAGCCAGTGAAATTAAGCATGCTTAAGAATAGATATAAAATGGTTGGAGATAAATGGCCCGGCCTTTAGTGGGGATGCCCATATGTATACCGAGATGGTATTGGTGCAATGACAGCCCCAGCTATAATCAGTAGCCCTAAAGCAAGTTAGGATCCGTTCATCTGGCTTTGATGCAATATACAGTTTGTTTTTTTTTTTTTAAAGTGCTCAGCCAGTAATGAGGCAAGGCTATATTCCTGCCGAACTGCTTCTGTGTCGCCTAGAAAAGCGAAAGTTGCTGAGCTCTTACTCAGGATGATCGAAAGGAGAGATTTAAGACAAGATGAATGGGGATCTCTCAGCTAAAAGGCCTCCTTATTGGAGATTTGGACTTGGGAACAGACAGGGCATTATAAACTTGGCCGGTCTTGCAAGTTGAAAATGGAGCTGCTTACAAAATCCTTTTGGATCAAAACGAAGAGCTCTGCCAATCTGCAGATAAATGGGATTTTCGACCTGGCTTGTGGCATTTGCTTTATGCCAGCCGCAAGACTTCACGACAGAACGGATAATCGTTATAATTATCGTTATATATAGTTAATTTCTGATCAGAATTAATGATCGGCATACCGCTCAGAACGATCAAACTCACCCTAATATGTCACCGGCTATGTCTCAGCTACTTACGGACTTGCTGTACGGTTCCTATCATACAGATTTCAGATTCTTCTCTCGGTTGTTGCTGGTGGCACGCAGACGGCTTGAGCTAGAGTGCGTAAGTTTGGGACTTGCTCACCACCTGCTCCATTTGAGCCTTCACTGATTATGCTACAACCGCTTTTGTCTTGGCTCTCTTCAGGATGCCAGGCCAGGTACTGAGGTAGGCAAAACCCTTTTAGCAGGGCAAAACCCACCTGCAGAGAGAAAAGTGTGATCAAGTAGAAACTTTAAATACGTTTGCAATTCAAGCATGCTTTAGAAGGAATTAGACTAGACGGAACAATGAAATGGTCAGATATTTTAAGGATATATTCTTTGGCTGCAGCAAATTTACATTATTTACAAGGAAAGCTTACTTCAGCTTTAGATCATATTGTAATAGTGCCTGATTTCAATACACATGAAGATCCTGAATATATTCCTAACATAATCTCGAGTTGACTTCTAGATGAAGTTGACTCAGCTCAAAAGCAAGCCATTCAAGTTTATTCAAATAATGCTCGAATTCCAAATGACGCTGAAGAAATGGCTTATCATTTTAATAGCTTTTGTCATGAGCTTCGAGAAAGATTAAATAGTAAGATAATATAAAATGCATTGACTATATCTACCCGAGATTTATGGACTTAAACAAAATAATCTGTATATAAAATTAATTTAAATACCATAAAAATCTATAAGATTTGAAATCAAACTCACAAAAGCACAGCATATACTCATTAAAGAGTTTAATAGCACCAAGGCAGCTTTGAGTATCTGAATTTCTTACTAATTTCTTAGAATAAATGAACCTAAATATAAATTAATACATCTTTAAATAATGAATACATCAAAAATTAGAGGCCCTCGAACCAAAAGGCTTGTTATGATAACTCCTTCTGATTCTCATTTCTCCAAAGAAGAAGAACTCTTTGCAAGACAAAATTTTAATTATTTCGATATAGAAGGTACATCTGAGATTGATATGGAAGAACTCCCTAGCTTATTGAGAAGAATGGGACTTTCTATGGAAAAAGCCCGTCTTGACAAGTATAGCCCAGGAACCCCTTTAGATACTGAGAACTCCCTGAGTTGGTTCTCCAAAACAAGTTTACGAATAAAACTGGGAGAGTTACTCAACATTATTCCAGCCCAGGACAATCTAAAAGGGTTCCTGGGCTATACTATCGCATGTTCTTTGGGCCTAATCTCGAAACCCTCGAGCAAACAATATCCTGGGATCGTTTCCTTATCCTGTTTAGCATGATAATGAGGAATCAGTTACCCGTAACTCCTATATAGATATTCCGTCTGAAGCTTGTGAACCCAAATAGAGAAGTGGACTATATTAGCTACGCACAAAGAGCTCTAGATGACGCAATCTCGATTTTTACAGAGCTGGATATTAATGAAACTGGAGTTTTGGGTTATGCTGAGTTAAATGATATTTTCAACTGTTTGGGACTGAATGACCCTTATAAGGATAATTTCAAAACGTTTTTGGACAAACAGTTTGAAAAATCTAATAAGAGGCTTGATGAAAAGGTGGATTTTGATGAGTTTGTCGATTTCTATAATAACTTATTAGACTTAATTTACTAAATACGCTTTGGATTTATATCACAGATTAATATATATAAGATTCTTCTGTCGGTTCGTTTTTTCGGGTTTCAAAATTGAATGACTGCTGCCTGCTGAAGAAGCTGGAAGAGAGCCTGGGTTTGACTTGAGTTATTGGCTTTATAGGTTGATATAGCTCATTAATAATTGAATCTCGCACTTTAGCCGTGCTTGGCTCAACTAGCACCGTCTTAATCTTCTTTTTGCTTCTCGAAACTTCTCTTATTGGAGGATTAAGTTTGGATTCTAAAATAGATGGCGACTCGCCTCTAGACTCACTGGAACTTCTGCTAGACTGACGGTTTATATTTAATAGCATTTTTTCTCTACTATTGGCATCATCTATTTCATTCTGGAAAGCACTGTTTTTTACTAAAACATCTTTATAAGTTGGAGATGGTTGGGAGCTTTTTTTATATATAAACTTCCCCTTTAAAAGTTTTTTATTATATTTTTTAGGAGAGCTTGGTGCTGAATCTTGGCTTTCTAATCTTGAATTATTATTTTCCTCTCCAATATTTTCAAAAGATGCATCTAATTTAGGAGAAATATTTGGCTGGGTGTTGTTAAATACAGATCGATTGGGGCTGTTAATACTATTTGTTGATAAATCTAAAGAAATGTTTTCTATCTTTTGTCGGTTTGCCGTATTTCTTAATCTTCGAATTGCATTTGGAGATCTGCCAGTACTAACAGGTTTTATATTTGAAAGTCGGGATAAATACTCTGTATGCTCTAAGTTTGATTTATTCTCTTTAATTGGAGCCGAATTGCTATAAGCTGGAGGTGCTGCTTTGGGCGTAAACTGTTGAACTGGATCTACTATTATCTCCGCTACCTTGCGGTGGTGTTGAAAAGAAGCGGTATTGACTTGGCTTTGATTTTTAGTATAATTAGATTTCAATGCCTTTTGATCGAATTCAACATCTTTATCTTTGATTATATTACTTGGAACTGAGATTTTAGATAGAGTTGAAGACTCCAAGTCTTCTACATGACTTTTGTCTTCAAAAATTTGAGTGTTTGTAAATGATCCATTCTTGTAATCAGAATAAAGCTCTTTTTGGGTAGAGATGAACGCCCTTCTATGGCGAGTATCTTCATAATTCTGACTGAAATTAATATGGGCAGATTGAAAATCTTCTATAGTTGAGGGATGATTGAATATGTCATTATGAGTAATATGATAAGACTGTCTATCAGTGAGCTTCGCTTCATCGTCCTCTTCTTGTTTTACTTCTTTTACTTTATCGACCATATTATCAATCACCATTTTATTTTCTAACTTATCCTTTATACTTATCAATGAATTATATTCAATTTAAAGAGGGTCAACTTTTTTTTAAAAATATTAATATTAAATAATATATAATATATATTAATTTTTAAAAAATAAAAAGAAAATGAATGCAATATTTTTGAGTTTTAATTTATTTTTACGAAGGATTGATTCAAAAATTAATCAATTCTACGTGCCAGCATGTAAATAGCATTCTAATTGCACTCATTTCATTAAACTATATATATAAAATCAATATTTTCACCTATAAATTTTAATTGAAAAATTAAGAGTTTAATCAATTTACTAAAAATATAAATTTTATCGTGTTTTGTTCGAATTTAAAGGGAGTAGTAGTAAGTCTTCTTTGTTATTTTCTCCTTCAATTCAATTTTGTTTTTTATTTGATAAAGGATTTGTTTCTTTAGCATTTATGATTTTAAAAGTTTTCATATTCGGCATATTTTTTATTTTTGTTGTTATAATTTGATACGTTTTTGATTGATTTTCCACCAAAATTTCTTCCTCGTTTTCATGACCTTCGATAGGCTTTTCCTTTTCAATTTCTCGATATGATAAATCTAAAGAAACATTTATTTTATTTTCTCCATTCTTCTTAGATTGAATTCGAGGCATCTGGTTTTTTTTAATAACTCATCTTATTGCAGCACACCAATCATCCCTTATCGAACTGGTTTCTGCATGAAGTACGTATTTCCTGTCAATTGCATAAATGATAAAAGGGAATTTCCAGTCACAACGTTCTACTGATTTTGGATTCTCTTCAAGATCACCAATTTCCTTTAATTTGTAGACCTTATCAGGGTTTGCTTTGGAATGATTTTCCGTGTAATAAAAATTTCCTCTAATCATATCCAGCACAAACCAACGTTTGGTGAATTTTGAAATGAATCATCCTATCTTCCTACCCTTTTTGAGCTTTTTAAAGTAGCTTTGCAATACCATAGGACCCTAGATATATACTTACTTTATAGCTTGAATCCATCTGCCACAATTTGAGAAAAAAAGATTATTACAGATTTCTGATTATTGTAGGATATTTAAGCTATTTCTTATAGAAGCTGTTAGTAATATATAATTAATTAGTGAGAGTATCAGCAAGCGCATTATCAGCATCTAGTAAGAGCCCCCTGCGCACTGTCATCATGAATAACGTAATCTCTGTCAGCTCATATTTTTATAAACATTAAATCAATTACATATTTAATTGCATACTTCATATAAATTATATATTTAAAAGATATGCCCTAATAAGAAAACAGTCCAAAACAATGCAATCTTTATTTATCTTATAACTCGCCCCCCTCCGTGAGTGAACAAAAAATTTTGTTCACTCATGGAGGGGGGCTAATTTTTTTTTTTAATAAATTTTATAGAAAATATTTTTTTTCGAAATTAAAAAAAAATTCCCTAAATTCGCAAAAGTTGGAAAGCAAATATTAATTTCATTTGTAAAATTTTTATGTTTTAAAAAGCAATTTGTTTAAAATTAAATAGAATTAGCTCTAGATTTCATTATACTAATTATCACTTATATATCAAAAAAATTTTCCATAAAAAATTTTTTCTATTAAAAAATTTTTGTTCATTCACGGAGGGTGGGTTTTTGGGATTTTTCTAATGGCTTTGTTCACTCACGGAGGGGGGGAGTAAGTAACAATGGTAAACAAGCTGCTGATATTTCTTTTTCTACTCTTTTGCACCTCTTCTTTCGAGTTCAACTTAGGCCCAAGCTACACACAATGCTTTGGAGAAGACATGAGCACTGGCACACTGTTAGTCGGAGAAGTCTTGATAAAAAACAAACGAGTTGACCAGAAATTCCTTTCTGTTCAAATTATGAATCCCAGCAAAAAACAGATACACACAAGCCAAAATGTGAATCGCTCAATCTTTAGCTTCACAGCCGAAGAAGCAGGAGCTCATAATATTTGCATAACTAACGGAGGAAAAGAAAGTGTCACCATTTCTGTAGACGTGAAAATAGGGATGACATGAAAAAAACCCTAGGGGTTTTTTTCATGTAGTTTTTTTTCTGATGAAAATGACTGAAAAGTAGAATTCCTGGAATTTTCCAGGAAAAAACCCCAACGGTAATTTTCGAAAATTTTGCAAACCATACATGAAAAAACCCCAACTTTGTGTTTTTCCTGGAATTTTCCAGGAAAAAACCCCCATCCTCAAAAAAGTCCATTATCAAATTAAAGGTCATCGTAAGTAGAGATAAAGCCACAAAAATTCAATTGCAAAGACTAATCACATAATCTATTCTAAAATCTTATTATCAATAAGAAATGAATAAAGTAAACAAATAGTATCTAAATTAATACTTGATTTTGACAGTAGTAAATTTTTGATTCTCAAAAAACAGCATGAAAAACCCTAATTAAAAATAAATTATTAATACAATTGCATAAGATAGAGTCCTCAAAAAGAGTGCTAATATAGGAAAATAGATATCTAAAGCAACAATACATCAAATACTTGATTATTAGAATCAAAACTCATAATAAATTACAATTGTTATATTATATTAAAACAAATAAATAGGAAAAAAATTACAGGAAAAAACCCTCATGAAAAATTTAGGTTAAAAAACTACAGGAAAAAACCCCTAGTGACCCAAAAAAATCACAGGAAAAAACCCCAATGGTGGTAAAATCCTGGAAAATTCCAGGAAAAAAACCCCTGACTCCTCCCCCTTTAAATTGGAACAAAATTCAATTTTATAGATAAAAATAATAAATTTTATGTAAAAAGTTTTGATATAAGTTAAATGTTTCTTCTTAACTAAAATTAAAAAATTTAGTTATATCTTGCTCTTGTTTAAAGAAGAGAGCATAAAGCGCATCTTATTTAAATAAATTTATTATCCTTAATTGCTAAATTTTTAAATGCATTTAATTTTCAAAATTTTTTTTAAAAACATTATATTTTTTATTTAAATAATTTTGATATAAATTCAATGCAAATTCTTTACAAAAATTCAATATTTACTTTATTTCTTGCTTTATTTAAGAATAGAGGATAAATAGTTATTTTAAACAAAAATTAGCACTTTGATTAATAAATTTTCTAAAATGGTTTTTATCAATAAAAATAATAATTTTTGTGTAAATAATTTTGATACCGATTAATAGTGGCGTATTAACTAATAATTAAAATTTAGTTATATTTTGCTTCTTTTTAATGGTTAATGAGTAAATAGCATTTTATTAAACAAATTTATTAATATAATTTGATAAATTTTTGAAATGTTTTTTAAATGTTTATATAAAATGTTTTTAACTCCCCTTTAAATTGGAACAAAATTTTTTGTTCCAATTTAAAATTATAAAAAGCTCATTTGAAAAATAATAATTTAAAAAACCCCTTCACGAAAAGTTTAAGACATCTAGCACCATTTATATATAAAGTATTAAAACGCAATAAAAGCATATGAAATAAAATGAGATCTATGATTACACTATGATACCATTTATCCTATTTACTATTTTAACTATTTCTCACATATTGTATCTACCTGCAGCACATCTTGCACTAGCTAACCTTGTATCATCATGTATTTGCCAGCTCACCTTGTACCACCTATGACATATCTGAACTAGATCATCTTGCATCAACCTGCAACACATCTTGCATGGCTTGAAAGCATATTTTGATCTCTATGAAACAATACCTGAAGAAGTACAGTAGCTACTGAAAAGTCAAAATGGAAATAATGGCATTTTTATGACAAGTACAGATTTGTCTTGACAAATATTTTTAGTAGGCACCGTTTGTTTAGCCAAACGTTAGTTTACAATGAAAATAGTCTTTGCCATTTCAGTTTTTTAATGATATAGCTACTTTTACTCTTTGGTATTGTTCAATAAATATTAATATTAATCCCTTGAACTTTAGCAGCTAATATTGTATCCACCTGTGACATATCCTGCAGTACACTCACTCTGTACTAGCTAATTTTGTATCAACCTTTGAGAAATCTGTTCTAGCCCACCTTGTATCAACCTGCAGCTAGGTTTAAGAGTTAATATGATCAAGGTGCAACAATTCCTAAAGAGTAAAAGTAGCGATCTAAAGAGATAAACTTAAAATGGATCTATTTGTCAAACCAAATCTGTACTTGTAATAAAGCTGGAATTTATCAATTCTATCTGACATATCAGATCGCTACATACCTCTTGAGGTATTTGTTTTGAAGCTTTGCACCCGATAATAGCTTACCTTGCATCACCTGTGATTAATCCTTAACTCGCTCATTTATCAATCTATAGCACATCTTGCATTATATAGCACTATATAGCTCACTTTGCACCACCTGTGGCACTTCCTGTATTAGCTCAGCTTGTGCTACCTGTAGCAGATCTTGCACTAGCTCACCATGCATATATATATGGGACATATCCTGCACTTCATGATATACTCTTGATAAATAAGCATTTTCATGTGCTAGATGTCTTACCCTTTTTGTAAAGGGGTTTTTTAAATTATTATTTTTCAAATGAGCTTTTTATAATTTTCTCAGGGGTTTTTTCCTGGAATTTTCCAGGATTTTACCACCATTGGGGTTTTTTTCCTGTAATTTTTTGGGTCACTAGGGGTTTTTTCCTGTAGTTTTTTAACCTAAATTTTTCATGAGGGTTTTTTCCTGTAATTTTTTTCCTATTTATTTGTTTTTAATATAATATAACAATTGTAATTTATTATGAGTTTTGATTCTAATAATCAAGTATTTGATGTATTGTTGCTTTAGATATCTATTTTCCTATATTAGCACTCTTTTTGAGGACTCTATCTTATGCAATTGTATTATAATTTATTTTTTTAAATTAGGGTTTTTCATGCTGTTTTTGAGAATCAAAAATTTACTACTGTCAAAATCAAGTATTAATTTAGATACTATTTGTTTACTTTATTCATTTCTTATTGATAATAAGATTTTAGAATAGATTATGTGATTAGTCTTTGCAGTTGAATTTTTGTGGCTTTATCTCTACTTACGATGACCTTAATTTGATAATGGACTTTTTTGAGGATGGGGGTTTTTTCCTGGAAAATTCCAGGAAAAACACAAAGTTGGGTTTTTTCATGTATGGTTTGCAAAATTTTCGAAAATTACCGTTGGGGTTTTTTCCTGGAAAATTCCAGGAATTCTACTTTTCAGTCATTTTCATCAGAAAAAAAAACTACATGAAAAAAACCCCTAGGGTTTTTTCAGCTCAACCCGTGAAAATAGGAATTGCTGCCAAGGATTACACAAATATCGCATCAACCAAAGAATTGAAAGAAACAGAGCTAATGGTGGTTAAAGTATCAGAAACAAGCACACAGATTCATAAAGAGCTGCAATATATAAGGGAAAGAGAAGAGCAGATGAGGAATACAAATGAAACAATTTATTCAAGGGTGATAAGCTATTCAATTGTGACGCTTGTATTCTTGGCTGCTATTGCAATTGTGCAGATCCTTTATTTAAAGAAGTTTTTTAAATCTAAGAAAATGATTTAATAAATTTCCCATGCATTTTAGTAGTGCTTAATATTAGTCATGTAGATAAATTTATCAAAAAATATTATACCTTTGCAATTTGCCATTTTCAGTAGCCAGCTTTTCAGTCAGCATTTTGTCGTAAATTATCAATTAATTTAACTAATTTTGAATGAAAGTTTCACTTCTGGGAAAGCCATCAAATAGTGTGCCCAAATTGAGCAGTATTACTCCTTTACCTCATAGAGAAGCATCACCAATGAACCATTTTAGAGATAGCTCCTTTCATGCGTCCAAAGCTTATCTCGAAATGAGATTTAATCCATCATTAAAGAATGATTTAAGTCATTCTCCCCGCAAGAAGTTATATTACAAGATCCACCATGAGAGCTCTGGCAGTAATAGCCCAAAAAATAAATCAAGATCTCCCCCACGAAAAATCATTGCTGGAAACGGTAAAAACCCACATTTAATTAAACAAGCTCTGATACAGAAATCAGAAGAAAATATATTACATCAAATTCACAATTTGAATGAAAACCCAAAATTGGGAAATCTAAAGAATATGTATCATAAACAAAATGAGTTTTATCGTAAATCCCTTCATAAAAGAGTAAAATACCTCAAACACTTGCAAAGCAAAGCAATTGAAGTAATCCATAAATATGTAGATGATGTAATTGAACAAGAAAAACTATTGCACTCACTAGAAAAGGTTTAATTTAGAAAAACTTTTAATTATCATTGTATCTTTTTCTCTTCATTTCTGAAAGTCTACTTTTTTCTCTCTCTTTTGCGAGATCGAGAAAATCTTTCTTCCCAAGGTATCCATCTTTTCTATTTTTCGCCAAATCGTCTTCGAGATTATTCTGTTCTTTATATTTCTCTCAGTCAAGTTTGGACTTGCTTACCGATGTTATGGATTTCTTTTTAGTAAGCTCGGAAGCAAGCTGGTCTAAGCTTGCCCGACCTCGTTTTATTGGAAGAACTCCTAGGTTTTCTCCTGCAAATTTAGCTTTAATTGTTTGCATTTGCGGAGCTGATTCTGACTCTTTGATTTTTTGCGCAATTTTCAAGGCTTCTTCTAAGCTGTTTTCTTTGGGTTTTTCGATTTTTTGTGTGCTTACCTCTTGCTTAATTTGTTCTAGCTCAGCCTTAGCTTTATCAAGGTCTCTTGACTCAGCTTTTTCTTGTTTTTCGTCTTCTTTTTGATCAGGTTCGTAGTCTGAATCGCTTTCATCACTTGGCAAATCATTTAGAAGCATTTTTATTAATTTATTTATCTTAATCTATTAGGGCTAAGCAGTATCCTTCCAGATCCGGCACGTATTGTCTTTTGACCCTGTTATAATAGTGTCCCCTTCATAATTAAAGGCGCATGAAAATATTTCATCAGTGTGTCCTTCTAGAGTTTGTAAGCATTCTCCACTTTCTGAGTCCCAAATTCTGCAAGTCCTATCATTACTTGCTGTGATTATTTTCGTTCCTTGTGGGTTAAATGAAACTTTTGAAATTTCCCCTTCATGCCCAACTAAGATTCCTACACATGCGTTTGTCAATACATTATACACTCTCGCATAGGTGTCAGCTGATGCAGTTATAAGCTTTGTTCCGGTTGAATTAAACGCCACATCTAGCACCTCATTTGTATGACCTCTAAGGGTTTCGATGCATTTTCCACTTCCCACATCCCACAATTTGCATGTATGATCAATAGACCCAGATGCTACAAAATCTCCAGAAAAATCAAACTGTGCATTAGAAATTTCTCCTGCATGACCTTCAAGGACTCTAATGCATAGTCCAGTTCTTGTGTCCCAAATTCTCGAAGAGAAATCGAAAGACCCAGTAAGCACTTTGTCTCCATCAGTATTAAACATAATACTCACGATTTCTCCAGTGTGTCCTGCAAATGAGCAGACTTGCTGCCCAGTTTCTACATCCCAAACAGAAGCTGTTTGGTCCATAGACCCAGTGGCAAATAAAAATCCATTCGTATCGAAGTTAAGGCAAACGATTTCCTTTTGGTGGCCTCTCAGCGTATATAAGCATTCTCCTGTATTTGTGTCTCATAGCTTGGCAGTCCTGTCAAAAGATCCAGTTGCCACTCGATCTCCATAAGGATTATTGAAAGCTATTGCATATACAACGTTTTTGTGGCCTTCTAAACTATGAAGCTCTTGACCTGTTGTAGTGTCCCAGACTTTGCAAGTTCTATCATATGAGCCTGTTATGAATTTGTCACCGGATTTATTGAATGCACAATTTGTTAGAGGAAGAATGTGAGCTTTTAGAGTTTTAAAAAGCTCGAAACGCTGGCTTTTGTTCGTTTGCAATTTTTCCATTAGCTTTATTATCAGCTTCCTTAGCTGAGGTTTTCTAGATTGGGAAATTGCAGGCTCTTCAAGAAGGATTTGGTCAACTAATGCATCTACATCAGTTTGTGGGGTTAAATTCAGCAGGTCGATATATTTGCTTTCTCCTTGGCCATTCGATCGAATGTATTCAAGGATAATTCCGGGAGGATAATACCTCAATAAGAATTTCTTAAGCTTCATATTTTAATAATTCAAAAAAATGCCACTTTCAACAATTTTAAGAAAATTCATAACACTGATTGGCAGAGATAATTTACTATTTTTGCTTCCAAATATGCATAAATAATGTTAAAAGAATAGCAATATCTTAATATCTAAAACTCAACCTATTCACTTTTAATGATTTATTTAACAATTAAAGACAACTATAATTGTTTATTCCTTGTTATAATAATAAAATGGCTCAGTGCGGAATTAGTTCTCTCTCGAGAAACTATTCCTTCCTTCGCTTTTATTATTATAGGGTTCAGTTTTCCACGTGGGTCTTTATCCGCAATACCAATATGGAATGCCGCATAGGGTATTTCTTTGGTCCAGGAAATTAGGAGCACCTGGTTTTGCTGCTTGACACACACCCGAGAGGGTGACCCTTAGGCGGAACATTACATTACATTAGAATTTATATCGCTTAACGTCCACTACGGGGTTACAACTCCAGGTTTATCACTCGCCTTTCGTCGCATCGGGCCCACCAGTCTGCTGGAGACAAACTTGCTTCGATCACCAGGGTGCTTCTAGGGCAAATGTCCACGTCTTCGACGGCTCATGGATGAGCTACTTGCTTGTACATGGGTTTTGCTTTTCCGAAAAACCCAAAAAATGGATTTTTCTGGTCAGCTATCGGCAAAAAGGAAAAATGCAAAGCCTGGGACGTAACGCCCAGTTTCACGCTAGGGAGTTGCCCGAATGGTCCAGAGGACTTTGCTGGGCTTCCCCTTTCCAACCTTGCACCCTCCTTCCCCACGAGGAAAAATCCACCCCTGAGAATAGACTAGGGCTAGGCTCTGAAAGCTACCAGAATTGCTTACCTAGCATTGCTGTCCATCTCTGAAATGGTAAAACCTTGCCGGATATAATTAAAATATGAGTCGAGGCTGCATGGCCGGGAGAGGCCATGCCCCAGACGAAGACGCCATATTTTAATTATGACCCTTAGGCGGAACACGCGCAGATGTCAAGTTCGGGCGAGGCCAACGCGGCCAGTGCGGACCTTCTGGCCTGACAAGTGAAGTCTTCTGGAATGCCTACATATAGGGAGGATTGCTGCTGACGTCACTAGTTGGGATTTAAAAGGGTGGGCTATGCATGCCTAAATCACCCTGCGGAAGAGGGAAGACACTTTAAACACCTAAGTAAGTAAGTAAGTTTATTCCTTGTCTTTTTCCAGATGGCTGATTTATTAGCAGATGCGAAAGCCTGATAATTATTACTTGCATTTTAATTACTAGCTTTTTAGATTTTTATTTTAAAATAATAAAGTTATTAGTTGCTATAATAACTATTTCCCCTTTTAAATGGGAGCAAAACTTTTATTTTTAACTTCTCATCTCTATGCTAATAGTTTTGATACCAATTTAATGCTTCAAATCGTAAATTTGCTTTCTTAAAAATGAGGCATATCTAAACAAAATTTTGCTCTTCGAATCCCCTATGAAAATGAAAAAAAATTGAAAGTTATTTATTAAATTGGAATAGAGTTTTTGGTTTCAATAGAGGAAGTAAAATTAAAATGAAAAGGCGGGCTGAGTTTCAATTAGAGCCTGATATAGAAACACTTCCACAATACACAGAAGATACTTTAAGAGATGAAGAAAAAGATCAGGATAAAGAAAGAAAAATTTATAAAGTTATACGTCCTTCCTTAGGAGAAAATTCGATTTTAAGTTCAGACTACAAGCCAGTCTTTAAGCCTGAAAATTCTAAAGAAGAACCTAAGAAACCTATTAATCCGTTTGAAAGTGCAATAAATAAGCCGAATCCTTTTGCTTCTTTAGCAAACTTGCCAAATCCTTTTTTGACTAAAGCCACTGATATTAAAAATTCAGATGCACGAAAAGAAACTCCAACCAAGCTTGTCAAGTCCTCATGCTTTGAATCACTAATTGGAGAAATCTCAAAAGAAAAAACTGAAGAACTGCTACGAAGCTTAGTGGCTGAAGAAAATATTACTCCGAGAAGAATCTTGCCAAGCAATGAAATGAAATACGAAAAGAAAATTAATTTTGACTGCAAATTTAAAGTTGGAGATAAAAAGAAAGGTGATGGCGTCGGAGAAATCCTCCACAGTAAATCAAATGATAAAGATATAATCCTTTTTGTCTTTAGAAACTGCATTAAAAAGATTTTGTTTACTGGACAGTTTGAAAAAGGTAGTCCTTGAGTTAAAGAAAAAGGCAAGAAAGAAGGAAAAGAATTGATTAAAATTGATTTAATGCAAATACCAGAAAAAACTAAAGTGAATTGTGAAATTATTGTCGATCAAGAAGGCTTCACAGATATAGATGAAAAATTAAAAGATATGATGAAGATGCTAATATAATTTGAAAATTCTAAGTCCGCCCATCTTCCATTAGTAATTTCCAAAAAAAATTATTATATAAAAACAAATTTTGAATTTAAAAAAATTCAAATCGAAACTAACAATCTAATATATAAAATTGATTGTTTAATTAAAATGTAATATTACTCATTACTATAATTATCAATTAAATAGCAAATTTTTTTTATTTACTTATAAAATTTTTCCCTAAAATACAAATTTTCCGGTAGTCTGCAAGGTAGAGTAAGAAAAATTTTATTGATTATATAAGCTAATAGGTTAAGAATCGATATAATATATTCTTTACTATACAACCTAGAGCTATTCAATGAAGCATCGCCATAATATAAATTTAATATGAAATCATGAGGTTAATCCAATTAAGCCTATATATAGGTTATGAGCTATCTTATTCATATAATAGTGAGTAGTATTGAACAATTATTATTTTATTTAACATTAATCTTCAAATTGTTTAAGAGGCTCAGAAATTCCTTCACTGACACTCTTCAGAAGCGTATTTTTTAACCTCTTTTTGTCTCTTGGATTCAAAATTTGTTGAGTGGCTGTCAACTTCTTCATGAAATCCAAAGCCTTGGCAGTCTCTTTAGGTATTAAAATCCAATTGAAGAAACTTTTCATTAATTCAAAATTTGTATCTAGAGACTTCTCAACTTCTTGCTCAAGAATAGATTTAGCTTGGAACGAAATTCTTATCATAGCTTCTTTAAATTCATCAAGATTCAGCTCTAAAACACTTTCTTTATGCTTGGTCAAATATCTGTATATTTTAATAGCTTCATCATTCGACAAAAGTATTGGACATATATTAAACTGCCCCACGAATTTATTAAACCCTGCTAATGGCAACGTTTCCACCGAGCTTGCCGCTTTGCAATAATAATTAAAGAGTACTTCTAGCCCTCCTGCATACTCTGAGAATAAGTTTTGGACTTCTTCGTCAACAATTGCAAGAGATATTTTTTCATTGATTTTCCTTTCTTCTTCCCTTTTAGCTCTCCCATCTTCAAGTGCTATTTTTGAGAGCCTTCTTTGCGCCTCTTTTCTCACAATGTTTTCTTTTACTTTGTTTTCTTCTATTACAACTAAATTCTTCTTTTCTTCTTTCTTTTTATCAAACACTTCAGTGAGCCTTTTATTGATCACTTTTAAGAACTCTTCCCTTTCTTTTTTCTTTTTTTCCTCAATAGATAATTTAGCTTGGATTTCTTCTTGTCGCTTTTTGGCTTCCTCTTCGTCTTTTTTTGAGTGGAATTCTTTGATTTTTTTATCAATTTCAGCTTTTTCCTTTTCTTTTTGTTCCTTTTCTCGCTTTTTTCGCTGGCGAGTGAGTTCTTCTTCTCTTCGTTTGGCTTCCTCTTCTTCTTTCTGTTTCATTTCTTTTTCCATTCTTTCTCTTCTGAGTTGTTCTTCCAATATTTGCTTTCTTTGTTTCCTCTTAGCTTCAGCTTTTTCTTGCTCTGTTTTAGCTTGGCTAACTTCATACTCTCGCTGTTCAGTGATTCTATTGGGAACTGAACCAGCTGCTTTAGGATTTCTGCTAATTAATATTGGGTTATTGCTATCGACAGTATATACTAAATCATCAAGAACTCTTGCACATTCTAAGAGTAAATCATTTGAATAGTATGGAGATAGCTTGTTTAAAGTTATTTTTATCCCTGGAGTCAGCTTTAGATATGCAGGCAATGGGAGAGCTTTATAAGCTGCCTTATGGGCTGGAACTCCTAATGATGGCGATTTTTCCTGAATTTGTGGCTTTGTTAAAACTCCACGTGCTCTTGTATAAGTTTCAATTTTTATAACAGGCTGAAGAAAATGTGTATTTAAATAATCAAAAATAATGGAGTCCACAATTTCTGCGCATATCTTCTGACTTTCAGGAAGGCCCAATTCAGAAGGAACTTCATACAATATTTTAAGCTCTTTGTCCTTGACTTTTTTGTAACCTTCAGGGATTTCTGTGCTTGGATCTTTTAAAAGTAAATCATTTAGCATTGCAACTACTTCTCTGTCTCCGGCTCCTGGATCAGGCTCCTCATAAAGGTATTTAGGGACAGCAACACCTGCTGAGGAATTTTTCATGTGCTCATATAACGCATTCATGCAGATAGCAGCAGGAAATTGAGATAAAGTATTTGGGAATTTACTATAAATTATCAGTGAAAGCTGGTACATAAATTGCATAAAATTGTCAAAATCCATAACTGTTCCATTGGCGTGAATTATCATGGCATAGAGTCTTTTAATGTCTTCAGTAGAAATCATTGAATTTGTTATGCCTTGCTCTCTAAGCAGCTTAGTTACTTGGCCTTCACTTCCCCCTTTAAATTCGAACAAAATATAGGGAATATTTCCAATTTTTAGGTACTTTAACCCCTTTAAATTGGAACTTTTTTTTTACAATAAAATTAGTTTTGACCTAATTTTATAGAAAAAATGTAAATAGAATATTATTCAAACAATTTTCACACTAATCGATTAATTTGAATTTATTCTTCGTAAAATAGACTAAATTCAAAAATATTGGGTTCAGTTTATAATTTTTTAATTTTTAAAAATTAACAATTTTTTCCAATCAAAAATTAACCCATAAAATTTGGAACAGGATTTTCTATTCCAATTTAAAGGGGAGAAAGTCAGTCATTAGGCCAACTCTTTTATTTATACTGTCAAAGGTTTCTTTTTCCAAAACATCAGGCTTAATTACTGTCCCAGCATATTTGTTATACAGTAGCTTTGACACTCTTGTGTATTTTTTCATGATAATATTTATCATTTCTTGCTCATCTTCAGTTTCCTCATTGACAGGCTTAATAGATATTTCATTTGCTAATATAATTGGTTCTTTAATGAATACTGGCTGGTCATCATTTTTTCCTTCAACGCCTAAAGCAATTCTTCTTTTTTCAATTTGATTTCTCAGTGCTCTCTTTTTCCTTTCATCATCTCTTTTTCTTTGCTCTGACTGAGCTCTTTCCTTGGCTTCTTTTTCAACTCTTTTTTGCTTTAGTTTTGCAATGTCGCTGAGGACTCTTCCTCGAGGAATATTGGAGATGGTTGTCATTGTCCCTTTATTTATATCAGACACAGTATCAGCTGCTGATCTTGAAATTAAAGAGCTCGGATAATTTCTTCCAGAATCCGACACAGGTACAATTGACCTTTGAGAAGTTTCATAAGACTCAATAAAATAAGCTGGATCTCCAATGATTTCTAATAGCCCCATGATCCCTCTCATATTTAATCCTGTTACTCTTTTGACTTCGCCATTAGCAAAAACTAAAATATCTTTAACCAGAGAATTCATGTCTGAGTTTCCAATCCTCAATATTTTTTCAATAAGCCCGAGTATCAAATTTTTCATGTGTCTGAAACTCCTGTCATCTTCTATTTCATCTTTTGTAGGTGATTCTCTTCCGCTTTCAGTTTTTTCTTTCATTTTTGTGTATAGAAGCTTTAAGCCTAAATTGAAAAATTTAGTTAGATATTCCTGCATAGGGTTGGAGTCTATAAATCGGCCAGCCATTAGCATAAATGGAATTTCAGCTGCTTTTGCGAAAGCGACATCATTTAAATAAATGCGGCCTAGAACATCAATAGCTAGAACTGCATGCTTCAAAGTTAGCATAGGATGCCTTGCACATGCTATGTAGTAGTCGAAGTCAGTTGTATTGTATTTTGGCCTTGCAAGTACTTGGAATTGCTTAGATACTGGCTCCATTAAGATTCCAATCGGAAGACTTTGAATTTCTTCGAAAATCACTATAAAATTTGAAAGCATAAATTCTCTGAGCCTGTCAAAAGAATAATTTTCGACAAGAGAGAAAGTAAGCTAAGTTTTAAAGGGCATAAATGGATAGACCAATAGCGTGCCTAACCACCTAAACTAAGGATTAGCCCCTTTAGATTAGAGCCATCACTTGCAAACGCCTATTAGTCCTAATAAGCAAAGACTAAGTGGGAGGCAAACCTGTCTAACCCATCTTGTAGTGATAGGAAAAACCTTCGGAGAGAAACAAATTTCCCTCTTCAACAGTTATCCCTAAGCCCGAAGGCATAATTAGAGGCACTATTTTAAGCTTCATCGGGATGGGTCCTACCTGTTCTATAGTGCTCCATAGTGAGCCTTCTTCCATCAATTTAACTATTTTATTTCTAGAGAAAGTAAGGGTTTTGTATATAATTGGAGCATACGAGTTTCTACAAGCAGAAAAACTAGAAAGCAAAGCAAAAAGTCTTCCAAAACAAAAAATTTTTAATCCTCTTGATTTTTCTCTGCATGCTCGTTTTAGTATTGTCAAAATTGAATTTGCAGTTTCTTCATTATTTTCAATATAGACAGGAAACATGCACCAGATATCACATATAAAAGCTAAAGCACTCAGTCTTTTAGGAGAAACCTTATCAGGGTCTGCTTCAGATTCCCTTAATCCAACTTCAACCCAATATTTTACCAGCCCTTGGATTTCGAGCTGCGCTATCAATTCCATATCACTTATCATGTATGGCAGCAAGGCTAGCAAACTATTAAAATATTTCGCCATTTCTCCATAATACTGCTGCAATTTTTCCCCAAAAAACTCTATTAGTCTATATCTTCCATACTCCACAAAAATATCAGCCACATAATTCGTCAGTTCCACTTTAAAGAAATCAAGGCCTTTTAAAATCTGAGTATAAGGATCTTGAAGAAACCAGCCCACTATTTGGTCTTCTTCATTTCTCAAGTAAGTTTTTATTCTCTCCAAAAACTTGCAGCACTGCTTCACAACTCCCACATCTTTGCTTTGCAAGCCTGGCTTAATAGAGTCCATGACTAGAGTCAAAGCTCCAGTTTCTATTTCTTTTTCAATAAGCCTTGCTAAAATATCAGCGCTTTCAGTTAATTTTTCATATCAGCTTATCACAGGATAAAACTGTCCTCTCAGTCCTTTTACTAGCACTTGGTTCAAAAATTTTCCATTTTGTGTCAATAGTCCCGCACTTTGCTTGATTGTTAGTTGGAAACTCTGACAAAGTGATAATATTAAAAATTCCAAAGAACTCTGTGCTTCATCTAAAGGACACTCCACTTCTACGTTATCCAACAATAAAGCTCCGTCCGGGCTTATTTTTGGTTTGAATTTTTTCTTTTTCGCAATGATTTGTGACGAGTCTTTGCTCATCACCCTCTGTTCGGTCTCATACAGGCTCTTTAGCACTTCAGTTACCATGGCTCGATCTCCAGCAACGATAAGTGCTTTCATATCTGAATCAATTGTAACTCCAACAGTTTCAAGAGCCCTGATTAAAACATTTCAGTTGTATAGCTTAGCTGCTGCGGAGCTTGTGTCCTTTAATGAATTTATTTCAGGCATTGGCGTTGCTTCTCTTTCTAACTTATTAAGAACTTTATTGAGTCGTTTAATTAACGGGACAAATCTAAGTCCAGATTCAAACGCCTGTGCATCTAATTCGTGAATATAAATCTGTCCGTCTGATTCTATAGGGTTTTGTTTTAGGACATTGAACTGTTGAAGTCATGTATAAAGAGCCTCAGTTACTTCCATATTATGAATTAAAGTTCTTAAATGAAATTAAGGTTTTTGCTGCTGCTAAGACTACTAGAGAGCTTAATTCATCTAAATCGTGATGGCCTTCAACTTTACCGTATGCTTCTATTTGCAAATCTTCTTCCAGACGGGAGCATTTTAAGGAATTTTCAATAGATAAAAGATAATTGCCATTTTTGCCAATTGCAGCAGCAGTTGCTCAGGGCGACAGCAACAAAAAAAAAACTTAGGGCTTCCGAAAGAAAAAAGGTGGCCCTGAGGGCCCACGAGGTCGCGGTGGCAATTTTCCGGGTGGCTAGAGAGTGTGGGCTTGGGCTGACAGGGCCTCCCCAATCCAAAGACAAGAAGATCGGCGACGCAACATCAATCGAGCACTTCTGGAGGAGCATTATGCTATCTGCAAATGGCAGAGGTAGTTCCAGAAGGAGGCTTTGGACAATTCTCTCGTACCCTGGGCACTACCAGGTTTAAGAGAGTCCTTTGCCGAAAATTCTGGTCCAAGCAGATGCGGGTGAGTCTCCCCGAAAGATATCGACGTCACGACGAAAAATGGTGACGTCGACAGAAAAGGGCGATAGGTAGCTTTAGTGCTTAGCGCAACAGGAGCGTGAAGCTGAAGATCGACTGGATCAAGGGCTGAAATAAAACCCCGTTTTAACCCTCTCTAATTTAATTCTCTCTCAATAGATAAAAACCCATCTAACAAAGACAAGCCAACACTAGTAGATTTTGCTATTGTGGTGGCTGCTTCTAAAGCAACAATTTCAAAGCTGTCTAAGGTTTCTATGTGTTTTTGCAGGTTATCAAAGGACTCTTTAGAAATTTGTGGGGTAGAAAATCCTGAGCAGGTAGAGAGCTCAATGCCGTATTTTTCTTTTACGTGATTAATCACTGGGGTGAAAAGTTTGGTTTGACGGTCTGATTTTTCTTGCTCGTCTTCTCGATAACTAAATTAATAATACTTGCCATATACTGTCATTTTGTAAAAATTGATGGATTCGTTCTGTTAGTTGTGGACGAATGCCTGTATGTGAAAGATCAATTGCGGTGGCTGAGAGCTGGAACTAAATAGAAAGTACCAAAGGCATAGATGAAGTTCTTATGAATTTGTCCTGGACTTGCCATTCTGTTGCTACTCCTAAGGCTAGTATTTCAGTGGGCAGAATTACATTATTTCTTTCAGGTGTTTTTATTCCTCGGCCATCAAGCAGGACTTGAAAACCTTTTTCGGTCTCTTTGACTCCTGCATGCTTACAACCCCTCCTTGAGCGAGCAAAACTATTGGAAAAAATCCCTATTTTTTTCCAAAAGCACACCCAACGAACAAAAAATTTTATGAAAAAATTGATATATAAGTGATAATTAGTATAATGAAATCTTCTGCTAATTCTGTTTAATTTTAACATAAAATTTTACAAATTAAATAAATATTTGCTTTCGAATTTTGCGAATTGGGATTTTAAAAAAAAAATCAGCATGAGCGAACAAAAAATTTTTGGTTCGCTCACAGAGTTATAGAATTTTTGCATGTAATCTCCTGTTTTTAAGTTTGGCATGCTTACAAAAGACCTGAAAATTCTTCTCATTTCTATGATCTCAAGTATTTAATACCTTTAGAACAATTTTTGCTTTTATGTCCTGACATTTTATATTTAATATATTCAGAAAAAAAAATTATTTATAATTATATCAACATGTTGTAATAATATCCAGCTCGTTATATTAAATAAATTAAAAATGAAAATCCTGATAAAGCATTTAGGCTTAATTATTACGAATTGCTTTTATTTATGTTCTATTTCCACTTTAAACTCATATAAGCTCTTGATTGGATTTTCACTTCAAAAGCTGCTATTCCAAAACCCTATTATCGCTGATTCTCCAATATTTTGAATGAGAACTTATTAAATTTCCCACACGTCACCATTTTCATGTTTTCAGCTTTTGCAAATGAGCGGCTTGTAAAAATTAATGGCTAGCCCTGACGAAGTGACAGTCTCAAGTACCCAAGGCTTTGGCAGACAAGTATCTCAAGTAGCCACTCTTCTGGAGACAAAGAGACAAGCAAAAATCACAGCAATCAATTTAGCCATTCCTCATGCAGTGAATTTGGTCGAGCTCATCAAGCACAAAGTTAAAGGAATCCACCAAGTTAACTCATTTGAAAGAGTCCCTAACACCAACAAGACAAGAGTGGTCTTTTTATTAAGCCTAGATGCTTTGGATCAAACTAGCAAAGGATATCAAGCCCCTATTCCTGAAAGCCAAGTTGAATCCAAAAGGGTGAGGTTAATTAAAGTACACTGTACTTTTTAAACCCCTCCGAAAAAACCTACAAAAATGACTGTGTACTTTAAAAATGGTCGTTTAGTGTGAAAAAAGTACAAACGGTACTTTTCGATTTTTTAAAAACAGGGGGTGAAAAAAGTAAACGGTGAAAAAAAAAGCCAAAACAGAGGAAAAAAGTACATATATAAAAATCAATATTCTATCAAGATTAAGTAAATTTAAGCAAAGAAAGGCCAAGGTTAAATTGGATAATAAACAGCCTATATTGCATTATAATAAATACTAAACAATATTGCTGGAAAGAATGCAAGAGCTGCATGATAAACAATAAAAAATATTTGGCTCTCAAAATAAGAGGAAAAAAGTACGCTGCAAAATATAAAATGATTAAAGTGACGTAGAATAATCTAATATAAAAGACTAATAATAAACACAGGAAATTCCCTTAGAAAGTTCAACTTAATTTGTTAAATAAAAGACCAAAAGTTACAAAGAAATATAAGAAAAGTGATTATGGAGAAAATTTTAAAAAATGGATGAAAAAAGTACATTTTTTTTTTCATATGTGCAAAAAGAGTGAAAAAGTACTCATAAAAAAAAGTACTTTTTTCATCCATTTTTTAAAATTTTCTCCATAATCACTTTTCTTATATTTCTTTGTAACTTTTGGTCTTTTATTTAACAAATTAAGTTGAACTTTCTAAGGGAATTTCCTGTGTTTATTATTAGTCTTTTATATTAGATTATTCTACGTCACTTTAATCATTTTATATTTTGCAGCGTACTTTTTTCCTCTTATTTTGAGAGCCAAATATTTTTTATTGTTTATCATGCAGCTCTTGCATTCTTTCCAGCAATATTGTTTAGTATTTATTATAATGCAATATAGGCTGTTTATTATCCAATTTAACCTTGGCCTTTCTTTGCTTAAATTTACTTAATCTTGATAGAATATTGATTTTTATATGTACTTTTTTCCTCTGTTTTTGGCTTTTTTTTTCACCGTTTACTTTTTTCACCCCCCTGTTTTTAAAAAATCGAAAAGTACCGTTTGTACTTTTTTCACACTAAACGACCATTTTTAAAGTACACAGTCATTTTTGTAGGTTTTCGGAGGGGGTTTAAAAAAGTACAGTGTACTTTAATTAACCTCACCAATCCAAAAGCTGGGATGAACTAAAAAATCCACCTGCAAGGCGGGCTTTTGATGAAACAAAAAGAGAAGAAACAGCTAGAAAGCCTGAGCAGTATCATAGAGAAGAGCATAAACAGAGTCAGCCTTGAAAAGATAGATCTCATGAAGCTAAAACAAAAGAAGGAGAAGAAGAAACAAAAAGACCAAGCACTAGAACTCGTGGCTCAACGGAAAGGTATGAAAGAGGGTCGTCTAGAGGTTTCAGAAGTTCCAGAGGAAGAGGTACCAGGGGAGCAAGAGGCAGCAGAGGAAGAGGCGGCTATCAAAATGAAAGAAGAGCCCCTCCGGAACAAGGAAAATATATCAGAGAAAGGCCTCATGAAGAAACAAAGAGAGAAGATAATGAAATTTTCGTAAACACTATGGGCAACCCAAGCTTCTTCTTAAAGCAAGCTTTATTACTTCTCAAGAAAGATGGAAAGAGAACCGTTGTAATTAAAGCTAGTGGAGGAGCAATTCCAAAAGCAGTCAAAGTTGCTGAGGATGTTAAAAGATATGAATTAGGACTACACCAGATAAATAACTTCAGCAAGAGAAAAGTCCAGGTTCTATATCGTGCTCAAGAAGAAGGACTAGAAGACAAAACTATCGAAAGAGAATTAGAAGGACTTGAAATCACTCTTACTCCCGAAAAAAAATTTTGATCACTCTTAAATAAGCAGATTTTTAATTTAAACGTGGCTTAATTATATAGATATTCCAATTTGAAAGAAACCTAATCTATTTTTATAAATCCATTTTTTTACAAAGTATATTTATATTAAAAATTTTTATCTTTTTTTAATGGAGATTGTTTCCTAAATAAGAAATTTTCCAACATTTTGTTTTTGCTCTTAAAAATGAAGGAGTTAGCAAAGACGAGCAAGATAAGACTCATCCAGGATATCAGGCTCCCCTCCCTGCAAATCAGGTCAAGAGCATTTCGATCGAAGAAGTAGAAAAATTAAGATAAGTCCCGCTTCGACTTAAATAAACTAGAAACTATAAATTCAAATAAATTCCTGGCAGTGTATAAATATAATAGGAATAAGTATTATTATTAGAGTTAAAATAAGAATAGAATTCTCCTGCTTATGTTTTATAGAAAAAGCAAAGTTGATTGTGAATCCAATAAATTTTATGAATTAAATAAAAATGAATGGTGTCTGATTAAAATACACTAATATGGTCTAACTAAAATTAGCAATTATCACAAAGTTAATTAATGTCCTGCAAATACGCGATAGCCATTCGGATAATTTAGTTTGTAAATTGCTCCAAGGTTTTTTGATTCCCGCCAATTCATTCCATCCATAATGCAAAAACATTTCCTATCTCCAGGATTCATAAAGCCAGTGCCTAAGCATTTAGAGCACATTCCTGATGCATGAGCGCATCGATTGCATAGAGCCTCAACTCTTTTGATATGCTTTTTATGTTTTCCTATATATTTTTCCTTATATCCAGATCCATGGCAGTATTTGCACTCAGGATTTGGCTTAAAGGGGATTCCTTGTGAACCAGGTTTTCCATGCTCAAAGTCTTCGTTCGGGCCAGGAAAAAAGTCACTTATTTTGTCCTTTATTTCAAGTTCTTCCAATTCGTCAATTGGCTTATTTTCTTTCTGATCCAATTCCTTATTCATAATTAAAAAATGGATATTTATCAATTATTAAGGAAAATAAATGCAATTTAAACCTGGCTTTTATTTGCTTATTTTATAATTATCGCATCAATAAAAATAATAGAGGCTATCTATTTAAAAAAATTTTTGTGCCGAAACCAGTCTAGAAATATTGCAATCTGGATATCCATCCGATAAATTGATATAATAAAATTATTTAGCCTAAAATTTTATCTTTTTTTTTTAATTTTTTAATGCATCTAAAAAAAAGCTCAAAAGAATCTTGATTAGCAGAATTTAATTATCTTGATAATTATAATTACCTTTATAAAAAGTTCTTCAGATTTCAGAATGCTGTTTGTTAAATTCAAAAAATCCTTAATATGCATAAATAATAAATATCCTCTCCTATTATCAGTCGAAATATTTAAAACTAATATTTAATAAATTTCAGGTTTTTAGTCTTTTTTCTTATTTTTTGACAAATCTACCAAAAATCTCATCGTGATATCCATATTGACTTGATTTTTGGCACTCACACTGTAACATGTAACAGGTCTTCCATTCAAAGATCTCAACCCCAAAGAGACGATTAATTCTTCTTCATTCAGTGCACCTTCCAAATCATTTTTATTTCCCAATACTAAAAGTGGTATCCCATGAAGGCTAGGCCAAGACATTAGCTTATGAAGCTGAGTCCTTGCAACATCTAAATTTCCAAAGTCAGCAGAATCTACAATAAAAATAATGCAATCCACATTTCTACAGTATAAAGATTTCTAATAAATTGTCCAATTTGATCATTAGCTTAAAAATAATTTGATTAGTCAAATCCTCAATTAGTGTGTTATCAGACTAATGGATAATTCAATAATAAGCTCTATACTTTTCCCAGCTACTCCTATATTTATGTTGGCCTCCGATATCTCATATTTTAAGCTGAACTGATCCTTTTTTGACTTCTCGATGATTGAATCCTACTGTTGGAATGGTATTCTCATCAAACTCCGATGTTGTTAGTGTATTTACAAACGTCGTCTTCCCTGCATTTTGAATTCCGACAATCGATATTTCCAATTCTTGATGCCAAAACCAAGACTTCAGCCAGTCTCTGAATCTCGATATATAATACATAAAAAATTATTAAATTTCTGATTTGATCTGGAGAATTAAATAAACCGACAGAGCCTATAAAATAATTTGATTATTGGAACGTGCAATTGCTAAAAATATTTTCTTGTACAAATTTTATTAAACTAAAAATCTATGCCCCAACAATTCTTTTGCGGAAGGTCGCAAAGAATATGGCCGTCTCCAGCATTTCAATAAGAAGTCTTCTAAATCTTGAGGAAGTGGCTCTTCTTGGCAATCCAAAGGATTAAGACAATCCACCATCAAATGTAAAACTCTTGTAAGTCCAGCTGTTTTGAAAGGCTTGCTCCCAGTGTATAGCTCATAAACCAGACAGCCAAGACTTCATATATCAGCTGCGTAAGAATAAGGCTCCCCTAATATCACCTCAGGTGCCATATACCAAGGAGTTCCTGCACAGCTTCTTGGAATTGTTTCAATTTCTCTCAATTGCGTAGAAATCCCAAAATCAGTAATCTTCAGCAAATCTCCGCAGAGAATATTGCTGGGCTTTATATCCCTGTAGATAATATTAAGCCCATGCAAGTAATCCAACCCTTCTAGAATGTCCTTGCACAAATCTTTTATTTCTTCAAGAGAAAATGGTCCTTTAGTTTTAAGTTTGTCAGCTAAAGACCCTCCTTCTATGTACTCCATCACAATACTTACAGTTATCATGCCTTCAGTTTGTTCCTGTGGCATATAAAGTCCGAGACATTTCACTATATTTGGATGGCAAAAAGATTTCATAAGTTGTGCTTCTTTCGAAATGATTGCGATAAAAGCATCTCTTTCCTCAACAGGAGCTTCAAATTGTTTTAATGCGACAAGATCTTTGGTCACCACATCTTCAGCGACATAAACCTTTCCTTCTCCTCCTTTTGCTATGAATTTTTTGATAATAAATTGATCTTCAGGAAATAAAAGATCATTTATATCTGCTTCAGTTTGTGCTAGCTCAGCTGGGGTAAAAAAAGTTTTCGTTTCAGTTCTTGTATCCAGCTCGAGGCTGTCTTCTTCATACAATTCTTGATTATAGTTTCCTCTCACTGGTTGGGGGACGATGTTTGTAAATGAAATTGTTTTGAATCTTGAAAAAGTACTTGTGTCTCCAAAGTACTCACTCCGATTGCACTCAGAATCCCTGTCAAATGTGCTATTGAAATCTGTTGGAGCGTTTTCTGGATTCGAAGCTGACAGAATTGGAAGGTTTTCTGGCTCAAAATCGTCTTCATAGGTTTGTGTTTGTTTTCTGGATACGTATCGTCTGAACTCAGCATCGAATTTTGCAAGCTCGTAAGGATCTGATGAGCTGATTTCTGATCTTAAAGCTTGGTAATCTTTTCAAAAGCCTAAGCCTTCTATAAAAGTGCATAACAGTAGCCGATATTTAGGATTTTTGCCTTGCTCTAATTCTTCAGCAACATCTAAAACTGACTTTTTTTTCTCTTCGTCACCAAAGTGCTTGAGTCTTGGGTCTGAGTCTTCTCAAAATGGATAAAGATCAGCCGCAGTCAGGGTTTTTACAGGAATCCCTGAATTTTCCAAAATTTCTAATTGTTTTCGGAATACAAGTGACATAAAATATGTCTATTTTGCAGAAAATAAAATTGATTTTTTATTAAATTTAAATTTGGTTAGAGATGTTTTTCTGAGGTAAAACGCCATCATCATTGCCTTTAAAATAATATTGTCTTAGTCCTCCATATTCTTCCATTAAGTTCTCTGGGTCTATGAATTTAATAATATTCGCTTTGAAATTGCTATCAAAAATACTAAGCGTGGGGATTTTTCGTAAAATGGCTCTGCTTTCTTCAGGCAATCTAACTATTGAAGCTTGAATTACTAATATTTGGAAAATTCTATTGGGATAATGCTCTTTCATGAATCCCCATATAACACTGATTGCATTTTCATTCAATAAATTGTTATTGAAATCTATCAAAAGCGTTATTTTTCGTTTAAAGCCTTTTCTATTTATAAATTACAGACTTGGCTGAATATTTTCAAAAAAATAAGTCAGATAAAGGCAGAAATTCAAGCTCATCGGCTGTGTGTCGCTATAAAAAGGTCTTATTACTATAACTGGGTGGTTTTTAACATCATGCCTAAAAACAAAAATTTCTCTCGTTATCAATATATCTGAATGCTGCTCTTTCGTTATAGGGAGATTATCAATCCTTCAGTTCTAGCTAGAATTTACAATGTCATCTAATATTGATTCGAATGCAGCATCAACATTATAATTATTTGCTTTTAAAAACTGGCTGATTTCTCTTCAATCATATCTCTCAACGCAAGGGTGAGTGATAGGTGGATCAATTCGACTTAATCTCAGGACAAGAGTTATCTCAGGCTCAGATATTCCTATTTGTGAAGTCTTGATATTATTACCACGAGATGAACAGCAATTATTTCCCATTTTATATTTGAATCCTTATCGTTTTTATATTTATATTTATCAGGTGTCTTATGTGATATAAAATATAAAATAAAAAACTGAATTAACATAAAAATATTTATTTTATAAATAATGCTTGAGAATCCTAGCTATAATATAATGCGTGATTTAATATTTATACCAAAATTATACCAATTATGTGAATTATTCTTATATTAGCCTGACAATTGGCTTCGTATGTCTCTCAGCATATTTTCGATCCTTTCGTGCATTTCTGGGTCTTCATTTTTGAAGTTATCGATAATAAACCTGAAGCACTGAACAGCTTCATCATTCCCTATAGTTACTTCATAAATTTCAGTCAAAATCCTAACTCCTCCCTTTAAAAATTGGGCAATAATTCCGCTCCAATTTAAAGTGTTATTTTATTTTAGAAAAAAAATATTAAATTTAATTTCATAATAAAAAAAATTTTTAAAATATATAAAATGCAATAGTTTTAAAGATTTATTGTTGTGAAATATTCATTTAAAAATTAATCATATTATTGTGCAAACTGTTAAAATAGCATTATAATTGCGCTCATTTCATTAGATTAGGTGAAAGTTCTTTTAAAAATTATGATTTCACCTATAAAATTTTCCATTGAAAAATTTGTTTTATTTTAAGGAGGTTTAAATTTCCAAAAATAGAAATTTTATAATATTTTTGTTCCAATTTAAAAGAGGAGTAAGTGCCCAATCTTCAAACGGGACATCAATTGCAAAAAAGTTTGCAATTTTAAGTTTCATTGCAAAATACACGATTTCCCCATACTTATTTTCATTCAAGCATTCATCAAGCCTACTCTTCAAATCCTGCTTTATCTTATGTGTTATCAATCTTTCTGTTTTTTTATCAACTTGCTTAACGCTCACTACAGGTATATCTTTGATGTTATCAAGCAGCTCGGCTATAAAGCCTTCTGGATCCTTTGATGACATCTTTGCCACAAGCTTATTTAAAATTTCCCTTAAATATTCAGGGAGTCTCTCAATCATAGCTTGTCTGTTATTTGAATTTACAGAAATAGATCCAAATCCTTGGTTTTTGAGCTGAATTTCTAAAAGCTGGTTGAAAACTTTATTCACAATAGTTTTAGTCAGATGCGCTTTTAGTGGCTTTAAATTTGTATACTTCTTACTCAAACCTCCAAGTGATTTGCAGCAAACCATAAGATAGTTAATTTCTTGGACAATTGAAGGACTGTCAAGATCTGCAGTTTGGCTTCTTTGCTCAAATTGTTCAACAATCAGTCTGCTTATTTTGGGATAAAGAATTTCTGACAAGGATTCCAAGAACTCTTCATCTGCATTCTGAAATCTTGCTTTGGCTAAAGTGTTGAGAATCTCTTGCTTTGGTATTGTAGGTGTCCCTGACTTTTTCCCTTTTGCGTTAGATTTTGTCTCTTCTGCAGTTAAGCTTATTTTGTTTTTGAATAAGTCAAGTGCTTTTTTTATGCAGTTTTCATTGCAAATATAATAGCCTGCAACTGTGTTTCCTTCTTCAACCAAACTCTCTAAATCTTCCTGCTCAATGCATGTGGGTAAATTAAGATCAGTATTTACATTTATAAGAGAGTGCTGTTCAAGTGCCTCTTTGACTTCACCTCTTAGTTTTTCAATAAACTCTGACTTGGCATAGCTGTTTTCTAGGTGAATTCCGCCTCCAATTTCTTTATTTATTCAGTTTTTTAAGGCAGGAGTAGAAGTAATATTCATTATTTTTTTCACGAAATCATAAGGCAAGTATGAATTTAAAGCAAAAAAATCTTCGATTTCTTTTTTAATGTTATCCAAATAGACAGAAGGTGTAAAAGTCCCATTTTGGTAGCTTCCTGCAATCTCTTTGTTACTTATTAGGTCCTTAACTTGATTAGGCACCAAACTTTGATCAAAATTTTTAAGTTCTGTTGGCTTTTCACAGCCTCTTAGAAACCCCCTTAATTTTGCTAAATGCCTCTGCACATAAACATCTGTGAATAATACATTGTTCTGCTTGAAGTGGCCATATATAATTGTTCCGATCCTTGCTTCAATTCTGTCTTTTAGATATTGCATAGGCAAAGAGTATTTATAAGTCAAATCACTTAAAGGCAGCTGTCCAGTCTCTTCTAAAGTTTCATTTATTTCTTGAGCAATCATATCTAAATAGTTATTTGCTATCAATTGTCCATTGATAAATTCAACATCATAAATAAATGGCTTTCGCTTCAAGTGAAATTAGCTCCGCTAATTTTCTCTCTCTCAAGCAATTTTATTTATGGGGTTGGGTATTACCTAGAGAACTTCTGCACAGCAACAGCGGTTTAACTTTGGGGATAACCAAAGGAACTGCTCCTCAGTACGATCAAGAGGCTCAGGTCTTTGCCCCTCAGCACACCGAAGGAGGTGGACCCTTAAGCGGAACACGCGCAGGAGCTGAGTCAGAATAAAGCCGTGGCGGCAGAGAAGCCCGTCGAAGCCGGAACGCCGTACTTACCGGTGCCTTGGCGAATCGAAGTGGGTCGATCCAGAGGTCCATGGGCCCGACACGTGGATAAATATGGTGGCAGCTCTGGAAACGGCTAACCCGCAGTGGACGTAAAACGTTATAAATAATTAAGATAAGATAAGATAAATTCAACATCACTTGTCTTATCAGCCACTATGATTGCGTGCTTTTCAATTTGTTCGACTCCGACGTTAAGGATTCCAGGCATATCAATGAGATTTATTCTTCCATGCTTTTTCACTTCTTGCTCAATTTCTTGTTCTAGCCTTTTCGGTGTCAAATACTCTTTTCCTGATAATGTAAATACAAGTTCAAGCGAGTAGTTTCCTACTAGTTTGTTAACGATTTCTACAATGTTTCTGTCTGTAAGTCTGTTTGCGGATTGCTTTTGCTGAACTTGCATAAGCTGTGCTTTCAAACGCTTAAGCTCTTCCATTTTATGATTAAGTATACATTAGGTCATTTTGGTTAAGTGTCAAAGACTCTTTTTGATTTTTCAGATTGATTACTTTTTATCATTTGAAAAGAACTATTTATAAAGCTTAATAATTTTATTTTCGTCCATTATAAATCTTTGTTTATTTTTTCCAATTCCAAGATATTTAACTTTATAAAGCTGTGATATTCCTATGAAGATTTTCAAGGGACATTTATTTTGCTCTTCTCTAATGATTTCTATCCTTTACCATATTTCTGCTTACTTTATGCTCATTTTTTAATCTACCTTACGGTGATGAAGTTTCCTTGAAAAATCTGTTTTATTATCACAAAAACTTCAAAAAAACTCCATAAGCAGCTTTCCTTTCGCTTCTCTGTACAATTAAACGTTTACGAATTTTAAAAGCTAAGTTATGTTAATCTGTGGTTAAGCAGTAGCTCCAAGAATATCTGAATCTCCAGCCTCTATGACTGATAAAGTTGAAACTGCGTGCATTTTTCCACAAGCTCTTCCAAGTTCGTTATTGTTTCCTGTATAATGATAAACTTCAACTTTTCCAAGCATCGAGTAATATCAACTTTCTCCATCAATTGACCATAGCTTATTAACAATAAATCATAAAAATTTATTATTATCAGACTATTGAAGGAAAAATGCATATTCGATTTCACTCTTTCTCAAAGGTGGACAGTTGTTGCAGATTAGCACAAGTTTTGACTTGCCTTGTCTCAGAGATTTAAGTGCACTTTTGTAGCCAAGAGCAGCTCTGCCACTTTTCATGACCAAAGCAAGCTTGGAGTTCATGCCTTCCGCAGTCTTCTTGCTCTTCTTCACCATTTATATCAATTTACTCTATTAAGCTTTATAACTTTAAACACCTTCATGAGCCAACATCTCGAACAACTGCCTTTGTCTCTCTGTAAGTTTCTTTGGGATCTTTAATACAAATTTCACTATATGGCTTCCTTTTTGGCTATTATGTGGAGGGAGATGAGGGACTCCATGGTTTAAAATTTTGTGGGTATCGCCTGTATTTGTCCCTGGATCGACTTTTACCTGGACTTTTCCATATAAAGTTTCAACTTCTACACTTGATCCGAGGATAGCTTGGGATATTGATATAGGGACTTGAGAAATTATATCAAAGCCATCACGCTGAAAAGTTGGATGGTCTTTTATAGTAACTTTTATAAGAATATCGCCAGCTTGTCCTCCAGACTCAGAAGAGCTGCCTTTGCCAGCCATTCGGAGGGTGTGGCCAGAATTTACGCCTGCAGGAATATTCACTGTTTCTGTCACTTTAGATGCAGTTATTCCTGATCCTCGGCAGGTTGAGCAATATTCTTTTATGATCGATCCTGTCCCTCCACATTTCTGACAAGCTACTTGTATAGACATTGGACCTCGCTGGAAATGAACATGGCCTTTGCCACCGCAATTTGTACATGTCGATGGAGATGAGCCAGGCTTTATTTTCTTTCCTTTGCAAGTCCCGCACGTTGTATTTTTGGTCACTACAAGTGGCTTTGACGCTCCTTGTACAGCTTCTAGAAAAGAAATTTCCATGCCCACAACAATGTCATCACCTCTTGCTGATTTCTGTGATTTCTTGCCACCAAAAAGTCCTTCAAACTCACTAAAAATGTCTTCGAAACTAGAAAACCCTTGACCACCACCAAAAGGATTACCTCCGCCTCCTCCAAATCCAGATCCAAAAGGATTAAAGCCTCCAAATCCCCCAAAATCTCCAAATCCTGCCTGCTTAGCCTGATCTTGTTCATCTCCTGTCATCCCAGTAGCGTCGTATGTTTTCCGCTTATCTGGTGTCCCTAATGTTTCGTATGCATTATTAATCTCAGCAAATTTAGCCTTCGCATCAGGAGATTTATTTACGTCAGGGTGATACTGCTTTGCAAGGTTAAAATAAGCTTTCTTAATATCAGTATCTGAAGCATTTTTAGGAACTCCCAAAATACTATAATAGTCTTTTTTTGCAAGAAGTCTTATCGAACTTCTAAAACCCCTGAAAACTTGCATGTGCATAATTAAATTTTAACATGAGGCCATTATAACTCACACAAGGTATAAGGATATTTTTATGAAATAAACAGATTAGTATATCTATTATAAGACAGCCTATAAGATTATTGATTGAGATTCTTGCTTTGCTTGATTAATGCTAGATTTCAAGACTGTATCGCATTAGCATATATCTAATATATATCTCTCTGGTGTTTTAAATAAAGCTAATTATCCTATTTGATATATATTCGAAACTAACTAACTCCCCTATAAATCGGAATATATATTAAAATGGCGACACGTGCCAACCTGCCCTCTTGGCGCAACAGTAAAGATCTTATGGCTACGGTGAACTGGAGCAGACTCCGAGCTGAGACTCAAGCTCACGCTTAAGAGATGTGCATCCTAGTAAGTTTTGGTTGCTTTCATGTGGTTGGATCAGCAACTCTTTTTGGATCCGAGGACCCATACGCTTCCTCTACTGAGAAATTTAGGTTTCGGCCAAGCCAGAGAGGGTATTAGTCTTTTCCAGTAGCTGTGTAGAAGAAAGGCACTTCGGCACCCGAAAGACTTAAAGGAGTTGATCCTTGGAATCAAGTTACTCCAATTACCCGTAGCAGGGCCGAGAAATCCATAGGCCGCCTACTCAAGACTGGAGCCTCAGGCAAGGAGGAGACAGAAGATACCGGAAGTGGCACAGACCCTCTGGGCTGGAGTCGAAAAGCGGTATAACCTCCTATATGGGAGGTCTTTGACGACTGTAATATGGCTAACGCCTAGCCTAGCTTAACCCCTATAAATCGAAACCAAACATCTGTAAAATTTCCATTAACCACTGAAATTGGAAAAAAAAAATTGATCAAATTTAAATGGGAGGAAGTGAATAAAAAATCAAGTAAATAATCCTTGATTTTCCCATCTTTAAATTTTTTGCGCAAAATTTAAAGCCATCCATCCTACTTAATGATAATAAATCTTTGAGAACTCCTATAAGGACATTGAAATCCAAAAAATGTATATAATTAATTGGTTTTAGCAATATTTTGCAGGTCAAAATCACTTTACTTATTTTCTGACCAGTTTTAGAAATAATCTTATTTATATCTTTTGAGATATAAATGGATTTCATAGATTGGCTAGATTAAATGATTAAATGATTATTAGAAGCTATTTGTATTTCTTCGCTAGTTTAATTTTATTGCAAAGAAATCAATTATCGCTTGCTTCCCAACAATCTCTGGGCTTTCCTTGATGATTTATGAATGCAATTATTTAATATTAATGCAGGAGAATTAATTTTAATAGAAAGCCTATCAATTGCATTAAATCAAATAGTTTACTACTTACTTTTAAATACAAATGCCCTTCATAAATTTTCATTTTTCGTGGCTTCCTGCTTCTCGCTCATTAGCAATCGTGCAAATAGGACTATGAATTACTCAATAAATACCTAATAAACTAAATATTCAATGAATCATGAATTCTATTTTTCAACATAAAGTTTATTGAATATTTTAAAAGTAAGTGGCATTCAATGGCTAATTAAAATTTTCCTTCTAAGCCCTATTAGCACACAGATTCCCAAATGGAGACATTGCAAAAATGATGCAAATCTCAAAAATGCTCAAAAATTGCTTTTTCGGAAAAATTAAAAAATTGTGCAAAATTTCGCGCAGCATGAGTTTTTGCAAAAATCCTTTTGATTTTTGCATTTTGTAAGTTCTCCATTCCCAAATAAATCAATAAAAATATTCTTAGCTAAACCTTACCTAATGATATTAACGGTTTGAATTTATGCCTTTTATTTGTAAATGCCAAACCAAATTATCAGTGCTCAGCCTAACTGAATAAATAAAAAATGTCCAGACCTATAATTCGAAGACAGAGCTCTTCGTTTATTATCGGCTTTCAACAGCTGAAGGACCAAATGGAAATAAAAGACCATGAGAAGAGAGTCCTCAAAGAGCCTGAAACAAAAGACGACACTAAAAAGCCTACTGAGAAAGGAAAAGACAAACAAAATGATGCACTGAAAGACTCTGAAGGATTCAGGGACATGACCGAGCACAAAATTCCTCTGGAGGATCTCGTAAGGAACCTTGAGACAAGTCTAGAAAAGGGTCTCCAAGATGATATTGGCAGGGAAAAGCTTAAGCAGTATGGTGAAAACAAATTGACCGAAAAAAAATCTATGCCTTGATACTGTTTGTTTTTCAAAGAACTGACTGGCTTTTTTTCTATGCTACTCTGGATAGGGTCACTTTTATGCTTTATCGCCTATGGCCTGAGTCCATCTGATCCATCCAATATGTACCTAGGCATTGTACTTGCAGTTGTCGTCTTCTTGACTGGGTGCTTCAGCTTTTATCAAGAATCCCAATCACTTGCTATTATGGCAGGGTTTAAAGATATGATACCACCTACGTGCACAGTGATTCGAGCAGGTGCACCAAAAGTTTTTGAGTCAAGCAAACTCGTGCCTGGAGATATTGTTATCTTAAAACAAGGTTCAAGAATCCCAGCAGACGTTAGAATCATCGAAGCTAATAACCTCAAAGTTGATAACTCTTCACTTACGGGCGAAAGTGAGCCTCAGACAAGAACACCAAACTGCACAAATGAGCACAATCCACTTGAGACTGAAAATTTAGCATTTTTTGGGACAATGTGTAGCTCAGGGGATGGTAAAGGTTAAAGATTAAAATATTACACAACAATTAGCGGAAACCTCTTGCGGCCTCTCATGACTCCAGGAAAGATGGCATACACTGGGTCATTATACACTAGAGTGCAAATGGTGAACGGTCCAGCCAAAGTTCGGCCTTTTAAAATCACTGATGAAACTCACCAAGCTAAGAATTAGTTCAATAGCTTGAGCCAGTCTCTGTTGGCTGCACTATATGAGATGTAAAACCTGCCTAGCCCATCTTGCAAGGACAGGAAAACCTCCAAGGAGAAAAAACTTCCTTCCTGCTATCCCCAAGTCTGAAGGCCTATATCAAAAAATGGCAGAGGCCTGTTTTCAGTTTCATAGGGAAGGGTTCTTCCTGCTCCATAAGAAGTGCGCCTTGGAGTCCTTATTCCATCAATGCCACCATTTATATCGGCTGATAAAGGTATGGTTGTATTCACTGGTGATAACACTATTATGGGTAAAATTGCCAATTTAACCTCATCAACTCAAGAAGAAGAAACCACTTTGGGCATTGAAATTGCAAGATTCGTAAAAATGATCAGCACAATTGCAATCTGTTTAGGAATCATTTTCTTTGTTCTAGGGTTCATCTATGGCTACTCAGCAATTGTAAACATGGTTAATGCTATTGGGATTATTGTAGCGAACGTTCCTGAAGGACTTCTTGCAACTGTCACAGTCGCTCTAACGCTGACTGCAAAAAGAATGGCTGCGAAGAATGTCCTACTTCAAATTCGTCAACTTTTATCAAAATAAATTATTTTAATATAATTTTCTTATTTATTTCGATCTTATATGCAGGGAGTTAGTGAAAAATTTAGAGGCAGTTGAAACACTCGGGTCTACCAGCTGCATCTGCTCAGATAAAACAGGAACTCTAACAGAAAACAAGATGAAAGTTGTGAATATTTGGTATGACGGAACTATCAGAAGTGTTATAAACTATGAAGAAAAAGATACCGTTAAAGATTTGGGATACGAAATAACTGATCCTACATTCCAAATGCTTCAAAGATGCGCATCTCTGAATAGCAAAGCTGAGTTTTCATTTGAGCCAGATGAAAAAATGCTTGAAGATTCTCATGGAAACGCTTTACCTAAAGCAAAAGCTGATGAAATTAGAGAAAAATATAAAAAAGATCAACTTGCTGGCTCAGTGCAAACCTGGAAAACTGTTGGAGGGGATGCCTCAGAAGTTGCACTGATAAAATTTTTCCACCCAATATTTGAAATAGACAAATTCAGAAAAATGTACCCAGTCCTGGTAAGACAAGGCGTTAAAGGAGAAATCCCATTTAACTCAGCAAATAAATATGCTATCACAATTCATGAACCGTGTGATTGGTTTCCTCCTGAGCGCAAAAACGATTGCATTTTATTCATGAAAGGAGCTCCAGAGCAGCTATGGGAGAGATGCTCTAAGATGATGAAAAATGGAAAGGAAGTTCCTAAAGATGATGAATGAAAGCAGAACTTCGCAAAGGCGAATAAGACTTTTGGAAGCCAAGGCCAAAGAGTTTTGGGATTTGCTTACATATGGCTTGAAGAGTCCAAATACTCATCGGATTATGTTTTTAACCCTAATTTGGAAGAAGGACCAAACTTCCCTCTTAAAGGTTTAACATTTATCGGTCTAACAGCCCTCATGGACCCTCCTAAAAGGCATGTAAAAGAAGCTGTAATTTCTTGCCATGAAGCTGGTATCAAAGTTATTATGGTCACGGGAGATCAGCCATTAACTGCCGCTGCGATTGCAAGACAAGTGCATATTATTACTGAGCCAAAAACTGTCAATGAGCTAGTAGAAGAAGGGTTGGATTGGGATAGCGCTTTCGAAAAAAGTGACGCAATTGTTATCCATGGTGATATGCTCACCAAAGCAAATGCAGAAGATGAAGACTTGCCATTTAATGAACAAAGAATTGCTAAGTGACTTACAAAGCATCAAATTGTTTTCGCACGTACATCTCCTGCTCAAAAATACATGATTGTAGATGCAAATCAAAAACTCGGTCAAATCGTAGCTGTGACTGGAGATGGCGTGAATGACAGTCCTGCCATTAAAAAAGCTGACATTGGCATTGCAATGAATATTTCAGGTAGTGATGTCGCTAAAGATGCTGCTGATATGCTTCTAATTGATGACAATTTTGCTTCTATTGTGGATGGAGTTAAAGAAGGAAGAGTCATTTTTGATAACCTCAAGAAGACAATTGCTTATATTTTGACATCAAATGTTCCAGAACTAGTTCCTTTCTTAGCTCTTATTATTTTCCAGATTCCTCTTGCCTTATCAACAGTTCTTATTCTTTGTATTGATTTAGGAACCGATATCATGCCTTCAGTTGCGATGGCATATGAGTCAGCTGAGCTTGATATTATGAAAAGAAATCCTAGAAATGCCAAAAAGGATTATCTTGTTACAGGCCAATTATTGTTTTATTCATATTGCACTATGGGTGAGCTTCAAACATGTGCTGGATATATGGCATATTTCACCGTTTTGCACGACTATGGATTTTCTCCTTCTGTTCTGTGGTTCATAGCTTTAAGAGATGATGGCTCAAAACCATCTACCCATGATGTTTATGATCCATACCTTCCTCATAAAGGAAATAGCCACGTTGGTGACGATTCGTACGATGGAGAGCTGGTTGACTATATTTCTGACTCTGATAGCAAATACGACTTAAGAATATGGTTCTACAAGATAGATAAAGATGATTGGGACGATTGCAGATACCCCGATATGAAATCAGATATTTCAGGTACGTACATCTGCTATACTTCAGAAGCTGTTAAATATGCCCAGTTTGCATTCTTTATTGCAATCGTTGTGACACAATGGGCTAATGTTTTGAATGTTAAAACAAGAACTCAGTCATTGCTGCAACAAGGAATAACAAATAGAGTTCTGATCTTTTCTCTTTGGTTTGAATTAGCTTTGGCTCTGTTTTTAACCTTTACTCCTCCACTGAATGTTGGCTTGGGCACAAGACCTCTTGCATTTTTACATTGGGGATTCCCAGCTGTTCCATTCTTTGTTATGTTTATACTTTTTGATGAGGCGAGGAAAGCAATAATAAGATATACGAGAGCGAAGAACCCGAAGAGAAGAGGGTGGGTAGACAGAAATACCTATTATTAAGGTTTATCAATAAGTTTTATGGTAATTAGTCCATTTAAGAGTAAAATAAATACAATTAGTAAAACAATATAAAATCATCATCAAGTCTACTCTTTGATCAAATATTGCATTTATTTAGTTTATACCTATCAATTTCACTTATTACAGGAAATTTTACTGTTAATTGGTAAAATTTTAGAATAAGAGTTATCCATGAAGAATTCAGCCAGTAATCAAAGCTTCTGATAGAAAGATTTAAAAAATAAATTATTATTTTTCCATAAAATATCCAATCTAACGCATTTCCAAGATACTGACTCTAAAGAAATAACAGCAGTGTCAGAATACAGAGGATGTTCAGATCCCCAGCATATTAAATTGATGACTAAGTCTTCAGCTAAAATGCAAAATCCTTACACTCCATCAACTCCAGAGAACGAAAACTCTCAGATTCGTAAATCAACTGAATATACACGGACCATAACTTACCCAGAATTCTCTTCCCCATCAGATAACCCAAGGATGGAATTCAGAAGAGACTCAACTCTAAGCTTAATCACTGAGCCATCACCTAAAAAAACATTGAAAAGTTTAAATGTAAATAAGCACTTCATGGAACTTGTAGCAAAAACAAGCCTCCGAATGAAAAGGAGATTTAAATCGATCGATAACACTGAAGAAGAAGTCAAAGAAGAAAAAAGCAGGATTTCTCAGCTGGTTATAAATTATTTTGACAAAGAGCAATATTTAAAAGGACGAGGGCACGAACGCAAAAGAAGCGTTCTTTCAGGATCAACAAGTTTTTATTCTATGCAACAGTCACAGATTAATAACTCAAGGCTGCAGCCTCAAAATGTTGTTGAAAACAAATCAGTTACATTGACAACTGAAACTTTACCTACTCCAAAAACTAACAAGAGGAAATCTAATATCATAGAAAAATTAAAAAAAATGAAAACCACACAAGATTTAAGTAAATTTAAAATCAAAACTCGTATAATGAAAACAAGACAGCCGCATCCTCTTTTAAAACAGGGTAGTGTCGGTATTAGCCATCGATATTCAAGGACTTGTGGAATCCATATTAATTTAATGAACAAATAATACCTATTATAAATTCCAACCTCTTTTAAATTGCAAATGTCAATTAATAACTTTATATAATATATGATATCTATATACCCGAATTAAGGCTCAGCTCTAAGGATGAGAATCGCCTTTCAATTATAACTGAATTGCCCACTCAAGAAATACTCCTGAGCCTGAGCTCTAATTTTTCCTAAAAGTCGGGATTTTCCAATGATTTGATCTCTATTATATTTTGGGTATAAATGTCAATTTTTAGCAGCAGAAGCACAGCGCAATCATCAAAGTTAAGACCGCATGAAGCCATAATGCTTTCAACAGCACCCATTTCAGAGCAAATATTATCTGCCAAATCAAGCTCTCTAAAGAAGTTAAAGAGACCACAAACAGCGAAGTTGAGACTTTTCAGTGCCCAGTCAACTTCCCAAATTGACCTTAATAATATAAGCCTTTCAAAGCTCCGGCCAAATGTAATCGATATAGAAAAAGAGCAGCTCTATGATAGCAATTTAGCCCTTAAAGTCAAATATAATTCAGTTTATGATGAAAACACAAGACTAAAAACAAAACTGGCCAGCGTAGAAAAGGAATTATCAAGCAGAGATATATTAATTAGGGGAAACCCAAGTCCAGAAGCGAAAAAAATTTGCTTTATTTCTAATTTGAAAGATTCAATTTGCAAATTGAAGGAAGAGTTGAAACTGAAAAACAAGGAACTTAGCGAGATAAAACATAGCATTAAATATACAAAAATTGCTGAGCTTGAGGCTGAAGTTCAGACATATTCGCAAGAGTGTATAAGATTAAGACAAGCAATAAATGAAAAATATCAAATTGAGCTTCCAGCAGCCGAAATTAGGCCAATTGATCCAAGCTGTGAAGGTTTAAAAAAAGAAAACGAATGTATGATGGAAATAATTGAAAAATTAAGAAATTATAATAACACGCTGAAAGACAAAATCAAGACAATGAAAGGAATTGACAAAAGAACTAAACTTCAAGAATTCGATGGAATAAGAGAAGAAGTTATTAGTCTAAAGCTTCAGCTAGAAAATCTGCAAAGGGACTATAACTCAAAAGAAAATGAACACAAAAATCAAATGGAAGATAAAGACAAAGGCATAGAAGAGCTTTTAGAAAAAATAAAAGCAGAAGAAAAAAAATATAAAGAATTAGTTGATATAAATGGCGAACTGAAGAAAAAAATGCAAAAAATCGTGCAGGAAGCCCATATCATTGCAAAAGCTAACTTGAAAAACCCTCCAAAACTGTTTTTAGCTGTGAATGAAATTATAGTGAAGTCAAAACTTCGAGTTCCGCAATTTCTTGCAAAAATTGATAAGCATTTAACCGGTTTCCTTAATTTTGAAGAATTTATGGCTGCTCTTCGAACGTTTCATTGCTATATATCTTTAGAAATGATTGAAGGAGTTTCAGCTATGATTGTTACGAAGTCAAATCAAATCTCATTGGAGTTATTTGAGCAATGGTTTGCTAAATATACATACCCACATGTTAATAAGTCAAAAGAAGAAGAATTCCTTAAATATGCCCATCTTAGAATGTCTAAGCTTCTGAGCATTGAAATTCTACCTTCAAATAGTAAATCTGATTCTGATTCCGAAGAAAGCGAAAATATCATTAGAGAGTCACCTAATCCTACGCCAAGCATGAAGGGAAGTTCTGAACGGCGAGAAATCAAAAATACTTATGATAGAGATATGGATTACAGGTATAATGAAGCCAAAAGACCTTCGAGTAGAGCTTTAGATAGCGAGGCGAAGAGATATGGAGAAAAAAGAGATATAACAGAAGTTATACAAGATGAAGAGTTTAATTCCTTACTCCCCCTCCATGAGCGAAAACAAAAATTTTGTTCATTTAAAGGGGAAAGGGGTTAATTTTTTTTTAAAAATTTATATGTAAATTTTTATAGTACATTTTTTTTTCAAATTTAAAAAATCCCAATTCAGAAAGCAAAGAATAATTTAATTTGTAAAATTTATATTTTAAAATGCAAGCTGTTTAAAATTAAACAGAATTAACTAGAGAATTTTATTAAAAAAAATTACTTATATATCAAAATATTTTTTTGTTTGCGCACAAAGAGGGAGTATACTAAATTCCTGGGGATAGCGTATTCCGCGCTATCCCCAGGAATTTTCTATATTTTTACCCCAAAAATAACATTTTTCTAATGCTTTTGCTCTCTCACGAAGGAGTTAGAAATTTTTAATCCAGGCGAAACGAATGATAAAACGAGAACGAAATTAGATGAACAATTAAAAATTCCATCATATAGCCAGCTGAAAGATGAAGGAAGCTCGAGATGGAGTGCATCTTCTGATGTCAGGAAAATTAGATAAATATTATCAAATAGTAAAGCTATACAGTTAATTTAATTACAATTTGATTAATTGGTTTTGATTTAAAATTAATTATCCTCTACTCACCCTCTCCAATTTAATATCGAGCAAACCGCACTTTTCCCCTTAAAATATTTTCCTTTAGGCGTTATATAAAACAAACAAAGTTCATATAATTTTTTGAAATTTTTTTAACTACAATTACAATTCTTTTAATATCTTTGAGCACTTTAAATTTTATCATTCCCTCTATCTTTTAACTCTCAATAGATTCGTGTTGTTGGAAAAACAATTTTTTGATATTCTAAATAATTTCACATAAAACTTTTATATTTATATCTCAACTAATGTTTATTAATATTTTAATGCTTTTAATAAAAAATTGGCATATAATCTGTTGCACATATTACTTACTGAGCAAGGTGTGGGAAATTTCCTCAGATGTCAAAAATATTCCACATGTGAAGTCTGACATAAATGCAGAGCTTCACATGTGGAATATTTTTGGCATGTGGGGGGAATTTCCCACATGCCTTGCACAATAAGAAATATGTGCAACATGCTATACTTTTATTATTTTGTAATGTTCTTTAAAATTTTATAAATCTAAAGTATTTTATAAAGAGAAATTTTTGAAGAAAAAAAAATCTATAAGTTTTACCAATTAATAATGGGCATAAAAGGGTTCCTTATTAAATGGGGACGAGTCAGAGAGGTTCTTAAATATTAATTTATAATTCCATGATATTAATCCAACACTATGGGAGGATATATTAGTTTTCCATTTCAAAAAGATTCAAGCTCGAGAGTCAAGGAGATTGATAAAGCAATCGCAAGTCTCAAACTAATGAGAGACGAGATTAGAAGATTTCGGAATAAACTGCAAAATCAAATCGACATAGCAAAAGAAAATGTTCAGCATTGCATTAGAAATAAAAATAAAAGATTAGCTTTGCTTAATTTAAGAAGACAGAAATATATAGAGAGCGGCCTAAAGCAAGCTGAAAGCAGCTTGTATAATATTGAACAGACTATATCAGGTATAGAAAGTTCTCAGATTCAAGCTGAAGTATATAAATCTTTAAAAAGCGGGAATGATGTATTGAAAAATTTTCGAAATGAGATTTGCATAAGCCAAGTGGAAAAGTTAATGGAAGAAACTGAAGATGCAATTATATATCAATCAAAGATAAACGATGCATTATCATCTAAAGGTATTCTTGAAAGAGACGAAGATCTATTAGATGAACTAGAAAATTTAAGTTGCGAGATAGAAGCTACAGATGAGTTGCCTATAGTAAGAAATATCAGAAGAAATGAAGAAGAGATATCTCTGCCATCTAAAAAAATATGCTTAACTAACTGCTAATATACAGAAAATGGTCATAATCTGATTATTGAGTGAAAGTTAACCAAAACTTTTTCACTTAAATTTATAGTTTTGAATAGATAGTGTTTTGCTAATGCAATAAATAAATTTAAATTAAAGTTTTAGTTGCTTTCAATCGATTGATTTCTTGAACTTGGTAATTATGGAGATCTTTTTTAATATTATGGTACTTCTGCAGCAAAGTTTCTAATTCAACAATTCTACTCTTATTAAGCTCATCTTCAGCACATCTTAGCCTAGTTCTCAGAGCTTGCAGCTCAATTGCCTGCTTATTTTCCAAATGAGTAATGTGCTGCTTTATTTTCCTTTTTCTTTCTTTTTCCCAATTTTCATTTTCCCTCATCATTAGCATTGATATTCTTTGCTGCACGCTATGAGCTTCTCCATATGATTTTTGTCTGACAAGCCCTTCTTCAATTTTAATCATATTTAATAGCTCACTTGAATACTTTGGTTTCAAAGGAATCAAGCTTTCTAGCTTGGCTTCTTCTTGAACTTTATCTCTTTCATGCTTACTCATCATTGAATTAATTTCTTGATCTGCATAGTCCCTTTGCTCTTTTATTCTGGCTTCCCATGCATTGTTAATATTTTGGAATTCCATCAAATGGTTGTCTTCGATTTCCATTTGCTCAGCTTCGTGGCTTGTCTTGGTGTTCTGGATTCGGCTTGCACTTTCATTATTGGTAAGCCTTATCATTTGTTGCTTTAATTGTTCCGCTTCTGCGAATTTAAAGGCTTGTTCACATTCTCGAATTTGGGTTTGGAGGTTTTCCCTGAATTAATCATTACAAGTTCTCTTGGAAGCTGTGATTGTCTTGGCTCATATTTATAATTAACTGTAAAATACAATTAATTAATAGAAATTAGAGACTGAGATAGATTAAAAATTATAACTATTTTATGATTATCGAATATTAGCAGAGACTTTGTATAAAATAAATGATATCTTTAGTTAAAGCATGACAAAGAATGGGAAATAAAGTGTCTTGATGTTGTTTGCTTTAGATTTTCAAGTTAATTTTTAATATGATTATTTAGCATATATAATGCCAATAAATGTAACATTTATTAGCAAATAATTATTTCTATTTTTATAAGCAAAGAAATTCTGACACAATTCAATTATTTCCAAAATATATTTAATAATAATATTATTTAAAATATTTCTACCTATCCACATTATTCTTTTTTTGTTTTTTTTCAAGACTTCGAGCTCATTGAATAATTTTTTCATGACTTGAAATTCCATATCTTCTTGCAACTATTTGAGGGGATCTAGTAAGATAATATTCATAAAGCACTGTTCTAATAAACTCCCTATCATATTCTCCATCGTCTTCTAAATATTCATCATCACTAAAATCCTCGTTGTTATTCAAATGATCTATCCAAAGATAAACTTTATTGCGAATGCCAATTGTGTCTACCATTGTATTTTTCGACATATTTTCCTTTATAGCTGCTTCAATAAATCGCTTTTTCTCTTTTGGCGATTTTATAACTATTGCAAGAGGGAATGCATTTAGCATAAGGTTAGCAATTGCTTTAGTGATTGATATTTCTTTGCTAATTTCTTTTATTGAAAGCCCTTCATCTGCTAATTTTCGAGCTCTTTTCTTCATTTCTCTATATCGCGCAGCTTCCTCTGGGGGAGTTTGAGATCAATCTCCTATAATATGTATATGCACTAAAGGAATGCTAAATAATTTACCTATTGTCTTTGCCTTTGTTCCAATAGAATAGAGCTTGCGGATCATTTCTTTGTATTTTTCAGCACGCTCTCGGTATTCATCAAGCAGTGGAAAATCCATTTTATTTTTTTTCCTTTGTCTTTTTGCTGGTATTGATGAGATTACCAATGCTTCTTCGACCACTCAGTCTTGATGGATATTATTAGTGATTTCTTCGCTATTAATATTCGAGCCATTTTTTCCATCTTTATTCTCTTCATACTTATTTAAAGTGTTAGAATTTGAGGGCTTATCTGGGGTTTTGTGGGGATTTGGGATTTCATAGTTTTCAAATTTATTTGAGGAGTTATTGTGTTGGAGAGATTTTAGTGTGTTATGTAGATATTCAATTGAATTGGATCCAAGATCTTTGAAGAGAGAATTTACACGTGCTTGGGCATCTTCTTGAAGTTTTATAACTGATGTGAAAAAACCAATTAATGAGCTTCTGGTAAGCTTTTTTGACATAATTTTTATAATGTGCCTATAAATAAATTCAGGGGCTTTTTAAAAATTGCACTATTTTAGAATTAGAGTAAGAAATTTTCATGGAATTTAGGGATTATTTTTTGTCAAAACCTTTTTCTTATGCCATGCTACATTTAGCTATTCAATATGATCAATTTTTATCAATTAAATAACTAAAAGCTTGAGTCCTAGCTTTCCCTATTGGTCTATTCTCATTTTTTATCCTCAGCTTAAATTATCTTGAGGAGAATGCTTTGTTTCTGTTCTTACACTTTTGGCGAAGTCAGACTGATTTTTGTCGCAACCGTTTTAGTTACTCAGTAGTGGTAAATTTGTGATTATAGTTTTAAAAGATCAATATATAGTTTTATAAATAGTTAATGATTGACTTGCATATTCCAATATTATTGTTTTCTGCCTATGGACAGAATTTAAATGCCTGAATACTGAATATATTCAAATCCCCATAATCAGGATTAATTATATATTTCAACATTAAATAAATATTATATATACTATGATTTTTGAATAAATTTTAACTTTAAGTGTACTCAACCAATTGCTGTATATAAAACAGATATGCAGCTCAATATTAATTGTCTAAAATATATAAAGGGCATATAATGTATATGTATTTACTCTTATTGTTTGAAAAAGCATTAGCATCTTGCGATGCTAGCTGCTCAGTATGCTCAAGCAATCTATGCTCTTCTTGCACCCAATCCCATTCCCTACCTTCTGGAACTGGCTGTGTCTGCTATAATGGATTTTATGATGCAGACTCAAGTACAGCTGGAATAAATTGCCAAGCCTGCGATTCTGACTGTTTTTCTTGCTATGGTCCTACAAGTTCAAATTGTCTTGCATGTGCAGATTCATCACGAGTCCAATACAAAGGATCATGCTCTCTAGATAGCTGCCCTGATGGGACTTTTGAAGATGTAGGCAGAACATGCACTGACTGTGACGTTTCTTGCAAAACCTGCACTGCTTTAGGCTCAAGCTACTGCACTGAGTGCGCTGCTGGGTATATCAAGAACAATGGGCAATGTGTCTCAACTTCATGCCCTACAGGCCAATATCTATCAAATTCAGACGGAAAGTGCTATGATTGTACAGGCTATTGTAGTGTTTGCAACCAAGCATCTCTATGCACCACTTGCAACCCAACATTTACGTTGACAAGTGCTGGAACGTGTGGATGCACACTTACAGGTTTTAGTATTCAAAATGGGGCATGCAAAGAAACCTGTGGAAAAGGAGTTAATAGAGGACAACTTGAATGCGATGATGGGAATACTATAAGTGGGGATGGGTGTAGCAGCACATGCACAATTGAATCTGGCTGGACTTGCGAAGGAAAAACACCTGATGTATGTGAGAGAATTAATTATGATTATGGGCCTTATGCCACATTGGATGTTTTGCCTAATAACACGATTCAGATTAGTTTTAACTTAACCCTTAAAAGTACTTTGACCAAAAGCGAATTAGACATTTATGTCGACTCAGATAAAGTCAGCTATAAGCTTACAAAGAAGAGCAGCAAAGAATATATTGTTAAATTGCATCTTCAAAACTCAATAAACGACAATTCAGATGCAGTTTTTAAGTTTGATGAATCTCAAGTTATTGGCATCAATGGAAAGCAAATTTCAAATCCAATTATAGATACCACTTTATATAGAGAAGAAGTATGAAGCACTTTCGATAGCACCTTCACTGATATTATCTTATATATACATCAAGGGGTTCTTATTGCAGTGTTTATATATGCATGCAAGTATCGAGAACTTACACTTTATTGAATTTGGTTTACAGCTATGGTTTTTATAGGATTTTTGCCTATGATTAATTTTGATGCTCCAGATCTATTGAATAACTTTTTAAGAGGCATTATACCATTGGATTTCATTTTCCCTAATGTCTTTGGGTATTCTATTCATGAATCCTCATATACGTCAGCTCGTACTTTTATGTGAAATAATGTTGATGATATGCAGTATTCATTTTTTTTAGTGAATGCCTTTAAGCTAGCTTATATTTTTTTTGCTCTAGTAGCAATATTTATTATTGCTTATTTTGGGGTCACTTGCAAAATAAAATCATGCGGAAAGTGGTCTTTTCAAACTACAGATCTATATCGCTATAATGCTATTATTAGATTTTTTATTGTTGAGTACTTAGAAATTGGCATATATTCAGTTCTTCAGATTTTATATCCTGGTTTTGATAATTTTACATTTGGAATCAACACATTAATAGGATATGCTTCCTTGATTCTGCTTTGCACTTTCACGATATTTATGTGCTTATTTATTTCACTGAATAAAGCTTTTATATTAGATAAACAAGTAGGTATTGAATTTTATAACAAATTTGGGACTTTATCAAACGAATTAAATCTAAACTCCCAAAATCCCTATATACACTTCCATCACATTATCACAATTATTCGTAAAATTGGATTCATTATAGGAGTATTCATATATCCTTTATTTTATGCCCAATTATCAATCGTTGCTTTTTTTACTTTAATTTATATAGCCTGGATATTTTATGCTCAGCCATATTATAACTTTAAGCTGAATTTATATTCAATAATTGCAGATATTTTGCTTTTAATTATTTTGGTTTTAGGAGCAATTATTAATTCTCAAAGTGTTACTATAAGATATATTATAATGTGGACAGTTATTGCTATATGTGTAGCGGTTGATATTTTAGCATTAACTTGTATATTTAAAGACCATTTCAGCAAAAGAATTAAAATTAATCAAATTAGTGCAGTGGAATATGTAAATAAAGATGTGCCTGCTGAAGAAGAATGCTTTAAAATAACGAATAGGGGATCTGAGGACAATGTTTCAATTTCAAAGAATGAAAATAATTCAGACAAATCAATTTTTTCGTTGAGAGTAAGCCACATTAATGATGAACCACCAAGCACAGCTTTCTCAATAAAAAATCAAAGCTTTCGATCAAGAAACGAAAGCATAATTAGCCCTCCTAATAGCAAGCCAAAAATTAAACCTGGGGAAATACCAGTTGAGACTATTTTTTCTATAAATGAAAGAGAAGAAGGTATGAGCTGGCTCCCAAGTCGATATCTGCAAGCAATAAAAGAAACAAAAACAACTCAAGAAGAGAATATAGATTAAAATTTTTGTTGTTTATAAAATAATTAATTAAATTTCTGAGTGCGAAAATATTTCAATGTCTTTCTGTAAAATTAAAATTTAAAGTGAAAATATGCCTATTATGATTTTTATTTTAATTTTTTGGATGAAGATATATAATATATAAGATAATATAAAAATCTTAGGAAACAACTCACATTACTTAAATTCATCAAAAAGAGCTATTAATAATTTTTCTTCAGTTGAGTAATGCAATTCAATTTTAAGTTATTTTTCCATTTATTATTCCATTTATCCTCATATAATAGTTTTAAGGTATTTGTTGAATGCGAGGCTACAAGATCATAAACTATAAATTAATCATAAAAATTATCCAATTGGCATTTTTATATACTCATTGCTCTTTCTAATATAAATTTAAATTAGAATAGATGCGGAAGAGAACAAGGACCAATCTTCACCATAAAAATCAATCATCATATCAACTTGAAAAATTGCATAAAAAAATATCACTTACAAACAGTTCTTTTGTACATTTTCAAGACGAACCTTATGATTATGACGCCACATTGGCTCACTCAAGTAATGACGATAAAGGCAAATCAAGCCTAGAGCCTCTTAAAATAACTCATAAAAGTCTAGAAGAGAAACCGAAAATAAATCGTGCAATTATTCTTGAATCATTAAATCATAAAGAAAGCTTGAAAAAAATAAGCACACTTAAAAAAGCAGATACATTAAACGAAAATCCAATATTTTCCAAAAATCTTCAGAAAACTTATACAATTTCAGCTTATAAGCTGCGGCAAAAGCCATCTCAAGCCGACGAGGAGTGATTAATTGATCTTTCGCAGCTTGAATTTGAGTTATCAAATGATCTAAATAATTTATCGGAGAGTGAAGATGATTATTATTGTAAATATCACAATGTTTATAAAACAATTTTCGAAAAGCTCATAAGCATTGATAAAAATTTTGGAGATTTGTTAAAAAAAATCTTGCAAGGATATGAAGATTTTTTCCTCCATCATCAAAATTTGATTGATAAGGTACTTAAACAGTGTGAGGAAAAACTGAACGCAGAAATCGCAGAAAATAAGAGGCTCCAAAAAGAAGTGGATGCTATAAGAGCTGATAATAGAAATCTGTTAAAAGCTTTGTCGCTGAGAAATGAAGAATTTTCTGCTTTTATAAGCAGAAATAAAAATTTAACAGCTGATGAAATTGAGAAAATAATGGACGAGCATAAAACTATGACTTCTTCCTTGAATCTTGCACAAAACGAGATCAGGTTTTTGAAGCTAAAAGAAACCAAGTATCAGAAACTCCTTCAAGCTGCAGAGCTTCTAGGGTTTTCTTGAAGCGAAAACCATAAAGAACTCATAAATGATCTGAGTACGTACTCAGACATTGATTTACAACAGCTGATTTCCAGGTCCTCAAGCAATATTTTGCAATTGCCTCAATCTCATGAGCTGAGTTTAAGTGGCTCAAGTCCATGTGGGCGCAATGTTTCTTTTGATATTTCACCTATTCCTCCAGATTCTTCCTCAAAGCTTTCTGATCCGTGACTTATAAAATATGTTTAAATAAATTTGAAGCGTTTTAATATACTTAGTTTATTATAAATAATTTAAAATCCCAAAACTCTTAGGCTAATGCACCCAAACTAAATTGGATAAATTATCTTCTCTTGATATGGCTTTACTTGGTCAGCTCGAATTCCAATAGCATTTAGCAAACGTATGCTGTCTTTGGCGCTGTACTCCTTGGAGTATACTACTCTTTTGAATCCTGTGTGGATAAGATTCTTTGTACAATTCAAACATGGAAACAACGTCGTGTATAGTGTACCTCCATCAGTATCAGAAGCCATCAAAATGGCGCTTAATTCTCCATGCAAGCAGCAACACTCGTCTAGTCTTGTGCCTTCAGAAGCTAAAGAGTTACATCTTTTGCAGCCGCCTGCATTGCAATTTTTCGCTCCAAATGGTGTTCCATTGTATCCAGTTGACATAAGCCTTCCGTTTTTAACTACGACTGCGCCAACCGCTTGCTTCATACAGTTCGTTCGCTTTGCAGCAATCTCTGAAATCCTTAAAAAATACTCATCAGGAGTGGGTCTATTTAAATCTCTACTCAGGAGATCTAGCCTGTTTAAAGATCTTGCTAGATCAGCTAAAGCTTTTGTGTTCATAATTACACTTTTTGCCTGATACTGAAGCATTGCATCGATTTTTTCATCCAAGTCTAAAAAGTCGTCTAAAGTTGCGGTTTTATTTATCCTTTTATATCTTCTGAACCGAATAGAGGTGGGTGCTTCTATTCATATGAGATATGAAAATGTGTACTTGTTTAGGATTGCAAAGTCACTTTCAGATGTGATTAAGACTAAGTAATACTTGTGACCATCTCGGTATGGAAACGGAGTTTGGAGATTCTCTAGAGATATTTCAGTGAAATTAAAAGTATCAATAAGGAATTTTGCAGCTGTGTGCCGGCCCGAAAATAAAGGTCCAGATATCCCCAAAATCAGCATAATGACGAGATTAATTATTAACGAATTTTATTATCTATGGCTGGAGTTCTTTATTTAAGACCAAAAGGATTAGTTGCAACTTGTGGAGGAGTGTATTTGCTTCTATTTTCAGACGGGGCTGGAGCCTTAGTTGGAGCTTTCACAGGTACTGGTGGGGTCTTTTTTATAGGATTCGATCCCTTCATAGGAATGTGTGCAGGTATTTTTGGAGGTGGAGCTTTGATTGGCATTGGAATTTCATTTTTTGGCTCAAGCTCATCAATTGTGTTTTCTGGCATTTTGACCTCATCGATGTCCACAAACTTCAGACTTGAACCTAAGCCAAATTCAGTTTTTTCATTAATTTTATCAGTGTTCTCTCTTGAAACAGACTTAGGCTCAAAGCTTAATTCTTCAGAAATCTCAGATTTAATTTCTTTTTTGATTGGCTCATCAAATGATTCTTTCTTTTTCTTGAAAGAAGCATCTGACTGCTTCCTTTCACTTTTCTCAGGCTCAATGACTGATGTTGTCTCTTCTCTGTATCCTAAATTTGCATTGACAGCATTTTTATCATCAAGATAGGCTTTACTTATATCATAGGGATTGGAAACTTCTATGGAGTCAACAACAGGAATTTCATTGATGCTTATCTTAGGCCCTTTTGCTTTGTCTAGCTTAATCCATAGGTCTCTATGCGATTCAATGACTTTGCTCTGAAATTCATGCTGAGTAGTTTGGATCCTTGCAATCTCAGAAAGGATTGTGTCTAACTTTTTACTTGTTTCGTTGTCAATCTTGCTGTTTCCTTTATCAAGTTTTACATCCACTGAGCTTTCTTTGATGGAATTTTTCACGCTTGCAATAGTTTGTTGAAGCTCTTTGTTTTTTGCTTCAAGCATTTGCATAACTTCAGCTTGCGCATTTTCTTCAGTTATTTTGTAGCTGAGATTTATTCTGTTTCTTTCAGGCAAAACTAATTTCAAACATAAATAGAAAAGTGCGATATAAAATACAATGATGTTAATAGGAGTCATGCTTCGGATTGCTTTATAAGCAGCAGCAATGTAATGCTCTGTAATCAATGCAAAGTTAACGAAAACAAGATAGAATGGGCCATTCTCATCTGGAAGATTAATTTTTTGATTTTTTTGTGGTTCTTGGGGTTTTTCAATGTGTTCATGATATTCATTATGCTCATGTGTATGAGAATGCTCATGGTGGCTATGATCATGGGAGTTATGTTCCAATTCTTCTTCATGATTATGATGTCCGTGTGGATCTTGGGCCATTTTTGCAAATTCACTTCTTTTGTCACTTTCTGCGTAGCCATCAGCCTCGATATCATCTTGGTAATCAGAATCTATGGAGAGGACTAGCGAAATTGCAAGGATGATGACTAGGAATTTCTTCATATTAATTTTATTTTATATTGAGAAATTGCTTAATCTTACGTGTTCGGTATAAAAAATAATAGCTAAATTATTGCCCCAAGAACTTTTATTAAATTTTGCTTTTACATGAAATCTTCATCCCAATCCTCTTCATCTCCGTTTTCTCCGAGCTGGGCTACATCCTGTTGATATCTTAAAAACGCTCCAATCCCATTAAATCCTCTAGCAAATTGGCTACCTTCTTGGCTTTTATCAGAGACCAGTTCAAGCTCAGATCCGAACTTCATATAATTTTCCACAATCCATTCGGCTAAAGGTCCTTGCTCGACTATGTCAACCTTCTCTCCTTTTTCATCAACTGTACTTATTTCTGCTTCCTTCCCTTGATTGCAATACACGATGTCTTCTCTTCCTGATTCTGGATGTCTTAGCAAAGTCCTTACGGCACTTAAATTTTCATAGAGAATGACTTTTTCGCATGATCCCATCAAAAGTGCCCTCATTGTATCTTCAATTCCATAGCAATACTTCTTAGTATCCTGGGCGATTTCTTCAAAAAATTGACTGATAATAGCCTTTTCTCTTATAAACTTCACATTATTCAATGTATCTGCTGATAGCTCAATTGCTTGTTGGAAGCCATTTTGTCCTCCATATGCGATGTCCACAATTTTTATCACTTTTGATTGAAGCCTTTCGTCAAACATGTCACTCTGGGCTAGCTCCTTTTTAAACTCAGCACTTCCAGCAATAATTATCCCAGTCACATTTATCTTGTCACCTGTAATAAATTGCACAACTGCTTGCTCTGAGACTTTCCTCAAATAATTGTGCCTTGATTCCTTTCGAAGTCTTGAAAAACGAAGTGCAGACTGCCCACCTCTTCTGTGCTTTTTTGGCAAATCAACTGAAAATTGGTTAAGGATCTCTTTGGCGTTTCCCTGTAAGGTGCCAAAAAGAGTACCATTTCCATCTATAATGATAAATCCATATTTATCTTCCATAACTAAAAGGTCTTTTAGCGGTTGGGTGTGAAATGTGTTGTTGCAGATATAAATTTTTGTGTTAATCGGCCTGAATGGTTCAATATCAATTGTGACCTTTTTCTCAATGACGTCTTTGTCATTTAGGATTTCACCACAGTAAATCACAAGGCCATTTTTAGGCATTCTGTTATTGTAAAGCTTTAGTCTTTCTCGGATTGAGGTTAAAGCGCTTAGGATTGCTTGGCGGACTACACGGGACTTGATTGATGTCGCTGAGCCGCACTCATCGTTTATCATACGGCCTGTTAGGGATAATTGTTCGGTAGGTGGGATGATCAGGGAGATAAGTGAAGTTCCATGCCCTCGGCACTTGTCAAGATTTTGAATCAATCTTTTGATTTTTCACTGCTCGATGTTCTCAGCTACTCCTCGGGAGTCATCCATATTTATCTTATTTATCCTTTACAATATGGATTTATCCAAAAAAGATAAAAAGCTCAATTAATCCGCATTTCAAATTTATGATATCTGATGCTTTCTGATTGACTCTCAAAAGTGTCATATAGCAAAGCACCATACTCCATTTAATTTTTATTAAAATTGGAACAAAGAACTTGAATCATACCTAAATCCCCCACTCTGTGAGGAACAAAAAAAATTTATTCGCTCATGGGTTAATTTTTTAAGTCGAAATAATTTTCAAGCCCATATTTATTTAACTTGTATTTAAATTGGAAGCTAATTAAAATTAAACAGAATTAATTAAGATTCCATTATAATAATTATCATTTATATATCAAAAAATTTTTTCATAAAAATTGTTTGGCTCATGGGTTTTTACCCAATGAATAGCAATTTTTCACGGAGGGGGGAAGTAAGAGGCTTTTCAAATTTATTCAGTTCCAATTATAAATAATTTGTAAATACCTATTATCGTTATTTGCAGATTTTTGAACTTTACCACCTAAGTGTGGATTTTTTTCCGCGTGTGAAAAGAGGATTTCACGTGTGGAGCCCTTTTGATTTCACATGTGGAATCCTCTTTTCACACGCGGAAAAAATTTCCACACTTAGGTGGTAAAATTCAAAAATCTGCAAATAACGATAATAATTTTCTATCAAAAGTTCAAACTTCTTTTATATTTTAAACCTTTTGATTCGCTCAATTTTAAATTTGATAACTATGAAATGTGAGAACTATTTCTGTATTAAAAGATAAAAGATAAATTTCCATAATAATTAAAAGACAAAGGACAAATTTCCATAGTAATTAAAAATCATTTAAAAATTAAATTGACGATTTATAATAAAGATTTCATTGCTAAATTTGAGCTTATTTAAATTATATTTTTATATAATTTATTTAAACTCTGTTACTTTATAATATGAATTAAAAAATTAATAACATTGCATAAGCATATAATCTGCTTGCTCTTGAAATTAATGAACTTTCTACATTTTTAGTAATTTTTATTCAATGAACGATGAGCTCAGAGAAACTTTAACCTACATTAAAGAAGACCTTGCTCCTAAAATATTCGAGCAAGTTGAAAATGGAAATCCAGCAGATCTAGGATGCGATGTTTTTATGAATGCTTACGGTCTTGTTTACAAGACTCATGAAATAGACGATAATTCACATTTCTTGTATGAGGAATATACCAATCTTGCCAGGACTTATACCGAAAAAACATCAAAGCCAAAACTTCTTTGCTCAGAAGGAAGAAATTTAGTAGTTAATCTCCATAAATCATGAAAAAAGCACAAAATTCTTGTCTATTGGCTACAAAAAATTTTTTGCATTCTTGACTTGTATCATGTCAAAAATAATGGACTTTCACGTATAGTTCCGCTAGGATTACAACTATTTAAAACTGAGCTATTTGATTTAATATCAAAAAGTAAAATCCGTGCAGCCCTTATTGAGCAAATACAATATGAAAGAGAAGGAAATGGCAGCAATGCTAGCTATATGAGAAAATGCTTATCCTGCCTTTCAGAAATTGCTGCAAGAGATGCAAGTCTGACTAAAAGGAAAAATCAAAAGAAAATTATATGAGAAGGGATCCCCAATTACGAATTTTCCAAAGAAATTTTTGAAGAATCATATTTGCAAGGGGTCAAGCTTTATTATACTTCTAAGCCCATAGGATGAATGTCAAGCCTTTTGATCCCTAAAAATTTCCAGGAAGCAATCAAAATATTCGAAGAAGAATCAGAAAGAATTAGAAGTTACGAGAATTTACAAAATAAACTTTTAAATATTATCGCTGAAGAGATTGTAAAAAGAGTTGCCTTGAGTTTAGCAGATATACTAGAAACTGGGAAAATAAGAATGTTTGATCAAGATAAAAGAGATGAAGTGAAAATGATGTTTGAGGTTTTTAAAAACTATGAAACTGCTCTTCAATCCATCACTCCTGGATTTAAGCTTTATATTGAAAAAAAGGGGTTAGAGATTATATCAGATGAAAAGCTCCAACAAGATCCTATTGAGTACACAAGAGCAATACTAAAATATGAAGCAGAAACTGATAAACTAACTGATTATTTATTTTCCAACCATTTTGCATTCCAGAAAAGCAGCTCTTCTGCATTTTGCAACTTTATCAATAAATTCTCATGCTCAGCTCCTTATGTTGTCGATTATAGCGACTATATGATGAAAAAAGGACTTCTTGGACTTTCTGATAGAGAAATTGATATAAGATTATCTGAAATTGCTATGATTTTTGTATGGCTATATGATAAAGATATATTTATTAATCTCTATGCTCGCCTTTTGGCAAAGCGGCTATTAGATAGGACTAGCATAAGCAATGACGCAGAAAAAATATTGATTGAAAAACTGAAGATTGAGGGTGGCTATGCAATTGTGAATAAAATTTACAGTATTTACCAAGATATTTCTCTATCTGAAGTTATTACAGCTGAGTTTAATCAGAACTATAACCAAGACGGCCTTCATGAAATTCAGTTTTCTGCACAGATCTTGAAATCAGGGTGTTGCCCTGGGATATCATCTGAGGCTTGCTTATTACCTTATAAAATTCAAGCTCTAGCAAAAGAATTTTCTCTATTTTATAAGAATAAATACAGTGGACGTAGCATTACTTGGGCTACTGGATTAGGAACTGTTGAGATCCGCAGCTTGTTTTTGAATAAAAGTTACAATTTTATAGTGAACCCATATCAAGCAGTCATACTGCTTATGTTTAATAATGGAAATACATATAGCGTCCGAGAATTAAGAGAGAACTCCAAATTAAGTGAAAATACCTTTAAAGCCAATTTCATAAAATTTTTCAGCCCAAAATCAAAAATATTTAATAAAGAAAGCAGAGGGAAGACGTTAAATGATGAAGAATTAATTACAATTAATGAAAATTTTGCAGCTGCAACGGTTAGAATTATTTACATTCCTAAAAAAGCAGTGAGAGCTTCCAAGCCAAGCCATAATGAAGAAGTAATAATAGCTATTTCTGAAAGAAAGCAGATTTTGGACGCTATTATTGTAAAGATTGCGAAAGCCAGAATAGTTATGAAGCATCAGGAGTTAGTATCTGAAGTCCTCGAAGAAGTAAAGAGTTTTAAACCTCAGCTTAGCATGATTAAAGCACAAATTGAAAGCTTGATTGAAAGAGAATTCTTGGCAAGAGATATCAATGATCTTTCAGCTTATCACTATGTCCCATAGCTATGCTTTTAAATTAAATAATAGAGATCTTTAGCATATGCATATAATTAGAAACATCCACTTTATATTAATTTATTGAAAAACCCTAAATAAATTTTATACTCCATAATTTGCAAATGGCAATTGAAACTGCTGATAAATAATATAAAGTTTAATATATGGCATCTGCCTTATCCATCACGATTCCAAAATTTCCAGCTATTATAATTTTGATATTTTTGTACTCCGATTTATTTAGAGAGTTTCCTGCAGCTCTCAAGGTGCTCTCATAAAATTTATCTGCTATATCAAGGCCTTGACTTTCAAAGCATTGAAAACATGCAAACAAAATATATTCTGTCCAAACAAATTTTTCCCTTAAAAGTCCTATAATCCCAAAAATCCCTGCATCACTATGATGAAACCTCTGTATGAGATCATATTTATTAGCTTTTCAAGATATCATACATCCATCTTCATCTCAATTCTTATATATTGATTGGTATCCCTGAATTAAAGAATATTGGTCAAAGCCATCTTGAATATGCTGAAAAGCAATTATATCTGGGCTTTCAGAATATATTGATTCAAAAATAAATCTTGCTTTGGCTTCTTGTATTGCATAATTTCTAGAATAATGCTCCTCTGGCGGAATTATTGAAGATATGTCGTAATTAAGAATTTTTGGTCTATTATCTATTGGTTTTATGCTATTCTGAATAGATCTCTTATGCTCAGATGGCTTGGATTCAGAATTTATCCATAATTCAGATAAATTTTGAGTAGTTTCTGGATCTTGAGGAGGAGCTTCATTTTTTTGAGTGACAGAAACTCTCTTTGATGCTGTTTTTATTGTATAAGCACCATCTGTTACTACACTTGAATTTTGGCTTAATTTTGCTGATTTTCTTGATATGTTTGGAAGACAGATATCATCCATTTTCGCTTATTGAATATATATATTTCTATCATTTATGTAGATTCCTTTAATTATTCATTTAATCAGCAATTTTATTCTTATTTTTTAGTGTCAATAATCCACATCGAGGAGTTTATAAACTTAAATTAATTATGTTAATATTTGTAAATAATAAATAATTTCTAGTATTATCCTAGACAAAGCCGCAACATTTCTTTTTATTTCGTATTTTTATCTTTTCTTCTTTGATTTTTCTATTATTTTTCTTAGATGGCTTTTTGTTATCGATATCAGTTTTTTTGCCTGTGAAAGTATTTTTACTAGCAGTCACTTCTTGCATTGATATTAGTGACGCTCTATCAACAACATCATTTTCTAAGTCCACGTTTCCTTCATCTTCATCTGTAGGATTTACAATTAATTTAAGCTCTTCTTTTAAATCAGGACTCAAATTATGAGAAATAAACAAGCTTTCCACTAGCAAGCTTGGGTTTTGGCTATCATCTTCTTCTTGCCAATAAGCATTAACTCCGTCATTTACTACAATTTTAGTAAGTAATTGATCAAGATTAATGCTACTTCTGGCAATAGAATCAATTTTTTTACAGTCAGAACTAGCATTTTCTATATCCTGAGGAGAGTTTTCATCAACTTCTTTGAGTCGTGAAATATTTGCCTCAGCTGATTCAATGCAGCTTATTAGCCTTGTAAGCCGAGCCTCGGTTTCTGCTATATCTTCTTTAATTGATTTCATATCCAAATACACTTCAGCCTGTTCTTTAACCAAAGTTGGCATTTTTTCACAGATTTCTTGTGCTTCCATATCTTTAACAGTATAGGTATAAGCCTTCATAACTCACGTAGAAAGTGCCACAATTTCATCAGGAATTCTTCCATCACGAATCATGAGAGAAAGGTTATGTTTTTTCTGAATCTGCAATATAAAATCGAGGCTTTCAGGCTCAAGGTTTTGAGGATCAAATGATTGCAGAGTTTCTTGAAAAGTCTCGCAGTCTTTGATGACTCTCTAATTAGAAAATACTCGAAAAGTCGACCAGGTACCTGTAGAATAGCCAATCATTAAACAGATCGCAATGCTTAAATCTTGAAGAAGTGGCCATGGGTTTATGATTTCTAGAATGGAGCGAAGCTGGAATTTATTAAACGATTCTGCTATTAGACTGGCTTCTTTTGCAGCAGCTCGACTTTCAGAAACAACAGCTGAATAATATTTTTCTTGTTCTTCTAAGATGAGATTGCATCGTTTGAATTGAGATTCAAGGGAGCCTAGCTCTGCTTTGTAGCTCCATAAAGAAAGTTTATTGGCTTCTATTCCGCGCTTGCATTCGTTGGTAAGTGATTGCTGCTCTTTGATCAGTTTTGAAATTAATTCTGACATTGTATATAAATTTCAAAAAGGCGGAAGTGAGGGAGTAATTAATTTAAAAGTTTTGAGGGATTTAACGAGAATGCATTTATAGCATCTTTTAAATAACTATGATAATATATTTCTATCTATGGTTTGATTTGAATGAGTAACAAAATTGTAAGCTTATAATTAGAAATATGCTTTGCTTATGAGATGGGCTAGACATGGAGAGTTGGTAATTGTGTCAGAAGACGCTCATTTGCCAACCCTCCGGTTGATTTGACCAGCCAGAGTAAGCCCGTAGCTGAGAAGAGAAGCTCTCCATGTTTAAGTCTATATCGGCTACTCATAGATAAAGCCTATATCAAATTCAAAATGAGAATGATGCTAACCCCATGAAAAAAATATCTGTTCCAATTTAGGAAGACTAATTTTCATATAATGCAATATTTTATTTTAAAGAAAAATAAATTTATAAATTTATTGATTTAAAGCACCAATTTCGTTTAAGTGGTATTCTACTGCACTTCCTATTTAAAATAGAGCAACATATAGCTAAATTTTCGATATAGCGTATAGCAAACTATTATTATCGGTTATTATTTTACTATAATCTCTGCAAAATTCAATTTTTGTTTCAATTTAAAAGTTAGGGCAGTTAAGAATTTCAAGCCTTAAATGAGATCAAAAATCTTAATTCATGCTCCTTAAAGAAGAATATGTATAAAGAAGCTATTTGCTAAATTATTTTGAATGCAGAATCCTGTGAAATATGGACGAAATTGTAAAAGAAACACCATGAGCTTAATCTTAATTAGCTTAATTTAATTAGATCAAGAGTTAACCTCTAGGTGCATAGATTCACAAGGAAGCTTTTCCCAGTTTTGTTGCTGCTATCACACGCATGCTGAGCCAACCAGTACAATCGCTTTTCCTGATCCCCGTAAGCCATTTGATAATTCAGAATAAAAGAACACTCAGTTTAAAGCTTTACCTCATATTTTCCGATTTTCCTCAATCGTCTGCTAGACCAAAGCAAATTTATTATTACTTAAAATTCTTACAAAGTATATAAGCTGATTTTTTTGATAATTTTACTAGTGAAGCATCGAAGTAGTAAATCTATATTAATTTAATATTGGTTTATTAAAACAATGTGCAATTGAATTCAGCTTATTATCATATCAAGCTTATCATTTGCTTTGAGCGATGGGATTTATGATTTTGTGGTAGGAAAAGAAAAGAAGGGAACTCTCAATTATGTGCAAAATCTATTTGTTTCGGCATTTATATGTGCAGTCACTGGAAATGGGTGTTTATGATTGATATGAGATGCAGATCAAGATGAAATGTCAAAAGCATTAAATATTTCTATTTTGGCAGGCATATTTTACTTTGCGTCGCATTTATTGCTATTAAAATCATTTGAAAGCACTCCGAGTACTGTTTTACTGCCTTTGCTTCAGGCAGGCACTGTGTTTACATTATTTGGCTCTATAATAAAAAGTTGAATTACAGGAGAGGCTTGACTTGAGAATTATTGGCATCTCTTATCATATCTTTTATTATTAATAGGGGGACTTCTGCCTGCTACACAAGGAAACCTCCTTCGGGCTTTTTCTATAAAATTTTGAAAACAATCAAATGTGATTTACCCTATTTTTGCTGAAATTTTCTACTCATTTTACGATTTGGCCATTTCATCAATTGAAGCAAATAAAGAAAGCTCATTTGAGATGCAGCTATATATGACAGCAGTCACACGCACTGTTTTTATCATATGCTTTCTTATCTTTTTGCCACTTCGAAAAAAAGAAATGAACGATGTAGTAAATTTAGGATACTCAAGGGCCTTCTTATTTTCTGCAATTTCAGAAATCCTCACACAGCTTGCATTTTTTGTCTCTGCTGGGGCATTCATGTGCTATTATCAAGTAAGCCTGGTTCATGCAGCTGAAGGCTCACTTATACAGTGCTTCAATTTGATTTTTTCTTTTTGTTTGAAGTATTATTTTAACCTTGGAAAGTCGAACTCAATACAGGTGATATTTATTTAGAATATGGATATAAAAGCATTTTCATTTTTGCTAATTGGATTAGGATTATATATCAGCACATTATAAGCTAATAATTAGTCTGCTATAAGTAAATTTCTGTGGACATGCTTGCAAGCGTGATTTCTTGGCGTTGCTGACTGACATCGCAGCCCAAAAGGCCAAGGTATTTTAAGTTCAGTGATGAAAGGATTCTTATGATCGAGGCTGATCCTTCGCTACTTATGTTGTTTCTATCTAAATAAAGATCTGTTAGAGAAGAAAGCCTTGAAAGATATTCACAGCTTTCTGATAAACAGTGGCTATCCAAGCCAGTCTGTTCGAAATTTAGAATTTGGATAGACTTGGGGAGGCTTGAGATAATAGCCGAAATTCCAGAAGAGAACAGCTTATTTTCACCTATATTTAGGACTTTCAGCTTAGTCAGCTTGTAAATTTCAAATCCAATAAATGCTGCTCCTTTAGCTCCGATTTCTGTATTATGAATATCGAGGAGTTCTAGCTTCGGAATATATGAAAAAGTATTAGCCAATGCTCTTGCACCTTGGTTTCCAAGCCGATTTTGGCTCAAGTTTAATTCTTTTAAATTGATCAGTGTTTGCGAACCTCTCATAAATAAAATTGCATTTGGTTCGAGGCTAATTTTCTCTCACTCATCGAATTTTATTTATGGGTTTGTTTTCTATCGAGATCTTTTTCAAAGCAGCAGCGGTTTAACTTTTGGGATAACCAGAGGAACTGTTTCTCAGTGCAACCAAGAGGCTTAGGGTTTCGCCATTCAGTACATTGAGGAGGATGACCCTTATGAGGAGCTTAAGGTAATTGTCAATAGCATCGAGTTTAATGAGAAGTACTTCTCATGATGGCAGGCGTTTTATTTGGGATGTACCTATCTTTTTGGTCTGAATTACTCTGGTGTCACCATTTTGGCTCTGTCACTTTAGTGGGAGTGTGGCATTAGGCACCCTTAATATTCTATTTAATATAATGTTAGCAAACTTGTCGAAATTAAAATAACACTTTCTGTACCAATACCAATATTTTCTAGCATAAGTTTTTCCAGCTTTGTAAGTTTGCTCAAGCTTAAACTCAGTATATCAGCTGCCTTATCTCCAATTCTGTTCCTACTCAAATTCAACTCTTTTAAGCTAATCATATCTATTAAAGACGTAGCAATAACTTCGCATGACCCTTCAAGCAGTTGGCAATTATCCAAATTAAGTTCACTTGCATGTGAATAATAGGGAAGTATTGCGGCCAAGTATTTTCCGCATTCCTCTCCTAAACTTTTATCAGCTAGATCTATATTTGCCACAGAGCTCATTTGCTCTTTAAATACTTTTTCTGCTAGCGCATGGACTTTAGGATGCATTTGAGGGATATGAACGCTCTGCTCGTTTAAAATCGGTGAACTATTCAAACTTTGCTTAGATTTTGCAGCTTTAGGACTGCATTCACAGTTGCCCATATCTTAAACCAATATTCAATAATAAACTAACTCTGCACCTTCGTGAACGATCAAAACCATTGGAATAATCCTTATTATTTACACCCTCCTGGAGCGAACAAAATTTTTTTGATAATTATTATAATGAAATCTCTAGCTAATTCTGTTTTAATTTTAAACAAATATCATTCTAGAATATAAATTTTACTAATTAAATAAATATTTGCTTTCCAATTTTTGCAAATTAAAAATTTAGGAAATTTATATATATAATTTTTTTTAAAAAAAATAATCCCCTCCGTTAGCGAACAAATATTTTTGATAGCTAAGATGGCGAACCAATTTGTGTCTCCTGTGAAGCAAAATCCCTGGTACCAGTTCTGGCTTCCTCCATATGAACCTCTGTGCCCAGCCAGCAGCATGGGGCACTTAATAGCTCCTCTTGAGATCACACATTTCAAAGCAGAGTACAAAGGTTTCCCAGATCAGACCTCGCCTTTGACAGCAAGAATCAACAACGCTTACGCTTCAGTGATCAATGTCGCAAATGGTACGATTCGGTCCGCAATGTTCAAGCTTACGATTATCAGAATTATTTTGGCAATTTATTTTTTTTGGGGAGTCATTGATCTTTTGATCGGCTTAATCACATTAGACGTTGGGATTTTCTTTGGAAATGTCACAGTTGTTGTAGTCTGCATTTTGGGAATGAGACTGGGAGCAGCTCAATACGTAACGAGGATGGATAAGCATATGAATTTAATGAATAGAACGCTTGGATCTCTTTCGGATGAAGTACTTTGAAATGCAGGTGTTAGAGTTGTAGCTGGAAACTCCTGCTATTGGTTGGACTTCTATGATAATCGCATGCAACCACAAGCAGGAATAATTCCGACTGGAGTAAACCCATTCCAAGTTGCGGGATATCAAATTGGGCCTCAATATCAGCCTCCAAGCCAATCAGAAGCACCACAACAGTCATTACTGAATCAGCCACAACGTCCAGCTCAAGTATTCACCTTAAATCAAGTTAATCCTCAAGGAAATCTAAACTAGCCACTCCAAGGATACTCAAATCAGCCTCTTTAATAACTTGAACTTAATAAAATTAATTAGGTAATTTAAGTAAGATTTGCATTTGTCAGGTCCTTCAGATTGTGCCACAAAAACCCTGGGTCTTTGGAGTGGGTTGTTGCCCGAGGGATCAGGCCGAAATTGCCCAGCCCTTATTCATGCGGGAAAACCTCCGGAGGGAGTAAAACTCGCCGCCAAGCCCCTCTTCAGATATTGTGCTACAATGACTTCTTTTTCTGCACCAAGGAGTAATTAAAATGTTCGGAAACCCTTCTGAGGAGCTCACCCTCACCGATTAGCTTAATCTCCCTACTATCTGGAGTCAGGCGTTTCTAATTAGAGGCCAGGAGTCTCCAGAAATAAATTCCTACATCGGTGCACCCTTGTTAGGAAAACGATTGCCGCCTTCCTCTCAGACTTCTCATATAAACTATGTTTAATAACTGATATGATCGATTATATAATAGAACTGAATTAATTTGCATAGGGCCATAAGATTTTGACTCCTTTTTATTGCAGTAAACGCAAAATAAGTTTAGAATTTTTAAAGCAAATCTATTTACGCACTTTAATTGCCTTTTATATTTAATTTCTTAGTTTAACACTATTTGACTCCAAAATAAATATTTAGTTTTTATTTTCGCAGTTTACAATAATATAAGGCAATTAAATTTTTGTTTTTTAATTTTGTAATATTATGAAACCAGAAATTTGGGAGCTAACTCACAGGCTATGGGGGATCGAAATTAGCATTTATGACATGTGCATCATTGCATTCAACTTACTCATGGTAATTTTTGCAGCTTTGTGTTTTGCAATTGCATGTTGTGAGAAGAAAGAGAGTATGCAAGGCAATTATCAAACAAATGGATATGCTAATATTGGAGATACTGGAAACTTGAAAGCGTTCAAAATAGGTGGACAAGCTGGGCCAACAAAAAGAAAGAGCACGTTTAGGATACCTTCAAATAAAAACATTAAAGAAGATATATCCTGTAGTGTTTGTGGAATTGGACTGGTATTTAGTAGCCAGATTGGATAGGCTATAATCTATCATAATTTTTTTCTTAAATTCATAACGGAAATATAATATGAAATTTAAAGAATGCATAGATGAATTATTATGTAATTACTTTTTAATTATTATATTAGCTTATTATATTTATTTACTATATCATTAATTATTACTAACTCCCTTCCCCCTCCGTGAGTGAACAAAAGAATTTTGTTCACTCATGGAGGGTTAATTTTTTTTTTTCTAAAAAAAAATTTTATATATAAATTTTCTAAAAAAATATTTTTTTCCGAAATTTAAAAATCCTAATTCGCAAAAATTGGAAAGCAAATATTAATTTAATTTATAAAATTTATGTTTTAAAAGCAATTTGTTTACAATTAAACAGAATTAGCTCTAGATTTCATTATACTAATTATCATTTATATATCAAAAATTTTTTCTATTAAAAAAAAATTTTATTCATTCACGGAGGGTGGGTTTTTGGGCAAAAAATAATGATTTTGTTCACTCGCAGAGGGGGGGAGTAAGATTAACTTTTTTCTAAATACCTGCTTTCATAAGCGAGCAGCAATATATAAATAATCAGCAAAACTTTGAAGCAATATTTGAGTATATTTATAAATGCCAGCACATATATAGAATAATTATTAGCCCAACTCTTCTTATTATTCATCAAATTAATAATATGATTATTAATAAATGTCAGAATCTTTCAAGAGTTTACTGGAAGATGCTTGAATAGAAGAGTTGCTGATGTCAGTTGAAAATGAAGAGTTTAACGAGTAATTATAAATTAGAGAATTAATAGAAGATCGCATCAGCTTAGTGAATGACGAAATTTTCATAATAATAAAATGGCTCAGTGCGGAATTAGTTCTCTCCGAGAATTATTCCTTCATTCGCTTTTATTATTATGGGTTCAGTTTTCCACGTGGCCTTTTATCAGCAATACCAATATGAAATACCGCATAGGGTATTTCTTTGGTCCAAGATACTAATGACATCTGGGTTTCTGCTTGGCACACCCGAGGAGGGTGACCCTTAGGCGGAAACACGTGCAGGAGTCAAGTTCGGGCGAGGCAACGCTGCCGGTGCGGAACTTCTGGCCTGGCTAGAGGCGAAACTTTATAGAAGGCTTGGTAGGGCTAACGATCCAAGATGGCTTGGTGACGTCACTAATTTTAGGAGTTAAAAGGATGGGCTATGCCTAAATCATCCTGCTGAAGAAGTCATACACCTTAAATAATTAAGTAAGAATGACGAAATTTTCAATATAAACCTTGAACATAAACAAATTAAGATGGATATATATGCTTTAAAAATAGAGAGGGCAAATATCAAGCGCACAATTGCAATTGATGAACAAACCAAACTCATTAAAAAGCACGCCGCAAGGTATAAAAATGAGACTTATCAGAACTATTTAATAAATGAGCTAATCAAATATAGTAATTTAGTTGAAGATTTGAAGTCGGCAAAGGACATAGCTTCTGTTGACAAACTCCGTTTACAAAATGCTATTATATTAAAAGATATAGAAATTGAAGAAATGACCTCTAGTTATGAATCAATTTCTGATGAATTAAAAGCGCTTAAATCTGCATACTCACATAAAAAAACCTCCAAAAAACTGTCTAGTAGTACCATAATTTCCACTCAAATGCGGGAAAAAAATTCAAATTTCGAAGCATCAAAAATTCAAAATTCTTCATTTTTGCTTAATTTCACTGCATCTCTGTCAACTAATTCATCTAGATAAATATATGAAAATCTAATTAAATTGAAGATAAGTTTAGATTATGGGATATAGTTATAGATCGACCTATCATTTTCATCCCTAGCCAAGAATTCTCTTTGAATTAAGCTTTCTATTTGAGTCTTAATCATCTGAGGCTGAGGTCTGAAGTGGTTCACCTGCCTGATTACTTCAGTTATACTATCTTTAAAAAATACCATCGCTTTAATTTTATTAAAAAAACTAATGATTTATTCTTAAGAATTCACCATACTAATTCTTGATGCTTAATTACTCTTCTAGCCTTCGCAATTCTCACGATAACAGAGTCCAGAATATTTTTTCTTTCTGCAGTTATAGCTATTTCATCTTCTTTGGCGCTTGATTCGGTCTTCTTGACTTTTTTCGGGATATAGTTGACTCTTAAAGTTTGGGACTGGAAGTCTTCGTTAATTGTAATTAAGTCTTCGTCATCTAAGGTTTTCCCTTTGCTTTCTTTATTCAGGAGTTTCATCTTAGGGTTGAAGAACATAATTAAGTGGGCTTTGAGGGTGTTATCGCTGAGTCTTGTTGCTTCTCTGAACTGCTGGACTGTATATCCGTTTCCGTGGTTGAACATAAGAAGAATGGCTGCTTGGTAAGGGTTGACGATACAAGTATAGTTCTTTTTAGAGAACAAAGTACCCATTTCAAGATTTCCAAACCCAAGAAGCCAAGTAAGGTTACGTCCTTGGTGCTTATTCATATAAAATTCAGTGAACTTTCTGGTGCAGCCTTGGACTTCTTGAGGCAAAGTGCAAGCTTCAGATGATTGTTCAGGCCAACAGCCGCTTCTTAATACTTGTACTGAAAGCTGAATGCCATCAGGCTGGCCTTTGTGACGCTGAGTCTTGAACTCATTCATAACGGTTTCAGACAATGCAATATCCTGGTACATATTCGAAATCTTGCTCACAATGTTGTTGCCGCATTCTACCTTAAGCTTGGCTATCATTGTTTGTTCAGCATCATTGCTTATACTTGTCCCATCTAGCAGCCTCTTAGCTAGATATCTCGTATAGTTCCTAATAAACACATCTCGATCGTGAAGACATACAAAAAGCTTAATCAATGCGTCAAGTCTTCTCTCAGTTTCTACTTCAGAGACTCCTTTAAGACCTCTTCTCATTTCATTGTCGCAGTAGGAAGCAATATAAGGTGCAGAAAAGGCGCATTTGTTCATAAAGTTCTGAAAAGCCATATCTCTACATCTTTGGAACAGTGAATGGTTATCGAATGAATATTCTACCAATGTATCGATTTCGTTTTTGAACTGCAGCAGTGCTTTTGTATATTCAATTGCGTCTTGTTGTAGCTGCTGATCCGAAACAATAGCAGATCCTCTTTTTTCTATATAAGGCCCCATTTTTGACGTAATATGCTGCAGCGTGTTTTCTGACCTTTTGAAAATGGCGAACATCATTTTCAGCTCATCCCTTTTATCATGCTGAAACATATCCACGCATCCCGTTCCAGGCATTTCTGACAAGCTTTGGGCGTTTCTCACAATTATTTCTTCCACAATGATGCCTAGGAGTTTCGGCTTTGTTGTAGGCTCAAGATATCTGTCAGCCCTCTCCTCTTCTTCTTCCAGCACTTTTTTTGCTTCTCTTAAGTATTCAGGACATGAGAGACTTGACATCCAGCCTGCCGATTTTGAGGCATAGTAAAGTTTGGTGTCTTCCAAAAATGGGCTTTCAAAAATCCTTTCGTAAAGTTCAAGCTTTGGGTTGCCTTTCCACAGCAGTCTATCTCTATCGTCAGCTTTATCGTGAGTTTTGACAATTTCTGAGTCCGTCAGGCCCATCTGAGCAAAGCAGACCAAGCATTCTCTGACACGATTGCGGTCAATGGCAATACCTTCTCTTTCGCTGTGGATTTGTAAGACAAGTGCAATTCTGATTTGTTCTGAAATGACGTCGAAGACATCTGATTTGAAAATATTGAGCCCAGCTTGGAAAAGGGGAACTGCTTGGGTGTTTTTTACGTGATACCTGTCAAGGTACATGAAGATTTTTCTCATCCAATAGACCAGGATTTTATGATTTTCCCATCTTCAAGCTAGCTTGGTGAGCAAGGGTTCTCCTTTTAAGTGCGAGAGCTCAGTCTTCACAACTTTTACAGTATATTCTTTAATTGTCTTGATATACTCATCATAAAGCACTTTCCCATTGTCATCTTGGTCTGCCAGCTCAAGAACTAGCCCATAAGCTCTTACATAAGCGTCGTTTGTTTTGTTGGCAAAAACACCTGTCTCCAAATAGGTGAATAGGTTTTTGACGAGATTTTCGTTGATCGATCTCATACCTTCTCTGACTGCATTCGCCATTGTGGTGTTCCTTATTATGAATTATAGATTCGCTAACTCCTCAGTGAACAAAAATTTTAATATAAAAAATATTTGATATTAAGTGAAATTATTGTAAAAAACCTCTAGCTCTTTTAATTCAAAACAAATTGCATTTTAAAACATAATTTTACAAATTAAATAAATATTTGCTTTAAAATTATTTCGAATCAGATTTTTTGAATTAAAAATATTATAAAAAATTTATATATAAGCTTTAAAAAATATTAGCTCCCCTTTCAACAAAATTGTTTTGTTCGCTCACGAGGAGTAAGAATATAATGGTAGGATTGTGTAGAAGAGAATTTAATTCTAGGGGATACAGTTTTAATATCATCTGCAATTTTAATATAAAACATATAAATAATGCAAAATCAATTTCACTTTTCCTGATGAATAGAGCATTATCATGCAGATACCAATATTATAAAATTATAAAATAATGTATAGAACTTTTATATTTGGTTTATCATAGAAGTATAATAAGACTTATCCAATTGTATTGAGAAACGAATCTTGATTTGAAAATATTGAATGAGACACAAACTTATTTTTCGGAGATTTCATTGTGTCAATCTGCTTAAAAACTGTTGGCTGAAAAGTGCACTCCTTAAGTTCCTCCTTTTCCTTCTGCATCTTCGCTTCTTGTATTTTTTGATCCATCTTGCTTTTCTTTTCTGCAGCCAAATCATAAAGATTCCTGTGCATGCTTCCAATTGTTTTTGACTTCCCATCAATTTTTGGCGCAAACGTGCATTCTTCATCTACTTCTTCTTTCGGTACAACAATTTTCTTCTCTTTTACATGCTCCAAGGGTTTAGCATAATTCCTATCAAGGAAATCCTTAAGTTTCAGTTTTTTTTTTTCTTTTTTGTGCTCTTCTTCAGGCACATATTTAGGCCTTTTAATTTTATCACTATACAGCTCATTTTTCTCTTTGTGAATCCCTCCTACCAGCTTTGCTGATTTTGAGTTAATAGTTGGCTTAAAAGAATGGGTGTCAGTGAAAATTTTTTCAAGCTTGGTTTCTCTGTTGGATAAAAATTCTTTGCCTTTGTTGTATAAAGATTGGCCAATTGCAATGGCCTCTGCAGCGTTTACAGCTTTCTTTTTGGGATGGGCCGGTTCATCTTCTAATGGATTCCTGAAGCTTTGGTTTATTCTTTTGTTGGAGTATTTAGGGGAAATTAGGTTTGTTTTGGCACGGTTTGGCTGTTTGGATGATCTGCTTGGCTGCTTCATTGATAAATCAGCTTCATTGTGAATTATCATTGACTGCGAAATGATTTCATCAAGGTTATCATGACTTATGGAGTTTTCATCTCGGACTGACATATAGCAAAATGTGTTTTCTCTTGAGTCAATAATTTCTTTTGAATCATTGGATTCTGTTTGCTCTGGAGCAAGCTCCGGACTGCAATCTTCGTTTCTGCCTGAGATATAGCAGCTTTCACTTTTTCGTGGGATATCCAGCATGCTCTCTGATTCTTGGATTGAATCTGTTTGATCCTTATTTAAGAGATTTATTTCAGCTGGATGATGCTCATCTTCTTTTCCTTCTGGGATGAGATCTTGCTGATGTTCGCTTTCATTCAAATATGATGCTGCTTCTGGCTGGCTGACTAATGGATCTGGCTGATTTGCTTCATTAAAATATGTATATGTTGACTCCTGGTCTTTATTTTTTGAATTTATTTCTCGAAAATCTTCTTTCTGCTCGATTCCATCTATTAAAGAAATCTCTTCTTCAGAAGGAGATATGCTTATATCCTCCTGGCCAATTTCTCTTAAGCCACTATTTTCTTCAATAGACTGATTTATTGAATCTTTATTTAATGAGCTTATTTCAGCTCCAGCTGTTGTTGGCATACTTTCATAAGTAGGATATGATCCTTCTTCTGGATGAGCTGCTTTCATATTTGAATTAATTTCATTGATGTCTATTTCTGCTCCAACTGAAGAATTATCGTATTTTTGCTCTTCGTTTTCTTTTATTCCTTTGCTTTCTTCTTCAAAGACTTCTCCAGTTGCTTGAATTCTTTCTTCTTCTCTCAAATTTCTTATATCTTGATTTATGTCTTGATTTGATAGACCGTCTATTTTCTCGTTTTGATCTTGCAGGCTATCATTTTCTTGATTTAACGGCAAAATTTCTTCAACCTCTTTTATCTCTTGCACAATCTCATCAGTTTTCGATAGTTTTTCTTCAATTTCGATTTCATTAGATACTTCGTCAGTTTTTTCTGGAATATTTGAGACTGCAACAGGGCGATTAACTTCAGTTTGTAATTCATGGCTTAATTCTTCAGAAGGCTGAATATTGTTTTCAAAGTTCTCGCTATTTGCAATTTCTTTAGCTTCTTCATTTAACAGATTGCTCGCTGAGTTTATTTCTTCAACTTCTGGATTAGACATATGTATTTATTATTTTGTCGATTATATTGAATTATTATGCTTTAATTTTTCTCAATAATTCAATTATCTATTATTTAAAAATTTCTTATAGACTAATTATAGGATAGAAATTATTAGTACATAGCTACTGATAAAGCCTCTTCATTTTTCTCTAGTGCACTAATAGACGTAAATAAGCTTTATTATTGATGCTTATAGCTATTATACGTGCTTATATATTTGAGGTAATTTATTAGTATTTAGCTTATTTTTAAGAAGTCTCCAGGACGTTCAAGTACTTCTTTCATTTTGCTGGCTGCCTTGGCAGCTCTATGTCCATCAATAAACCTATTATCAAAGGTAACTGTCATTGTTAATACTTTTTCAACTACGATTTGTCCATCAACAACAATAGCTTCATCTCTTGTGCTTGAAATTACCACAAGCATAGCAATTCTTTCTACAGGTGGAAACGGTCCATAAATAGTTTCAACATTAAAAGTTCCCACATTAGTAACTGTTGCACACCCAAATGGGTGTCTTTTCAAGTTAAACATCGGTAAATCTAGCCCAATCGATCCTCCAAGCCATGAAAATGTTTCCATTATAATTGCTCCTACACAAGTCGGGATCAATTTAAACGGAGCACTGACTTTTTCATGAATCTTTCGTTCTTCTCCTTCTTTTCCTCTTATTGATCCAACCTTCTTTTGGGTTTCATCATAAATGGTGGCTAAATCTTTATGATCAATGTCTTTGAAACAGATAAATCCTAGGTCTTTTCCTTCCTCAAGGGCAACTAGACAGGACACATCAATAGTATCAAATGGGACAAAATTTCCAAACATCAATTTTCCATTGAGCTCAGGGAAATACTTTACAGCTTCTCCGACTGATCTGCACACAAGATGGGTCACAGTGACTTTTTTGCCTGTTTCTTTTGATGCCTTTTCTAAGAATTCCAATGCGTTTGTAAACCTGACCTTGATTTGTGTATAAATTTCAGGGCCGCTTGGATCTGACCAGGTTGAAATCATGATTTTCCTTCTAGGAGTGTTGAATCGTTCAGCATTTTTGCCAATAAAGATTCAGGAGATTGCAAAATAGCCAGCGACAATCAGGATGTAAATTTTTAAGAATTCCCAGTCATATAAAAGAACATAAGCTATACCTGTTAGAATCGCACTTACAGCGAGGCCATTCATTTTAATTATTAACTAACTTTTTATACACTGGAGGGATATGTCATTTGATAGAGAATTTTTGCTAGTAAGATTTTTCATCAGGAAATAAAGGTCGAAATTTTCCTCATGATACATTTTCCTAAAAAACATTAAATTTGATAAATCCCTTATGAGGAAACAAACTTTGACCAAATGCCACACGAGCAAAATGCCTAGAGGGAAAAAAATCTGCCCACACAGGTGGGGATTCTGCTGATGGCTGGTACTCAGGCGCAAGATTCTCAAAGTTGCTTTGCAGTCTGCCTTCAATTCTTTCATCTTGTCTTCTTATCCCTCCAATAGCCATATTTTTATATTGAATAGGAAAATCTTACTATTATAAAAAATATTTATGCAAAGAGAGTTAGGATTGATTTTTTCTCTTTCTTCTTACTGTATGTGGTAATTAATAGCCCAGTAAGGACTGTAACCAACAGAATACAGGAAATTACCACTTCAATTGCTGTGTATGATCCTGTTACTATAAAACTAGCTAGCTCAGTGAATATTGGCCTTACACTAGCATAAAGAGCGAGGATAGAAATTGATGATTTCCTTGCAGCCCATGCAAGAATTACATAATTGCATGTATAAGCCATAGATATCACAGTAACAGCCCCTATAATCTCCTTCAAGCCATTAAGATCTTTTTCTATATCAATTGGCCTTGCCCAAAAGTATTCTTGTTGTGTATAAGTAATCATCATGCAAATAGTCCCAGTTCCAACTGCCCAAGTAGCTACAATTAGTGGCGATTGTTTTGATATCTTTAATACATTTCTCCATAAGACTAATCCTATAGCAAGCCCAACGCTATGAGTCATCAGTGAAAAAAGCCCACCTATGTGCGTCGCATGTGTAAAGTTGGCATAAACAATGATACCAACTACTCCAGATAATGAAACTCCAACACCAAGCCATTTGAGTTTTTTACTTGACTCATACTTTAGAAACATTCCAAACATTCCGACCAAGCTGGGAGTTAAAAGCATTCATGGGGCTGTCACTGCAGGTGATGTTAGCCTTAAGCCATTGCAGAAGAACAGCTGAGCTACCCAGACTAAAGTCAATCCAGATCCACATGCCATCATAATGCCAGATCTGCCACCTAGCTCCCCTTTATAAATAGGAAAAAATCCCTATTCCAATTTAAAGGGCTAATATGGTTTTAAAAATGATTTTATATAAAAATTTAATAAAAAAAGTAATTTTATTATTGTGAAAACTATTTAGATAATAATTTACTCGAGAATTCTCCCATTAAATTCGGTCAAAACTAGTTTTATAAACTCTCGTATTTCACCTATAAAAATATCCTATTGAAAAAATTGTTAAAGGGGAGTTAAAGTACTCAAAAAATGAAAATTTGCTCTAATTCAAAGGGGGAGTAAGAAGAAGTTTCTCCAGCTTCTAATAGTAAATCCACATATAATTAAAGCTATTGTTGCTATTAAATCAACAGTCATTTCAAAGAATAACTAAATAAAAAATACTCAGCTTAGACCTACAGCTGCAAATGCTTGTTTTTTATAATTAATCCAAATAGCGATGCAAAGCTAAGTGGAAATTACATTCATAAGGATAAAAACTGGATGAAGAATCATACGGCGTGTCCTTAGGTAGCCTTTAATTGATTGTTTCACTCCTGTGATGATCATATGTGGAAATTTATTATAGCCATGTTAGCAGTAATTTTAGTTTTCTTATAATTACCCTTATAAGATAATCATTCTATAGGCAGCATTATTCAAATTGAAAAACGTAGGTTTGTGGAAAACTAAAAAAATAATTCAACTAATAAATTATTTGTGAAGAATACACTAAATTCGCAATTTTAGTAATAATATGACTAATGGTTCATTATATCAATTAAAATATCAGCCTCGCCGCTGATTGATTTATTTCTCTAAACCTCAAAGGACTTTTTGGAACTTTCGGAGTTGTTTTAGGTGTCATTTTCACTTTTTCTCCGGTTTTAATAAATCCTGACACTTTTTCTTCGAATTCTTTTTTATCTTTTTCCAAAGCTGCTCTTTCTTCTTGTACTTTTTTATATGCATCCTCTAGTATTTTTTGCTTCTGCGCAAGCGTGATTCTTACTTGCTCGATTTCTCGCTGTTCTTGTTCCAAATCAGTAGGTTCAGGACTGTTTATTTTATCCAGGCTTCCACATTTGCTCAAAATTTTATTTCGTGTTATTTCTATTGGTCGATTGTAGTCGCTGAACTTGCTTTGAGACTGCATAGAAATCCTTTGATGGACTGAAAGTTTATGCTTTTCCCTTCGAAGTTTTGACAACTCTTGCTCAACTTGCTCTTTAAGCTCATTTAAAGCTTCTCGCTCCCTAGCTAAAGCTTCTTCTTCCTCTTTTTCGTGGAAATTTTCTTTTGGTTCTCGTTCGCCATTTTGAAAAGGTATAGGACAGTCTTCAAAGTCAAAGGATTTGTCGCTGCTTGATTCTTCGGTGTGGTTTGGGGTCATTCTGATTGCAAGTTCAGCAACTTTGGCTTGATAGTTCCGCTTTTCTTGGTTAAGCTTTTCTACTTTGCGTTTGTAACTTCGTTTGTAGTATTCTGCTTCTTCTTTTTCAAGCTCGAGTTCGTTGAGTTTTCGTAAGTACTCTGCTTTTAAGTCTGATGAGTGCGATCTGAGTATTTGGGCGTTTGACAATAAGGCCATTTAAATTTACAAATAAAAGGTTATCTAATTTAAACTCATCAATTTATTAGCACTACTTAAAATAATCTAATAAAAGTAATGAAAGTAATTAAATCATTTTATTTCACGTAGATCGTAAGTTAATTGATTGATTTAGACGTATATTTGATATATTGAAATTCACCAATGTTTAACCGTTAATTATTATTTGTATTAAAATTAATCAAGTCTTACGCATAATTTAATGTTGACTCATTTAAGGTTTTTCATTTATTTAAAAATAGATCTTCAACATATAGCCTTAGATAATGAGTAATCTGTAATAGATTTGAAAATATTTTACTTTAGGCAGTGACAAGATAACTTCATAGAAAAATGGAAAATACAAGAAAAAACAATCCAGTGTATTCAAGAATTTCCAGAGTTGGAATTAAATACGCAAAAATTGCTAATCTTCACTGCTTTTTATTTAAAAAAAACGGAGTCCCTCTTCTTTGTGCTGGCCCAAATTGTACATTTTACATAGGATCTTTCGTTATAGGGCTCAATTTATTTTTCATTATCATCGGATTACTTTTTATATTTATAATCTGCCCTAGAGTAAGCCAAATAGACGTAATTATTGGTATAATTGCATTTACGCTATTAGTTGTAAGCTACACAATGACTGCTTTATCAAATCCTGGAATTTGCTACAACTTTAGCGGAGATCAAGACCTTGGGCATCATTTATCAGGTGAGAGGTATTGTGAGCTATGTGAAGTTGTCAAAAAATCTACCACTGTGCATTGCGATGAATGCGGAGTTTGTATAGAGGAGTATGATCATCACTGTCCATGGGTTAGTAAGTGCATTGGAAAGAACAATAAATGATTTTTCTATGCCCTTCTAATTGGCTTGCTTTGTGTTTTTGTTTTTATAATAGCGACTTTGTCATTTAAATCCCGAACTAGCTCTAAAGACTAAATAATTCGGCAATAAATAAAATAAATTAAAATTATTTTCCTTGATTCAACTTCCCAATAATCTTCATTTATTTTTTATTTTTCCAATTTTTATTCTTTTTATTCCACTTATTTCCTTTCTTTTTGATTTTGTTTTCCTTTTTCTTTCTTTCTTCTTCCAACTCAGACTTCACCATTTCTACAAGTGATGATTTTTTCGGTGGCAAGTTTTCTTCTGATTTAAAAGTTCCCTGCTCCAAGTTTCCAGACTCATAAAGTTCTTTGAATTGTAAAAACTGAGGTGAAGTGAAGAATTCAGTGTTTTGTGAAGCTGTTGCTATAGGAACTGATTGAAATGATGCGAGCTCAGCTTCTAATGTAAACTTTTCTCCTTTAGCATCAAAAAACGTAGAATTCATTTCATTAATAAATTCATTAATGACTGATGGATCCAGCTGCAGAAAGCATTTCGAGAGTTTGTCCTTTTTGATGATGCCTTGCTTATTATTACTATAAAACTTCAATCACTTAATTTTCTCACTAAATCTTTGAATAAGAATCCTAAACTCTGCTTCAGAAACAGGGATATTCCTGACTACAGCTTTGCAGTTGCTAGACGAATACATTTGGAGATCAGATCACCTGATTGAAATTTCTTGATCCATTTATCAATTAAATATGAAAAACTTATTTAATTACTCAATTTTTCTCTTATTGTTCTAAACGCATCAGGGATCTTTATTCCTGGATCTATCTCTAGCTTAGATTTTAAGTACTGTATAAGAGAATGCAGTTCATGCATTAATCCAAAGATTGATTCAGTCTCGTTTGTCACATCAGTATTAAGGTTAAATAGCTGTTTGAAATATGGCAGTGTGTTACAAGTCTGAACTATTTGGCCATTATTTACGTCTTCATTGATTTCTAAAGCTTTTATGATTTGAGATCTAAAAATTTTTAGCTGTGTTATAGCTAGCTTCAGCTGTTGAACCCCATTTCTTATTTGTTGAAGAAGCTGAAATGTATCTGTCGGCGGCTTGTGCTCACTTATTTCTTCATAGAGTTCTTGCAATGAAGAATTTAGCCAAATGTGTTTTTTTGCGCTTTCTTTATATGCTAGAACACTGTTGACAAGATTATTCGTGTCAACTTCCAAAATTTCGCATATTCCTTTCACTATTTCCTGATCTGAAGTCTTATTTTGTGATGTTTCGATGATTTTATTGTTTGCTTCTAACAATTGTTCGATGCGCTCTTTTAGTCTATTATTCTCATCAGTAAGTGAATTTATTGCTTTTTTAAGATTTTTGCTTTCGGGGTCTTCAAAATTGATTATCTGCGACTGCTCTTGCAATTTTTGAATTTCTTTTTGATAAATTAATAACTGCTCTTCATATAAAATAATGATACTCATAACTTTTACATCATCTGCTGATTTTGGATCAAAATCCTTTTTCATCAGATTAATGAACACTTTTTCTTCATCTACAAGTTTGGCATCAGCCCACATCTGAAGAGTTACTTTTGAGTTATAAGGCTTCCCTTTGGATTGCCTAGTAAGCATAACTTGAAAATTACACTAGGCAATTCAAGGAAAATTCTATAGGAAAATTTTCATCTTCCTCAGCTTTAATTATTGGCGATATAGATCTTGATCAAATATTGCTTCCAAAGCTACTGAAAACGCCCTGAGAATTATAAATCCTCTTTGAGCCATAACCTCTGCATTGCTCTTCCAATATATCAATTATTATACATAGCATTCTATCAAATTCTCCATCAATTATTTGATTATAGCCCAACTTCACAATCAAAGAATTTATTTTCTGGAAAAATTTTTGCTCAATAAAGCTTCTTTTCTTCAATATATTCCCTTCGTCTAGAGTTTTATTTTTGTGTAAAGTAGCAGCTGGGCTTCTTATTTTAGGTGTCCCTTTGCAAATATCATTAAGTTTGTCAAGCTGAATTTGAATTTCTTTTGATTTTTTGAAAAAATTTCCAACTGAGTTTGCGAAATCATCTGAAAGCTGAGGTGATTTTGTGTCGCTTGGAAATGGGTTTGATTTTCCTTTGTGGAAGCCTTGCTTAAGGTTGATTTTAAAGGGCCCAGGTGTGTAATTTCCAGACGAAGGAATTCTTAAACCATTGTCTGGCACTTTATGGTCTGACTCAACTCTTCTATTATACCGAGAATTCTTTTTGGCTGTGTTCCTAACAGAATTCGGCTCAGGTGACTCAAAATTCAGATCTAACTGCGGAATATCCATAATTTAAAGAAAATGCTAATTTTACTTATGATAGGCTAACATAGATTTCGCTAATTTTTCTGCTACAAACTTCAGCTTCCCTTCCTTCATCCTTTGGAAAGACTCAATTACGTCTCTTTCAGTAATGCACTCCCGATCATCTCTCACACACAAAAAGCTTGCCTCATTTATAATTGATGCAATTTCGGCGCCATTGCAGTTATCTGTATTCTCTGCCATCATTTTTAAGCAGTCTTCAGAGATCTCATTTTGTCGATTTGCTAGATTGAACTTTAAAATCTGCAGCCTGATTTCATATTCAGGCAAGTTTACTTGGATTTTGCGGTCAAATCTGCCTGGTCTTAAGATTGCGTCATCTAATATTGTATGCTTATTTGTAGCTGCCAGTACCACAATCCTGTCACTCTGCACAAATCCATCCATTTCTGATAAAAGCTGATTGACTGTGCTGTGAAGCTCCATATTGGATTTGTCGGAACTCAAGCCTCTTTGCAGAGCCAAACTGTCAACTTCGTCAATAAAAATAATGCAGGGAGAATTTTGTCTAGCTTGTGCAAAGACATCACGAACTCGCTTGGCGCCAACCCCTACGAATAGTTCTATGTATTCTGATCCTGAAGTCTGTATGAAATTAACACCAGCTTCTGTAGCGACTGCTTTAGCCAACATTGTTTTGCCAGTTCCGGGAGGACCGAATAAGAGAACTCCTCTAGGAAGAGTGGCCCCGACCTTGATGAATTTTTCTGGGCTTTTGAAAAATTGGATGATTTCTTGTAAGGATTGCTTGGCTTCTTGGTTTCCTGCAATGTCTTTAAAAGAAATCCCTGTTTGGTGCTCTAAAACTCTTTTAGGGGTTGGGTTGCGGGTCAAAGTATATAATGTCTGCCCACTTTATGACTCCTTGACGCAATCTTTTTCTCTGCAGCTTGGAGTTATGACGGACTCCCTAAGTCAATGAATCAGCTCCAAGTTAATAAATCCTGCCCAAAACATATTCTTTTGTTAACTTGGATTCGATTTGCCGCTGTAGAGTCGTCATAACTCTAACTCCCCCCCCCCTTTAAATTGGAACAAAATATCGGTAAAATTTCCACTTTTTTGGTAAATTAACCCCTCTTTAAATTGGAACAAAATTTTAATTTTATAATAAAAAATTATATATAATTTTTATCTAAAAAGTTTTAACATAAATTAAATGTTTCTTATTAACTAAAATTAAAAATTTAGTTATATCTTGCTCTTTTTTAAAGATAAAAGTATAAAGAGCATCTTATTTAAATAAATTTATTATCCTTGATTTAAATTTTAAAAAAAAATTAATTTTTTTTTTTAAAAAATTTTCAAAACAATTTTTGTTTTTTTTGATAAAAATGATATTTTTTATTTAAATAGTTTTGATATAAATTCAATAGGAATTCTTTATAAAATTTAAAAATTTACTTATTTCTTGCTTTATTTAAAAGAATAGAGTATATAATAACATCTTATTTAAACAAAATTAGCACTTTGATCGATAAATTTTCTAAAATTGTTTTTTTAAATTTTTTTTATCAATAAAAATAATAATTTTGATACCAATTAATAGTGGCGTATTAACTAATAATGAAAATTTAGTTATATCTTGCTTTGTTTTAAAGGATAAAGAGTAAATAGCGTTTTATTAAACAAATTTATTAATCTAATTCGATAAGTTTGGAAATTTTTTTTTTGTTGAAATTTTTATATATTTTATAAAAAATTTTGTATTGATATTTTTTTTAAAAAAAAAAATTAATCCCCCTATAAATTGGAACAAAATTTTTAGTTCCAATTTAAAGGGGGGGGGAGTAAGCTGCAGACAAAAGTTTGTGTCAAGCGAGATAAAAGTGTGCAGATGCTATATAACATAATTGAAGCTCCTAGTGCTGCGACAACTTGAGGAATAGCTGCAAGCACAATTGATGGGCTCTTAGATGTGTATTCTACTCTATTTCTAGCAGCTGCAGAGATTAGGTCTGCTTTAGGTATCGTAGCAGTGTTTGTGTTAAACCATTTGCCATCTGATGATTTAAATGAAATTGTGTCCCCATAATCAATTACTTCTTTCACAGTGCCTGTATTCAATGATGCTAAAAATGCTGTAAGACTCACATGAGAATTTACCAATTTTGACAATTTTCGCAGTACCACAATAGAAGCTGTGACTGTGGCAATAATGATGATTTTCTTATAAACTTTGGGCTTTTTAAGGTAATTCCATATACGATTAAGGGTTTCCATATATTATTTACTATTAAATAGCAGTGACTGTTGATTTTCATGAAGCATAAAATATTTTCAATAGCCTTGATTTAAAGGTCTCCTAATCTCTAAATAAGCCCCTTGTTATTAATTATATATAAATTTGGAATGCCAGAAAAATAAAACAAAATATTTAAACTATACTATATTTGCTAGAATGCTGGAGTAGATGGAGTCGCTCTTAAATATCCCTTATATTCTAAAATCATCTTTGTTCGCTCTTTAAGCGCATTCAGCTGGCTATTTATATCATTTCCAGCCTCAAAACCTCTTGAGCTTTCAAAGCCAGAGCCAATTCTTTTGAAAGCACTATGGCTTTGGGTGTGCTTTAGCTTCTTCTGTGTTAGCGTTATAATCCCTGGCGCAGCATAATACGGGCTTTTTAGGGTAAGCTTGCTATTAAGTTCTCTATGTGGAGTAGTTCTCATCTTGGATCTAAAAATTCATAAAATGGCTGGTGACTAGCAACAGTCATCCAAAGCTGATGCCCATGTCTATATCTCGACGTGGGTTTTTTTTTCATGCAAAGAGTTGTCCAAGTGTTGGATTATCCTTAGGGGTGAGACCTCCGACGCTATTTCCGCTGACATGTTGCTTGGCTCGAGTAGCAGATTTTTGCATCTTTTTAGCAAAACCACCCAGCTTCAGGTCGGGACGTCCGATAGAGGCAGAGCGATTTACCTGCTTAGGCTGCTTATAGCCTGCCTCAAATGGTACATGCTGCTGAATTTTTGTTTTTGAGATAATTCAGATCTCAAAGGCTACAGTCTATCCTGCTGAGAAGGGACTATTTGGTCTAAACAAATCATATTGGGTAAAGATGGCACTTGGTTGAAATGGAGGCTCAGTAAAATCTGCATTGTTTGGATCGATTAGGAAAATGTCTCTACCTTAAGGGGAGAAGCCTAGCCCCTGATTCACTGTGGAATGCATGTGAGTAAAGAATTTAGGTTTAAATATATATCATAACTTAACTACCTTGGATCTGAACAGTGCAGCATCTTCTTTAGGCTTATCCAGCTTAATTGACGTTCCAAATTGAAAAATTGGTTTTAATGAGAACAATGCTTTCATTGCATCCGAAATTTTTAATAACTGCATTATGTCGCAATTGTCATGCAATTCATAATTTAGTCTTTCAAAGAGGCTTTCGCAGTTTTCCAACGTCTGTTTTAAATTTTCAGATTCTTGTTCGGATTGCGACAATATTCGTTCTAACTGAAGAATTTCTTTTTCTTCGTTTTCAAGTCTATTGGAAACACTATGTAGATTTTCAATTTCTTTCATAAGATAATTAATTCCTTCCTTAAGATCGTTTTTATCGTGCACCATTGTTTTGATATCTTTTGAATTATCATTCAGAAGCCTTATAGTATCTGCACTCTTAACAGTATTTAATTTTCTTGGGGATCTTTTAACTTTAATACTTGGTTTCCGTTTTACAAGAGGCTCTGATAGCCTTGGCTTTGGCTCTGAATCATCTTTTGACGCTTTACTTGTTAGCGGTAGTCTTGATATTTTGGTTACTGCATGAATATTTCCGATATTGTTCTCGGATCGATGTCAAATGACAGTGGATTTTTGATAGTGTGCATTTCATCGAAATACATTTGGTTGAAAATTTTTAATAGTGTGGCATTTGGCCGAAATTTAATGGGCTTTTCAGTCAAATGTCTCACTATCAAAAGTTTCAACCAATTTTCGACCAAAAGTACTTCAGTGAAATGCACACTTTCAAAATGCACGATCAGTGGACCTGTACCCATTGTTCTCATTTGTTTCTTTCATAGGACTTGTGCCAAGAGAAAGAAAAAATTTTGGAGAGTTTTGTTTCATCATATTAATTTTTTAATCAAAAAAATCATTTAAAACGCCAATACTCTTCTATGAAAAACCAAAGCTTACGAATGATGCCTTAGCATGAAGATTATTAGAATTAAAACATGGACAGATATAAAGTAATCAAAACTATTGGAGACGGAACCTATGGAAGTGTGTCTAAAGCAGTCCATAGAAATACAGGCGACGTTGTGGCAATAAAACAGATGAAAAAAAGCGTGAGGGGATGAAATGAATGTATCAACATGAGAGAAGTGCGGGCTTTACTTCATATCAATCATCCAAATATAGTGAAAATGCTTGAAGTTATTAAAGAAAATAATTATCTTGCATTGGTGTTTGAGTTTTTAGACGAAGATGTATATCATCATATAAAGGACAGAACAAAATTACTAACTTTTCTCTATGTAATCAAACAAATATTTTTACTTATTGAAGGGGGTTAGTTTTATTTTATTTAATATTTTATCAAAAAATCCTATTTGAAAATTGAAAAATAAAAAAATTAATCTAACTCCCCCCCCCCTCCGTGAGTGAACAAAACCATTAGAAAAATCCCTATTTTTTGCCAAAAAATCCACCCTCCGTGAGTGAACAAAAATTTTTTAAATACAAAAATTTTTTATGGAAAAAAATTTTGATATATAAATGATAATTATTATAATGAAATCTATAGCTAATTCTGTTTAATTTTAAACGAATTGCTTTTTAAAACATAAATTTTATAAATTAAATTAATATTTGCTTTCCAATTTTTGCGAATTAGGATTTTTTAAATTTCGAAAAAAAAATTTTTTTACTCCCCCCCCCCCCCTCCGTGAGCGAACAAAAAAATTTTGTTCGCTCACGGAGGGGGGTTAATTTTTTTTTTTAAAAAAAATTTATATATAAATTTGATAAAAAATATTTTTTTTCGAAATTTAAAAAAATCCTAATTTGCAAAAATTTGGGAAGCAAATATTAATTTAATTTGCAAAATTTATGTTTTAAAACGCAATTTGTTTAAAATTAAACAGAATTAGCTCTAGATTTCATTATACTAATTATCACTTATATATCAAAATTTTTTTCCATTAAAATTTTTTCTATTAAAAAAATTTTTGTTCACTCACGGAGGGTGGGTTTTTGGTCAAAAAATGGCGATTTTTCTAATGGTTTTGTTCGCTCACGGAGGGGGGGGGGGGGAGTTAGAAAATTTATATATAAATTTTTTTAAAAAAAAAAAATTAACCCCCCTCCGTGAGTGAACAAAATTTTTTTGTTCACTCGCGGAGGGGGGGGGGAGTAAGCAATTCATGCTTTATAATGGAAATTATTAAAAATTTGTTAAAATTCCATATAATAATTATCAATGATATATATATTTACAATATTAAAAATTATTTGTCGCTCCTGGAGGATGCTAGGCATTTTAGAATAGTTTGCTCTCTCATAGAGAGAGTAAGTGAAACTCATATTAGAAACATTATTTTTCAAACTTTGCAAGGCTTGGCTTATATGCATAGCAAAGGCTTATTTCATCGTGATTTAAAGCCTGAAAACTTGCTTATCAAGGCTGGAACTGTAAAAATTGCAGATTTCGGCCTTGTAAGGGACATGAGGCAAAAGCCACCTTTTACTGAGTATGTCTCAACTCGATGGTATCGAGCACCAGAAGTCCTTCTTCGCTCACAAAACTACGGACCTGCAATCGATATGTTTGCTTTAGGTGCTTTAATGGCTGAACTCTATACTTTTAAGCCTTTATTTCCTGGGAGCAGTGAAGCAGATATGCTACAAAAAATCTGTAAAATAATGGGTACTCCAAGAAATTGGCCTCAAGGCCAGTCTTTAGCTTCTCAGATCGGCTATCGATTTCCTAATGAAATAGGAATTCCTCTGCAGAGCCTCGTACCAAATGCATCAGAATTTGCAATTGATTTAATGAAAGCAATGCTAAATTATAACCCTGAAGCAAGGCCGACTGCTGTAGATGCATTAAATTAAATATCTATGCTGGCTATAAGCTGATAACTCACTCTCCGTCACCAATTGGGCTCCAAAAATTGTCCTTTTGGATGTCCGACCTGAACCACCTCTAAGAAAGCTCCCTTGGGCAGAACCACAGTCTGTCGAGTGCCCTGATGGTCCCAATGAGGAAAGACCATGTGGTAGGCAAAACCTTTCAAGCCCATCTGGTAGGGACAGCAAAACCTTCGGGGGAGAAACAAAACTTCCCTCTTCGACAAGGCATCCACAAGCCTGACAGCCTACTTTAAGAGAGACAGAGGCCCTTGCTTTCAGCTTCATCAAGATGGGTCCTGCCTGCTCCATAGGGAGCTCGCCTCGAAGCGTCACCATTTTATTTCTATTAGATGCATTAAGGCATCCTTACTTTTCTACATCGCTATCTATACCAAGAAACCCACAAAATCACGATCCTGTCCCTCAGCCACCTTCAACGAATAGGCCTAATGAACTAGCTAAATTTTCACGACCTGATAAAGAAGCACAGAAAGGCAAGCCTAAAGGAGAAGCGCAATCAAGCGTATATGAGAGGATGAAAAAAGCAAAATATGTGCCTGGAGTAGTTTGTAAATGATAGACGAAATTAGAATAAAAATAAAAAATTGAAAAATATTATCGAGAAGTATTATAGTTTAAACAAAGGATATCTGCTTATAATATTTAAAAGGAAAAAAAAATTGAGGTATTTCTTTTAATCTTTTTATTAAGCTAATCATTACTAGTATCTTTTAAATTATCCATTTGACTTTCAGTATGAAAAAACTTCAGTTTTTTTCTTTATTGCCTCATTGAATGAACAAAACTATCGAAAAAATCCCTATTTTTTTTTGAGTAAAAAACCCTTCATTAGCAAAAAAAAATTCATATATAAGTGATAATAATTATAATGAAATCTCTAACTAATTCGGTTGAATTAAAACAGACACTTTTAAAGCATAAAATTTACAAATCAATTAATTTGTGCTTTAGTAAAATTAATAAAAATGAGCGATTATTCAGTCCAATTCGAAGAAGAGGAACAAAACCCAAACGAAGATTTTACTCACTCCCCTTTTAAATTAGAACTAATATATTTTTTTTTGAATTTAAAGATGGGCTAATTATTATCTATACAAATTTATAAAATTTTAAAAAATATAAACGAGCACATATTTAAATTTTAATTAATTTTATGAATAATTCATTAAAAAATTAGATTATTCAGCGTAAAAACAATTTAATGATACTCTACTTGCTCTTTTTTCCATTAAATTAGGTCAAAACTATTATATAAAATTAGTAATTTAACTATAAAATTTACCGTAGAGAAATTAAAATTTTGTTTTAAAAAATGAAAATTTTTCTGGTATTTTTGTTTCGATTTTTAGGGAAAGTCAAGAAATCCATTCCCCTCAAAATATGCAAAATTCAATAGAGTTTACTAACTCTTCCTCCGTGAGTGAGCAAAACTATTGGAAAAATCCCTATTTTTTGGATAAAAACCCTTAATATCAAAATTTTTTATGAAAAAAAAATTGATGTATAAGTGATAACTATTATAATGAAATCTCTGGCTAATTCTGTTCGATAATAAACAGCTTGTATTCTAAAATATAATTTTTGCAAATTAAATTAATTTTTACTTGTAAATTTTTGCGCTAAATTTTGAAAAAACAATCACTCTAAAATTTATATATAAATTTTAAAAAAAAATTAAGTGAACAAAATTTTTTGTTCACTTACAGAGGGGAGGAGTAAAAGTCCAAGCCACTCCAAATCGAAACCCGTTTTATCAAAACTAAAAGATGAATCCACCACTATTGTTGCTGAGGATCCTGTGACTTTACAATCCCTTCGTCGAGAAAACACCAAACTCCGAGCTGAATTAAAAGATTTAAATCAAAGGCTCAACACTTTCATAGAATTAGCTGAATTCAATAAAAAGCAAAAACCTGTAATAATCAACGACGAAGCTTTGCAAATTGAACTTGATAGCGCTAAAAAGAAATTAGTGCTTTATGAGTAAACCCCATATAGAAATGAAAGCAAAAACCTGTTAGATCGAGTAATCCAAATCTCTGATCCTGAATATGAAGTCAGGCTAAAAGACTGGATTAGTGAATACGAAGGTATCCTACAGTCAAAAGATATGCAGATGAGGATTAATGAGCTTAAACAATATAAACGAGATAAGGCACTAAACAACATTACTGAAACCGGCGAAACCTCTCAGCTGAGGCAAGAGTTTGCACATCTCAGCTCAGAAATTGAAGTAGTCAGAATCAAGCTACAAAAAGTTGAAGAAAAGCAAGCATTTACCGATAAAAGATATAAAGAAATCACCGACTTAATTGAACAATATAATGATGAGCAGAAAACTCTTTTACAGCATCCTTATGTCAAAGATGCTGAAAAATTAGAAAATGAGCAAGCTGATAAGGAAAAGCATAAAAATTTATGGAAAAAATACTGTGTGAGGGAAAGAGAATATAAAACAAAAATAAGAGACTTAAGCCAAAAAATAAGCGAACTAGAAGAAGCCATTGAGAAAATCGACAAAAAAGAAGTGAAAATTAAAAGTGACATCCAAGAAAAAGACCTTTTTTTGAAAAAATTCCAAAATGATATTGGAAATATGAAAGAATTTGTCATGAAGTCAATTTCAGGCAATGCTTTCAGATCTAGCATAGGAGCCTCTGTTAAAGATTTGCGTGAGTTTTACCTTGGGCCTACTAGTACAAAGAGTGCTACGATCACTCCTAAGCCTAAACTTCGAATCAGGTAGCTAATTTTAAATTCTTATTAGATATAATAATTTCTATATATAGACTAATAGGCACATTAATATCTACGACTAGACAATCTAAGAAAAAATGCATATAATGAATTTCTTTGTTTTCTATCATAAAACTGTTGATTTTGTTTAGAAAATAAAGGCTTTTTATGGTTGAAGCATATGTTTAAGTGTTAGTTATCTATACTTCTTGAAGCCAACGTGTGGAGCAATTTCTCTGATGCAACGTCTGCAGACAAAGAGTTCGTATTTTCTGATTAACCCATTGCGTCCTGCGCAAACTCGGCAACTTCTTGATCCTTTGCTGTTGCTTTTAGGATGTGAGTTCCAAAGGTTTGTCATTGGTTAATTATTACCATATTTCTAGCCGAACACTTTGATAAGGAAATGAAGTTTTAAAGGTAAGAAAAGATTTTAGATTTATATGTATTTTATAGTCTTTTCTGATGCCAAAAGACTTTTTAAGGAGATAGAAATATTTTTATTAATCTGTGCCAAGACATTTTGATTTTTTTTTGGAAATAAATATATAATACATTAATATAATATAAAGCAATATAATTTTATAAATTGATGCATAACACTTCTTTGAGCTTAATAAAGCTGGAATTTAAATCGCTAATTATTAAAAGAAATCTTAAAGTAATGAATTGAATATTATCTACTAACCTTATTTTTCCTTGAGGTTAATAACAAAGGGCTTCCTCTTCTTAACCTGTCTAATTGCGATCCAGCTCTTAATGGAGACTTTGGCACATCAATTTTCCCCACAACACTTTTCCTTTCCATTCTATTTCTTCCTGCAAGTGGTGAAGTTGATGAATAAATCCTTGGATTTGATGCATTTTTAAGCCTCTGAGCCATTGTATATGCAACTCTTGCTTTATTTGTCAAGTCATCAACAGCTTTCTTTTTAAGCTCTTCAGCTTCTTTTATTTCTTGAATTTCTTGCGAATCTTCGTATTTTTTCTTCTCTCTTTCTCTATTGACATATTTTTGAGAGCTTAATTTTTTGTAATATCCGATACTCATAATATTCATCTGAGAATTAATCGCAATATCTTGGATAGTTTTGCTTGGGTCTTCAGCTAAATATTCTAATATATTGCTTATTTTCTTGCTTACTCACCCTGTGTGAGAGAAAAATAAAATTTTGCTCGATTATAAAGAGCTAATATTTTATAAAAATTGAATATTTTGAGATTTAAAATGTTCAAAAAAAATTAATTTAATTTACAAAATTTATGTTTAGAATTCAAGCGGTTTTTTTTTTTTCAACAGTATTAGGTAATGATAATAATTATAGCAACATACCAAATATTTTATAAAATTTTTCTCACTCAGGAAATTTATTTTCAAAAAATTGAGTTTTTCTAGCATATGGAGAGGGAGTTAGATCTATATCTTCTTCTAATAGAGTTTTTCTAAATTTTGGCAAGCTTTGAGCAATTTTTATTTTGACTGATTTGATTGGGTCTTTTTCTAATGATAAAATTGGTTGAAGGAAGTGCTTTTTGAAGAAAAAGTTTGAGCATGATTTATATATGCCAATGGAGAGTTCGATAAAGATTATTCTGTCAGTGGATTTTGGTGAATTGCATAATGTTTGGATGCAAGTTTGGCAAAGTTCATTCTTCTTGTCTTTATAATAAGTAAGTTTTATAGGGTGCAGGTCTAATGATCGTACCATCTAAGAAAATTTTTAAATAGCTACCATTTGTCGAAATTTAACAGTTTTTCGATCAAATGTCTCAGTGTCAAGAATGCTTCGAACAAATTTTCCCATAGGAAATGTCGCACTATATCAAAAATGCAGGCCATTTGGCATTAAACCAGTTTTATAATCTCAGCCGCAATTTCAGCTGCTTTATTTTTTACATTTCAAGCTCCAGCCTTCATAAAATTTATCATGATTGGAAAAATTTCCAGTATAAATTCGTTTACTTTGAAAAACTTCAGCACTTTTTTAAGCGAATTTAATAGCATCATTTGAAATCTAGAGTTTTTAACTTTTGCTAAAAATCCACACATTTCTTCATAGACTTTATGCTTTATTTCATCGCTATGCATAAAAGATAGGACAACATCTAAGTTTACCAATAATTTCCATTTCACATTATCTAGAAGCAAGTAGAATAAGGTTTCTTCTAATTGCAATGATTTTTCCCCTAGTATTTTTGCGATTTCATGCAGGCTCGTCGCCATAATACTCCTCGTATCATCATCAGGATCCATGCAGAGCTTGCTGTGAATCCCATTTAGTTCAAAATTGAACTCCTGAGGGCCAAGAGTCATTAAGACTCCTGGGAAATTTATAGCAGCGAGTCTTTTAAACTCATCTTCGTCACTGCACATTGTTCTATAGAACCTAAAAGCATTTCTTTTGAAATCCTCTTCTTGCAGCTCTCCTTCAAGCTTTACTATCATCTGTCCAAATCTCTTGGCTAATTCTCTTTTTACAGCCCTGCTGCTTGGCTGAGTTAATTCTCTTTGCAATATCGGTAAAACATTATTTATTGTAAAATCAAATGGCAGCATATCCACAATTTCTATTAAAAGTCCCATGGCTTCACTTCTTACAGTCGGCTCTTCATCATCAGCTAATTTGGCTATTTCTTCAAAAATTAAATTTTCTGTTTTTTCTTCTCCAAGCGCTCTACAGATTTTATGCAAATTTTTAGCCATGGATTCTCGTATCTCGTGGCTTGGGTCTTGGGCTAACAAAAACACTCTTTTTAGCAAATCGTCTGTGATATAATTTTCGGATTTTTCAGCTAAAAATCCTATCATGCTTGTAATTGATTTTCTTAGACCTTCTGGTTGTGAGTATTCAGAAAATTCAATGCAAGCTGGGATAAATAAACGGGCTACCAGGTCTGATGGGGCTTTTTTTATGATTTCTTCAAAAACAGGTACTCATGCTTCGTGGATTTTGGAAGACCATAGACTGAGAATGGATATACAGATTTCAGAGATTATTGAGATATTCTGGATTGGGTAAGACTCATTTTCAATTGCCAGCCTTAAGCTTTTGCCTGTTTCAACTTGCATATCTTCTGCTCATGAGAGTATTTCACTCTATATAACGTGTACATTTATGATTTCAATTAATTTCTCATTCATAGACTCAGTTAATATTTTGTGAAGATTGCTTAATATTGACAATTTTTGAGATGGGAAGCCTTTGTTTAATATGGTTATTGCTCTTCGAACTTCTGTCAAATTTTCCTCAGTGCTTCATTTAGAAATCTCTTCTTCTGACCTGATGGAGTTAGGAGATTCTATGGTTTCTATAGGATCATTATCAAGTCATTCAAAATTGAAATCCATATTTGTGCTAAAAATGAGCGAGTTTCTTTATTAACTCCCCTCCCCATCCTTGATCGAACGACTCACCGTTGTTCGATCAAGGATGGGGGTTAAAAAAAATTTATAAATAAAAAAATATATATATATGTTTTTTTTTATTTACTTTTAAATAAGAGTGTTAAGAGTATTTAATACTTATTTTTACAGCAAAAAATTGAATTAATTTCATAAAAATACCAATTTTTAATATTTTGATTTATTAGTTACCCCTTTAAACTGTATAAATTTTAATTTGTTCCTTATTAAATTAAATTTTTTTTTTTTTTTTAATTTTAAAGAATCTCTATTTTATTATTAGATTATTGAGCTTTTAAGCCTAGTTTTGATGACTAAATCACTCGGATGGTTGATTCCGAAGCTTTCTGTCGTCTCAAAGTCTCTGAAAACAACTTCATTATGTGCATCTTCCCCAAGCTTTTGATAACTAATATATTTTTATATATATAAAAAATGTTTTGATATGAAAATCGTTCGATCAAGGATGGGGGTTAATTTTCCCAACTTTTAGGAATTTTTACAGTCAATCGTTCGATCAAGGATGGGGGGGGAGTAAGGACGGAAAAGAAATAAGTTTGATAAAAACAAAGAAATTTCAATGTCATTACTATTAGACTAAATAAAAATACATAAGCTTATTCTTCTCGTAGATAATATACAGATACTAAAGATTTTGTCTGTATAATTTGGCCGCTCTCCACTTTTCTTAAGCTGTCTATAAGAGCCTCTTAATAGATCTAAATAAATATGAATTTAAAAATTTTTATCTTATTTTGACTATATTACACTATAAATTAATGTCTTTAAAAATGAATATTTGATTGGCTTTAATATGTGTTATTAATAAATAATTCAATTTAATGCCTTTAATTTAATCTTAAAATTATCTCTTAATTGCGTTACTATTTTCTTTCAGTTTAATTCTTCTTACTCCCCCCCCCTCCGTGAGTGAACAAAAAAATTTTGTTCACTCACGGAGGGGGGTTAATTTTTTTTTTTTTAAAAAATTTATATATAAATTTTTATAAAAAATATTTTTTTTTCGAAATTTAAAAAAAATCCTAATTCGCAAAAATTGGAAAGCAAATATTAATTCAATTTGCAAAATTTATGTTTTAAAAAGCAATTCGTTTTAAATAAACAGAATTAGCTCTAGATTTCATTATAATAATTATCATTTATATATCAATTTCTTTTTTCCATAAAAAATTTTTGTATTAAAAAAATTTTTGTTCACTCACGGAGGTGGGGTTTTTGGGCAAAAAATGGCGATTTTTCTAATGGTTTTGTTCACTCATGGAGGGGGGGGGGAGTTAGCATCTTAAACATCTCTTGTGTTTGATAATTCTAGCATAAAAGTTTAAAATTCTTTGACTTTCAGCCTACTATTCTATAAGCTTTTATTTATTTAGCACCAACTATAACTCATTCATATCTGACAATTAATATTTCTGTGTTTAAAATGAACTATTTTTTATATATCTTCCCATGTAAAATACTACCATACGGAATGATATTTTATTTTTATTCTGCATCATTTCATTTATTTCTATGGCTTTCTTTCTATCTAGTTTTTTGGTTATCATTAGCTTTAATTTTTTATTTAATAACCCAAAATTGCAGATTTATTAAGTGGTGCCATAAATTCTAAACTATAAGGTATAAAAGCTTAATAACGTAGGATAAGCGAAATGCAAAAAATACAAATTTATGGTAAAAAATTGAATCCAAGTATCGAAACTTTACAGCTAAAATTCCTAAATAGAAGAGAAAGAATTTCAGCTAAATAAATGCTTAAATTCATAAATAACTCTTATTTGTGGAAAGAAATTATTATGCTTACTTCTTTTTCTTGCCAACGCCGACGGTAGCTTTTGCTTTTCCTCTGACCTTCTTTCTCTTATTTTTCAATTCTTTCTTTTGTTTTCTGGACCCAGTTTTAGCTGGAAGTAATCCTAGTCTTCTCAATCTGTATTTTGGTTCGAATTTGGCTAGGAAATCCTTATTATCGTAGATCAATGCGAATCCTGTGGATCTTGAGCCTCCAAAAGCAGTTTGTAATCCATAAACAATAATCTGTTCAGGCTTTGCCTTGTAGGTTTTTGCGAGTCTTTCCTTTATTTTTTCAACAGATACTCCTCCGAGTTCAGGATGGATTATATCAACAACCATTTGAAGTCTGTGAAGAAGTTTATTCGTCATGATCTTCCTGGTGCGAAGCGTATATCCTCCGTCCATTTTATTGTATTAACTCATTAAGTTGAATTGATAAAGACTTAAGGAAATTATGGACTTGCTGAAGAGGATTTGAAGGAGAATGGTAGAGGATAGTGGTTATAGAAAAAGTATAAGAAAAATTGATAAATTTATGGAAGGAAAATAATTATGATTATTGAATAGAAATAAATGTGGAGCTTCCATAAAAAGTTTTAAAGGAAAAACCTTTGAGATATGTGCGCTGATTAAATATTGAAGGAATAGACATCAATATATAATTACTTGTGACAATTTTGCACTCTCTTTGCTACATGTGGAGTACTTATATCATGTTGTAAATAATAGCTTCTGGAAAAATTGATTATATATTGAATAATATTGAAGCACGTCTACTCATAATAAAATTTTTATTCTTTTGGATAAGTGCTATTTGTAATATTTTCAAAGAAAAATTATTGGCTTACTCCCCCCCCTCCGTGAGTGAACAAAAAAATTTTATTCACTCACGGAGGGGGGCTAATTTTTTTTTTTAAAACAATTATATATATAAATTTTATATAAAAATATTTTTTTTTCGAAATTTAAAAAAATCTAATTCACAAAAATTGGAAAGCAAATATTAATTTAATTTATAAAATTTATGTTTTAAAAAGCAATTCGTTTAAAAATAAACAGAATTAGCTCTAGATTTCATTATACTAATTATCATTTATATATTAAAATTTTTTTTCCATAAAAATCTTTCTATTAAAAAAAATTTTTGTTCACTCACGGAAGGTGGGTTTTTTGGCAAAAAAATAGGGATTTTTAATGGTTTTGTTCACTCACGAGGGGGGGGAATTAGCAGGACGATGCAATTTTTTGATAAAAGGTTTTATGCTTTGGTAATTAGGTAGCAAAGGATTGATAATAATGCAAGTATAAACTGATCCTTTAGCAAAGATATAGCTGCCAAAAATTAAGCAGTTCATTGATTAACCTGTAAGATTGATGTGCATATAATTATGATTTTATGTCATACTTTAATGATTTTCTGATTAAGACAAAACGGTGCAAATAGCATAGAGCATAAAATAAGCAAAGGATTAAGAAGTAAAGATGTTATTATTTACTTTATCATATTCCAAAGATTGATAATTAATCTAAGATTCATGACTTCTATGATTTGATTTCTCATAATAAAGCTTATGTTAACAGCTCGAAATTAGCCTTACTCCCCCCTCTGTGAGTGAACAAAAAAATTTTGTTCACTCACGGAGGGGGGCTAATTTTTTTGTTTTAAAACAAATTATATTTAAATTTTATAAAAAATATTTTTTTTCGAAATTTAAAAAATCCTAATTCGCAAAAATTGGAAAGCAAATATTAATTTTAATTTATAAAATTTATGTTTTAAAAAAGCAATTCGTTTAAAATTAAACAGAATTAGCTCTAGATTTCATATTATTAATTATCATTTATATATCAAAATTTTTTTTTCCATAAAAAAATGTTTTCTATTAAAAAAATTTTTGTTCACTCACGGAGGGTGGGTTTTTGGGCAAAAAATGGCGATTTTTCTAATGGTTTTGTTCACTCACGGAGGGGGGGAGTTAGAGTATCAAAATATACTTAATTTCTTATAAGAATGCTTACTGCTAGGTATAAATTTCTAATAGTAATATTAAGAGTTGATAATTTCATCACATTTAATTCTCGAATTTCTTCGCCTAGATGGCAATTTCGAAAGATTTATTCTTTAATTTTCGCGATTCTTTAAAAGACTATCTGAATTTTAATTAGCAAACTACGAATATTGCTTAAAAATCAAACCTGGTTATTATACTGAAGTCAATAAATATAGAATTCTCATCTCCTAACACGTCTCATCATAATAAATATGTCTTCTAGCTTTTTCTCATACGAATCATACGACGCTCCCAATCTGTTCGAGTTCAAAGACCTCTCAGCATCTACTAAGCGAGTCCTCAGCAAGGTGTACTCAAATCTTGCCCTTCTTGCAGGAAGCTGCGCTCTTGGTGCTCTTGGCAATATTTTCATGCACATAGGTGGTCAATTCACAGGGTTCGCTTCACTTATCTGCCTCCTCTGCTTCCTAAATGCAGACCAAAAAAGCATATGGAGATTCCCACTTCTTCTTTTATTCGGTTTTCTAGACGGTGTCAGCATTGGTCCACTTATTAACCTTGCCCTCCACGTTGACCCTTCAATTCTGATCACAGCCCTTTTCGCGACTTTCGGAATCTTTGTAAGCTTCAGCTTAGCAGCTCTCAAAGCTGACAAAAGAAGGTTCTTATACTTAGGCGGGATTCTGGGGACTTCAACCCTTTTCATTATGATTTGCTCTCTTTTAGGGATGATTGGATTGGCATCAAATTTCATGTTCAATGTTCAATTATATCTTGGCTTATTGGTCTTCTGTGGATATGTGATTTATGATACTCAGCTGATTATTTATCAAATCGAGATAGGGAACAAAGACGATTTAGCTCACGCTATGCATTTGTTTGTGGACTTGGTAGCAATTTTTGTGAGGATTTTGATCATTTTGATGAAGAACGCGGATAAAGAAAAGAAAGATAAAAAGTAATAGGTAAATTCTTATGCTAAAATTTGGATGAATTAAATATGATTGGTTAATTATTATACTTTTCAATGGTTTATGATTGAGTTTAATTGCATTAACGCTATGTATTCGTTATATAAAAAATGATAAACATCTATATCTTTTCCATAGGAGCTGCTCTTATGGTTTCCTGTGGATTTGCAGGACCTTATCTATATGAGTCCTATAAAGATGATTTTGATGTTAATACATGGAGAACTTGGGTCAAACTTTTTTTATTTATCATCACTTTTACGAGCGGAATTGTATCAGGGTTGTATTCATGGATAAATCTTAGAAATTTATCAATTGCTGCTGCAGCTTTGCTTATAATTGTTCTGTTTTGGGATTTTTACTATATAATCTTTGGATTATCACTATCTTCTCTTGAGCTAAATTCAGATCAGACTGATCCTTCAATGATATCAGCGAAAATAGTCTGCCTCTCACCATCCTCACCTGAAACATATCAATCTTTTCTCTATATTTCAAGTCTTTTCTTTATATTGACTTCATCAGTAATTTATAGTTTAGACACTTGCTTTAGATTTTTTCATAAGAAGGCTTCTCAGATTTAAATTATACTACTTATATTGACTTTTAAATTGTGTTATGCCCTAAATATGGCTGCATTTTATAAGGAATCGCTTTCACGCGCCAAATTTAAAATAATAGAGAATAATTGATGAAGAAGTTAGAATTCCCGAAGTGGATTCAAAGTCAGTAAATGAATCAAAAATTCAGCCCCTTGATAAGACTGATACAGATAATTTTGTAGCTCTGCCAATATCAACTGTAAATAGAAACAATGAAAATGAAGATCTTTTCAAAAAGGTTAATCAAGATAAAAATGAAAGTCTTTTTAATAGTGTTTTAAAAAAGGATCATAAAAATGAGCGGAAAAGTGAAGAATTTTTCCTAAAAGGAAAAGATAATGAAAATAATAGAAATCCAGATAATGCTGGAGAAAATCCAATTTTAAGCCCTGGAAGAGGCAGAGGAAGAGGAAGAGGGCGGGGAAGAGGCCGTGGAGCTTAAATGTGAAAATAATTTTTACATTTATGTTTTTCTGTATTTTTATAGCAAAGAGTTTTTATCAATAATTAAGCGGATAGAATTAAACTTCTAAAGATTGATCGTATTTTTAGTTCCAAGTCTTCGAAAGTGCCAATATTATCAATCGAGATGTTGCTTTTTCTTATCTTAAGCTCAATTGGCCATTGGCATTGGATTTTTTGTATAGCTTCTTCTCTAGTTATTTTGTCTCTGCCCATTACTCTCTTTATTTGTATTTCTTCATCAGAAACATACACTGTTATTATCGGAAAGCAAAACCATGGTAAAATTTTTGTCTCAAAAAGAATTGGAGCATCTATGATTACATACGAGTATCCTTTTATTTTGTAATAGATAAGCTTTTTAAAGATCTCTAAAAAAATAGCAGGCTGAATAATCTGGTCTAACTTATTCCTTTGAGCTTTATTAGCGAATACAATTGCACCTAAAATTTTTCTATCAATACATCCTTCCGAATCTAGAATTTTGGATCCAAAAGCTTTGACGATATTTTTATAAGCCCGTCTGCCTGGAATTACAACTTCTCTAGAAACCAAATCACAGTCAATTATAGCAATTTCTCTAGAAAATGACGATTTTACTATTGAAGTCACTGCACTTTTTCCGCTTCCTACCCCTCCAGTTAACCCTATCATTTGTAGCGTTCTTCCTATAATATTCCACCCAATTGCTGAACAGACATACGCTATTGAATAATTTGCTGGCATAAGTTTGCATTTGTAAAGATAAAATAAAGACAAAGGCCAAGATGAGTAGTAAATTGCTTTATAAAGCCACCCAAATTTTGATTTTAGCTTGTTATGATTTAAACCAAGAATAAAAGCAAGTAGAGAAGCAGTGCTGCATATTAGTGCTGTTGTTAACATTTTTTGTTAAAAATAATCAGCCAGGCTTATAAATATCATTTAGCAAATAAAATTTAAGAAAAATTTTGACTTCTAATGATTATAATTTATTCGTTAATTAAATTGCCTACCCCTCCTCTTAATTATAAAAAAATAAATTATTTGATTTTTATATAAGAAATATATTCCATTATAATAAATGTTTTGGATTTTTATATGATAAGGAATTTAAATGGAGCAGCCCAAAAAAGCAAATCGAAGAATCCTCTCTCATAAAGCTTCTGAAGTCTCCAAGCCTTCATCTCGATCTCATGCTAACTCTGAATTTATCCCTCGATACAAAGAAATAACTCCAGAAGAGATGGGCATTTCTTTTTCCAAAGAAAAACTCCTTCTAAGCGGCATTGGGAGCCCAGATCATTACATCATAACGCTGGAATCAGAACAATCACTAAACCTCTCAATAACTTCTCGCAATAAAATTCCAATAAGAATAATCCCAGACAAAATTTCCTTGTCCAAAAAAAGTCGAACTGCCGACATTATGGTTTTTTCAGACTTGAACTCAAATCTTGAAGTTGAAATCCTCCATATTCGTGATGAAACTAAAGAATCTGTAACAAAAAAAGCTTTCATTTTAGGCACACAAGGCATCGAACTACGAACTAATGGGTCTGATGAGCATTATCAGCTGTCTCACAAAAATTCTAGTGAGCGATTTCAATTGATGCTGGAAAGTGCATTGGAAGGAATAGAATTTGCCCCAAAAATTTCGCAAACTTTAAGACCAACACCAGAGGTTGTGATGGATAACTTTGAAATTTTATGCTTGAAAGGAGACAGTGATGAGTGTTACCCTGATTATCCATTTTGGGTTGATATAGCTGCTGGAGATCTACATGGATTAGCGTGCACTGAAGACGGAAGGCTATATTCATGAGGAACTGGGCCATTTGGGCAGCTTGGCGTCCCACCAGAAACTTTTGTGAATCTTCAAAAAGAAATTATCTCAGTTAATGTTAAAAAATTCTGGCTGAATAAATTGCAAGATGTAAAAATGCTCGACACTCAGCCACCGAATTTAAAAGAATACTTAGAAAAAGACATAATTCCTTATATTCCAGTATCTCCTAAGCCTATTCATGTTAATTTTCCTAGTGTTGTTGACGCTGTAGCATGTGGCTGCTATCATTCAATGATTTTATCAGAAGGCCACGTTTACACTTTTGGCTTAGGAGAAGGCGGCAGACTTGGTCTGGGCCACGAAAATAGTGTCCATACACCTACTTTGGTCTCTCTTACCAAAAAATGTATAAAAATAACAGCAGGCTATAATACAAGTTTTTTCTTATTAGAAAATAGAGAAGTTTGAAGCTGTGGAGATCATAGCCTTATCATTATCTTAATTATTGAGAACCCTCCTGCGATTCTCGAAGGGCTGTATTCACTCATAACGTCCCCATCACCTGCTCGCCAGTTTGTAAACGATTTTAGAAAGAGAGCTCCTGCCAGACGAGGGTCTTCACTCGTCAACCGGTAGTTGGATGAATTGCGCCACCAACTATACGCCAAAAAAGGTTGACCACTATGGAAAATTTTAAAATATTGAATAGAAATTCGAAGACAAGGTGTAACTCCTGGTTTCACACTGGGAATAGTCTCGATTGGCCAGGAATAAATAGTAATAACTCTGTGGGAGACCTTTTCAAATTCTTGGTCCTATTTCCCTCTGAGGCAAAAAAGGTTGGATATAGAAGAAGTTGCAGTCGTCTAGCCCGATATTGAGCTTCACCAAGCCAGAAAAAGTCCTCAAGCTCCACCCCCCCACACCATCCCTATGCATCGTGTGGGATGCCAGCTATCGGAGTTAAGAGTACGGGCTGGATCGCCACGCCATTTTAATGTATAGTCCTGAAATTTTTTAGATCACTATTGACTATACATTTTAATTTTAAATTAATTTTTGCTTGCAGCATTTTTATGAAAAATAAAAAAAATGATAAATCGTTGATCATGATTGTAAGATGCCTAATCAGACTTAGACTGTATAAGACAAGCACCCTAAGCCATTTTTTTCTGGTCGTATTCTGCTGGGTACATTGGCATAAATTATATATAGGAGACCATAGCCAAGGCGCTAATGGTCATGACGGAAATATATTAATTCCCACCATAATACCTTTCATAAAAAATGCTCATCAAATTTCGAGCGCTCATACTCATAGTGGAATCGTAACCCTTGATGGCACTGCTATTTTATTTGGCTGTAATTCTGATCATAAGTTAGGTGGAGAATCTCCTCACACATATGAAACTGTTGGTGGAGAAAAAATAAGAGGAGTTTACTGTGGAGGTCGACATACATGCATTTTAACTGAGAATTTAGATGTCTATGCATGGGGCTATAATACATCAGGACAGCTGGGCCTATCAAGCACAATGTTTCACACAATGACTGATCCTGTAAAAGTAGAATATTTATCAGGAAGAGGAGTGGTCAAACTTGTATTAGGCTGGGAACATTCTATTGCAATCACTGTTGATGGGCTGTTGTATTGCTGGGGAAGTAATATGAAAGGGCAATTAGCTATTGGCACAATGGCGAAGGAATTCAAAAGAGTTGGACTTCCAAGACTAATTGACCACTTATTAGGGTGCCCAGTTACCTCTATTGCTGCCGGGAGATATACAAGTGTTTTCCTTACAGCTGAATCGCATCCAGAAAGGCAAACAAACATGTTTAATCACTGGAAAAAAGCTCTGCTTTGTGAAGAAAGGCATATGCAAGAGCTGGCCAATTATAGGTTTTCTTTGTTAATTAGAGATTTAAAGAGAGACCAACTTGTAAAAAAAGTCCAAAGCGAAAGAGATAAAGAATTTTCTAAGGCTGCAATATCAGAAAGAGAACAGGCTTCAGTTTTCAAGCCTAAGAAGCCAAGGAATAATGAGAAGCGCTTTCAGTTATTTTATACTATGTATCAGATTTTCAGTCCTAACTTTTCTTCGCGTGACATTTTCTCAACAAAACATCTTAAAAAATTCTATCAAATTTACAACGAAAAAAAACTTACAAAAATATTCAAGGAAATATCACAGTTCTAAAATATTCCGAACAAATGATATGGAGCCAAATGAGAAATATCCTCCTGAAAGCTATTATAGCTTTTTGCTTTGAGTGGCGCGGTATGGGCGCCACTTCGGCAAGCTCCTTCTTCCAGTTGGCCGAGCCAACTCAGGTTGGTTCGACCAACTGGAGAATTGACAAGTGAGGCCTTTTGGAGAGACTTGCCAATTCTAGTTGGCCGAACCAACCTGAGTTGGCTCGGCCAACTGGAAGAAGGAGCTTGCCGAAGTGGCGCCCGTACCGCGCCACTCAAGGCAAAAAAGCATATAGCTTTTGGGATGAAGAATGCCACAATGTGGAGACCTTTGAAGACAGAAAAGTATATAAATTTCCTAATCCAAAATACTATAAGCAAGAAAGAAAGCACACTGTGACAGTATTTAATGGTCCGAAAAAGCAAAAAAGTGAAAGACCTAAATCGAGTGATAATATTGATTTAAGGGATATTGTAGCTGTGGCAAGCAACGAAGGTGCGCAACTGGATCCAAGGCTCATGGTTAGTAACAGGGATAGTTTAGAAAGCCCACCTGAAAGGCCAGTTTACTATGAAAGGATTGAATACAAGCCATTATACTCATATGGCCCGAGCTTGCTATATCCAAATCTCTTTTATCCATATGATTTAGTCCCAAATCCAATGATGCTTGCACCTTCTAATACTAAATAATTTTAATTTATTTCTACTAAATGAGAATAAATAATTAAATCATGAATCATTCCAAGTTTAAGCCATCTCGGCTAAACTACCAAGAACGATTGCAAAGAGGAGGAGTAAAATATTTTGATATATTGAATCGTCTTGAAAAGACTTTTGAAAAAATTTGCAAAATAAATCATCAATACAATAATTTTCTATGAATTATTTAATTCAAAGCAGTATAATCATAAAAACCTAAACTCTCCAGAATTCGCCCTTGCAGTTGACATAACTGCAACCACTTCTTTAACTCCAGAAGAGACTACCTTTAAGCCGCTTGAAAGACACAACCACGGAATGATGAACGAAACTAAATCATCCATAAAAACAAGGAGAAACAAAGGAATTTTAGTTGTCAATGACGATTTACAGAAACTTAAAGAAAAATTAAGGATGAAAGATATAGAGCTGGACTTATTAAAGCAAGAAGAAAAGAGGTCCCAGTACAGCCAGGAGCCTTTGATAAGAAATGAGAGAAATTCTAATGAAATTGATAGGACTTTTGATAATGGAATTGGAGGGAATCATAAGAAGCCATTTGATGCAGATAGAAGCTTTGATTATTTATTGAATTCGAAAAAGAGCCCTGAGCTAGATAGAAGCTTTGAGAATAAATCATACGACAGAAGAGCAAGAGACAATAGGAGCCTCTCACCAGTTCCAACAAATATAATTGGGTATAATACTCCATCCTATAAAAACCCAGTAGATTTGCTGTCATTAGCTTGGCATCCTGCATTCAAGCAGCCACTCTACACAAAAAATAACCCAAAAGTCCATAACTTAAACCCAATAACAGGCTTTATTGCTGAAAGTCACTCGAGAGAATCTCCAACAGTGAGAAGAGGAATGGCTGAGTACGGAAATAGTATTATAGGAAATGGTTCACCTATGAAAAATCAATATGTATAAATTTTGTATACTTGAGAAAGGTCTGACACTCAGAATTATTTTTTATTATAGCTTAAGCAATTATAAATTAATTATTTGTGCCTTCTCGTTGGAGATAAAATAAGACATATGCAGATGAAGTGACAATACTTTCAGGATTTGAGACTATACTTACTGAGGAATCATCGAAATTGTATCATCTTTGATTATAGCGATTTTTAGCATAAGCGGTATAGTGTCCTGATCCAGTTGATCCGAAATGGTTGGATAACGCATATAAGTCATAAATCCCTGGATTTCTTATACAATAATTACGAAGGTCAAGACCTTCAACAGGGAATTCCACAAATTTGTCAATTTTTGAATTATAAAAGCCATTATGCTTAAATCTCTTCAAATGGACTATCAAAATCTTTGGAAGTTTGTAAACTTCCATTTTTTTGATCCCTTGGACATGTGCCCGACAGCTTTTACAGTAAATTGAGTTCACTTCGTCCAGTTGCTCAGGGTTTTCAAAATAGCGAAAACAATCATAAATATTCACGCTGTCTTTTGCATTAGTGTTATTTATTGTTACTGGCCTATAGAGTTTGCTATCTTTTAGCCTTTCGTTTTTTGATTCAAGATATGCTAGAATATCATCATAAATATTGAGATTTATATTTCTCACTTCATATAAAGCAAGTTTAAAATGAATCACATTGATTTTCTGGCTACTATCAATAACCATTTGGATTTTGGTATTCAAAAATGTAGCTAAAGCTAAGAAATCTTCAGAAATTCCCAAATAATTAGCTGCAATTTTCTTTATTTCCAAGCCTGTGCTTTTTTTATAGGTTTTGATTTTCAGTTTTAAATATTCACTTTGTTCATCAAACGGCAAAAAATAAATATCAACCCACACTAATTCTTTATTAGGAATTGGCAAAGCCAGCATTAAAAACGGATCAAATGCTAGCGATATATTTTTACAGTCTGGACATATCACTTCTGATCTGAATTGGCCATGCATTAAATCAACAATCTTGCTTTGGTTTCTTGCCAGGTGAGAATTTCAATATATTTCAGAAATTTCATCTTCGCTTAGTCCATCAGTTTTGAATTCTTCAATATAAGGCTTACGATTTACTTTATTTAAATCTTCATGAAGACCATCTAGAAGCATACTTACTCCCCCTCCGTGAGCGAACAAAACCATTAGAAAAATCGCTATTTTTTGCCTAAAAACCCTCCTAAGCGGACAAAATTTTTTAATTGAAATTTTTTTATGAAAAAAAAATTGATATATAAGTGATAATTAGTATAATTAAACCTATAGCTAATTTTGTTTAATTTTAAACAAATTGCGTTTTAAAACATAAATTTTACAAATTAAATTAATATTTGCTTTCCAATTTTTACGAATTAGGTTTTTTAAAATTTCGAAAAAAATTTTTTATATAAAATTTATATAAATTTTTTAAAGAAAAATTAACCCCCCTCCGTGAGCGAACAGATTTTTTGCTCGCTCATGGAAGGTGGGAGTTAGCATTTCTTGTGAATCATGCTGGTGATATCCAGAAAATTGAGTTTTATATTGGCTGAAGGTTTTTTTGAAATCCCAAGGAGAAATGATTTTTGAAGAGTCACTTCATATTTCTTTAACTAAGTCAGCATACTCTCTTACTAATTTTCCTCCACTTCCTAAAGGGTTTTTCGAGTTGATATCTTTTATGTATTTTCCTGTTAAAAAATACTCAGTAAGGTTATGAGTGTTTGAGAGACATTGCAAGCCTGAGTTCATAAAACAAGTATTTCCTAAGTTTTGAAGACCTACCAGCCCCCTTGAGGATAAAACAGCTTTTCCATTTGAGTTTGCATGATTATTGTTATGATTATTAGTAGCAGTATTACCATTTGGGAGGCAAGAAAGGCTGCAATAAATTTCAAAATTTTTTTGGTAATAAGCATTGTCAGATATTGGAGTATTGCATGCTTTGCATAACTTTATATTTGTTTTCTCCATTTCCAAAAACCACTCATCCAACGTCTGCTTTATTTCAGCAACGATCAAGTCATTATCAGCAATTTCTGCATCTTCTAAGCTGGAATCTCTGGCTAGTTTTCCAGGCACTCTATTTCCTGTTTTCTTAATTTTTTCTTTAAATTCGCTATAATTGATATTCGCGTCGATGTGCCAAATCCTGATATTTCTTATATCTAAATTATTGACTGTTTTTTCTTTATATAAATCTCTCACCTTCCTTATTAAATCTGAGGTTTTCGCATAATGGGAAATATAAAATGTTACAGGAATTTCTGGGAAAAAGTCTCTTTTTCTTATAACAAAAAATATTTGAAGAGGCTTGAATGTGATTTCTACATTTGTTTCGTTTTTATTAGAATTTACGCTAGTCCTAATAATCTCTGATCCTTTTTGTATTCCAAAATTAAGCTTGAAGTATTTCCATACCCTTGGAGGTACAATTTCATATTCTAAGCCCAGCGTGAGTCCTGGTTTCAAGATAGTTTCAGCAGAAAGAGTTCAGATATTGTGTGTGGGCAGAGATATAATATCAGTATTATCAACTTTTCCTATTGAGAATCCTTTGGTTTCTTCGCTATTTCTATATAAGCTTTTTCATTTTTCAAGCCAATTTGTGCTTATGACATACCAAATTGATCCAGTGGCAGGTATTCCGTTAGAGTTTCGTTTTATACCATCCTCTTCAATTGAAGTTCTATCAATGATTTTTAAAATTAGTTCTTGTAAAGGGATGCCAGCATTATTGTTCATCGCTCGTTATATTTAACTCTCGTAAAAAATGTCACTAGAATCTGCATTTTATGTTTAATGCTAGCTTTTTTAGTCTAAATATATATAAAAATAAATGAACCTTTTTATTATATAGATTAATTAGCTATAAGGTTTTAGAGCCTTTAAGATTTTGCAATAGAAATAGAATGCAGGGACTATACAGGTCTTAAATTTAGTCTAATCAGTCATATAAATTATTCTTGAGTAGACATGATTTTATAAGATAAATAGGAATCATAAAAAATAAAATTTTAAAAATAATTAAATAGTCTTTGCATATGCTGAACTTATTGATACTGGTTCTTTCTATATCTGAGGCTCTCAATATTGCTTGCAACTGAAATAAATGCAATCAAATCACTGTAAACCTTAACTCCCCCCTCCGTGAGTGAACAAAAAAATTTTGTTCACTCATTAATTTTTTTTTTGTAAAAAAATTTATATATAAATTTTATAGAAAATTTGTTTATTTTGAAATTTAAAAAAATCCTAATTCGTTAAAATTGGAAAAGCAAATATTAATTTAATTTATAAAATTTATGTCTTAAAAAGCAATTTGTTTAAAATTAAAACAGAATTAGCTCTAGATTTCATTCTAATAATTATCACTTATTTATCAAATTTTTTTTTCCATAAAAAATTTTTTTCTATTAAAAAATTTTCTGTTCACTCACGGAGGGTGGGTTTTTGGGCAAAAATAGCAATTTTTCTAATCGTTTTGTTCACTCACGGAGGGGGGAGTAAGTAGATTGGGGATGGATCGTGTAATATCGAATGCATGACGCCTTCTTGCAGCTTTGATGCTGCATTCCCAGAGCTTGCTCATGAATCTTTGCCAGGCGAATCAGATTGCTATGAATCTTGTCTTAAAACGAACTGTACAAGCATCTTATTGGGAAATAGGATCTGTGATGAAATTTGTAATAATGCTTATTGCGGATACGATTTTGGGGATTGTAGTTATTGTGGACCTTCATGTATCTTATAAACACTTATTTCTATCTATTATATTATAATTAATGCTAGATTTAGGTTCCATCTAAAATAGTATATATAATATATAGGCCAACAAGATCAATTAGGAGGCTATTGCGATTTTGAGTGCAATGTCCCTGAATGCTACTACGATGCAAACAATTGCAAAGAGTGCTCACCTGGATGTACTGCAGCTATTTGAGGAAACGATGTCTGCAATCAAGAATGTGACAATTCTGCTTGCAACTTTGACAATGGGGATTGCTTAAATTCAACATGTTCGCCAAACTGCAACACGTGAATGATAGGAAACGGGATTTGTGATGAAGCTTGCTATACAGAAGAATGCGAGTATGATAAAACTGACTGTTATTGCGTTCCTAATTGTTTCGATTGAATGCTTGGCGATGGAGTGTGTGATGAAGCTTGCAACAATTTAATATGTGATTTTGATGATGGAGACTGTGGATATTGCGCTTCAGGGTGCACTTTGAAAATGCTAGCAAATGATATTTGTGATCCAGCTTGCAATACGAAAGAGTGCGAATGAGACTACTATCATTGCGGATGTGCTGAGGGGTGCAGTAAAGATGATTATGGAAATTGTAAGCCAGAGTGTCTGGTAGGATCTTGCAACTATGATCGAATGAGTCCAGATCCTAATAGTTGGTGCTATTACCAGGAATTAATTTTATTTACAGTTTATCAGCAGATGATTATGAATGATACAAACTATGTTGTATCCATTGAGAAATGCTACTTACTCTTCTATTGTTAAATGAAATATAGTGAGAATCTATTCAGGAAATTGCCTTTAGGAATAGTTTTATAATATTTTGTGTCTAATATTTAATTTCATACTAAGCATTAATTGCAATTATTTGCTCATTATAGGAAGTAGACAGTTAGCAAGTAATTATGAATGTAGTCTTCGAAAAGCTATAGATCCTTATAATTGCTACCATGAATGCTATATTCCTGAATGCAATTACGGATCATGCAACTCCACAAACTATTGAAACTGTTTGAACTATTTCCCTATCGATGCCTGAAATATTTGCGAGTTTTGCACTGATATAGATAAGCCTTTTGGAGAGTTCTGCAACCAATGCTTTGGCACTGATAGTTCCTGCAAGAATTTAAATTTGTTTGGGCTATCATTAAGTTTTATAAACGAAGCTTCTCTTTTTACTAAATTTCCTCATCTCTCCTTTTATTATGCATCATCAATCTTAAATGAAAATGTGCCTGAAGACGGAAGCTATCTTTACCCTTTCCAATCCATCTCAGCAGCATTTCGTAAAATACAAACCTGAAATAATGTCCTGTATTTATTTAATGATGGAATTTATATAATGGGCTATGGTGGAGTTTGGACGAACTTTAAAATACTATCATTTGATGGCAGCAAGGTCACGATAAAAAATGATTTATGAGTCTATGCCTGGCAAGTTTCAAAAAATTTTGAGCTCGAGAATTTAATATTTGATGGAAAAGATGATAGCTATTGCCAAAGCTCAACTTATTGCTCTTATTGCCCTTATACAGCTTATAACGAAAATGATGGGTATTATTATAGCGATAGAAATGAACGTATAGATGGAAATTTGCCCTTAGCCATTTGCAATTGGGAATTGAACACGCCTCAAGCAAGTTACGCTCTTATTTATAATCTAGAGGACGCCCCTAAAACTAAAATTAGGAACACCAAATTTATAAACTTCAGGAACGAATTATCGAGTATCCTTTCATTTATAGGAAACTTGAAGCTATTTAATGTAGATTTTGATAATATACATCTCAATCCTTTTGAAACTGGAGGTATAGTTTCGATAATCCCCAGTCACGTAAAGCCTAAATTGTTATAGAATAAAATGGAAGATGGGCAAGTGCCTCTATCACTTTTTGAAGAAGGCCTTAGGTGTGGGGATATCCTCCGAAGAAGTAAGATTTGTTTCTCCCCCGAAGGCTTTCTTTGTTTTTGCCAGAAAGGCTAGACAGGTTTTGTATCCCAATTAGTCTTTACTAATCGTGACTAGCAGGGCATCTGCAAGAGGTAGCTCTAAGATAGATCTAATTCTAAGTAAATTGAGCTTACACCAGATAACCAGGTTAGTGTTTATCCCTTATAATCTATCCGATTGTGGCCTTATGGCATTTAACTTAATTAAGTAAAATTCTTATATATAGGAGGAAAAGTTTCAAGGCTTAATAACGGCTATGAATTCTGGGATCCTTTAAATTTCAAAGGATTTTTATATGCTAAAAACACAACTTCTGTTTTAATAAGAAACATTGAATTCACATATAACATGATTTACCAAAAAAAGCCTACCTACTTCTCTCAGGCTTCCCTTATTTATATTGAATCAGCAGATTTTATTGAAATTGGAAACTGTAGTTTTAAATATAATTACTGCGAGACAGGGATTTTTAATGCTCAAATGAATGTTTTGAAATATATGCAAAGCTTAAATGGGTCACACCATATGACTTATCTTGAAAAAGATCATATTCATATCTACGATTGCAAATTTATATCGAATTATGGGAATGAGACACTAATCAGGATTAACTTTATTAATTATCTTTTGAATGTTCATATGGAAAATTTATCGTTTGAACTTAATGGAGCTGAAAATAACGCTTTGGTGTGAATTGATAATGCTTTTATTTTAGATGAATATAAAGTAGCAACAGTTAAACAATATAGGCAGCCTTTCGGTAAAAATATTATGGCTATTTTTGGGCCAAGATGATGCAAATTTAACAACGTAAATTTTACTAGTAATCATGGACCTGGTCTACTTAACGCAACTAATATGGTCAATTTTGAATTGAAAAATTTGAATATTGATTCAAATGGATCTTTAAACCCTGATAAAGACCTCAATGTCCTTTTGCTTGATTACTTCATTCAAAATGAAGATATATATTTAAAATGAAGACAGCAAGAACCAAAAATTCTTGATTGCCAATTTGCAGTTTCTATATTAAATTCTTACAATTTAAACATTGTACCTCTTTCAATGAAAAATAATATTTGTAGAAATTCCTCTCCAACTTATAAAATTCTTAACTCTGGCACTCATGAAATAGATTCCATTGAATGCTTATCAAATAGAGGAAACAGTATTTTTGCAATATGCTTCTTATTTACTGGAAATTATACTAGGATTTTAATAAATTCAACATTTGAAGAAAATGAGAATAATAATATTTTAGGAAGTGGGGCTGTCCAAGTGCTAGATGGAAGCAGTTTATATGTGAATAATTGCACTTTTATAAATAATATAGGGAATTATGGAGCAGCAATTAATCAAAACAGCCAAAATTTGTCTATTAATTCAACAATTTTTGATTCAAATACTTCACCAAATGGATTTGGGGGTGCAATATATAGTAAAGCCAATTTAAGGGCAAGTAAAAATTTGTTGTATATCTCCTCAAGCATTTTCAGAAGGAATCATGCTTACTATGGAGGATCTATTTATATCACTCAGCAATGGTCATCGCCCTTAAATATTGAAATTGATATTGAAGACTCATCTTTTTTTAAAAATTCTGCATCATATGGTTCTGCTATTTTTATTGATGATGAAGTATTTTTAACTGATCTTTCATCAATCAAATTATCAAAATTTGAAGAAAATTATTCAATAATATCAGGGGCTATATCATTACATTATAATGGAGGCTTACTGGCACTAAAATCATGCGATTTTATTAGAAATTCTGGAAAATCGAGTGCTGTTTTGTATATTGGTATATTGAATTCTACTATTTCTTTAGATTCTTGCTCTTTACTTTATAATGAAGGAGGCTCATCTATCCTCTCAGATGATCAACATAAATTTTCGAATATTGAAACGAAAAATTGCAATTTTTCATATAACAAAGGTTCAGTTTTTGCTCTAAACAATAATAAACTCTCTGACGAAAATTCAATTTTTGTTCAAAACTCAGCTCTTAGCGGTTCTTGCCTTAATTTAGAGAATTCCGCTATTGCAATTTCAAAATTAACACTTTACTTGAATAATAAAAGCTCTAAGAAGGGTGGTGCAGTTAAGTTTTTTTCAAAATCGCAATTCTATTGCAGCTATTGCAATTTTACTTCAAATTTATCTCAAGATGGAGGAGCTGTTTATTTGGATCAAGATTCTCATTTTTCAATCTCGAATTCTATTTTTTATAATAATTCTTGTGAAAATGATGGTGCTGCTATATATATATTTAGCTCATCCATAGAATCAGTGCTTAACTACAGTCAAATTTATGAAAATATTTCAAAAAATAAAGGATCAATTGTTGCAATGAGTTCTAAATTATTAATAATTGCTTCAAAGGTATACAAAAATAAAGGTGGAATTGAGCAAGCACTTTCAAATTTAAATATAATAGACTCTCAATTTTATAGTCAAACATGCTATCAAGGTTGTTTCATTTATTCAGCAATGGAAAGCAGCATTTCTATCAAAAATTCGACATTCTCTGATGGAGTTGCAACCAACTCTGGAGGAGCAATATATTCAACATCAGGCAATTTAACGATAGATTCCTCTCTTTTTCGCCAATTTTCCTCACACTCAATAGGTGGATCAATTTATTCATCATATGATAGTCTCGTAAAGATAAAAAAATCCTCATTTTCAGAATCGTATAGTGCAGAAGGAGGAGGTGTTATAGACTCATACCAAACATCACTAAGTATTGAACATTCTAGCTTTCATAGCTACTCAAAGACTGGGATATTCGGCACGAGTTTAAAAGAGGTGGAAATTCTATATTCATTATTCAGTAATGGAAATGGGATTTCAGGCGGAGCCATTTATTGTCATACTTGCTCTAAAATTAAAATTGACTCAAGTATATTTGTGAATAATAGCGCTTTATTATATGGTGGAGCTTTATATTTTGATAGTAATTGAGGAGAAGCTAGTATAAATACTTATTCAATTGAGAGGAGTTCTTTTGTAAACAACTCAGCGAGAAATGGTGGAGGAATATATGCAAATAATGCAGCCTTATTTATATATTTATCTGATTTTACAGAAAATCAAGCGTTAACAAACGAGAGTTTTATTTATGCTCCTGTAACTGAAGGAAAAGGTGGAGCAATTAAAGTTGGATGCTTGGACTTACCAAAATGCGAACTTGAGATTAAATCATGCAGCTTTATAGAAAACATTGCAAGTTATAATGGAGGAGCAATAAACTGGGATGACTGAAACCCAGTGCTAGATGACAATTTATACCAAGATAATTGAGCGCAATATGGAAACGACTTAGCTTCATACCCTGCAAAACTAATGATTATAAATGAAAGTGATAGAAAATTAGTTGATATATCACAAATGTCAGGCATTGCTCCAGGAAAAAGAAATAAAAATCCTCTGTTGGTTGGTTTAATTGATGTTACAAACCAAACTATTACAACTGACAATATCAGCTTTGCAGAACTCAAAAGTGAAAACTTAAGTACAATTATAGCAGGAGCTACTAAAATAAAGGCATCAAATGGAATCTTCAATTTCTCTGAATATGTGATCTCAGATAAACCAGGATCAAGCATCATAATACAAATTTTTTCTTCTGCAATTGACAATAATAAAAATCAAAAAGTGAGCCAACCAATTTATAATCAAAGTTTATATATTAATGCAAATTTAAGACATTGTGAGATTGGGGAGGTTAACAGTGGAAAAATTTGTGAAGCATGTGGATATGGGTATTACAGTTTAAGCCTAAATAGCACTAAATGTTTGGTTTGTCCAAATTCAGAAGCTAATTGCTATGGAAATTATACTATATCACCAAAAGCTGGATATTGGAGAGATAATATGTATACTGATAAATTTTGAAAATGCCCTAATCCTTCTGCTTGCTTACTCCCCCTCGTGAGCAAACAACAAAATTTTGTTCGCTCTTTTTTTAAATTTAAAAAATTCCAATTTGGAAAAATTGAGAAGCAAAAATTAATTTAATTTGCGAAATTTATGTTTTAAAATGCAAACTGTTTAAAATTAAACAGAATTAGCTAGAGATTTCGCTATAATAATTATCATTTATATATCAAAATCTTTTTTATAAAAAATTTTTGTTTGCTCACGGAGGGGGAGAAGTTAGGCTCTCCAAATCTAAATAATTTATCTTTTACTGGCCTATGCAGAGCTGGATATAAAGGTAATATGTGTCAATCCTGTGAGTCTAACTTTGCTCACTCAAGCCATGATACTTGCAATGAATGCCCATCAACTTTAAGAAATGTGCTCATTTTAATAGCACTTACAGTAGTTTTAATCTTACTTGCTTTTGTTTTGGTCAAGTCTGCAAGAAAATCAGCTTTAAAACCAAAAAATCATGCCTCTATCTATTTCAAGATATTTTTAAATTATTTGCAGTTAAGCCAGCTTACATCTGTTTTTGATTTAAATTGGCCAAATAAAATTAGGCAAATATATCGTATACAATCCAGTACAGACTATGCTTATCAGCAGTTTTGATCACTTGAATGTCTCCTCCAAAGTAGCTTTTCTCAAAGCTACACATACATGCTGAGCCTTCTCATTACTGCAATGATACCATTTTTTATGGGGCTTTTTGCATTTCTTTTCTGGATTTTTATTAAGCTCAAGAAAAAATCATTTACCACTTTTTGAGATGACTATATATCAACTTTCATTGTTTTACTATTTTTAGTGCATCCAAGTACCGTCAGAAAAATGCTTGCTTCATTTAATTGCAAAGAAATTAATCCTGGTGAATATTGACTAGTTGAAAATCTCGATATAAGATGCTGAGATTATGATCATATGTTTTCTGTTATGACTATTTCATTGCCAACTATATTTATATGAGGAATTTTATTTCCTTCTATTTGTTTAATAAATCTCTCAAGAAATAGAAAGATTTTGAATAACTTAAGAGTGAGACTGAGATATGGTTTTCTTTTCAATGGGTACCAAAATAGGCTTTATTATTGGGAATTTATCATAATGTATAGCAAAGTTATTTTAATTTGTTGCTCTGTGTTTTTAGTAAACATCTCTACAAAGATGCAAGCCATTATTGCAGCAATTTTATTGACTATATTTTTACAAATGCAATATTCAAATAATCCCTATACAGATTCAGGCTTAAACCAAGCGGAATTGAGGGCAAAGCTTGTATTAGTTATCACAATATATAGCGGATTATATTATTTAATGGGGTCATTAAATGATAGTGCCAGTATATTTTTCATTGCAATTATTATAGCTTCGAATTCTTACTTTTTGATTTATTTATCCTATAAAATAATCAAAGTCATAATCGATTATCTGAAGAAAAATTAAAAAATGAAAGAGTAAGACGAAACCTATGAGTGAAATGGATCAGAAAAGTTCACAAATGGAAAGTGGGGAAATATTATTCCCATCTATTGCTGAAGGAAGCTTGGATATAAATTATGATTTTAGTCAAGATATTGAGAATAAAGACAGATAATAATTCAATTGAGTCTTGATAAACAATATATGTATAAAAATATAATTAATATGTAATTTTAGTTTTAACTCTGGTAACTATGTATATAATTAAAGAAGCTCACACTTATATTACAAAAACCATTCTTCATCAACTTCCTAGACTTTTCCTCGAGCAGGTCTTAACTGAAGGCTAAACCCAGCAAGAAACTGGAAGTTCCATCACTCTAGATCTTAAAATTCGAGTCAGAGCATAGCAATCCATTTAGACAATGCTCACTGAAGTCCATCAGGAATGATGATGGATAGTAGCGACTATATATTCGTGGCCCTCTCGAAACAATATCAATTATTAATAAAATTTTTAAACTTTATAATATTTTTAGATTTAGTAGCATTTTAAAGAAAGAATTTTAGGAGATAAATCAAGGTAACTAAGAATTAGATTAATCATAATTAAAAGAAGAATTTGTAAGACTAAATCAAATTTAAAATTTAATTATTTAATAAACAATGGCTCAAAAGTTAAGAATTTTCTTCTTTGTTTTAAGCTTGTGTGCTGGAGAAAAACTATTATGCAACTTATCTGAATGTCCAGATATTAAGGTAAGTTTCCAAATTAGAAAGGTGACTGCGAATGCAACCCGGAATGTATGACTCCTTACTGCAATTTTGATACAAATATACTTATAAATGGAACAAAGGATCATGAAAGTTCAGATTGTATTAATTATTGCACCATGATTGATCATTGTAGCCCTCAATTACTAGGAAATGGGATATGTGACCCATCTTGCAACACAAAAAATTGCGGCTACGATTGAGGAGACTGTGGTGTTTGCTCGTCTTTCTGTAATTATAATTCAGGCTCTGAAAAAGATCTTATGGGAAATTGTAATCTTAATTGCAATGTCCCAGGCTGTTATTATGGTCTTAGTCAATGTGAAGAATGCTCTCCTGGGTGCTCACCAGATTTATTAGGAAATGGTTATTGCGATGAAGCGTGTGCAACTTCAAACTGCAATTTTGATTTAGGGGATTGTATCAACAGAACTTGCGCTCCTAACTGCTATATTTGAATGGTAGGAAATTCCATCTGTGAAGAAGCTTGCTATGTGGCTGACTGTGATTATGATAAATTTGATTGTGATTGTGCTCCAGGATGCTATGACTATATGCTGAACAATGGAATATGTGATGAAGCTTGCAATAATTGAAATTGTGTATTAGATAATCATGATTGTGGAGCATGTGCCAGCGGATGCTATCCCAGCATGGTAGGAAATGGTGTCTGTGACCCTGAATGCAATAACTATGACTGCTATTATGATTATACTGATTGCCAATGTGCTGATAATTGTCTATTAGAAGACTATGGAAAATGTAAACCAGATTGTTTGGTAGCTTCGTGTAATTATGATCAGTTACCTCAATATCCAAATTTATGGTGCCAAAACAACGCCCTCAGAATTTTTGTTTCTTACCAGCATATAATTCGCAATGATACAACTTATATAGTCTATTTAGAAGACTGCTATCAAAGCTCAAACTATGCCTGCACGCCAGAAAAAGCATTTGATTTTGAGAACTGCAATCAAGAATGCAATATACGTCAGTGCAACTATGCATTTGGAAACTGCAATTATTACTGAGGGGGTAATTATTGTAATCGATATTATCGAACCGATGAAAACCTAATACAGTGCTTGTCTTGCAATAATTTAGCTGTTACTAATAGAGGGTGCAGCATTGGAGAGAGAAATTTCTGGACGACTTTCCCTGATGGCTCCAAATTCATTTTGTATGATTACAAAGACAGATCTACAAAGAATAATCCCTATATTTATTTCGCTACTTCAAAAGTCAATGAAGAGCTTAATTATGGTGATGGTTAGGCTAGATTAGGTAATTAAAGACAGGCGTTAGCTATATTGGCGACGCAGTCATCAAAGACCTCCCATAAAGGAAGTTTAGCCGCTTTTCGATTTAAGCCAGAGGGTCTATCCCACTTGCGAGTGCCTTTCTGGTACCTTCTGTCTCCTCTTACCTTGAGGCTTCAGTCTTGAGTGCTTATGGATTTCTGCGAACCTGTTACGGGCGATTGAAGTAGCTTGATTCCAAGAATCAACTCCTTGAAGTCTATCAAGTTTCAAAGTCCCCTCTTTCGATAGCTCCCAGGAAAAGACTATTTCTTTGTAGTCTAGCCCGAAACCCCTAGTTTCTCGGCAGAGGAATATCATCGGTCCTTGAATCCAAAGGACATTGCTGAGCACCCCCATTTCCAACCACAGAAAAGCAGCCAAAGCAACCCATATACACATCTCTTGCGCCTGCACTTGATTCTTGACTCAGAGTCTGTGCCAATTCGCTTGGGCAAAAGGTTTTTACGCTAAGAGGGCAGGCGGCACATATTGTCATTTTAATGTATAATTATGGCGATGGTACATTGATTTCTCCTTATAACAGTATAATTAAAGCATTGGATTATACTATGCATGCTTATTCTATAATATATCTCTTAGAAGACGGTGACTATCCAATATATCAGAATGATCGAGATCTAAATTCAGAAGATCCAGAATGAGCCAAAAGGTATTATAAAAAAAAATTAGTTAAAATTGAACCGATAAATGGAAATAAAGTAAAGTTTATAAAACTTATAGACCAACATACTTGAAAAAACAAAACATTCGTAGTTATTGATTATAGCTTACAAATCAGCAATGTAATTTTTGATGGGAAAACATATCCGTCAACCTGCAGCAATATCTCATCTGAATACTGCGAATACTGCCCATATGTAATTCGGGACTCTCAATCAAGCACTGGTTTTTATAATGACAGACTTGAAGAAATTTCGATTTTCCTTCCCTCTTCATGATGTGCCCGTTCAAAAGAATTCAATCTTTTTTTTTCAACTGGGCATGATTTAACTCTAATAAACTCAGACATAATTAATTTCAGGTCTGGATTTTTATCGCTAATTTATCAAAGTAACGGAAACTTATACATGAATAATGTCGCATTTGATAATATAAAGCTTACAGAGTCTGAAGTCTCAGCAGTTATTAGCCTTGGATTAAATTCTTATGATTTATATTGCCTAAAAAGATTTTATTATGAAAATGGAAAAGTCAGTAGACTTAATAATGGCTATGAATTTGGCGATTCAGTAAACTTTAGAGGATTTTTATATGCTTCAAATATGACTAAAATACTAATCAGGAATGTAATTTTTGAATATAATTTAGTGTATATGAACCAATTCAATCTGTTGGATACTGCGTCTTTGCTCACACTTGGGTATTTTCAAACATTAGAAATAGACTCATGTATATTCTCTTACAATTATTGTGAACTTGGAATTATTAATGTTCTGCAAGCTACAAAGAATCTCAATATGACAATTGACAGTAAAGGAGTGTTAGCAGACTCTAAGCTTAGCCACATTCATATTAGAAATACATCATTTTTAGGAAACTATGGAAAAACATCTGGGATTTTATATGCACAATTCAATATAGAGCCCCAAAATATCCTTATAGAGTCTTGCAATTTTACCTCTAATGGAGTCGAAAGAGGTAGTTTACTATATTTTGGAAGCAATGGTAATATTAGTGATTATGCTGAAACAAAATATGTTACTGTTACAATGCTTAATGGGCTGAATTCTACTGCAAAATATTTGGCAAGATGAGTAAAATTAGCAAACATTAACTTTCTTAATAATTACTCTGGAACTACTGATTTAGTAGATATAAGGAAAATGGTGAATATTGAAATAACAAACATAGAAATGAAATTAAATGGAGGCAAGCCGAATGAAAGCAATAGCATTAACTCAATTCTTTTAAATTCATTTATTAGTAACCCTGACATTTATCTAAAGCTTTCAGTACCCAATCCTCAAGTGTTATCTTGCACATCATTATTTTCAGTATCAAACTCTTTAAACTTTATTATGAAATTTGTAAATGCCACAGAAAATTACTGTAAAAATTCTTCTCCATCTTTTATTATTAACAGTACAGAAAATTCTGTTGGCGATTATTTATATTTCAATAGAAACATTGGTGAGGGTGCTAAAGGGGTATGCATCTCAGTATCATATACCGCTTCATTGCTAATAAACAATTCAATGTTTATTTCCAGCCAAAATACTGTTAAAGGAAATTCAGGAGCAGTTGCATTTTCTGATAGCTCAAATAATTTAACGCTTGCAAATTGCTCGTTTATTGGCAATAGTGCAGATTTAGGGGGGGCTGTTTATTTTTCAGGACAAACACTATCTATGAATGATTGCGTATATGAGTCAAATCAATCACCTGGGCTCTCAGGTGGCGCAATCTATTATTATTTACCGCCAACGTTATTGTCTTTAGATTCCTTCATTTATATTTCAGACACCATTTTTAGAAATAATTATGGCTCTTTCAATGGTGGATCACTCTATCTTCAGAAAAGCTATTTTTCGAATTCAACTACCCATCTTATTATAAGCAATTCTGATTTTTATAGCAATCGCGCCTCATCTGGGGCAGCTGTATTTATAGATAGTTTTATTCGCCTATCAAAAGATTCTTTAATTGAGAGCTGCTTATTCGAGGAAAATATTGCATTATTATCTGGAATATTTTCTATTTATTTCAATAGTGGAATACTATACTTTGATAGATCTTCATTTATAGGTAATTCTGGAGTAGGCAGCTCTGCACTACTTATCTCTATTGATAGCGAATCAAACTCAAAAATAGCTCTAAATAATTGCACTTTTCAATATAATTCTGGTGAAACAACTGTTTTATTAGAAGATTCAAATAAAAATTCCACTTTAGAAACCTATAATTGTATGTTTACTGAAAATATTGGATCTGCATTTTCTCTTAATAATGGCATATTAATTGAAAACAACTCGACAATTCAAAATGGTCACTCATTAAGATCTGGAGGTAGTATTACTATGAAAAATTCAGCATTAGCAAACTGCACAAATACTACATTTTTAAATAATACAAGTGATGAAAATGGTGGAGCGATTTCTATGAATTTAAATTCTCAATTTTTGTGTATGCATTGCAAGATTTTAAAAAATAAAGCAGGCGAGTCTGGGGGTGCTATTTATGTAGATACTGACTCATTTTTTCTAATTGAAGATTCAAAATTCACAGAAAATTATTGTAAACATAAAGGATCCGTTTTGAATATGATAAGTTCGTCAGTAGATTCAAAGTTAATGAACTGTGAAATAACTAAAAACAATGCACAAAATGGGGGAATAATTTCTCTAATATGGTCCTTAATTACTATAGACTCATTAATTATCCATAGTAATACTGCAAATCAAGATAATCCAGGCATTCTTCTTACAAATTCCAATATAACAATAGTAAATACAAGTTTTTCAGATCAAATTGGGGACCAGGGTTGCTTTATTCAAATTAAATCTGAAAGTGTAACTACAATTAAAAATTCTTCATTTATCAATGGACTTTCGAATAGCTCAGGAACTGCTTTATTTTCTCTCTCAAGCATGGCTATTATCATAGATTCTTATTTTTCAAACTTAGTTTCAAAAGCTGGTGGGTCATTATTTATATACAAAGATGGATCATTAAATATCTATAATTCAACGATGAAAAATATTATAGGGTCTTCAATCGATGCATATCATAGCTTTGTTCAAATAGAAAAAGCTATATTTCAAAACCTTTCAGACAGCACAATAGTTGGGAACGAAATAGCGTCATTAGAAATCATGAATTCTGAATTTTATGATGGATCAGGATCAAATGGGGGTGCAGTTTATTGCTCAAAGTGCATGAAAATATCAATTGAATCATGCTTATTTTATAATAATTCTGCATCATCTGGAGGAGCAATTTACTTGATGACAGACATTGATACCCCTATTTCAAATCAGTATGTAATATCTTCATCTGTTTTTGTTAGTAATTTTGCTTTTAATGGCGGAGCCATTTTAGCAAGTAATATCAATTTGCATGTTCTGTTTTCTGAGTTTATTGATAATCTGGCAGGATCTTCAGATACTGAAAATAGAGAAGCAGGGATATATGATGGCATTGGAGGAGGTATCAAAATAAACTGCGATAAATTTGATTCATGTTCTTTCAACATATCATCTAACCATTTTACTAGGAATAAAGCCATAAATAATGGAGGAGCCATTAGTTGAGATAGCTCAAACCCAGTAATCATTGATAATTTTTTTGTAAACAATTCTGCCAGATATGGTCCTGACATAGCTTCATATCCATTTAAACTGATTTATATAAACACTAAAAGAGAAAATCAATATCTAAATAGTCCTTCAAGCTCAATGCCAACTATTAGTGGAATAGCTCCAGGTCAGAAAAGCGAGCAGCCAATAACCTGCGCAATTGTAGATCACTATGATCAAATAATATATACAGACAATTTAAGCCAAGTCCAGTTACTAGCAAATGATCCAAATACCATACTTTTTGGAACTACAACGGTCACAGCTTTTAGCGGGATATTCAATTTTACTGATTATGTAGTTATAGCACCTCCAGGATCTTCAACTAAAATTAAGGTTTATGCTCCTACAATTGAAGATTCTAATAATTTTCTTATAAATGTTTTTCTTCGTCTATGCAAGATAGGTGAAGCAACTGCTAGTAATCAATGTGTGATTTGTGAAAAACCATATTATAGCTTAGAATTAAATAATACAGAGTGCATTACTTGTCCAGAACATGCTGTCTGCTATGGAAACTCTTCAATTGTTCCTAAAGAAGGATACTGGAGAGAAAGTAATGATACTGAAGTGTTTTGGAGATGTCCCAATCCTTCAGCATGTTTAGGTTCTCCTGATCCAAAAAATTTATCATATACAGGAGTTTGTAAAAAAGGATATGAGGGAAAATTGTGCCAAGCTTGTCAATATGGATATGGAAGGCTATATGAAAATTATTGTAAAATTTGTCCGGAAAGATGAATTAATTTTATGAACTTCTTTGGATTTATAGGAGTACTTACTGTTATTACTCTCTTAATTTGGATTACTGTAAAAAAATCTATACTTGGCACACAAACATATACGCCAGTTTATATCAAAATTTTTTGAAATTATTTGCATATTTTAACTATCATTACGACTTTCAATTTGAACTGGCCAAAAGAAATTATGAAATTATTTCATATTGAGTCTAGTATGAATTTTATTATGGAGCAGATTTTTTCTATTGATTGCTTTTTACAGTTAGATTCTCAAAAAAGTGTATTTTATACGAATTTTTTTATTATTAGTTCTGCACCTTTCTTATTAGGAAACATATGCTTAATTCTGCTATCTCTTTATTTCTTATATAAAAAGAAAAGCTTTTCGGAATTTTCCCATTATTTTATCTCAATATGGATTGTTTTACTATTTTTAATTCACCCACACTTGATGCAGCCATTTTTCAAAATTTTTAGCTGCAAAGAAATTAGCCAAGGAGAATTTTGGCTAAATGAAAATCTTGAAATTCAGTGCTGAACTAGCGAGCATTTATTTTATGCATTTTCGATAGGCTTGCCATCAATACTGCTATGAGGAATTTTAGGGCCAGCATATTTATTTACGAAAGTTTTAAGATTGAGAAGGGTGCAGGGCGGAGGATCAGACAAGTTAAAATATGAGTTCATTTGTCATGGCTACACTACAGAATATTTCTATTGGGAGTTTTTTATCTTTTATAGTAAAATTATTTTAATTTGCTTCTCAGTGTATTTATCAAATATTACTCTACCATTGCAAGCGCTCACTGCAATAGTGATTTTAATTTTATTTTTCCATTTCCAAAACAGAAATAAGCCATTTACAGATACATACTTAAACAACGCTGAATTGCTAGCAAAACTCATTTTATTAATCACAATCTTCACTGGCTTATTCTTTGCTACTGGAAAATTAGATTATTCTAGTGAAGTTTTTATCTTTATTATAACTATCTTTGCAAATTTACTGTTCATCCTTTATATATTGCCAAAAATTTTCAGTAGCTTTTTAAAAGATGCAAAAGATACTACTTTAATTTTACTAAGTAGATTATTTAAAAGGAAAAAGTACAAAATTGGATATGAAACTAATACTCAAGTAATCAATAATTCGAAATATTTATATATTACTGGGAGTAGAATTATAAATAGTACTCAAGACATTGAATTAGAAAATTTTTCATCAATTCTAGCTGATGATAGAAATAAAAGCATTGAAATTGATCCTTGTCCTTCTGAAAATAGATCGATCAACGAATAAAATGGATAAATAAGGTACCCTTTTAACTTAATCTAAATTGGAAGCCAAAGATTTATTTGGATATAACTTTAAAATAGATATTGGGAAATATTAACTTGCCAATAAATTTTCTGTCTTATTTTTCCTAATAATTTTCTATATTCTCAAATATATCAAAAAATCTATTCATTTCTTATAATTAATATGAAAGAAAAGAAGCCGGCAAAAAGGAAAGCAGCAGACAGTGAAGAAGAAGAAAAAAAGCCTATTAAATTGCCTAAAACCACTAAGCAAACAACTCTAATTGCAGAAGAAGCCAAGCTCCAAACAAGTAGCACAGGGCAATTTTCGCGCCCTGAAATTCGTATAGTCTCTTGGAATATCAATGGAATCCGCGCGTGCATAAAAAGGCCTAACCTCAATGAGCTTGCAAGCCGCGAAAATATTGACGTCCTTTGCTTCAATGAAACTAAACTTCAAGATGCCAACATTCCAGAATTCCGTCGAACATTTTCAACTTTCCCTTATCAATACTGGTCCTGCAGCAGAGCTAAAAAAGGTTATTCAGGGACAGCAATTTTAAGTAAAACAGAGCCAATTAGTATTGAATATGGAATTGGTAGCCGTAAGCATGATGATGAAGGCAGGGTTATAACAGTTGAATTCGACACCTTTTTTGTAGTTTCCACTTATATTCCAAATGCTGGCCAAAAATTAGAAAGACTTAAATATAGAACTGAGGAATGGGACGTTGATTTCAGAAATTATATAAAAGGACTGGAAAATAGAGGAAAAAGCGTAGTTTGGCTTGGGGACTTAAATGTGGTACATCAAGATATTGATATTTATGATATGAAAGGGAAAGATAAATGTGCAGGATGCACAAAGCAAGAAAGAGAGCAGTTTACAGTTACTCTAGGACAAGGATTTGTAGACTCCTTTAGAAATCTGCACCCTCAAGAAAGAAAATACTCATGGTATAGCGCGAAAAATGTGAGAGCAAAAAGTGAAAATATGGGATGGAGGCTGGATTATATTGTGGTCAGTCAAAGATTAATGCCAAGGGTAAGGGACAGCTTGATTCATGATGATATTCCTGGAAGTGACCATCATCCTGTTGAGCTGGTTTTAACTAATAATTAAGCTTCTTTATTTATAGTTAGTTAATTAAAGATATAATTTCAGACAGGCAATTATCAATTTCATTTTGAATATCTTCAAAGCTCTCAGCGAGATCTGTGAATGAATTGTTTACTCCCCCCCTCCGTGAGTGAACAAAAAAATTTTGTTCACTCACGGAGGGTTAATTTTTTTTTTTTAAAAAATTTATATTTAAATTTTATAAAAAATATTTTTTTTCGAAATTTAAAAAAATCCTAATTCGCGAAAATTGGAAAGCAAATATTAATTTAATTTATAAAATTTATGTTTTAAAAAGCAATTCGTTTAAAATTAAACAGAATTAGCTCTAGATTTCATTATACTAATTTCACTTATATATCAATTTTTTTTCCATAAAAAATTTTTCTATTAAAAAATTTTTGTTCACTCACAGAGGGTGGGTTTTTTGGCAAAAAAATAGCGATTTTTCTAATCGTTTTGTTCACTCACGGAGGAGGGGGAGTTAGATTAATTGGTCTTCTGCATATTGGGCAGGTATTTTGACGTTTTTCTCATTCATGAATATCCCTATGACAAAAAGAATGATGGCATGGCAAAATTGTGTCAGCTAGTCTTTCTAAACAAATAGAGCATTCATTTTCATTCAGCATTGTGGTTGGGCTTAATGATGAAGCAAACTTCATATGCATTAACAGTTCATAAATCCTATTAGTATTGCTAATTGACAATTTCTTTTTAAGCGACCTACGAGGATCTGATTCTTCACCTATTTCATAAACAGAAATGCGAATGAAGCCTTTTAACTTTCAAAAGACAGGTACGTACTCATTTATTTTCTTGGCTTTGACATGAAAAAATAAAATTTTACCTGAATATTTGGTAAATTCTTTAGATTGGGTATATTCATTAATACTGCTCAATCGCCCTTTAAAATTCTGATAAGAATTCCCCATTTATTGGATCATTATTAAAAATAATCTAATTCGATATTATTCTAGTAAAGCTTATTAATATTACATTAGCAATAATTAAGGAACCTAAAAATAATGTGGAATGCTTCATTTTATATATATTCCTTTACAAAAGGGATATAAACTGGTTCATTATTCTATTCATTCTTTTACAAGTTCTTTGAAAAAGTGATAATATTTTCTCTTCTAATAATGACATAATAGCTCCAGTTTTCAAGTTAACATATAATCCAATTATTTTCATAGAAATTTAATATTGTCCAGCATTATTATATTTCACTAAAATATTTATTTATGGAAGAGTCAATCGAAGCAACGTTAAATCAAAAAGGCCAAGAGCTCCAAAAGGCGCTTGAAGAATTACGCAAAAAAGAATTTGAGTTTGCAGTAAGTGAGCTCCGTTCTACACTTCCTCAGCAAGGTCGTTGTGTCATATGTACCCTAAAACTCCCATGCAAGCATTTTTCTTCTATTGAAGCAATGCCAGCTCTCCCATCACCAACAAAGCCTCAGTTCTCTCTGCAGCAATTTTCAGAAGGTCTCGATGTTTCAGCACTAAACGTCACACTGCCATCTATTGAGCAAAATAATAAAAGCTTTACAATTCGCTTTAGAGGTCGGGGTACAAAATTTACATCCCCATCTGCTCCTAGGCATTCTTCACTTCCAAATACACAGAAATTGAAGCTTTTAGAAAAAATTGAAGCATATAAAGAAGAAAAATTAAGAAAAGAGATTGAAAGCATCCAGAAAATCAAAGAGCAGCAAGAAAAAATTAAAAAAGAACAGGAAATTTCTGAATTAAAAAGACTGAAACATTTAGAAAAGATTAAAGGGAAATTAGGAAAATATAAAGAAGAAGCAAAATTAAAAGAAGAGCAGGCGAAATTAGAAGAGCAGGAGCAAAGTATGAAGAAAAAGAAAGAAGAAGAAAAAAAGCAAAAATATTTAGAAATGCAAAAAAAGAAGTTAGAGGAGTATTATGAGAAGAAGAGGACATTGGAAAAAATTGATAAGGAAAGATTAGATGATTTAGAAGAAGAAGTTATTAAAAGGGGGAAAAAGTGAGAAAGTAAAAAAGTGTATAAGAATGTTTTAAATTAAAATAATTGACATTTACAACGTTTCTCAGCAGTGATTTCAGTAGACATTTCTTCAATTTTCTTTTCTTCGTTATATTCTCTTTCTCTTTCCCTTTCTCTGTCGAGTTTCATTTGTAAAATTTTTCTTTCTTCCTCAAGCTCTCTGACTTTTTTCCTTTCTGCTCCTAATAGCTCTTCTAATTCTTCAGTATCCTGCTGTTGCTCAATAAATTCTCGTAATTTTATGTTTTCTTCATGCTCATTTGTGATTTGTAATCTTAAGACTTCTAAAGCATCAATAAGATCTTTATTATGGCATTCTTGTTCTGCTTGCAGCTCTCTTATTTGTTCTTTTAAAATTTCATTTTCAGTTGAATAATCTTTTATTGAGTTGTTCGAGTACTCTTGAAGTTGTGCTTTAAGCTCTTTTAATTGGTTCATATATTCATTATTTTCTTTATTTTTTTCAGCTAGTTCTTTTTCTAGCTTAAAAAGTCTATTTTTTAACTGACTTTTTTCATCATTCATCATAATAATTTTTTCGTTTAATTCCTCAATTTCTTTTTCAGCATTTTGAATTAAATCTACCTGTTGTGAATTTCTTTCTAAGGTTTTATCAATACCGTTGCCCATATTTTCTCATTGAATTCCCATTTCTTTTATTTTTTCTTTAAGCTCGTGAATTTCTTTATCTTTTTTATCGCAATTATTTTCGGCTTCTATTATTTTTTCTTTATTTTGATTAATATTGATTTGCTCTATTTCAAGTTTTTCTTCAAGAATTTTAATTTTTCTTTTTAATTGCTCTATTGTAGTGTGATCTTCGGGCTCTTTTTGATTTGAATGAGTTTGCTTAGGGTAGCAGTTATCGCAGCATCTTTGGTCATGAATACGATTTTTTGAGCAATTAAAGCAGACTCCTCTATAACAAAACTTGCATAAATATTTTCGAGAATGCGCTAAAGAGCCTTTGCCGAATTTAACGTTGCAAATTATGCAGTTTTTGTCTTTTTTATAAGCAGTTTGATCAATTGAAGGGTCAATAATGTCAAGTGACTCTCCTGTTGTGCTAAGCTGCTCTTCAGATTGTGTATTTTCAGTCTCAAATTGATCCTCCATATTTTATTAATTTGACATTATTTCGCCTCAAAGTTTGAGAGATTTTTAATCTTACTTTCAAAAAAATTTAGTCTTTAGTTTTATAATAAATTAATTCCAAGTTTTTAATAATATTCTCCATTAATTTCTGACATTAAACTTTCCTTATCTTTAATTTTCATAATAATAAATAATATAAAAGTAAATCATAAATTTAATTTATTGAAACTTTATGGAAAAAGACAAATATTATTTTGATAAAGATACACAAATTAATTATATACACAAAAAAATTAATTTGACGTAATATTGTAAAAATGGGTTGTACAGCATCAAGAACAAAAATGAGGGTGGCAGCAGTTAAAACACAAACTCCTCAAGAGCGTGCTGTGATGGAAAAAATTGAGCAGCTTGCAAATCAGAATACAGAGCTTGTTTCCCCTCAAGAACTAGAATTAATTCGCCAGACGTTTTTTAGTTTGCAAGAGATTGATGAAACACGCAGAAATAAGTGACTCGAGGCAATACAAGATGATATTCTTTCTCCTCTTTATTTCTCAGTCCAAGGAGAGCTTAAATATTCAAATGAGCACCCATTTATTCCTATTCACGAAAAAGTTGAAGAAGCAGGGATAAAAGATTTCCCTACTTTAGGAAAAACAAAAGAAGAATTGCGTGAATATGCACTGTATATTTATAATGATTTTATATCTGCATTTAATATTGATATTTTGAAAATTCAGAGACTCATTTTTGCAATTTCAGAAAATTACCAAAACAACCCATTTCACAATTTTCACCATGGATTTTGTGTGACACAAGTAAAACTTATTTAGATGCTTTATGCAATTGGTGTAAAAACCAATAAGTACTCAGACTTTTTAGAAAGCAAAGATCATCTTGCTTTGCTTGTCTCTGCCATCGGCCATGATTTAAACCATCCAGGAGTTACAAATGCTTTTATGATAAATTCTCGTCATAGCTTGGCAATTCGATATAATGACACATCAGTCTTGGAAAATTACCATGCTGCAACTCTTATTAATTTTCTTGAACTGTCAGGCTGTGATATATTCTCTGGATTTTCTCCAGCTGAAAAAGTTTATAATAATATAGCATAACTATTATTTTAATTATAATTCGCTATAACTTCCTATATTCATCCAAAATAAGCTTATATGAGAAAACAAATAATTCCAGCTATTTTAGCAACAGACATGGCAAAGCATGGCCAAGTCATGGAAACTTTCAGAAACTCTATGGAGCATTACAACAAAGAAAACTCTGACCATAAGCAAGCATTTATGGGAATGGCGCTTCATTGTGCAGATGTAGGAAACCCAACACTGAGGTTTGATTTTGGATAAATAAAATGGCATTCGGTTCGAGAGAAATTAGCTTTGCTAATTTTCTCTCCCTCATGGAATTTTATTTATGGGGTTGGGTTTTCTCTCGAGAACTTCTGCACAGCAATAGCTGTTTAACTTTGGGGATAACCAAAGGAACAGCTCCTCAGTGCACTCAAGATTTCGGAGTTTTTACCTCTCAGCACATCCCCACGGGAGGATGACCCTCAGGCGGAACACGCGCAGGAGCTGAGTCGAGGCAAGGGCGACTGCAACGCGCCGGGTGAGACGTGCGGCGAAGAAGGGCGAAGTGCAGGTGAAGGCTTGGCCGGTGGGCTAACCATCGCGATTCCAAGATGGCCCGGTGACGTCATCAATTTTTCGCTATAAACTCCATTTATGGGGTGCGGCACTAGACACCTTAAATACCAGACAGTTAAGTTAAGTAAGTTAAGAGGTTTGATTTTGCCCACTGTATGGTCACTGAGAGTCATAAAAGAATTTAATCAGCAAGTTTGGCAAGAAGAGCAAAGAGGGATTCCTGTATCAGAATTTTTGAGAATTGGCAACGACATAAAAAAAATTAAGCAAAATCAGGTGGGATTTATCGACATATTTATCCTGCCACTTTGGATATACATAAAATGGCGTATGGCGACCGACCCACCCTCTCAGTGGTGGTTACCCATGTATATCCGGGCATGGTTTTTGGAGCCAGGAGTTGGCCCAGCAACGTTTGGGACCTCGAAGCGAGAGGTCTAAGCACAGAGACCGCTGCTTTTGCGACCCAGACCCATGGGCAGTTACTCGTGACTTCTTTTTGCCAGCAGCGCTCAGCCCCCAGTGAGTGCCCGAAATGAGGCAGGGCGACTTACCTGCCTAAGCTGCTTTTGTGGCTCGCCCCGAATGGCGAAAGCTGCTGAGTTCTTTTTCGGGATGACCGGAAAAGAGGGGAAGGCGAGTTAGACATCTAAACGGGAGTCTCTCCAGTTTAAAAGGTGCCCTTCAATGGGCAGATCTGGCGGACGACGCGGCAGTGTTGGCGTAAACTTAGGCGACGATCCAAGTTGGAAATGGAGGCGGTCAGCAAAGACGATAGACACGTCCCTTGACCTTCACCTCTACCGAGAAACCGGGGTTTCGGCCGGGCTTGGTGAACGCTCTGCCACCATACGGGAAACCGTAGAATGCTTCCTCGGACGAAGCAGGGACTTAAAATACCCAGCGTAATCTTAATCTTAATCTTAATCCTGCCACTTTGGAGACTTTTTTACAGTTTTGTGCCACAAGTCGTTGATTATGTGGAAGCTATAGAAAACAATAGACGCCAGTGGGAATTAATAGAAAAACTTGAATAATAAATCTTATAAATAAAATCAATTAATAAATGCTTTTATATTAAAGAAATTCCAACAATTTTCTTCATGTTTTCCTATAAGTTAATGATGACAAATATGATTATATGAAGTAATAAATTGTTATACTAAATATAAATAAATGAACTCTAGAGGAAACAATCGGAGTTTGAACAGCGAAGATGTCCCTAAAACTTATTCTATTTGGCCATTTGCACCAGTGTATTTACTATATAGAGATGAGGCGAAAAGAGGAGGGACTGCCCCAGGGCCTTGTGTAAGCTCACTTTCGTGTTATCCTCAAAAAATGCCAGTTAGCTCACAAAAGTATTCTGTCAATTCTATGAATTCTCTGCAAGGAGTGCCTTTTTCTCATGAAAATAATAAGATTTCTGTAAGAGGATCTGGGTGGAATTCTTCAATAGCAGGTCCTATAAAGGCAAGCTCGCTTTTAATGCCAGATGACAAACCAAAAACTGCAAAACATGCAGAGGTCATTAAGCGTCCAGTAACTTTTGGCTTCAAAATATCAGGATTAGAAAAAATCAGTGAAACACCAGCTTCTAGAGAAGTAGATCAAAGAAAATTAAGACCTTTATCTCAGCATAAAGATCCTCCAAAAGCCTTAGGTTTATATTTACCTCCAGGCACTTGTACACCTCCAGACACACGTTCGCTTATGTCAGACAAATGCTGAAATTCAAGATCAAAAAGAGGCGAATCCCGAAACGATCAACATAATATAGAAAAAAGGATTGAGCCTCCTAATACTGCTTTCCCAATTTGTGAAGAGCATGAAAGACCAAAAACTCAAGGAAGGCCAAGAACAAAAATAAGAAACAAAGGACCTATGAAAAGTCCTGCGTTTGATGATAATATGTTTAAGAGACCTGCTAGTGGCAAGTTATATGATGTACCTATAATTATCAATAGAGACGAGAAAATAAGCAGAAGGGTTTTAAGTGCGAATTTGACAGCTGGAAGATCACCTAATATGAGGCAGCCATCATTTAAAACTACTCCACAGTTTCAGTCATCCCTGGATTCGGGGTTTTTAAACTTATTCAATATGTAATAATTTATATTGTCTTTATTATTGCTTTTAAATTATGAAGGACTTCATTCATTGATACGTCTTCTTCTAATCTTAAAGCTGCTTTAGACATCTTCAAAAAAGATTCAATTTCACGCACAAAAATAAAAATCTGATCGATTTTGGCTAAAATCATTGGCTTCTCTTCAGGGATTTCATATAAATGGCAAAAATGCTGCACGATTTGTTCTTCAAAAGTAAATTCTCTTCTAGCACTTTTTGGGGTGTTTCTGCTTATATCTTCTAAGGGGTTCATTTTTCTTGATGTAGACTGAGCATTTGTTCTGGCTTCATCTATGGGACTTTTATTTCTCATGTGATTTTCTTTTGCTCTTCTTAATTGGTCAAGCTCTGAAAACACTTTTTTTAACTTCGGGATTACATCATCCATTCTTTGGCTACAAATTGATTTATTTTTTTCTTCTTTGAGATCTGGGAAGACGATAATGCAAACTTCTCTGATAAATTTTTCTAAATGCGGAACAGCCCTCAGCACTTTTTCAAGCTTTACAACAGCTCTTACTATATGTTTAGAATCTTTTAATGTCAGAATTTTACAAATTTCACTTATAATTGTACTGTTTTCGTCATTTTTTTTGGACAAGTTTTCATTTAAATTTTCAGATTTTGATAGTTCTTGCTGCAATTTATGGAAATCGTGTTTAAGCTCATTATATTCATCTTCTAAATCTTGGTATTTATCATATGATTTTACATTTCTTAAATTTTCTTCTAATTGCTGAATATGTTGATTAAGTTCTCTGGTCTTATTTTCATAACTTAAAATTAATTCAAATGTTTTTATATCAGTAGGATTTTTTGGACTGGAATTTCTACCATAAAATTTTTTGAATATAATTTCTGTGCCATCGTTTTCATCAATATTTTTCTTATCAAAACCCATTAAAACTTCATTCAAAGTTCGCAATAAGTTTTGCACATTTACAGTCTGCTCTAAAGGCTGAAAATTATTTTTTACCAAAATTTCATTGATATTGTTTATCATTTTTTGATTTGGGTCTTTTACCTCAATATTTTCAGGTTTTTTCAACAATAAATTTTTTAGCTCAGAAGTATTTTTTAGAAAATCATCAGCAGATTTTAGCACCCTCATATCTTCACTTTTTAATGGCTCTTCTAAATCGCTAAATATTCTTCTTTTTCCTGAGTATCCATGAGACCCATACAGCTCTCTATTATCTAATATTAATTCTTCATTATTTCTTTCTTGAGCTTCATCAAGCTCATCCTGAAAAATGATTGAGTTTTCTTTATGAAAGCTTTCTTGTGAGTACTCATATTCGTCTTTATCAATATCCCACTCAGTTCAGTTCCTATCTCGGCTTTCATCAGTCACAATAACAGTGCTGCCTTTAATTGGGGTTTTTGACATTTTGAATTTAGTTTCGAATTTATTTATATTATTCAAAAGTTATTTCGAACAAACTTTTGCCAGCTTTGAAGACCATGGCATTATAAATCTCAAAATCTTCTTCTACAAATAGCCAAGTCCCATTTGTTGACTTTTTATTGCCATCTCCGTCTTCTAATGCCCATCCTCGGTCCGGGAAATATTGGATATTGCATTGGTATCTTGACATGCTGTTATCTTCGAATCGGATCCTACAATCCACCATTCTTCCAATCAAAATTTTTCCTTCGGCGTCTGTGAAAGTAATCACTTCATTTTGTTTTGGGCCTTCTAAAAATTTTAAACTTATTTTGCTATTTAGAACTTACTTTGGCATATTTGGAACAAATTGAGTTGCCATGTGTGAATCGCCGAATGAAATGATGTAACTGTCTCGAAGAACTAATGGAGCGTCAATTCTTACAAAAGTCCCTGTTCCTTCACCTACGTCTATACTAAAAATGGCATGGAGATCAAACCTGTCCTCCAATACCTGCAGCAAGGGAGACCTGGGGATCTTATGGAAGGGAGAACACGTTCTGGAATAAGTATCTGCCAGCGCAATTTGGGTTAGCCGGAAACATGCTCACATCCAAATCAGAGTTTTACCTCGAGGGTAGACAGTCTTTCGGAGTTGCAAATGGAAAGCTCAGCAGCGTCTTTTGACCATTCTGGCAGCTTTTAAGCGCGATACCAGGCGTTGCCCCTGGGACGGAGCTCTGTCTCAATTGGACAGAAAATTTGATTTTTCGTATTTTCAGGAAGGGTAACCCCGTTTGCGTACAACACGGTACCGCAGTCCACACATTCTATGCACAACGATCAAGCCCGGCTCAGAGAAGTTCGACAAATCATACTTGAATTGTCTGCCAGATCAGGTTCTGCCCTCCAGAATGAGCTTGGCAAGATGACTGAAGAAGACGAAACCGAAGAATTCGCCGCTAGCGCGTTGATGCGGGAGTTTCTCAATAATACGAAATTTAACCTTAATAAGCCTTGATCCTTCACCTAAGTCTGATATAAAATATTTTCCTTTATTTGGTATAAATTTTATGACCAAATGTTTTTTTCCCATACCTTTATCTAGCTCATCTACCACAAAGTCATTTATAACCTCATCTCCATCCATCTCAGCAGCTCCTATATAAGTACACAAATCGGATTTATTCCTTCTTGAATTAATCATCCCAGCTGCATTTATGTGTAGTGCGGTGCCAGGCTCAATAACAGTGCTATCAACCACTGTTATTTTTATTTTTGGATATTCAGAAATTTCTTTTTCTGTCAATGGAGTCATATAAAGGCTTAAATTGCTCTCATCTACAGTCCCTTGAACTCCACTAACTCCTTGTTCAAAATGATGAGAAAATCGTGAATGAGAAACGTTTGAGTTGGTTTCAAGCTGCATGACTCTAGGAAGCTGGCTATCACTTTCAACTTCGTTGGAATCTTGACAACACCACTAGATGATAAATACTCGTAAAAATAACTTGAATTTCATTTTCTGAAAGTTTTTATACCTATTCAAAGAGGCAGAATGCTTATAGAAATAAGCTATATTGAGCATCTTAGTTATTTTGATAGAGGATATATCTTATGAATTTTATATGAAATGGAACAAATGAGGCTAATGAAATTGGCATTAAATTAAAATAATTTTAGTAAGAAATAGATATAAAGTTGCATATAAGTAGCTTTATTTGTATCGTTAAGATTTTCCTCTCACTTAACTATAGTATTTATTTGTATTTTGTTCTTTAGAATTATCTCTATTAATATTGGTCTTAGTCGAATTTTAATAGCTTTAATTTATTATATATTTACAAAAAGGAATAAGAGTATTTCAGGAGTTTTCTTGTTCTGTAGCCCCTAAAAACTGTTTGAATATAAATAATAGCCTCATGAATAGCTTTATAAAGCTTCCTTGTAATGTAGCTTCTATATTTTGCCTGGACTTTTATTATATTTGATTTAATTTTCAAGAATCTTTTTCTTTGTAATCATCTCTTTATATTCGCTTGAATTTTCACAATTTTTTCTTTTTCCTTTTCATATTTCGCCATTGAAATCATTTTTTTATTTATTTTTGGCTCTGGAGACTCCATTTTAACCTTCATCGGCATTGGAGTTAAATCAAAATTTACTCTTTTTTCTTTATCTTTCTCAATAACTTTGACAATTCTTGTCTGTTTAATACCAATCGCGTCTTTGTCTATATAAGTTTTAGCATTTTGCTCTTGCTTTTCTATGAATTTTGATACGTGAAAATTCTTCATGGCTTGATATCTTTTCCAATTTTTTTGAATATTAATTGCAGAATTTTCAAGGCCATTTTCATTGCCACTAGAAATTTCTACTGATTTTGACACAATTTTATTTTCAACAGAATTTCGTTTTTCAGGGACTGGAGTGACACTCTTTCCTGGTCTTGTGTATGTAGGCTTCTTTTTTCAATTGGGAGGGATTGGGGTTTTACTTGTATAATTTTCATGATTTAAGCATGAGTGCTTTTTTATGCTTGGATTGTTTATATAGCGTGGCTGGACATATTTATAAGTGTTATTTTTCTTAGGAGGCACTGAAAATGAGACTAGTTTTTTAGGTTCAAAACTGTTATTGAGTACGTTCATTGGATCTTTTCTTTTTTTAACAAAGGTATTAAATCTTGGACGGGAAAAGGGCTGAGTTGACAATAGGCCTAATGATTTCACTGTTGATTTTGTAGATGTAACGTTGGATGAAGCATGGCTGATTCTTATAGGATCATTTATATGATCACTCAGCCTTTTACTAAAAGTATTAGGCAGCTTTTGGTAAGTTACGTCAGAATCTCATCTGTTTTTTGTATCAATTATATGAGATCCTGACACAGAACTTAGAGATTCAGCTTCACGTTTTCTCTGTGGAGAGACTCTCGAAAACTCAATAGGCGACAAAATCCTTTCTTTTCCTCTTAAGCTGCTTAGTTTTGCATTTTCTAAGCCAATTTTTAGCGTTTCAGTCAGATCGTGGTCTTCTCCTAAATATTTTAAGGATAACCCATACCCTTTTCTATAAATATTCAACGCATTTTTCTTTTGATTTAAATACTCATACTCTGTCCCTACGTTATGATATGCAATCATCAAGGTTTCTAATAAATTTTCATTCTTATCATGGCATGAGTTTAAAATATCCAAAGCTTCTATAGAAAATTCTAACGCTTTGTTATGTTCTCCAAGTTGTGAATGTTAATGTTAAGACGATATGTATTTAAGGTCCCTACTTCCATGCGTGGCATTCCTCCGCGCTCCTTAAGGAGCCGTGCCGGCACGAGCGAAAAGGATGGACTTCCATCACTGGTTCTCTGAGCCCAGGCCGAAACCCCTGGTTTCTCGGTAGTGGGTTGCCCTATTGGGTCGTCAGCCGACCTTCGCCGGGCACCACCATTTCCAACTCAGCCTTCCGCCCCGAATACGCCAGTCTTTGCCTCCGGTTGGCCAGATCGCCCCATTTTACTGGGACCCTTTTGTACTGGAGAGACCGCCTTCTTGGTTGTCTAGTCTGCCTTCCCCTTTTCCCAGCTTATCCGCTTGAGAAAATACTCAACCGCTTCCTCGACTCGGGGCAGACCACTATAGCAGCTTGAGCAGGTAATTCACCCTGCTCCATTTCGGGCACCCACTGGCTAGGGCGCTGCTGGAAAAAGAAGATGCTCCTAACTGCCCTGGGATTTGGACAAGATCAGCGGGTCTGTGTTTGTCCCTGGTCGCCACCAGGGTCCAAATATTGCTGGGCTAAGTCGCTTCTTCAGAAAACCATGCCCGGATATACATGGGTTACCGTCACTGAGAGGACGGGTCGGTCGCCATACGCCATTTTATGTATATTCCAAGTTGTGAATAAATCGCACAAATATTTAGATGAGTTCCAGCAATATTTATTGAATCTGTAGGATAGTCATTCTCAAGCTCCAAAGCATTTTTCAAATAAAGCAAAGCTTTATTTAGCTCTCCAGAACGCTTAAAAAAACAACCTAAATTGTTCCAAGTTGTCCCCAAAAGTTTCATTGATTTTTGGTCTTCTTTTCCTAGTAATATTCCTTCAGCTTTTTTAAGTAAATCAAATGCTAAATTTAAACCATTTTGCTTGAATTAGGTGGAAAAAATAATTTTTTTATTAAAAAAATGAATAATTATTATATTTTATCAGCCAAAATCATTAATTTCTGTATAATTTCTCCTTCCCGCAAATAACTCATCGCCAGTTTATTGAAATTCATAGCTGATACTTCATCGTCAATTTTTACATCAGGCATCATTTTATGATTTTTGCATTAGAACATATAGAGAGTATAAGAAAATTAAGGAAGATAACTCTTAGGTTAATGACTACGAGTAAGAGGTCTTGCAGCCACAAAAGTTGATCTGAGGGCTTTGGAAGGTGCTCTTACTGTTTCATGCAATAATGGGAATCTGATCTTTGAGTTGTAAAATTGTCCTGTGGTTGAACGCTTAACTTGGTCATAGGTGTGTAAAACCTTAGTGTGGACAATGTGGATGGTTTCTGGTCTTGCTCTGTGGCGGCCAGCCATATCCATGTAAAGTCTTCCTATTGCACCACATAATGAGGTTTCTCTGTATTCTTTGTACATGTTGGTGACTCCTGTTCTGGTTTCATATCTTAGGGTGATTCCGTAGGTTTTAGCGTGGAGGGTTCTTTTTTCTTTGATTTCTTTAACAGAAACGATTTCGCCATGGGATGGCTTGATTTTGTTCATTCGCTTGACAAAATACCAAAATCTTGATTTTGCTTTGACCTCATCACTTGCAAAGATTCTCATCCTGTAAATGGTTGGGTTCTCGTCCTTTTCTGATGGGAGTCTTCTGCCTGCAATCACGTATTCTCTGATGTGCATTGCGAGTGTAGGGTCACTTTTCACCATTGCTTATTATAAAATTGGCTCAGATATATGATTTTTAAGAAGAAGTGGAATTATATTAGAAGATAGACTGATAATAAGTAGAAAGAAGATTGATTTATATGCTAGTATGCGAGGCAATCATACAATGCTTTTGTAAAACTGTCTATTATTGTATTGGATAAGATTAACGAAGTGAGTTATAATTGACCTAAATATTAATTCCCCTTGGTTAACAAGTACAACCTTTACTTTGGGAAAATTTAAAAATTTTTGATGTAAACTTGTTTTAGGCATAAATTGTTATGATATATACTAATAATTATAATAATGGCATGCCCAACTAATGGTACTAAATGTAGACAGCTTGTATCATAACATAATTTTTATAAACCAACTAAGAGATTCATTTTAAATATCTGCAAAATAGATTTATAAGATTTGAAAAAAAATTAAAAAATAAACCTAATTGTGTTAGCTTGTAAAGAAATTGCCCACAAGCTAGGGAATTAAGGAAAATCTTGATGGCTTTATGGATTCTCTATAATTCACTTAATCCTTAAAATATGTAATCGAAATTTATTAAATAGAGGAAGCTGCTAAAATTCTGTTAAAGTCATATTGAAAGATGACTGTAGTTAATTAAGCTTTAGGAGGTTGAGGTGGAGGAGCTTCGCTTGCATTGAATATTGACCTTGTTTCATCTTTAAATTTAAAAATCATCGTTTCTCTCCATTCTTGATTTACTGCACAGCAAGGACAACAGCATGAGCAGCATAAATCTTGAGCAAATCCACCTTCTATGTTAAGTTTTTGTCTCAGCTGACTTCGGTTTATGGCTTGGCCAATACATCCTAAAAAGCATGCACATGCACAAGCTTGAAGGCCTGTGTGATCTATTAAGCTATGCGATTTGCATTGCATGCATGCGATACCGCATGGAACGCAGACTGAAAATAAGCACATTGCAGGATTCTTGCAGCACTGAAAAAGTAGAGCTTTTCAATTGTTTGTTGCGGGACGAACTGCCATTTTAGAAAAAATTCTAAATTCATTAGGAGTTTTTATATTTTAAAATATGCTTTTGGGCTTTAGATATATAAAATCTGTGCATCACTAACTCTGATATTTTAATATGCTATCCGTGTAGATAATAATTAATCATTAATTCTAAACCATTTGGCATAATATAAGTATATAAATATTGAAGGAAAAGAGAATAATTGAGTAAAGATGATAAAATATAAAGTAGTCTTATTAATGTAAAAGTTTCATTCTCTTCTCTATGTCTAGCAAAAAGATGTCCTTGCATGAATTATGGCACCGCTTATGGATTAAATTTCTTATTCAGAATCTGCAAAATTGCTTAATTCACTTTGGAAATATAATCAATGAATTAAGCTCTTTCATAAATTACAAGATTATATAATGTTTAAATTTTTCTAATTAATTCAAATTTTTTGGACTCAAGGCCAAACATAATGAGCTCGCTTTTGGAATTGATAAACCACAAATTACTATCATAATAAGCCCCAAATGATCAAATATATGAATTGCTAACTGCATTGCTTCCAATAATTTTCCAATTCAATGGATTTAATTCTTCACTTTCATATACCTAGTATTATATTAATAATCAGTATTTTTATTTGCAAAATCGTTAAAAAATAATTTATATTTGCAGTATATATTATTTTTTGTGAGGTTTCAATAATATAGGCTCTTATATTTCCAGCAAATCCTCTTTTGTAAAAATCGCGTGCTAATTCAAGGCCTTGAATCTGCTTAAAAGTGTTTTTATTGATATCATATTTCCATAAAGCATTAGAGCGCAGACTTGTTAATAATAAAATATCACAAAAAATAAAGCTCGTACTATATTGATAATTTCCACCAGGAAGAGGGCAAAGAGATTTTCAAGTTTTTTTCTTTAAACAGAATTTTTCTGACACTCCAGACACTCCTCCTAAGCAGTAAACATGATCATTATACAAAACTGAGCTTAAATCACAGTTGCTTTTACCTGCAGGCAGCTCCACTACTTTTTTTCCTTTATCAACTATGAATGTAGTTCCATTCACAACATTATTTAATCAATTTCCATAGCAAAATATGCTTCCATCTGGAAGGTAGCATACTGATATATTGTTCCATAGTGTTTCTTTTATATTTAAAACGGTCTTTATAAGTTTTCTATTAGCAAGATTATATTCTTTAAGCTCCTTGGTATGGTCTCCAAAGTAGAATATGTTCTCTGTATAATTGTAAAATCCACAGATTTCTTGAAATGGACTTATATTTGTCAATTTAAATGAATTTTTGATGACATCTATAATGGCAATAGTTCTGATTCAATGATTTCTTATCCTTCAAGTTCTTGCTCTATACTTTGCTTCAGCAGGTTTCAGTCTTAAAATAAGCTGATAATCATTGACTTTAGGATATGTTGGAACTTCTTTTATATAGGATGCGGCTTTGATTAGCTCATTTGCCTTTTTCTCCACACTGTTTAAGATTGAAAATGAATTGTTTTTATATTCATTTAGACAGTGAAATATTTTGTTATATTCTTCAATCAAGTATTTTTTACTAGTTTTTATGTCTTTTTTAAGCTTGTGGGCTTCATTTATTACTGTTTGTCGAGTTTCTTCGTATGGAGAATGCCAAAGATCTTGAAGCTTATGATTCGTGTCTTGGAGACTTTGAAGGTGGCTAAAGCAATGTCGCTCACAAAATAGCGTAGTTTCGTTTAAACACTCACAGAATCCTTGAGGCTTTAGAGAACAACTTGAATCAAAACACCTGATGTCTTCCATATTAATTAATTCTATGGCTATTATAACATAATAAATTACCGAATTCTCATGGACTTATAGCTAAAATTTTTTACTAATTTATTAATCTAGATTAGTTTGCCTTCCAGCATTATAGAAAAGACTATGAAATTTGCAGATAGATTTCAAAATAGTTTCATTTCTGTTAATTATCAAAAATTTTGAAAATAATTTATCTAAATGTTTCGTTCATATCCAAGCTGCTTTGTTTTGAAATCAAATTTAATTAATTCAGTCTCAGAATTTATGAACCAAAACTTATTATCTTGATACACTCCAAATGACCAAATATAGGAATTTTGAATAAAGTTCCTTCCAATATCTTTTCATATTGTTGGATCAAACTCTGCGCTTTCATAAATCTTTTGAGATGCTTCTATTTATAATTCCCTTTTGGGAGTTGACAGCATGATTTCCAAGTATTTTTGTTCAAACAAAATTTTACTGAAACTCCTAAAACTCCTCCAAAAGAATAAATATGATTATTATATAGTATTGAGCCTGAATCACAACTGGCTTTTCCTTCTGGTAGCATGCTTATAGTTTTATCTTTTTCAATAATAAACGTAAGGCCTGTGATCGAATTATTAGCGCGATTTCCATAACAGAATATTCTATCATTAGGAAGAGGGCACACAGATATATTATTTCATATGTTTTCCCTTAAATCAAGATTATATACTTTGCGCTGCTTGCTAATAAAATTAAACTCTTTAAGCTCTTTTGAATAACCATAAAAATAAAAAATGCTATCAGAATAAGTATAGAGATGGCAAATTTCTTTAAATGGATTAATTCTAAACAATTCAAATGATTTTTTAATAGAAAGTAATATCTTTTTCGTCTTAATTCAATCGCTGGATATCCTCCAAGTTCTTGCTCTATATTTTGCTTCAATAAGCTTTAATCTTAAAAGAAGCTGATAGTCTTTTACTTTGGGATAAGTTGGGACTTCTTTTATATATGAAGCTGCTTTAATAAATTCATTAGCCTTTTTCTCAAGATTATTCAAGATAGAAAATGATAGATTTTTATAGCCAACCAATAAGTGAAGTATTTTATTAAATTCTGAAATTAAATATTTTCTGCTATCCTTGATACTTCTTTTTAATTGATTTGCCTCATCTATTATTACTTTTCTGGTACTTTCGTACGGAAGGTGCCAAAGATCTTGAAGTTCGTGGGGCCTTTCTTTAATATTTTGAAGATGATTATAGCAATGGGTTTCACAAAATAACACTGGATAGCCCAAGCAATCACAAAATCCTTGAGGTTTTAAAATACACTCTGAGATGAAACACTTTATAATGTCCATCTTAAAAATAATCCTGCCATATTTCCCCGAATTTTTAAAAGCCCTCTTAGTTTTGTGACTATAATAAAAAGTGGACAAATATTAAAATTTTAATAACCTTCATCATGCCTAATGATATCATCAAATATTAATGTCTATATCGTTTAATATTAATAGAATTAGATTGATTATATTGGGATTTTATGTTTGTGTAAAAATTAATTACATGTTTATCTAAACTTTCTTCACAAAATCCAATTTTTTTGATTCTAAATCGAATTTAATTAAATCGCACTCCCAATTTATAAACCATAACTTACCGTTAAAAAAGGCCCCAAAAGACCAAATTCATGCGTTTTTAATATTATTCTTCCCAATATTTTTTCATCTCATTGGGTTTAGCTCTTCACTTTCATAAATATTTTGAGATGTCTCTATAACATAGGCTCTAGAATTTCCAATAAATAATCTCTTATGAATTTCTTTGGCTAATATTAAATTTGAAATTTTTATAAAGGCGTCTTTCTTAAAATTATATTTGATCAAGTCTGTACAACGAAGGCTAGTTAATAGCAATATATCACAAAAAATGATACTAGTACTGAATTGGTAATTTCCTTCAGGTAGCTTGCAGCAAGATTTTCAAGAGTTTTTCTTTAAGCAAAATTTTTCAGAAGCTCCATACACACCTCCAAAAGAATAAATATGATTATTATACCAAACTGAGCTTAAATCGCAATTAGCCTTTCCTGTAGGCAGCTTCATGATATTTTTACCTTTATCTATAAGAAAACTAAAGCCAGTGTGAGCATTGTTTACCCAATTTCCGTAAAAAAGCAAATCATGGTTTGGTAGAGCACATATTGATGTATTGTTTCATATGCTTTCATGGATATCTAATTGATGTTTAACAAGTCTATTTTCAGCAAGCCTATACTCATTTAACTCTTTTACATGATCACCACAAATAAAAAAAATGCTTTCAGAGTTAGTTTGGCAACCACAAATTTCGACAAAAGGATTAATTTTAAATCATTCAAAAGAAACTCTAATTGAATCGATCATATGTTGAGTTTTCAATCAATCGTTAGAAATCTCTCAAGCTCTTAATCTATAAGTTACTTCTTCCGGCTTTAATCTTAAAAGTAGCTGATAAGTAGTGGCTTCAGGATAGGTTGGGACCTCTTTAAGATACGATGCTGCTTTGATGTAATTATCAGCTTTTTTTTCAAGATCATTTAAAATAGCTAATGATTTGCTTTGGTAGTCCATCAAACACTGAAATACTTTTTTACTTTTTAAAAAACATATAGGGAACAGATGGCAAAAGAATAAAGCTCGTCCTACTCATCTACCAAATATTTTTTGCTGTTTTTAATACTATGCTTTAGCTCATTAGCTTTATGTATTATTATTTGTCTTGTTACTTCAGAAGGAGAATGTCAAAGGTTTTTAAAATTATGAGGACTTTCTTCTAATCTTTGAAGGTGGTCAAAGCAGTGTCTCTCACAAAATAGAGTTGGAGAGCTCATGCAATCGCAGAATCCCTGAGGCTTTAGAGCGCAGTCTGAGAAAAAGCATTTGATATTTTCCATATTAATTTCCATGCCATTTTTCCCGAATATCATCTGCTGAAATCTAGTACTAAAATCATTTAAAAAAAATTTTAGACTCAGAAATGTAAATCACAATTGCAAATCGAATATAAATAACGGCGCCTGTAAAATATAAGTAATTATAGTTAAACAGAAAAATTATATATAAAGCACCATATCTTAATTTTTTAATAGAATTAATAATAAAAATGTCTGACTTTAAACTAAATAGAAGACTTAACATCTAATATTAAGATTCCAAGATCCTAAAACCTAATTTGTTCAAGCATTTTATATTGTGCTCTTTATTGCATGGTATTAAAATATATTTAAATTATCAAATAGCTTTTTAATTAATTAGACTCTCCAAGCCTTAATATTGATTCTACTTCTTATTAATATTTAATTTTCTCTTTGAAATTCGATATCTTCATCTATGAAAAATTACAATTTAAATGGAAAGAACGGAAAAATCAGGCTCTATAAATATTCGTGGCACTTTATACCTATACTCCCTCCATGCAGAATCTGACTCCCTTCAAATCTCTTTCGAAGAAAAAGAAACAGGCAAAAAATGACAAGGGGACTTTACCGATCAATACATAGAATCAATGACCCAAAAAGCGAACTCTTTTAAACGCTTCCCAATCTTCACCAAAATGCTCATTTCCTCATTGGAATCTTCGAGCGACTCTGTAATTATCGATCTCCTAACAGCTCAAGAACTTGCAATGTTCCGCAATTGAAGATCCCAAAATACTTCAGCTGATCCTAACCCTAAAGTTACTACAAAACGCTACTTAATCTTAACTTATACAGTAGAATTTGATAGAGTTCACTATCCACTCCCTCTCGCTTTTCAAGAAACGCCAGACCCAGAGGCTCTACAGAGGACAATTTCGAGACTGAGATTTGAATTGGAATCAATAAAAAATGCGGCTCCTGAAGAAGGAGGGATTATTAAGATTTATCAAGAAAATTCGCAGCTGAAACAAAGGCTTCAGATTTTAGAGCAAAATTTGACAATAAATTCAGCACAGAGGAAAGAAAATCCGGAGATTGAAAATTTAATTAATGAAAATAAGATACTTGAAGATGAGGTTAAGTTAAGTTCTAGTAGACTGCTGGAAATTATTTTAGCCTCTTACTGTTAAATCACAGGCTTCAAGCTCGAGTGGCCCTAGTCATTGGCGTCTCAAGATGCCCTTTTCGTATCAAGTCACCATAAAATGGTGACGTCACCAGTCTCTGTGGGAGACTCACCGGTCATGCTTGGGTCAACTCTATGGCAGAGACTCTCTTAGCCCTGCAGTGCTTAGACATGAATGAAACGCCCTACCTTCTTCTGGACTTTTATGCCTTACCTAGGTGCAAAATTGCTTTCCAGAAGTGTGAGCTAACTTAGTCTTGAGTTTTTAGTCTTTAAAGCAAGGAAAAAAGCCTATAATGAAGCCCTGAAAAGACCAAAATCCGCCCAGGAATTCCTAAAAGAATGGCCTTTTGCCTGAGGTTGGAATCAACTCACCAGTCACCCAGACCTTTGTTTAACTTGCCATCTTTTAGAAAGTGATGCATGAAGAAGGTTCATGCAATTTAAGTAAAATATGGAGTGAGGGCCTTTAGAGACACCAAATACATTAGAACATTCAGACAACCAGAACAAAATTTTATAGGCAATTTAATAGTAAATTTAAGAGAAAAAATAATATCTACATGCTAGTTTACTAAATTCTACTGCTACATGCATTTTTAAGTATGTATTCGGTGTTTCTAAAGACCCCACACCATAATTTTTACTTATATTACTGAACCTTGAAGATGAAAATGAAAAATTAAAAATCGAAGGAAATAAAGAAGTCAGGATTTTGAAAAAGAAAAACGAAGATCTACAAATAGGCCTTGATAGCCTAAAACAGCAGATGGATGGAATAATAAACCAATTAGAGTCAGAAAATGACGAAAGAATGGAAGTGAAAGAAATCAAGACAAAATATACAAGTCTATGCGGAATGCTTGACAAATCAGCAAAAAACGAAAAAAGATTAAACGAAGAAATAAATAAAGTTCAAATTGAAATTGAAAAATTAACTGAATGCGATGGAAAACAAAAAGAAAGGATTAAACAGCTAGAAAGTGAATTGCAAACAGCAATAAAAGCAAGAAATGCCAAGAATGTCGGCTCTTCGCCTAATAGAATAAGTAGATCTCCTGCAGCTAGAAGCCCTGGATACTCAAGAGTCTCAAATTCTCCAAAAACTGCTACTACAAATTCAAGGACTTCTTCGAGACCTGGCTCTGATAGAATTCCACAAAGGGTCACTCAACCGTACAGAGGAAGATCTCCAGGGACATCTCCAGCTTCTTCTATTAATAGAAGTCCTCTTAATTCAAGACAAAGGACTCCTCCAAATAGAAGGGATTCTCCTCCAGCTACAAGAAGCTCACCAAATACAAGAGCTTCACCTAATGCAAGAAATTCTCCTAATACCAGGAATTCATATAATGTAAGAAACTCACCAAATACAAGAAATTCTCCTAATTCAAGAACTTCATATAATGCTATGCTAGTTAAAAGGTAAATTAGCCATAAGCTGGCAAGACCGCTAGCCTGTGCCTTATCTTGGCTCTAAAATGCTATCCTCCATCACCCCAGGAGACAAAAGAGGGAAATGGAAGGCTGCCATTTTGGATTTCGGATCTGAGCCACCTGTCCAAGGGATCAGCTCCCTAGGGCAGAGCTGCCATTTGTAGAGTGCCCCGATGGTCCTGACAAGGGAATACGTGGTAGGCAAAACCTATCTAACCCACTTGACAGGGAAAACCTTTGGCGAGGAACAAAACTTCCCTCTTCTGCAAGGCATCCCCAAAACTGAAGGTCTACTTCAAAAAGCACAGAGACCTGCTTTCGCCTTCATCAGATGGGTCCTACCTGCTCCTTTGGAGTGCGCCTAGGAGTCCAATTTCCTCTAGCCTCGCCATTTTATTTCTATATAATGCTCGGAATTCTCCAAATGCAAGGAATTCTTATAATAGCAGAAATTCACCGAAAGCTGGATATCAAAGAGGAGGAGTCACAGATGAAAATAATCCAATAAGAAAAAGATCACCCAAATCTAGTGGGCCTGCAGTTAGTGATATTGACGCAAGGCTATCTAGACTCCAAGAATTGTTAAAAAAAGCTAAATCTTAATATATTTTACATAATTTATATTATAAATAAGAAGCTGAGCTTTAATAACTAATGAAAGATGCTGACAAAAAATAAAAAAGACAATTAATTATCGTTAAGCTAAAAAAATTTAATCCATTTAAATACCTGGCAAAAAATATGTCCAGATCTACACCTATTCTTCCACCTTTAAAGTCCCCATTGCAAGCTAGAACAAAGTTGGATTCATTTGTCACAAACAAGAAATAAATGGTGACGTTGATGGAAGCTTGACTTCGAGACCCACTGCCTATGGAAAATCCTCATGAAGCTGAAAACAGAGCCTCTATCCCTTTTGCAGTAAGCCTTCAGGTTTGGGTCCCTGCTATATGAGCTAGACAGGTTTTGCCTACAACATGTCTTCCTTGTCGTTACTATCGGGGAGCTCTACAGACGGTAACTCTGCCTTGAACAGGTGGTTCAGACCGGAAACCCAAAATGATAGCCTTCCATTTTCCTAATTTGAACTCTAGGGTCTATGGAGGCAGCTATTATTGGTGCTAAGACGATGCAAAAGCTAGTGGGCTTGCCCGCTTATGGTCAATTTAATTGTTTAAAAATTTTTTGTCTCAAACTTGAATACTTTTCAAAGAGAACTGCATAATTACAAAGAAGAAACCTTTTTATCGCTTCCTGGCATAAATACCTTCAGATCCCTTCCACCACTTGCAGAAGAGCGTTTTGATAAAAATTTTAACCTCTCCCTGACCTACAAATTAGGCAAAAAACGGATTGAGCAAGAAAAGCGCAAAGAAGAGCGCGCAAAAAAGATTGAAAAAGAAAAAAATTTGTTAATGATTATCCATGATGATAATCCTACGAACAAAAAATATATGACTTATGATATGTTTTCCGATAAAGAAAACTATAAAATCCTGAAAAGCAAAAGGAGAAAATTTGGCGTCAATAAGAAAAAACTAAAAAAATCAAGAATGAATAACCAGTATTTTCAAACACCACAAGCTAATTATAAATTTATATTTTTATATAATAAATATGGTCTTTTTCCTACTATATGCATTAATTAATATAGAAAGGCATAAAAGAGGAAGGGAAAAAACCATTACTACACAAACTGTGGCGAAATGTTTAAACACGATTTTCTTTAATTATGCTTATAGAAACTCACCAAGAAATTTAACAAATGCAATTTCAAAAGAAATAGACGGAAGTTTATCTAGATCTCCTTCATATGAAGGTTCTTTGCCAATAACAGAGTGTATAAGTCCAGATATGGAAAATACTGATGAATTGATGACGCTGAAATCAATGAACCAAAATGAGCTTGCTGATTGCATAAAGCGTGCTATACAGAAAACTATGATGGAAGCAAGTGATTTGAAAAGTAAACTTAATAGACTTAAAATTACCAAGGCTTCTGGAACAGTAGTAAATTCCTAAAAGTTATCATATAAACTCGATAAAATAATATAAACAGAATTGCTTACTAAAATGATGATTTTGCTATATTTGTATAAGCAAAGTATAATCCTTAATAACTAAAATGTCAATTGAAAAGCTTACACCTCGAGCTTTCAATGGGTGAAAAGGCTTTATTCACTATTTTAAATGCCTGTCTTCCAAAAAATTCAGAGAGTCTTATATAGAGTCTACTCAAATAGAGCGGTTAAAGCTTTACTACGCTCTCCAAAAGCTCATTCGTGATAAGGTCGCTTCATATTCAGTCCTCCCCTTTAAATTGAAACAAATAATCTGTAAAATTTCTATTTTAGGTGCTTTAATTTGTTTTTTAAGCAAAACTTTATCGATAAAAATTCTAATTTATAAATGTTTTTTGACCTATTTAATGGTAAAAGTGTAAATAGAATGCTATTAAGTAGTTTTCACAGAATTGATTAATTTTTTTATTTAATTCTTCATAAAAATAAAATTATATTTTTTTATAGAGAAAAATTTAATATATAATTTTTCTAACCCCCTTTAAATTGGAACAGGGTTTTTTGTTCCAATTAAAACGGGGGGAAGTCAGTAAAAAGAGCAAAAAAGGATCGAATTTCAAGGATATTTCAGAGAAGCCAAAACTATCACTGATCCTCATGATATGGACTTTTTTATTAACACAATGAAATTGGTTAAAGAGAAGTTGGAAAGTGGAGAATTCCCACCATTCCCAAGAAGGCTACCAATGCTTACTATGCAATTTTTAAGTCCTAGAAAAGATATGCTATTTTATAGGAGGTGGATTTTGAATATAGATAGAAATGATGTCATGCTGGAGCCAGGGCAAGATCCATTGAGACACCCTTTTATTGAACCAAGACAATATGGAAATATTTCTCACTCCCCCCCCCTCCGTGAGTGAACAAAACCATTAGAAAAATCCCTATTTTTTGCCCAAAAACCCACCCTCCGTGAGTGAACAAAAATTTTTGTAATAGAAAAATTTTTTATGGAAAAAAAAATTGATATATAAATGATAATTAGTATAATGAAATCTAGAGCTAATTCTGTTTAATTTTAAACGAATTGCTTTTTAAAACATAAATTTTATAAATTAAATTAATTTTTGCTTTCCAATTTTTGCGAATTAGGATTTTTTTAAATTTCGAAAACAAATATTTTTTATAAAATTTATATATAAATTTTTTTTAAAAAAAATAAATTAACCCCCCTCCGTGAGTGAACAAAATGTTTTTGTTCACTCACGGAGGGGGGGGGGGAGTCAGCCATTTAAAGAGTATTATAAATGGAACACAATTACTCAATCTCCTGATGAGGAAAAGCTATTTAATGAGAAAAAAGAAGAGAAAAAGTTCAAAAAAGTTTTTGAGGAAAAAGAAGAAGAAAGAAAAGCAATGAAATAACAAAAAAATATTTATAAAACATAATCTTTACAATTTTAAGAAAAATTGATAGGATATATAGAAATTTCCCTTAGATGGCGCGGTTTGCCCTTGATTTGCCCACTGAAAAATTTTTTTGGTTCGACCAGTACCATATGGTTTGGTCAAACCAAAAAATTTTTTAAAGTGGGCAAAATCAAGGGCAAACAGTGCCATCTATGGGAAAATTCTATATATAAAATAGGAATGTTTTACAGATAAAGATAAACTTTGAATATAATAATACGTTTTATTAGAATAAGAATATAGTTACTATAATTATTTTGAGAATATCAAATTGAATATATATGGAGAATAAATATATGCAAGCCCATGAAAGAAAAAAATGATAATTTAATGATGCTATAAATCAAAATTTATGCAATTATTTTATTCAAAAATGGGCTGTATCGAGACTAAATATCCCAGAGAGATTATAAAAACTCATGCTCCCGCCCCAAAAGAAAAAGAAATAATCGAAAAACCTATTCCAATTGCCCCAAGAAAAGCTGTAGATCCTATTGATACTCCAGATGAAGAAGCCCAGTTTATAATTCCTGAAAAAGAAGTCAAAGAAAATCTTGAAAAAAATGACAAAAAGGCCGAAGCAATGAAAATCCCAATCATTAAAACAGCAACAGAAAGCCCAAAAGACATTCTTTATATGCCAAAGCATAATGCAAAACCCTCCTTTGGAGAAATAACCGAAAAAATAGAAGATATCCCACAACTCACATCCCGATCAAAGCCAGAAACTGTCCCCCAAAAAGTACCTGAAGCCTCAGCTCCTAATAATGATCCTAAAATCGACAATAATTCCTTGCCCAAGAAAAACGTAGTAAAGTTACCACCATTGGAAAAGCCAAATTTTCCTAATATGTTCCCGGACTTTGATTTCTCTTTTCTAGAAGAGAAAAGAGATACTGAAAAATTCCACGCAGACACAATAAGGGAAAAACAAATGATTGTAGATCAGCTTATTGAGGAATTTAATGATATTTAAAATATGCCAGATGTTCTGAGAAGGGATATCGAGTAATTATTATAAATAGACTAATATTTTGAACTGTGTAAACTATAAGTAAAATTGATGAGACGGTCATGATTTAGTGATATAAATGGCGAATATAGAGATAACGAAACAGCAGACAACTCAAAATGATTCGGAGCCTTCAAGATTTTCAGCTAGAAAGTCTTCTGCAAGTCCAAAACGAAGAATTATATACCCTCCAATGTATAAAATTTTGGAATCCCCAAATCTAAAAGCTACTCTTACCAAGCACCTACAAAGAATCCCAAATGGTTCTTCTGCCCTTCCCAGGGATCAAAAGCGCCTCGAAGGTGGCTGAAATGATCGTTTCTGCTATACTTTTTCAAAGGATAATAAAAATTACCCTACAAAGCTGCGAGAGTATTTTGATAGCCCAAAGGACTTTGAGCAAGATAATAAAGATTCGTTCATTCCTAACGTGTTTTTAAATACAACAGGGAGGATTCAAAAACGAAGCCATTCTATTGTGTCCAGTGAAAAGAAAAACTCGAATGGATTTAAAAATTATCAAGGAAAGAAAAAGCAGAGAGGATTGTCAATGACAAATGGAAAAGAAGAATGGAAAGATTTGTCCACTCATAACGCGGATAGGAATTTACTCCCGTTTTAAATTGGAATGACATATCAGTAAAAATTCTATTTTTCGGGTGTGCATTAGCTAGCCCTTGGAGCAAACATTCTTTTTGAATAGCAAAATTTTATAGGTGAAAATAAATTTTTTATAAAATTAGTTTTGATCTAACTTAGAGTAAAGTGTAATTAAAATATTATTTAAATAGTTTTTACACTTAATTGATCAATTTTGTTGATTAATTTTTCATAAAAATAAAATTAAAATTAAAAAATATTGCGTATTTAAATTTCTTAATTTTATGAACATTTAAATCTATTTTTTTTAAAAAAAAGGTTAACCCCCTTTAAATTAGAGCAGAACATTTTCCAATTAAAAGGAGTGGGAGTTATCGAGGTATAAGACTTTTCGAGCTTATTTTGATGATATCAATAAAATTATTTAAGTTTTCTATATATATTCATAGCTATTGTAAGATTTGGTATTCTGAATAATCAGCCCCGAATTCGGTATTATACAAGGCTTCACAATTCTTCCTCCATGTATTTCGAAACTTTTATTATGTTTTTTCTTTTTCTGTACACTATTATCCTGCTGTATTTCTGTAAGCTGTATTTCAGGTTTTAAATTTCTAATTTTTTTCGAAAAATTATTTTCCTGTCTAAGGACTCTTTCAGTTTCTTTCATTTTCTTCAGCAATGTGCCAAGTTCTATAGGATTCTTAGGCACAATATACTCAATTTTATTTTTTTTAAAATGCTTGCGTGCTGATCTACTTCTTAAAGAAAATGCTAACTCCCCCCCTCTGTGAGTGAACAAAAAAATTTTGTTCACTCACGGAGGGGGGTTAATTTTTTTTTTTTTAAAAAAATTTATATATAAATTTTATAAAAAATATTTTTTTTCGAAATTTAAAAAAATCCTAATTCGCAAAAATTGGAAAGCAAATATTAATTCAATTTGCAAAATTTATGTTTTAAAAAGCAATTCGTTTAAAAATAAACAGAATTAGCTCTGATTTCATTATAATAATTATCACATATATATAAAATTTTTTTTCCATAAAAAATTTTTGTTCACTCACGGAGGGTGGCTTTTTGGGCAAAAAATATAGGGATTTTTTCTAATGGTTTTGTTCACTCACGGAGGGGGGGGGAGTAAATAGAAATTACGTAGATCTGGCTTTTGGAGTTCAGGGGCAAATGGGAAAGGCAAAGTCAAGCTTCTAATCTTTTTTAGCCCTTGTATTAGTTCTATATGTGTAGGCCTGATATAAGTGATGTCTTTTTCTTCACTTATCAACAGCCTTTTAGCTTTTTTCTTTTTAGGAATTTGTGTTGTCGAGATCAATATCATAGATTCATCAGGTGACGGAATTCTCAAAGGCGATAAATGCGTAGTGTATACAAACTCATTTTCATTGCAAGATTTTGGCGGAGTATCTATTATTAGTGAAGTCTTTGATGGTTTTATTTGAATTTCAGGCTCCTCAAATGCTTTTATTCTATTTAAAGGAATAGCCCTCATTAACTTCACAGGCTTGGGTTTTGTGCATTTAAGAGTGCTAGACGGGGTATCAGAAGCTGTACTTATGCTTTCTCTATGTGAGGACTGGCTTAGTCTTTCTGCATGCTTGACAGATGATGATCGTTGGGTGTTAACAATATTATCTAACATATATATTCTTCCAATATTAATAAATCTTATCATTCTAATTTAAATTTCCTCATAAACCTATTAGTTTTAAGTGCTCTGTAGCTTAAAATTTCTTAAGTTCCTCTTTTGTAAGCTCTCTTACCCAAGGAAGAAACTCTCTTCCGCCTATGTAAGGTCTAAGTACTTCAGGAACGACTAGGCCGTCAGCAGTTTGGTAATTTTCAAGGATGCAACATAAGGTTCTTTCAGTAGCACAAAGAGTAGCATTAAGCATGTGGACGTAGCGCTTTTCAGTCTCGTTTTGTTTCTTGGCTCCACATCTGACTTCAACTGCTCTGGATTGATAATCGGTACAGTTGGAACAAGACACAAGCTCTCTGTAAGTTTTGTAGCCAGGGAACCAAGCTTCTAAGTCGTACTTCTTGGCAGCAGCCAAGTTAAGTTCTTTGGAAACGATTGCAATGACTCTGTAAGGCAGGTTAAGGCTTCTGTAAAACTCTTCGCAGGTGGCGATCATTTCTTCGTGCATTTCCCAAGACTTTTCTGGAGTTGTGATGCAGAACTGTTCAACTTTTTCGAATTGATGGATTCTGAAAATACCCCAAGTGTCTTTTCCATGAGCTCCCGCTTCTCTTCTGAAGCAAGATGAGTACCCACCGTACCTCAAAGGAAGGCTTTTTTCTGGTAGCCACTCTTTATGATGCATGCAAGATATAGGCTGCTCTGATGTCGCGATCAAGTAGAAGCCTTCTTCTCCTTCTTCCCCAGTCACCTTATAGAGCTGGTCATGGAAGTCTGCCAGTTCAGCTGTACGAGCCATCATGCTTCTGTTCATAAAGAAAGGTGGCTGTATCAGGGTGTATTGTCTTTGTGTTAAGAAGTTCAAGCCATAGTTAATTAAAGCTTGGTTCAATAGTAGTCCATTTCCTTTTAATAAGTACCCTCTATGCCCTACTAATTTGACACCCCTTTCTGAGTCGTAGCCATCAAGTCTAGATAGCACAGCATGATGGAAATAGTGTCCAGGGGTGTTGTCAATGACCATAGCGTTAGGTTCTCCCCAGGTTCTTTCAACTCTGTTGTCGTCTTCAGTCTCACTAATAGGGACACTTGGGTGGATAATGTTTCCGATTAGGTTGTTGGCTTCATTAACAGCGTTTAAGAGTTCTTGGTCTTTGACTTTGGCTTCTTCTATTAATTTGTCAAGCTCTTCTTTTTTGGCGTTTTCTTCAGTGCATGGGTCTTCTTTGTTTGCCTTTTTACGCTCAGCGACTGCTTTGTTAAGCTGGCCGAATTCTTTGTTGAGCTGCTCAAGGTTGAATCTAGCACGACGCCACTCTTGGTCAAGCTCAATAACGCGATCAACCAATCCTGCATCTTTGAAGCGAGCAATTTGGGAATTTCTGACTTCATTAGGGTCTCCACCACGCTCTGTTCTAAGCCTGTTTAGGTCGATCGGCATATTTATTGTAATGGATCAGTGATTACAAAGCTATTGAAACTATTTAAATGATATAAGGAATTTTAAGGGATTTATAGATAAATATATGACGTATTCGGATAGTAAAAATGAATATGGAAAGAATTAGGTGCAAAGGAAAAATAAAATTTTAGATCTATGGATTATAGAGAGGAAAGAAAAGGATTTTTGAGATAGAAATATAAGGATTCTTATATTAGAATATTTATAAAATAAAAAGTTTCTATATGATATTAAAGTGATAATAATGGCATATAATATTTGGAATATTTATGTATAAAAAGGCCTTTACTGAATTAAAATAATTCTATTAAATAGTTTATATTTTTTGCTTTATTAATTTGAGCTTTTTTATTCCTATAGCATAGTAAATAGTCTCTTCTAATTAACGAAAGTAATAACAGTCTTAAGGAATTAATTATTTCGTCCTATGATAATCTGTCTAACTATGTGTACAAAACCTAGTAATAAACTCTTCTAATATTGAAAAGAGATAATGGTAAGCCTAGCCATAATGTTTACTTGCTAGATAAATTATCTTAATTAGTCATACAGTGGTAAGCATGAGAGCAGTGGTTTAAATGAATTTCTAATGTAAATATCGATTTATAATCTAGTTTATAAGTATAAAAGGCAGCTTATCAAAGTTAATGCATTTTTCAATAGATTTCTTCAATATGAAAAACAGTCCATTTTTCAGTGAAAAATGTTTACTGAATATTTGATTAATCTTCAACCATAAATGAGAAATTAAAAATATCTTAACCAATCCAAACTTATAATTTAATATTTGTGTAAACAATTTCAATAGCGAGATTTATTACCCTAAGTGATCATATTCTTAAAAGTAAGTTTGTATATTCAGTATTTTTACTGCTAAATTATCTCTAATTTTTATCAAAATTATTAATGGTTATAAATGTTAAAATTTTTGTATCCTGCTTTATGGATTTCTCAATTTGGGGTTGACCAGGGATGGTCTAGTTTTAATGACAACCCAAGACTTGTCGGCGATGTCGACGGAGATGGAAAAAGCGATATTGTAGGCTTTGGAAATGATGGAACTTACGCCTCATTGTCAAGTGGAGAGGATTTTGGAACTGCTAAAAGATGGGTCAGTAATTATGCAAAGTCTGCAGGAGGATGGACCAGCTATGACCAATACCCAAGATTTGTAGCAGATGTCAATGGAGATAAAAAGGCAGATATTGTTGGATTCGGATATGCAGGCACTTATGTATCAATATCAACTGGATCAGGATTTTCAGAGCCTTCTATTTGGGTCAAGAATTTTGCACGTGCAGCTGGAGGCTGGAGTAGTTTTGATTTATATCCAAGGTGTCTTGGAGATGTAAACGGCGACGGTAAAGATGATATTATTGGCTTTGGTGCTGGGTATACTTGGGTTTCTTATTCAACAGGTAGTTCATTTTCAAGCCATCAAAATTTAACATCAGAATTTTCTGTAAATTCGGGGTGAAGAAGCTTTAATAACACACCGAGATGGGTCGCAGATGTAAATGGAGATGGGAAAGCTGACATTATTGGCTTCAACAGTTCTGGAGTATGGGTTTCGTTATCAGTTGGAACTGGATTTTTAGCTCCTACACTTTGGTCAGAGTGGTTTGGAAACTCGGCTGATGCTGGGGACTGGACAAGTTTCGATCAATTTCCAAGATTTGTAAAAGATGTTAATCATGATGGAAAAGCTGACATTGTTGGGTTTGGGCTACAAGGAATTTACTTTGCTCTTTCAAATGGGCAAGGATTTGACTCCCCTATTTTAATAACCATCAAATCTGGAAAGGGAAATGCTAATGGGGGGTGGAAATCATTTGATAACCATCCACGAATGGTAGGAGATGCGAATGGGGATAAAATTAGCGACATTATTGCCTTTGGAATTTTAGGAGTCAACGTTGCTCAAGGGCAGAGTGATATCAGCGTTATAACTCCTATTAATTTAAAGGGTATTAAGGCAAATAGCACAGATTGCGAAGCAAAATGTGCTAATTACATTATAGGATGTTAAATATTTAAGGTTTCTAATTCCCAGTTGGCATTCTGCACAGCTTTTTTAGAAATTTTGTGTGGCCCAAACTAATTTGGTGGATTTACATCTCTAGTGTTTGTGAAACTGAAATCTCTGATTTTTAAGTAGTGGCTAGGACTATTGCTGAGCATCATCATTTCAAACTCAGTTCTTTCATCCCTATAATGCAAATTCCTTTCTCAAACCCCTGGCCATATCACTCCATTTAAGGGACACTTTGTTGGAGGGATCGCCTAAATCATTTACATTGCCTACCCTACTTTTAGGTGATCCCCTCTCAAAATACCAACCGCTTCTACGATTCGGAGCAAAAAACAGTAGCAGTTTGAGTAGGTAAGTACCCTGGCTTCAATTGATTTGGGTGCTACTGGCAAAATGAATTCTCAAGTATTTGATCATCGGGAGGTCACAAAACTCCAGATTTTTGCTTAAGTCCCTCACTTTGGGACACCAGACACGACGCTACCTGCCCAATTAGTGGCTCCTAAACCATGCGAGGGTATATATGAATAATAGTCTCTGATAGGGCGGTCTGGATGACACTCACCATTTTATACATATAAAATATGCTAATAAATGCAAGAGCTTTGGCTCAAAATCAAGTTGTTTGGATGAATGCAAGGCTCTTTGTGAATCTTCTGTAAAAGATTGCACTAAACAGTCTGAAACAATAACTATTGGAGTTTGGGCTTGGATTTTGTCTTTTGTAGTTCTTGGAGCAATCATTATGGGCCACTTAAAAGGGAAGAAAAATTCGAAGATGATTTATGCTGGCCTGAATGAGGGGTTGGAGTCTCCTTATATCAGGGCTTAATTATTTAAGCTAAATTCAGCATTTAAAATAAAAATATTCCTCTTCGCTATTATATTAAGCTAAGTTTAATTTGATTCAAATTAAACTTCCGTTTAATAAAAAGTGCTTAAAAGTATACTAATTGAAAGTTAAAACTCGGAAAAATTATTTTTATTTATTATGATTATATAGTTCACGATATCTATGAATTTTTTAATTTTTGCATAATTTTTAAATCCAACTTTTATTTTAATATTAATATATTCCTTTTGTCAACAATAATTGCTTCATAGAAAACCTATAAATTATTCAGCATATATTTGGCTTCATATACCATTTTAATAGAAAATTAATTACACTCATATAGCCTATTCTCTTTAAGGGATATTTGTCGAGCTTATTATAATTTAGTAATTTTATATCTAATGAATGCCTAACTATTACCAAAATTATTAATGGCTATAAATGTTAAAATTTTTGTATCCTGCTTTATGGATTTCTCAATTTGGTGTGGACCAAGGATGGTCTAGTTTTAATGAGAATCCAAGACTTGTCGGCGATGTCGACGGAGACGGAAAAAGCGATGTAATAGGCTTTGCGAATGATGGAACTTACGTCTCTTTGTCAAGCGGAAAAGATCTTGGAATTGCAAAAAGATGGGTCAGTAATTATGCAAGATCTGCAGGAGGTTGGGCCAGCTATAATCAATACCCAAGATTTGTAGCAGATGTCAATGGAGACAAAAAAGCTGACATCGTTGGATTTGGACATGATTTCACTTGGGTATCAATATCAACTGGATCTTGGTTCACAGAGCCTTCACCTTGGGTCAAAAATTATGCATATGCAGCTGGAGGCTGGAGTAGCTTTGATTTATACCCAAGGTGCCTTGGAGATGTAAACGGTGACGGTAAAGCTGATATTATTGGCTTTGGGGGTGAGTATACTTGGATTTCTTATTCAACAGGCTACTCATTTGCAAGTCCTCAAAATTTAATATCAGAATTTTCTGTGGCTTCTGGGTGGAGAAGCTTTAATGACACGCCGAGATGGGCTGGAGATGTAAATGGAGATGGGAAAGCTGACATTATTGGCTTCAACAGTTCTGGAGTATGGGTTTCGTTATCAGTTGGAACTGGATTTTTAGCTCCTACACTTTGGTCAGGATGGTTTGGAAATTCTGATGATGCTGGGCACTGGACAAGTTTCGATCAATTTCCAAGGTTTGTAAGAGATGTTATAGCCAAAAGCTGCTTATAACTCACTCCAAGTGACCATCTTTCAGCCTTAATCATGGAATTAGTTCAGACTAAAAGTTGCCAAATCAACTCCACCAGCTTTACAAGTGTGTCTATAGTGGCTATTTGTCAAGTCATAGATTTGTTTGGTAACTTTTAGTCAGAACTAATTTCATGAGTTAGGCTGAAAGTTTGTTGCCCATGCGAGCTATAAGCAGCCCTGGGAGATAACGGTGATGGAAAAGCTGACATTGTTGGATTTGGGCTAGCAGGTATTTATGTAGCTCTTTCAAATGGGCAAGGATTTGATTATCCTTTATTGGTGATGTTCCACTATGGGAAATTAGCTGCTGCTGGAGGATGGAATTCGTTTGATAGACATCCAAGAATGATAGGAGATGCAAATGGAGATAGAAATAATGACATTTTTGGTTTTGGAATTGCAGGAGTCCATGTTGCTCTATCGCTGAACGATGCAAATGCTATAAATCCTATTAACTTAAAGAGTATCAAGGCTAATAGCACCGCATGTGACGCAAAGTGCACAAGTGAATGCAAAGATTATGGCCCGAGATCGAATTGCTTGGATAAATGCAAGGCAACATGTGATTGTGACGCAATAGGAGATACTAAGCAGTCTGAAGTAGGCTCTTTTGGAGTTTGGATATGGATTGTGTCTTTTGCAATTCTTGGAATTATCATGTTGAATTACTTCAAAGGGATGAGAAAATCCAAGAAAATTCGTTATGATTTTGGAGAGGAATCAGAAACTCCTTATATCAGGGCTTAATATTTAAGCTAATCTAAATGGCTAAAATAAAAAACTATTAAACAGTTTAAAATAAGTATTTTTTTTAATATAGAGTAAAAACTGCTTGTATCCTTAATGCTGATTTTTAGCTGCTTTCTATAATCATATGGTTTCACAATTAAAGAACCTAATAAAAGATTTTGGGACCATTTGATAGAAAGAAATTTTAGCCCTTACAATATAATCTAATATTATGGACACAAAAAAGATCTTCGGATCCAAGTCAGCATACTGTATATTGGATTTCTAAAAACCGAGAAATTCTTTCAAATATTAAAGAAATTATTTTTTCAACAAATTTAACAGTTTTTAGTCATATAGCAGGCTTTTTAAAGTAATATTAAATATTTAGCAAACATCAGCAATCCTCCGCTGAATATCCAACTTCACAAGCTGCATAAAAATTGTTTCTCGATGTAGCACCCATTCGCGTATAGCACATCCGATATGGACCAAAGAGAATCAATAATGATTTTATGTAATCATGCATATGAATCTTGAAAAATCTCAATGAAATTCCATAAATTCTACAGGCCTCTAAAAAAAAACCTTTATTCACTACTCCTCAGCATCGCTTGCTGAAGATTTCCCTGCTACTTTTGGTGCGAAGTGCCAAAAAATAGCTATTTATCAGATTTTATAAAAAATCTTCTCTTTAAAATTCCTCCAAGCAGCCATTCATCCATTCATACAGATATTCTGTATAACCTTGCATCCTTTATTTCCACGATTTGTTTTAACTCGCTTCTAAATCATGCATCCTCAAAATATTTTTCTTAATGCTGATGATACGATCTAATCGAAGCAGTTTGGACCATATTTGTTGAAATAATTATCTTAAAATGATAAAATTTTATTTCCAGCTTTATGGATTTCCCAGTTTGGATTTGAGCAAGGATGACGCACTTTTAACGAAAACCCCAGATATGTATCAGACATCGACGGAAATGGTAAAAGCGATATCATTGGCTTTGGAAGAGATGGAGTTTATGTCTCATTATCTACAGGCAAAGATTTTGCTCCTCCAACACGATGGATTATTGACTTCGCGAAATATGCTGGTGGCTTTACAAGCCAAACTCTATACCCAAGAATAGTAGGCGATGTCAATGGAGATAAAAAGGCTGACATTGTCGGCTTCAGCTATGCAGGCATCTTAGTATCTACTTCGAATACCACAGGATTTACAGATTCTTCATTATGAAGTAAGGAAACTATATGCCCAAGTTCATCTTCTTCAGATTCTTGTGCAAGATTCCTTGGAGATGTAAACGGTGATGGCAAAGCTGATGCCATTACATTTTACAGCAACAGTATTTACATTGCTTTCTCAAATGGCAACTCATTTGCAAAAGCTATTTCCTATTATACAACAGATTTTGGATCGAGTTATGGGTGATCAAGCATTAATATGAATCCTAGATGAATTGAGGATGTAAACGGTGATGGAAAAGCTGACATCGTTGGATTCAATGCAGACGGTGTGGTAGTTGCTTTATCGAATGGAGTAAACTTTGATAAAGCTACCTTATGGTCATGGTGGTTTGGGAGCTCAGCAGATGCTGGAAGCTGGACAAATTTTGATCAATTTCCAAGATTTGTAAAAGATATGAACAATGATGGAAAAGCAGATATTATTGGCTTTGGATCAGCAGGGATTTATATAGCTTATTCTAATGGAAAACACTTTGAAGAACCCTTTTTGGCTATGTCTAGTTTTGGGGCAGTTAGTAATGGAGGCGGTGGAAATTCATATGATAGACACCCAAGAGTAGTTATGGATGTGACAGGATATGGACTTTTTGATATTATTGGCTTTGGAAATGCTGGAACATTTGTTTCTGTAATGGTTGATGATATAGCTGATATTAAGATTACTAAGTTGAATGCTATCAAATCTGATAACTCATTAAGCGATGTAAAGTGCTTAAGTGAATATGAAAGTAATGAACTAGAAATTAATTGCTTTGATAGATGCAAGGCAGAATCGCGTGAAAGTATTTTGAAATTTGATAGCTCAAATTCTGAAGGGAAATTCTATTGGATTTGGGCTTGAATTTTATTATTTGGAGTTCTAGGTGTTGCTCTTTTAATTTGTTTTAAAAAAAAATCAAGTAAGCCTTATTATCTTGAATTTTGTGAAGGCTCAGCAAGCTCTTATATGAGCTTGAAATAAAAAATTAATCAGCTATTACTTTTGATATTTTTTGGAATATAAAATGCATTTAAAAAGCTGTTACATTTTAAGAAAAGCTTAATAGCTTCGCCTAATTAGTTAATTAAAGTCTTAAACATTTAAATCTTATATTTATTTTTGTTTTCTTCTTGATTTGTAATTATAATGATTTTAGAGATTTAAAACAGATAATTACTAAAAAGTTTATCAATATTAAGAACTTTTGGTCCAATTTAAATTAACGTTTTATTTGAAATTTTTCATTTATTGGTTTATTATAGAAAAGAAACTTAAAGAAATGGCTTAAAAATCAAAGCAATTCTTAATATATTGCCTATCATAAAAGCCATTTCAAGATTATCAAAATTAGAGAAGCCACAGTCTTTAGGCATGTGAAGTATCAAGTATGTGATTTTATAAATAAACAAACAACTATCAAGATTAGTAGACTAAGTATAAGCAAAGTGAAAGCCTTAAATTACTTTCTTTTAAAATATCCATCAACTAACGCCCATACTCAATTAGTTATTTAAACTCAGTTCATAATTAATTTATTGACTCAATTTTATAGTTAAAATATGAAAAATTTCTGTTGTGTCGAGAATATTAGACTGTATAATCAAGTAAGTCTTTAATGATATCTGGTCTACTCTTAGCTTAAGAGATAATTGTTCTAAACCTCCTAAAACTCTGCATATCACATGCTAATTTTACTATAAAAGACTTGTGGGTTTTTCATGCCAAATTTGTATGTTCTAAAAAAACTTCTTATCCATTTAAAAATGTACTGAATTTCACGCTGTGTAGTGTACGCTTAGCTTGGTCTTTATTTTTTCCTAATAAGTATTACTTTAGAGTGGCCTAAAATTACCAAATGTGCGTAATTCGCCTAATGCAGTTTATAAATAAATTAAGAATGTAATATTCGAATAAAGGATTTTTCTATTGACAAGTATCACTCACATTGGATTTAGTGATAAGCTAGAAATTTTGGAATATGGAAAAGTGTTATTTATACAAAATTATTATAGTTATATTTAACTCTTAGATTGTTGATTATAGTTTGTAAAATATCCTTTGTTCTCTCTTAAAATGCATTAAATAATGCTTTTATGCAGCATCCTAACTTTTTAAAGCCCTCTAATGAATTTTTATTAGAAAAGAAGATTCTATATAGTTCGCTAAGAAAATATATGCACATTTATTTTAAATTAAAAAGTCTTAATCATTATTGATGAATATAAATTGGCAGAAATTAACCAATTTGCAATAAAGTAGTTCCAATTGCTCAAACCAAAGAACAAAATTTTAGTTAGTTCACGAATAAGTGCCATTTATTTTACTTGAGCAATAAAGTTTATAAAAAATGGTTTTTAATCTGTATTTAATTTATGAGACATAAAAATCACAAAGGCGAACCCCGTTTAACTTTTAACCAATTTTGAAAATGATATATGTTTTAGAAATTAATGCTTTAATTGTTCCTTTCTTGTTTAAATTTGGTGCAGGCTTATATTGCGTTCTAGTGTTTTCTTTACGAATTAAACTCTGCCTTCAATAATAAATATTATTAAACTACATCTGGTTAATATATTTTAAATTTTCTTAAAATATTCATCAATTAGTGCTTAGTTTTCAATCTCTTGTAGCATTCCATCTTTATCAACATCCACATTTTCTGTTCAAGCATTCAATGGATATAATGATTACATTTCTTCCACCCATTATATGGGTTAGCAGCTTTTATGACAGCAGCGTTTGGCCTAGTTTCAACAGTAATCCTAGGCTAGTAGGTGACATAAATGGTGACGGCGCAGCTGATATAGTTGGCTTTTCAGATAACGGGATTAAAGTTTCATATTCCACAGGTGGTAATTTCACCGCCCCAACTAATTCACTTGGTGCTTTCTGTAAGAACGTTGGAGGTTGGACATCTCAAGATTTATATCCCAGACTTTTAGGAGATGTAAATGGTGATAAAATAGCTGATATAGTCGGTTTCGGCTATGACGCTGTTTATGTCTCTATTTCTGATGCTTATAGAATAAATGACGCTACTCGCTGGATATATGATTTTTCCTACTCTAACGGAGGCTGGACTAGTTTTGACAGATATCCAAGAGCTTTAGGAGATTTCAATGGAGATGGAAAAGATGACATCATTGGATTTGGCTATGATTCCGTTTATGTATCATTATCGAATGGGAATCAATTTTTAACCAGAACAATTGCTTCTAGCGAGTTTACAGTGTTAGCAGGGTGGACAACTTATGATCAAACTCCCAGAATGGTTGCTGATGTAAATGGTGACGGAAAAGCTGACATTGTAGGCTTTAATTCTCAAGGAACTTGGGTCGCATTATCAAATGGAGTTACTTTTGACAAAGCTACGCTTTGGTCGACGTCTTTTGGATGGGAAAGCTTTAATCAAAACCCAAGAATTGTAAAAGACCTCAATGGAGATAAAAAAGCAGACATCATAGGATTTGGAGATAGTTCAACTGGTTATTCACTCTCTAATGGGAGTGGATTTGATAATCCTGAATGACTGATGTACTATTTTGGGAGAAATAGCCAGGTTGAAGGCTTCGATACTTTTGATTCGAAGCCAAGATTTATGGCAGATGCTAATAGAGATGGATACAATGATATTATAGGATTTGGAGGGGAAGGAGTTCGTGTAGCTGTTATCTTTCCTAATTATAACCCTAATTTGCTTGAGGTAGGAGAAAAAAGTTTTAGGGACAGCGCAAAAGATGCTCAGAAAATGATTAAAGAAAGCAGTTATGCTGGAATTTTTGAGTATTTAGCTTTCTTTGTGCTTCTTGGGATCGGAGTTACAACTTTCTTGATTATAGTTGGAGCTAAAAAAGAAAAGAACGCTCATATATCAGGAGCAAGAAATGAGTATGTCAGGCTTTAAATTAAGTTAAAATACTCAATTAACTATTCTATACGATTGCATTTAAGTAATAAAAACTATGAGAAATTTTGGCTATTTTATGATCTATATGCGAAATATTAATAATTATGATATTTCTGTTTGGCATGTCGCATATATTATAATGATCATATCTAATAGTGTATCTGTTTTAGGTATTATTTTTATAGCCTGCATTTCTACTTACTCCCCCTCTCTGTGAGCGAAAAAAAAAAATTTGGAAAAATCCCTATTTTTGCCCAAAAATCCACCCTCGTGAACAACAAACATTGTTTAAGAAGAATTTTTTTTAATCTAAGTGATAATTATTATAATGAAGTCTCTAAATAATTCTGTTTTATTTTAAACAGCTTGCATTTTAAAACATAAATTTACAAATTGAATTAATATTTGCTTTAAAAATTATTTCGAATGTGATTTTTTTTAAATTTTGGAAAAAAAGTTACTTACTTATCGACCTCTAGTTGGGCCTCTAGTTGCACAGCGTCGCAGGGACGCTTTTTTCCTCCGTTTTGTCGCTACTCGCGTACTCGTGTCGGGCCTCGCAGTACGGCTCGCTCCTCCTAATCCCCGTGAAGCCATTTGGTAATCCAGAAGTACGGGAAACACTAGCGGCTTGGCGCATTGCCTCGCTCTGTCCGACTTTCCTCCAGCGCCTGTTCGGCCTAAGTGTCCTGCCTTTCATATCAGCAGTGGAAAGAGGTAAAACACGCTGTGCAAGGCTGGCGAGATTAAAATTCTTCGCCATTTTACACCACCTTGTACAGAAGCCCACGTGTAAAAACCTAACCCTATAATAATAAAAGCGGGTGAGAAGGAGAGGGAATTCATGGAGTGAATTACCCTATCCGTCGAAGCCATTTTATTATTATAGGAAAAAAAAGTTACAATAAAATTTATGTATATAAGGATCCCCCCCTCATTTGTCCAATTTTCTAGTCTTTTATCATTTGTCCATTTTTTTTTTTTTTTTATATTAAAAAAAATTTTTTAGGACCTCATTTGTCCAATTTTCTAGTCAAAATTTTGATAGAAAAAACAATTTTCAGGACCTCATTCGAAAAAATCCAAAAAAGACTAGAAAATGGGACAAATCATTTTTAACTAGATTTTGGGACAAATGAGCTAGATAATTTTTGGCTATGATTTTCTTTCACCCTTTATATGGATTAATAGCTTTACTTATAGCAGCACCTGGCCTAGCTACAGCAGTAATTCAAGACTTTTAGGTGATGCAATGGTGATAGTAAAGCTGACATCGTGGATTTGCGGATTCTATTATTTTTATGTTTCTTGCAGCTAGAGCTTGGTTTTGGTTGGAGCCCAAAAGGGAAAGAACATTATGATATATAGAGCAAAAAGCGATTATATCAACTTTAAAAAAATTTATAAAATAATTTTAAAAAGCTCTCTGAATTCATCCAATAAGTGATTTGAAGTGTTATTATTCGAAAAAAAGAGTATTTAAACACTTTTAATTTTTTATAATGAATTAAAGTTTATAAATAAAAAGGATAATAATTATGAGCAGAGCACCAAGAAAAGCAGATCCAGTAGTGCCAGCAGAATTTAATTTGCTAAATTCAGTTGAGAATTCAATTAAAGAAATGATAAAAGATAAAGAAGAAAATCCTGGCTTAATTCTCCCATATAGTTTCTTAGACAGTTACAATCGTCCAGAAATGCTTGAACTCTACAATACAATTTATGATTACTCCAAAACATTGACCGAAATTAACACTTTAATTAAGCAAGAAGAAGAAAAACAGCACGAATACAAAGAAACCACAAAAGATTTGTCAAAACAACTAAGTGAGCAAGGCAAAATCGTTGCCCAAAAATACGGAGAATTAATCCTAAAAGAAAGGATTTTCAGAAAAAATCAAGACGACCAGAATTTTTTCGAAACAATTATTTATTTTATAGTAAAAGTCTTGAAGCCTGCATTTGATAGGCCTCAATTGATCATGCTTGAAGAAGAACTTAACCGATTGTTTAGAGGCACGGCGTTCAATATATCAGAGCGAAGACATAAAACTGAAGAAAAAGTTAAAAAGCTGCCCCAGCTAAAAGGAACAAGCAGAAAAGACCCTGATTCAATAATCACAAATATTCTTATGAGACAAAAAATATTGAAAAATAAGGCAAAAATTGATATGTCAAGAGATAGAACATTGCCAGCGTTCGTTAAATTAACTCCTTATAAGTCTATCTTATCTTATATTATCTATGCGTTTTACATCCACTAAGGGGTAGCCGTTTCCAGGACCTCCACCATTTTTACACGTGTCAACCCCACAGGTCGCTGGTCTAACTTGCTTTGTTACACCAAGGCACGCTTGGAAATGACGTTCCGGCTTCGACGGCTCATGAGTGAGCGACTTCACCTTGCTTCCTTGACGCCGTGTGACGACTAAAGGCTCCTTCGCTGCCGCAGGATGGAAGTGGACAAACCACAGGCCTTTCAAGTTCCCTAAGGGTTTGCCAAACAGACTAGCCTCAGCCGGGATAGAATTCCCATGTAAAACTAAGCCTCATAATCATAAAATGCAGAATGAGTGGTGCCGATCGGCAGGTCGGTACCGTACGAATGTCGCCATTTTATGATTATCAACTCCTTATAAGTCAATAACTGCAAGATCTCCACTGATATCAATGCTACTTCCATCCCCCAAGGATAAAATAAGAGAATTCGAAGAGGTCAGAAAGAGAAAAGCCAAGAACACAATAAAGCTAAAGCCTTTGCCGATGAATGACTCCTGCTAGTCTCTGCTTGGCTAAGTAAAATAATTGATAAGTCTCACTACTAAAAGCATTATAAATAATAAATATGATAAGATTCTCCTCAGAAGATGCAAAACGCCTAATTTTTGAAGCTCCTGACACAACTCGTAGAACTCTCTTCGTCCTCTTATTTACCTTTGTCTGCTTAATAATCCACATCTATTGCACTTACCTAGGTACCGCTAACTCTTGGACATGCGAATTAGATAGCACTGACCCAAAGCACAATTATGTCTGCAAAGAACTCATGCAGAAAGCATCATGCAGCACCCTCACAGGCCCTCTTAAAGCTGAAATTCTTCTAAATATCAACGATGAAGTCAAAGCATCAGCTTTAATAGTCTGTCCGTGGGAAAATGCTATATCTGAGCTACGCATCTGCTTTGCATTAGGATCAGCCCTAGTAGTCATTATTGGCTTATTATCCCTTTCTAATGAAGACAAAAAACTTGCTGATCTTCATATAAATTCTGCGTATTTTTTTACTTTACTTTTAGTTATTTCCTCTACGTTTGACTTATTTGCAGTGTCAAATTCTAATACAAATAATTATTCCTTATGCAATTTATAATTAATAAGGTGGTAGCAACAAATATTTCCTTGCTAACGACACAGCACTTGGGGCGCCAAATGGCTTTATAGCCTAAATTAAGGCTTAGGCCATTTGATTCTGACCCTAAGCTTGCTGTATGGTGGCTGTAGGCGTGGGTAATCTTGGGAATCAGCTAGTGGCCATTCCAGTTCAGATATTGATTATCCGGATGGCTTTGAGCCACCTTTTTTCCTGCCGAATCCGGAGGGCTGTGGTTCTTTTTTCCTTGGTGTCACTTTTCCTCAAGATGACTCATATAGGGCTGACCTTTGCCTCATAGCACCCGCAAGACGCTCAGCACATAGGGGTCTCCCTAGCTCGTCAAAACTCAGGGACGTAGCGCAAGTTCTTAGTCTTAGGAGAAGACTGCTGTTGATGGACTTGCGTAGCCGATGCTACCCCTAGCAAGCAAGGGTCCGGTTGTCGAAAGATGCGAATTCATTAAATCTTAAGCAAATTTAATTTATGCAATTTGACTAATGAATTTTCAGTAGAAGATGGGATTTCGGGAGAATATTTATCGTGTACCCATGATATTTATAATTTTACTGCATATTTGGGGTATGTGGCTGCAGTGATGCTATTGGCATCTTCTTATTATTTGAAAGGATGGAGAGATAATTTAAGCTTAGATGGCTTATAAGCACTTAATTAGCCTAAATTTATCCATTATCTTTACCAAAGAATAAGTCTAAAATGATAATTTTTTTAAAATTTATCTTAAAATTTCTGACTTTTGAGTAGTTCTTTTTAGCAAGGAATAAATATTTACATAAAATTTCTTAACTTAATAAATAAAAATGAATCAAGGCTTAGTCGGAAACCGTGCCCATTACCGTGATATTTTCAATCTATTTGCAGTTCAAGGCAAAATTACTCGTGACAAGCTCGAAGAAATGTTCCAAAGAGTGAGACTTAATCCATCCCCTGAAGAAATGGAAAAATACATCCAATTAGTTTTTGAAAACCGCAATTATGCGACTTTTGACGACTTTTTAAAGCTATTCAAAATGAGGTGTGTAAGTCATGAGTATACCAGTGAAGAAATTTTCAAAGGATTTTTACTGCTAACTCCCCCCCCCCCTCCGTGAGCGAACAAAAAAATTTTGTTCACTCACGGAGGGGGGTTAATTTTTTTTTTTAAAAACAATTTATATATAAATTTTTATAAAAAATATTTTTTTCGAAATTTAAAAAAAATCCTAATTTGCAAAAATTGGGAAGCAAATACTAATTTAATTTGCAAAATTTATGTTTTAAAACGCAATTTGTTTAAAATTAAACAGAATTAGCTCTAGATTTCATTATACTAATTATCACTTATATAGCAAAATTTTTTTCTATTAAATTTTTTTCTATTAAAAAAATTTTTGTTCACTCACGGAGGGTGGGTTTTTGGTCAAAAAATGGCGATTTTTCTAATGGTTTTGTTCGCTCACGGAGGGGGGGGGGAGTAAGTGACAATGAGAGGAGGCTCCATATTTCAAAAATTGAGGAACTGATCAAAGAGCAAGTAAAAGATTATAGAGAAAGGCAATTTCTTATGGAGCATATGAGTCATTTCACAGATGAAAATGGATGGGTGAATTATCAGGAGTTTGTTAATAGCTCGTTTTATTAAGTTTTTATTATAAAATGGTGCATTTGCTTTAATATTTATAATAAATATAGAAAGGTAATTTGCAATTTGTTTGATACTATAAGTATGTTGCAATTTTTTACTTATTGAGATTAAAATAATCAATTTATCAAACAATAAAATGGAGCCCCCTAGAATCAAAAGTAAAGATTGCAAAACCCCAGGTTGCAAAAGTACATCTGAAGTGTATTGCAATTGCAATGAATCTGATTTTTGTATCAACTGCCTTATAACTCATCTCCAACAAAATAGCAGCACTTGCCATATGGTCCAAACTTTCGGCCTTCCCAAGCTTATCTACGAAAATTCAATTTCGCCAATAGAAATCCTTTGCCACAAGCTTGAATTGTCTTCTGAGGATACTTGAATTATAAGAAATTCGAAAATCACTATGAGGCAGCTCTTGAAATTTACTATGGCCCAAGTCTACTCCTTTGCCGATCAACTTTCGCTATCAGAAAATACAAAATACCGTCTTTATGACGAACTTTACTACATAAAATTGGCCACCGGAAAAATCCATATAAAAGACTGCCTCCAAGGCCCAAACAGTTTCCTTCATTACAAATCTGAAACCGACCCAATTCCTTCTGAAATGCCTCAAAACGTCAAAAAAGAGGTCATAAAAGAAGAAAATCCTGTAATAAAAACCGAAAACGATGTAGCTTTTGAAGATCTTTTTAATGAAGCTAACATATAATATAAGTTTTTTTGCTAATTTTATTTAAATCATGTCAAGAAAAAACAAGCACAGACAAAACCCCATAAATGAAGAATTAGAGGCCCCGAAACTCCCTGCAAATTTTGTAGACCAGGTTGTCAATTTAGAAAGCGAGCTTGAAAGAAACTGCACTGCTGAAAAGGTCTCGAGGCTAATAGAACTATACTCAGTATGGTTAATGTAGGCTGCTGTGGAATATTTTGGGTCAATAAGAGATAATAGGTATATACATTATAAAGAAAGGCTGCAAAGATTATTAGCAAGGGATGACTTTATTTCTGCTGTTAATGGAAATGCGACAGTGAAGTTAGAGAATGCAAGTACAAATGCAATTGGAAATAACTCATTAGAAAAAAGTTCTAGTGTAAGATCTAAATCAATCGATGTTAGAGCAAGAAAAGCACCTGAAAAAGAAATAAAGAAGGATGCAGATCAGGCTATTAAAGAGCATCTAAGTAGTAGCTCAACTACAAGTTTCAAAATTTGTGAAATGCTAAGACATCAAGAAGGTGATAGCTTAGAACAAAGGCTAAAAGCAAGAAAAAGAATGGGAAGTCCTCAAGCAACCTTAGGAGGAAGAATGAGATCGCAGACTGTAGAAAATTTGATGAAAATATCATCGGAAACAAAGTTTGAAAAATATCAAGAGGAAATTGAGAAAATCATGGAGAAATATGTGGATGAAAAAATTAGCAGAATTCAAACAATTAAAAACAAATACCGAGAAGAAATCAATGAAGTCAATATGATGGGAAATAATGGTAAGTTTTATCTAGATACAATATCAATGGTTTTAAACCAATTAGATAGGGACATGCAAAGAGAAATAGATGAAGTTACTAAATCCCCCCTAACTCCCCCCCCCCCCCTCCGTGAGCGAACAAAACCATTAGAAAAATCGCCATTTTTTGACCAAAAACCCACCCTCCGTGAGTGAACAAAAATATTTTTTAATAGAAAAAATTTTAATGGAAAAAAATTTTGATATATAAGTGATAATTAGTATAATGAAATCTAGAGCTAATTCTGTTTAATTTTAAACAAATTGCGTTTTAAAAACATAAATTTTGCAAATTAAATTAATATTTGCTTCCCAATTTTTGCAAATTAGGATTTTTTTTAAATTTCGAAAAAAATATTTTTTTTATAAAATTTATATATAAATTTTTTTTTAAAAAAAAAAATTAACCCCCCTCCGTGAGCGAACAAAATTTTTTTGTTCGCTCACGGAGGGGGGGGGGGGAGTAGTAAGCAATTTTGTTCGCTCTCTGAGTGGTTTTTTTAAAAAAAAGTTTAAAAATAGTTTTAAAATGCAAACTGTTTTAAAATTTAAACAGAACTAGCCCTAGATTTCATTATATTAATTATCACTTATCTATTGAAATATTTTTTTCATAAAAATTTTTATATTAAAATAATTTTAGTTCGCTAACGGAGGGTAGGCTTTTATTCAAAAAATATTGATTTTCTATGATTTTGTTCGCTCAATGAGGGGAGTAAGCAAATAGATAGAGAAAGAAAGCTAGAAATAGCTGAGCTTAAAAAGCAATTTCGATAAAATGGATTATATAAAAATTTTTATATAAAAGACTTTATATATACTTTATAAATTAGATCCAATTTTCAGAAAATAATTATTTACTCCTCTCTTTTTTGCTTCTTCTTCAAAAACTTCGCTTTCAACTCTTCAATACTTGGCTCTTCATTTACATGACTTTTATGTGTTTTTTCTTCAGGCGGAATATATGATTTTTCCCTTTCCTTTTCCCTCTGCCTCTTCTTGCTTATCTGCTCTTCCACTTTTTGCTTTTCTTCTTTTTCTTTCTTTTCTTTTTTAGTCAAAAAATACTCTCCACTCTCCATCAAGAGATCTTCTTTTCTTGGCTGTGGGGCAGGTGGGAATGGTGTGTATTCTTTTTTCTCTTTTTTTTGTTGTTTTCTTTTGACGTTTCTTTTTTGGAATTGTGGTAAAAATCGGCTTCAGTCTTCTGTGGCAAGTTCTGGGTTTTTTGAAAGTTCTTTTTTGATCATAAGTTCTTTTATGTTATAAACTGGATGGATGTTTTGCATTGTTTCTATGATCACTTTGCGGGCTGTTTTAATGCCTTTGATAGGGCCCATAACGGAGACGGTGTTTCCTTGTACAAGAATATATAGCGCTTTCCCGAGGATGGCGCGGAATGGCGCCATCCTCGGGAAATTCAACTAAGCATCCACACGGGAACTGGGAGTTCCACGTGTGGATGCCATTTTGACATGTGGGATCCAAACTTCCACATGTCAAAATGGCATCCACACGTGGAACTCCCAGTTCCCGTGTGGATGCCTTCCTGGCTTTCCCGAGGATGGCGCCATTCCGCGCCATCCTCGGGAAAGCGCTATAGCATTCAGTTAAAATTTCTAAAGCTTTTAAGGTAGTTCCGCTGGGTCCTATAAGACGAGCTCTTCGCTTGACGAATCTTTCTTTATTTCGGACGATTCCACCGATTTTTATGATGTCGCAGAAAACTCCATCTTGAAGGATTCTTACAGCTTGCTGGAAAGGGACAGATCTTGCTAATAGTTTGATCAAGTCTCGGGCTTTTAAGATGATATATGGATCCCAAGTCTTTTTTGTATTCCTCACAGTCATTGAGCCTTCGATTAAGTCCAATTCAGCTTTGACTTGATATTTAGAAAGCTCTTTTTGGACTAATGGCCAAACTTCACGGATGTAAGCTTCCCTGTACTGAGGGAAAAGTGTAGCGAAGGAGCTTTCTTCAAGCAAACCATGAGGGTTATCAGTCTCTTTGAATTCATCAATTTTCCATTTATCGACTGTAGGGTCATTATCCCATGGTTTGTCTTTCTTATGTTTTCCCTTTTTAGGTGGCTCGGTGGTCATTTATAATTTACTTAATTTTAGTCAAAAATCTTATGTCAATTGAAAATTATAAAGTGATTTTATATGTCACTAAATAATCCTAAAGAACTGAGGATTATAAATAAGTTATTATGCATCATTCGTGGATTTTTCTTTCAATTTAGATTGAAACAGCGCATGAGATAAAACAGCAGACCTCAATTCCATATCTTTGCCTTCAACTTTTAACAGCTTTAATCCTTCTTTTATTGCTTGTAGAGGAGAAATATTAGTGACCATTTTCCCTTGCATCTCTATCTTTTGTTGGTAATCTTCAATCTTTTCTCCTAATTGTTGGTATTCTTTTTATAAATGCATATTTCTATCAAGTCTATGCAATTTTCTTATTTTCTATAGTGTTTATAAATAATCTAGTAAAATGCAATAATAATTTATCAAAAGCTTTATATTGAGCGGACAGTTCTGCAACATTTTCATTAACCTGCTTGTACCTTGTAGTCACATCATTCAGTCGATTTGCCTGATTTCGATAATCCCCAGCAATTTCTCCCATTGATAAATTAATTTTTTTCTCTTGTGAGCCTATTCTTTCTACTGCCTTTGATAAATCATCTGCAATTCTTCTCAATTTTAGTTCTACATCTGGAAAATCTTTTTCTATATTTTCTTTAAGCAATTTTGTCTGTTCTAAATGAGCTCTCCATTCTCTAATATCCCCTCCTGTAGGATCTACTGGCAATTTAAGCCTTGGGGCGACTCTCTCCACTTCCAAGAGCCATTCATTGGGGTCTATAGAACTCCAAACAGGCGCATTCTGTCTAAATCCTTCTTCTTCAACTTGATTTACCGCCTGCCCTGCCGCTACTTCAGCAAAAATAGCTTCTTCCTCTTCCTCTTGTATGGCTTCGTCAACAATTTCTCCTTCTTCATCATCTTCAATGACTTCCCCTTCCATTTCGCTTTCTTTAGGAAAAATCGGCTTGCCAAACTTGAACTTTTTAGTTTGTAAAGCTCGTTTTGCTAGAGATAAAAGAACAAGACATGGGCCTTCGCCATGACCCCCACGGAGTTTGCCTGGCGGTAAATCTAAATCAATTCCAAATTTCTTCATTTCGACAATTATGCTATTTGCGACTGTTGAAGGGTCATCGTACTTATTAAAGCTGGCTTGAGAGCCGTTGATTTGCAGAAGTCAGCTGGCTAAGGCGGTGAAGTATATAAATTGCTCAGAAGGGTTGGCACCTTGAATCGAAAATTGAGCACGGGTTAAAGGTTTAAAGCCTTTTGCAGAGAGAAATGATTCTTCGTAATTGATGAGTTTTAAAATATCAACTATTTCTTCCATAAGGACACCTGCGTCAACTGATTCTGAGGATGCAGCTGGGGTTTCAGATTCATTCGGCTCAACCATTTTAAATACTTATTTAAATCAAAAGACAGAAATCAAACATTTATATTAATCTAAAACCAATTTTGGATTACTTTGCTATATTTTAGATATTCGGAAAGAAAAAACATTTTTATCTATAAACAATAAAAAATTGAAATATAAGCTATTTATTATAAGCACTATTTTAATATTAAATTGAAATAATATGAAAAAAAATTGTATGTAAAAGCTAGGTTAAACAATATTGAGCTATTTTAACTTTAATTCTAAATGCTGTGGCTTATTTATAGGCTTGATATAAGTAGCGCCGATTCTTACCCAAAAATGTAAGATGTTACGCTTATCATTTGATTAATTCTATTCCTGTGTCCAATCTGCTAATATAATAATAATATTTTATAGAAAACATTTTTTAGGCATTAGGGCTTAGCTATGGCAACATTCAGTATTTCCAATGTATCATAATAAAATTGATTTTAAAGTAAATTAAACAATCCTGCATCTTCAGTTTATGTGCCACTATAACAGACTCGCTTATTTTATTAGCTCGATACACTTAATAGTGCATGCGAAAGGTCTCTTTTAAGTTTTTACATATAAAAAGTATTTTTTAGATAAATATAAAAGGTTATGCAAAGCCTGTATGCTATTTTTGTAAAGTGATGCTGGTCCTAAACTTCCAGTGATCCACTGTATATTATTCACAGTTGTGAACAATAAAAGAATCAATTATGAATTTAATGCAATTGCAAACCATTATTACAAATAGAAGAGCTCTTTTAAAGACCAATAAATCAAATAACTATTAAGGAACCATTGGCGGCAATTTTTATATATAGCTATTTCAACATTGAAATTGCAGATATTTTATCAGAATTTATCTAGCCACGAATTAAACAGTGATTTAAATTTTTTTGCCTTAAATTACACCTAGAAGTTTAATTCTTTATTCTAGAAATACCCCCTCCGTTAATTTACATTTAAAAATAAAAATTTTTTGTAACGAAGAAGATTTTCTTTTTTAAAATTTCCTTTTATTGAAAAAATAGATTTTATCCACATAATAAAAGTGCTAAACTCAATCAGGTATCGAAAATCAAAATAAATTTAAATTTAAAATGTTTGTATTATTTAACTGTATAATTAAAGTTAAACTCTTAAAGTGTGACATGGCAGCGTCAAGCGTCTTTTGCTTATAAAAGAGCAGTCTGGATTGGAGAGTTCTACTGATTTTGGCTTGAGCGAGCAATCATCTCTTACGTTGATTGCTTCAAATGTGTCTTCTAGGTTATTTAGAAGCCGATCTACCATATAATTTAAATTTTCAATTTTTGATTTCTGTGAGCTTGTAAGAGGTTGAAACAATCAAGCCATGTCTATTGGCTTGCAAACTCCTTGTTTTTGACAATGCTGTATTATATTTAAAGTTGGGAAATTTTCAGCCAATCTCGGTGATTTCACCTCAGAATTCTCGGAGTCGAAATCCAGCGAAAAACGTCTTTCTATGTCATCAAAACTCTCCCGTGTGCTACTATCAGAGACTAACGAGGATTTATGCAGTAATTTTGGGAGTTCGAAGCTATTAGATTCTTTGATTAATGCCATGCAACTTCTTTGCTATTTATTATCTTAATTGATTGGCATATAAAATGAACCAAACTGAGAAGGCATGCAAAATGAAAAATTAAAGAGAATTTTAAAATTCAATATATAATCATAATTTGGTGAAACAATTATTATAAGGGTAAAGAAAATGCCATAAGGCTCAATAGCATTTATTCTGAAATGAGATATTAATAACCCCGTTTACGAAAAATTAGTGTTATAGGATAAATTATTATCTTTTACTCCTCATTAGCTTTTAAGTACTTGTAGCAAAGGAAGCTTATTTTTTTTTAATTTGTAGAAACAATTTTTTGAAATTAAAAAATTTATAGCGAATTAGAATGAATTTAAATATTCATACTGACTAACGGCTATTCTAGTATTATATAAAAATAACCCAGCTATCAGTAGATCAAGATTAAGATTATAAGGCTATAAGCGGGATCTCCGCTAGCCTACTACTTTGAGTCCAGGAAATGCGGCCTACGCTGAGTGCGCATACACCAGAGTGAAAATGGTGTAAAGCCCGACCAAAATTCTGCCCTCTTGAATTTTCTAGTGAGACTCACCTAGCCTAAGGATCAAATCCCTAAGGTACCCCATAGATGAAGGCTATGTGAGAGGCAAAACCTGTCTAATCCACCTTGTAGGGATAGGGAAAACTTTTTGGAGATTAACACTTCGTCCCTCTTCGGTTTTGCCTCCAAAATCTGAAGGTCTATTCAAAAGGGACAGATACCCTGTTTTCAGCTTCATCAGGATGGTTCCGATCTGCTCCATATGGTGCACCTTGAGATCTATTCCGTTAACACCACCATTTTATTTCTGGCAACCAGTAGGAATGTTTTTATTAATTCTATTTAATATATATTTTAGGAGACGATTTATCTAGAATTTAACAGGGCTTGAAGGGTTGAAGTTAGGACTTGTTACAGGGACTAGTACATTCTCATATGGAGAACGATATTTTCTGATTTTCTTTAGCTTGAGTGGACGCTTTTTCAGTTTTTTTTGCTGCAGCTTTCTATTAGAATTAATCTCATTTCTTGCTGTCTGAGGCTTAATCACTATATTTCTTGGGCTATGATTAATCTTTGGTAGCTGCTGCAAAGAAGGGCTTGCTGTTATCGGAATAGGCGATAATGGCGTTAATAACGTTGGACTATTCACCCTTTTTGCACGTTTACAATTAATCTTAACCCTTTTCGTTCTTTCTGTATGAAGAGTTTCTTCATCACTATCACTTGTTTCTGACGTATCAATCGATTTTACATCAGAATCAGGTGTTTTTTCTCCTGTAATACATCTGATTACTTTATTTCTCTCAGTTTCAAACTCTTTTTCTTCTTCTCCTTCACTTCACACCTTGCTAAGCTTGCTTTTGCATCTTCTTATATTGGTTTTACAAATCATCTCTATAAAGGTTGGACTTAAGCTTTGGCGAAACCTTTCTGCCCTTTCTCTGTGGAAAGGGTCATTAAAGTCATAGCTTTGGCACAATCCGAGAAGAATCTGTGTACCCTCTGGGTAACAGACACTATTTCTGTATTTTATGTGGGGAATTTTTATTTGTTCAGACTTTTTTAAGTTCTCTGTAGGAAAAGCACTTTTTAAAAAGCCTGCTGCTAAAAGTTTTAAGCGAGTGTTATTTTGCATTTTGGTCCATACTCCTCGTTCTTTATTAACTGGAGATCTGTCATCGTCTGGCTCGAATGAACCAAGCCGAGGGATTTCTGTATTGTGGCGGTTTTGGGGAAGTTTTCTTGTCAGATTCAGTTTAAGAACGCTCTCCATTAATAGAATTTTAAAAATGATAGGAAAAATCTAGTATCGTTATTTGCAGATTTTTGAACTTGACCACCTAAGTGTGGAATTTTTTTCCGCATGTGAAAAGGTGATTTCACATGTGAAATCAAAAGGGTTCCACACGTGAAATCACCTTTTCACGCGCGGAAAAAATTCCACACTTAGGTGGTAAAGTTCAAAAATCTGCAAATAGCGATAATAAATATAATAAAAGTAAATTATATAACGCTCAATGCTTAATTACACATAATATATGGATTATCTCTTATAAATTAAATAAAATAATATTAAACTTTATATAAGTACTTATAGATATTTATGAAAATATATATTATCCTCTCAGTAAACTTATCCAAATTTCATTAACCTGCCTTATGAAATTGTTCATAACTATGAAATTTTCAAATTTGTATTTTATTATTTAAATTCTAGAACATTTACTCGATTTTTCAACTTTTATCATATTCTTATTTTTAAATTGTTTTCTGGTGATGATCTTAATAATGAGCTAGATTCGCCTATAAAGTTTCTGAAAGATTTTGATCAACTTTCATAATTTAAGATGGAATTTTCAGAGCCTTTTGAGCTGAATCGGATGCTAAAAATTTCCAGAAGCTCTCCAAATAAAAATCCTTACTCCTATGGGAGAAATAAAATTGAAGGAAGAAGGACTCCGAGGCGCGCTCCTATTGAGCAGATAGGACACATCCTGACGAAACTGAAAACAGTGCTTTTGTTACTTTTGAACTAGGCCTTTAGTTTTGGGAAGCCTCGCTGAAGATGGAAGCTTTTATTTCTCCCCTAAGATTTTCCTGTCATGCCAAGCAGGTTTTGCCTATCATGGTCTTTCTTATCGGAGCCATCTTGGCACACTCCAGGCTGTAGTTCTGCCCTAAGGAGTTGATACCATCGACAGGTGATTCCTGTTGGAAATTCAAAATGGCAGCCTTCATTTTCCTCATTTGAATACTGAGACTATGGAGCTGAATTTTTATAGCCAAGAGAGGAGAAGTCTAGTGGATTATCCCTCTTATATCCAGCATAACTTTTAACTTATATTACTCCTACGAGATCGCTACAACCCAAGAATCAATCGACAAGATGCTGGAATTAGCCCAAAGTATAGAAGACTGTTTATTTTATTCTCCGCCAATACCAGAGGCACCTTTACGAAAATTCAGCATTCAAGAGCAGCAACAAGAGCAAGCTGAAGAAGTTCCACGGCCAATGACCCCAGAAAAGGAGGAAGAGTCTCCTACTAATATAGAAGTCGAAAGAGATGAAACATATAGAGAAAGTTTTTCCCAGTCAATAGCCAAAGTTTCAAGCCTAACCAAGTCTCTAAAGTTCGAGGACACTCCACAAGCAGTTCAAAACGCTGATATGATTCAGCTTAAAGTCTATCTTTTTTCCACCCTTGAAAATATGATTGTTTCCATCCCAAAATCTTCAACAGTAGAGCAACTAATCGCCAAAGTGATTTCTTCCTATCTCCGAAGCTCAGCCAGCAGAGACAAAGAACTCCCATATGGCCCAATTCCAGAAGGCTACGAAATTTGGCTTGTAGACGATGATACTTGTATGCCTGAAACTGATTTTAATGTCGACAGAGCAATGAAAGTCCGCGATTTAGGAGTCGATTCACTAGCTTTTTGTGCAATTCCTAATTATGCAGGTGAAGCAAGGCTGTCAGTGTCGCATAAGCAGGTAAGAAGAGTTTCTGAAATAGGGCAATGTATAGCGTTAAAAATTTATTTTGAAGAAAACTCGACAATAGTGAAAGCCCAGCCGAATGACTCTTTACGAGATATTTTGCATAAGCTGCAACAGAAGTTTTCAGGTGTTTCCTATTTCCATCCTGATGAGTTTGAGTTTAAAATTGACGTTGACCTTGAAGACTCCTTTCAGAAAGAAGAGTGCAACGTTGATTTAGACTTGCATGTTCAAGCCCTTGGCACTACAGAATTAAAACTCTGCAGAAAAGTCTATGTGGATACTCCAATAGAAAGAGTTTTTATCAAAAAAGAACTCCCTGTTATAAAAGAACTCAGCGAAGAAGAAATGAAATTTGACCCTCTAAGATTCCATTTGACAAAAGCACAAGCCTGCGCTTATCAAGAATTCCCTATCATCAAAGTCAACAGAAGGGGCAAGAGGCAAAAAAGAATTCTAGGAATCGACCAAATCAGGCTTTATAACATGACAGAAACCATGGCAAAAGCTGCTATAAAAGGAAAAGCTTCAGGAACAGCTCAACATGTCATGAGGAAAAAATTCGCTGGCATTTTTAAGTCAATAACCCACCACCCTGAAATCCCGATTTCTACAATACATTTGGTAGAGCAAGACGAAAAAAACTTAAACTGCTTGTGGATCGATTATACTGAAGATAACGTTAAGAAAAGGAAAATGTATGAAGCTGAGACCGCAGCGAATGCTGTAGAAATTATTGCGAAAATAATGAAGCTGATGACCTTGAATGTATCAGAAGAAAAAAAATTTTAGTTGACTATAAGTAAAGTTAATTTGAAAAAATGTAGATTATTAATAAAATTTTGCTATTACAGAAAATTTGTATCGCGAAAAATGGATAAATAATGACAATTAGGTTATTTTAAGCTTCCGCTCTTCGTCAATGCAGCATTTCAAGCCTTCTAAGGTGGTATCGACAATGTTTTTCAAGCTTTGGTCTAAGTGCTCGTAATCTTCTGAAGGCGAAATTTCAAAGCTTCCGCCTGTTAGAGGGTGGACATAGAGTTTTCCACTGCCTATCTGATAGCAAACCCTAGCACCATTTTCAAAATCCACTTCGAAATTCGGATACGGTTCATTTCACATTAGCATGCACATTGCATCTTTAATTTGCAGCTTAATTTTAGGGGTTTTTGACCTTACTAAGTCTAATGCAGTTTGGGCGTATTGATAAAGCTTCGCACAATTGTTGTTCATTTCTCTGAAATTTGTGAGTTTCCCTTGGTAAATTACAGTCAGGCCGTCGCTTGAGACTTCTAGTTGGCGATTGTTCATATTTACAATGACCCAGCCTTTGTCGTTGATTTCTAGGACTCTGTTTTTTGATATGTGTTTGAATGGTAATAAATTTGCAGTTGATAAAGGCATTTTAATGACTATTGGCTTGCTTCGGGGAGTAGCAAAAGGGTCTTGTTTCAGAGATTTTATTTTTCTATTTGACCTTGGTAAGTCATATTTTCCTGGTTTTTCAGGAGAAATTATAGTTTCTGTATAGTCTACATATGTAGCTGATCTATGCTTAGAGACAGGGCTTAAAATCAATGTAGGTGACTGCAAAGTTCTTGTATCAAGTGTGCTAAAAAACTGTGACTTAAAAAATGGCTGGTTTTTTACATCCTGTATTGACAATCTTTCATCAGGATTTCACGATAAAAGTGATCTAATTAATGTTTCAGCGTCATCTGATAAATAATTTGGTAAAGAATAACTCATATCTTTTATTTTCAATAAAGTTGTCTGTATATCAGGAGACTCAAAAGGAGGGTTTCCTGTAAGGCAGCCATATACTATACATCCTAGGCTTCATAAATCAGCTGCAAGGCCATATGGCTGGCGATTTACCACTTCTGGAGATATATAGTTGGGAGTCCCGCATAGTGTAGATCTTTCTTCACTATAATTGCTGAGCTTTACAGCTAAGCCAAAGTCTCCAATTTTTAATAAGGTTCTGTCTTCTGATAGTAATAAATTTCCTAGCTTTAAATCTCTATGCAGGATTCCACGATTGTGCAAGTAGTCAATTCCATCAACTAGCTGGCTGCAGAGCATTCGGGTTTCATCTTCACTTAAGCGACCTTCAGATTTTATGTAGCTGAACAACTCGCCTCCTGCGCAATATTCCAGAACTAACTCCCCAATCTTAAATTAGAAAAAAATCCTGTTCCAATTTAAAGAAGGGAAAATTTTAAAAAATTAAAAAAATATAAATTGTTTGAATTTTAATTTATTATGAAGAATTAATACTGAAAATTAATCGATTCATTGTAAATACTGTTAAATAATATCTATTTGCACTTTTCTATTAAATTAGTAAAAAAAAAGTATTTTCACTTATAAAATTTCAAATAAAAAAAAAAGTTTTGCTTCACACCAAAATGGAAATTTTTACCGATATCTTGTTCCAATTTAAAGAGAGGAATAAGTAAATACAATCCTCATCCTCAAAACTATGATAAAACTTGACTATACATGGATGATTAAGCCGCTTTTGTAATTTTATTTCGTTAAGTAGCCTATTTGTCAAGTTTTTTTGGACAACGACTTGCTTTTCAATGATTTTTAAGGCAAATTCTTGAGAAGTAGAACGATATTTGACGTGGTAAACATATGAATAAGCACCTCTTCCTAATGGCTTGATCACTTCGTAATCCTAGATAAGCGCTTACCGGCAATCTGCTTCCAAGTTTACTTTCCATTCTTCCTAAATTTTAAATCCTGCTATCAATTAATTCTTATTAAATTAAAAGAAATCCGATTTCTTTACTTTTCCCTAAATCATTCTTTCAAAGCTTGCTTTTTTACACTCTATTTTTTATTTCTAACTACTAAATATCATTGCAAAATCTTATATTATATTTTATATATTTAAATCACCTCAAAATATTCCCTTCCTTCACATCTCTTCCCTTACTCAAATTTATTTATTTTCCCTTTAAAATTCCCACTTCTTTTTATATTTTCAAATAACTCCTTATTTTAATATTTAAAAATTTCCATATGACAAGTCCTGCACGAGATTTTCCACTCTCAAGAATCCGTTCAGAAGATCCTTACTCTCCAGTAATTGTTGAAGACCTATTAGGCGGCTTAAATGAATGGCGCTCTGTTCAAGATATAGTCAGACTCACATTCAAAGCTCTTTCAGACATAGTAAAATCCCAAGGATCAAGCTTACGAGAAATTGATGTTCAGTTCCCTACAAAAGCATCAAAAGCTGAGCTGAATTCTGGCCTATCTGTTAAGGTAAATATTTCAGATTTCACCAGGTCGATTTCTGAACTAAGAACGTCGCTTGAAAATAAAGTGAATATTGACGATGTTTATACGTTGGTTGAAGATAAAATCTCAAGAAATGATGCCCAATATTTACTATCAAGCAAAGTCAGCTATGAAGAACTGAAAACGGCACTAGAAGCAAAAGCTGATTTGAGGGAAATTCAAGCTGAATTAAGAACGATAAAGGCAGCTATTGAAGAAGTCCATGATGATGCTTACAGAAGACTCCAGCAGTGTGCAACGCTAAGAGATATACAGCAGCTTGATAAAAAAATAGAAACCAAAGCAAATGCTGCTGAAATCAATCAGGCTTTGCAAGAAAAAGCTAACACTGAATCTGTCGCTAGCGCTCTACATAAAAAAGCCAACCGCTCTGATATTGATGCATTGTTTGCTAAAAAAGTGGAATCTACTGATCTTATGGCTTATTTAGAGCATAAAGCAGATCTCTCTCAGCTTGACATTTTAGCACGAGAGCTTGAGCTTAAAGCTGATAAGTCCGAAACCATAAAATTTATCAACCACGAAATCTCAAAAAGAGTCGAAAAATCTGATATTGACACCATTTTCAGCTCTTTTAACTCAGCAAAGAAAGATGCAGATATCAAAAATAACCAAAAATTCTTAGAAATGGAGCAGTTTTTGAATAAATTGAAAAATGATTTAGATGATTTGCAAACTGCGGTGAATAGGAAAGGTGATTCAAGAGATGTAGACAGAGCTTTGCAGTTGGTTAATAAAAAAGTGGATGCAGAGAATATAGCAAATTTTAAAGACGAAATTAATAATTCCTTGAAAAATATTCAAGCCCAGGTAAGGCTAGATATAAGAAAAATTGAAGAAAGCGCTATAGAGAAATCAATAAGAAATGATAATTATACGAAAGCAATCGAAGAAGACTTAACAAGGCTCAAAGAAACTTTTAAAGCATCAATGGAAAAAAGCCAAGTTGACCTAGAAGAAAACTTAAAATATATTCAAAGCTATACATCAGGGACCAGAGCAGAAGACTTGAAATCGCTTCGGCATGAAATTGGAAGTGTACAAAGAGATATAGATGAGATTCGATCACGAAAAGTTGATAAAAATGAATTATAACGATTTATATAGGTAAAATACTATATTTCTTACAATCAAATTTCTAATATTCTATAAAAAGTATTCCTATAAAAATTTATTCACTTTCTTTGTAAAACAATATAAGAACTCTTACCGACCAAAAAATTGACACCAGAGAATTCCAAGAGCGTCTTGAGCTTACCTTTAGAGAGCTAAGCAAAGAGCTTAAAGACAACAAAGATGAGCTTCAAGACCTCGTCCTCCGTAAAGAAAGAGACATCTTAATCCAAATTGACAAAAAGCCTGATATCCAAGAAGTCAACTCTCTTCTGTCAGAAACCACTGAAAACCTTCTTAACAAGTTTCAGACTGATGAAGCCAATCTTCGCTGCACAATTGACGATATCCGCACCCAAACATATGGCCGTGCTCAGTTTATGGACCTTGATTCAAGCATAAAAGATCTTCAAAATCACCTCGAACAGATAAGCAAAGAAATTCTCCTCAAAGCCAACATAAAAGATATATGCGTTTTGCTTGATATGAAGCCAAATATAGAAGATATCAATAAAATTCTTCAAGACTTGCATGATGAGCTTGACAAAAAAGCAGCTGCTAATGAATTTCATAGTCATATTAACAGTCAAGCTTTAATAAATGAAGCATTGTGTGGAGAAAACTGCATGGCAAGATGGATATGGAAGTCAGGAGAAGTCAGAACTGGCTATACCGTCCCTTGGGAAGTCCAAAGTGTTAATACCTGCCCTGATAACTTTTTGTGGGAAAAAGATAAAACTAGTGTACTTACTATTGCACCAGGACTTTATGAAGTTTTCTATGGGTTTTTTGCCAGAAAAAAACCAAATGTGCAGTTAATGGTGAATGGGGAGCCTGTGATCACTGATAGTCAGACCCTTGGAAAAGTCTGGGGAAGACACTCTTCAGGAAACATCGCTGGACTTACTGTGACTGATTTTATCGCACTGCCAGCCAGAGCTAGAATTTCGATAACTTACACTGGTGATGCAGGAGCAGAAGGATTTTTAGGCCTTAAGAAGCTTTAGTTCTAAATATCTTTAATTAAGTTTCGATAATAAATAGTCTTTGAGTTCCGCAAAAGTGATGACACCGTCTCCATCTTTGTCAGCCTCATCTAAAAATTTCTTCCATTCAGTATCTTCAATTCCTGGGATATTCCTTTATGACCTAATATTTTTTTTTTAAAAAAACTAATTATGGTAATTGCATTTTCATAAGAATAAAATTTACTTGTTTTGAGCTCATCAAGAGATAAAGTCCCATCTCCACTAGCGTCATAAATTTGGAAGGCTTGTTTAAGCTGATTTTGGTTCAGCATTTGGTTCCATTCAGTGGTAGCAGTTACAAATTCAGTGAAATCTATAAACCCGCTGTTATCAGTGTCACAGTTTTTCATGATTGCTTCTATGTCTGTAGGTGAAGTCAGCCCTAATTCATTGTACCCTTCCATTAGTTCTGCCCTAGATAATTTTCCATCTCCGTTCTTATCAACTCTTTTAAAGATTTTGACTAAATTTGCCTCGTCTTTGGCTGTGAAAATTTGACTTGTAATAAAAGTTTTTATTGATTTAGCTATTTTTGACTGGTCCTACATAGAATTTACCCTAAATTTCCCTAAATTTGATAAAGCTTCAGAAGAAATAGGAGTTTCTTCCACAGAGTTATTGAGGTATTTTATCACCCAAGGGTGGTTTAGTGTATCTTGTGCACTAAGTCTTTTAGTTGGGCTTACTGCAAGCATTTTTCTCAATAAATCTTTAGCATCCTCTGAAATGCTTGACCAAATTCCTTTTGATAAATTGAAATGCCCCTTTTGTATAAGCTTCACGTATGCAGTGTCACTATCCGCATAAAACGGAGGTTGGCCGCCTAAATAAAATTTTACAAAGCATAATATATAGAATTGTCCCAGCACTCCAAATATCGCATTTTTCATCATGTGAACCAGAGAAAACTTCTGGAGCCATATAAAATAAAGTGCCGTTTGAAGAAGTTAATTTGGCCCCTGGCATCAGTATCTGGGATAAATAAAATGGCCCTCTTGGCAATGCAGCTCGAGTGCATTTTATTTATATCCGGTAAGTTTTCCCCAACTTAGAAATGGGCAACTTGCTCGGTAAGCAATTCGAGTAATGTACAGAGCCTAGCCTAATCCGATTTCAGGATTGGATTTTACCTCGAGGGAAAAGGTAGGTTTAGACTTGGAAAAGGAAATCTTAGCAGCGTCTAAGGTATACCTAGACCATTTAGACAACTCATTAGCGTGAAATGAGAGCTACGCATCGGCTTTGAATTTTTCCTTTTGTGAGAGTTGACCAGAAATCGCATTTTTTGGGATTTTTGTGAGGATAATTTTTGCATCAAAGCAGCAAGCTTCAGAGTCCATAGCCTCACTCAAAACTGGAACCGACAAGGCAAGGAGGAGACGACGAACACAAAAAAACCCTACTTTACAGGTGCCAATGAATCAGGTGGTGAAGAAGAGGAATGGTTTCAAGCCTTTATCTCGCCAAATGAATCATTCCAACTTAAAGAAGTTCTCCCTGTTGACATTACATAGAGGGTGAATTCCCTAGAGATCCTTGGTAACTACCTACCAATAGGCGAGCAGCCAGAATCTTTAATAATTTTAAGTTTAAAGCATCAGTCTCTGAGAAATTCCAAAATCAATAACCTTTAAATTTGCATTAGAATCTGCGGATTCCAAAAGAAGGTTTTCTGGCTTTAAATCTCTATGGACAATTCCATTGCTATGGCAATAGTTTATAGCTGACATCATATCCACGAAGTACTTGGCAGCTATTTTTTCATTAAATCCTTGTGTTTCTATGATCTTGTCAAATAGCTCACCTCCAGACAAAAACTCAGAAATGATAAAATAGCTTTTGGCAGACTCAATGACTTCATATATTTTCATGATATTTGGATGATCCTAACTAGTATTTACGAGTTCTCTAAGAATTTCGACCTCTTCAAGCATTTTTTCGTTGGATTCTCGGTCCATCCTGTCCTTTGGCAGCTCTTTCATTGCCCTCTGGAGCCCTGATCGTCTATCTTTTACAGTATATACGGTCCCAAAGCCTCCAGAGCCGATTTCTTTTATAATTTGGTAGAATTGTTTGACGTCGCCTTGCTTAGTCTGAATGAAATTTCCTTTTCTAATGCCTTTTGATGCCTGGGCATTGCCAAAATTGCCAAATTTGTTTGAGGCTTGCTTAGAGCTCGAGCTTCCTTTGCTAGAAGATGTAGGCAGCTCAGGGTCTTGCTTTTTAATAGGAGCTTTTTCGACCTTAGACTGACAGCAACCCATTTATTTCTTTAAATCCGTTTTTATTGGTTCGCTTATTTTATGTTTTAAATTAGCCTGATAAATAATATTAAGATTTATTTAGCAAATAAAAAATTGTCGTATTTAATAATTTTCATGGATTAAGTGTGATTAAATTTTCTGTTATATTAATTTTTTTCACAAAATTATTGTTTTAGAAGCTTGCTTAAAGCTTGATTTTGAGACCCAGTCTTTAAGCTAAATATATTTTACAAAGTGATTTTAGTTTTTTTCGGAAAAGTGGTTTGATACTTCATTTTTGTAGGTACTGGAGTCGGTATTGGCTGAAAATATGAATGATCAGCTTGGACTCTCTGTTTTATATGAGTTTTTGATGGGTTTCCACTTCTTATAGTTTGGTTTCCACTTGAGTAGTCTCTCATCTCATAAATTGTACTTAAATTATGAGATTTTTCTATAATATTTTGGCTTAAGTCAAGATTTTTTATCATATATTGTTGGTTTTTCATATAGCTAATATCTGTGGAATGCTTTAATTGCTTTATAAGCGGGATTTTTATATCGCTACTTTTCTTTTTTAACCCATAAAATGACGAGTTGTGAGCTGATTCTTCATCTCTTTTTAGCTTCAAATTTGGTAAAAAATTAGGTGGAGGGCCGATATGCAACTCTTCTCTTAAATCTGGGGTTTTGGTTTGGGGAATTAGATCTTCTGGGTTAAAGCGAATTGTTCCGATGCTTTTTTGGCCAATTCTATGAGGTGTTATGTCTCTACTTGTGTATTTTGAAGTTAAGCTTGGCTCCGGGCTGCTTGGATCATTAGATATAGACCTTCTATAACTCGATTTTCCTTCAAATGTAGAATTTCCTGAAATTCCAAATAATTCTTGCTCCAGATCTTGTTTAAATTTTTTATCAAAATATTCATGATTTAATAAAATATCACAGGTTGCTCGTTTTTCTGGGTCAAGCTCAAAACAAAGCTTCATAAATGATAATGTAGCTCCAGCAAAGCAGTCATTTTTTTGTTCTAAGGGTAATCTTATTTTAACTGATGGGAACTATAGCCTATATATCTAAGTACCTCTTCTCCATAATACATTGGGTTACGCTTAAAGGCATTTATCTGCTTTTCCGTCAGGTCTTCCCCAAAAAGCTTCATTATAAGTGACAATGTATCAATATCTGAATCTCCAGGAAACAATGGCAGACCTGTCAAAAGTTCAGCTAAAATACAGCCCATAGCCCATATATCGACAGGCTTCCCATATTCAGTATCCCCAACCAGAAGTTCAGGTGCCCTATATCATCTTGTAGACACATAGTCAGTATATTGGCCATTTAAAGAGTTCAAGCCTCTTGCAAAGCCAAAGTCGCATATCTTTAGAACCCCATTATTCGAAATTAGCAAATTTTCAGGCTTTATGTCTCTGTGGACTATCTAAGTTATTCTTACGTTGTTATCGTGACAGAACTTTATCGCTCGAAGCAGCTGGTACATAATCTTTTTTGTTTGAAATGGGGAAATCCCTTGTGGGGAATTTTCCAAGTCATTTAAAACTGTTCTTTCTACGTATTCGAAAACTAGGTAGATTTTTTTATTTTTCCGGAAAACTTCAAACAGATTGACTATATTGTCATACTTAAGGAGTTTTAACATATTAATTTCACGCATCGCTGTTTTTCTGACACTTTCGTTATCTTCTGTTTCCTTGAATTTTTTTATTGCGAAAACTGCGTTCAGGTCTTTATGCTTTGCCTTATAAACTGTCCCATAGGTACTGAATTTTAATTACCCCTCCCCTATGACCTCGAGTAATTGATACTTCTCCATTTTTAAATTAAGCGATATAGGTTAAAAGAAATAAATTTAGGAAGGAAGAGGAGCTTGATAATTGATAATTTCGCTGGTTTATGCCTGATTTTAATTTAAATTAAATTGCAAAAAAAATGGAAATTCTGATGATGCTCATCGGAAAAGTTTAAAGTTTGCTAATTAATCGTGTTAAGTAGCATATCCAAAATATTGTTTCAAAGAGTGTATAGACAAATCTTTAAATTTAGAAATTAAAAAAAACTACTGAAAAAGCTGATTTTTAGCACTTGCGAATAATTGCAAATTTTCATTTTGACAAAAATTATGGAAGCTTTCAAAATTAAATTATATTTGTCAAATATGTATATGCATTTTGATCGATTAGCAACCATATTTAATAATGAGAATTTCTTGAGAATTCTGAAAATATAGCTCTGATAACTCTAATAGATTCATTTCAAAATCTGATCAAGGCTAAATAATTAGAATTGATCAAATTTTATAAATCTATTCTCTACAGACAAATAATTTCAATTTAAAGCTGAAAATGGGCTCATTTTTTAATTTTCTTATATCAATGCACAATTGTTATAAGCTTTATACTCCATTTTTTGTAACCAAACAGACTTCTAGAACCATCTAAGAACATATGAAATACAGCTAAGTTAATTGCCAAAATCTATCTATAAACTACATGACTTATTTAAACAAAAAATGATTATTTCTTTCAACATTGAGAACAATTAATTTTTGATGGATTCATATAATTATTAATTAGCGACACAATGGTAAAACACCATACAAACCCGAATACAACTAGAAGGCCTGTCAGGACTCTCAAGAAAAAAGTGCCTAAAATTCCTGAAAAGGCATCAAAAAAGGAAATTCTGGTCGTTGGGGACAATAATTCTGATCCAAAATACAAGCTGTTCGAGGCAGCTACGATAGGAATTGCGAGCGATATAGAAAAAGGAAACATTTTCCTTGACCAACTAGAGCAGCTTTCATGGACCTACCCTGTTCTGAAAAGGACACCCTGTCCATTTCAAACTTGCCCCAAGTGCTCACAGCTATATGAGGCAAAAGATAAGCTCCCTATATGCCTCCCATGCGGCCATACTTTTTGTAATAATTGTTTGAAAAACTGTTTAATTACTCCAGGACGAGGGCTGTGCCCGTTCGATAACAAAGAATTTTTTTCGTTGATCGATTTTTTACCAGTTAATTTTGCCCTAATCATGGACATTGATGAAGCTCCACAGCGCTGCTCAAAGCACAGACTGATATTAATTGGTTACTGTCGTGATTGCAGTAAGTTAATATGCGGCCGCTGCATGTTTGAGCACACAAAACATGACTGTTTTGATGTAGACTCTGACGAAGCCATCAAAAGAGCTGACTACAATTATACATTAATTGCCACTTTAGAAGCAAATTTGATAAAGCAAAAAAATATTTGGGCAGAGGAATTTGAAATGATGAAAAAATACTTGGGCCTGATCGAGCAATACATAAAAAAATATGACGATGAAAAAATACTCAAAGATAGGCTAGCGATGGATATCGGCATAAATGATGATAGAATCATAACACTCGTAGTCGAACTGAAGCACTATTTAAACGGAGAGTTGAGAACACTCATGAATAAAATAGCGGAATGTTTAGCAAAGCATGTGAGGATCTTATCAGATCTTAAGGAAAACTTTAAACAGATGACACTTTTGGATAGGCTTTGCTTGTGCTTAGAGCATAACTTTGATCTAAACGCAGAGCCAAGCTCGATAAGCGCAGTTGAAAAACTTTACAATGCACTTGAACCTGTTGCGGAAAGAGCATAAGTGTTCTAAATGGCAAAGTAATTAAATTATTTGAATATATTTAATATATATAAATTAGCAAATTTAGAAGAAAGAATTTTTTATTTTTAATTATTAAAAAAATCGAAAAATTAATATTTTATTACAGTTAATGATATTTTTTGCTTAAAATCAGATAGACTATCATTATTTTTAGCTGAATTTTATATCTAAATCGCAGATTACTTTATTTCGGCAAGAAAAGAATGGAAAAATTGCAAAGAAATCGATGGCTTATCCTTTAAACTGGTATTTACTAATTTTTGCAAAGCCTACAAAATTATCAAAATCTTCATTCCAGTTTAGGGAAAGTAAAAAATTATTTAAGATTTTTTATAGCATTTTGGATGGTGCTTATCCACAATAAACAAGAGGCTTCGTCCTGAGCACTAAAAAGTAATCTTCTCTCTGCAGTAAATCATTCAATTTCTCTTGTGCTCCAAGATATTCTTTCATAGCCTTGGCCCTTCTTAGAGTTTCCTTTCTTTTCTTGTTTTTCTGGGGATTCACTTCTAACAGGCCTTTTCATAAGTTTTCCATTTTCTACACTTTGTTTTAAGTCGTTAACGCTTGCTTTTAGCATCAAAACTTGACTGATTGGACTTTCATCTGCATGCCTCGATAATTCTGTCATTTGGTCTTCTTCATTCAAAAAGATCTCGAATTGGTATCTTAATTCGAGAAAATAAAACAATAAGGTTATTAGAGCAGCCAATCAATTTATCCATATAAAGCATTATTTCCTATTTTTTATTATTGCTTTTATTGAAAAAACTATACAAGTTATTGGATTTATTAAATTTTTGCTGCTTTTCCGGAACTTTGAATTTCGCTCTTTTTACATTTTTTATCTCAGAAAGCGGAACTAGGCATAAAGGCTTGTCAAACCAGCATTGGGCTGAGTATTGGTTTTTGAAGTACATAAACTCAAAATTTGTCACTTGACATCATCGAGCTACAAATTGGCGAGAAATTCCTGGGCGATACCTCATCAACTCTCCTTCTAATAAAAAATCATCTGAGCTTCATAACGTTACAAAGGAAGCAGGGAATTTTGATATAGATTTTATAGCTTGCTCATAAGGAATTTGTTCAGAAATATCATAAGAAACTTGTTCAGATAATTGATAAGGCGTTTTTTTAGAAGCTTGATATGAGTTTTCTTGAGAAATATCTGAAATAGTTTGCGCAGAAATCTGATTATATGGATTGTTTTCAGAAAATTGATAGTTAATTTGTTCAGAAAGATCGTTGGAAGCTTGGTGAAAAGTCATAGCGTCAAATTGATTGCGATTTTCAGAGAGATCAGGAGAGGAAAAAAACTTTGAGTCGGATTGCATTGTGGAGTCAATTTTTTGAGATCGCGCATAATTTGTGGGTTTTTTAGAAATTAGAGAGTATTGATCATCTTCGAGAACCTATGTGAGGGTTACTTTAATAGTTATTTGTGAAATTTCTAGTGCAGGGTCGTCTGATTTACTTCCACATTGGCATTTGCAGCTGCATCCCATTTATTTGCCAATAGTGAACTAATAAATTAGTAGTGCATAATTTTTGTATAATTAATTCAAAATTCGATAATTTTATAATCTTTATGGAATTAAGCTAATCTTTATTCAGAGTAGAACAAAATTATCAGGTAAATACAATTTATGCCTTAATTTTATAATATAAAGATTTACAATATAAAGTAAGCTATTTCTATATTAAAGATCTACTTACTTTTCAAATTATCTAATCTGCATATCATCTTAGCTCGATTTATCTTGCACTATTAAATATGGTTAAGGAAACTAAAGAATTAGAGCCAGTGACTAGAGATTACACCATTCATCTCCACAAGCGTCTCCACCACACCAATCTCAAAAAGCGTGCTCCTAAGTCAATAAGAATCATCAAAGACTTCGCTCAAAGAGTAATGAAGACTAAAGATGTCAGAATTGACTACCACCTTAACAACTTTTTATGGTCAAGAGGTATCAAACATGTACCTTTCAGAGTCAGAGTCAGAATGGAAAGAAAAAGAACTGAAGAAGAAACCGCTGGAGAAGAACTTTACACCTTGGTTAGATACTTACCTGTAGACTCCTTCGAAGGGCTTAGACCAGAGAAAGTAGAAAGCGAGTAACACATAAATAATTTACTCAAAAAAAGTTAGATTTTTTATGAAATGATGGGAAATTGGATAATTATTTGTCATTCTTATCAAATATTTTCTGTTTTAAGAAAATTAATTTTGCGTATTGCTTTAAAATTGGGGATTTCAATAGCATAAATTGGATTTGTAAATGAGAACATTAATATAAAAATTTTATCAATTTTCTAAATTATCTACTTTAAATTTAATCTTTTTCTGCTTCTCCAGAAGTCCATAGTGTATGATTGTCTCTCAGTAACTGCATTATCAAAGTTGCGTCCTTATAGTTTTCTTCTGAAATGTTATCTAGCTCAGGAATTGCTTCGTCAAACGCAGTTTTAGCCATATCACAAGCTTTTCCTTGCTCCTGCTTAATTTCATAATAAAACACTGAGAAATTCAATGCCAATCCTAATCTAGTTGGGTGAGTTGGCTGCAGCTCATTTTTCGCTAACTCAAATGCTTCCAAATAAGCCTCCTCAGCTTTAGATGCAGGGCCACTTTTGGCAGCTCCTTGAGAAAATTCGCACATATAGCGGTAATAGTCGCCTTTCATTTTGTAATAGAACACTCGAGCCTCCGAATTTGCAGCCTTAGGAATAAGGTCAGTATCAATCAGATTGAGAATATCATCACAATTGCGTCTGAGCTCAGCTTCAACTTCATTACGATATGACTCTGCTGAAGCTTTGTGCGCAGCATTCCCTCGTCTCTCTTCTTTGTGCTCAATTGAATTCAAGACTCTATAAGAAGTCCTGCGGGCTCCTACCACATTTTTATAAGCTACTGAAAGGATGTTTCTTTCGTCAACTGTTAAGTCTTGGGTGGACTTTTTGACAAAAGCTTTAACGTAGCCAATCATTTCTTCGTAACGTTCTGATTGCTCGGCGAGGCGGGAGAGATAAATTAGCTCGTCACGTTCCAATGTTTCCGGCCTCTCGATATTCATTTTTATTAATTATATTAACTCATATTTTTAATTGAAATATAGTCAACTAAGTTGGATTTTCTAGAAAATTTATTTAGAAATTTGCTATAGAAAATTTGATAAAATTGTACGAAAAATATCAATTTTATTCACAGTTTCATTATTTTAAAAGCTTATTTTTATTTATTTTCTATTATTTATTAGGCTAGCAAAAATTATTTATGCTTCTACCATATCTTTAATAATCTGCGAATCATATTTAATAAACTAGAAACTATTATAGTAATTAATATAAAGCTTGCAGATGCATTTTATGTAATTAATTTAATTTTTTTCAATATAAAAATAATTTACATTAGAAAGATTCCTGTATATCTTGAAAAGTTGTAAATTTTATTATTATAATTTAAATCGTTAAATGGAATATGATAAGTCAAGGTAGCTTCTAAACAGATACGAATCTCATGAACCCAAAGTCACTTCATCACCACTAATAAGAAATAACCCCAGAATATCTATTTGCAAAATCGTAAAAATTATTCAGGATCTAAAAAAACAAGAAAATCACTCCAAAGTTATATCTGAAGAATATTTGCGAGCCTTAAAATCTCATCAAGACCCAAGATCTAGCAATGAAATGAACTTCGAATTCAACTATAAAATTGATAAAATAATCAGAAAAGAGCAGCGATCCAAATCAATCGATCGAGAAAATAAAGAAAAATTGTTTAAAAACTACGATGACTGAAAGCAGCAAAAAGAAGAAGAATTTTCCTTAAAAAAGCAGCTGCAAGATGCTTTTAGCCAAAAAATCGAAGAAGAGAAATTAAAACAAAACCAAGAAAAAGAAGAAAATAAAATAATTTCTCAATCTTCTTATAATAATTGAAAAAGAAAAAAAAGAAGAGAAGAAATAGAAAAGAAACGACAACAAGAATTAGAAAAACTAAATAAAGAGCAAGAAGAAAAAGAAAAAAAAGAGTTAGTTGAAAAAGAATATTTAGAGTGGTTTAAAGAAAATCTTAGGAAGGAGCAAGAAAAACAAAAAGAAAAAGTCAAAAAAAGGATTGAGGAAGCAAAGAAAAAGCAAGAAGAAGAAAGGAAAAAGAAAGAAAAACAAGAAGATTTTCAAAAAGAATTTCAAAAGTTTTTGCAGAGATCAGCCAAAAAGGTAAAAGTTAACACTAATCAGTCTCAAGAGGTAAAAAAATCGGCAACTCCACTATTGCTGGCATATTCACCCAATAAGAAAAATAATTTGTCCACAAATAAATCAGGGATAAGTAGGGATAGTGAATATTCAAGTCATTATGATGGCTCTATAAAGGATTATCAAGCAAATGAGAAGCCTGGAGATCTAAACTATAATGAATATTCAGCTGAATTTGAGTCAGAAAATTATTCAGATGATTTGGAGTCAGATGAAGGGGATTATTAAAGGAAATAAAATAATATAGTCTATCAGCTTTTTTTCTAGAGAATCTCCTCAATTTTTAATGAACCTTGATAAAAATTCTTATTTATAGAAAAAAAATTATTCTGCTCTATTATCTGGGCATTAATTAAAAATTTTCCCTCTGCTTTTGTCACTACCTATCAATTACATTTTGTTTTTCTTGGAGCTTTCTTTTGCTTCTCCAAGCAAATCTTCAATTAATTTCTGTTTCATGTGCTCATCTTTTGCTTCATCATTTTGTTGAGGCTGAACAATTAAACTTGGAGAAGAATCAGCTGGCTTCTCATTTTGAACTTGCTGGTTTATATAAGGATCATAAAGGCTTGGATAATCACTATAAGCTTGATTATAAAACTGTTGCTGAGGAGGATACATCATATATGGCATTGCGCCTGGATACGGCATGAATTGCATTTTATATCTTTCATCTGGCTGATTGTATCTTGGCGTAGCTTTTTTGCATTCAATTCATTTCCCATTAATATAATTATGTTCATAATTTTCTAGGACTCTCTCAACACTATCTTCACTTATAAAAGTGATGAAGCCAAAACCTCTTGGACTTCCAGTTTCCCTATCAAACATAACAACACTGTCTTCAATTGGTCCAAATTGTTGGAAAAAAGCTCTGAAAATGTCTTCTGTCACGTCTGGTGGAAGACCTCCAACAAACATTTTTTTGGTTCTTTGAGATGATAAATTGTCTGGGACTGGAGGCGGCGCATTTTGTTCTCTCGGGACTGCTAACTTGCAGTCAACTTTTTTTCCATCAATAATTTGGTCCTCAACTAGGATCATATCAGCTGATTGACTGCTATGCATTGTTATGAATCCAAAGCATCGTGATCTTCCAGTAGCTCGGTCAATCATTAAGATGCAGTCTTGAACTGGGCCATATCTTTGAAAATGCTCGATCATTTTTTCTCGAGTTGTTTGTGGAGCAAGTCCTCCTACGAAGAGTTTTCGACTGAATATTATTTACTTTCCCAAATCATGCATCATTTTAATTATATTAGATTTTAAGTTATATCATTAAATGAAAATTATTTTGTTTGCTATAATATTAGACATGAAGGCTAGATTTAAAGGTAGCATTTTCGCTTTTTTCTCTAACCAAACAAAAAATCTTTTCGCTCATGGAGGGGGGTTAATTTTTTTTTTTCAAAATAATTTATATATGAATTTTATTGAAATTTTTTTTCGAAATTTAAAAAAATCCTAATTCGCAAAAATGGAAAGCAAATATTAATTTAATTTGTAAAATTATGCTTTAAACGCAGTTTGTTTAAAATTAAACAGAATTAGCTAGAGATTTGATTATATAATTATCACTTATATATCAATATTTTTTCCATAAAAAATTTTTCTATTAAAAATGTTATGCTCACTCACGGAGGGTGTTTTTTGGGCAAAAAACAGTAATTTCTCTAATGATTTTGTTTGTTCACGGAGGGAGAGTAAGTATGTCAAAATCTTAAAAATATCTCTGTTTCTATACAAGATATGTGTAACATTAAAAAGTTTAGGGAAATTAAAGCTGCTGAAATTTTAATTTTAGTTTATGAATAATCAGACTTTGAAATCTCAGAAATATTGGATTCAGCTTCTTTTTGGATATGCTCAGGCTATTATTATAATAAATTTACTATGAAAATACACTAGATATGTCAAAAAAGGAATATCAATGAAATTACACCTGATTTTATTCCCAAAGAAATGAAAATATATTAATTATTCTTATTATGTGAAATAATTTTATATTATACTAAGCCGAGTTAAATATAGCTTATCACTTATAATTTTAGGGGTTCTCTGATAGATTTTTTATATTTTTTATCACTGCCAGTTTTGCGGAATATTTATTTTTATTCGCAAATAAATTGTATTAAATTCGATCACATTTAGCTCATAAAAATAAATCAATATCTTTACTTATAATTTTATTTTTGATTTGCCCTGCCTAAAAAAATTTACAAAAATATTTATAAAATAGCCTTATCAGTATTTCTAATTTTTCCTTTCTACAAGCTTCTTCAAGCTGTCATCCCATTGAGTGTCTTTTACTATATCACTAATTATTTCATCGCAATCTCCATCAAAGAAAATATCTCTTTTCATTTCAGAATCGAATTTGAACCCATTCTGTGCAAAAGCATTATAGCCTCCTTTATTAATAACTATTCGAGGAGTATTAGGGCTAACCATCTGAGCTAATGATGCAAATGGATAAGCCGTTAAACTTGTCCCTATAATTAATAGCAAATCTGCATATAAAATTAATTCTGATTTAGAGTGAAATTCTTGAGGCAATTTTTCTCCAAAAAATACAATGTCAGGCTTAATAGTTCCACCACATTCACAAAATGCAGGCTGTTTAGAAAGCATATGCTGCCTTAATTCAGAAATTGGATAATCTTTTTGCATGAAGTACTTACTTACTTAGTTACATAGTCTTTAAGGTGTCTAGTGCCCACACCCCTTAATAAAAAAGGGTCAAAGCGACAACTAGTGACGTCACCAAGCCATCTTGGAATATGTGGTCAGCCCACACCCAAGCCTTCTATAAGGCTAGTCGCTAGATAAATCGCCGCACATCTCACCCGGCGCGTTGCCGTCGCTCGCTCCGACTCAGCTCCTGCGCGTGTTCCGCCTAAGGGTCATCCTCCCGTGGGGATGTGCTGAGAGGTAAAACTCCGAGTGTCTTGAATGCACTGAGGAGCCGTGCCTTTGGTTATCCCCAAAGTTAAACGGCTGTTGCTGTGCAGAAGTTCTCAAGAGAAAACCCAACCCCATAAATAAAATTCCATGAGGGAGAGAGAAAATGGCAGAGCCAATTTCTCTCGAACCGAATGCCATTTTATTTATTTTTGCATGAAGTACAATGGGAGTGATCAACGTTTCCATGAGCTTGAACTAGCTTTTTAGAGGAAAGACCAGCTTTTTTTTCTAAACTATCAATATTTTGAGTATAACACATAAGTAAAATTCCTTGATCTTCTAATAATTTCAAAAAATAATGAGTAAGGGTAGGAATTTTGTTTGTTGTGATCAAATTAGGGCTTATCCTGTAAAAGGGCTCGGGGTCAAGCTTGAAATAGTTTAGATCAAATATAGCTTCTGGGAAAGGTAAATCAGGATCTTCGATTTGAGCATAAAGTCCTGTTGTAGGAGTTCGAAAATCATGAATTCCTGCCTTAACAGAAATTCCTGAGCCTGTCATAACAGCAATTTTCTTATATATTTTTGCGGATAATTTTTTTCCTATTTCTCTGGTGTCACCTTTTTCGAAGTAAATAGGATCATTTGGCTGATCTTCAGGAATAGAAGGGGCAATGGCTTCAGGGTCAAACGGATTTCTTTGAGAGAATGGCCTAGCTGTCAGTAATAGATTAGGCATAAAAAATGGTCTGATTCGAAAAAACATTTTATAAAAATTAAACAAAATATGGCTAAAATGATTAAAAAATAGGAGTCATAATAATATAAAGAGATAAATATTAGTTATTAAATTAGAAAAAAAAATTAGACTTATTATAATTATAATCTGCTGATAAACACATTTAAATGATATTTGGAAGACATTAAACCTTAAATCTAAAAATAATTAGACTATTCTCTTTTTATTTAATTCTTCAACAATTTTTATACAAACTGATTTTGGAATTATTAAATTTAAAATATTGAAATAATAAAATCAGAAACTCAAAAATTCTAAATAAATTTTAGTTTTACGATATAAATAGCAATCGCTCTATCCAAAATAAAATTTAATTTAATAAAAAATAGATATATAGAATTCACGATTTTAAGGTTACTAAAAATAAAATAAATTTGTTGAGTGATATGTTTAATCAATCTTCTAACTTATATATTAAATAATATTAAAATGCAGCATATACTTATAAAGTAAGATCACTCCAAATATATTAATCTTAAAATTCTGATCATAAAAAATGTTTTATAAAGAATATTTTGGCTCATAAATTTCCTCATCAGAAGATGATTCAGCTGTGTTTTCAATTTTTGGCGACTGAATAACTATTTTAAGCATCTCTAATTTTGCTTCTTCAGCTTCAAAATTTTGAAACTCATTGAATTGACTGCCATAATTAAATTTCAAAGAATTCCTATAAGTTGGAATTTTATTGCTTTTTCTATCAGTCAATTGCCTGGAATTAATTAAAGGAATTTTCTTAATCAATAATTGCGGCTTATATGTTTGAGTAAAATTATTGCTTAGACAATCAGAGCTAATCAGTTTTCGACAACTCATAGCATTTGTTAAAGTCTGCTTGCCTTTTAATTTTATAGAAGATTGCTGCTTCTTTACAACTGAATTTGTTGGCTTTTGTTGTTTTATGCTTATTCTGATATAAGAATTTTTTCGCCTATGCTCAATCCTGTGTTGAGTTTGCATGAGATCAATAGGCTCAAAGGTAAATAAATTTGAAGAAGACCTGCAGCTTTGTGAGAGAGGAGCTTCCATGGAGAGTTTACTGTAAACTATTTTATAGTCAGCGACACTGACTGGCACGGGGTGCTTTTGGCTCGAAACTGAGCCATAAGCACCCCGTGCCAGTCAGTGTCACTAACTATATTTATGTATAATTAATGTTTTATCAGTTTTTTTCTCAACTGCTTATTTACTGCTCATTTTATTAACAAAGAAATCCTAAGTACCAAATAGTCATTTCGAAGGTTTTTATTAATTATTCTCTCAATGTTTTATGATTATTATCCTATTATTTAATTCGCAATTTTATCCACATTAAAATTAGTCAATAGTTTATAAATGAGCTGCTATCGTTTAGCCCGGTTTTTCTCCAAGCTAAAATCTCACCATGAGCCTTTGGAGCACCTCAAATCAATGATTTTAACTGTTAAAAACGACGGACCAGGCAGACTTCAAGATGCTCTTGAAGCTTTTTCGGCTTACAACATCAATATTACCCACATTCAATCTCGCCCGGCAGAAATTATTGACTTCCGAAAAGGCTATGACTTTAAGCTTGATTTCGAATTAAGTGATGACCCTAAGATGAAAAGGATACTAAAGCACCTAGACAAACTTGGTTTTAAAACACAAATTGTTAAAAGCAAAGAAGTTCCATGGTTCCCAAGATCATTCGAAGACCTTGACCATTTGGACCAGTCTTGCCTAGCTGCTGGTGCCGATTTAGATAGTGATCATCCAGGATTTAATGATGAAATTTATAGACAAAGAAGAACAGAAATAGCGAAAATCGCCATGGGCTATAAACTTAGTGATGCAAAAGTACCTGTTGTCCATTATACTGACCAAGAAATAGAGACCTGGCAAACTGCTTATAGAGCTTTAGACCCTCTGCATAAACAGTATGCATGTGATGAATATAATCAAGCTGTTGAAGAGTTTAAAAAACATTGCAGTTTTAGGGAGGACAATATCCCACAGCTACAAGATATTAATGAATATTTAATACAAAAAACTGGATTTAGGCTGAAGCCCATCACTGGGTTGCTATCTCAAAGAGATTTTTTGAATTTTTTGGCATTTAGAGTTTTTGCGTCAACACAATATATAAGGCATCATTCGGTGCCATTTTATACACCAGAACCAGACATAATTCATGAATTAATTGGGCATGCTCCTCTATTTGCAGATCCTGATTTTGCTGACTTTTCACAAGAAATTGGACTAGCTTCACTAGGAGTTAGTGATGAAGAAATAAAAAAATTAGGCACTTGCTATTGGTATTCTATTGAATTTGGGATGGCTTTGGTAAATTTTGCAAATTGCTTTATTTTATATATCTAATTATATGAAATAAAGCATATTTACTGGTAACCGCTATCCCATTTTTTATGCAAAATAGGATAAAGGCTAAGCCATATGAATGCTTTAATTAAATTGTAATTAGGTATATTTTATAAAATAAAAAATAAAAATATTTGGGATTATTAAGAAGGCAAATGGAGAAAAAAAAGTATATGGAGCTGGATGTTTAAGCTCAGTTGATGAGATTAAAAATGCAGTTTCAGACAAACCTGAAATCAGGTTTTTTGACCCTCTAAAGGCGGCCCATGTCCCATTTCCTATCACATCATTGCAGCCAATTTATTTCTGGTCAAATAGTTTTGAAGAAGCTAAGCATGCAATGGAAAATTATGTATGGACAGTTCCAAGAGACGTTTCAGTGTCTTATGATAAATTTGATCACACAATAAAAGTTCATCAAGATATCACAATGAAGAAGTAATTAATTATATCTCATAAAGTTAAGCAGCACCTTGATATCAAGCCAAGCCAATTTAATTTTTATTTAAATTATATTTCAAAGACACAATTTAACACCCTAACACCCTATACATTATTTCTTTCTTTCAGCTTCTTTTTCAAGTTCGCCCATATTTTCACTAATTAGCTTGTCTTCCAGCATATCTCTAAACAGCGGATCTTTCATTCTCTCATTAAATTTATGCTCATCCCTCATATAAGCTCTCACAAGTGTCGCTGGGGCTATTAAATCATTATATTTTTCCAATGCAAGTTTCCTCAGGCTGTGAGACTGAAGTAAGCTTTTGACTTCTTCATCTTTAAAAGATACCAAAAACAAAGGTTTCGATAGCTCCTCATCATCAATTTCATTAACACGCTGAGAAAGATAAACGACGAGCGTATCTTTAATATTCGCTAATTTTTCTATATATTGCTGAAGCTTCATTTTCTCATCCCCTTGGCATAATTCCATCGCATATTTAGGAAGCCAAACTAAGCTTATATTGACGAGATCTTTAAGAAGGCATAAAAACTCTTGTTGGCTGATACTTTTAGAAGTGTCCATATCATAGTTTTCAAACAGCACAAGTGCTTTATCAGCAACAGCTCCATTTCCTAGCAAAATGCCGAGACATGTAAGCCTTTGTGCATGAAAAAAATTTTCTTCATCTTTAAATTCATCATAGAATTTGCAGATTGGTGAGGCTGCATCATAGGTTCTAATTGGCTTAGTATCGACGTTTATGTCTTCTAAGCTTGTGAAAAATTGGTTGTCAGTCATCTTAAAATCTGTTGAAAATCGATGGAAAGTTCGATCTAGCTCTTTTGATTCTAAATTTGTAAATCCTAAAGTGTCTTCAGCTCTTTTTATAATTTCTTCTTCTTCTTTACCAGCATAATCGCCATCTCTTCCTAAATGACAGCCCATTATTCAAAATACCTATATAATAGTAAAATCAGGATTTTCTTTAATGAAAAGGCTATACAAGAATTAGGGAAATTATCTGAAATCTTTTGGAGTATTGAAATACGCTTACATAAAAAATGCTTTATTAATAAAAATAAATGCCAAGGCTTCCATTTCCTCCTAGCAAACTTTTATCAAACAATAATACCAGATTTCTTGCAGTTGGCTTTATGTTTCTTACGTGCATAGGCTTTGGATATGCGACTTTTAAAAATGCTGACCGATATTCAAGGAGTATTCATGATCAAAAAATGATTGAAATTGAAAAAGAACTGAATCAGATTAGCGCAGATCCAGCTGTAAGAGAGCAGATGAAGAAAATATACGGGATAAGAAAGGAAATGGCAAAGGAACAGACTAATCAATAAAACTTTAAGATTAAAAATATTTTCAATCAAAATAAGAAAAACCATAAAGAATTTTCAATAAAATTATTAATAATATCTCTATTTGAAAAAGAAACTAAATAATCATAAAATTGTTGTCAGCTTAGTTTCCTACATCGCTTATCTTAATAAAAAATCTTATAAAATGGGTAATTTCTGTGCAAGGAGCGAACCTGACGATTCCGTAACTCGTCCGAAATTCAGTATAGGCAAAGACTATCAAGAAATTCCAGACCAAACTTCTGGTGAAGGAATTAAAAAAACCATAGCTTGAAAAGCCTCAATAACCCGTCCACAGCTTGAAGCAAAGCGAGAAGAATTCTGAAGGACTCGAACCACCGGAAGACGACACATTTGGCTAGCTATCAAAAGTGCTGTTGAGGCTGACCACGCTACCGCTGCTGTTTTACTACAAATGGCTAATATTACTCTTAGAGAGGGCTCCATTACTGTATGTGAAGACACCAATGGGAATATTTATGAAATTCCTCCATTTATTGTTAACGACCCTACGGCATTTGTGAATGAAAAAAAGCACAAAGTAAGCAGGCCAAAAGTAGCGGAAAATGAGCTTTTAAAGCTAAAACTTACTCCCCTCCGTCAGAGAACAAAACCATTGAAAAAATCACTGTTTTTTGCCCAAAAATCCTACACTCCGCGAGCGAACAAAATTTTTTATGAAAAAATAAATTGATACTTAATTTTAAACAGCTTGCATTTTAAAACATAAATTTTACAAATTAAATAAATATTTGCTTTGCAATTTTGCGAATTATAAATAAAATGGCATTCGGTTCGAGAGAAATTGGCTCTGCCAATTTTCTCTCCTCATGGAATTTTATTTATGGGGTTGGGTTTTCTCTTGAGAACTTCTGCACAGCAACAGCCGTTTAACTTTGGGGATAACCAAAGGCACGGCTCCTCAGTGCATTCAAGACACTCGGAGTTTTATCTCTCAGCACGTCCCCACGGGAGGATGACCCTTAGGCGGAACACGCGCAGGAGCTGAGTCGGAGCGAGCGACGGCAACGCACCGGGTGAGATGTGCGGCGATTTATCTAGCGACTAGCCTTATAGAAGGCTTGGGTGTGGGCTGACCAAAAAATTCCAAGATGGCTTGGTGACGTCACTAGTTGTCGCTTTGACCCTTTTTTATTAAGGGGTGTGGGCACTAGACAAACTTAAAGACTATGTAACTAAGTAAGTAAGTAAGTAAGTAAGTAAGCAATTTTGCGAATTGGGATTTTTTTAATTTCGAAAAAAAAAAATTTAAAACAAAAAAACCCTCTCAGTGAGCGAGCAAAATATTTGTGTTCGCTCACAGAGGGGGAGTTAGGAGACCTGGGAAAGCTCAGGATGTGGAAATTGAAATTGAAAGCAAAAATAAAGTGAGCATGGTAAAAGAAGAGTATGCAAAGAAAGAAGGAATTTCGGCTTCAGATGTGAGGCTGTTTTTTGCAGGAAAAGAATTGCAAGATGAGAGTACTTTGTTGAGCTATTATGTTAGCAATGAAATGGTTTTGATGGTTTTTATAAAACAAACTTAAAATATATTTATGATTTAATAGAAATGGCTTAAAATGCATTGCTTAAAGAGATGATATAATAATGTTCTGATCTTAACAGAAAGTTAATAAGATCTCAGAGTTTATGCACTCTCCCATAATGATTCAAATAGGGAGTGTTCATATAAAAAAGACAGATTTATAGATAAGAGTTGGTAGAATGTGGTAATAATGATGGTGAGAAGAAACCAAATGACTTAGATGCCTTGGCACCTTATAAGTCTGAAAAAACTCAGAAAGGATTGCGAGCTTTGTAATCTAATATTCAAGCTTGCATAATCCTTTCACATATTTAATATTAATATGGTGGTGACGACAAAATATGTCCTTGACGACGACGCACCACTTTGGGCGTCAAAATGACTTTATAGGTCCAGACCCTTTAATCCTAACCCTTAGCTTAACCATAGAGGTCTTATGGGGTGGGCAGCCTTAAGAGTCAGCTAGTGGCCATTCCAGTCCAAGTATCAGCTATTCGGATGTTTTTTTAGTCACAGTTTTTTCCCAATCGGTTTCTGAGGTTCGTGATTTTTTTTTCCTTGTGTCACCCTTCCTCAAGCATCGGGCTAACTCTTCCTCCATACCACCCGTAAGAAGTGAAACAAGAGAGGTCTTTCTAACTCGCCGAGACTCAAGGGCATAGTGCAAGCCCATGCCCCGGGAGTAGATTACTCGTGATTACTCAGGCAACTGAGCTACCCATCAAGCAGGATCCGTTAGTCGAAAGCATGCAGAGACATCAAATCTGGAAAAACCTTAAACTCTTTAATCTTAATCTTTCACATATTTTTAATTTCGAATATTCGGTTTAAAATTAAAAAGGTAAAAAGCGCGTTTTTGATTTTAATTTATAAATCTCATAACTCGAATATGTTTATTAAAGTTTGCTTAAATAAAACTTATTTTTATTGCAGTTATTAATGATATACATATAAATTCTATGCAATATCATTTTATTTAAAACTCCATGCTCTTTTAGCTTCATATATCGCATAAAATTTAGCTTACCATTTTTAAATAAATAATTTTATTTTAACTTATCTTATATTATTATTGAGTAACTCCAGCCTGCCATGTCGGCTTTTTATACCAGTCAGTCTGGCATTGCATTCCAGAGACCAAGTAAAACCTCTAGGACACTCTCATCAGACACTACTCTCTCTTTCTCAAGATCCCAGACTTCCTTCTGGCTGCAGGTATAAGAGGGTAGTCTGACTCTCCACTGTAAATAATTTTATCAGTATTAAATTACTTCAATAAATACCTTAAATCCTCTCAATAATTTTTTCTATTTTCCTATCTTTATTCCAATCTATATTGTTAAAATGGATGAGTTTATCGCGGAAAATGTTCTGAAAGCAATTGACTCCATGTATGGCCAAAACCCACTTCCAAACTACAAAGAACTTGATTTATGGCTCAAATCATTTCAAAAAGCCACAGTTGCCTGGGGAATAATCGGCCAACTTTTACTTCAAGAAAATTTATCTGAGCCAGCCTATATCTTTAGCGCCCAAACGCTAAAAACAAAGCTTTCCTTTGACTTCGAAGAGCTGAAAAACACAGACCTTGCCAGCTTCAAAATTAACCTGCTCAGTCTCTGCACAAGGTTCGTGGACAATACCCGTGTGATGCGGCAGCTTGCCTTGTGTGTAGGAATTTTAGGCTTACACTTAGTAGACACATGGGGTCCTGCCATGTTCGCTGAGCTTTATGCAGCTTTTCGAGACAAGCCAGGACTGATGCTTGAAATTCTGAAGTGTATGGCTGAAGTGAGTAGTGATGAAACAATAGTAGCTGACCAAGACACGATTATTAAGTATAGAAATTTCCCATAGATGGCGCTGTTTGCCCTTGATTTGCCCATGAGGAAAATTTTTTGGTTTGACCAAACCATATGGTACTGGTCGAACCAAAAAATTTCCCCAGTGGGCAAATCAAGGGCAAACAGCGCCATCTATGGGAAATTTCTATATAAAAAATTTACTTATAAGGAACTCAAGTGACGTGCTGGTATTTTTACAGTCCATGCCGAATGAGTTTTTAGTTTCCATACTGGAAACATTTTTAGAGTGGCTACAGCTAGGTCTTGAGCCAAATGTAGTTAATGAGCTGCCAAAAAGTCAGCTTTTACCGATGTGCTTTGGAGCATTAAACTCGCCAGTACACTTTCAAACTGCAGCTGGAATTATTTGTGAACTTATCAGAGCCACTGAAGATTTTACTAAATATCAAGACACTATTACACTTATAGTGAACCAGGTACTTTTATTAACTCCCCCCCTCCGTGAGTGAACAAAATATTTTTGTTCACTCACGGAGGGGTTTAATTTTTTTTTTTAAAAAAAATTTATATATAAAAATTTATAGAAAAATTGTTTTTTTCGAAATTTAAAAAAAATCCTAATTTGCAAAAATTGGAGAGCAAATATTAATTTAATTTATAAAATTTATGTTTTAAAAAGCAATTTGTTTAAAATTAAACAGAATTAGCTCTAGATTTCATTATACTAATTATCACTTATATATCAAAATTTTTTTCCATAAAAAATTTTTTGTTCACTCACGGAGGGTGGGTTTTTGGGCAAAAAATAGCGATTTTTCTAATGGTTTTGTTCACTCACGGAGGGGGGGGGAGTAAGAGAAAAAGCTTTAGAAGCGATAAGGTTTAAAGATACAGAAGCTGTTGAAGGGTATATCAAAATTTTTACAACGCTAGGGAACACACATATATTGCTAATTATTAGAGGACAATCAGATGAACTATTACAAATTCTGATTGAAATGCTTAGGGTTGAGTCTTATGAAGGGATTAAAGATGTGACTAATTTTTGGCATAAGTTGTGCAGAAATTTCAGACGAGCGCTAAATGTAGAAGAACAAAGTGTAAAAAAGGAGACTTTAGCTCCGTTTATGATGAGAATTTTACAGATTTGTATTCTTCAATGCAAGCTGGACGCAGAGCTGCTTTATTCTTGAACCTGAACTTAAATTAGCAGATGGTAATAGCCTAGTTTTATCGAAGTCACTGAGGATGTCCATGAGAGATCCGACCGCTTTGAGACTGTGCCTTCCACCAGGGATGACGGTGTCTCCTCCTTTCAGAGTTGAGTGGATAGTCTTTGGACTTCTTAAACGCAAAAAATCCGAAAATGGATTTTCAGGTCTCATGCTGGAGAATTTGCCCATTTGGTCTAGGCAATACCTATAGACCTTGCTGGGCATCACCTTTCCTCCGAGTTTCGTTCCCCTTGATATAAAATCCAACCCTGAAAGTGGACTATTGCTAGGCTCAATAAAATGCTAGAGTTACTTACCTACCATAGCTATCCTTTTTTGAGCTTGCAAAACCTTACTAGATATAATTTAAATATGAAATCTCAGTGCTTTGAGATCTACTATGCCGATTTCCTTCGAACGCATATTTAAATTATCAGCTACTTTATTCAATTATTCCAGGCAAAAAATTAGATGATGAGATTGATGATAAAAGATATCATTTGTCTGGGGCAATCCAAGACATTTCAATAGTTCTTGGTGAAGCCAAAACTGTTCAAATTTTGCATGAGAATTTACAACAAATTTTTTCAGAAAATTACAATGAAAGCGAAAGGGAAAAATACTGTCAAATTGAAGCTATTGCTGTCTGTTTGCAAGCTTTAAGTGAAATATTGCCAGAAGATAATGCAGGAGCCCTGCAGCAGCCAATTATTTTGCTGACTAGGCAGGTGTGGCCGATTCTGCAGCTAAATCTGACTATTTGTAAGATGCTGAGTTCTGCTTCTTTGAGAATTTTACAGGATTCTTTGTCGACAATTATGACTTATTTGGCTAATTGCATGACTCAGCCTGGTACCCACCATGACTCTGCAGCTGCGTTTCAAGCAATTTGCCAAGATAATTCTTATTTGCTTGTTCAACATGTCGATTCGTTGTTACAGCTTCATACAGCTTCTCATAAGATGCCAGATTTTTCACAAGAAAAAATATTAGAAGGAGTTTCATCAGTAGTTTGAAGATGTGAAGACCATACAAAAATCCTTGAATTGTGCAGTTACTATGCGACTGAATTAAAGAATATTACCCAGCAAGAACAACCAAATGAAGAAGTGTTTAATGAAAATTGTGATAAGCTAGCTATTATACTAAAATCATCTGCGAGCAGCGAAGTAAGCAAAGAAGGAGTCTATATATGTTAGGATAAATCAATATTAGTCTAAATAGATTAGAGGCCGATTTTTTTATTAATTATGATATTGACTTATAATATTATTGTGGCATTTACCCTGCTCCATGAGCGAAAAAATTAATAGAGCAATTTTTATTAAAAATAATTTGAATACAAGTAATGACGATTATTATTAAATCTCTGCTAATCCTAGTAAATTTAAAAGTTTGCACTCTAAAGCATAAATTTTATAGATTACCTTATTTAAGATTTCTAAAAAAAATCAATTAAAATAAATTCCCTCCAGTGACTTTTAAAAGTTTTTCTCGGAAGGAGTTAATAAAAACCTTATACATTTTCTTCAAAGAAATGTGGCCAGTTCTCAAACGCTTAATTGAAGTTTTCCAAAACAGCCCAGACGCAATAGAAAGGATATGCCGAATCATCAAACACTCAATGAAAAAGCTAAAAGAAAGCTTCGGCGAATTTTTATCTGACTTCTTACCAATCATTTCCAGCCTCTTTCAAACATACGGGCATTCATCATATTTATATATGACTGAAAATCTCGTAAGAATTTTCGGAGGTAAGCAAGAGTATAATGAGCTATTAAGCCAAGTTTTCAATACCCTTTCACAGTCAGCCCTTGCTAGAATAAATTCATACGAAGCAATGGTAAACAGCCCTGAATTGACAGAAGATTTCTTTGGCATGGTCATCAGATATCTGAATTATTGCACCCACTCTACTATAAACTCCCCATCTTTTCAGAATATTATTAATACTGCTAAAATTGGAATCGGTCTCCAACATGGGGAAGCTGCAAAATGCTTATACGGATTTCTTGAAGTTTTGGCTGATTTGGCTGATGAAAAACATTATAGGTATATACCAGAAGTCGAAGAGATTTGTCTGGTACATTATGGAGAAATTCTGAGGAAATTGATAGGTGCTATAATCCAAGTCATGCCATCAGAAATTTATGACTGCATTTCTGATCTCTGTTATAAGATTTTGACTATTTTTGAGGCATCTGAATGGCTGAAAGAAGCTTTGGTGGGAGTTCCGCATGACTGCTTGACCGAGTCTGAGAAACAAAAATTTGTCCAACAAAGTGCTGACTCACAGTATGTTAATGATTGGCTGCATAAATTACACAACAGGGCCAAGCAGAGAGCTCTTAGGACAAGATAAAGTTAATTAATATGAATTATAATGAGACAGGCTAATTCAGACATTGATATTTCCTAATAAATAAATAAGAATTATATATAAATGGAAAAAACTGATTATATATTAGCTTATTCATCACAAATTATTATAGATAAAATGATGAGACATTTTTCTCAAGTAGCCTCTAAACTCAGATATGGGTCAATAAAATTTGACTTTAAGAACCTCAAAGAAATTCTTCCGTATCACATCCAAAATATCAAAAATCGTTCTGCAAATGCCAATGCTCAGAGGACTGTTGACTTATGGGAACTATACAAAACTCAATTGCATGATCTTGAAATGCTTACTTCCCTTATAAATCGGGAAAAAATCCTGTTTTAATTTTAGGGTTTTTTAAAAAATTTTTAAAAATAATTGAATGCAATATTTTAAAATTTTAATTTGTTTTATCAAGAATTAAATCAAAAAATTAATTGATTCAGCGTGAAAACTGTTTATATAGCATTCTACTTGCGCTTTTTCCAATTAATTAGGCCGAAACTAATTTGTAACAATTTCGTATTTTAACCAATGAAATTTTCCTATTAGAACAAACTGCTCCAATTTAAAAGAGGTCAAAGTATCCAAAACCTAAATTTAGCCTATGTTTTGTTCTAATTTAATGGGGAGGGAATTAGAAAAAAGCGAAATTTGCACTCAGAAAAGTAAATTTAACACAGGAAACCTTTATCAGAAGATGAAAAAGCAGAACACAAAAAGCTTGCAAGGGTTCATAAGCAAGAAGTCGCAACCCAAGAAGCCAATTTACTCCTTATATGAATGCATGACTTTAAATAAAATAATTTTAGCTATTTTAATTTTTTTTTTCAAATATCAATTAAACTTTTATTGCAAAAAACATAGAATTTCTTTTATTAATTGAAGAAGTTAGAAAAGCTTGAAAATGAATTAATGGAAGAAGCCCTAAAGATCCCAAACTTAACCCACCCAGATGTCCCAATTGGAGACCAGCCTCACCAGCTTGCTCTTCATGGCAAAATCCCCAAGTTTGACTTCAAAATAAAGGACCATCTAGAACTAGGCGCTCTCCACAATTTATTTGACTTTGACTCAGCAGCCAAAATCACTAACTCAAAATTCGTGTATTTAAAAAACGAAGCTGCACTGATCGAGCTTGGACTCATAAACTGGGCAATGCAAAACGTAGTCAAAAAAGGGTTTACTCCTATCACAACTCCTGATATCTGCAAACAAGAAATCGCATCAGGCTGCGGATTCCAACCAAGAGACCCATCAGGCCAGATGTACAATTTAGCTGATAATAAATTATGCCTAATTGGAACAGCTGAAATTTCAATCGCTGGGATGTTTGCTGAGACTGTTATAAATGCTGATAAGCTTCCTATGAAATATGCAGGATTTAGCCATTGTTTCAGAATGGAAGCTGGACGAGGGCAGGTTTCAAAAGGATTATATAGGCTTCATCAGTTTTCTAAGGTAGAAATGTTTGCATTCACAACCCCTGAAGAGTCTGATAAAACCCACGAAGAAATGCTAACTCCCCCCCTCCGTGAGTGAACAAAAACATTTTGTTCACTCACGGAGGGGTTAATTTTTTTTTTAATATATAAAAATTATAAGGATTCCCCCCCCTCATTTGTCCAATCTTCTAGTCTTTTTTTTCTAACTCCCCCCCCCTTAAATTGGAACTAAAAATTTTGTTCCACTTTAAAGGGGGGTTTAAGAAAATTTTTTTAAAAAAAAAAATCATTTAAAATGTTTTTATAAAAAAAAAAAATTTATATAAAATTTAAAAAAATAAAATTTCAAAAATTTATCGAATTAGATTAATAAATTTGTTTAATAAAATGCTATTTACTCTTTATCCTTTAAAACAAAGCAAGATATAACTAAAATTTTATTATTAATTAATACGCCACTATTAATTGGTATCAAAATTATTTACACAAAAATTGTTATTTTTATTGATAAAAAAAATTAAAAAAAAAAAATTTTAGAAAATTTATTAATCAAAGTGCTAATTTTGTGTTTAAATAAGATGTTATTTATACTCTATTCTTTAAATAAAGCAAGAGATAAGTAAATTTTGAATTTTTGTAAAGAATTCGTATTGAATTTATATCAAAGCTATTTAATCATTTTTATCAAAAAAAATAAAATTTTTTTTGAAAATTTTTTAAAAACAAAAATAATTAAATGTTTTTAAAAATTTACAATTAAGGATAATAAATTTATTTAAATAAAATGCTCTTTATACTCTATTCTATAAACAAGAGCAGGATACAACTAAATTTTTAATTTTAGTTAAGAAGAAACATTCAAATTATATCAAAACTTTTTACATAAAAAATATGATTTATATATATTTAAAGGGGGGTTAATTTTACCAAAAAAGTGGAAATTTTACCTATATTTTGTTCCGATTTAAAGGGGGGGAGTAAGAAAAAAAAATTTCAGGACCTCGTTTGTCCCAAAATCTAGTCAAAAATGATTTGTCCCATTTTCTAGTCTTTTTTGGATTTTTTCGAATGTCCTAAATTTTACTTTTTTACTTTAAAAAAAACTAGAAAATGAGATAGTTGAGGTCCTGGAAATTTTTTTTTCTATCAAAATTTTGACTAGAAAATTGGACAAATGAGGTCCTAAAAAAATTTTTTTTCCTATAAAAAAAAAACTAGAAAAATGGACAAATGATAAAAGACTAGAAAATTGGGCAAATGAGGGGGGGATCCTTTTCTAAATTTTATAGAAAATTTTTTTTTTCGAAATTTAAAAAAAAATCCTAATTCGCAAAAATTGGAAAGCAAATATTAATTTAATTTATAAAATTTATGTTTTAAAAAGCCATTTGTTTACAATTAAACAGAATTAGCTCTAAATTTCATTATACTAATTATCACTTATATATCAAAATTTTTTCCATAAAAAATTTTTCTATTAAAAAAATTTTGTTCACACTCACGGAGGGTGGGTTTTTGGCAAAAAATAGCGATTTTTCTAATGATTTTGTTCACTCACGGAGGGGAGAGTAAGCATTGAAATAGAGCTCCTAAATAGCTTGAAATTGCCTTTCAGAGTTTTAGATATGCCCTCAACTGATCTTGGCGCCAGTGCATATAGGAAGTATGATATAGAAATCTGGATGCCTTCACGAGAAGACTGGGGAGAAGTCACTAGTACTTCAAACTGCCGAGATTATCAAGCTTTAAGGCTCAATTCTTTTTACTTACTTCCGCCCTCCGTGAGCGAACAAAGCCGTTGGAAAAAACTATTTTTTGGGTAAAAACCCACCTTCAGTAACCAAAAAATTGATATATAAGTGATTATTAGTATAATGGAATCTCTCTAATTTTGAACAATTTTGCATTTTAAAACAAATTAAATAAATATTCACTTTACAAATTTTGCGAACCTGAATTTTTTTAAATTTCAAAAAATAAATTTAACTATAAAATTTACTCATAATTTTTTTAAAAAAAAAATAATCTGGAGGGGGAGTTAGATAAATCAGGGGAGAAAAAGCACGTGCATACAGTCAATGGAACTGCTTGTGCAGTGCCAAGAGTTCTACTAGGGCTGCTTGAGCATGGCCAAAAGAAAGATGGGACCATAGAACTTCCAGAATGTCTGCATAAATATGTAGGATTTTCACACATTTCACCATTAAATAAGGCTTAGATAGTAAAGTTAGAAAATTAGTGTTACTCTGTATTTACATTTTGAAACCTGTAAATGTAACCTTTTTATTGCTTCTCGGTGAGAATTCGGGCTGTCTCAGTTCAGAGTCCAGTCTGTGAACTTCGCTTAGTAAAAGATTGCTGAGTTGCACTGCCTCTTCTAACGCTCTTTTAGTCGCTTTATTTTTCTCTTTTAATATTTTGCAATTATTACATGGGATTTTCCCTCTTTTATACGCCTCTAGCTCACTTTCAAGCTTGGCTCTAGCAGCTTCAGATTTTCCACACTCTTTTTGAAGCTGCTGGTATTTTTTCTTTAAATTTGTCTGCTCGTCTGGAGTTGTATCTGGCCACTGGCCACATTCTAACTCTCCCCTCCATGAGCGAACGAAAAAATTTTGTTCGCTCACACAGAAGGGATTATTTTTTCTTTTTTTAAAAAATTTATATATAAATTTTAATAGTTTTTTTTTTCAAAATTTAATAATATCTCTCAATTCGCAAAAATTGGAAAGCAATTATTAATTTAATTTGTAAAATTTATGTTTTAAAACACAATTTGTTTAGTATTAAACAGAATTAGCTCGATTCTTCATTATATTAATTATTACCTATATAGCAATTTTTTTTTTCATAAAAAATTTTTGTTCGGCACAGAGGGCAGGTTTTTGCCCAAAAAATAGGGATTTTTTCCAATGGTTTCGTTCTCTCACGGGGAAGCAAGTAATTTTTTTGGAAATTTCCTACATAGCGTTGAGGAGAAACAGGTAGCATGCAGAAATCTTCAGAAGTGTCAAATCTTATACTTGAATCTGCCTCAGTATCTCGGAGCGCATGCACTTTTTCAAGTGAGTTCGGACTGGAAAGGCCGGTGCTCGAAATGCTTGGTTTTGATGATAATTCTTCTCTCCTATCAAGAAAGCTTGATTTAAATTGGGACGTTACTGATGATTTCAATGATGGCGCAGTGTTCAAATAATAGAATTTACCATCAAGATCTTCAAATGAGGAGCTATCTTGTCGAAGACTAAACCTGCTTTTGGCTTCCATTTTAGAATTATCGAAAACGGATTGTTCATTTAATTTTGTCGGTGATGAAATGCACTGATTCTGACCAGACGAATTAGCCACACAAATTACTGTATTTTCTCAACAGAAAAACAATGTATTAAATTTTCAAATTTAATAAGTAAAAATTATTATTTTTTATAATAAAACTTTCCATGGTTTTGGCGGAGTCCATATTTTGTATCATCAGTAGCAGATTTATTAGTTCTACACTTATGTCTTTATTGAGTAATAAATAATTCAAATGGGCTGCTGTACCAGCAAATCATCACAATCAGTTCACAACCCAGTGCCAGTGTCTCAAGCTCCTAGTCATGAACCTCACAGTTCTGATCCACAACCTCAACCAGAACTCCTTCTACCTCAGCCAGGACACCATCTTATGGCCTTGAATATTCAAAGTAGCTCTTTAGTCTGTCCCAGATGTAGGATGGAGTTCCCAAGAAATACTGAAATTCGGCTATTTGCCGAACATTTGATTTCCTGTTTGAGGCACTCCCGAGGAGAAAGCCAGCAATATAAAGTTCTCAATATCCAGATCTCAAAAGATCTGCCATATGAGACCAAGGCAAAATGGCTCCAAAATGAATTTAATAAAATTCGAATCCCATGGCAGACAGAAAGTGTGAAATTCACTATAAATAGGGAGGATTTTATACAGTCCTCAATGGCTCAAGTATTGTTTTCCCCAGCTGAAGATTTGCATAAGGAATTTCAAATTAGTTTTGAAGGAGAAAATGGAATGGATGCAGGCGGGATTTTTAGGGAATGAATAACACTATTGATGAAGGATTTATTTGCTGAAGACTTAGGGCTGTTTGTTAAAGCCCCAAGCTCAATTACTAGCTATACTTTTCCAAACCATTTTTCAGATGCCAATATATCAAGCTACATATTTGCTGGAAAACTTATGGGGAAAGCCCTATTTGAGAATATTCCCATAAATTGCCCCTTGTCACAGGTTATCTATAAGCACATCATAGGTGATAAAATTGAGCTGAAAGATTTGAATTTCCTAGATTCTGAGGTATCCTCTATTTAGCTTTATAATTCATTACTATATATGCAAAATAACAACCTCGAGGATGAAATTTATTCGAATTTTGAGGTAGAAAAAAATATGAATGGGAAAATGGTCAAAATTTTGTTAAAAAAACGTGGTGATAAAATAATGATAAATGAAGAAAATAAAGAAGAATATATAAAAAAAAGGTTAAAATTCGAGACATATGGGATAATGAAAGAACATTTAAATTTATTGCTGCAAGGATTTTACTCTGTAGTACCGAAACCGCTGGTTTGCCATTTTACTTCTGAAGAGCTTGAGCTTGCCATGTGTGGACTTCCATTTATTGATATAGATGACTGGCAGGCATATACAGAATATAGAGGAGAGTATACTAGAAACCACCAAGTCATTCAATGATTTTGGGAGGTCCTGGAAAATCTTAGCCATGAACAGCTTATGAATCTTTTACTGTTTGTAACAGGATCTCCACGACTCCCAGTTGAAGGTTTTGGCTCATTGAGGACAATGAGAGGAGATATGGCAAGGTTTACAATTGAGCCAACTCCTTATAACCAGTCCAATATTTATCCAAGATCCCATACTTGCTTCAATAGGCTAGACCTTCCGTTATATCCTTCTAAAAAAGCACTTAAAAAGTCTTTGAAGTTTGTTATCAATAACCATGCCTTTGGTTTTGGAATTGAGTAGCAAAACTTAATAATAATTCAATTTGTAATAATTTTAATTAGTAAAAGGTATATAGTATTTATTATAAATAAGCAGATTCATTTTATAGTAAAATTTTTAAACATCGTAAGTGCTATTTTTGCTTATGTTTAGTTTAGTTTACCCTTATTTATATGAACTAATTTCTCAAAATAAAATGGGAAAAAACTGCCAAAGCAATGAAAATAACACTCCTTCAATAATCATTAAATGGAAAAGTCAAAATCCCACCAAACCCTTGGGCTGCTGCCTAAAATCTCTCCACGTTCAACCTCATTAGGCTTCACCAGTTTTCAGCCTTTCGAAAGTCCATCTAAAAGTTCAGCGTTATCCCCTAACAAAGCTCCAAATCGAAATTTCCAATCCACCTTTCCTCCTATTTCTATTCGTGAAAACCTCGAAACCAGAGAAATTTCTCGACAAATCTTCTTAAAAACTCGAGAAAGGCGTGAATCAGGAAGCATGCAAACCTACGCCGGTCCAATCGGACCTGCAGGGTCACGCGGATTAGCTGGCAACAGGTAGTTAACCCTATGAAAAATTCAGCGGGCTATATGCCAAAATAATATAACAATTTTTCAATAGTCAGTCAAAAATTAATGGTTTGCAGCTCACACCCGATTTGGTTTTTTTAATAATATATAATAAAAATTACAATTACGTCAGCTTATCCTCTAAAAAAAGAGGGATAGAGTTGCTCATAAGACACTTTTAGGCGGGAGCTGCAACCAAAAAAAAGTAAGAAGGGTAGCTGACAATTTTTAAAAAAATTTACAGGCTAGCCCGTTGAATTTTTTGAAATTGGCAGCTATCCTGATATTTTTATTAGGTTAACTGCCTGTTGTCAGCTAACCCCCTCCCGACCTGCAGCAAGGCTTGAGTATTTTGATTCTTTCAAAAATTTACCCAAAGTAACGCAAAGGAACAAATTCGAGAAACTAGAAGATTCTCCTAACGTTGCATACTTACAAAGAGTTGAACAAAATCAGCTGCAGCCGAAGCCATTCGGAATGGTAAGGAGAAATGGCCCTGAGAACAATTTAGATATACACTGTTACAGTATGGGCGATTTATATGCTGAAGCATTTTCAGAAGGAATAGAGCATGTAAAAGGGCTGGAAAAAATCAATTTAAAGTCTAACAGGCTGACAGAAAGGGGAAGTTTTAGTATCCTTTCAAAACTCCCAGCACATAAATTGAGATCAATTTCACTAGCTGACAATAAAATTGGGACTCGGTCCATATCAAAGATTATAGAAATGCTAACAGGCTTTAACTCAACGCTAAGACATTTAAACTTAGAAAACACTTCAATTACAGATTTGGCTGTTTCTGAACTCTGCCAAGTTCTTGCAGATAATAAAACACTATCACGACTCAGCTTGGCAAAAAATAACCTTACAGACAAGTCAGCTGCAGCTTTGCATGATTTATTATTTCATAGCCAGTCACTAAAAAGGCTAGATTTGCACTGGAATAAAATCAGAGGAGACGGCGCAAAATTATTTTTTGAAGGGCTTGCAGGAAATGATGTGCTAAAGGTGTTAGACTTATCATGAAACGCAATAGGAAGAAACGACAACTTAGAAATAGCAACTCTAATAGGACAAGCTCTAAAAGCCCATCAGACTTTATACCATTTAGACTTATCTTATAACTACTTTACTACTGAAGAGTGCAAAATCATAGGAGATTTTCTTAATGAAAATCATGTGATTCTTGGGCTTCATATGGCAGGAAATGACTGCTCATTAAATTCCAAAGGGTTTATTACTCCACAAGTAGCAGGGGAAAGGCTTGAGCAGGGTCATTTTTTTAGAAGGATTATTGAGCCAGCGAAATGCAACTCATATAAGTTGAGTTAAGTTAGGTGTTATAAGGCCATAAGCGGATAAGCTACAAGCCTGATTATCTGGTGTAAACACACCTAACCTAAGGATTAGCCCCCTAGGGTTAGAGCCACCTCTTGCAGATACCATTAGTTTCCTGATAAGCAAAGATTAAGTTGGAGACAAAACCTGCCTAGTCCATCTAGCGGGATAAGGAAAACCTTCGGGGATACTTCTCTCTTTGCCAGGAATCCCAAACCCAGGGTCTACTTTAAAAGTGACAGAGGTACTATTTTTAGCTATATCGGGACGGAGTCCTACTGCTCCACACAGAGTGTGTATCGGAGTCGATCTTCCATTTTATTTCTGTAACTCATATAAGGAATCGATAAACTGCTGGGTTTGTGAAGATTGGGTAGAAGTTGAGTTTACCTGGAAGCCAAACGTTTCTGGAAAAGCTGACTCAGATCCTATTTTTTTGCATTTAGAGTGTGATAATTATGGAGCTGATCTTATGGCCAGACAGCATGATGGTTCATATAAACTTACCCGAGCAGTTCCACCTGGGCTTGTAAAATTCTTTTACAGCCATAATGGAAGCCCTATGAAATCTTTGGAGCATAAAATCATTCAGCTGGAAACACCAATTCAGCGACAAGTCCAGTTTTGGTCTGGGTTCACTGAAACTGTAAAAATGCACAGCATCAATGTGTTCCCTGCAAAAGGCCCTATCTGCAATAAAGACCATAATTTCGATGTAAAACCCAGAATTCCAGGACTTGTGTATGTCCCTCCAGAGCAGGAGCTTGAAAGGATCCCATGGAGCATCCCAATTTCTCTATTCAAAGACTACAAATTTGACGATGAAAACCTTCTTAACGACTGTTTTGAGTTCGACTGGCGATATTCTCGCCTGCCTAATTTTATTAAAAACCAAGGCGATCAAGACAAAGTTAAAGAAATTTTGAGGTCTCATTATAAATACATCAGAGAGACCTATAAATATTTATCAGCCTTCAGCGGCTCTGAGATGTTTTCTATTGGCTCAAATGTTTTGACTGATTTTTTAAACCAATGCTTAATTCTTGATTCAAACTATGCAGTTAGTGACTTAGGGGTCAACTGGAATTCTTGTATAGTCCCTAAAGAAAAAGGGCAGGTTTATAACCCAGGCAGTGCATTAGTAAGGTACGAGTTCATGGAAATCCTAGTCAGGGTTGCCAATGATAGATACGTCAGGAACAAAATCTGCACAACCGTGTCAGAGTCCATACAAAAGCTTCTTGATGAACATCTTATGCCGGTGATGATTACTAATGACACAAATAAATGAAGGTTTGAGAAATACATTTGTGAAGAAGTCGATTTAGTCCTTAAAGCCCATAAACCTATACTCAACGCATTATTTAAAAAATACAGCGGCAAAAAGACTTTGCCAGGGTATAAGCCTTTTATGAGTTTGGAAGAGTTTAGGCTGCTGTGTAGTGAAGCTGGGCTGATTAATGATACTTTTGCGACCAGAGAAATTGATTTATGCTTCACTCAAGCTATGATGACACAAGTGGACGAACTTTATAAGAAACGGCACGTTGAGATGTCCTTTGTGGAATTTTTAGAAGCTCTGTCAAGGTCTTGTGATATGGCAAATTTAAATACTAATGAAATGCTAAGCGAGCAGGAAGAAATCCAGCAGCTCTTTAAATCAAATGATAGTTTATCTACAAATCTAAGGTCGAAACTTGAGTCAGCGTTCCCGAATCTTTTCAAGATTTGCCCGCAGCTGGTTCAAGACAGTTTTGTTTTTCCGACTTCTGAGACATAGAGCATGGGCACGCTAAAGCGTGCCCTAACGACCCTTTCCTTTTTAGCAACTGGGAGATTGAATCCTCGCTTGAAGGTGACGAATAAAACATAAGTTACAAAGCCAGACTCTATGCCTGTATTTGTCAACTTGGAGTTGGCTCGCCAACATTAATGACAAGTCAACCCTCAAAATTATTAAGGAGGTATAAGCGTTAGAGCAGCACACTAAAAGTGTGCTCACACTATATAAAAGCATGATGTATAAGTCGAAGAGTGATAGTGTGCAGAATTCACCTAGTAGTTTATACTCAGAATAATTAATCGCATAATAAATAATAAAAAATTGGCTTAATCTTTAATTTATCATTTATTAGCAATCAATGCCTCAGAAATATTCTGTTGATTCTGTTATTGTCACTTGAGTACAATAACAAAATATCCAGTCATTCAACCAAAAATATAAAAATATCAACAGCTTTTTATAATATAAATTTTTATTTTTTTATTTTAATGAATTTTCCTTAAAAAACCCTCCCAATTAAAGTCTAAAAAATAGCAATAAGCTTCTAGGCATTGAGTTTAGTGTTTATTAAATAGATTCTTTTAAAAAAACTTAGTAGCTTCCATACCACAGATATGTAATAATTTAAATTGCCACTAAATAATGCACCTGTCCTCGAATCAAGCTTATCAATCAAGCGAATTCCAGCCAGCTGCTTCACAAGACGTCGAAAGTGCTTTAAAAATTGGGGAAGGCTACGAATCAATTCCCTTAAGCAGTCGCTCAATTTTTGACGCTACTCAGGAAAGTTCTACAAGTTCTAATTCATTTGTAAAACTCTTGAGCTGGATCCTTGATTCTCACGCTTATGTTTTTATCGTATCTGTCCTTACAATTTGAGTCCTATTTTCTGATGATATTCGCATCTCCGCCTGCACCAAGGAAGCTGACAACTATTTCTTTGGAATAAGCACAGCGATTCTGTGCTTGTTCTCATTTGACTTAGTGGCTTCATTTATTGCCCGAAAAGACTATAGGTGCTCTTTCTACTTTTGGCTTGATTTATTGTCAACCCTTTCGATTATTCCTGATATAGGGTGGATTTGATATCCATTGATAGGAATAAATTCTGACTCAGAAGTGGATGCTTAAAATGGCATGGATTTTGCGGAAGGGAGAGCAGCGTGAGGTAAGAGTGCTTAGACTAGTTTTACTTGGCCTGGTAGAGCGGATTGTCGGGGTGACTGACTGCAGACTCACATCCAGGCAAAGTTTTACCTCGAGGAAGATGGAACTTGGAAGTTGGAAAGAGATAGCCCAGCAAGGCTAGATGGCGTTCTTTGGCTATTGGACAATTTCCCAACTCGATACCATGGGCTACAAGTTTCATTCAGGCCTGACCAGAAAATTCACTTTTTGAATTTTCAGAAAGGGCAACCCGTTGACGTATGACACGGTTACCCAAATTCTTTACCTGAAGGTTACTAGTGCAAGTCCTCGAACGGAGGGTGCAGCACATGCCTTTAGGCTGTGGAATCGACTGGCAAACAAGAGGTGGAGCGAAGCAAGGGACGTGAAAAGTCGACATGACTGGCCGGGAGATACACTACAGTAATCTAAAATAAATTAAGACTCAGAAGATGGGCAAACCAAAGTGAAGTATTCAAAAACAGCCAGCCAAGGCAACCAAGCTTCACGCATCGTAAGGATCGTAAGGCTTATCAGACTGATTAGGATTGTGAAATTGTACAAAAACGCCAGAATTGCAATGATTGAAGAAGATGACGAAGGGCAAGTCCACACAGAAATTGATATGATTCCCCAGGAAAGCCGTGTGGGCAAAAAGCTTTCAGATTTGACAATGAAAAGAGTAATTGTGCTTGTTTTTATCCTGATTTCGTTCATCCCCCTTTTCAATTTGGATTTTTATGTGACGCCAGAAAGAAGCTGAACTTTTGGTCTAGAAACTATTGAGCATTTCTTAGGCCAGGATGGGTTTATCAATGTGAGGGATGAGTATATAAACTATCATGAAGACGACAGGCGGCCACTGATATATTTAACTTATACATATGGAAATGACATCTATATTTGAAAAACAAGCACAAATCCAGATGATCTCAGAGACACAGAAAAATACATTGTGAATGAAGTTCACTCACAAGCGATTATTGATCTGAGATCTGATACTCATTTGGATTCTGAGTTAAATATTTGCAAAACAATCTTCGTATGCATTCTTTTGACCTTCGGAGCTTTAACCTTCACTAGGGATGCTGAAGATCTAGTGGTTTTTCCTATTGAAAGCATGATAAGAAAAATCAGAAAAATTGCGAGAAATCCTCTTAATGCTTGTATATTAAGCTCAGAAAGCAGATCAGCGTCCAGCATTGAGAATCAGAAAAAGAAATTTCTTTGTTTTAGCCGCAAAGCTGAAAAAGCTGAGTATGAAACTACTGTGCTGGAAAACACCATCGTAAAAATTGGAGCACTTCTAGCCTTAGGCTTTGGAGAAGCAGGGTCAAAAATAATCGCTACCAATATGGAGAAAAGTGGAGATGTCGACCCTGTGCTGCAAGGCAATAAGATTGCAGCGATTTATGGGTTTTGTGATATAAGGAATTTTACTGATACGACTGAAGAGCTGCAAGAGAGTGTGATGGTATTTGTTAATGAAATTGCATATATAGTGCATACAGTCACTCATCAATTGATGGGGGCTGCTAATAAGAATATTGGTGATGCTTTTCTGATTGTCTGGAAGTTTGGAGAAGATGATGTCCTTGAATTAGACGATCCATTGGTTTTGAACCATAACTCAAGAAAGGCTGGATTTTTGGGAGATTTAGCTTTGCTAACTCCTCCCCCTCCGTGAGTGAACAAAAAAATTTTGTTCACTCGCTGAGGGGGGTTAATTTTTTTTTTTAAAACAATTTATATATAAAATTTATAGGAAAAATGTTTTTTTCGAAATTTTAAAAAAATCCTAATTTGCAAAAATTGGAAAGCAATCATTAATTTAATTTATAAAATTTATGTTTTAAAACGCAATTTGTTTAAAATTAAAACAGAATTAGCTCGAGATTTCATTATACTAATTATCACTTATATATAAAAAATTTTTTCATAAAAAATTTTTTCTATTAAAAAAATTTTGTTCACTCACGGAGGGTGGGTTTTTGGGCAAAAAATATGGATTTTTCTAATGGTTTTGTTCACTCACGGAGGGGGGGGGGAGTAAGCTTTTTAAAAGTCATTGCAAAAATCAATAAAGACCCAAAAATGCTTAAATATAGAAATCATGGCAGACTTATCAAAAGAATGCCAAATTATGCTGTCAAAATGGGATTTGGATTGCATGTAGGCTGGTCTATAGAAGGAGCTATTGGCTCTGAGTTTAAAATTGACGCTAGCTACCTTTCACCTCATGTAAACATGTCAGGACGGCTAGAAGAAACTACCAAACTTTATGGTGTCCCTTTACTGCTGAGCGGAGCCTTTTATGACATTTTAAGTCCTACTGTGCAAGGATATTGCAGGCATCTTGATACTGTTATGATCAAAGGCCATGCTAGCCCATTAAGACTCTATACAAGTGACGTGGATCCATCAAATATTTTCCCAGGAGAAGGCCTCGACAAGAACAAAGAACAAACCACCAGGCTAAGAAAAGCCCTTAAAAGCAAGCTTGATAGAGGCCAGCTTGAGTCTTGGGAACTTTTTGAGGATTCCAGAGAAGTCGCTGCATTAAAAGAACCCTTTACCGAAGAATTCTATGATAAGCATAGAAAAGGACTGGAGGCCTATTTAAAAGGCGATTGGCTAGACGCAAAAGGATTTTTTGAGGCAGCTCTACTTGTGAAGCCTGGAGATGGCCCAACAGTGACCTTGCTTTCTTTTATGAAAGAAAGCAACTTCGAAGCGCCTCTCGAGTGGGAAGGCTGCAGAGATTTAATCGATAAGTAAGGGTTCTTAGATTAAAAGTTATTGGGATTAAAGCTTATTTTTGGCTTGTAATATCTTGACACTGTAAGACCTATTGGAATAGGTGGGGGCACTATTTTAAGATCATGGAGCTCCTGCTTGATTTGGGCGTTTGAGACTCTTGTGATATATTCTTCATAATTTCTATTGAAATTCAAAACATAGACTTCATTAAGCGGGACATCATGAGTCGTTTTTCCTCCGAAAATCATGATGAACCCATCAATAGCCAAAGAAATATGTCCACATCGAGGACTTGGCAGACTGTTGATTTCATATTTTTCCCACATGTTTTCAAGAATCGAATAAGAAAACAGCTCATTTGAAATTCCATTGTTTTCAGTGACTCCTCCAAAAATATACATTTTGTTGTCTAAACAGGCTGCTGAGTGCCATGCTCTTTTACTCGGCGAATTATTTGCGTTGATTTTGACCCACATCATTTGTGGGATATTAAAAATATACAAGTCATCCAAAAGCCTAGAAAACCCATAAATTCCTCCAAAAACTGCCAAATAGTCCTGCTCTTCAAAATACGTCATTGAGTGGCCTCTTCTAGACATAGGAGGCTCCCCAAACACTTCACAAACCTGCCACTTCCAAAGATCAGTGAGTTTCCACAGCTGTGTATAAGTGATTTGGTTAATATTGTTTTTAGGGTTTGTATTTGTGTTATTCCACTTAAAGGAATCCCAGCCGCCCAGTAAATAAATGCAGTCTTTGGCTTTGGTGAAGGAGTGGTCTCGTCTTTGGGCTGGCAAGTTTCACTCGTCTATCATGTTTTGGTCATTTCCTTTTCTTAGTGAGGAGTCTTCAGGGTCATAAAGGATGCAGGAATTGGTGTATTCTTGTTCATTCCAACCTCCGAACATGAGGATCCTGCTGTCAATTTCGACTGCTGCATGCCCTGTTAAGCATTCTGGAGTGGCTCCTCGCTTATACCATTTTGAAGTTTCAAGGTCGAAAGAGTAAAAGTCTTTTAAGTCAGAGTTGATACCTGTCCCTCCATGTATGAAAATACTGTTATATTCTCGGACATAGACTCCTGCGCAGCAAAACCTGGGCTCTGGAGGATTTTCAGTGCTAAGTTTGAGAAATGAAATTGTTTCCATATATAAATTTTTATAAACTGTTGCTTAAATGATCTATGTTTTCACTTTTTCAATGCAAAACTCTTTTGATCTAGCTCAAATATTTTGATAAGAAAAAGTTTACTATTGAAAATAAGCTTTAATTTAATTTGGATTAGGAATATTTACACATTAAGAAGTACTTATTTTTAAGAAAAATAAAATTAATATTTCTGAAGTTATCTAATTAAAGATATGGAAGCTGCCGAAACATTAAAAGGTGATGACGTCTGTCCTATGTGCAATCTTCCAGCACAAGAAGGCCACTCTTGTCTCCACTCTTTAAGAACTGCTGTTATTTCTCTTAAAAAAGTGATTTACCAACAAAACAAAAGAATCCAATTCCTGCTTGAGTCCACTCAAAGTTTACAAGCAAAGCAAGAAGATAAGCCAGAACTCCTGCTATTCAAAGACTTCGACCATGAAACCGTTGCTTGTGATGGCTGCGGCGCTTTTCCTATTATAGGTGTCAGATACAAATGCAAGGAATGTGCTGACTACGATTTATGCCAAAAATGCAGAAACTCAACACCTCATTGTCATTCTGAATTCTTCATTTTTACCACCAACAAGTCACATGAAGGAAAAAACTGCGTAGGGTGCTTGCAAAGTCCTATCAAAGGAGTCATGTATCACTGTAATGAATGCAATTGTAATCATTGTCATGGCTGCGTCAAAGAAAAAGGGCACAATCATGCCAATGTTGAACCAATTATTCCATTCGATATCCGTGTAGAAACATTTTTAAATAAGCCGTCAGGAAGATACAAGCAAGGTGACAATTTTAAAATTACCTTTGTGATACAGAACCTTAGCACGCAAAAAATTAAAAAAATGCTGATGATAATCACCAAAGGGTTACCGCCGTTTAAATTCAACCAAAAAGAAGCTGATGTAGATATGGAGCTTTGTGATATTCGTCAGTTAGACTATGAAGGAAAAATTACGGGACAAAGTGGGAAATATGAAATCGCCTTCAGATTTTTCTCCGTTGTTGAAGAAGAATACATTGGGCCAGAGATCCCTGTTACAATTTATGTTTCAAGTGGTTTTCTAACTCCCCATCTTTAAATTGAAAAAACAATTGAGCACAATAATTAAAAAAGTTAATCGATTCAGTGTGAAAACTGTTTAAATAGCATTCTACTTGCACTTTGTCTATTAATTATTTCAAAAGTAATTTTTGCTAAAATTAGTATTTTTCCATCTTTAATTTTTTTTTAAAAAATAAAAAATTGAGCGCATTACTTTGAATTTTAATTTATTTTTATAAAGAATAAAATAAAAAATAAATTATATAGTGTGAAGTTTAATTGACATTCTACTTGCACTTTGCCTATTAAATCAGGTCAAAACTAATTTTATAAAAATTAATATTTTTATTGATAAAATTTTTCATTGAAAAACAAATTTTGTTCCAATTTAAAGGGGTTAAAGTATAGCCAAAAATTGCAATTTTACCGATGTTTTTGTTCCAAATTAAAGGGGTGAGTAAGTGGTATCTTTAAAAGCTAAATGATTTAATATTTGCCATTATTATCATAATAAATTATGCTGCGTATACCAAGAGCAATTGGAGTACTAGCCAAAGCGCCTTTAAGAGCTTATGGAGGAGAAGTTCTGTGTAAGTTTAAATTAGATGATGCGCAAGCACATGCTGAGCATGGCAAACATTACCAACCTCAGCCTTCTAAAGAATTGGTAATTGTTACTTAGTTAGAGGCAATTACAGAATTTAAAGACTTCCTAGCGGCATTGCCTAGGAGAAATTATGAGCCTGTACTAGATGAACTCTTAGAACGCAGCAAGAAAGGAATCCTTTAAGCTAACTTTCTTTGATACCAAATTTTCTATTAATTTCGTATAAAATAATCAGCATTTTTGAGAAAAGCCTATTTAAAAATCTTATTTTAAAATCTATATTGATAGTATAAAATTTTAGCATTTTTGATGATTTATTAGCTATATCCATTTCAACAAAAACCCTTAAAGATTTGAATTTTCTTAAAATCCCATAGAACTTGCCAAAAGAGCTATATTTTATTCGTTAAATTTTTCGATTATATTTCATTAATTATGGGAATTTTCAAAATCTCTCATTTATATATATTGAAATCAATGAGTTATATAAATGAACACAATTAAAAAGAATGTCTTAATTTTGATAATACTAGAAGCAGTCTCGCTGAAAATTAACTTGATTCCTCCTACCGGTTTCCCGCCTGATACAAAATTCTCAAGCAGTCTAGTTTATGACCCAGACCACAATCAACTCTTTACATTTGGCGGAAATTCTATAATTAAACCTTACACAAATGACCTCGCATCATTTGATTTGACCCAAAAAACTTGAAAATCAATAGTTCCATATACATCTACTGTCCCAGATCCTCGGCAGTCAACTGCATTATTTTTTGACTCTAAAAATCAGCGAATACTATTATATGGAGGAAAAACAGCTGCTGGCATAGCTGGAGATTTTTGATGCTTCAATTTGAGGTTAATGGCTTGAAAAGAGCTTGAACCTCAAGGAGAAACTCCAGGCGTCAGGGCAAATTCTGCATATACCACCTTTATCATAGATGGAATTTCTTATTATGCTATATTTGGAGGACTAGATATATCAGGTATAGATAATACATTATACATGTAATTAGCATTCAGCTTAAATGGAACTTCTATGATTTGGACGAAGCTGGCCAACAATGGAAACCCTCCTTTAGCGCAAGAATGGTCAAGTATTACTTATTATAATAACTCGATTTATATGTGAGGAGGTTTAAATCGTGATGGTAAGCCATTCCATGACACAAGGCTGTTTAGGTATGATTTAAGCTCTTTTTATTGGTTCGAGATTTCTATTAAAGGAGAAAAGCCTGAAGGAAGAGCTGTTCACACAATCTATATATAGTCTGAAACCTTTATGGTTTGGCTTTCCGATCTTTCTTGACGGGAAAGAAAGGATTTGGTGAAATCAACTGATGTTGGTTTCACCGACTCCTAAGTGGCAGAATCATATATGCAGGGTTCTGCGATTGGGATGCATATCAAGCTCCCATCTTTCAATCAAGAAAGGTCGGAAGGCAAGCCATAAAGATGTCCGGGCTATACTCAACAATTTCTTATACGTTATACTTGGCTATGACTGGAGCAAAGGAGAGTATTATAATGATATTTGAAAGGTAAATCTCAACCTGCCAGAGAAATGAATAAAAGTTCCATTTGAGAACTCACAAAAAGTCCCTTGTGGAGGCGGCTATGTACTAATAAACTCCACAGTCTACGAATTCTCTGGAACCCAGCTGACAAAGTCAGTTAATATGATGATTTCATTTGATATTTCTATCGAACCAGTTGCGTGGGTAACTGAATCTCCAAACACAATTGGCCCAGGTGCCAGAATGATGCACACATTTTGTGTAGAGCAAGATCATCTATGACTATTTGGTGGTATAAACTCAGACCAAACTTAGTAACTTTTAATTAGCTTGAACGATTTTTGAAAATTCGATTTATCAAGCTATAAGTGAACCCAAATCAATCCTTCAGGATCAATTCCATCTCCAAGACACAGTCACGCTTCAAGCTTAATGTTGGATACAATCTTGGTATTCGGAGGCATAGACAGCACTGGATATTTAAATGATTTTTATGAGTATTTAATCTATGCAAATGTATGAAAGCAGGTTGTGCCGATTGATAACTACTATCCAAGTCCTAGAGCTGGAGCTTGTGGCGCTGCTTCAGAGGTACAGTTTTTCATATTTGGAGGCCTAACAATATCTGGACTGACGAGTGAGTTATGGATATTTGATATCAACACATATCAATTTACACTTCTTGATGATGGGAGTAAGGACAATTTGCAGCCTCAGATGTACAATAAATGCTTTATTAGGAAAATAGATAATGTTGTGTATTTTTATATTGCCTCAGGAGAAGGGGAGGCATCATATCCAATAGGAGCTATCCAGAGATTCAATTGTCAGTCAAGTGCCTGAGAAGTGGTTCTAGATGAAGGGTTTGGGAATTTTTCGTTATCAAGGGCAGCAGTTATAAATGTAGAAAACTATATGATCCTTGTAGGAGGAGAACAGTGAATGGAAGGGGCTTATGATGCTATTTATCTTGTAGATTTAGATAATAGTCAAAGTCCGACTGAGCTTGGACACCTGCCTTCCCCGATTTTTTCAGCTGAAATTGCTCATTTTAGAGATCGGCTTTTTTTATATGGGGGAGGAGACTCCATATTTGGAGAAGTCCAATCTTATAAAGCACGAAATTCTTTTTATGAAATTATATTCAATGCATCAGATCCCTTTACTATACCATGTAGCACGGGCACATATTTAAATGATTGTATACCTTGTCCTGAAGGAACTTATTCTTCTCTTCTCAACTCTGCAGCTTGTGTTCCATGCCCAGTTGGGACTTTCGGTGTCTCTAAAGGCTGCTCTGCAACTGAAGAGTGTTATCCCTGCTTATTTGGGACTTTTTCTTCAGAACAAGGATCAAGCATCTGCAAGGTATGTCCAGCTGGGATGTTTTGCCCTGTAGGAACGGTTGAACCTCGAATAAGAGCTCATTCAGAATCTTATAGTAGCTCACAGCCTAGTCTTTATAAGCCCAAATATGAATTTTCAGACAAAATAACTCTTGAGCTTGAAATTGCATTTGGAGTTTTTATAGGAATTATTTGCATTGTGGCAGTCTCTTTTAGATCAGTCAGAAAGCATCTTCATAAACTTGATCTTTATGATGACAAGCATGATGTTGAGCTTTATCAGCCAATCTATAAGAAACAAACTTCGACTGGTGGCTTCTTCAGTGTTGCTTTCATTCTGCTATCAATCTTATTTGCAATTATAAGTATCTTAAGCTACTCTTATGATAACATGACTGAATCCAAAGCACTCGCTCCACTTGTGTCCCTTGTAAATACATATAGCACTTTTTCTGGAGACATTAAAATAGTAACTACATTTTTATATTATGGAGGTTTTTGCACAAGTAATAATTCTTGTGTAAACGAGCTTTCCTATCAAATAGAAAACATGAAAGGAAAATTTCATGGCCCTGTCTGTGAGACACAAGGTGCAGATTGCAAAATATCATTCACTTGTAATGATTGTATTTTAGACACTGGTGCCTCAGCTTATATAATTCTAGAAGAATTAAACAGTTATTCAAGTGCTATTTCTGTAAGTGTTTCCTCTACTTCTTCAATTCCTAATGAATCAAGTGAAGTCTATAAGCTATTATACCCGTCAGATATTTCTCAGGTCTTTAGAAGCCATACTCCATCTCAATTTACTTTCCAAATGATCCCTTCTGTTTTTCTTACAGATTCTTCTAACTGAAAAGATGGAGAAACAGGATATCATGTCTCAATGCCAGTTAGCCCTGTAGAAGGAGTTACACATAAGGTGGCAGAGTAAGTCATATTCAGGATTCACGTTGAAACCTCGCTGAGAGCAAAAATTCTTTTGAATTTGAGTGACTCAGGGTTAGTGACGTCAAGAAATTATAAGCAAAGCTTTTTTGCTTTGATTAGCAGTCTTTTAGGAGCAATCTCTGGGCTTATTCAAGCTGGAGGGTTTTTAATGGGATTTTATGAAGGAGTGTGCAATAAAATAGCACACAAAAGGCAAAGGATGCAGGAATTGGAAAATATTAAAAACAACAGAGAAGATCTCCACATGAAGATGCCTCAAATATCAAAAGAAAGTATTTTTTATTTGTGGAGCTTGGAGAGTTGAAGATGGGTGATTTCCTGATGGCCAATCTTGGAGGAATGCAAATTGGTGATTCACTGGGAAAAACAAACTCAGCTTTTGCAACATTGAAGAGCTCTGTGTTGTGTTTTTGTTTTGTTGATGTTATTATATTTGTAGTAGTTGATGTAGTTGATTCTGAAATTGATGCTGAAGTTGATGCTGAAGTTGATGCGGAAGTTGATGCTGAAGTTGATGTGGAAGTTGATGAAGAAGTCGAAGCTGAAGCTGAAGCTGATGCTGCAGTTTTTGCTGTAGTTGATGCTGAAGCTGAATTTATTAGTTAGTAGTTGGTCCTTTTATATGTACAATTTTCATTTTTTTTCCAATTTTTGCCAAATCTTTTATTTGAACTATACTTGCGTAATATTAGTGTATCTTTGACCCTGAATTTCCAAGCCGATTCTTCACTTTAGCCATTTTTTTAGAAAAAAGCCTGGAGAATAGTCATGAGCTATCAGAGAGAGATTTGCTTTCTAAAAGAAGCGATGATCATTTAGTCAGGACCTCATCATTAATCAATACAAGCAAAGTTTGTCCGATAGAATAATAAAATAATTATCAATATGCATTTCCTTTTGCTTTCGATATTTTCAGATGGCCATTATAATAAATATATTTATGGCTTTTATATGATGAATCACTTATCTTATATCATGCTGAGACAAGTGGGTCCTTCTGATACTTTATGCATTCATGTTAAAGCCTAATCAATTTGGCATTCTCTATATAACTTTTAAGATTCCTTTGCTGCCTTAAAGTTAGTATTAAAATTTACTGTCTTAGCACCAAAAATTATTGAAGGCTTGAGGACACAAATAGATCTGCGATTTAGATTCAAGCATTAGGCTTAGTTTTAAGCAGCAATCACCTAGGCTGCATCATAAATTATATCTACTCAGCCTCTATTTTATTGACTGAAGAGTTTAGTTTAATATTGGTCCAGCTTGCAAGCTCCAGGCACAACCAACTTCGCTGTGTAAACGCACCTTTCAGGCTCCTCAAGCCCATAAAGTCTGACTGTAGGACCACACTCCAATGTTAACGTCAGCGATCTCTCTGGCCCAGAGTAACATCTGTCTCCTCCAGTGAACGAAATCTTCTGATAATCCTCAGCAAACCCATTCCACCTGCCAATGAGAAACTGGCTTGAGCCTTCTTTTTGCACAGCATCCTTATAAAAGCAGACTGTATACGTGTATTTAGCTTCCTTATAATCAGTGCAAAGCCCAATTAAGTTCCAGAACTCTTTTTCTTTTCCAACATCATAAGTCAGCTCGTCCTCCAGATCTTTGATTTTGTTAGTAGCTGACACAACCATCTCATCCATTGTGTTTCCGATTGACTCAAATTTTTCTTCTGACCCTTCACTGCATCCTTGGTGCTCATTCAAGTACTTAACGACAGTCCACGCAGCCTTTTTCTGTTTTTCTCCAGCTTCTCTCAGCTCTTTATGTTTCTTAATTTCATACTCCTTTGTCTGCAAATTTACTGATGCCTGAGCAATTACAGCTAATTTTGCTACAAGTCCTTGTTGCCACTCTGTATATTTTTGCCTTAAATTTTCCTGAGACTTCATCTTTTTATCCTTGCAGTTGTGAGGGCATTTTCCTGGTTCTTCGTCAGATCCATCACAGCAATCCTAGATAAGTCATACCACAAATTGAGTCGCCGACCATTGAAGAAGGGATTGTAAAAGGGCTGTATCCGTCCTCAGCACAGTAGAACTGCCCATTCTTGCAAGCAGAGGTGCCAGGCTCATCAGATCCATCAGTGCAGTCGCAGAAATTGTCATTAATAAAGGTTGCTGGGACGTCTAAAGAGCCATCCAGGCAGCTAAAGACTTCTGCTTGATATAAAGATTGCACTAAATCGCAATTACTTTTTGGAGAGACTCCTAGAATTGAAGCTCCAAGTGCTCCAGTAATGAAAAGCCAGAACATATTTAAGTAATTAATTTAAATCTAATTATTCTTTTTGTCACTGCCAGTCCAGGTATTCTTAGCAGTGGAGTATCCCTTTATGAGCAGAAAAACTGTTGCTGGCATAGCTGGGATTAAATAGTTCCAGTTATTGAAAAAGTAGGGAATTGTGAGAGGCCAAAAAATTCATATGAACACAAGTGGAGAATAAATCAAATCTCCGAGAAGTCCCCAGTTCTTTAAAAAGCTACCACTGATTATTAGAATTTTCTTATAAGCTCCGAAGATTTTCCCACTTGGTTTGATTATACGATAAAAAATTTCTAGCACTTTGCAGATTTTTGATGTGATCTTGATGAAAAAATAGAAGAGATATTTGAAGGTCAGATGAGGCCTGAAATAAGGGAAATGAGGCATGTAGACAGCCACTGTAGCGATATTGGTTCACATTACTGCAACAATAAAAGCAAAAGATAGATTATAACAAGGATACCATAGCTCGTAAAAATCAGGCCTGAAATGCCAGGCAAGCAAATAGGGGGAAAAGACTATGAATATCTTTGTAGGAACAATAATAATAGTCATGATCAACTGCAAGAAAAAGGCTATGAACTTGTATTTTGGAGGATTTGTTGCCATCACTAAGCCTTGCAGAGGAATTGCTGACCCAAATGATAAAGCTTTTAAGATCCAAAAATCAATAGTGCACACTATAAATGCAAAATGCTCTACAATAATTAGCAGTAGCATGGAAGCTCCATATGGAAAATTCAACTGAATCTTGTGGAAACTCGTTGAATTCTGCACATTTGGTTCGAAATTTGCGATGATCCTTGATGAGACATAATCAGCGGAAGAGTTATAGCCCATATAAAGCTTGTACTGGAGAAATGGGTATCTTGGATTAGCAAAATAAGCTTTGTAGTCTTTCTTCAAAAGAAGATAGGTAGTTAGCTTTAGTGGTAGCACCAATAAGTGAGGGAATCTGAATAGACTCATATAGTGTTTGCACCATTATAGCGTGCCTTGACGTATGCTTCTCTACACAGCTTGGAGCTTTGATGAGCTACCTAAAGGTCACAAGTCAACTCCAAGTGGGCAAAACACATCCTTTTTACAAGGATTCCCTTTAGTTAGCTCATCAGAGCTCCAAGCTGCTGTAGAGAAGCATGAATCAAGGCACACTATAGCTGTGCAGACGCTATAACGAATTCTTCTAAAATAATCGCCCTCGCTCCCATCCTGTAATCTCTTTCTTGCTCAGACAAGTTCACCATCCTATTCTGCTCTTTATAATTCAAAAATCCTTCCACTGCAAGCCTCTTATAGTTATCTTCCCACTCAATCTCTTTAACCGAGCTTTCTGGCAAGTGTGGCTTCCAGTATGCTTCATATTGATTTTTCCAAACTGGTGCAAAGCTTGTTAAATCATGGAACTTCTTATTGGCCTGAGCAACATTGCCCAAGCTTTCTATGTCTAAAAATGATGAGACATTGAAAAATACGTTTTTGTTCAATTTATCGACCACACTTTTCTTGGCGACTTGATTTTTTGGTTTAGGTAGCAGTGACTTGACGTAGCTGAATAGGATGATTCCTCTTCTGTCTTTGTATAGTAAGCAGAACATCTTAATTCGCCTAAAAAGGTTTGGGATTTCAATCAGCATCAGAAAGATAAGGCATATGATAAAAAACATCATCACGTCAATTAATAGCTGCACAAACTTCCTGAAGACTTTTCGGAATAGGGAAGAAGTAACTTGCTCTTCGTGCCAAATTTGTCTGATGTGAGTTATTATGATTGATGCAATTTCTGCTGTTCGCCAAACGGAGAGAAAGAGGATTATACTAAATATCAAGGTCAAATAGTCTTCAATAGGCCGAAATCCGTTCTCCTTTATATGTTGTCTTTGCTTCTTGAGGTTACTGATGCCAAAAATAAATGAAAAAGTGTAAAAAAGTCTCCAAGGAGTCAGAATCATAATAAGGATATATGGAGAAATAAGAATGTCTTGGTAAATTTCCCAACATACTGCCTTCATTAAAAATAAAAAGTGTTTTTCTTTATAAGATTTTCGCCTCTTAGATATCAATCTGATCCTGTATAGCGTTCCAAGTATAATAAGGAATAGAAAAAAGCCAAATAAATCAAAAAAACAGATTCTAGCTAAGCTTAGCACCTCCTTTCTTCAGCTTTCCTGCTTTTTCTTGAAAATAAATGGCAATGACCTTCATAAAAGAGGCAAAGTTAGCATAAATAAGAAAAGACAAAAAAGGTCTTTTAGCTCATTTTTTACTTCTTTAAAAAGGTCTCCTGCAGTCTTTCGGTAGCTCTCGCTCTTGCTGAGGAAGCTACTTAAATTGAATTCCAGCTGGCTTAGTCTATAAAAAGGAATTATAACAATCAGGGCCTCAAATAGAATAAGTGGGAAAAGCAAAATGTCAAATGCGTGGCTGCAGATTTCAAAGAAGTAATCAATTTCTTTCTTTTTCTGCTTTCTTTTATCTATGCCAAAAGTGGCAAAAAATGCAATAGATCTGACAATAGTGCAGATAATCACAATAGATAGCAAAAATGCAACGATCAATAAAACTAGCCTCACCATTCCTTTGAAAATTGCTTCTCTACTTAACTTTTGCTGACTAATGAGCTTATATGCTCTTCCTGATTGAATCACTGACTCCTTCTCTATGAGTGAGCAAATTTTTTGAAAGGGTATTTATTTTTAAATATAAATTTTATTCGAAATAATCCCCATTCAAAAAATGGAAAATAAAAATTAATTTAATTTATTTGGAGCTAAGCTGTTTAAAATATAATAGAATTACCTAGAAATTTTGTGATAATATATAATATTTTTATATAAAATTGTTTTTTTCAAGAAATAGAGATCTCCAATGATTTTACTCGCTCAGAGAAGTGAGCAAAGCTCAATTGCAAGCATAACAATAAAAGGCAAATCAATGGCTCCTTGGAAAAAATGATAAACAGCTAATCTGATTGTCTCAAAAAAAGACAAAGTCCTCTTGTCATTAATGTATAAATAATATCTCCAAGGGAAGATTAATAGAATGATGTGGAATGGAGATTTCGCAAGATCAATTACTTCTTCTTTGATTACCTTCAAGATGAACTGAAAATATGCATCAGCAGTCTTCGGCACTCCATTCATATGGAAAATCCCAAGCACTGAAAAAACAGCCACTATTGTCAGGATAAATGAAGTGAAGTCTTTTAAGCCTGAAACAATTAAATTCTTGAGTTCTGTTTTTCTGCGCGATGGGATTAGAGATAAGCTCTTTTGTATTAAGTAGATGGTAACTATAATTTCTAAAACTGTGAAGGCCAAGGATAAAGCAGCCAGTTCTTGGTGTCATAATAGATAAATTGCTAGAATTCACAGTCATAAATACGCAAAAACTGTCACAAAAATGAGTCCAGTTTTGAGAATTCCACTAATGCTCCATTCGATAAAGCTTCGTCTGAAGTTTATTGCTTGAAGAAGAACTATGTATACTTCTATAAAATTTGTCAGCAGAACAGATAGGATCTTCACAGAAGATTTGGTGAGAAAAACTGCGCAGTTAAATGGAATGCTGAGCAAATAGACGGCAATTGGCTCTCGAGACATTTTTATTATTTGAAGTTGAAATTATTGTAAACACAAAATCCTCTAGATAAAATAAGCTTAATTTAATTTTATTGATGAAGTTAATAGTCTAATAAGTATAATATAATTCTTTTATTTTGAAATTGATGAAACTGATTTTTTCTATTCCTGATATATGATATCTCAATTTATAACTGATTAAACTGATCTTTTCTATCCATAATATATAATATTGCAAGCAGCATGAAGAATAAAAGATATAGCGTTTAAAGAGCCAGTTACATTAATAGCATTAAGTCACTATATTATGCTATTTGGAGTCAAACACTCTAACAACAAGTCCTGACCTTGGTTTTGGTTCAAACCAGGTCGACTTTGGAGGCATAATTAACCCTGCATCTGCCACAGCCATCACCTCTTCAACATCAACTGGATAAAGCGCAAATGCCACTTGGCAATCTTCATGACACCTTTTCTCAAGCTCTTTCAAACCTCTGATCCCTCCTACAAAGTCAATTCTGTCGCTCTTCGTAAGATCATCAATTCCTAAAATTGGTTTCAAGCATAAATTTGTCAGAATTTGAGAGTCAAGCCTCTCTATTGGATTCTGCTCATTTACTTCTGCCTTTAGCCTTAGTCCCCACCATTTCCCTTCAAGAAACATCGAGAACATGTGCTTTCTCTGAGGCTTGGGGTCAATGATTTCAGACACTTCAAAGCTACTTGAAAGCTCAGAAATCAGGGTTTTACTTGATTTCCCTCCAAGATCTTTAACAACACGATTATAATCATAAATTTTGAGCTGATTGTGAGGGAAATGAATCGACAAAAAGCTGGACGAATTTTTAATATAAAAAAAAATTTGCAAAAAATAACAATTTTTTTTATTGGAAAATTTGCCCTTTTTTCCAAAAAAATTGCGGTTTTTTTGCAAAATTTTGCCATCCAAAAAATCACCCGAAAAGCTATTGAAATCTTCATCACCTGTAATGTCTTTTCCTTCTTTAATAGCTTGATCTTTGAATTTTCTTGCCACATTATAAGCAGAAGCTGCTCTATGATGCCCATCAGCAATATAGCACTTGTCAATCAGCTTAAACTCATCTATTATCTTTCTGTTTTCTCCTGTATTGCACTTTCAAAGCCTGTGCCTTACCTCATCATTTGTGGTTACATCAATATGCGGTTTCTTTTGTATAATCTGCTGTACAATATTATCGATTTCAGCTTTTGCTTTATAAGTAAGAAAAACAGGTCCTACATTAGCCTTCTGCGTTTCAGTCAATTTAGTTCTGTCTTGTTCCTTTTTGGCTCTTGTGAGTTCATGCTTTTTAATTATTGCAATTTACTGTGGATGGCACTGTTTTTTGGCCTTGATTTTCCCACTGGAAAAATTTTTTTGGTTCGACCAGTACCATATGGTTTGGTCAAACCAAAAAATTTTTCCAGTGGGAAAATCAAGGCCAAAATAATAACGCCATCCATGGGAAATTAGAATAAATTGTTAGAGTAGTCATCAATTGAGGACTCTGATACAATTCCGATTTGGGTTCTTGAGTTCATCGTTAATTCATAAATATACAGTCGCCTTACAGGCTCTCTGATAAGTCATCCTCTTCTTATGAATTTTTGTAAATTTTCATATCCTTTTAAGTAAACAGCTTCAGAGTATGGATCAGTTTCAGGACTCAGCTCGATTTCTGGCTTATTGACACGCAGAAATGAACATTTGTTATTTTGAGCCATAATTCGAGCTTCATTGCTGTCAAGGACATCATAGGGAGGAGAAATTATATATTTTGCGAGTTCTGGATTTGCGATATATCCTCTAAATGCTGAAATGCTTATTGTGCGTTTTACAAGTCTTGACAGCATTTTTGATGTTACTGTTACTCTCAATAATAAACGAGAAAGCAATTAAAAATAAAAGATAGATAAATGAATACCCAATATTAAGGATAAGTCTTTTAAGTATAAATTGAATAAAGCCCATTTCCCTTGTAGCCTCATGTTGGACACAGCTCTGATTAACAATAAGTGAGACAAGTCTAATCGCCGATCTGTTTCTGTCCCCAAACATCTTAAGACCTCTCTTTCTACAGCAGCCTCAGTATAGAGCACTTCTCTTCAAGCTGAGACTCTCAAGAAAGTCCAGGACTTCTCTCACTGAGCTTGGTTGTAGGGCCATGTCCAACCCCTAACTGCCATTTAAATTGCGCATAAGTCTTAAATGAACCCCTTGCTCAATAACTAAAGTAATAGGAGTAAGATAAAATCTAGACTTAAAATTAAATAATCAAAATTAGAGCTCTAATCCTTAAAAGATTAGAACTCAGCTAATTATCTAATTCCCCGCATTTAAATTGGAACAAAAAATCCTGTTCTATTTTTAAACAAATTTATATTAAAATCTTATAGATAAAAAAAATTAATATTAAAAAATATAAATTAAAACAATAATTTTTATTTGTTTTATTTTTGCAAATAATTAATTCAAAAATTAATCTATCCACTGTGAAAGTTGTTTAAATAATATTCTACTAGCACTTTTTTCATTAAATTACAAATAATATTAGTATTTTTTACCTATAAATTTTTCTTATTAAAACATCATTTTGTTCCAATGAGGCTAAAGTGCCCCAAAAAATGGAAATTTTGCTCAAATTTAAGGGGAAGTAAGCCAATTGGAATAATAAATAATGGTGAAAAGTGACCCTACACTCGCAATGCACATCAGAGAATACGTGATTGCAGGCAGAAGACTCCCATCAGAAAAGGACGAGAACCCTACCATTTACAGGATGAGAATCTTCGCAAGTGATGAGGTCAAAGCTAAATCGAGATTTTGGTATTTCGTCAAGAGAATGAACAAAATCAAGCCTTCCCATGGAGAAATCGTTTCTGTGAAAGAAATCAAGGAAAAAAGAACTCTCCACGCCAAGACCTATGGGATCACTTTAAGGTATGAGACCAGGACTGGAGTCACCAACATGTACAAAGAATACAGAGAAACCTCATTGTGTGGTGCAATTGGAAGACTCTATATGGATATGGCTGGCCGCCACAGAGCAAGACCAGAAACCATCCACATCGTCCACACCAAGGTCTTACATACTTATGATCAGGTCAAGCGTTCAACTACAGGACAATTTTACAACTCCAAGATCAGATTCCCATTATTGCACGAAACAGTGAGAGCACCTTCTAAAGCCTTGAGATCAACCTTTGTGGCAGCAAGACCTCTTACTCGTAGTCACTAACTAATATGTTAGCTAAATTAAAGGAATATGAATAAAATAAAAGTAAAGTAAAGATCTCAGGCAGAATATTTGTCTTAGATAAATAGCTAAGAGTGTCTTATTGCTAAATAGTCAGATTAATATTACTATCCCTCTTTACTAGCAAGCGAAATGTCTTTCTAATCAAGGAGATTAATTTGATTTTTAATTTTATATTAAAATATATTTAATTAAGTTTGATTGTCTTGAATTTTTTTTTTGTTTGGGTTATTCTAAAACAATTATATATATAAAAAAATTCTTGCTCAGTAAGAATTTTAATTTTCCAAAAAGTAAATACATTTTTCTCATGGTTTTGCTTGCTAGCCAATGGAAGCATTAGCATAAAGATAGAGCAATTATGTATAAAAGCAGAATGATCATAAATAAACCAACTAAAAATTATATTTATCTAAATATCAGGAAACTTGCGCCTTGATATGACTTGAATCTCATCTCCAAGTCTCACAGTTCCATGATTTAGCTTAACACAATGCATTCCAAAATAGCCTTTCACGCCATTCCCGTTGATTTTTCTCAATGTTGAAACAGGCTCGCCATGATAATCAAATTCCAAAGTTTTTGGGCTAATTGTTGTAACTCTGCATCTTGCGCATCTCCCAATTCCTTGAAAGTTCACATCATTGATCTTGAAATTCTCCCACCACTCTTCATCAAAAGGTCTTGGAGCTCCTCTTGCAATAATATTTGGTCTGAAAACGTGTATATTAATATCATTTCTTTTGTATTCAGGAAGCTTGCTTGCTGTTTCTGCAAAAGTCTCTTCACAGACTACCAAAAATTGGGCTGCATCAGGCGCCATTGTTTTAAAATCATCAGATACTGCACTTTCATATTGTTTGCAAGTACTGCTTTCACGCTGGGGAATAGTCCTGATTGGTCGGAAATAAACCACTGACTCTTTTAGGAAACCTTTCCAACTTCGGAAGCATCTGGTCGGCCACCCCAACATTGCCCTTCACCAAACCAAGATAAACCCAGCCGGATTACATTTCCAAACACCATCCTGCCTTCCTCAAGGTCCCTGCGCACACTGTGAGATAACATCTACAGGATCTAAGAGGGTGAGCTAATTTTCCACACAATTTCAATATAATTCTCAGAGCGTTCCCATTTATTACCCCAACTCCAAACAGTTATAATAATTAAGATATTCTTTGCGCTTATTCACGGCCCACTCACCTGCACATCTGAATAGATGGTATCTTGTATCAAGCTTAAGAGCATCTGATATCCAGTTGCTGACTGCTTCTCCTTCGTCTTGACTTTGAACAGGATTTTTCCATATTGGAACAGTAATTATCTCGCTTTTAAGCTCTTTTATTTCCAGATTGAAGTCTGGCATTCCTTCATAGCTCAAAATCATGTTTGTCAGCTTACCTTCCTCACTGTAAACTAATCTTGGCTGAATTTTAACAATTTGTGGATTTTCACGCTGGGTGATATTTTCCAACTTATCATTAGCTAAAAACCATCTCCTGTCTTCAATAAATCCATATTTTGAGATTTTTCCCTCATTAAGGTGGATTGCTCCACATCCTTTAATAGGGTAGCAGATTATATCTGTGACAATAATTGGACTAGATTTTTTGGACTTTACTCCATCCCCCCTTAAATTGGAACGAAAAATCCTATTCCAATTAAAGGGGGTTAATTTACTTTATGGAAAAACAGGTTTAAGATTAAAAATAATTAATTTATTTTTATAGAGAATACTTTAAAACGTGCCATTTTTAAAGTAAAGTCTACTTGAACTTTATATATTAAATTTAATTAAAACTTTTTTATATAAAATTAGTATTTTTCCTATAAATTTTCAATTGAAATTCCAATTTAAACTAGGTTCATCTAGTCTAAAATTGGAAATATTTTGTTCTAATATCAAGGGGGGAGCTAAGAAAGTAAATAGCCAATATCAGCAATAGTCCTAGGATCAGGTATGTGTAAACCTCCATATTACAATTAATACTAAAACTAGTGAACTAAATGTTTCATATTTATTTGTTGATAAAAAATAGTTTGCCCTAATTTAAAACCAGGCAAAACGGTAGTTTTGGGCATTATTATACGGAATTAATTAATTTTTAAGTCCTGGCGTTCTGCTCAAAAAATCTATACCCAAGTTGTTGAAAAATTCATATGGAATGATTTTTTGGCTGGCACAAGATTTGGGCTGTAAAATGCTGGCCCTGGTGTTCGCTTTAAATCAAAAAACTTTCTTTCGCTTTCATCTCTAAACACTGCATTTGATGCTGGAAATTTATGAACACTTTCAGAAGGCTCATAAGAACCTGGGCCAGGCACTATTATTTCGTGCTTTCTACTGTGAATTGGCTTCCCGAATCTATCATTTCCTCCTTGGATAAACATAAAAGACCCCTTATCTTTTGACTTTTCTCTGCTGATTTCATATTCGCCAGGACCAGGAGATACACTATCTGTAATTCTGCCATGAGGATCATATAAATTAATAGGATAACGCTTTGCATTGACTGGCTGGCAAAATGCAGCGGAGTTTTTGGTCTGATCTTTTTGTTCCACAAAACTGTCTGTATTATATTTTCAAGGAGGGGGAGACTCAGAGTTGCTGATTTCCATTCTTTTCGCTTTGCTTTTAAACACTGACGTAAAGCCACTCTTCAAAATTGTATCGTGATAGACTGGGTCATATTGCCCAACCCCAGGAGATTCTGTTTTGCTAATAAGTGAAGCATTTTTCGGTGTAATAAAAATTGAACTTATAGATTTCTCGCTATTTTGAGCTTGAACTGATTTAAGTACTCGAATTGTTTTAAAAAAAAAATATATTAAAATTTTCTCTATAAATTTTCTTAAAAATTATATGAAATTTAATTTATTTTTTATAAAGAATTAATTCAAAAATAAATCGATTCTGTTGAAAACAGTTTAAAATAATATTTTATTTGCCGCAGCTTGAACTGAATAAAACCCTGGCCCAGGGGCAAGCGTGTTATATTGGAACTTCTTAAACCTTGCTGTTCGATTCACTAACCCTCCGTAGCCTTTTTTGCTCATTGACGGACTTTCTGATTGAGTCATTGTATAATCCCCTGGGCCAGGACTTTTTGAGACATCCCTAGCAAATCTCTCAGCGCAAGCCCCAAAAGCTTCTACGCTTGACTTCGGGCTCAAATACTTATCATTCGGAGTCGGTATTGATGGTTGCGAAATTCGGTTGAACGCATCAGCAATGCTTCCTTTAAAAACTCTGCCAATTGCTCCTTTCCCTACTTGACGAAGAGAAGCTTGTTCTGATTCTGCCATTTGATTTTTAAGTGAGTCAATTTTATTAACTCCCCCCCAATCCTTGATCGAATGATTGACTGTAAAATTTCCTAAAAATTGGGGAAATTAACCCCCATCCTTGATCGAACGATTTTCATATCATGCAAATTTTATATATATATAAAAATATATTAGTTATCAAAAGCTTGGAAGATGCACCTAATGAAGTTGTTTTCAGAGGCTTTGAGACGACAGAAAGCTACGAAATTAACCATTCGAAGTGATTTAGTCATCAATCTAGGCTTAAAAACTCAATAATCTAAAAAATAGGGATTTTTTAAAATTTAAAAAAAAAAAAAATTTAATTCAATTAAAATTTATAGAGTTTAAAGGGGTGACTAATAAATCAAAATATTAAAAATTGGTATTTTTATGAAATTAATTCAATTTGTTGCTGTAAAAATAATTATTAAATACTCTTAACCCTCTTATTTAAAAGTAAATATATATTTTTTTTTTTATATATAAATTTTTTTTTCCAAAAAAATTTATTTTAATTCCTATCCTTGATCGAACCATGCGAGCCGCTTGATCAAGGATGGGGGGAAGTAAGAATCTTTTGATGTTTTTTTGATGAAATTATCGTTATTAATCAAAATTTAAAATGGAAACCCCTCGGCCCAGAAGCAATCTCAGACCAGCTCTGCCTCCTCGAATGAGCTCCAAGGCACTGCTTCAGGCAGTTTTTTCTTCAAAAAAGCCTTTGCTACCAAACCCTAGGAGATCTCCTTCAATCACAAGTTTGAACTCTTCTACTTCAACTCGCTCGTCCTCATCAGCTTCTTCTCATCGAGACACCCCTGAATCCACGAGCCGAATCCGAACAAGATCTTCGTCAGAAACCCGAAAAAGCTATCATATTTTGAACAATATTCCTGCAGTATCTGCTGCTGCCTGATGCATAATGGAAGCACATACAGGACATGTCGTATATGGACACTGTGATATAGAGCCACGAGAAATTGCTAGTTTAACAAAAATAATGACTTGCTATGTTGTATTGAAATTACTTGCGAAAACAGACAAAGTTACAATGGATTCTGTTATCAAAGTTAGTGAAAAAGCCGCATCTATGATTGGAACCTCAGCAGAACTAAAGGGTGGCGACGAAATCACTGTTAAAGATATATTGCACGGCCTCATGCTGCCATCAGGAAATGATGCAGCTTGGGCACTTGCAGAATTTCTTGGAAGTTTTTTGAATCCGAACTCCTCTAAGCCAGTTTCTCATTTCTTAAGTGAAATGAATAAAACTGCGAGAGAGCTTGGACTTGATAATACTTCTTATGGAAATCCTCATGGGCTTATTTATAAAAGAAATCTGTCAACAGCACGAGATGTCTGCAAGCTTGCAAGTGTAGCTATGAAAGATGAAACGTTCAGAGGAATCGTAGGCACAAAAATATATACTGCAGATATATGAAATAATGGGGAGAGGAGAGAAAAAACATGGGAAAACACTAATAAACTTTTGAATAAAGGGTTTGAAGGTGTAAAAACCGGAGTTACCAACAAAGCTGGCCCGTGCTTATGTGCTAGCTTTAAAAAAGATACAAGAATGATCGTTGTTTTACTAAATTCAAAGTCTATGGACGCTAGGTGGATTGAAGCCAAAAAACTAGTGGAATGGGGCACCGTCAAGTACTCCTGCAAGCCATAGTGTAAATAATAATTTTCTGAAAAATCGTTATATAAATATTATTAAGAAAGACTTCTTTTCGATTCTTGGAGATTTCGAAAATTCTAAATTAAAGTTACAGAGCATGATCTCTCTGTTGTTGCAATTGGTCATTCTTTCTCGACCAGCTTTTTAGCGAGATTAATTCTAGTGACTCGAGATATTCTATCTCGATAAGTAATTGAATTTTTATATTCTTCATCAAGCTTCAGAATTATTAAAATGGCGTGATCTGACGTGGACTCCTGGTGACCTGTGAGTTGATCCAGGCCCAGGAAAGGCAAGCCACATGGCGATAGTTCTCCGGGGTGGGTTTTTTGACTTGGGGCTGACCCTTGTCTTTTTTCCTTACCTGCAAGATGACCCTACTGGCGCAAAATCCCGATACTACTTCATGGGAGCATTACTGAACTGCGATACGGTTCTGACAGGGCATGGAGAAGGCAGAAGGCGTTCCCCTGTACCCTGAGCCCTGTTAGAGGTTAAAGGGATTTTCTGCTGAGATTCGGAGACCCTGACCGGGTGGGGTGGCTTTTCCGAAGACCTTCGACGTCACCATTTTTTGGTGACGTCAGAAAGGAAAAAGGTGTGTGAGGGATAGCGCTTAGCGTCACTGCGAAGCTATCCGGTGGACGGTGAGGGGCTGAAATAAACCCCCTGCGACCAACTATAACTTTATTCTAATCTAATCTAATCATCAAGCTTCTTAAAGTTAAGTTGTGATTCTTTTGTGATAAGCCGAGCTGCTAAGTTATAGTTTTCATCATCAATTTTCTTACTCCCCCTCTGTGAGCGAACAAAAATATTGGAAAAATCCCTATTTTTTAGGTAAAAACCCGCCCTCAGTGAGTGAATAAAAAAAAATTTTTTAAAAAAAATAAAATTAACACCTCCGTGATCGAACAAAATTTTTTGCTCGCTCAAGGGGAGTTGGCTTCTTTTTTTCGGTATTCCAAATTCAGTGATTTTATTGGAGTTAAGCTGCCAAAATTGTAGTTTCCTTTAGATTTAGAAATTTCAAGCAGCTTATAGCGAAGCTTTGATGGAGACTTTTTGAAACTTTGAGGGGTAGAATTATCGATAGCTTTTCTTGCATTCTTGATGTTGAATTTGTGCATCAGCATATCATCGTGCCGAGTTTTCATCAAAACAACATCGCTATCCATATAATTTCGTGATGCTATTGTTGCCATTTAGAGTTATTATTTTATTCCTATAAAATACCACCAACTGCTTATTTACTGAACACTGCAATGCTCACAAGCACTAGAGGAAGGTCTTGAATTAGAGCTCGTTTTCAACGTTTGTACTTCTTTTTGCAGTCTCGCATTTTCCATCTCCTGCTCTCTTAATTTTTCCAAAAGATCACTAATCGGCACACTGCTATCATTCTTATTTTCACTCGTCTGAACATTTATTTTCTGATGATTTAAGCACTCTAGCTCGCTTGATAGGGTTAACACTTGGCTTTTTAATCCCATTTGTTCATTTCTCACCTTATCTAGCTCTTCTTCAAGCTTCATTTTTTCAGAGTTCAATGATTTTCGCAGCTCCACTTCTCGACTGATCACTCCTTGTTTTTCTGCTTCATTTTCCCTTTCAATTTCTTCCTTGAGATATCGGGTATAGCATGGGATACAAATACGTTCTAAGTTATTGGTGCTGGGATGAATTGCAGTCAGAGGAGAACAGCTTGAACACACTGCTTGATAACAGAAACGGCTGAATAAACACTACCAAGTATGCTTTTGGACAGAAACTGGGCCACCTTTTGCAAAGTTCACATTGCATATAACACAATTATTTTGTGTTTTATAAGCTTTTTTATTTACTGATTTATCAATGCTTGATACTTTTAAGACAACTTGGGGAGAAGCTTGTAAAGAACTTTGGGTTTGAGAGCTGCTTAGATCTTGCACGGAAAAATCGGCCATGGTTATGGATTATTAATTCTTATAATTAAAGGTGCTCAAGCCTCTGAGACATATTAAGTGTTAGCGCTCTATTTTATACCTGTTTTAAGAGGTTAATTTATATTGCATGTTTAGAAACTAACTTTAAGGCCATTTTCAATTGTTGATAATGTATTAAGTTAAAGGCAATTCGAAAAACAAAGAGGATCAACCAAAATTTTTAATAAGTGGGGATATCTTAAGTTCTGAAAGCGAAATCATATAGATTTCTGATAGCGGGAATAGAAATTGATAATACGATACTTGGAGTTATGTTTTGTACAATGATATTAATAGATCTTGAAGCAATTTCATTTAGCATGAAATAATCGAAATCGTCATATGTAGCAAACTGGACAATTAAAATTAAAGATGCTTCTTGTATTGAACCCAAAAAGGCAGTGTCATTTCGAAATCTCTCTAAAAATAAAAGTACTAAAGGAAAGCAATATTAAGATCATCAAGTAGCGAGAAGAGAAGGATTTTATAGATTTGTAGCGAAATAAGTCACATGTCAAATAAAAGAAATTTTTTAGTTTTATATCCTATCTATAAAAAGAGAAGCACTTTAACTGATACTTTATTTGCTACTTGATGACTTTAATGAATTTTTAATATTTTAACTGATAATCTAACTCTGCACTTTTAAATTTATAGGCAATTTGTTTGCATTAAAATAACAGTTTATAAGCTTTATTCACTGATTTATGCTTTTAATTTGTTGAAAAGCTCTCAATGGATTTTGGCTTGAGAGTTACTTTACTTTTCAAAGATCATCGGCTATGATTTGGGTCCTTAATTTTCATAAATATTTCTCTATAGATTCTTTGCATGTTTAAGAAAAACAATAAATGCCTGCAATAAGATAATTATAACAAAATGAAAGCTAAACTGCATAGTGTTGATAAAAATTTAATTGCCAAGCAAAAATACCAACAGCCAGGACAGCGTAAAATCAAGCCTCAAGAAAATGCTCAAGCTCTTGAACTTGACCAATTTTTAAGCACTCGCCTTTCTTACTCGCTAACAGAAGCGAATTTAAACCTCTCGCATGTGGGAATCCAACTTTATGATCCGTTTACAATAGTTGATAGCACCCCAAGGTTTAGGACATTCCTAAATTTGAATGAGAAAAAAAATGGCTGATGGGAGAAGGACTCAAAGGCAAACTCCCTATGGAGCAGGTAGGGCATCTTCAGATAAAGCTAAAAACAGTGTGTGTAAATTTTGAACCAGGCCTTTGGGCTCGGTGATACCTGAGAAGGGGAAAGTTTTATTTCTTCCAAAGGTTTCCTGCTCCTGTAAAGACTAGACAGGTTTTGCCTACCGCATAGTCTCTCCTGTTCAGAACTCTGCTCAGCGCTGACCTTTGGGACAGGTGCTTCATCTCTGAAATACAAAATGGCAGTCTACCATTTTCCAAAATCAAGAAGACTCCTTTTTGAAGCCGAGACAAGACAAAGGCTAGTGGACTATCCCACTTAAGCCAGATTAATAATAACTTAGCATAAATTCGAAGATGATTTCATTAAGCTCAAAAAGCACCAAGAATTTAATGAAAAGAGACCCTTCACAAGTTCTAAGGGCGAAGTCGTATAGACTCCTCCCAACTGAAATCGAAATCGATGATAACGATACAAGACATTATGTCTTTTATGATGACCTCAGCAGATCTAGAAGCAAAAAGAAGCTGAGCCCATTAAATATGAAGAGATCGAAGTCGCCTTATGCAGCAAACTGGACAATTAAAATTAAAGATGCCAGCAGCTTGCATGGGACTAAAAAACGATCAGCGTCATTTAGAACTCCTACTGGAAACAGAAGCATGAAAAAGATAGGGATTTTGAGGTCATCAAGCACTGGGAAAAGAACAAAGCCACAAAGTCCTAATAAATCTTGTGCATAGATCCTTTGGTATCATAAATTAAAGTTTTTTCATTTAATGATAAAATTTAACAGTTATAGGGACTTAGGTATGATTTGGAGAAGTAAATAATCACTGAGGTAGCCCATAAAATAATTTTTTATTATTCAAGTATTAGCCTTTGTAAGCAGCCTTTGAAAATGATAGGAATGCAGGAGCTTTCAATGGCTTGTTTTGGCTTATCTCTGAGTTTACCATTATAATAAAGTTAACAATAACTTAAAATTAGTATAGCCCCTGAAATATTTTAGATCATTATTGGCCATCCATTTTAATTTCCAAAATTAATTTGTACTTGTCAGCTTTTTTGAAAAGTAAAAAACAAAATTGACAAATCTCCGTTTATGGTTTTAAGGTACCTAATCAGACTTATACTGTATAAGGTAGGTGCCCTGTACATATTTTTTCTGGTCGGTATTCTGCTGGGGTATATAGAGATCTATTAAGATACATGAGCTATATTTAAATCAAGAGAAGATTTATTGCTATATGGTTATATCTTATCAATAACCTAGCTTATAGATAATTTAGACTATTACAATTTTAAAGAACTTATATATCTACAAGAATAATGCACTTTCTTTTAATAAATAATTTTATTCTATTTCAGTAATAGTTTTTTTATTTAAATCAAATTTGAAATATCTTTTTTCAGGGTAGACTATGATATATATTCCTCCTTTGTTATATAAATAATTTAATTCATAAATATCGCAATTAATGTTTGTTTTTGCGATTTTTTTCCAAGTATATTCATCTTCTATTTCACTTTCATAGATAAATCTATTTCTGCCACATTCAATCAAATACAATCTCTCTAAATTTACCACGATCTTGAAATTATTTTCTTCAAAATCATAAGGAATTATTGAAAAAGAATCAATATCAATTGAATAAACCAATAGATTTGCATTTCTCCATCCAGAAATCACGATCTTTCCATTAAATATCACATTCTTGCACATATAATCAGCTTGTGGCATTTGAGCAAGCTCAATTCATCTATTGTTATCAAGATCGAATTTATTTGATAAAGTTAAATCATTACCTAGGCATGCTCCTCCAAAGCAATAGACATGCCTATTGAAATAAATAGCAGATGATCCATAGCAATACTTTCCAAATGGCAATTCTTCTCTAACTTCATAATTTTTCTTAATTAGTAGTGCATTCCCTAAATCTGGATAATACGCTCCAAAGCAAAATAATTCGCCATTCGGAATCTGAGCAATACATGTCGAGCAGTCTCATGGGCTTGTGGTATTGAGCAATTTGATGTTTTCTAATTCATTTTCAGTGTTATAAGCAATCAAATTAGTTCCTTCACTAGATTCACCAAAAATGTGAAGAGTTGTGATTTTATGGTAAGCGGAAATATATTCTAGGTAAGCTTCAATGAGTTTTGAATTAGAAGAAGGGCTCTGTTTTCCATATATAGAACAAATTCTTCTGAAATCTTGTTCTGTTTCTGCATCATTGCAGGCTTTGCTCAAGATCGCAGATGTTTTAAGTTTTAATAGTGTAGGATCCAATGATTGATAATCAATATTTTTAAGGGCTTCAGCAGAGTCAAGATGAGTATTTAGTAAATTGAGCTTGTCTCTGTTGTTGATTTTCATTATAAAATAATGACAGCTTGTCTAATAAAATAATACAACTTTTTACGTGCATATTTTTGGGAATCGAAGTCAGTCTTTACTCTTAAATTCACCTAAATAATTATTTAGTTTTTTTATATCAAAATCATTCTTCATAAGGATTGTTTTTGTTTTTGGTATTACATCAAAAAGAAGATGATTTAAAGATGTCATAAGCTCTATCTTTAGCTTCTTGTTTGCATTTCGTATCTGAGAAAGGCAAGAATTGTATCTTTTGATCCATTAGTTGGAGTTGAAAAAAAATCCTGCATGATTTCTATAAGGTTCCTCAGTATGCAGTTCTAAGTGATCGCTGCATTAATAAGTTTCTTAGATTTGCATCTGTGTACATACTCAGCTTGACGTTTGCACTATGTAATAAAACATTGCTTAATCTCTATTTATAATATATAAATACCATCCATTTCAGGACGATTATATATTTCAATTAAATATATGTAGAAATATTTTAAGAATATAAAGTATTTTTGCAAAGACAGTATCGTAATTTCTCCCATCCAGCATATTTTTTCTTTAAAATTATATCAATTCTAATTAATCTCATATAGAAGAGAATGATGGAAACCATTAAAATTAAAAGATTTCGGTATTTAACTCCTCAATTCAAGCAGAACTTTTTCTTTTAAATCAAATCTGACGTATTTTGTCGCGTATCACCCCTGCTTCAAATGACACATAATACAGTCTTTCTGCTCTTATAGGGTGATATTTAATTAATAAAACATTTCGAGTCTTGTTTATTCACGAGCTGAGCTATATAAAATATTATTAGCTTTATCACAATTTCTCTACTTAGATCTTTCTATAGCTTTTTTTCCTCATTTGCTTTAAAAGCCAGAGAATTTAAATAAAGGATGAAGCCTATTTTGATCGCATACATATTTAAAAAAAGTAAAGAGAAAGATGTTGAGTTCCTTAATTGACTCAGCTATCAAATTTTTTAAAAAACTGATAATATTTTTAATACCTTGGGAAATGTTTAATTTTCTGCTTTCATGCTCAATCATTATGAAGTGGCAATTTTGAATATCATTATTATTTGTTAATATGCGATTTGTCAGGAAGGTGATTGATAGCCCTTCATGTGGCAGTACTCTAATAGGTGTATTAAAAATCTCCAGGATAATCTTGGCCTTGTCTTTGATTCTTAAAATGAAGATGGAGTCTATTGTGGAGAAATAGTAACTCCCCCCATCCTTGATCGAACGGCTCGTCATCGTTCAATCAAGGATGGGGGTTAAAATAAATTTATATATAAAATAAAAAATATATAGTTTTTTTATATATTTTTAAATAAGAGGGTTAAGAGTATTTAATAATTATTTTTACAGCCAAAAATTGAATGAATTTTATAAAATACCAATTTTTAATATTTTGAATTTTTGGTTACCCCTTTAAACTGTATAAATTTTAATTTGTTTCTTATTGAATTAAAATTTTTAAAGAATCTCTATTTTTAGATTATTGAGTTTTTAAGCCCAGACTGATGACTAAATCACTTCAGATGGTTGATTCCGTAGCTTTCTGTTGTTTCAAAGCCTCTGACAACAACTTGATTAGGCACATTTCCCAAGCTTTTGATAACTAATATATTTTTATATATATAAAAAATTTGCATAATATGAAAATCATTCGATCAAGGATGGGTGGAGTAAGTGGAAAAAATAAAAATTGCTAGAAGGGCATGCCAATAAAGCGAAAGATAGCTCTTCTTGTTCCAGTGCACCAATAGCAGCATAATCTTGACTTATTTTAGTTTTAGAATAAAGATGGACTATATTATAGAGATATGGGATATTAAAATAGAAAAATAAGGGACTCGCCAATAAGGCAATTGATAGCCCTTAATGTGGTAGTATTCAATAGGTGTAGTAAAAATTAATTTATTTTGCAAATTTTATTTTTAAAATACAAGCTGTTTAAAATTAAAAAGAGTTATCTAGAGATTTCATTATAATTATTTTCACTTATATATCAAAATTTTGTTTTCATAAAAAAAATTCTTTTGTTTGCTCAAGGAGGATGGGTTTTTGGGCAAAAATAGGGATTTTTCCAATGGTTTTGCAGGCTAGAATGGAGGAGTTAACTATCTGTAAAACCTTCTATATCAATTTATCTATATCTTCTGCGCGCTTACTACGTTCTTCTCCTTACTTTGAAGAATTTAGGAGCCATCTAAAGGGACAAAAGCATGTCCTTTCAACAGGATGTGCTACTTGAAGCTTAATTGCCACCTTAGGTTGCTCATCAACTCTCCAAGCCTCAGAGAAGAAGTGTCAAGGCATGAAATAAGCTGGAGATACTATAGTATAGTTTTGTCAATAAATCTTAGATTTCAATTAATTTTGATCATCTATTTCAAAACGATTTCAAGCTCTCATTAAAGGGGCAGATATAAATATAGAACCCTCCTTTATTATATGAGCAATACACTTGGACAGGCAAACAGCCTATTGAAGAGCATGCTACTTGTTCCCACGTATACTCGTCTCCAATTTGGCTTTCATAGACTGTCCATTGGCGGTCACACTCAATCAAATATAATCTCTCTGCTCTGATTAGGATCTTTCTTTTATTCTCACTCCCCCCCCTTTAAAATAGAGATAAAATTTCCACTTTTTTGGTAAATTAACCCCCCTTTAAATTGGAACAAAATTTAATTTTATAATAAAAAAATTTATATATAAAAAAATCATAATTTTATGTAAAATTTTTGATATAAGTAAAAGTTTCTTCTTAACGAAAATTAAAAAATTTAGTTATATTTTGCTCTTGTTTAAAGAAGAGAGTATAAAAGCATCTTATTTAAATAAATTTATTATCCTTAATTGCTAAATTTTTTAAAATAATTTAATTTTTTTTTCCAAAAATATTTTTATTGTTTTTTGATAAAAATGATATTTTTTATTTAAATAATTTTGATATAAATTCAATGCGAAATCAAAAAAAAATTAAAAATTTAGTTATATCTTGCAAAATTTTAAAGAATAGAGAAGAAATAACATCTTATTTAAACAAAATTAGCACTTTGATCGGTAAATTTTCTAAAATTTTTTTTTTTATTTTTTTTTATCAATAAAAAAATAATAATTTTTGTGTAAATAGTTTTTTATTCCAATTAATAGTGGCGTATTAATTAATAATAAAAATTTAGTTATATTTTGCTTTGCTTTAAAGGATAAAGAGTAATAGCATTTTATTAAACAAAATTATAAATCTAATTCGATAAATTTTTGAAATTTGTTTTTTATAAAAAATTTTATACTGATTTTTTTGGTTCCAATTTAAAGGGGGGGAGTCAGTAAAATCATAAGGAACAGCAGAGAAAGAGCAAATTTCAATTGATAATTTTAATTTAGCTTAAATATGGCTTATTATATGTTAGAACTCCGCAGATATGAGGTGTAAATCCCTCCCTTATTTACCCAACTTTACACCACAGGCCATCTGGGCTGGGTATTAAGCTTTCCAAAGACAGTCCATTTTCTTGATCCCCAGCAACCTTAGGGGTCACTTGACTTTACCACTCACTTGTCTCTCATATGCTCTGCATAAGTGCTGATTGCTTTGCTAAGAGGACAGCAATGAAAAAAAATGGCTCCATTACTAAGGATCAAATCGTAGAGGCTGTGCCGTTACTAGCTTGTTTGCCTGATATAGCCAGACAAAGGTTCACTAGTAAATATAATCTATAAAAACGCTGAAAGATAGAAAATTTCTCACTGCCTGTGAGTGAACAAAAAAATTTTTATCGCTCACGAAGGGGGTTTTTGGTCAAAATATAGGGATTTTTCTAATGCTTTTGTTCGCTCACGGAGGGGAGGGAGTCAGAGAACTTATTCTAGCTGCCATTTCATTATTATCATTCCAATTGAATAGACCAAAAGATTCTTATTTAACTTTCCAGCAATTAAAATATTTCCATTAAATTCTACCTATGGCAGTTGAAATCAGCTTGCGGCATAGGGGCTAAATTGACCCATTGTTTTTTAATTAAATCAAATCTACTAGATAGATATGTAGCTTGGCAATGATAATCATATCCACCAAAGCAATAAACATTTCTATTAAAATAGATAGCTGATGAGCTTCAGCCAGGCTTTCCAGATTTATTTTAACTTTTTTTCTATTTCATTTTATTATAAAATAAAAAATATTCAAATTATTTCCAAATCCAGATGGCAGCAATCGATATTTAAAATTGCAATCAATTATTAAGGTAATCCCCGAATATGTAGAGTTTCCATAGCAGAATAATTCTCCATTTGGAAGTTGAGTTATGCTTGTACCCACATCTAATCTTTCTGGAACGTTTAGTCATTTCATTCTTTCTTTTCCACTTTCAGTATCATAAATAATCAAAATTTTCATTTAGTAATATAAAGGGAAGTGATTTGGCTGTAAGTATTGACAAATTCTTGATAAGCCTCGTTAAGCTGGGGGTTAGAGGTAGCATTTACTTTATTAAATTTGCAAATTTTTCTGAACTCTCTTTCTGTTTTTGGATTATTGGGTCTGCTTAAAAGGATAGATCTTTTAGATCTTAGCTCCTGAGGAGATAATATAAGGCTATCATTATTTTGATTAAATTGATTTTTAGTGACAATTGCTTCGTTAATTTCCCAATTGAGAGATTCTTCAGCCTGGTTTAGTTGAAAATTAAGCAATCGGATCTGACTTTGAACTTTGGGCTCCATATTATAAATCTTATATATTTGTAATTCGGAGCAAATTAAATAACGCTTCAAATCTTTTAACTATTGATTTGATTTATTTAAAGATTTAAGACTCTAATATTATCTTTTATAATATAAGAGATATACATAAAAATGGCGACAGCGTGCCACCCGACCTCTCAACCCTATTTTGTCAACACCTGCAAGCAACTGCCTAGTGGTGGCGATTTAGGTGGAAAAGGGGCTGGTAACCATTTCTGTATATCGGGCTAGGTTTTACTCGGGCCCTATGGAGCTAATCCGTGAGACTCGGGCTTTTACCTCCAGAACAACCATTGGGAAAGGACAAGACCGGCGATAGTCCCGGATGGAAGCTAATTCCCTCGAACAGGACTCAAGAGGTGGCATTTGCCTAACGAGAAACTGGGAATTTCGACCCAGGTGGTTGGCCTTTAAGCTCCAGGAGCCATGGAAGTCAAGACTGGTCATTTCGAATCCCTTGCTTGCGGCAACAAGGAGGGTGTCCACCAGGTCACCGCAGGTGCGATGAGTGTGTAGGGGTGGAATCCCCGGTTCTGCTAGGCGAACGGCGATAATTAACATTAACATAATATAAGAGTGTTTGAAACTTCAATAAGACCTTTATTGAAGTCTATTAAAACTAAAAATAGGCATTGGAATAAATTAAAAATATTCAACATGTATAAGTGCTGAGTAAAGCTTTTGGATTGAAGTTTTGCAGATTAATGTTTTATATTTAATTTTTTAAATTTTTCGGATGTAAAAAATCCAGATCTTTAAGCAAATATTTTATTATTTTTGTCAAGCATTTTTTATAATTATAAACCTATAATTATATTTAAAATTAACTTGTTTTAATTGCAGTTTATTTTTTTGTCACTTGAATAATAGAATATTACTCTTTAAAAATCAGCTCTAATATTTTCAACTATGACTTTGAAAAAATGAATTCTTAAGGTATTTATAACCCGCCTATGATAGGTAAAAATGCTTTCATACATAAAATTCTTAAATTAACAAATATTTGGATTATCGTATTCAATGCCCAGTTTAAAATAAATGCAAAAACTGCAATATGTTATATATATCTTTAAAATTTATAAATAATATCATGATATTTTTTAATTCAAAGCATTATTATTTTCAAACTTTTTTTGAACTCCTTAAAAAATTAAAATCAGAATTAAATTTTATACAAGTAAATGCCATTATATTTATGCTATCTTTACTGAATCTTATTTATGCCTTTAAAATGCATCAGAAATAGTGGATAAAATCTGTCATAAAATTGTTAATATGAATTTTCTTCACAGTTGATGCCTAAGATGTTTCACAGATAGTCCAAATGATCAAGGTGAAGCTAATAAATCTCCTTCCAAAGAAGACTCGTCTAAAGTTTATGAAGTAGTCAGCTCCTCAGAAAAGCCTCTAGAAATAGAAATAGAAAGCGTTCAATTAGATAAGACTCACGACCAAATTATGCACGATTCGAAATCCAGTGAAATGAACAGTCCCTCGGCCGCTCACGAAATTAAAATATCAAATGGGAACACTATAGAGATTAAAATAAAACGAAGCAAAAGAAAGAAAAGAAAAGTGACTAAACACCACAATGAAGAACAAAAAGAATCAGAAGTTATAATAAAATCGGAAAAGAAAAAACGAATTTCATTTGCTGATAATACAGAGCCTCCTCATCGAAGAGACTCAGCAGACACTTTGCCGCAGAGGAGAATGGCCAGATTTAAAACAATGGTTTCATCGTTTAAAGATCAAAGTCCTGATGTTCTAAAAATAAGATCATTCATTAAATCCTTTGGATCAAATAGCGCACAAGCACAACAGCAACAACAAGTCCCGAATTTCTTAATCCCCTTTAAATTTAAACAAAAGATAGATAAATTTCCATTTTTGGGTACGTTAACCACCTTAAATTGGGACAATTTTTCAATATGAATTTTATTGGTAAAAAATAATAATTAGTTTTAACCTAATTTAATCAAAAAAGCGCAAGCTGAATATGAGATTAGATTTAAGATATATCTGTAGAGTTAGAGCATTTATAAAAATGCTATCTGCAGCTTTAAATTATCTTTTTTTAAATTTAATTGATAAATAATCAGTTAGCTTCTTGATTATTTTTGTTGCCAATGATAAAAAAGTGGAAAAATTAAAAACCTAAACTATCCTTAATTTATGATTTTTAAAAATTAATTCTATGAATTATTGAAAATTGCAGAGTATCACACTATAATAAGACTATTCAGAATGTAGAACTGAGATTTCATTTTTATGCAAATAAAATATTCATGATGGAGCCAAAAAATAATTTAAAAGCGCAGAAATTAATTAGAAAATTGACAGGAAAAATTAATTAATACAATGTTCTGCCATCAACACTCATCCATTTCTGTTTTTTTACTTTTGACTTTTTCTTCAAAAGTCTTTTGTAAACTGAATCTTTATCAATACCTCTCGCAGCTTGTGCTTCTTCTGAATTGGAAGTCGGCCGATATTTGAAATCAAAAATTCCTTTAGGAGGGTCCCTTACTGAGTTTTTATTGCCTCCTCTCATTTGAATTTTTTCCAAGCTTAATAATGGCTTTGGAATATTTGGGGCTAGATTTTCATCACTCCCAACCTCAGTTTTTTCGAGAAATGTATAATCAACATCAATTTCGTATATCATTCTGCTTCACTTTTCAATTAGAAATTTAGAAAGTCTTTTTACAGTTTGAGTTTCATTAGGATTATGATAAATTATCATAATATTTCTTCCAAGCTCGCTATTTCTAAGATGCTCAGTCTCGATAGGAATATCTTGAATGGACTCTAACAGTGAAAGCTTCAATGGTGTTGAAGGAAAAGAACCATCAGGAAGCCTTGCCAGCCACTTTCCTAATACAAAGGCTCCATTCATGCTCAAAAATAGCATGTGATACTTCGCCACTTTTAAAAATTTCGCGACTTTGTTCAGTATCTTAAGCTTATACAAAGCGGGAAGACCTTTGAGATTTGCTTCAATGTCGTCATTGGCAGCTTTTTCCATTTCTTTTATCATATTGTCAATGATCTGCTCATCTTCTGCATCTAAAATAACTGTCCTGCGTCTTTTTGACTTGCTATTGATTATTGACTGAATAATTTCGGGGACATCATTGTCACTGTCCACATCTTCTTCTATTTGGGTGGATACTTCAATCTGAGGGATTTTTGAAGGAAGGTCCAAGATTTCTGGCATTTCAGAGTCTGAATCTGACTCTGATTCTGTGTCTGAGAGTGAGATTATATCTTCAGTCATTTTATAATGGTGTGTTTATATTTATTAAAATTGCTATGAATTTATTATGAATTAAATTGGCTGTAGCAAAAAGAAAGCACTATAAAAGACTGAATGACTTTTCTGCGCTATAATAAAAAATAGATGCTTTTGCTGATATTAGAAAAAGATATGACCATTAGTAACAAAGAAGTGATCAGGAAAAAAAGGCCTAACTATAAAAAGTAATTATTTATCTATTTTCCAACTCTTTGTTCACTGATAGAGTATTTAAATAAGCACTTGTAGAAATCAATAACTGTGTGTGTTGAGAACCTTCCCAAGTAATAAAGCTCCGATAAACTTATATAGCTTATGGGAATTCCTTTGTATTGCATTCCATCTCCTTTGCCAATCGATATTACTAGCTCAGATAATGGCAACCCTCTGTTAAGCTTCTCTGCTAATTCCGCCCTGTTAATTGTTTTACACTTTTCCGAGATTTCTTTAGTAATTCTTAAAATTTGTTCAATCCCATGGTTTGTATTTAAAAACCTCACTGTTATTTGCTGTTCATTTATTTGTAAGTCGTATTTTTTCGCGAATCCTGGAGAATAGAAAGTTAAATATTCAATATTAAGATAAGTGCACCATACACAATATTAAAATGGCAGTTATGGGATAGGTCCCTATACACCTGCTCTGTAGGTAAGGACCTATACTCGAGCTTAGTGAAAGAGGTCGATCCTCCTGAGAGTCTCGAGAGAAGAGAAGAGGTCAGTGCTGAGTCTGGCGCTGATCAGAGAAGTCTTTAGCGGACTTGTTAGCATTAACGGTTCGACGGTTAGGAAGGTCCACCTACCATTGTTCAGAGCTGTTAATCAAGTTGGACCTTAAGCAAGGAGACTGAATACAAAGTGATTTCTATTAAATTTAAACTTAAAGTGCACCAGTTTACTATATTTTGTAAGCATTTTTCTGATGGCAATTCTTCTTGAAAAGAAACTGTCAGGTGCTTCGGAACTCTTGATAGCCGATGAGTCATAAAAAATTGTTTTTCATTGCACTTATAGTAAATCTTGATGTAAAGAATGTACCAAAAAAATCTGAGCGCAAAGCATATGGCATGCTAAATTATAAATACCCAAGAATATATCAATGAGAGCAAGCCAAAGGAAAAAAGATAATACAAAAATTTTTGGCTGAACTTTTTGATCATGATGTGTCTTATTATTAGACATTTTAACAAGATGAAGGCAATATTTCGCCTGAAGTAGAATTAAATACAAAGTGTACAATTAAGCTTACATTGAGCTGAAAGAAAGACTTGTAAGTTTAACTCTTTCACTGAATCTAGGCTTGGCTGTTGTGGATTTCTCCCTTAATAACTGCAGCTCGATTTGCTTCATTTCATCAGGCTTAGGTGTAAAATTCTGCTTCACAATGGTGGAGTATTGTTTCATCCTTTCTGAGACCCATACTCTTTGAGCTTCGTGCTTTACTTCATCTAAATTAGTTAAAATTAAAATAAGAAGTTGGTCATAAGCGGCAACCTACTAGCCATTGCCCCCGTCTCAGCTCCGCTACAGCCCCAGAATAATTCTGATGCTACCATACTTCTCGCCGACGCAATTTTGGATTTCGACCTGTGACACCTGTCCGGGGGATCAGCTTTCTTGAAAAGAGCCACCGTCAGCTGAATGCCCTGATGGTCCCGATGAGAAAAGATCATGTGGTAAGCAAAGCCTGTCTAGTCCATCTGGCAGGGACAGGAAATCTTCTGGGTAGAAACAAAAACTCCCTCTTCGGCAAGGCATCCCCTGGCCTGAAGGTCTACTATAAGAGGGACACAGGCTCTTGCTTTCAGCTTCATCAGGATGGGTCCTACCTGCTCCATAGAGAGTGTGCCTCAGAGTCCAATTTCTGTCAACGTCACCATTTTATTTATTTTCTTCATCTAAAGGAATTTCTCGAAACAAATGATATCTCAGTTTCCCTTTTGGAGTTACCTGCTCTCTCACAACAGGCAAATCATCAGGCTTAGGCAAGTATAAGGTTTCTTCTCTAGGCTTTTCTTTTCTTTTTTTTGGAGAAAGTGACTGAGATTTTGTAGGCGAAGAAGATAGCTTGTACCCAGACTCGAATTGTGCTTGGATATCTGTTATTACGTCTTTTATTGATTTTTTGTTCATTTGCTTCGCAAATTCTTCAATTTCAGAGCGCTCGACTTGGGCTTCGGCTCTGACTAATGGGTCTGAGTAAGTTGGGTCAGATATTATGTGGACATTTAAAACGTCGCCATTTCTAGTGATGTGAGGAATTGTTGGAGGAGGAATTCTTTGTGCTTTTCTCATCATGGACTGGGGTATGTAGACTGGAATTGATATTTGTTTCTCGTCTGAGCCCAAAAATTCTTGATTTTGGTCAGGAATTGAAGGTGTCTCTGAATCTTCTTCTAAGTATAACTTCCCTTTCATCATTTGTTTAGCCTTTGCTTGCAAATCCCTCATTTGCTGAAGATGAGAATCTCCTGTGCTTCTTGTATCAGACAGCGACCGGCTTGTGCTCTGTTTGCTATTTGAATTTCGTGACCTTCTAGTTTTATTTTCAAGTTCTCTCAAAAGCTCATCTTCCAAAGCTTGAATTCTCTCAAGGTTTTTTCTTTTTTCTGCTTGTCTTTCATTCATTTCTCTCTGCCTTGATTCTTTTAAATGCAGTTTTTCAGCTCTCATTAGCTCAGCCTGCAATTTCTTTTGATTTTCAAGTTCAGCTTTTCGAGAAAGTATCATTTATATTTCATGATGAATTTGATTTATTTAAATTTGATATAAATAAATCCTATTAAAATCAAGTGATCTTTATTTTTTCCGCTTACAATAAAAATAATATGGACGTCTTGCACCTAATTAATTGCTTTATTCTCAGCTTTGGACCAATTTTTATTATTTTTAGAACAACAAGGCTTCGGTTATATGGGGTTCGAACTTTGATATCTGGGTTTGTCGGATATATAATAAGTGCAATGTTTAGCTTGATTTTTATTGATTTTAATACTAAATTAAAAGAATCAAGACCTATTTATGCAGAATTAATTACAGGCTTAGCAGGTTTCGTTGATGTTTTTATTCTGCAAGCGATTTTTTCGTGGAGGTCAACAAAAATAGGTGACAAGAACATCAAAATGATAAGCGCAGGCTTAGGCTGGGCTTCTGCTAAAATTATTGCAGGATATCTAATAAGCATCATCTCAACTTCCAAAGAAAGTGAATTTTCATGAGATTTCATCCAAAAATCAATTCTTGCTAACTGCGAAATCGGCCAAATGATTGCATTTGCGTGCTTAGTGTGGGTCACTGTCAATGGAAACAAGCCAGAGCGACTAATTGCCTGGCTTCTCATATCAGTCAAAGTCCTGATTTTTCCTCTTTCAAAAGAAGTGCTGCTTATAAAACACTTTATAGGAATCTGGGGCTCTTTGGTTTTTGAAGGGGCTTTTTCAATAATCCTTGTGCTCGTTACAAAACTTTTAGTAGACTTAGCAATACTTTAATATTAAATAGGCTTATAATAAATAGGCGGCATGAGATTGAAAATCAAGCAACCCGAAAACAGCCGGCACAAGGAAATGGTGACTGCAGTCGGCTGGACTTCGTCAAATGAGCTTTATACATGTTCAGACGATAACACTGTTATCGTCTGAGACATTAATGGAGAGTTTTTAAACATAGCTTTTTCATTAGACATCCCTGTTAATGATATTTCGTGGCAGCCAGCAGCTAGAGGCAGCTCAGAAACACTAGCCATCGCATGTGTTGACGGTAGTTTTAAAATCGTCAGCAAAACTGGAAGAGTTGAAAGACACGTAACGGAAGCTCACAAGGGAGCTGTCATTGCAATCAAATGAAGCTATGACGCTTCTACCATTGCTACAGCAGGAGAAGACGGCCAAGTCAAAATCTGGGCCAAAACTGGAAATCTGAGGTCTGCTATTGCACAGACTGACAGGTCGGTGTTTTCTCTGGCATGGTCTCCAGCATCAGACCAAGTATTGTACTCCTCCCATAAAAACATTTATATTAAGCATATCCAAGCAGGACAGAAGCAGCTTCAATGGAAAGCTCATGAAGGCTGCGTGCTCAAGGTTGACTGGAATCCTTCCAACAATTTAATTATTTCTGGAGGGGAGGACTGCAAATACAAAATTTGGGACACTTTTGGCAGAAACTTATTCAGCTCGTCACCATATGAGTATGTAATTACTTCTGTTTCGTGGTCGCCTAATGGAGATTTATTTGCGGTAGGGGCTTTTGATATGCTGAGACTTTGTGATAAAACTGGGTGGACTTATTCTCTGGTTAAGCCAAAGACAGGGTCGATTATGAATTTAGCTTGGAGCTGGGATGGGACTATGCTGGCAGGTGGAGGAGGTAATGGGGCAACTGTTTTTGGATATCTAGTAGATAAAAAGACATCCTGGCAGAATGTGGAAATCCAATTGCAGGAAGATAATAAAATATACGTTGTGGATGTTATTCATGAGATCAGTGAAGAGCTTGAGTTTAGAGATAGGGTTATCAATTTTGCCTTGGGATATGAGCATTTGGTGGTGACTACAACAACACAATGTTCAATATATGATGTACAGAATTGGCAGACTCCAAGCAGATTTGATATTAGAGAGCCTGCAAGCTTGATTGTGCTAGGCTGTAAGTATTTCGCACTGGTAGATTTAGTTAACGGGATACAAATATATAACTATGAAGCACGTCAGATGAGCAGCCCTAAGTTTCAAGGACTCCGAGTTGAGTTTTTGAGCAATAAATCTATATCGCTTTCAACAGATATAGTCACTGTAGTAGATACTGCAAACGCAAAGATGCTTACTCCACCCCCCCTTTCCGTGAGTGAACAAAAAAATTTTGTTCACTCACGGAGGGGGGTTAATTTTTTTTTTTTAAAAAAAATTTATATATAAATTTTATAAAAAATATTTTTTTTCGAAATTTAAAAAAATCCTAATTCGCAAAAATTGGAAAGCAAAATATTAATTCAATTTGCAAAATTTATGTTTTTAAAAAGCAATTTGTTTAAAATTAAAAACAGAATTAGCTCTATATTTCATTATACTAATTATCATTTATATATTAAAACTTTTTTCCATAAAAAAATTTTTCTATTAAAAAAAATTTTGTTCACTCACGGAGGGTGGGGTTTTTGGGCAAAAAATAGCGATTTTTCTAATGGTTTTGTTCACTCACGGAGGGGGGGGAGTTAGACTTTTTGACCTTATTTCAGGCAAGGCCCTCTCCCAAAACATTGAGCATAATCTAGAAATCCTTGAAGTGGCTGCCAATCAAGTAGATCACGCTGCAGAGCGCAAGCTCTGCATTATGGACAGCAATCGTGACTTGCTGCTTACTTCAGTCCACAAAAGTGAAATAACTAAACTGTGCTCAATGGTCGACTCTTTCAAATGGAATGAAAAAAGTGATATGCTAGCAGCAATTGCTGATGGAAAACTTTATGTTTGGTATTATCCTAATGTAGTTTACGTTGATAAAGACTTACTTCAACTTTCACGATTTTCAAGAGACGTTTCAAATGAAGTCGGAAAAATGTGTGTGATTGATAGCTTTACAGGGTCTTTGATAACTGTAAGAAGAATTGATGGTAGAGTTGCCACACTCTCCGTTTCGCCTTATCCAGCTTTATTATATGAGAACAGTGACAGAGGTCAATGGGAAAAAGCTATAAGACTCTGCAGATTTGTGAAAGACCCAACACTTTGGGCATGCTTAGGGGCTATGTCACTTCATGCAAGAGAATTAAATACAGCTGAAATTGCCTTAGCAGCTATAGATGAAGTTGATAAAGTCCAGTTTATAAATTATGTGAAAACAATCCCTTCAGAAGCTGGCAGGAACGCAGAGCTTGCGCTATTTTGTAAAAGGTCACAAGAAGCTGAACAAATTTTATTGCAGGCAAGACTGTACTACAGAGCTATTAAAATGAATATAAGGTTGTTTAAATGGGAAAGAGCTCTAGAAATAGCCCTAGCAAATAAAAAGCATATAGACACTGTCATTGGGTACCGAAAGAAATTTTTAGAGTCTTCTGGAAGAGAGGAAATGCTAGAAAAGTTTAAACAGTTCGGAGAAATCGAAATTGATTGGGTCGCGATAAAGACCAAAATTAAACAAGAAAAAGAGCAGGAAGCTCTTAGCGGAAGACCTTATGATGGGTAATTATAATAACCTTCTGAAAAGTCTGATTTGGAAACTTAATTTATGGTATCATTTAAGTCTGGGTCTTGGATGTGAAAGCCTTTTCCAGCACTATATCGTGTGCTCATCGGTGGCTTGATTTCGATATAACTTGTGTCGTTACCGCCTTCTTGAAAAGTTTGATTTTTCTTTTGATGTTGTAAATAAAGAAATTCCAATTCAGGGATATTGGATTCTTTATGATGGCTTCTTGCAGACTCATAATCATTTAAGCTGTTTTCAGATGTCAAAGATTTCGGTTTCACTTTTTGAATCTTTTTCGCTTTCTTTTTTTTAACGATAAACTCATATGTAGTCATTCCATTTACTCAAAGTCAAAAATGAAGCATTTGTAGATAAATAATTCCAATAAGCCCCAATGTATCTATAATTAAAAATAAAACAAGCACAGCCAAAATTAAATTTTCAAGATTCTGGTCAATTCCAACTCCATATAAAAATCCATTGACAATAACTATAAGTTTAAAAATTATCAAATCGACAAGTGTCAAGCTTACAACTGGCAGCAAACATATAAAAATCTTATAATTTTTTCTTCCAACACAGTTGTTTAACCATTTGCAATGATGATCGAATCTATCAACGCATCTGAGACATGTAGCGCAATGTTTTGTATCCTCCTTCACATGCATTTTGCATATGGTGCAATAGAAATTTGTTCTAGTCAAAGTTGAACTAATTTGAAGTTTACGATTCTTTATTAATTGATGGATCTGATAAGGTTGCAAAGATCCCAATAATAATTTCAAGGATCTGAATTGGATAATAGGAAAAACAAAATACATAAGTCAAAGGTTTGCTAAGAAATGGGGCGATACATAGGCTTGATATTAATAGTTCTAAAGTAGTTGCTACTCAGCTGGAAAGCTGAAAAGTATGATAAGGAGGGCTAAAACCGTTTTTCTTCAGCTTCATTTGTTCAAAATAATTATTTTGCGATTAATTTAAATGATTGAAAATTGATTATTTTATAATAAAAAATCAAATATATAAGATCATTATTTATTTTCTTGTATTTAAGTAACATAATTAGATAAAGCGCTTAAATTATTTATTTTCCAGGCAAATTTTCATTATTGATTCTTATACCTTCAAAATTTTTATATAATAAATGTTTAAAATAAATAATCAATCTTTAATTCGTCGCCTATTAGCTGAATAAAAAATTATTTGATTATTTATCAATGTAATTAAAATATGGCGTCTTCGTCTAGGTATGGCCTCACGGCCATACATCCTCGACTCGTATTTTAATTATATCCGGCAAGGTTTTTCTAGCTTAAAATGGACGGTAATGCCACGGTAATCAATTCTGCAGGAGGCAGAGCCTGGCCCAAGTCCAACTTCAAGACTGGCTTTTACCCTCCAAGGAAAGGAGGTTCAGATTTGGAAAGGGCAAGCCCAGCAAAGTCTACAGGTAATACCTAGACCAATCAGGCAACTGCCTAGCGTGAAAGTGGGCGTTACGTCCCAGGATCTGGACTTTATCCTTTTGCCGATAGGCTCATTTTTTGGAATTTCGGAATGCCAACTTCGTTTTCCCTCAGCCTCAGGAGGCCGCACAAACCCGTAATCTGCCAAACTCAACACTGGAGTCTTTTACAAGAGACAAGGAGGAGACCCGACGGAAGGAAGGTTGCAAAGCGGATGAATCCCCCAAGGGATCTTCGGTGATTGCGTTAAAATTAAGAGCGCGAGCCTGTCTACTTAAGCTAAGTTGAGATTATTTATCAATACTATAAATGTCAGGGATTTGGAAACTATATGCCAGGCCATCAAACCGTGAAGAAGGGCAAGTTGTAGAAGGTCTTCGCGGTATGGGGGAAGTAAAATATTACACTGGAAATGAGTATTACGGAAAAGATAGTACCAAAGGATTTTGGTTTAACTTTAAGATGGCTCTCTGCTATGGATTCGGACTTTGGAGCTATGCTTATTGTACAAGAAACGGAATTAAAGCTCACTCCCCCCTTTAAAATTATAAGGAAAAATTCTATTTCAATTAATTATTTTAAAACTAAAAAAATATAAATTGAATCCAATATTTTGAATCTTAATTTGTTTTTATAAAGAATTAATTCAAAAAGTTAATTTATTCGTGTGAAACTGTTTAAATAATATTATAATTTAACTTTTTTTCTTTAATTAGATCAAAACTAATTTTAAAAAATAGTATTTTTGCACACATTAAAAAAATTGTTCCAATTTAAAGTACCCAAAAAATCGAAATTTGCCTATATTTGTTCCATTTTAAAGGGGGGAGGCAGAGATGGCTTTCTTCCTTAATTTTGACAGCAGTCCCTTGCACTTATTTGCTTATTTGGCATGGGGATGATGTTCCAGTCGGAAATTCAAGAAGACTAAGTTTGGAAGAGCGTCTTAATTTTTATCCAGTCACTAGAAGAGCACTTGAGCGTGCTGTAGAAGAAGTTCTTAATGAGCCTAAGCCTTCTAAAAACTAAAGACTCAAATTGAATCTATTTTTTGGTTTATTAAGATTTCTTTTCGTTTTGATAAAATATTGAAAAAGTATGATTTATAATGTTTTCTTCTGGGCAAAATATAAGCTAAAACAATTTTATTTTTAGCTGGCTATTTAAGATTTTCTAACTTAAAAAGAATGTAAATTATTAGTTTATGTGGCGATTAATAATTACTTTTGTCTGCTCACAAACATATATCACTATTCTTTGTCTTATTTTTCAGATTTGATTAGCATTAAATAACTGAGCAATTATAATTGTAAATGGCTAATAGAGACATGAACAACTCTTTTCGCGATCTCGCTAAAACAATCAAAGCCAATCCAAATAAAATCCCAGATGATATAATTTATCGTGCCAGAAAGCTTCAGCCTTATAATCTGAAAAAAGAAAAATACCCTGAAATCAAGATGATTGATCGGCCTCCGCTTCCATATCTTCACATATCTAAAGTCTATAACCAGCCGACTCCTGAAAGGGCAAGACAAAAGCTAAGAGAAGCTAGACTGTCATCTCGCCCTCAGTCTGTTTGCTTTAGGTCTGATGATAACCTTAATAACTCATGTGAGAGAGATTGTTCTTCTCGAAATTCCTCAAATGATAGCACACGAGATTTAAAAACCAAAAATTCATTAGAAAAAATATTAAAAAGCGAAGACTGCATCAATAAAATATCTGCAGTCGTGAAAAATGAAAAGGAAAAATCAAGTCACGCTATTGGGCTGTATAAAAAGTATCATCAAAAAGCGAGATCTTTATTTGAAAATTCACGTAAAAAAGAAAATAAGAGCTTTTTGTTTTTAGAAAAGAGTGAAAAAGATATGGCGGTCCAGGATTATAAGCAAGTTCAAGAAAAAATATCATTTATAACAAAAGGAAAGATGCCTAAAAAATGCCCTGCAAAGGAGTTGTAAAGCTAAAGCGCTAGGCAATTGGGCTTGAAATATTTATATAAAGCAACTAATTAATTGGTTTTCGTTTTAATTAGTTTTTCATAGATAATAACCGATAAAAGAACTTTATTTTTTAATTGCAGTCAATTAGGGTTCTATAATATTATATTACTACTTTATTAAGTCATTTTTGATGAATAATATAATAAAAATTAGGCTTTTTAAAGGATTTTTCTTAAATCCATTGCTTTTATTCATAAATAAAATTCAGGGCATTTATAATTTTAATCTATTCTATAATAAAATGTCAGAAGCGGAAATAAAAGATCGAGTTGCAGCGAATTTCAAAAGAGCATTCATCCAAGCCACAAACGGATGCGGACGACAAATGTGTTTAAACAAATACTGCAATCAGATAAGAAAAGGATTCTGAACTAACCCAAACCTGACCGCTTTAAATCTCTTAAACATTGCAAAACAAGCTCCTGATGGAGATCTAGAAAAATCGACTGACTTTATATTCTGCGAAACTTTTACCCCTTATTTTTCTGCGTCAGAACTAATAAATCAAGACCCGCAAACTATTTTTGACGTATTTAGTGATATTTCATCTTTAGGCCTAAGCTTCTATATTAATGAAAATATTACTGAGACTAATCCAAACGTTGATTGGGTCGGATTTCATGAAATTCTTTCAAAAATGAATGGACTTGTACAGAAAGGAGTTTTGCCGAAAAATTGGCTAATGGGTGCTGTAAAGAAATACTCACTGACAACTTATAGAAATCTTTATTACCCACGTGTAGCTTTGATGCTTCTGACAGTCCCAGAAGGTTTAGAAATCGATAACTACCACGTTCTTATATTTCTCAATGCGGTTTTATGCAGTTCTCCACAATTATTAGAAAATTTTTCACACCTTATTGACACATTAGATTCTAGAATCCTACAAGTTATTTTATGGCATCTCCAACAATTCATATCTCTTCGTATCCTAAGAAACCTTAGAAATAAAGACCTTTTAGAGATTTCCTGGGCTATAAGAGTTATGGAGACAATTTACAATTCAAATGAAAAATACAAAAGAATTAATTATCAAGAATTTTACAATGAAGTTGTCAATAAAGAAATTAACCTAAAAAATGAATATAAATATTGAACAAAACAGAGAAAAAATAAAAATAAACCGAATTTTGACAAAGAATTTACATTTGCAAGCTATCCATGGATTTTTGATTCAAATTCAAAATCAATATTTCTGCAGCTTGAAAGCAAAGAGCAAATGCTGCGAGAAATTGAAATGGGCTCATTAATGTACGTGCTTGGGCTTGATGACCCTTTTATTCATCTAGAAATCCGCAGAGATAATTTAATAGAAGACGCATTGACAAGACTAAGCAGCGGAGATTTAAATATCAAAAAGCCTTTGAAAGTCCACTTTGTAGGCGAAGATGGTGTAGATGAAGGCGGAGTCCGCAAAGAATTCTTTCAATTGATCATAAAAGAATTATTCGGCCCTGGCTTCGCTATGTTTAACTATTATGAAAGCCAAAGGCTGCTTTGGCTCAATCCAAACACACTTGAGCCAAATACAAGTTTTGAACTTATAGGCAAAATCTTGGGGATGGCTATATACAATTCCATCATCCTCGACCTTCATCTACCACTAACTCTCTATAAGAAAATTCTTAACAAGGCTACATCTATTGAAGATTTACGAGAATTTGACCCTGATTTAGTCAAAGGGCTAGAGCAGCTATTGGAATTTGAAGGAAACGTGGAAGAAACCTTCTGCAGAACTTTTACCGTCGAAACCTTTTCTTTTGGACATCCAATCATCCAAGAGCTAATACCAGGAGGCAGCTCAATTCTTGTTACCCAAGAAAACAAGGCTGAATATGTAGAGAAATATGCAAACTGATGGCTTAACGACGGAATTAAAGACAAATTCGAAGCTTTTAGGCGTGGATTTCTGAAAGTATGTGGAGGAGAAGTCATTCAATGGTTCAAGCCAGAAGAGCTTGAGCTACTTATTTGTGGAAACCCAGTGCTGGATTTCCATGAATTAGAAAAAGTCACTGAATATGAAGGATACTCAAGAGACTCAGAAACCATTCAGATGTTCTGGGAAGTAGTCCATTCATTTAACGAGAACCAAAAGAAGCAGTTTTTGAAATTTGTGACAGGGTCTGATAGAGCGCCAATTAATGGACTTGGGTCAATGAAATTTGTGGTGTCAAGAAATGGGGGAGACTCAGAAAGGCTGATGACTGCCATGACTTGTTATAATCATTTATTGTTGCCAGCGTATGGGAATATAGAAAGGATGAGGAGATTGGTATTGCTAGCAATAGAAAACGCTGAAGGATTTGGGTTAAGATAATGGAAGTTATAGTTAATTTTTCTATTGGCTATTATATAGAAATAGTAATTAGGGCATTAATTGAACAAGCTTCCAGGTGCATATGTGCATTCTTCTTCAGAGTCGCTCTTTTTAGGACTTGGATTACTTTTCTGAAAAAGAGAAGCCATAGCTCCTGCATTATATTCATTTTCTTCACCATCAGATTCCTCTCTTTTCTCGCTTGGAATTTCATAATTCTCTTCTTCAGGGCTCTCTTCCATCATTTCTTCTATTTTTTCGTGCAAATTTCCCCCATTTTCTTCGCCTTCTATCATTTGTGCTCTTTCTCTCCTCAACGCTTTTGCTGACTTCTTTTTCTCTTTCACTTTTTCATTATTTTTCTCCCTTTCTCTATTCTTTTCCTTCATAATTTTCTTCTTTTTTTTATCTTTTTTAATTTTTTCAAGATTTTCTGCGTTTGCTTCTAAAGTTGAGGCAGCTGTTTCAGTTTGTGACATTAATTGGGAATAAATGAGATTATTTGTGTTTGACGTGTATTCTTCTTCGTTTTCTTCTTCAGCTTGGGTTTCATTAATAAGTTTTAGATTCTCAAAGGCATGAGTAATTTCGTCAAGGCTGTTAGAAACTCTCCAGCACCACTCACCTTGAGTTGGAGGCCTGGCACCTAAACTTACTAAAAGAGCACCAAAATCTTTGTCGTTGTAGAGCTCGAATTGGTCAATAGTAATAGGAATGATAGCATATTCTCCAGTTTTGACTTCTTCTAAATAAACTTGGTAGTCCTTCATAATGCTTTCAATTGCAGATATAATTGTGTCTTTTCCGTATTTGTTATAGGCTCTTGGGACTGCGTCTCGAAGGTCATAGATATCTTCTTCACAGTAAATTTCTCTCATTGCTTGCTTTGCTTTCTCAATTCCTTTGTTCAGCTTTAATACTTTGACTCTTTTTTGGACTTGCTGGGCAGTTTTGTCTTTTAAAAGGCCTGCTAATATTTCATAAACACTTTCAAGATCTTTAAAAGTATTCCAATTATCAATCAAAATTTCATCTTCTTCCCTAGCCCATTTTGTCTTTTTTTCCTTATTTGGCTGAGAATATATATTTTCATCCATATCTTGGTCTTCTGCATTCGTAGTTGAAATTCCTTCATAATTGCTCAAAATTTGATTTTTAATATTTTTATCACTAATTTTGAACAAGCTTTCCACCACTAAAAGTCTATTTTTCTCAAAAAGGGCGAAAAATCTCGTCACAATAGTACTAACTAAATGATAGATATCTTTATATTTCGGGTTGTTTTTTGACGTTTTATCATTCAAAATTTCATCAAAAATATTTATGTATTCCATTTGGAATAAAACCCAATCCGCCATGCACTCATTAATTACTTTGTCTAAAAATGAAACCACATGTATATTTACCATGTCTGTATTTTCTTTGAATCTTTTCAGCAAGAAAATAATATACATAAAATGGCGTATGACGTCCGACCCGTCCTCTCGTGTGACGGTAACCCATGTATATCCGGCATGGTTTTCAGGAGGAATGATATAGCCCAACAATATCAGGAGCCCAGAAGCGATGGGCTTAAGCACAGACCCGCTGATTTGTGGCCTGATCCTTGGGCAATTAATCGTGAATCCTTTTCCCAGCAGCGCCCTAGCCAGTGGGTACCCGAAAATGGAGCAGGGTGATTTCTCTGCTCAGGCTGCTCTCGATGGCTTTGCCCCGAATCACGGAAGTGGTTGAGTTTTTACTCAGGGATGACCTGGTAAAAGGGGAGGCAGGCTAGATGTGGAATCAAGGCGGTCCCTCCGGTTAAAAGGGTCCCAAAATAATAAGGACGACACCAGCCAGGGTAGATACAGTTGGCCTAAGGGCGAGGGACTGAATTGGAAATGGTGATGCCCGCAAATGTCTGCGGACACAAAAAGGGCAACCCACTACCGAGAAAACCAGGGGTTTCGGCCTGGGCTCAGAGTTACCAGACATGGAAGTCCCACCCAATTCGCTTGTGCCACCACACTACTGGAAGTAGAGACTTTAAATATTCAGTATTAGCATTAACACATAACGCATTCAGCAAGAAAATATATTTTGAAATCACATCATGGTCAATCAGTAAAGAAAATTCTACAACAAAATTAAGCTGCCTTTCTTGATAAGAGGTTTCTTCGTCCTCTTCATTTTGGCTTTGATTTTCTTCATCTTCTTCTTCTTCGCCTTCTTCGCCTTCTTTTTCCTTTTTTTTCTTTTTTCTTGACAGTTTATCAGTTCTTACAGTCAGAGCTTTTCCTTGTGAGTATTCTTCAAGAATTTTAAACGTCATATGTGTAAATTCAACTATATCTTCTAAAAATTCTTTATCATTAACCCCAGCTTTCCAATACTCAAACGACTTCCTACATACTCTCGAAATTTCATGGTAAAAAACATTTTGCATTAAAATTTGTGCATTTCTTCTCATGACTTATATACATTAAAATGGCGAAACGTGTCAGCTTGGCCTTTTGGCTCAACAGTCCTGACCTTATGGCTACGGCGAACTGAGGCGGACTTCGGGCCGAGAATCAAGTGCAAGCTCAAGAGATATGCATCCTGGTAGATTTGGGCATGGCTGACGTCTGACTTTAATAACTTAACCTAACCTTCTTCTCGTGGTTTCTGTCTGTGAGTTATTCATGTCACGAATAATATATAAAAACTCAGTACAAAATTTTAACGCTGCATGAAGTTCTCTTGTGTTGAATTCCTTTTTCGAGGTTTTTTTAAATTCATATAGAAATGACCTATAAAGATATTCAAAATTAGGAAGCTTTAAAGCTTCAGCAATTGGTGAGACGTCAATGTCCAATACCTCCGATTTGCAAGCATGCTTTTTTCTTAAAAATTCAAACATAAAAGCTTGGAATAAAAAATAATAAGTCTTGTCCTCGTCTTCAAGCCTCTCTGATTCTTTGTAAAATTCGACAAAAATTGTTTCGACAAGAGGAGAAAAACAATGGTCAAGCACTTCTTCAGCGAATTTCCTGATTTTTTCGAGTAAGAATTTATCAATTTTTGCAAGCTCTTGCTCACTTTTTTTACTTGGGAGACTTATCATATTTTCTTTTCTTTGAGGTCGAGCCCGGTTCATTTGGCCTGGGATTTTATTGGCTTCTATTCTTTCTTTGAAGGGATTATGATATACTAATGTTGTTTTGTCCATGGATCTCTGAACTTTATAGCTACTTCCAAATCTTGAGTGACGGGTTGGAAGCTCTTTCATTTGCAGCTTTTGGTTTTCCATTTCTTTTTCTCTTAAAGCTTGAAGAAGAGAAACTGGTGCTTCTTTAGCTCACATTGACCCTGGCTGAAAATTTTTAAATATATCCTTGGGCTGCATTAGCTCGATGTGAGCTAGAGAATTTATAGCTGAAAATATAGGCTACTTGGTAACTGTTGCTGAGAATCATGTTCCTAACTCCCTCCTTCGTTAGTGAACATAAAATACTTATAAAACAGAAAGGGGCAGTTAATTTTTGTTGAAAATTTATATTTAAAAAAGTTTGGATTTATAAATAATTTTGAAATGAAAAATCTAAAATTAATATTTTAGGGTGCAAGCAGTTAAACATTTAATAGGATTAGCTGAAGATATAATTATTACAATTATTAATGATATATCACAATATAATATACAAAAAATTATATTAAAAAATTTTTGCCTGTGATTTTCTCAAAATTAGGGATTTTTCTTAAAGGCTTAATTTGTTGATAAAGGATAAGCTAACCGCTCCTAACCTAGCCATATAGAGCTAAATTCGTACCTAGGCTATATATGATAAAAAATTTCCAAAAAGCACAAATTTAATTTTTTCACAACTGGATTCGTGAAATCTTGACAAAGATAAACAATCGCCTCAAGTACAGTTTCATCAGCAAGTTTATGTAGAAATCTCGTTTGTAGGTCTTTCATATTGTCTTCTCTAGAATTATAAATCGCGATCCCTTTGCTTGCTTTTAAAACATGAGAAGTTTTATCAGGAACAGCCAATAAATTTCGAAAAAGATATACGATAAGCTCAAGCATTTGATCATGCTGCTCGTTTCGTTGGTCTGTCGGCTTAGATAAGCATTCAGCAAGATGGTTGACTATTACTTTTATTGCGTCTTTAGAAGTTATCACTGAAAGCTTGTAGTTTTGTAAAGACTCAATATATTTTTGTTGGTTATAGTTCGATTTATCTGGCTTTTCAGTAAGAGATACAAGTACAATAATGCAGTAAAAAGCGAGTTGTCTGTCTTCTGGATAACTTACAAGCAATTTTAATAGATCACTCTCAACTACATTTCACTCCCCAAGCTCTAATCTTTTAAGTGTGCTGTCAGGATTTTCATTCCTTACTCGAATGGCATAAGTAAAAATAATTATAAGACAATTTGCAAGCTTTTTTTAAGCTTATGTACCAATTAGTTAATTAGTTAATAATTTTTTTAATAAATATTGTTAAAGAAGGGATAAAAGATATTAAAATAAATTAATCTTTATATTAGCAGACAAGAAAAGAATTTATCATTCAAGGAGTTAATATTTTATAAAGCTCCTTTAAGAATTCAACACACTCTTGGCTTTTTATGTATGTTTCCACATTTCCAACTGTTTTCGTGCACCCAAGACTCTGCACTAAAAACAGCAAATCATTAATTTCTTTGGGGTCTAAATGAACTTCTTCCACGAGCTCATCAGATTCTTCAGACTCACTAAGATTAATCACTTCTTGCTCCTCAGGGATCTCTTCGATTTCCATTTTTGGCGGGTTATTATAATCCGGGTGCCTTTTATTAAAACAAGCTAAGCTAAATACCGTTAAATTACTTATGGTGATGCCCATGGTGCCCATGATGATCTTGATGTCCATGCTCAGTCTTTCCATGATGCTGCTCTATAGGATACTCTTGCAGCTTTTTATTCACGAATTCTTCCAAACTCCTCAAATCAGCTGCAAATCTTCTAATTCCATCAGACAGCTTTTCAGTCGCCATTTGGTCTTCATTTAGCTCCCATCTGAATTTATTTTCATCAAGATTTTCCACCTTTGGAATTGTCATATCGGCAGCATCCTCTGTAGAAAGCCTTTTTTGAAGGGTAAAGCTTGGGTCGTCCATCTCTTCTAGCTCTTTAAGCAGCTGAGGAGCAATAGTAAGTCTGTCACATCCAGCAAGCTCAATGATTTCTCCAGTGTTTCTAAAGCTGGCACCCATAATGATGGTTTTGTGCCCATGCTTTTTGAAATAGTTGTAAATCCTTGTTACTGACTGCACGCCTGGGTCTTCATGGCCAGTGAAGTCTCTTCCACTGTTTTTCTTATGCCAGTCCAAAATTCTTCCTACAAATGGTGAAATTAAAGTGACATTAGCCTCAGCGCAGGCAACGGCTTGGTAAAAGCCGAATAATAAAGTCAGGTTGCAATGGATTCCTTCACTTTCTAATGCTTCTGCTGCTTTGATTCCTTCCCATGTGCTTGCAATCTTTATTAAAATTCTATCTTTACCGTAGCCAGCATCTTCATAAAGCTTTATTATTTTTCTGGCTCTTTCAATAGTTCCTTCTCTGTCAAAGCTCAGTCTTGCATCAACTTCTGTAGATACATAGCCAGGGACGATTTTCAAGATTTCCATACCAAAATTCACTGCAAGTTTGTCACACACGTCCTTAATTATTCTATGTCTTATGTAATTTAATATATTAAATTGGTAATAAAATTATTATATTAACTCCCCCCCCCCCCCTCCGTGAGCGAACAAAACCATTAGAAAAATCGCCATTTTTTGACCAAAAACCCCACCCTCCGTGAGTGAACAAAAATTTTTTTAATAGAAAAAATTTTAATGGAAAAAAATTTTGATATATAAGTGATAATTAGTATAATGAAATCTAGAGCTAATTCTGTTTAATTTTAAACAAAATTGCGTTTTAAAACATAAATTTTGCAAATTAAATTAATATTTGCTTCCCAATTTTTGCAAATTAGGATTTTTTTTAAATTTCGAAAAAAAATATTTTTTTATAAAATTTATATATAAATTGTTTTTAAAAAAAAAAAATTAACCCCCCTCCGTGAGCGAACAAAATTTTTTTGTTCGCTCACGAAGGGGGGGGGGGAGTAAGGGAAAATTCATAAATGTAGGGATAGATCATCTCCTTGTGATCCTTTATTTCTTGCGAATAAAATAGCATCGTGAAGGAGATGTTCATATTCAGGCTTTTGAGCTGCAGCTAAAATTAAGGTGGGATTTGTAGTAGCGTCTTGAGGAGAGAATTGCTTGATCTGGTTGAAGTCGCCTGTATCGGCTACAACAGTGGTCATCTGAGTAGAATATTACGCTTTTAAGCTGGAGAAGGGCATTGGTCTCTAATTTTGGACGCTTTTTCCCTTCCATTTTATATAAATTCAGATTAAAGTTGATTGAACATTAATGCACTTTTTTGGCAGCCTATAAATTGGCAATAATCAGCATCCATGATTTCTAAAAGCGAAAAAATAATTCAGCCGAAATTCTGAATTAAATTTGGTTTTTATAAAAATGTATTTTAAGCTCAGAAATTGAGATTTTTTGCTGGTGATGCTATAAATGTAATTATTTCATTTATTGTAAAATTAGCTAAATTATTTGGACTTTTTGTAAAAGTTGACTTTATTAATTTTTTCCTAATTGCCCCCCCTCCCTCGTGAGTAAACAAAAAAATTTTGTTCACTCACGGAGGGGGGTTTTTTTTTATTTTTTTTTTAAAAAAATTTATATATAAATTTTATAGAAAAAATTTTTTTTTTCGAAATTTTAAAAAATATCCTAATTTGCAAAAATTGGAAAGCAAATAGTAATTTAATTTATAAAATTTATGTTTTAAAACGCAATTTGTTTAAAATTAAACAGAATTAGCTAGAGATTTCATTATACTAATTATCACTTATATATCAATTTCTTTCATAAAAATTTTTGTTCATTCATGGAGGGTGGGTTTTAGGGATTTTTCTAATGGTTTTGTTTACTCACGGAGGGTGGAGTAAAAATTTAAAAAAATCTGTAATTGTACAGCTTTAAACCTCTAAGGCTTTTCTTCATTCTGAAATCTTGAAATTTTAATTTTTATAAAATTTTTCTAATTCGCCAGTGATTTCCTTTACCATTTTCAAACTATTTAAATCACTAATCAAAAGTTCATAATAATCATTATTTTTCTTTATCAATTTCTTAGAAAATACTTTATAAACTTTAAGCATTTCTAGTCAGTTGAAATTAATTAAAATAATGAAAAAACCAGAAACTTTCTCTCGCAAGTCTGACAGAGTCAAATTTAACCCAAATGATATCCTCAAGGATCTGCAAGATATATATGGGACTGTCCACTATAGATTAGCAAAAATCAGCACCAAACACTATCGCCAGAAACCAAAAAAGCTAAAAATGAAATCAAGTTCAAGAAGTCTTGATGGTGTGCTTGGATTAGCTTCATTTATAAGAGAAATAGAAGGATTGACGCCAGTATCTCCTAATTCTACTCCCTGCAGGGCTGCAACTCACTTGAAGATCGCCAAGTTTATATATCAAGACATAACCAGTCATAGCTAACCTTTGTATAATATCTTTAAATATGCCTGATTTAAGAATAAAATTGTCATTTAAAATTCAGAAAAAGAAATTTTCAGAAGATATGACTGCATAATATGATTATTGTAAAATGAAAGATTATATTAAAACCCAATGCATCATAGAGAAGAATATTTTCTTGAATTTTGAATGTCTTAAGGAAGATCGAATAAATTAAAATTTCCCCCTTTAAGAAGAGAGCAGAGAATTTTGCTTTCTCGAAAAGGAAGAATAAATATAATGTAATCTGTAAGGAGATACGACTCTGCATTTATTGGGTATTGACTTGATAAATATCTTAATAAAATTCTAATTGATATAGAGAAACATATTTTTGCAAATTTACGCTAGCCTATTGAAATTACAAAAACAATTTTCAGGTCTACATTTTACGGCTTCTATTATATTATTAAATTAAAATCATCAAAATAATTTTTTAGGTTTGCAAATATAATAATATCCTTAATCCAATTTATTGATAAAAGGAATGGAAGTGAAATTATTTTAATAAATATGAGAGTTTTTTTAACAGGTACTACAGGTGTTTTAGGCAGCTCAATTCTCGATAATTTACTAGCCCATGGTCATGATGTCACTTGCACAGTTAGAACTGAGCAAAAAGCCCAAGAAATTTCTAGTAAAGGCCCCTCAGCTCATACAATTCTCTTTGACTTAAACCCTTCAACTGCTTCCCAATTATCAGAAATATGCATAGGATATGATGCTATCATCCACACTGCCTTTAACTTCTCTGAAGTAGGGATCATAACTGAAGAAATTGTAACAGATTCCTTTATTTCAGCTGCAAGAAAAACAGCCGAAACAAAGCCTGTTTCAATCATCACTACTTCAGGAAGTATGGCAAATGGAAATACCAACGGTCCTATGGATGAGGATCATGATGATACATCTTATCCATGGCCTCCGATAGCAAAAAGGATACTTTTTGAGAAAAAAGTAATTAATGCAACAGCTGGGAATTTATTTGGGGCAGTTTTAAGGCCAGTTTGTATTTATGGAAATAGCTATGTCCACAATTATATTGTGGCTTGCAAAAATAGCAATAAGATTGTGGCAGGCAAAGCGAATAATGCTAATTGTTTTGTCAACAGAGAAGATCTTGCAGATATGTTCAGAATTGTTATGGAAAATAGAGCATGTGGGCTATTTCTAGCTAGTGAGCCAGAGCCAGTGTATATTGATGATTTGGTTGAAAAGTTGTCACAAGTCCTTGGCATTCAAAATATTGAAAGAGTTGAGGATATTTCTCCATACATGAGCGCTTATGGCGCTTATCTTTTTGGGCAAACATTTAATCAGATATATGTTCCAAAGAGATTAAAAGACCTTTATGGGTACACAGCTAGACATAAATTCTTGGATTGGCTTGAAACCCAGCACTTTTAAAATAAAATTGCTTAGCCAATTAATTATATTTTTATTAATAAAATTTGTGAAATTGAATATTTCTCAGTCTAAAGTCTCTTATCTTTTACTAATTTTTGAAACAACTTTTCAATTTCATTGTTTTTTATATACGTGAGCACGGTTATAGATCGACCTGAGAACCCCCCTCCCCTGACAGTTTCAACTTTATTTGAAATCTACAAATTAAATTTACTTGTCAAATCCTTAGTGAGGGACTTGTCATTTTGAATTAGCAATATCGTTCAAATTGAAACTGTCAGGGGGTGGAGGAAGGGAAGGGGGAGTTTCAGGTCGAGCCATACCTGTTCTGAAGGTATATTTAATAACTAAAAAAGACTAAAGTGCGCTATCCTAATATTTACAATGATAATTATAAGTTGTTTAAGGCATGAATAAATTAAGACAAATATAATGTCGCAAGATAATTCTAAGGATATTGTAAAATGTGCAAGTATCATACTAGCAGAATCTTTATTATATCCTGTGAGCTCAATACTAACACGCATCCAAACAAATAACCTCAATATCCTAGCTTTAAAACAACCTTTATCATCATTTTACGGAGTTGGCAGCATAGTCACATCACTTCCAGCATTTTTATTTAGGCTCAAGGTCTGTGATGTAGCCCATCCAATCGTCCAAAATCGCTGTAATTCTCTATTTAGTTGGCTTATCACAGTTTACTACCTTTTTTTTGGTCTCTGGATTTGCAGATATCGTTTCCTGCATTATTCGCTGCCCAACTGAGCATTGAAGGCAGCAATTCCAAACAGGCATGTATTCCTCTATAAAAGACTTATATAAAGACATCTTAGGATATAAAGGACCCCTTGGCCTTTGGAGTGGCTTTTCAGTCTATCTAGGTCGAGAAGTAGCATTTAACACAATTCGCTTCGGAATTCTCTCATACCTCCAAGAAAGAGAGAAAAGAACGCCAACTTTTACTAAACAGCAAAAAAGAGCTAACTACCGAGAATATTTTAATGACTCTGCCAGTTATGAAAGAAAGCAAAAGGCCCAAGCTTTTGCACAATTCAAAGCTTTTCAATGGATGAACACAATAGCGACGATAACAGCAGCTATTTTATCAACACCTTTTGATATTATGAAAACTCGAGTTATGACTGACATTCTTCATGATCATAAACCGCTAAGAGCTCACTTTAATCAGCTTATAAGTGAAGAAGGGGTTTTCGCACTATTTAAAGGAGCTGGAATTAGAGCTTTTTACATGTGTGCGCTTATATCTTCTTTTCTGTCTTTAGATTTCTATTTAAGCTCTCCTATTCAAGAAGCTCAAAGAATAACACAAAAAGTGGTTGAACTTCAAAGAGATAATGATTCTTAATTAATTTATTCTTTTAATTTTTATATAATTTAATCAATTTTAGAGGTTCATAATTAAAGCGCTATCTAAGTAGTATCACCCTTATAATTTAAGCAAAAATTGACTGATTAATAAGCCTAGTTAATTTATTCTTTTTGACTCTCTTTGCTATCATTTTTCTTTGAAATCAAAGTTTTAATTGATTTTGGTATTTCTCCTTGGAGTTTTGCTATCTCCTCTGGAGTTGCCTCTTCGACATATTGTCTAACTATTGGTTCAACTTGTGAAAAGCTATGATGCCATCCGAATGATTTTGTCAGTATGAAGGCGAAATAATACATCCCAATTCCTACAATATAAAATGCTGCTTTTTTTTCTCTGGTAAATTTTGCTAATTTTTTATCCATAAGCATCATTGAGCCTATTAAGATTGAACATTGAATTAAATTTCCAAGCCACCAGCCTTGGCTGTATGCTTTTTTTAATTTTTGTTTTTCGATCATGCTGAGGGATGCTTTGTTTTGAAGGTCGTACATGGCTGCTTGATACATTTCTCCTTCAAATATGTATAACGCATTTACATAAGTGGATTATTATATGCCTGATGTCTCCTGAAGTTAGTTTCACCAATAAATGTTGATGAAACTAGCCCTTGAAATGGTAATACACCAGATAATTTAGCTTTGCTATTTCAAAGTTTGGCTCATCAGAATTAATAGTAAAGCCAACTCCCTGATGATATCAGGAGACATCAGACATATTGCCATCCATTTAGATGGATGCTCTATATTGTTCGAGTTTTTTATAGAGATCCATATCTTCTAATTATACTAATTATTTTCATTATTTTTAACCTATTAGATTTTTGTGAAATGAGATCTTAAGATAAGACTGCTAAAATTTTTTAAATTAAAAAAAACATAGAGCAGAGCTATAATTATATAACATTAAATAAAATAAGTATCTTTTATATGTCGAAAATATAAAATATCTTCAACAAGACTTGTGTTAACATTTGATTCTAAACCCAATGCTATTTCAATAGATGTCAAATTTATTGGTTCTTCCCATAGATGATCATTCAAAGGCTGCCAAAATTTGTCAATAAACTGTTTTTCTATATACACATCTTTTCCAATCAATTGAGCTTTCGATTTACCAAAAGTTTCAATACAAAAATCTGTCAATTCTCTTAAATAAGGCTTGAAGCTCTTTGAATTTTGTTCTGGTGAATACAAAACATCTCTAGCCTGCATTCATTTCTCCCCTAATTCTTTTAACAAATATTTAAAATTTATTTTCAAGCTCACCACACTTCCTAAAACATATCTATTAAGCTCTTTGTCAGTCAGAATGCATTCAAATCTGATCATTTCCTGATGAGTTGGTATCAGTTTTATCCACATAAAAGGACTTTCTATGAATTCTTCACTTTTCAAGCTTTCCAGCCCTTCAATTTGTTTGCCAACAGTCCCATTTAATATATTTATAGCAATCCCTTCACCTAAATCAAATCTCATGCTTCCGCATTTTTCATATGTAGCTACCCTAATTGATTTCACAATATTCAAAGTCTCTTGCTTCGAATACCCACAAATCCTGATCAAAGCATAAATAAATAACCCTGTCCTATGTATTCCAGCCGCACAATGAATGTATAAAAATTCACCTTTGTCTAGTCTTTTTCTAGCATCAAGTAGCCCAGATCTAATTGCAGTCGACGCTTTATTGCCTTCTAATAATTTTTTATTTGCGCCTTGTAAGCAAATTCATACTCATTTAAGACCGTGGTCTAAGCAAGCTTTTTCAATTTCATGTGGGCATTCGTGCTCAGATTGGAGGGTAAATACTGTTGTGCATGGAGTGGATTGGGCTAGGATAGAAATGCCTCGAATTGAAGGCCTGTGAAATGCTGTGATTCCACCTGATAAAAGAGGATAGAAAGGAAGGGATATGTATTCTACGGATTCTGGGACTCCTTTAGGCCTGGCCATTTTATATTTAAGTTATATATATTGCTCATGACTCTTGCTAATAAAATTAAAATCCTTAACATTTAATTTGGTTTGTTTTTTTTCTTCGCCTTGACGACTCTTCTCACATCAGTTGTGCCTGCCGAGAACCCTGTTATTTTTACTCTCTTAAACTGTAAAATACTTGACAGATGAGCGACCTTTTCTTTTTCCAGCTTGGCCATCAAAAAACTTAAAGCATTTGGGCTTGCAGTGCTCAGCCTTTTAATAAACCCTCTGAATTGTTCATATTCATCAAGATCTTGCAATGGATCCATAAAAGACGCTATGGCAAGGGTAGCTTCCATTTCTTCAGTGTCCGCATTTTTTAGCATTTTTTTATATTCATCTGATTCTTCATTCTCTTCCTGCTGTGAGCTCATAGACTTGAGCATTTCATAGATCATCATGTCTTGCTTTTTAAGGATTATTGCATTTTTTGTAGTTGCAGGGATCAGAATTTCTATCAAAGTCTGAAATATCTCAGAAATTTTGCTTGAAACAGTCTCAGGCATTACTTCTTGTGAAAGAATTGTTGTCAAGGCTAAAGTGGTGACTTTTTTGTCATGCTGGTGGGTAAAACATTTTGCTTGAAGCACTGTCAGGTCGATTACCAAGTCTAAACTGGTTCTTTCTTCTATTAAAGGGATCGAGTTTAAAATCTGAAAAGTCATCTGGCAGTTATAAGCAAACGCAGCAAGAGCAACACCTAGTAGCCTAACCCTAAAAAAGTCATGATTTATTTGTTCTGTGAGCCTGTTCATCGTCATTGCAAGAATTTCTCCTAACAAAAAATCAATTTGTCCTACATAGGTATACAAGATTTGCTGAAGTATCAAGGCTGCTTCAGAATTTGTGCCTTCATTAGGTTTCCCTTTATAGCTTGAAAACAAGCATTGTCTGCACATAGAAACTACAGCAGTCAGCATATTTGGGTTTGCAGCGATCACTTCTCTTCCATAATGTAAATAACAATTCATCAGCGGAAACAGCTGTATAAAAGTCCCTTCATATTTTTCTTGAATTAAATTTAAATAAGGAAACAGCGCCCATCCAATAGTCGTCACCATATTCAGTTTCTTCATCAATCCGATCTCAAAAATAACGATTTCGTCATCAAAATCAATTTCTTTTGGATTTGTCATAAAGTTAAACAGAGGGGTTAGCGTTTTTTCTAGGTCTAAAATTTGTTGGGTTTCTAGCTCTCGGGCTTCTAAAAGCATTCTTATAATGTTCCAGCACTTTGAAATAACCACGCTTGACTTCTCTTTAGGCCCATCAGAATCTTCGTTATTTTCCTGCTTCAGCCTCATAACTTCGCTTTGGATTTTCTGTACGATGGCGTTTACAAATATTTCTAGGTGAGGGTACACCAAGTCAGTGTTGCCTGCGACGACTTCTTGGATGGCTTCAAAAAATTCTTTATTGTTTTGTATAGGAATTAAGTGGATAAAAGTTATGATTATGTTGGACAGTAGCGAGTCAAGTCTTATGCAAACTGTGTCTTCTTGAAGCATATAGCCAAGGGTTTCGCAGGCTTGAATATTTGTAGCTTTTGGAGTTGTGCTGGGATTGCAACAGTTAAGTAGGATTTGGACGAGGTTTATAAAGCTAGAAGTATCATGAGTGAAAATAGATACACAGAAATAGTGGACTATTAAACAGAGACGGTGCAGAATAAGGCCATCTGTGACTGCTGAAAAAGCTGATAAATGGGTCCCAATTATAGCATCAAGTAAATCAGAAAGATCTGGACGTTTTTTAATAAAGTGGGAAAGTATGCAGAGCACAGAGAGAGAAGTATCAATTGCAAGTGTTTCTGAAACATAAAGAATTGATGCATTTTTGAACTGAGTTAAAAGACTGAAAGACTCTGGGTTTCCTTTTACAACTGTTTTATCAATAAGTTCAGACACAAAATTTACTGCAAAACTCAATGAGCCGTCAATTTTTTCTGAAATTGTTTTTAATAGTAAAGCACTGGTGATTTTTAATATGTCAGATTGCTGCTGGTCACACATGTCTTTTGACATTAGTACAAATTCTTCTGGCATCAATTCGAACTTTTCTAAATCATTTTGTGAGGATTTTATTATTGGGAGGATTATTTCCACGATAATTTGTTTGTAGCTATTTAAAAAAAAGCTTAAAAATCTGTTATCGTAGCATGCTTTACATAAAATAAGCAGAATTTCATTCAGATAGTTTGATATATTTTCAGTCTGCAGCAGTTCTTCATAATCAGCTAATGATATAACAGAATGGATAGTTTGTGTAAGAGGGCTTACAAGTTCCATTATTATATTTATAAATGGAGAATTCTGCATATCCTTTGGGATTTCTAAGGTTTTTGCGTTAGAATTATCCTCTGCTACCTTCATATTTGATTCTGAAAGGAATCCCAGAATATTTACAATGCAGGTAAGAATTTGGGTTTTGGCTTCATTTAGTTTTAGATGGTGAATTTTGGTTTCCAGACAAATTAACTCTTGTGAGCTGGTAATTGATAACTGTAAAATTGATTTAAAAGTTTCAGCTAAGTTCTGCATAGTGCTGATTTCTGCAAAACTAGGTTTTGAAATAAGCTCAAAATACTCGAAAATTGCACCTAATGTAATAGCCCACTCGTTAATTATTTCACAGCCATCTAATAATAAATATTCATTGTTTTCGTAGACTCCTTTTTGTATTGCATAAATTTCTTTTTGAGCCACTGCAAGTAAAGGGTCTAAAAGATGCTTAAAAACTGGGAATAAGCTTTCATTATCAGAAAACACCCCATAAATAGATCTTATAGCTACAAAAGATCCTAATATCTGGTGTTTTTCCCCGCCAAGGTAGTTAGCTACTAATGGTAAAGTAATTTGCATTAAGCCTTGTTGGGGGTCTGACAAGTCAGCCATAAATAGAGGGACCAGGGCCAATCCTAAAGAGTTTTGCAAAGATATAGTGCTTTCTGGAGCTACCAAGGCATTAAATATTGATTTCGCTATATGCTCTTTGGCTACTGAGTTCAGATTTTCTTCATTTAGCACTTTTAAAAGAAAATTCTTCAGGTTTACACTTGCAGAGATTTTCACCTTCTCAGATATTGCAGCTTGGCTTGAAGTCAATATATAAAGCAATGACTGTAAAAAATTTTCTTTGTCTTGACTCAGAGTCTCTAGTTCTGCTTCTGCAGATCTCACTTGGTCAGTTGACGTAGCTTTAAAAGTGGATTCCAAAAGTGAAGCTATCTTTAAAGCTAGATCCATATTTCTTATTATCCTATTTTTACTAAAATTTACTTTAAAAATATTTACTAGCCCATTTGAGCAGATTTGTGCTCTCACTCCATCTACTCCCGGGTGTTGCTGAATTAAGAAGCACGATGATGATTTTTCTTTTCCTTTTTTCAGCAATGCTACACAAGCAGGGTCCCGCGTTCGGGGTGAATCCTGTTTTTACTCCTGAAAATCCTAGTTTCAACAGTTTGTTTGTGTTGTTCCATTCTATTTCCCTATTTCCTTTTGTGTTTCTAAGGACACATCTGTAGCTTTGTGTGTTCACAATGCGCATGAATTGCTCGTTTGTACATAAGGATCCCCCCCTCATTTGTCCAATTTTCTAGTCTTTTATCATTTGTCCATTTTTCTAGTTTTTTTTATAGGAAAAAAAAATGTTTTTAGTCCAATTTTCTAGTCAAAATTTTCATAAAAAATAATTTTCAGGACCTCAATTGTATCATTTTCTAGCTTTTTTAAGGTAAAAAACTGAAATTTAGGACATTCGAAATAATCCAAAAAAGACTAGAAAATGGGACAAATCATTTTTGACTAGATTTTAGGACAAATGAGGTCCTGAAAATTTTTTTTCTATGAAAATTTTGACTAGAAAATTCGACAAATGAGGAGATCCTTACGATTGAGGCAAGTGTCGAAATGTTTTTTGCTGTAGAAAGGTTTATTGAGGTAGACATGCCATGAGGGTTTGAGAAGCAGGTTGATGTAAGCTTGTAGAGCTTGCAGGTCTCATTCATTTTGGTGACAAAAGCCCCGACTGGGTCTAAAGAGCTGGGGCTGAGAAGATTTCCAACGAATTCGGCAAGAGCGACAGCAGCGTCGTTACCGGAAGGCAGCATTAGACCGTGGAGAAGATCGCGAATAGTTGCTTCGTCTCCAGCTGCAAGCAAAGCTGAGGTTCCTTGCATACTGGCAGCATTTTTCGACACTATAATTTTTTCATCTAGGTCTTTTTTATGGCTATTTAGTTCATTTAATACTACAAAGCAAGTCATGATTTTCGTGAGACTTGCAATTTCTCTCGGGTTATCTACATCTTTGCCGTCTAAAATTTTGCCCTTTTTTCCGCCCATTACTACCCATGACTGAGCAGTTATGCGGGGTCGATGCTGAATGCGCTCAGTGCGTATATCATCTTGCGTTTGGTGGCTTTCTGCGATCATTGATAAATTTTTAGATGGTCTAGGCTGCTTGGTTTTATTTCTACGGACTTTAATTGAGAATCTGGTTGAAAATGTTTTCCTCATTGGCTGCTGCAAATTTAAGTCAGGAAGGATTGAAGACCTTTGCCTCGAATTTGGAGGAGAAGGTGAAATACTTCGAGGCAGAAGCCCAGAATCCTGTTCGTCCATTTTTGCAAGTAAATTCTAATACCAATCATGTTTATATAAGGATAATCACGTAAATTTCGCAAAAAATAATATATGAGAAAAATTCAAAAATTATTTATAGTTTCCTTAAGATCTATGCAATTTTTTAATAGTTTTGAAGTTTAAGCAGTTAAATTGGAGTTTGGTCACATCTGAAAATGGAGAGTTGAAGAAATTGAAACTAATATTATAAAAAAGATCAGATATTTATCGTAAAAATTATTAAAAAGAAATCGGAGTCTGGCAGCTAATTAGCATGTATTCAAATTAATGGTGATTTAAATGCCTATTTTCCAATAAATTAAAATTTAATTATGATAATAAATATTTTTATTAGTAAATTAATTGGTTCAATGTTATTATTATCTAATGCTTCCAGAATGATATAATTATCCGGAAAATAATATGACAAAATTAATATATGTTATAATCTTCTTTACTAACAATGCGCTTACTAATTAAATAATTTCAAGTAAAAACTAAATTTATATGCATAAATTACCTATAAAATTTTAAAATATGTACAAATTTCATCCTTAATATTAAATTTATCTCCTATTCATTATGCCATATTATCCCTATTCTTTTTATCCAATACTATTATCAATCCAATTAAATAGCCCTATCAAAATTAAGCTTCCTCAACTATTAACACTTGGGCGCTGCTGATCTTGACCTTATTTCTCTCGCCATTTCCTTATTTCTTGTCAGCAGCTTTTTCCTTGCCTCATGATTTCCTTCCACAAGATGCTGCCTCAATTGTGACACAAACACTGTTTTAGCCCTTATATCAGTGCTTTGCCTATTTAATCTCTCCATAGCATTCAATTTCTTTGAATTTCTCGTCATCGTTGCAGCAAACTGACACTTTTTTTGGAATTTTTCTCTTCGATTCAAAATAGATTCCTGCATATTTCTCCTACGGAATCTTACTTCATCGAATCATTTCTTCTTGAGGTTTTGGTAAAAAGTCGGCTGGAATCTTAAATTTTTTCATTTTCTATATAAAAATCACTTAAAGCTTATAGATATTCTAACATTCAGTCAATTTTTAACGATTGAAATCATATATTGTCTCATCTGCAAACGATGGTTGAGTGAGTCTTGGTATTTTTGGTTAAGTTTTTGTATTTCTCTTGCAGCATAAGACGTTGCCTAGGCTATATTGTACTGGATGTATAAGCTCTAGTTCTGACATTTATGGAAGAAACTGTCTATAATAAATATCATGCAGTGGGATAAAGAGATTTATAACAATTTGATTATATGCTATACACCAGCTAGAGGATTGATTACAAATTGTGTTGAGCAAGCTGCAGCTATTTCGTGTCAACATTACAGGATTTTGGAAAGCACTCCAAATTTTCGCTTAATACCCTTTCAAAGGTGAGGCGACACTTTTGGCTTGCTTATGCAGCCCTTATTGAACGGCCAGCTTCGTATCCAGACTCTAAAAAATCAATCTAGCTGTCAGTAAGAGTATATAGTATCCAAATATTTACACGGCACAATATGTTTTAGAATGTATGGTTAATAGAATTAGTTCTAGAATTTACTATAATAATTATTGCTTAATGATTTATATAAAAATGCTATATATTAAAATAATTTTTTACTCTATCTTGAAAAATAGAATTTTCCTAATAAATTTTGTTCATACCAAGGAGTTGGAAAATTATCAAGTTGATGTGCAAAAAGAAGACGGAGATTCAAAAGAAAGAGTAGATGTAAACGAAGCCCAAATTTTAGATGAGATTTTAAGTACAGGAAAAACTGATTGCAAAGCTGGAATTATGATAAATAGAGAAAAATATAAAATCATCAGCTACGATGCATATTTTAAAACCGCTTATTTATCGAAGTCAAATGGAGGAGCATGCGCTATTAAGACAAACCAAACCATAGTTTTTGCGAGCTGGAACAAAGATCTCGTTACAGGAGGAGTTCGATCTTTTCATCAAAATGCAAGTTTCTGCAATGAAAGATGCCGAAAATTTGCCCAGAGCTTGGTAGCAGTTGGATTATAATTAATCAAATCAATTAAATTAGACTATAATACACATTTCGCAAGACGCATTTTTCGAGGTATTTTCAATCACAATTCCTTCTCTTTTTTCAATTACTTTTACTTCTTCTTGCAATTTTGCCAAAATTCTATTCCTATAGCCTGGTTTTGAAATGCCCACTTCAGTTTTTAGCATTTCATCATTTATTGGGTATCTTGAAAACATTTGTTTAATCAGCATTTCATAATCGTCAAATCCAGACTCAATGAAGTGACTATATTATTGACTATATTAATCTCAATAAAATATAAATAATTAACATTATTGTATTATTTAACGTAAATATTATAAAGTTCTTCTAGCTTTAAACTCCTCAGCCACTCTTTAAGATTCATATTTAAAGGAGGCCCCAATGTCGCGTTATTTGGAGTATTGCAGCATCTTCAAAAACTTTCTGCACCTATACTTCTAGATTTAAGAGAAAGCACTTTTGGACAAATACAAGCGTCTTCTTCTAATTTCATGATAATCCTATACTGATGCCCAGGAGCTGCGATCCCAATCCTTTCTAGCTCATCCCTTGTAATTGGGTATGCACTATTCATCTGTACTATCAAGCTTTCAATATCATCATACCCTGCATCACACAAAATATCACACAATTCTTGCAGTTCTATACTTTCTAATCAGCTATAAATAGGCTTTAATTTATTTGAATTTTGTTTTGGAAGCACACTTAGCTCTGAATCAGGCTCAAAATTAAAATTCTGAGGAATCGGTGGCGTTGGGGCTTCGTAGTTTTCAATTTCATGAGAATCATTTAAAGTTTTCCCTTTTCCAAATGTGTCTCCTAGCTCTAACTTATCCTCATCAAAAAAAATTATTTCGCTTTCGCTTTCTTTTTCTCCATTATTAAGTGTATTCTGTAGCTCTTTTATTTGTGCTAAATCAATCGGTCGCTTTTCTTGCCGATCTGGCAGAAAAGGATTCCCACCATATTTCATTAGCAGTTTAACAGAACTTATATGCCCGCAGTCAACTGCATAGTGTAAAGGGGATCTTCCAAACATAAAATTCTGAATGTTTGGGTCTCCTCGATATCTTAATAAGAGCTCAACCATTTTTTCGTCGCCGCGAAAGGCTGCATGATGAAGAGGGGTATCTCCGTCGTTTTGTTGCAAATTAGGATCTGCGTGATATGTTAATAAAAGTTCTGCAATTTCGTATTGAGAGTTATCTGCAGTTTGGTGCAGAGGAGTTTCACCGAGGTTGTTTGGGAGATTGGGATCTGCTCCGTGTTTAAGGAGAAATTGAGTAGCTTTGATGTGGTTACAAATGACTGTACGATATAAGGGAGTTCAGCCAAGACTTTCGTCTTTTTTGTTTAGTTTTTCGGGGTCTGCACTGTAAGCTTTTTTAATTTCTAGGAGAGAGCCTAGTCTGCAAGCTTTTTGAAGATCCATAACATCAACTTGATTATTGTACTGTAGGGTCATTTATGAATATTTAAATAAGTATAATCTTATGTTGATATATGAGGAAATATTGCACTATGTGCATTATTTTATAGCAAAAATTAGTGACAGCTTATTGAGTGTTATCAATGCTAGAGAATAAAAGATTTGAAATTTTGTTAAAGCCAAAACAGTCAATTATAACCCTATAACAAAATCTTTATAGATCTATGAATTGAAAATTGGATTTTCTCTCTTTGCTTTATTGAATTATTAAAAATATAAGTAAAATTTGCGAAAAAACGGAATAAATGATTTATTTACAAACTCAAAAATGTCAGATCCTGAAGAAAAACCTTTAATCTCTCAGTATCCTCCAGCATATTCCTTAGCTCCAAGTATTGATAACTCACAACAACCTGCTCAAAATCCGCCTAATGAAAATATCCAGCAAAATCAAGATCAACCTCCTCCATATCTTGAGTTTTACGATCCCAATATGAGCTTAGGCCTAACAAGTCAGAATATATATTGTCCAACATGTGGTAAAAACACATGAACTCGAATAGAGAAAAAGAACGGATGATTTACCTATCTAAGCTGCACATACCTATGCTTGATTGGATGCTTCTGTGGATGCTGCTTGATACCATTTTGTGTAAAAAGGTGCAAGGATTCGCATCATTACTGTTGCAATTGCAATACTCGCCTCGCAGTTGTTGCACCAATTTAATAATTAATGAGTATTCGATGTAGTTTAATAGAGAGTTTATTTTAGTATAAAATATAGATACAGGCTATTTGTTTTTAGCTAATCTTGACAAGAGCTTGCCTGACTGTTGAAAAGATGTGTCTGATTTTCCTAAATTAAATAATTGTCTTTGGGCTAAACTGACTAAGCTGGAATTTAACGATTGGTCTGGCTTGGTAAGAACTTTTATTTTGTCTTGAGGGAAAAGCCCTTGCATTCCTTGCCATCTGCACTCAGCTAGCCCAAAATCAGTTAGAAATTGGAGGATTGTAACAAGATCTCCAGGGTGTAGTGCAAAGCCATCCCCTCCTTGAGAATAAGTTGTAGCTATAACTTCTCCATAGAGAGTAGCAGTATTTTGTTTTGGTGGGGAAGCAATATGTTCTGGTAAATCTTCAGGGATAATAAATCTTGCAGGTTTTGGCTTGAAATCAGGATGGTCGATATTATTAGTGCCAATATTTTTTCTTGCCAAAACTTTTGCAAGCTTTTCTGGGTCGGTTTCTTCGAATTCAAATTCATATTCTTCTTTTATAACAGGAGGCTTTTTAATTATACCCTTACATTTTTCCATATAATTCTCTATGTCATTTTTAGCAGATTGGACTTCTTGTACAATCTCTCCTCTTTTAGGTGTTTGAGCGATCTCAGAGCCCTGCCCAAACGAAGTAACGAATTCTTCATCGCTCGCTTGTTCTAGGAATTCGGTAGATATTTCTTTTTTGCCTGAATTTCTTGATGACTCAGGTCTTGATAATTCTTTCAATTGTTTGCTTGATCGAGTATTTACTTCTCATGAAATTTCTTTAAATTGGGAACTTCGTGAAGATAACTGTGAAGTATCCTCAAAAGGCTTAAAAATGGCCCAGCACTTTTCTAATACAGATTTTAAATAAGCTTAATTTTATGGAGTATATTTTGTTTTTCTAATGGAGATCTTCTCGAAATGTTTTGGAACTGAGATCCTTTTATCGAAGAGCTACGGGAAACCTCTTGAAAATCAACTGGAGTGCTTCTAGAAATTTCTTGAAATTCTACAGGAGTAACTTCGACAGAGAAAGGAAAATGCCCAAGGTAGCTTGTGCTTTCTTGTCTGTTTGAGGCTACTGACATAAGGTGAGAAAACAGTGACCCTTGAAATGCAGTTAGAAGGGCTTGGACTTTTAATTTGTGTGATTCTGGATCAGGGGTAATTGCTTTATTCCTCATTTCTAATTATGTGCCAATTTATTATTTAATTTAAGATAAAAAATCTTTTTAAATTTCAGCTCACAACAAATTTAATACTATATCTATTACTTATCTTCATTTTACAATGATTTTCGTGAAAATTATCTTATTGTGAGCCCAAACGAATAAAAATTTTTTTATTCGTTCAAGTAGGGAGGAGTTAAGAAATTTGTTTTCCATATTATAACTTTTTATAAGATCCACTGTCATTAATCTAATTTCATACATATTAAGATAATAAAAATCATAAGTTTTGAGAACCACATATAATATAAAGCTCAAATAAATGAAGTAAAAATAAATTGATTTCTATATTTGAAATACTACAAAAATCAAATTAATTTAATTTAAATGATTTCCACAAATATTGATTTTAAGCAAAAATATTTACTTGTGTTTTTTAGGCTTTTTTGCGCCAGCTTCCTCATCGCTTTCGCTATAATTTCTATTTCCTTGTCTTTTCATCGGTAATTCTTCTTCGTCACTTTCATAATCCTCTTCTTCATTATATTCGCCTTCACTTTCATCAATTTCGTCTTCATCATACTCTTCCTCTTCATTTGTTAATATTGATATTTCGTTTCCATCTGCATCACAGCCGTCTAGTATTTGTAGCTCAGGCATCATACCAAAAATACTTTTACCGTAGTCTTCAATTTCTGAAATTGGGCAGCCAATGAGCTCTAATGAGACCAATTTAGAAAGCTTGGCGAGAGGCTTTAGATCGTCGATATTTGTGAATTGATTTCCTTCCAAAGAGAGATGAGTTAATTCTTTTAGGCAAGATATATTTTCTAAGCCATTTCTGATGTTATTGTTGGAGAGTTCTAGCTGGAGAAGGCCTGGAAGATAAGGAAAATTGGCTAAAGAATCCAATCCGCATCCAGCTAAGCTCAAGAAGCAGATATTTGGGTATCCTTCGAGCATTTTTTTTTCTTCTGTTGATATTTCTGATCCATGCCATGAGTCTAAAATTAGCTCATCGATATCGTCAATTCCTTTGCCTTTTATTTGACCATGAATTACCTCTTCCATTTATAGCGATTTTTTACCATAAGCATTTCAATGGAAATAAATGAATTTTCGCTATTCACAGCAGAATATCCATTAAAAAATGTGATTAATTCAAATTTTTCAATTTTTAATATATTCTTTAAGCTAAAATAGTATCGAGGCGAATATTCAATTAATTTTTAAAAATATAACGAATTCATTGGTTAAAGATTAAGAAGATTTTTAAATTAATTTCACGCAAAAAAGTTTTAGGATTAAATCTTTTATTCATTTTTAAGAGAATGCGGCTGGATCGTTAATTTGTTTATAAAAAAAAAATCCGTATCAATAATCATTTTTATTCTTATCAAAGAGCATATAATATTTGAGTAAACAAAGCTTACTTCTTTTTAACAGGTGATTTTTGGTTATTTTTTCTCCTCAATTTGCTAAGATTTGCAGTCAGTTCTTTCATATGCATAAAATCGTTCAGTCGCAGTTGATCAAGTCTCCATACCCTCTGCTTTTTGGGACTCATATCTGAAGATTTTCCTTTCTTTTTATATCTTCTTTCTTCTTCTTTAACTTCTTCAGCTGTTTCTTCTGTCTCAATTCTCTCATCTTCATCTAAATCATCTTCTGATTCACAGTCTTGGTTATCTGCTTTACTTACAAACTGCTGAATAAGCTTATAAAGCGACGGTCTGTCGCTTTTAATTTCAAACGGCTCTTCTAGCAAACTGAAGTTTTTCATCAAAATTTCATATTCTTTAGAATGAATTTGGTCTTGTCTTGGCACATGATTTCTCCCACAGCAGCCCTTTTTTTTAATTGATGTGTCAAAACGTATTGCTTTTTGTTGGCAACATTGATAAAACCCGATATTGCTGTTATTGCTAAATCTAGGAACGTCAGGGTGAAAACTGCAATGGCCAAGCTCAGCCCCAATGAACTTCAGCCCACAAACCATACAGTTAAAAGATACAAGCCTAGCCCAGATTTTTCAATAAATCTCTCTTCAGCTTAATCCTTGATCTTTTAAATACAGCATAAACTTATTAAATTCTCAATTTCTGTCAGCCACGTGCTCAGCAATTACATTTCCATGGAAATCAATAAAAATTCTGGCTTTTTCACAAATCATTCAATCGTGCTGTTCATTTGTGAATAGTTTATTGCAATAGACGCATCTATTGAAATTGTTATTTTCGTCCTCCATTATTTCTTCAATCTTCTTCATGAAAAGTTTGCTTACAAGCTTATCTTTTCTATCTTTTATATCATCAAGCTGTTCAGGGTTTGCTAATCTATACCAGTCAATATAAATTTATACCATAAAAAATTTATTTAAAAAAAAATTATTTTATATTATCCAGTATAGCAAGCTGCTTCAATAATCCTTGGTTTAGACAGCTCATGTCAATCGGAAGCTTCACAACTTCCTCCAAATTTCTGCTGACAAATTCCAGACATTCACTCACCAAAGTTTGCATTTGTAAGAATTCTGAAGAGATTAAAATAGAAATCACTTTATTCATTTCCAGTTCTGGCTTTTCACGGTTGTTCATATATTGCATGAGCCACTCAAAGATATCGACATCACAATGGACACTGATTTCAAGGTCATCGACTGATTGGCAATTTTGTAGGTGGCTTTCGAAATATTTCATTTTTGTAATCAGAACGGATTTAGGACATTTGAAATCTTTTTCAATTTTTTTTGCCTCGTCACAGACGTGGATTATTATATCTTCGTCAGAGCTTATTATGGGCTGTTTTAGCACTGGAGTTCGGGATGGCTCTGGAGGATTTGATTGTATGGGACGATTATAAACGGGTGCAGGCTGCCTTTGAGGAGCTGTTGTGTTAGGTTTTGGGTCTGGCTGCTTTACTCCTCGAGACCGAGATAGTGAAGTGCCTGACACGACAGATGAAGGTATCTGGCGTATAGGTGGAGTTCGATTGTAAGCTGAAGGTGGCCTTCGATAGCTTGAAAGAAACATGGAAAAAGGGTAATTTAATTTATAATATACTAAATTTAAATCTTTGAATTTAATTTTAAGCTTCACATGTATTTATGCTGTAAAAATAATGTTTAATCTTGCAATAATTTAATTTATTTAAGTATGGAAGACCAAACATTAAGTTACTTAGGATCAACAATTAACCAAGACCAGTCAGGAGATTTCTTTGATTCCCCTTCTGAAGATAAAGGCAACGAGCTTTTAATTATGACGATTGATATCGGTGATGGGAGAACAGATGAGCTAACGGTCTATGAAAATGATAAACCAGAATGAATAGCTGAGCAGTTTTGTTTAAGACATAATATGAGCAGTGACGTTAAAGAATTGCTTATCCAGCAGATCAAGATGAATATTGAAATCATTTATCAAGAGCAAGCTCAATCAATGACATTTAATAAAGAAAATGATTTTATAAATAATGAGCCAGAATTCATGCAAAATGATAGGAGCTTGACACCAATTGAAAAAAGTTATAGCCCAGAATCAAATGAGTATTTAAGAAAATTTTCTGATGAAAATTCATTTGAAAGACCGAATTCTTCGAAAATATCTCAAAAACCTTTGGAATTTTCGCAAATCACCACAAATCAATCACAACTATTAAATAACAGCGGAGAAAAACTTTACTATAAAGGTCTTCTGCTCAAAGAGCAAACTGAAAAAAAAATCCAGACCATAAAAAAACAGAAAAATGAAGAAATGATGAAAGAATTGACATTTCACCCAAAAACCAATACCAAAAGCCCACAGAGACGAATGCCTGAAATTGATCTGCTTAAGAAAGGAAAAGAAAAAAATGAGCATATTGAGAAGAAAAGAGGTGAATTTCTAGCTGAAGAAATGAGCCATTGCACATTTTCTCCAAGTGTTGATAAAAGAAGCTCATCATTGGTGAAAAATAAAAAAAGAAACGAATCCCCTGACAGATGTGTTGCGTTATATGAAAACGCAAAGGTTATTGAAGATAAAAAAGCTATATTGTATCAAAGAATACAGCAGCAAGATTGTCCTTTTAATCCAGACACAAGTTTGACTAATAAGATGAATAAGCAGCTTATTCGAAGTGTGCCAGAAAGATTGGCATATTCAAGGAGAACTATTGAAGAATATATTATGAAAACTAAGTATATTGATATAAAAGATTTTTAATTATAAAATAAAGACATTTATAGGCTGCTGAATTGCTGATAGACAAAACTCTCGTTGCATTTTATGATTATCATGAGGCTTGGTTTTATATTGGGAATTCTGTTACAGTAAAGCCTGGAAAACAATTTGCGTCTGCTCTCTGACTAGACCCAAGAAAAATTGAAAGGCATATTGCTTTATCCCAGTTACATCCTCCGGTAGCAGAGGAGCCTTTATTCGTAGCACAGCGTCAAGGAAGACAGAAATCGCTCATTCTTGAGTTGTCTAAGTCGACAACACTGCCTCTAAAGCGTGGCTGGAGAATAAATGCAGGTCAGCCCATTAGCCGGCGGGCCTGACCGTGTTAAAATAGTAGAAGCTCTGATGTTGCAACCACGTAGTGGATGCTAAGTGGGACTTATAGCGTGTAAACCCTTTAATTAAGCTCTGATATCAAAGATTTCAGTACAGGCCAGCAGTTATTTCACCCTAAAACAGGGCGATCTCCAGCAAAAAGGGATGCAAACCCTTCAAATATTGGTGAGCATTTATATTCCATTTCAAAAAAATCTCCAACCAAAGACCGTATTCAATCTCAATCCCCAACGCGCCATACAAATCAAACTTCTTATAAAATTATTGAAAGAATAAAATTTCAGCGTTATAAAGAACTATTCGATATGATGAACCCACAGGATGGAAAAATCAGTAAAGAAACAATAGAAAGTGGATATATTCCTAGGAATATTAAAGACATTATTGATCCTCTTATAAATGAGCTAGGGGATTTAAATGAAACACTAACATATGAAGAATTTTTTGAAGCAATGGAATTATTAATGAAAGAGCTTAACCCAACAGAAAAAAGCGTGCTTTTAAATACAAAAAAGTCGAGTCATCAAGAAGAGTCAAAATATACGAAAAAATAAAAAAAAATTTTAGAATGATTAATTAAAGATAAATATGTGTAAATTACCTTATCCAAATATATACGTTTAGGCCATCCATCAATAATTCATTTTCCAAAGAGTCTTCGAAAGAATCATCTAGAGAATCAATTTATGAAAGAAACATGAAACGAATGATGGAAATCCAAGAAAAGGTAAAAACAGTAAGAACACACCGAGAAATCGCTGAAATGGATGAATGTACATTTAAACCAAAATTAAATAAAGGTAACTTGACAAAAGACAGTTTGAATTTCAGCAATACAGACTTAGTTTTGAAAGACATAATTTAATTTGTCATTTTTCTAAACAATATTAATATCGCTATCATCTACAACCTCCACCACATCGCATTTTTGTTTTTTCACCCCATTTTCCCACGGCAGAACTCTTTCCGTACTTTTCATTCCTTTTTTTCCTTTAATTTTTCTTGATGCAATCCCTTGAGTATCTGAAAAAAATTTCCACTCCCTCATGCAAAAATACAATTTCATCGTTAATTCAGCGTCTATCATAGCTCCATGTTTTTTCCTATTTTTCAGGTCTCTTATTTCAAATATTTTGCAAGCTTGATCTAAGCTTGAGTCTCTTCTAAACGCAATTTTTATTAATTCTAGCGTGCATATAGTATTTCTGGGAATTTGCAAATTTTCTTTATTTATGCGGTTATACACTTTTAAAGCGGCTTCAAGGAAGCTGATATCGAATTTTATGTTATGGCCGATGATATAAGCTTCATTGGTATCTCCAATTCATTCGATAAATCGCCCAGCTATTGTGAGAGAGTCTTGCTCTCCTTCGAGAGATTCGAGGGTTAGGCCATGAACGTCTGAAACTGACTTAGAAATTGGCCTTGCTGGGCAGGCATATTCGTGAAATCGGCGTGTTTCTTCATTTTCAATTATTTCAATTGCCCCAATTTCTATAATTTCGTGATATCTTGCATCTAGCCCAGTTGTTTCAACGTCGAAAATTATGAGTCGGGATGTCAAAGGTGGAAAAAGCTGCTGGAACTTGTCCATTGGAAGGCAGCTTCTTGGAATTGCTTTCATTTTTACAGGCCCCTTTTAATACTCTGAAATAAAATGAACATATGCAATTAATTGATAATTGTAACCTAATTATTTACCATAAGTTTGGCATATAGAAAATTTCATAACAATTCCTAATTAGGCTTTATTTACTTCTCTATTGACATTTATAGAGGGCTGATTTTTTTATTTTTCCAAAATTTTAAAGAATCCAGGTTAAAAAATGTAATGAAGAGCATGAAAGTACGTTAAATTTAATAGAATCAGTAAGAGATCCATTATAATAGCTTATGCTATATTTAAATATATTTTTTAAATAAAATTTTACTTGAAAACATTTTTTTTTATTTTTCTTGATCTTTCTGATAGTTTTGCTTAAGCAGGGAGAGGTAGACATATAATATGAAATCGCTAAAAAGCAGTTCATATATTGAGCCAGCTGAAGCAGCAATCCCCATTTCTGAGCGAAAAGAGCTTCCTCTTTTAACATCTAACACCAATACAAATTTTCAGAGAGTTCGGCTTCCAAGGCTTCATAAAGCAACAAAAAGGTCTAAAACTTCAAATGCGAAGCATAAGGGCAATCCAAAAGAGTTAAATAAACAAAATAAGTATGATTGTTTTGTTGATCAGGTGCTTGACTTACAAACTTGCGTCAAAAAAACAAATATTGAATGTTTCGGGCGAATGAAAAAGCCATTCAGATGTCTTAGTAGGCAGAAAAGCTTAAAAATTAATGAAAATGCTAGAAGAGAAGCAGAGCCGCCTTCTACTGCAAGCTCTGATAATAATGACATTGTAGCAAAACCTGCAACAAAACAATTTTACAAAATGACAAAAAGAGTGCAGTTTAAAAGAAGACTTGAAATGGCCCAAAAATGCTTAGTCCGATGTGCAAAAATTAAAAAAATTTTTTTTAAAAAAACATTCCTTTGCGAATTTCTTTTCTCAAAAAAAAAATTTAATATTTATTAGGGAAAGAAATTAGTAATATTAGGCTTCGAAGGCGTTTTAGGAGATGTTTTCAAGCTAAGTCTATGAGATAAAGGACCAATGAAATTATATTTAAGAAGAGAAGCAGTAAAAGGCGTTAAAAAATTAACTGAAGATTATCAAGTAGTTTTATTTGTTCAATCTTCAAGAGCAAGAACTTCGAAATTAGTCGAATTTTTTGCAAGTAAAAATGTGCATTTCGATGGGGTATATAGAGCAAAAAATAGCAGAGATTTTGAAAAAGACCTTAATCTGAAAAGATATCAAAAAGTCAAAAAAAAATAAAATTAAAGAACTTAAAGTCTCCAGATTTGATGCTTCCGTACGCTTGAGACCATCGGAATCTGCTTGCTGGAGGAATTCAGTCGCCTGAACTTTGTTTCAATAGTGGTCAACTCCCAGAATCTGGGGTTTGACCGACATCCCTAGTCCAGACGGGCTAGAAAGACCCTTCTTGCTCCACGTCATCGGGTGCTATGGAGATGAAGATCAACCCTATGCCTCATATTGGCCACCTTGAAGGAGATGACACCTAGGAAAAAAGAGCCGCAGCACTCTAGAATCGGCAAGGAAAGAACCCGTGGTCTAAAAGCCATGCGGATAGCCAATACCTGGGACTTAATGGCCACCAGCTTGCTCTCAAGGCTTTAACACTCCATATGGCCGCTCTAGACAAGCTAAGGGTTATGATTAAAGGGCCTGAGCCTTAGTTTAGGCTATAAAACTATTCTGGCGCCCAAGTGGTGCGTCGTCAAGGGCATATCCCTTTGCCACCGCTATATTAATTCTCAGTCAAAAAAAAGGAATTTAAAATATTCAGAGTTTATTCATGATTATTCACAAATTGCTCTGGATTTTGGTTTGCAACACGAAACACTTGAAAAAATCTTGATTGTTTCAAGCTTAAGCTTGGATTTCGAAGAAATCGAAAATACAACAGGAAAAGATTTATTATTTAGAAAATATTCTCACAACTTGTGTCATTTTCTCTGCAAAGCTGCTCCAAACCATAAAAATACATCAGTGCCTTTGCCTATATCTCTTTTAGTTCCTGATCCTAGAGCAAGTCCTAATTTTTCAGGGTGCTCTTTTATGGAAATTGTTAATTCGCTGAATTTTCTTTCCTCATTTTCTGATCGGGGGGAGGATAATGAATGCTCCTGGTTTGATGGATTTATGCAGTTAAAAATATCCTATTTCTGCAGTCTTTTTATTATAAAAATAAAGAAATTAATTAGTGCTTCATTATTTGCTAATGGTATAAATCCTCAGCCAGGATATCAAATTGTTGAGACTAGCTTTTTACAATTTTCATTGGCAAAAGAGAAACTTGAGGTAAATAAAGAAAAAATGATGGAATATATAGATAAACAAATGAGTAAAAGCAGCAATGACCTTAATTTATTAGAAAATATGAGCCTATGGGCAAGTCCTCAAAATAAAAATAGATGTAGATGTCCCAATGATATGAAAGAGGATTGCATTATAAAAGAGTGCGCATCATGTAGCAGTGAAAGAGCTTTACGAAATTATTCTATAAATGGCCAAGAAATTCCAAATTCATTCTTACTCCCCACACCTCCGTGAGCGAACAAAACCATTGGAAAAATCCCTATTTTGTGCCCAAAAACCCACCCTCCGTAAGCAATCAAAATGTTTTTAATATTAAAATTTTTTATGAAAAAACATTTTGATATATAAATGTAATTATTATAATGAAATCTCTAGCTAATTCTATTTAATTTTAAACAGCTTGCATTTTAAAGCACAAATTTCGCAAATTAAATTAATTTTTGGTTCTCAATTTTTACAAATTGGAATTATATAAATTTTTAAACAAAAAAAAATAACCCCCCTTTGTGAGTAAACAAAATTTTTTATCTAGCTCACGGAAGGGGGGAGTTAAAAAAACAAGTTTATCGTTTTTAATTGTCCAACTACCTATCCATATCGGTATGTTCATGACTATAAAGGCACAACAAAAAGTAATTTAATAAATATAACGATAATGTAAAATGTAAAAGCAGATCAATTATAAAAAATCTAAATATATAGATAATTTAATTGTTAGTATTATACAAATCAAGCTATAAATGTATATGTATTAAAGAAAAATTTTAAAGTGCATGAATTTTAATTTGCTAAATGCTTGAAAGATTTTAATGCTGCTTAGTTCAATTAAGATTTCAAAAAAGAAATTTCGATTTTATTAATCGTATCGCTGATGAATTCAAGCCGCGATTGGTGCTTATAATAAATGCTTTTGTTCAAAAGCTTTTATAAAATCTTTATTAAAATGCCATCTCATTAATATTAGTATTATTCCATTATAATTTATTCAGAGTGATTCCACAATTTTTCCTTTTCTCAAATTAATATTAAATATCAATTTCTAAAAGCTTTTAAAACTTATTTACTTGCTTTAACTCAGAATTATCAAAAAGCCAGGCTGGTAAATGCTAATGGGCCAAAATTTATAAGGTGACTATAAAATCGTGGGAATAAACTTGCATGAAGAATTATAAGTTCCCAGTGAAATTTCATAAGAAATTATATACTTTGGGCAAATCATAACTGCCGTTTTGGCCTTGTTGAGATATTAAAAGTTCTATTAAAATATAATAAAGTAAAATGGAAATAAGTGATGGAAAGGAGTTTACTGTAAAATCGCCTCTCATTCCCTATTCAGATTCAACTTTTACATGTACAATGCATATATATGCCAATGAGGAATCTTTAATCCAAAAAATTGAGTCTTTTAAACTTACTTTTATAGGGAATTTATTCTATTGATTTTTAGTGATAATCACACTTGGTATTTATTTTTTATTCGACAAATGATTTATTAAGCTTCATCTTAGAGTTCGTTACAAACGTTCTCCACCAAATTTATCCACTCATTTTTTAATAACAACTAAAGATTTCACCAACTTGGTTGAAATGACCTTAAAGCACTCCAAAACTTTGGGTGATATCATTACTTTTACCCATCATGATTTATCTTATTATTTTGATGGGAAATGTTTTCAGCCTCTTTATTTTAATGCAGCAATATCCTATTCTTCAATCATAGACAGATATAGTAAAGGCTACAGCGACGGAGAATCAATTCAAGAAATGCAGTCTCTTTTCGGTTTATGCCAAATCGAAATCCCATTGAAGTCATTTTTTCGTCTGGTTTATGAAGAAGGGACTAGTCCATTTTATATTTTCCAGATATTCAGTATAACGATATGAATGGTTGATGATTATATCTTATACTCCTGCTGTATCATACTCTTAACCTGCATTTCATTATTCTCATCAGCAGTTCAAACTAGAAAAAGCATGCTTGCACTTCATGAAATTGCCTTAAAAATCATAAAAGTTAAGGTGCTTCGACAAGGAAATTGGACTGTTCTGGACAGTGCTAACTTAGTTCCTGGGGACGTAATTGAGATTCCTCAGCAGCAAGAAATGCCTTGTGATACTGTTTTAATCTCTGGAAGTTGTATTATAGATGAAGCCTCTTTAACAGGCGAATCCATTCCTGTTATAAAAGATTAAGATTAAGATTACGCTGAGTATTTAAAGTCCCCACTTCGTCCGAGGAAGCATTCTACGGTTTCCCGTATGGTGGCAGAGCGTTCACCAAGCCCGGGCCGAAACCCCCGTTTCTCGGTAGAGGTAAAGGCCAAGGGACGTGTCATACCGTCTTTGCTGACCGCCTCCATTTCCAACTTGGATCGTCGCCTAAGTTTACGCCAACACTGCCGCGTCGTCCGCCAGATCTGCCCATTGAAGGGCGTCTTTTAACTGGAGAGACTCCCGTTCTGTTGTCTAGCTTGCCCTCCCCTCTTTTCCGGTCATCCCGAGAAAGAACTCAACAGCTTTCGCCATTCGGGGCAAGCCACAAAAGCAGCTTAGGCAGGTAAGTCGCCCTGCCTCATTTCGGCACTCACTGGGCTGAGCGCTGCTGGCAAAAAGAAGTCGCGAGTAACTGCCCATGGGTTTTGTCACAGAAACAGCGGTCTCCGTGCTTAGACCTCTCGCCTCGAGGTCCAAAACATTGTTGGGCCAACACACGGCTCCAAAAACCATGCCGGATATACATGGGTAACCACCACTGAGAGGTGGGTCGGTCGCCGTCCGCCATTTTATGTATATCCTGTTATAAAAGATAATCTTCCTTATTTATCTGAACATATTTACAGCATTGAAGGAGATAGACATTATTCCTTATATGAAGGGACTAAAGTAATCCAAACAAGAAATTATGGCCAAGGAGAAGTTATAGGAATAGTTACCAGAATTGGCTATGCAACAATGAAAGGGAAAATGATCCGCTCAATTTTATATCCAAAGCCAAATAAATTTAAATTCTATGAAGACGCAATAAAATTCATAGGTGTTCTTGCAATAATTTCGATCCTTGGCTTCATCATATGTATGCCTATCATGATTTATCGAGGAGTTCCTATCTTTCAGATCATTATCCATTGTTTTGATTTATTCACTGAAGCAATTCCTCCAGCATTGCCTGCATGTATGACTATATGTACAGCAATTTCTATATCAAGACTAAGAAAACAAGGGATTTTTTGTACTGCGCCACAGCGTGTCAATGTTGCAGGGAGAATCGATACTTTTTGTTTTGATAAAACAGGAACGTTGACAGAAGATGGCATGGACTTGTTAGGGGTTCACCCTAATATAGAGAGGTCGATTAATTTGATATATAACGACTCATCATTGATAATAAACAGCTCAAAACGTTTGATTGAGTGTATGGCCGCCTGCCATTCTTTGATTGTTGTAGATGGAAAATTGCTTGGGGATTCTCAGGATATACAGATTTTTAATTTTACAAGGTGAAGTATGGATTTGCCTTTAGCAGAAAATCAGAATTCTGATGTAAAATTTATTGTAAAATCAGAAAAAAATGAGGGTGAGCTTGGGGTGTTAAGAACTTTTCATTTTACCTCGAAGCTCAAAAGGATGGGAGCGATTGTAAAAAGTTTGGCTGATGGACAGTTCATTTTTTATATGAAAGGAGCACCTGAGGTAGTATTAGAAAAATGCAATCCTGAGAGTATCCCTGCAAATTTAGCAAAAATTTTATCAGGATACACATGCTCCGGATATAGAGTACTAGCTTGTGCTTATAAATTTATTGATTCTATTGATAACTCTGAGTTAAATTCAAAGCATATTACAGACTTTGAATCAGATTTAGAGCTTTTAGGACTGATAATTCTTCAAAACAAGCTAAAATCTCAGACAATTCCTGCAATCCAAGTATTGCATGAGGCTGGAATCTTATCTTATCTTAATAACCTATATCACGTTTAACGTCCACTACCAGGTAGCTCGACCATAGTTACCCCCAAAACCACTCTGGGGTGAGTTTTTTGCCATTTTCCTTAGGGCCGTCCAGGCTCAGGTTTTAATCTCCAATGAGGACACCAGCCTTGAAGTTTAGGCTTTGACAATCAAGGCTGGAATCAGAACAATAATGGCCACCGGCGATGCCATACTAACCGGAATTTCTGTTGCCAGAGAATGTTCACTGATAGACTCTAGTATCTCTGTCTATCTTGGCGAGCTTAGAGAAGGAAAAATCTTATGGGAGCTTTTTGGAGTTGAAAAACCATTAGAATCTCATACCATCATAGATCATCCTTGAAAATCTCTAAACGATTCTTATACTTTAGCTATGACAGGTGCAGCATTATCTCACCTTATTCATCTTTCAGAATCGGGGGATCAAGACTCTTCTATATGTGTTAAAAATATCATAGAAAAATGCAAAGTTTTCGCAAGAATGTCGCCAGACCATAAAAGTTTGCTGATGGAAAAATATCAGCAATTTGGAAAAACCATCGGAATGTGTGGGGATGGGGCTAATGATTGTGGAGCTTTAAAAACTGCTGATATAGGGATATCGTTAAGTGAAGCTGAAAGTTCTATTGCAGCACCTTTTACGAGTAAAATTCCAGATATTTCATGTGTAATTAATGTATTAAGAGAAGGAAGATGCTCATTGGTATCATCTGTTCAATGTTTTAAATATATGGCTTTATATGCTATGATCACCTTTATTTCTCTTTGTATATTATATAGTGTAGGAACTGGGACTCATAATAATCAGTTTTTAGTATATGATTTGATTACTGTAATGCCACTAGCGATTGCTATGACTTATACAAAGGCTTGCAATAGATTAACTTCCTCTTTAAGAAAAAAATTCTATTTTTAATAGAAATAAACACCATTTAATAGTGAGAAAAAAATATTGCGAGCTCTTAAATATAGGAGTAAGCAAAAAACAGCCTATAAGTGCTTTAATTTCAGTTTCAGTATTAAGTTCAGTAATAGGCCAAATTTTGCTTGAAACTGCGACTCAGGCAGCTGTTTATTTAATTGCAAGCTGAATGCCATTTTTCGAAAAATCTGATTATGAGAGAGGGGAAGACTTGAACGAATTTTATTATAGTTATCCAAATACTGTAATATTTTTGACATGTTGAATGCAAATGGAGATGATCGCTTTGGTGTTTAATGTAGGAGGGCTTTGAAAGAAACCATTTTATACAAATTTTTTGTTTACTGGAATTTTTATTTTTCTTGTCGCTGCAACGACTTATTCTATTGTTTATCCAGCAGATTGGGTTAGAGATGTGCTCAATGTAAGATTTATTTAGCTGAAAGACATTCCTGAATACTTCAGATTGATCCTCTTAGGGATTTGTGCAATATATGCAATTTTGGCATATATTTTAGAGCTAGCTCTAGTTCCTTGGATAGAAATAGCGTGGTTTGGCTATCAATTGAAAAGGAAAAAGATATCAAACTTTAATAATAATAATATTAATTAAATTAAACTATATAAGTGATCTTGTGGTATTTTTCAATTCTAAAAGCTAGCATCAATAATTTATATTTAAAGCATCATTATTAAATAATTAATCTTCAAATAATTCTTCATTTTCAGCCTCAAGCTCTTCTTTCATAGTATTGATATAATCATATATCTGTTGTTCATATTCAAGGAACTCAGGATGTGCCTTTAGTCTTTCAATATCAATTTGTGAAAGAGCATATAGTAATCCTTCATTTTTCCATAAAGCAAGGACTTCCTCATCAATGTCTCCTTCTTCATCAACAAACATGTCTCTTATATTCATCAGCATGGCGTTAACGTAACTTGGAGTGCTTAGGCCAAGTAAAATAGTTATCATTCCTCCAGTAAAATCAAGACCAGATTTTACAACTCTTTGGATTGCTGATGGGCGATTAAAATAGTAGCCTCTGAGTACGTCAATTGAAGCCACTCTCATACCTTCTTTATTGTCTTGCATAAAGGTGTATACTTATTTTAATAGAATGAATGCATTTAGCTTGATATATATATAGAGGAAATAAATTATTTCATTCAGATTAATTGGAAATATATTAGTGCTAAACCTTCATCAGACATAAATTCATCACATATTTCTGGGTACTCTGGCTGAATCATATGTGAGAGACAGATAAGGGCTGATTCTCTTTTGTCTCTTAGTCTGCTTTTCAAGTTTTCTCTTAATTTTCCAACAGCATTTGTTCGAATTACTAGAGAAATTATTCTGATTTTATTTCAATAAACTATAAATACTGTAAAAATTTTACCTTAAAAGCAATTAAATTGGGCTAGATTCTTAAGTTAATTATATGAATTAAATCAAATTATTTTACTTCAGGATTATCTAAAATTTTATCTGCAAATAATTCTGCCATCCTCGCAGCTGAAAGGGATCCAACAGTTGTAGGAGCTTCTGCCCATGTATCATTTAGCAAAATAGCTTTAATTCTTCTTGGGGTGTTAAGCTCTGCAATAAGCTCTTCTAATGTGTACTTCGAAATGTTTGTAGCAAAAACAGTACTAAATAATCTTTACTCAGTTTCTGATGAATATGAAGAAAGCCTTGGACTTCCCAAGCTTTTTCTTTCTACTAGATCTAGCTTTGCATCATTTTTTAAATCTTCAATTATACCTTTAAAAATGAAGCCTTAGGCGCTATGTATTATTGCTACAAAATTTTTTTGATATTAGCTACTTCTAGTATAATTTTAATATTTTTTTGCTATACAGATCCCAATCTTTATTTTTAGACATTTCATTGAATTTCTAAATAAAAATCACCAGCTGAGTTTGGGTCAATAAATGAATCAAGTTATTGAAAAACAGCAATTCTTGGTTACTGAAAATAATATTATGGTCTGCATCATATAAAAAATGATATAAAGTGTGAAGGTTGCTTTTTAAGTGTTTTGGCTGCGTGAAGCCTGGGTTCGCTTGTATAATAGAGTTAATTATAGCGCCTTTTTGATAATTTTTAATCATTTCCATTTCAATTGTCTTATCTTTCAGCATTGCTCTTACAAGTTTAGAAGCCAAGTATCTTAAAAGTTCGACAGGGTCTTGAAGTAGGCTATACTTATTTACCAAGAATAGCCCACTAAGAAGCATTTTTTGGTTGGCCAGACAATGGCATCCCATATTTCCTGGCTAGCCAAATTTAAGAATGGCGAACCAAAAAATGCTCCTTAATGGGCTATTCTTGGCAAACAGGTATATTTAAAACATATAAAGCATCATCTTCATATAAAGCTTCAGCATCTTTATATTGTATTGGAATTTTAAATAATCCCAATAAGTCCTGAAGTGCAAGCTCAATAATTGCAGGATCATTGCTTTTTAGTGATTCTAATAGCTGCTTAATTAATTCAGGGGTAATTTTTTCTTTGTTTTCTTGGTCTTTATAGAGGTCTCCTTTAATATTTTCCAAAATTTCTTTTACTCCCCCCCCCCCCCTCCGTGAGCGAACAAAACCATTAGAAAAATCGCCATTTTTTGACCAAAAACCCACCCTCCGTGAGTGAACAAAAATTTTTTTAATAGAAAAAAATTTTAATGGAAAAAAATTTTGATATATAAGTGATAATTAGTATAATGAAATCTAGAGCTAATTCTGTTTAATTTTAAACAAATTGCGTTTTAAAACATAAATTTTGCAAATTAAATTAATATTTGCTTCCCAATTTTTGCAAATTAGGATTTTTTTAAATTTCGAAAAAAATATTTTTTATAAAATTTATATATAAATTTTTTTAAAAAAAAAAATTAACCCCCCTCCGTGAGCGAACAAAATTTTTTTGTTCGCTCACGGAGGGGGGGGGGGGAGTTTAGTTCTTTTTCGGTAAGAGGTTCACTATTTTTTTCTGGAAGCAATTGAGGACTATAGTCGCTTGGGATAATGTTAGAAGAATCAAAGCCAAAATTTACCACTATTTCGTTTTGGCTTATATTTTCTGTTTCCATTTCTTTTTCTTCAGCCTTCTTTACAAATTCCACTTCCTCAATATCTTTTTTATTAGCAGCTTCTCCATTATCCAAGTTCTTTTCGGTGTCACTGACCTTTGGCTCTTTGCTGTTTTCTTTATCTATTTTTCACTCTGTTTTACTTTTGATTTTTTCTTTGTTATTTTGGCCAGTATTGTTTTCCCCTTTTTCATCAAGAGGCTTTGCAGGGATATTTCCATGATTATTTTCAGGTTCTGATGCATCTGAGTTTATTTCTATTCTTTTGGCTTCTTCAGGGACTTTTTTCATGGGTTTAGCCTCTTGGACAGCTTGCATCTTATTAGAATCATCTGAATATTTGGTACCTCCTCTGCCTTCGCAGCATCCCATAATTATTATAAAAACGGTTAATCTTATTATTCTTTAAGCTCGTCCAATTGTCTTGCAAAGATAGGAGACTCATTCCATGATATTCTTGGAACATTTGGCTGCTTGGTGTAGCTCCCAAGGGTTAATGATAATTCATTTTCAGGAGAATTTGCCATAAAATCAGATAATAGTTTACAAATAACTCGTAAATCTTGAGAATCCGAATTAATTTCATTTGAATATGACTTGCAGCATTTTTGAAGAATATTTAGTGCTCTTTCCAGCTTTGGACCTCGATAATGAGATGAATCTAAGTTTTGAAGCAAATCAACAGTTTTATCTGAAATTTGATTAAGATTTTCAGCTTTTTTGGCAAGTGATGATTCTAATTCTTGCAGTCTTAATGATGATTTAGCTAAAGAATCGACTTGGCTTCTTGAAATCATCAAATCATTGGAAGCATCAGGCTGCCGAGCAAATGACTTTTTCGAAGAAGGCAGATTTCTAAGAACCAAAACAAGTTTTTGAGAATTTTTTTCTAAATCTGGAGATTTTGAATTAAGCTCTGATAAGATTTCTCTAAGCTCTGTAGCATCTGCTGATAAAGATATTTCTAAACAAATTTTGCAGATATCTGTATATGTGTTTATTTCTCTCATTTTTTGTAACAAAGAATTTTGTGCATAGGATTCAAGCTTATACACAACACCTTTTAGCCATAAATCAAGTGTGATATTTTTCTGTGTAATTTCATTTAAATAATGACCCATTTTCTCTAAGCTTGCAGTTTGTGGAGCATTAATAATGATTTGCATTATTTTTTCTTCTAAATATCTCAAAATCAGCTCAAATTCTTTCAATCTTTTATCGAAATTTTTTTGATTTGCATCTTTTTTCTGCTTGATTTTTTCAGGTGAAGTCCATCGTGATTTTTGATAGTGCGCATTTCACCAGAGTACTTTTGGTCGAAAATTGGTTGAAACTTTTTAATAGTGAGACAATTGACCGAAAAAGAAGTTAAATTTTGGTCAAATGTCACATTATTTAAAAAATTTTTGAACAATGCATTTCGATGAAATGTAACCGTCAAAAAATAATACCATTTGATATGGAGCCGATTTTTCAAGTTCTAAAGCCAGCCCTGCATCTTTTGAGCTTTTATTAAGAACCGTAATTTGATTTTCTAAATTTGCAATAATTTCGTTTTTTTCACATAAAGCTTTTTCTAAATGGTCTGAATAAGCATCTCTGCTTCCTATTGAATCTTCAAATCTAGAATCAGCTTCCCTTCTATTTATCATAGTTTTCGTAGTATCAGGCTTATAAGTAATTCGATTTATTTCGCTTTTCAGGTCAATGTTTTCTCTAGATAAATAGCTTAACTGTTCTTTTAGCTCGTTTATTGATTTATCTGTTTCTTTTTCAGGAGTTTGATTGCGAAAAGCTGTTAATGTTTTTTCTAGCTGCAATTTGTCAATATTTAAATTTTTAATTTGTGATTGAAGCTGAGAAATTGTGGTTTCTTGTGTTTCTATAATTTCTTGCAAATTCACAACTCTATAGTCAAAATTTTTAGATTTTGTGGATTTAAGCTCGTCATAGATACTGATATTTTTTTGTTTGAGAGCTTCTATTTCTTTTGCATTTTTTATTTGAAGTTCTTCAAGATATTTTATGTTGTTTTCTTGCTTTTGTATAATTTCATTGCAATTGTCGAGCTCTTTTCTAACCCTCACATATTCGTCTTCTAATAGTATTTTTTCTTGCACCCCAGCTCTTGAGTAAGTATTGATTTCTGCGATTTCTCTTTTATACTGAACAAGCTGCTCTTCTAAATGCCCTTTAATTCTAAACTTTTCATTCTGTTCTTTTGCGATAATATTTTTCAAATTTTGCGCTGTATCGTTTAATTCGATTTTTTCATCTTCCCATAAGGATTCTTTTTCTCACGGAAGGGGTTAGCTATTTTTTAAAAATTTTTTATATAAAATATTTTTATTTAAAAAATCCCAATTAGCAAAATTGGATAGCAAACATTTATTTAATTTGTAAAATTTATGTTTTAAATATAATTAGCTTAAAATTAAACAAATTAGCTAGAGATTTCGTTATAATAATTATCAAAATTGTTTTGTTCGTGCGGGGGGGAATTAGCTTTTTTTCAAGACTATCAATATTTTCAAGAAGTTTTTGTTTTTCATAATCCGATTGCTCTTTAAATGTGTTTAATTCTTCTCGGATTTCAAGTAATTTAATTTCACAATAATGGAGGTCTTTAATTCGCTCTAGTGATTTTCGAGCAGTTTCTGTAATGCTTTCTAGATCTCTTTGTTCTGCTATAGTTAATTCGATGTTTTTACTTGAAAAAGATTTCAAAAATTGAGGGAGATCTTTATCGTAAGGTTCTTCATTTGGATTGTCTATAGTTCCTAACTCCCCTCTCCGTGTGTGAGCAATAGACATAGAAAAATCCTTATTTTTTGGGTAAAAATCGAGTGAGCAAAAAATTTTTTATAATATAAAAAATTATTTTATTAAAAAAATATTTGATATATAATTGATAATTAGTAAAATGAAATCTCGAGCTAATTCTTTTGGAATTTAAACAACTTGCATTTTAAAACATAAATATAGCAAATTAAATTAATTACGAATTCGATTTTTTTAAATTTTGAAAAAAGATTATTAATATTTATTTTAAAAAAATTAAACCAGTTCTATCACGGAGGAAGGGGAGTAAGAGCTTTTGGATATGCCATAAATCATTTTTATTTCTGACTAAGTCTCTTCTTAAACTCTCAATTTCATTCATATTATCGAAATTGCATTTCTTCTCTCTTTCAAGTTCATAAATAATAATACTATTTTGGCTTTTTTCTTCTCTCAGCTCATCTTTCAGCTCATTTATTTTTTCATGGGCATGGCTTAATTCATGTGAGATCACTTTTTCACTATATGGTATTAAATCACTCTTAATGCAAGAATCCCTTTGATTTAGCTCAGAAATTAAAAAGTCAATAGTCCCCTGCATCTCATTTTTCAAACTATTATAAGCTTGGTTCTGATCTTCAGTTTGTTGGTTTTTTACCTGCATCATTTTCTTTAAGTCTCTTATTACTGCTAATAAATTTGCGTTTTTGCTGATCATTTCTAATAATTGTTGTTCTAATTCTTCATTCCTCATAATCCATCTTTCAGCTTCTGATCTATAAGCAGCTGTTTGTTCTTTTAATATTTCCAATGATTCCGCTAATTTTTTCCCTTCTCTTTCTGCTATTTCTTTTATGGTCTTTTTTAGCTTAGCTTCCCTTAATAAAGCTTCTTCTAATTGTTGAGAAATTCCTTCTAAAGTTGACGCGCTTTGGAAATTTTCTTTAAAATCATCATCTTCGTCAATTCTTATGTTTTCTTTATTCGGAGAATTTCCTTTTAGCAGTTTTACAGGTGCTTTTTTCTTTGGTGGCCTGTTATTTTGAGCATTTGCTAATGGGAATCTATTATTTTGTGATTTTGTCCTTTGATGATGTGGGGCTTCTCCTTCTTGTAAGCTATGCAGCTGCCTAATAACATTTTCTGCTTGTCTTTTCCAATGTATTACCTCTTTTTCTCTATTTCCCTGTGAATTTTGGAAATCTTCCACAATTTTTTTATTTTCTTCAGACTTCTGTTTGATGACTTCTTCCAGTTCTTGGACTTTATTACAAGATTGATAGAATAAATCAGTTCTTTCTTGGCTTAGTTTTTCAATTTCTGTCAATTTTTCTTCTAATTCCTCCATAGCTCCTTCTATATTTGTTTTTTCTCTTGAAATTTCTTCGATTATAGCATTTAGCTTATTTATTTCTTCATTTTTTGAATCATTTAGGTCAATTAGTTTATTTTTCAATGCAGTGTTTTCTTCTCTTAGCCTTTCTTCAGTTCTTCTCATAATATCAATATCTTGCATTTTTTTCTTAACATCAGTGCTTGACCGTTCTAGGCTGCGGTTATCTTTTTTTAAGTTTTCTATTTCGCTGCTAGCCTTTGAAAGCTCTTTTACGAGTTTTTCACATTCATCGTTCAATTTTTTCACCAGAATTTGTGCTTTTTCTAAAGCAGTGTCTTTTTCTTTTGCGTCGTCTTCAAGGTCGAGCATAGAGTTAGAGAGCCCATGGGCGTTTCGCTGCTCTTGTTCTAGTTTTTGTGCTAGTTCAGCGTTTTCTTCTTGGAGTTTTCTGCTTAAAGCTTCGATTTCTGTAAGCTCGATATGAAGCTGCTCATTTTGATTTTCTAAACTTATTATTCTTGTTTTCAGCTCGTCATTTCTGTTAGGGCTTTTTAATAACTGCTCTTGCTGCGATCGGGCTTGTCTGTATTCTGATATTAGCTCTTCATTACTCTTTTTAAGCTCCTCATGCATAGCTTTTATTTTTTGTGAGTCTTCTTGTAGCTTAAGCTGCTGATTTTTTAATATTTTGTTTTCTTTTTCGCTTTGTTCAAGCTCTTTGGTAAGTTTCTTAATTTGAATTCTAACTCCCCCATCCTTGATCGAACGACCCCCTTGTTCGATCATGATGATGGGATTTAAAAGAATTTTGGAAAAAATTATCATTAAAATAATGGATATTATTTTTGTTTGGTGTATTTTTTAATAAGAAGGTTAAGATAGTGAATATTAAAACTATTAAAATGAAAAATTGTGTTAATTTAAAAATTTAGTTATCCATTTCCACTCTGTAAAATATTTCTATTCTTTATTAATTATTTTTAATTTGCAATAGTTCTAAACATTTTAGATTATCAAGCTTTTTTAGGCTAGGCTGATGGTTAAAGTACTTGGATAATTATTCCGCTCAGATTATTAAGAAAAACTTAAATTACTCTTAATTTGCCAAAGCAAACTATTAATTTTTATAAATTATAATAAATATTAACTAATTAATCGATTTACTGTATATAATATGAAAATCGTTCAATCAAGGATGGGGTAAATTTCCCATTTTTATGAATTTTCAATGGAATCGTTCGATCAAGGATAGGGTCTAAGGATTTATCATTTTTTTCTTCCAGTTCTTTTTGCAGCTCTTCTCGCTCTTCTCTTACTCCCCCCCCCCCCTCCGTGAGCGAACAAAAAAATTTTGTTCGCTCACGGAGGGGGGTTAATTTTTTTTTTTAAAAAAAATTTATATATAAATTTTATAAAAAATATTTTTTTCGAAATTTAAAAAAATCCTAATTTGCAAAAATTGGGAAGCAAATATTAATTTAATTTGCAAAATTTATGTTTTAAAACGCAATTTGTTTAAAATTAAACAGAATTAGCTCTAGATTTCATTATACTAATTATCACTTATATATCAAAATTTTTTTTCCATTAAAATTTTTTCTATTAAAAAAATTTTTGTTCACTCACGGAGGGTGGGTTTTTTGTCAAAAAATGGCGATTTTTCTAATGGTTTTGTTCGCTCACGGAGGGGGGGGGGAGTTAGCATCTCATTTTCTACTTCTGATCGTCTGTAAACAATTTCTTGTGACCTCATTTTTTCAGCATAGGTTTTATAATAAGTGACTATTGATTCTTCACTATCATAAGATTTCGATAATAAGCCTTATTAGAAAATTATATGTCTTATGTGTCATTATTTTTTAATTAAAAATGTAAAGATGATCCTTGCTAATAAAGGCTTATTGACTAATAATGGTATAAATGCTGTATGGTTTTCAAGGTTTGTATACAAGATCTAAGTGGCTCTTCAAGATCCAGATCTTCTTCGTCATCTAACTTCCCCTCCATTTGCAACACAAAAAATTTGTCAGGTTAATTGTTTTTCAAAAATTTAAAAAAATTCCAATTAGTAAAAAATTGAGAAGTAAAAATTATTTAATTTGCAAAATTTATGTTTTAAAATGCAAGCCGTTAAAATTTCTAACAGAATTACCTAGAGATTTTATTATAATAATTATCAATTATATATCAAAATATTTTTTCATCAAAAAATATACTCACGGAAGATGGGTTTTTTACGAAAAAAAAAAAAAGGATTTTTCCAATAGTTTTGCTATCTAAAGGAGGAAAGTAAGTGGATTCCTGACTCTAAAAAGCGAGGAGTCACTTCTCCAATACCTTCAGTTAGCAAGATGGCTTCACTTAAGTATTCATCTTGCACATAACTGTGGTCTAATAAAGTGTTATGAACTGAAGTAAGGTTCTCTAAGATGTACGATAGATTTATGTTATTGTCTTTTCGGAAATAGGCCTGCTTGATTCATTCTTTTACAAGCTGAATTTTTAGGTTTTGAAATTTAAATTGAATATTTTTTCTTGGATAAATAAAATGGCATTCGGCTCGAGAAAAATTAGTTCTCTCCCTCTTGGAATTTTATTTATATTTTCTCTTGGGAACTTCTGCACAGCAGTAGAGGTTTAACTTTAGGGATAACTAGAGGAACTGCTCCACAGCACAACTAAGAAGCTCAGAATTTTACCTCTCAGCATATCCAAGGAGTGTGACCCTTAGGCGGAGCACGCGCAGGAGCTGAGCTAGGCAAGTGCGACAGCATCGCGCGCCAGTAAGAAGCGCAGGCAGCAGGTATTTATTTGGGATGGTCTGACCTTTTGGATCGGAAATATTCATAATATCACCATTTTGGCACTAGCCCTTCAGTGTTTGTGTGGCGTTAACCCTTAAAATCTTAATTAATATAATGCATGAATATCTTTTCTTGAATCCATTATTATTGGAAAAAGGCTCTAAATATTCGTTATGTTTAACATCATAATAAAGGCAGCATAAATTTGCTAAAGAAATAGGTTTAATTTATATCCAAATATCATAAATAAATTACTTCATAGCTTTTTGGACAGCAGATAAACATAAATGTCTAAGATGTTCCAAAGACTGAATACAACAAAAGAAGTTTTCAGCTTCGAAATTTACGTTCACCACATCATTATCGCTCTCCCACATGAAACCCACTTAAAAATCATCTGGAAAAAAAGTAATTTTCATATAGAAGATATCACGTCTGAAACAAAAGTTTTCACAGTCACCCCTGAGGAAAAAAAAGCAGCCATCAACGAACAATTGCTTATGCCTGTGAATACCTTGTTTAAAAAGAAAGGGACAGGAGCTTATAACTCTAAAGAGGCAGAATTGAAAATAATTGGCGAAGCAAATGGAAAGTACTTTGAAGCTGGAAAAGTGTTGTTGAACTTAGCTGATTATATTGGCTCATCAATAAGAGAATCAAATTACCCAATACAAAAATCAAAGGACAAAGAAGCTGAAGTCTGCCTTTCTATAAAAGCTCAACCCTTGGAAAACCAAAACATAGCAGCTGAAGCAGAAGTTGAGGATAAAAAAGACCAAAAAATAGACGATAAGATTGAAGAAAAAGATGAGGAATCTAAAGGAGAAGAATCGCCACTTTATGGACATACAATTGAAGAACTCCAGCAGTATAAAGAAAAACTTGAAAAAAATTTAGCCAAAATTGAAGAAGCTAAGAGGGAAAATCAAGAACTTAAAGAAAAATTGGGAGAAATAGAAAGCAAAAATAACAACAGTCAGGAAGAATTAGAAGAAAAGCTTGCGAAGACAAAGAAAAAGTGCAAAGAACTGAAATCGGGGGTAGGCCAATTAAAAGATACAAAAGAAGAGCTTGAAGCTTTTATTTCAAAAGAAAAAATTGAAATGTAAATGCAAATTAGTGAAAAAATCAAAGAGGAAAATGAAGAAAAATCCAGAGAAAACGATGATATAGCCCAATTAGAATCAAAACTCCAAAAAGTTGAACAAGAAGTAAACAAGCTTAAAGAAAGCGTGTCAACCAAAGGAGAAATTCTGCAATCACTTGAAACAAGCTATAAAATGCTTGTTGAAAGAAAGTAATTATAACATAGTGAAACTCTTGCAAAAGAACTTTTCCGCTTGCAAAAGCTAGAAGAAGAATACAACGATAAAGAGCCTGGCGAAGAAGAAAGCCAAGCAAAGCTTGAAGAACAAATAAATGGTCTTAATGAAAGAATGCAAAACTTACTAAGAAGGCACTCTGAAAAGAGATAATAATAAAATATTAAATAAAATATTATGAAAGGCTCAAGAAATATCGAATCGTTCGAAAAGCTCAACAAACTCGGTGAAGGGACCTATGGAACTGTATGTAAGCTCTCTTTCAGACCGTGCTAGTGATAAAGCTACTCACCAGATCTACGCAATCAAGCATGTAATCCCTGACAATGAAGGAGTAATTTCTAATCAGCTTGCCATCACTTCTTTTCGCGAAATAGAAATTCTTCTCTCTATTGACCACCCATATATAGCCAAATTAATAGAAGTCGTCACAGGACGAAAAGGAGTTTTTCTCGTTTTGGAGTATGGCGGAAGAGATTTAGCTTACCTTTATGACAGCTCTGCAAGCAGGGCATCTTTACTCCACCATCCGTCTCCTACGTTATATACAGAAATACAAATTAAAAAATTCATTAGGGATCTACTGAGAGCTGTAGCATATTTGCATCAGCAGGGGATCATTCATAGGGATTTGAAATTGTCAAATTTATTGATTGATGAAGAAAATAACTTAAAATTGTGCGATTTTGGGCTGGCAAGAAGGTATGCGAGGATTTTGACACCAAATGTAGTAACTTTGTGGTATAGAGCGCCTGAGATATTGCTGGGATGCAGAGATTATACACAAGCTATTGATATGTGGTCTGTAGGGTGCATTTTTGCAGAAATGCTTAATAATGGCAAGCCAATTTTGCCTGGGAATAATGAAGCTGACCAATTTCAGCTGATTTGTAAATTGATTGGAGAGCCAAATGAAAATATTTGGCCGAGATATGCTGAAATCAGACACAGCTTTTCAGTTCCAAGAAACCCGTACAATACTTTGAACCTTCTATTTTCTAATTATTCTCATGAATGCCTAGATTTTTTGAATTCTCTATTGGTTTGGGATCCATCAAAAAGGCTGACTGCCTCAGAAGCGCTGCTGAATTCATATTTGGCCTATTAGTTATTTTAAGATTTTAGGTATTAAATAGGTAAATAATAAAGTGCCTATAAATTAAATAGGTCAATAAATAGCACTCATTGTGCATAATAAAAAAATTATTTCCTATAATCATTTAAATTTTATTTATTCAAAAATTCCCATAATTTTAGATAAACACTAACAATAAAAATAGTAAAAAAACAATGAAGCGACCGTCAAATTCAGGGAAGCCTATTTCTTGTTTTCTCACTATGAAAGCTGACAAGCAGCCTGCGATAAATAGAATTACCCATCCTTATAGATTTATTGATAAATATTCTTCACGTTTTTCTGATATTGATGAAAATAACACCCTGTCCTTGCCGCATTATAATACTAGCATATCTCAAACACATGCGAATGCAAAGCCAAGCCCACCTCAAGTCGCTAATCCAATGTTGTTATATAAATATCAAATTTTTCATGGAAGTTTATACAAGCTTGAGCGCAAAAAAAATGGGTCTTCATATGATTATCAGCAAATAGTCTCGTCTCCTGTGTATAAAGCTGATCCAAAACCAAAAAGAGCCTTTTCAAGATCAAACTGCAACTCCCCACAAAATTTCGGCCAGTCATATTTGGATTCTTTAATGCCGAACTCAAAAATTATTATGGTTGATTCTCCTGTGAGAACCTCGAAGCATAATTATTCTACAAGCCCTAGACCTATATCTAAGCAAGGCAAAGCCCAAAATTCTTGTAGATCTCCTTCTCATTTTATTTTTTAATTATTTCGTGCATCATTAAAAAAAATATATATCGAGCTCGTTAAATTAATGCAAAAATAGTCTATACTTTGCTTTATTGAAATTGTCATAGTATATACTGGCTAAAGTACTTGTGAATAAATTAATGATAAATTACTATTAGCAGCATTATAGAATAATTAGCATTTCTTTATTTGCACAGAAAATTTCTGTATAACATCATTGTTCATACTTTGTACTCTTCTGTGCACAATTAAAGAAGGTCTTTGGAAATTCATATAGACTGTAGTGTTTCCTTTTAGTGGATAACCATTACAGCTTAATTGTGGGCTACTGCACCTTGTTACACCTAATATAGAGCGATTGCTCAAAGCTGAATTAGAGTTATTTTGACTAATACTTTTTGTGATTTGCTTATTTTCTAATATTTTATGATCAGAAAATTTTTCACATCCTATATAGTGCTTCCCAAACTGATTTGTAATATAAGGAATTTGTAACTTGCCAACGCTATTGTTTTGAAACATAACTTTTTTGCATGAGGGAGCATTGTTATTAGATCTTTTCATTCGCTTGGAATTTGTTTATTATCAGATGATGTTTTTATCTAATTAAAAAAAAGTTTATCTTAATTAAATAGCTTTTTTTCTAAAAATTAATTAAATCCCTGTAAAAATATTGTGGAAATAATGGCTCACAAATCTGGTTATTTCTTCTTCTACTCTGTTCGCCGGGGCAGTCGATGGCGGTAAAATTACATAGATTTCTCTAGATTCAAGTGTTTTTAATGCCAAAACCCAGGCTGTATGAGTCCTTATAAGTGTTTTCACCAAAGCGTCTGTTTTATTATTAGTTTCTTTCATTTGCGCTGATAAAGTTGTAATCAGCCTATACAAATTATCGTCAATTGTGGTGAGTCTGGTGCTTTGCTTTATTGCAAGATTCATCATATTGAAATAAATAAACCTAAAATTGTCCTCCTGCATGCTAGCCCTTTGGTGCTGCGGCATAATTGCAGAAATTAAATCCTCTGAAGTGCTTTCTAACAAAGCTGAAAGGGCATCTAGCACACCTATATTAATTTCAGTATTTCTCAATAGCAAAACAAGCTGCAAACTGTCCTGGCACCACGTGACAAGCTTCATAGGCTCGCATCCTTCTAAATGCACAATAGGAGTATTGACAATCTGATCTTGTTTTCCATATAAAAATCCTTTTTTCGGGTAGCTAAAAGACCTCGCATATTGACAAGCATTAGGAGATGGCTCTCGTTTAAATGAAGAAATTTTTTTCCACTGCTTGTTTCTTGAAAAATAGTTATAGGCATATCCTGTAAATAGCCCGATATGGGCTGCGGATAGAGGCCAAAATGGGCTGGTCGAACCAAGTGGGAAGTTTTGGCCTCTATCCCTAGCCCATATCGGGCTATTTATAGGATATGCCTATATAAAGAATAAGCGCTGCTGATTGTGGCAGGGTGGTGGACACCAAATATCCTTCATAAGTTAGCATGATGTGCTGAATTTCTGGGTATGCCGAGCTCAATTGGGTCAGTAAAAATACCACAAACATATACACCTTGCGGTCTAAAGGACAATAATAAAACCCTTCAAATGGGTCTTCCTTTGTAGACTGCTCATATAGAAACGCGGCTGTATAATCCGATAATAAAGTTTTTAAGACTGGAATATCTTGAGGATATGCAAAATTACGCAGAGGGCCATGGAATAAATAAAAGTTTTTGTAATATGCCTGGGCGATCTGCTGAAGAAGTTCAGGGTGTGTCTCTAAATCTTGCTGTCTAATAAATCCTTCCCCTTGTGTATTGTGCTGCAGCACAATACAGACATAAAGATTAGGCTCGCATTGATAAAGGATATGTGTGTGTTTTTCTGTATGAATGCTTTCTAGTGGATTCGAAGAAAACTGGCTCACAAACATCCCGAGCCCTTCAGCCAAGCCTACATGAGATTGCATCTCATAAGATGGCGCCGTCTCTGGATAGTAATACATCAGCTTGCAGAGCGTATAGTCTTCTTCTGTAGGATGAGGCCAAGCTGGCTTTAGGGTCGGGTTAAATACAAATAGCGAAGATACTGAGCTTCCTCTCATAAATGGAATTATATCAACTTTTCTTATGGAAATATGACAGTTTAATTTAAAATTAATTGAAATCTACCAATTGACGAATTCCGAATTTTGGCCGGTCTCGTATTCTTTGTCTAGCTCCTTTAGCTTTTTCCTACTCACTCCCCCCCCCCCCTCCGTGAGTGAACAAAACCATTAGAAAAATCGCTATTTTTTGCCCAAAAACCCACCCTCCGTGAGTGAACAAAAATTGTTTTAATAGAAAAGTTTTTTTATGGAAAAAAAAATTGATATATAAATGATAATTAATATAATGAAATCTAGAGCTAATTCTGTTTAATTTTAAACGAATTGCTACTTAAAACATAAAATAAAATATGGCGTCTTCGTCTGGGCATGGCCTCCGGCCATGCATACTCGACTTATATTTTATTTATATCCGGCAAGGTTTTACCAATCAAGAAATGGACGGCAATGCTAGGTAAGCAATTCTGGTAATGTACAGAGCCTAGCCCTTAGTCTGATTTCGAGGTTGGTTTTACCTCAAGGGAAAGGAGGGTTTGGATTTGGAAAGGGCAAGCCCAGCAAGGTCTGCAGGTAATACCCAGATCAATCGGGCAACTGCCTAGCGTGAAACCGGGAGTTACGTCCCGGGATCCAAATTTTTCCTTTTGCCGAAAGGTCGAACAGAAATTCCATTTTTTGGGATTTTTGTGTGGCCAACCTTGTGACACAAGCAGCAGCCGCAGAAGTCCATAGTCCGCCCACTCAACACTGGACCGAAAGGGAGGAGGAGACGTCCAAGCAGAGTCTCACTTCAGAAGTGCCCTGGCATCAGGCGCTGAAGGAGAAGAAAGGTAGTGTCAGAGCTGAACACTTGCCCAGCGAATCATTGCCCCAATTCGAGCAAGGCGAAGCTGAAGACGGCGCAAAGCGGATGAACTGCCCGTACGGGAGAGTCCTTGGTGACTGCGTAACCAATAAGGCAGACGCCAACCTTTAAGTTTAAGTTTAAGCTACTTAAAACATAAATTTTATAAATTAAATTAATATTTGCTTTCCAATTTTTGTGAATTAGGATTTTTTTAAATTTCGAAAAAAAATATTTTTTTATAAAATTTATATATAATTTTTTTTAAAAAAAAAAAATTAACCCCCCTCCGTGAGTGAACAAAATTTTTTTGTTCACTCACGGAGGGGGGGGGAGTCAGAGAGATCCCAAATGCATTTTTGATCAGTTCATCTGGTGCAAAATCGCTCTGAATTGTTTTAATTCTTTCCAAAATTTCGTCAAGGGTCATGCTCAGCATTTCTTCCTTGGCCTTTTTAAAGGCAATTATGTAGACTCTATAAATAACTTTTGGGCCTTCACAAAAGAAAGTGTCCAAAATTCTTAGGGTGACCTCAATTGGGAATAGGGTAATATAAAGTGTCATTATCCATGAAGGGGCAAACATTGAAGGAAGAAGACTCAAATCGCGAAAATGTCTTCACAACTGCGGCATAAAATGCTTAAAAAGAGCATTGATTTTGTAAAAAGCTTTATAAACTCCTGGCATACCAGGCACGTACAGCTCACGCATTTGGTATTTGTTCATAACAGCCACCAGCATCCAAAAAGCGTCTTCTTCGCTCATGTATATTAAAAACATCGCAATTAAAAAGCCCATACCTTGGCAGTATCCTAATTCAGGATCATGCACAGAGTAGGCTTTTAAGGTCCGGATCAGAGCGGGCTGGCCGAGGTTTCCTTCTCGAAAAAGTATGTGTTCAGGAAAAGTCCTGTCAATATCTCTCATGATGTCTTCAGCTGATATTGCATCAGTTTCAGTCTCTAGTAGAGTTTTGTAGTAGTTTTCCCCGTATGTTGATTTTAACTGCCTAATTTGTGCGAGCTCGGCCCAGACTCTGCCTCTCAAGCAGTCTGGGATTCCTTTTCTAACTCTCTTTTTAATAAAAGTTGGCCTGCGTTTAGTGTTATAATCCCACCTTTGGAGCATATCTTCTCATTTCAAGATCCTCGCGTTATCGCGACCAATGTGGTCAGATTTCTGTAGAGTTGCGTTCTGAACTATGAATCCGTGCTTGTCTAATTTCACGTCTTCAGTCATTTTTGTTTTTACATAATATTGATTTAATGTGATGAATTTTAAAGCAAAAAAGTTACTGAATGATTAGGCAGGAAAACGGTGGTTATGATGGTTGGTTATTAATAATAAATAGTGAAAACAAAGGGAAGAGGATGAAAAAGATAGGAAGTTTTAATAGTTCGCCATTCCATTTTTATATTCAAATCAGATAAAGTTAGTCAGTTTGAGGATTATTTACTACACTGGAAAAAATTGGATCATATTAGATAAATAAATTTTATTCTAGATTTTATATAATTTTCTTTATGTAATTTAGAAATAAAAATCATGTCATATATCAAGAAAGCTCTCGCAAAAGAATCACCTAAAAATTTCAATAAATTGTCTATGACAATCAAAGACTTGAACTCAGATGACTACTCAATTGCATCAAGATTAAGCAGAAGATCTACAGGAAAATCAAGTTCCTCAAACAAATCGTTTGACATGCAGTCTGCTACAAAACGACAGCCATTATCCAAACGGAATTACTCAAGTGAGGGCAAGCACAAAGAGCCAATACGTCTACATCTTAATTTAAAATCTATATCAAAGCAATGCACAAATTCTATGTCAAATCCTCTACGGATAAGTATGAACTTAATGAAAGCTCATGAATTTATAGATCCAGAAGTGGAAACTACAATTCCTTCAGCTCACGAATATTTATCAAATACACCTAAAATTAAGCATCATATTCCTTTTATTGATGATTTAAACTCCACAAAAATTGATCAGGCTTATTATTTTAATGAAGATCTGCAGTTATCCTCATATCTGCCTTTTGATAGAGAAAAAGCGAGCTTCGAAAGTTTGATTAAAAAGAAAGGGCCGCTATCAAAAGAGCATGTCGAAAAAGAGCTTTCTCTTAAATACAAAACTTCTAGAAAAATTGTTCTGGTGCCTAGAAATGAAGAAAAAGAGCTGCCTGCAAGTGTAGTAGTATGTGAAGGGAATGCAATTAAACTATATGATATTAATTTCAAAGATTAATTTGATAGAAGTAAAAATAATAGCAATAATGGCTTTTTACGAACAATGCCCTCGCTGCGACTATTTTGAAGAAATAATCTCTAGCCAAAGCAACAAAATTTCATCAACGCTTAGCATGCTTGAGCCTCTAAATGTCCCTGGAATTGCAGAAGAAACAATAATGGTCCCACAAGTTCACTCGCAAGAAATGATCCCTGTAAAACTCCCTAGGGAGCCTACAAGCAGAGAAGAGTCTGATTACGTCAAAAGTGCAATGTTTGCTTTAAATCAAAAGCTTAAATTGTTAAAATACCTTGATCACGAAAAAGAGCAATTAACTGCTTTATATAGCCAAAGCATTAAAAATACCAAGGATATTCAGCTGTCTGCAGACGACACTTTTAATCAGCTTAATGAAGATATAAAGCAGCATGAAAAAGATATGGTAGAAATACATGAAGATATTTTAGAGCTGCAGCAGTTGTTGAAAGAAGAGGAAGAAAAATGCTCAAGAGCTGATAGCGTGATTTTTGGATTATTGGAAAATAAATCAGATTTTGAATCAGATATTCAAGAATTGGCGAATAAAGTAAATGATGCAGCAGAATTGATGAAAAATATTAAAAATACCCAAAATGCTTTGGAAAACACTGAAAAAGAAAGGCAGCAGGTTTTTTAAAAATCTCCCCCTTAAAATTTGAACCAAAAATCCTGTTGCAATTTCAGGGGTAAATTTTTTTTTTAAAATAAAATTTCTATACGAATTTTTTTCTCTATAAAGAATTTTTAAAATCTTTTAACTAATTTTTAAAAAATTAGTAATTTCATTGTTAAAATTTTCCTTATTGAAAAGCAAATCTAAAGTTGGGTTAAGGTAGCAAATTTTACCTTTTGTTATTCCAATTTAGGGAGGGGAGTAAGGAAACTAATGATGAAATAGCAAGATTTAGGGATGAAAATAATAAATTGACTAATAGTGCTAAACAGTGTGAAGAGGAAAATAAAGCTCTTAGAGAGACAATTGATAAATTACGAAAAGAATTGCAAAATGAAAAGCAAAAAGAATTGCAGCTTCTGAGAAGGAAACTTCAGCTTCAAGGAGAGCTCGAAAGAAAAAAAGCTTTAAAAACATTACAAATTGAAGAAAAAGAGTTCCTGCTCAATTACAGAGAAATTGGAGATTATTATAAGAAATCTATAAAAGTATTAAAGCAAGAGATAAAAAATACATTAAATATTTATGAAAACCAAAGAAAAAAATTAAGCCAGCAAGACGAAAATATAAAAGTCTCTATAGATGAGCTTCATAGCCACATTGCTGTTGTCTCTAACAAAATCTCAATTCAAGAAGCAATTATCGGCGATCTTTCTGACAACAACGGGCTTTTACAATCAAAAATTGATCTTTATTCAAAGAAATTAGAAGAAACTATCAGCTATAACAAAGATGAATCCCTTCACGAATATTTAAATCAATTATCAACAAAACTTCTTACTCTTGCTGACTTATTTTTACTTCAAAGCTATCAATTAAATATTGCCCAAAAATCAGCAGATCATTTGAGGAATATTTTAGAAAATACTTCAGAAGAAATAGAAAGTCTTGAAAAAGAGGCAGTTGACGAACAATTAAGGGTAAAAGAATATTTTGCAGAAGACGGAGATGAGCTTGATATTTTATTAGGTGAAAAAATATTAAGCCTAGGGAAGCCGTTAAATATAGGAATAGTCAGATTGGAAGAAGGGATTTATAGGATTGGGGACCAAAAAGTAAAGCTTGCATTAGAGGGCAAAGAAATCCAAGGTAATCATTATTTAGTTGTTCATGAAAACTTCAGCCAAAGCTTTGAAAGATTTTTAAGCAGTCTATAGCTATTTAAATTATTCAATTTTTTAATTAAAATTGCCTTTTATTATATTTAAAGAAATGAACGCGGACTCCTTTTTTATATACACATCAACGCTTGAAGGGATTCCTATATGGGTAATTAGTCATTGGTATCAGCATCCATGCATATATGATCCTAATTTACCTTTGTGCAAGCTTTGAATATTAATTAACCAGTCAATGTTTCACGCCCCAGTAGATATCTTTACCAGCTCATGCAATGCCCAGCTTATAAGTGCTGATTATTTTACTACCCTGCGAGATGCTTTTAAAGCTGCTTCTCATAACATCAGATTTTTCTTTAGAGAAGACAAAGATGATAACTCAGCCGAGCTTGAATTGCATATGCCCATGGATGGAAACGCAAAATTATTTGTGTCAATGTTTAAGACCAGGCTTGAAAAAAATTTTAAAGGAGAGTTTATTAATGATTTTTTGTTTCAAGTCTTGGAAGTTGTAAGGTTTAAAAACGAGATTATTGATAGGCAAAATAAAAAAATTGAGGATTTAGCTGGACTTTCGGTTGAGGTAGATACAGCTAGGGTTGAAGTAGGTAAATTAAAAGAAGAAACAGGACCAAGCTTGGCAGCACAGTTTATAGGGATCTTAAATGATTTGAAAAGCAGTAAATTAACGCAAAAGACAGAAGTTAAGGAAGAAGATGAATTGGGTTCAAGTTTGCTATCTGATTTAAATAAGAACTAGAAAGCATAATAAGCTTATTTAGATGATATTTAAATAAACAGATTTATATATACAATATGGTAAAATGTTTCATAATGATTGTAATCAGCAGTTGCATAAGACATTTTAATTAATTTTTTTTTCCTTTATTTTCTAAAGTAATTATAAATTAATAGCATTATATGATTATTTTGTGAATTACTTTACTGAGATCTTGTTAAAAATAACGGTATTCAAAATTTGCATTGACCATTTTAGTATATGCTTTTATCCAGTTTACAGACACACAGCAAAAAACTATTAAAAATAAAATGGCAGAGATCGGCAACCCATACATCCTTTCCTCATCAGAATTAGCATTACCAAAGCCTAAAAACTATTACAGCTCACTAAAAAAGTCCTGCAATCAGAGTATTTCTTTGACAAAAGATGATACAGATGGGAAAAGACTTTTGGAGGAAATTAATTCGATACTTCAGAAAGGCGAGAAATTTGAAAAAGAATTAATTAAGCAAGATCCTTTGTCCAGTCACAGAAAAATCAAAAATTTGATAGCTCAAAGGGCATCAAATCCTATTATTAAAGACGAATTTTTTAAAGAATTCGACACCCAAGCCTCATGCTAAAGATGAGGATATATATATATGTAAAAGATTGTTTATAAGATTATTACAATTTTATTTAAAAACGGAATTTTAATATCAGATTTCAAATAAAATAATATTTGTGGTCTAAAAATTAATCCAAATAAAAAAGGTATTTATATAGGACACAATTAAAGCTAATTATTTTTCATTTCACCTTCTAATTTATTTAAAAAACTCTTATATCATTACTATTTTTGGATAAAATTCCCTAAAAATTATAAATCCAAATATCTTAACATAATTTATGTGAGCTCTATTTCAACCATATCATTTGATTGTCGCTTCAAACTTGTAGGTATAAACCAAAGAATCCCAAACGGCCCTCCAAATGTCTCTTCTAAATTCACTTTAACTGGCCTTTTCTCCACAAGTGTTTTCTTCAGTTCATCAATTCCTGACGTATTATTTATAATACAAGTTAACTGGTCCTGCATCATAACTCCTACAAATAACCCAAAAATCCCTGCCATAAAAAACGATAAGACTCCAATAAACAAGTCAAACGACACTTCTTGTCTCGGTCTCAAGCACAATTCAGCCTTCTCATGTGAAAAGCAATAGGAAGCCCTCATTCCGAGCATAATAAAAGAATAAATACAGCTGAGCTCAATATAAAGCAAAAATAGAACAAAGTGCTTTTGATTGTAATGCCCTACACAGTTATTCACCCATGGGCAGTGATGATCCATTTTCATAATGCATCTCCCACAAGTTGAGCAGTGATGGCACCGGCTTGGCTTATTACATCGACATCTCAGGCAGTAAAACTTAGGTTTCCCGTCTTTATACTCATTGACTTTTGGTAGCTCAGCTGAGTTCAGTGGAACTGAGCCTGGGTCTGTCAGCATTGCTTTAAGATGGCTGAATCCAGCCAAAAATAAGAAAAAGTAGTAAAAACATATACAAATTGGGGCTCCATGTCAAATGGCAGTGGATTTTTTGACAGTGTAAATTTCATGGAAATACATTTGGTCGAAAATTTTAATAGTGCGACATGGCCGAAAATTGACGGCTTTTTTTTCGCCAAATGTCTCACTATCTAGGTTGAACCAATTTTCAGCCAAAAATACTTCGGTAAAATGGACACTATCAATAAGGCAATATCATTTGGACCTGCACCCACAAATTGGTCCATTTATATACTCTTCTTCATCTAATTGTAAAATCGCCACCTTGATCACCAAAGAACTGACGCCAGTCATGATAAGATAAGTTAAAACGACACAAGCAATTCCAGCACCATCCTTAATGAACCACATATCGAAATTATTATGAAGAAAATAATGCTAAAATATGTAGTTTATCTTCTTCCTCTAGCTTTTTCGAATTTTCTTCCATGGCTTCTCACATAAGGTCTTGCGTGGGATCTCTTGGTACCTGGGGCAGCGCCGAAGTGTTTGTAGCTTTCTCTAGCAGTTTTCTGGCCTCTTAGAAGGACTGTGTTAGCTCCAGAAGGATTCTGTATCGCGAATTGGTCAAAGGTAAGGACTTTTCCACCGGCAGCTTCAATTCTAGCTCTAGCTGTTTCACTAACTCTTAAAGCGACAAGTTGAAGATTTTCTGGGGCGTTGATAAGCCTAGGGTCATCTAAAACTGAGCCGACGATCACACAGGTTCTTGACTCTTTTCCTTTCATATACTTAGCAATGTGTTTGAGGGAAAGTGGTGGTCTGTTGTGTCTTGACATTGCCAGCCTCTTTGCGATGACTTTATTGAAGCCTGATTCAGTTCTACGAGCCAGAAACTTATAGAGTTTTAAAAGAAGCCTTAAATAAAGGTTAGTTGTGGTAACCTTTCTTCTGTTTAGATTAGGCTTTTTGCCTCCAGCCACTAAGTCAACTCCCTATATAGTCCATACCATTTCTCGCTAACAAATAATATAAAGAATCACCTTAGGTGTTAGTGATATCTAATAATTTTAATTTGCAATTAAACATTTGTTGAATCAATATATTTTCATATCCTTTTTGTATAATTTTAATGCAAAAAGAAATCAGCCAAGTAAAAGTAGTCCTTTTAGGGGACTCAGGCGTCGGAAAATCTAGCATTGTCTTAAGGTTTGTAGCTGATACTTTTCATAACAATCTTGATCCCACTATTGGAGCTTCGTTTCTATCTAAAGCAATCGAAGTCGAAAATCACAGCATAAAATTCAGCATTTGGGATACTGCAGGCCAAGAAAGATATCACTCGTTAGCAAGGATGTATTATGCAGACGCAGCTGCCGCTGTATTAGTTTATGATATTACCAATAGAGCTTCTTATGACGCTATGAAACATTGACGTGATGAACTTGGGGAGTTCGGTCCTAAAAATCTTGTTGTTGCTATAGCAGGAAATAAAGAAGATTTGATAGAAAAAGAAGAGGTCGATTTTATTGAAGCAAAAGCATATGCTGACTCAATTGGAGCAATTTATAGGAAAACTAGTGCAAAAACTAAATATGGGGTTGACCAATTGTTTAAAGATATTGCATATAAGATAACGGTGGGGAGTGAGCCGAGCAATGGAGGTCAGCAGCAGAGTCAAGAAAAGCCGAGGACGATTTCAATAGCAAGAGATAATCCCAATAATCCTTCATCACCTGAAAGCACATCAAAAAAAGGAGGCTGCTGTTAAAAAATAAAGTTTAATTTGATTTCTTTATAGAATGTGAGGGGTTATTACTTTTTAAATTGCTGCTTGCTTAAACTTGTATTGAGAAGGTATTTGTTGCAAATTTATAATTTTCTTTTGGTCTTAGCTAATAAAAACCATTTTTCTACGATAAATAAAAGACCATCAATTAATCATAAAAATCTATAGAAAATTTATGAGTTATTAATATAGGCTTAAAGATGGGAATAAATAGCTTTGAAAGTAAAATATTAATGAGAATTTTCATCTCCCATGGACATTATTCAATTATCATCCCCTCATAGTTTATCATTAAACACAAAAAATGAGCAAAATAAATATAGATATAGAGAGACAACTTCATATAAATTATAAAATTAGCTCTATCAGATTAAAATGGAAGACAAGAATAAGGATATAAATGTTCTAAAGCAGAATCTAATTACTCTAAAGAATGCTTTAAAAGACGAAAGAGAAGAAAGAGCCAGCATTAATTCACAGCTGCAAGTCCTAAATGCTGAAATTAATAAGGTGGAGTTTCTTATAGAACAAAGGGTAAAAATTATTTTAGTCGCTTTTATTAGAGAACCTAAGGCTCGAGAATCATTCAACCAAAAATGACTCCGATGCAAATTTTAATAATGAAAGCACGCCTTCAGAAATTCTAGATCAGACAAAAGAAAACCCAACCACAGGACCTTCCTACCTTGAAAGTAGCAATCTGAAGCTAGAAGAAGATATAAGAATTTTGAAGCAGGAAAATAAAAATTTAGCAAAAAAAGTTGAAGAAATTAAAGAATATAAAGAAAAAAATCATTTTACGTCAAGAGAAGCGAGACTGAGATTCCTCGCTGAAGAACTGAGAAAAGAAATTACAGAAAACTCCAGTTAGTTAGCTATTAAGATTTGTAGAAAGTTCACTGTAATTCCATAAGAATTGCCTACACCTATAACGCTTCTCTGTTGTTGGCCAATTCGTGTTTCACGACATCGTAAAAGGCTGCTGCTACGGACAAGGGCCTGCACAAGCTATCCGGTAGTCGGATGAGCTGCGCCATTGTGCCGTATGCCAACAAGGGCTGCATACCATTGAAGGCTCAAAAGGATTGAATTTGCGGTCGGCCAACTCTATATCGCACTTCACCAAACCAAGAAAACTCCAGTAGGATGCTCATTCCCAAACTCCATTCTCCCTTCCTTAAGGTCTCTGCGTACCTTATGAGATGCCAGCTACAGATGTTCACTGCGCCATTTTAGCGTATACTGAAACTCGAGCATCAATATCAAAATCCAAAGCTGATTACAAAAATCTGAACGATGATAATTTGCAGTTGATTGAATCTAATGATATTCTTGGAAAACATATGATAGTAGAGCAAAAAAAGTTTTGGAAGTCAGAAGAAATATTGACAAACTTAAAAAAACAGATAGAAGCTATGGATGAATATCAAAATGTACTTGAGGAAAGCGTTAAAAAGCATGAAGAAAAAGAATTAGAGATGGCTGAGATGCTTGTGGAAATAAAATCGAAAATTGTGACAGCAGAGTCCTATTACCAACAATTCGATGTAGAAATTGTATCTTCTTTGTTTAGCAAAGAAGCCAAACTTGTGATAAGAAAGTCAAATGATGGAGCAACGGCGATTGAAATAAATCAAGGAAAAAACAAAAAAGTCTATGATATTGATGAAATAGATACAATTACACATCATGAATTTAAGGAAAATAGATTTATTATGCAATTTACAGCTGAAACTGTTGAGTTTGAGTGCTATGATTCAGAAGAAGTTGATAAGATAATTTCAATTATAAGAGAAGTAATGGTGAGGACTTTAAAGTGCTAATTGGAAAGGGATAAAAATTATTTTGATTAGAAACTTTGCATTTTTCTGTTAATAAGATAAGAATTTATAATAAAATTTTCTTAGAAAAATTATCCACAATTAATAAATTTTTAATTATGGTTCAATTTTCTGGCATGCGGAGTTATTTGGATTTTAAGTCTATCATGTAAATGGATTTCTGATATAAAGTTTGCCATTATTTTCTTTTGATCCACCCAAAACTGTCAAATCCTAGCTTCGCTTTCTTTTCGTTTTCTAATGATTTGATAACGAAGATAATTTGAAATTATTCACCAAAGATACCTTTAATAAATAATATCTCAATTAAAACCCTAAGTATCCTATCTAATGGTGATAAGATACGATATAATTGAGAAATATGAGTCAAAGACTTCAATCCGGGCGCTGGACTGACGAAGAGCACAAGCGATTTCTTTTTGCCTTACAAGAGTACGGCAGAAATTGGAAACTAATTTCGCAGACAGTTGGCACAAGATCCAGTAGCCAAATAAAATCCCATGCTCAAAAGTATTTCATAAGTTTGCAAAAAGAGCACAGCGAGCCTACACAAGTTAAGGTGCCAAATAGAATCCCAAAACTACTATACCAAGCGATTGCTCATTTACAGTTTGCTTATCTTTTCCAATCAATGACGGACTCATATAAATCTGAGTCCCAAGAAGAAAAAGAAGAAGAGGATGATGATGATGATGATCTGGTCAAAGAGATAGGTGTAAGTCAAGAAGCTAGCTCAATAATCATATAAATTTATTAATTTCTTGATATTTTTTATATTGTTGAAACTATAATATTTATTAGGATAAAGGGGTAAGATTTAATTGATCTAATAAAAGTTCATAATTATAATTTTGGGATATGATACAGGGGCAGGATACAAGCAAACTGCTAAAGGTGGTTAAGATCTGATTTTTGTAAAAAATTTTAAATAAAGGATTTAAGCTTATTGTATCTTGATACGAAATTAAGTGGGCATTGTATACACAAGGTAAGAGAAAAGCCATTATTATGCATATTTAAGTAGTCATGCATAAATTAAGAGCTCAAATTTTACTTGATGATACATGATAATTTATTAATAAGATATCGATAGAGAGCATATAGCAAGTTATGCATTCGATCATAAATGAAGTACATAGAAAATATCATTGTATTTTCTGAGAAATCCATTAAATATCAATAGAAGTTAACGTTAAAATTTCACATTAATATTATCATCAGACAAAGCATAAATGTTAAAGTCTTTGTTTCAAAATCTGAAACCATTTTATATTTACTATTCCAGCTTTCGAATATTCCAGTTGATAAAATGACTTAAAATTACAACAAATTCGTATACCAAATCTAAAAAAATTCAAATATCTCTTCTTAACTAATTTTTTATCAATATTTTCTACCTTCTTTTCCATTTCACCAACTAAATGGTGCAATAAATTATAATGTGGTGGGTGACCTTTTTATTCGCCAGCATTGCTGGAGTTCACGCAGATCAGTATTGCAGAGCGCTTGCATTATGCAGTGGAGGAAGCTTTGGAGCATATGAAGCAGGAGCATTTGCCCAACTTCTAAAAATGCTGCCAGCCCAAGAGACACAATACAATGCAGTAGCAGGTGTTTCAGTCGGCTCTTTAAGTTCATTCATGATTGCTCAATATCCAATGGGCCAAGAAATACAAGCCTCTGCTGCTCTCACGAATTTATGGAACAGCATCAACGGCTCTTCATCAGTTTATGTAGACTGGCCTGGTGGGATTATCACAGGACTCACTGTAGAAAGAGGCCTTGTCGACAACTCACCATTGAGAAAACTTATGGAGAAGAATTGGAGCGGAAAATTCCAAAGAAACATCACAGTTGGGACCACCAATTTGAACACAGGGCACTTTGACAATTATAATGAGACGACAGGTGCTAACAACGCAATAGAAATGAGCATTTGTTCTGCTTCTATCCCAGCTTTCTTCCCATTCCAGTCCTTTATGGGAGGAAATTACGTTGATGGAATGGTTGTGTACGGAATTGATATTGACTCAGCTGTCAAAAGATGCTACGCAGTCACTGGAGACTGACTGCATGCCATTTTATCTGAACATTTTTTTCTCGCTTAACATTTCATTGGATTTTTTGCCCCAATTTTTACTGCTTTTGTTAGTAAAACCCTCAAGAAAACAGCTTCAACCAAAGTCCCAGAAATCCATATGAGAATCATATATCTTGCACCCCTGGAGACTACTCAAAAATCATCGTTGACATGCTTTCAGACCACCACTACGCCCTTAATCAGTCCAACGCAAACATGAAAGCATACGAAGCTTATGAAAGAGCAAACGCAATCAAAAAATACGACAAAGGCTTATTCGAGCTTTATTGGGCACTCAGCGCTTATCCTACCGTTAATTTCAGATATTACATAATGCCAAGCACCTCTCTTGGGGCAATTTGTCTGAATTTCACCAAAGTTTCAATAGACTACAACTACAACCTTGGAATCAAGGACGCCAACTATATTGTTAGTAACAATGTTTATGCTAGAGATATTGTAAATCAGTGGATTGCAGATAATGGAGGAATCATTAAAGATAGGTTCAAATCCAAGACTATTCATATCTAACTCTCAGTAATAAGCAATCTCTTGCTTATTCGTAGGGTTTTTTCACAAATTTTCATATAATAAATTTTTATGGTAAATGCCTAAAATTTGCATTTTTTACTATTTATCTAAAAACCCTCCAATAATAAGCAAATTTCCATCTATTCATATATTTTTTTTGAGCAAAGCCCCTCTCAAGTAAGCAAGAAATTGTTTATTACTGGGGGAGTAAGCATTAATTATTTTAGAAAAAATAATCTCTGATTTATCTGTTAGTTAACATCATAGAGATATTAAAACATGGATTTTATTGATTCATAATAAAATGGGATGCGGAGTTCCTCAAAAGGAAAGAAGGCTTTCTACAGGTAAAGACAGCTTTGACTCAACTAGTCTGATGAAAAAAGACAGTTCTGACTTTTTTGAAGGCAAGTGCTACAGAGTGCAAGGCACGGTGTTCAGAATTCGAATTTTAACCCCTGAAGTTTTTCCTTCAGGAGATGACCCTTAATACTAATTAATGTTCACACAATGTCAATTTTTGTTCAAATTAAAAAATTTTAGTTAAGCTCTAAAGAATCTAAAATTTAAAAAAAATTAGCCATAGGTCGAAGTAATTTGAATTTATGGCTTTGGCTTTGGGGATAAATCGCAAAAATGGATCAGAGTTTGATGAAAATCGAAATTTCTGGATTTGAGTTAAACATGAAATGAGCTAACTAATTTATATCAAAATAAATTTATTTTCAGAATCGCTGATGGATAGTGAAGGCCAAGCTGCTTTATTTTGCTAATTAATAAGTAGAGCACACAGCAAGTTTTCTTGCAATCTGTCTCTAAATTGGCATCCATGAAGAAATTTATAATTTAAAATGGAATATGGTAACAGAAATTAAAAAAACTTACCATCTATCAAGCTTCTTTATCTGAAATTAATAAAACTGTTTCTAAAAAATTCCATTTTAATTGCTAATTCATTATAAGCATGCTTTTACTAAACATAATTTTAAATATAAGCAATAAATGAAGTTTATTTATTTTAACATAAGCTTTTTGTCTTTAACTGCTTAAGAAGCATGGTATAATGCTTAATTTAAAGAAAAAAATAAATAATTAAAAACTATGTGCTTAAAAAGAGTGTTTATTTAAGGCTCGCTTATATTCAACTCTCCTCCTTCAATCATAGCTATGACTTCTTTAGGGGTCTTCTTTTCAATGGTGCAGCCAACTGAAACACAGGTTCCAACGATTTCTTTTAAGGTCCCTTCAAATGTTTTAGCACCAGATCGAGGTCTCATGATTTTTGCAATATTCCTGATTTGGTCCCAGCTCAGATTGCCATTGTGTTTAATATTTTTAGTCTTTTTTCTATCACGTGGAGGCTCAGCTAGTTCTTTAATGACAAGTGCAGAGGCTGAAGGAACGACTTCGACAGTTGCTTGCCTGTTGATGATGGTAAGCTTGACCATAACTTTGATGCCTTTCCAAGCTTCTGTAGCTGCTTTGATATCATCTCCGATCTTTTTAGGAGATAAACCTAATGGGCCTACTTTGGGAGCGAGAGAAGCTGCAGCTCCGACTTCACCACCAACAGATTTCAAGAAAACTACTTAGAAAGTACCATATCGAGGAGCGTCTGTTGTCTCAACCTTTGGAGGCATTTTATCCACTTAAAATATGGAAATAGACTTAAACAAATATCTAGTGAAGATCAAAGCACTATTTTATGCAAGGACTAAAGAGTTTTTACTTTTATATGATTTTCAAATAATGAGATATTTTTGCAGCTCAGGCTGCAGGATGAGGATGCTAAATAATTGGTCTGGCTTTTAATGTTCTAAATTTTGGAATTTAAAAATGCGATATTTTATAGGTTTTGGGTTTTAAGAGATGATTTTTGAAAATATATTATAATATAAAATTTAGAAAATATTAAAATGACAATAAAAAGCCCTTCTTTAGAGCCATGTGACATTTAGTTTTCCGTCAAGAGTTCGCTTTCTTGAGATGGAGTATCTTTTAGTATCACCAAACGTGTATCCGGTCGTTAAATAGGCACTCTCATCATTTTGCCTTGAAAAGTTCTTTTCCCTTGTTTTCGGCTTAGCCTTCATTTTGAAAATTTCTTTAGTTTTTCCATACTCAATCCTCAAAAAATACCAATTCCCTTTATGATCCTGCAGAAAATCCAATACCAATTCAGTCAAAACATAGTCTTTTAACACAAGTTTATTGATTTTATCTTGCAAATGAGTAGCTATTTCTATAATTTTCATATAGCTCTGCGGTTTCCCCTCATAAACATCACATTTTTCTAGCTCATTTGCCGTAGTAAACCTCGCTGTCATCGTAATACTTTTGAATTTCGTGGCTTTTTTCTTCTGAGCTGTCCCATAATCATTGTTAAAAAGCTCAAAAACTTTCATTTTTTCAGGAGGAGTATGAGTTAAATCAAGCATTTTCACTGTTGATTTTGACCTCAAAAAAGGATTTATCTCATTTGAATGCAAAAGTTTTAAAATTTGCTTGTGGTCTATTACTGTTCTCTTTATTTCATGCAAGATTTGGCTTTCATTATAAAATGATGTGGAGTTTGCTTTTTTATGATATGGAATTGGGTCGTTTCTGCTGTCAAATCTATCTCGATTTGTAAAAATATATACTTTTGGGCTAGAATTTTCTTTTAAAACTACTCTATATTTAGTAGCTCTCAGCCCTTTTGGCCTAATAAATCTCTGGATAACTGCGTCTTGATTCGTTTCAGGCCAGCTTTCAGGCAGTTCTTTAAGCTTGTTTATGAGTCTTTTGATTTTTCCTGGAAATTTGATGATTACTTTAGGACAAGAAAATTTATTATTATCATCGTCATTTGGGCTCATCATTTCCAAGGCTAAATTTTTTAGTCCTTTTAAGCCATGCTTAAAAGGCTTTATTTCTAGCAACGTCCCATTATTTTTTATAAGCATAGGAAAATCAAAATTACAGTTAGAAATAATTGTTTCGGGGACTGGAACAGAAAAAGTTGGCATTTTTGATAAGATTTTGTCCAGGACTGTAAAAGTATAGATTCCACATGGAATGTCACTGTGCTCAAAATGTCCTGCTTTATCAAAAAGTTTTTCTTGTGATTGACAACGAATACAAATTGTGCTGTAGGCGTCTATCGTTTCTTCATTTGAGGAGATTGTTATCAATGGTTTTTGCTGTTTATGAGGTCTTATTGGGCCTCTGAATAAGATTTTACATATCAACTGAAGGTCGGGATGGATCCCTAACAAATCCGCAAGACTCTAAAATAATTCTAGCTCGATTCTAGATAGAATTTACTTTTTGTTTGTCATTTGCAAAGATTTTTGGCTGTGAATTGTCATTAGTTTTACTTTGGAAAATTTGGTTAATGAACTCAACCATTATTGTTTTTTAAATTTTATTTTTTGAGAATTTGCTTACTCCCCCCCCTCCGTGAGTGAACAAAACCATTAAAAAAATCGCCATTTTTTGCCCAAAAACCCACCCTCCATGAGTGAACAAAAATTTTTTTAATTGAAAAATTTTTTATGGAAAAAAATTTTGATATATAAGTGATAATTAGCATAATGAAATCTAGAGCTAATTCTGTTTAATTTTAAACAAATTGCGCTTTAAAACATAAATTTTATAAATTAAATTAATATTTGCTTTCCAATTTTTGAGAATTAAGATTTTTTTAAATTTCGAAAAAAAAAAATTTTTTATAAAATTTATATATAAATTTTTTTTAAAAAAAAAAAAAATTAGCACCCCTCCTTGAGTGAACAAAAATTTTTTTGTTCACTCACGGAGGGGGGGGGGAGTTATGGGTTCTAGATAAACTCAGCAAGCATGGCTAAGGTCCTTGGGCGTTTGCTAGCTCCCTCCGTGAGTGAACAAAAATTTTGTTCGCTCTCTCGGATTAATTTTATTTTTTAAGATTTATATAAAAATTTTTAATTTAAAAAGGAGACAGCATCCCGCTTCAAAGATTTCAATAATAAGGCTCAAGATGAAGAATATGAAGAGGAATAAGAAGATTCATTCTATAAATTATCGTTTATATATCAAAATATTTTTCATTATATTAAAAAATTTTTGTTTACTTGCAGAGGGTGTTTACCGAAAAATAAGGATTTTTCCAAAGTTTTGTTTCGCTCACAGAGAGAGGAGTAAGAAAGTATTTCGTTTAATAAATTTCAAAATTTTGATTAGCTGACTTTTAGAAAGACTACTAGAGAGTATAAGCAAACCCTTCTGGCTCTAAAAATTATGCATATTAAATAATTTTTTTTTAGAAACATGGCACATTTTACTCTCCCTACAATATGAGCAACCAAAATATTAAAATTTTAATTTTAAATTAATGCTTGATTATCGCCTATGAATTATTCATATTCAGCAGCAAAGCCATTAAGTAATTTTTAATCTTGAAACCTAGCGATGTATTTTATTATAATACTTATTAATAATTTCTTATATAAATTCTGTTTTTTATATCATATTTTGAATATACATAAAATGGCGTATGGCGACCGACCCACCCTCTCAGTGGTGGTTACCCATGTATATCCGGGCATGGTTTTTGGAGCCAGGAATTAGCCCAACAACGTCTGGGACCTCGAAGCGAGAGGCCTAAGCGCGAGAACCGCTGTTTTTGCGACCAGACCCATGGGCAGTTATTCGTGACTTCTTTTTGCCAGCAGCGCTCAGCCCAGTGAGTGCCCGAAATGAGGCAGGGCGACTTACCTGCCTAAGCTGCTTTAGTGGCTCGCCCCGAACGGCGAAAGCTGTTGAGTTCTTTCTCGGGATGACCGGAAAAGAGGGGAGGCGAGTTAGGACACCAAAACGGGGGTCTCTCCAGTGAAAAAGGTGCCCTTCAATGGGCAGATCTGGCGGACGACGAAGCGGAGTTGGCGTAAACTTAGGCGACGATCCAAGTTGGAAATGGAGGTGGTCAGCAAAGCCGGTATGAGACGGCCCTTGACAATACCTCTACCGAGAAACCGGGGTTTCGGCCCGGGCTTGGTGAACGCTCTGCCACCACACGGGAAACCGTGGCATGCGACCTCAGACGCAGTAGGGACCTTAAATACCCAGCGTAATCTTAATCTTAATCTTAATATCATATTTTGATATTTAATTAAAATTCCCAAATAAGAATCCTATAGCATAAATTATAAATTATAGTTTCTTTTCAAAATTTTCATATTTGAAATTTTATATACTGAAGACTAAGGAGGAATGTTAGTTAACATTAAACTGACAATATTTATTACTTTGAAAATCTTCTTTATATTTAGATTCTTATTGAACGATGCTAAAAGTAGACGATGCCTTCTTCGTCTGTCCATTATAGTTCATCTCAGTTTTTACCTTTCGAACTCCAGCTGCTATAAATTCCTGAATCCCAATCAGTTCCAAAATTCTTCTCCCAAAGTAGCTTGAAATTTCTCTCAAAGAACAGTTCGTTATAGGGATCATTTGGCATTCTCCAACAGGGAACGCATAGTGCTCTTTGCTTTCTTTCAGGTCAAGCCTATAATGATCATCTACAACACTAGTCGTAAATTTATCACTCAGCTCAGGAATTAATCTTCACTATAAAATAGCCTCTCATTCAGCTTTAAATCTTATTATAATTTTATATAGAAATTTACTAAAAATTATTTAATTCTAAATTTATTAGGGTGTAAATAAGTATAGCACTTTATGGTGGAGGGAATTCGAAACTTTTCTCATTTCTTGCTCAATTTTGAATGAAAGAGATCTCGCCAGCATTTTGTCGATATAGCCGTATTTTAATGTTAGAGATACTACAAAGTTGTGGCCAAGCACTCAGACTCCGTTTGATGTTTCTTCTACTGTAGAGGAGTGGAATCTATAGTATGGGTTTGAAAACTCTTCAGTGTAAGTTGCCTCATTCTCTATCATATTTTAATTTTATTTGTCTCTCAAATAACGGATAGTCGATTTTGAAGTGTGCGTCGAAAACACTTTTGCTGCACCCTTGAGGTGAAAAGGCAGCTGCAGCTTCTTCTTTGGGCTTTGACAATCTAGTAAAATTTGCTCTTAATTAAGTGCCCTAGAGGGATTCTGAATATAGGAAAATTTTAGTATAGCAGAATACTTTAAAAAATTAATAAAGTTTATAACTAGCCCATTTATATAAACTTACAATCAAATACAATTTATATCAGTAATACGATATACAGTAATAAAATATTCAATTGCAAATGCACTATATCTCGAATAATTTTAAAAAAATTAACTTTACTAATTTATCGCATACATTATTTTATAGGCTATAACAAAATGATCAAACAAAAATCAGCCCAAACTATAAAAACAAGACGTAAAATGTTTAAAAAAAATACTTCAATTACAAAGCCATCATTTCTTGAATCCAAAACCAGAGAAAGGTTCATAAATCTGAACTTTGAGAAAGAAATTCAAAACGTGTACAATTAAAATAGGATTAAAAAAACTAGCTACAAGCAAGGTGTGCCACGGAAGTCTCAGAAAAACTGGCTTAGTATGTTTGAAGACCCAAATGAGCAAAGAAATGAAATAAAGTCTCAACATATAAAATCAAGCAAAAGCCAAACCAATTTAAATTCCCAAATGAATGATCAAAAATTCAGATGAAAATCAGAAATGTCGCCTGTTGACGATAAAAATTCATTTCCATACTTTAAGAATTCTCTAAATTTAAGAAGAATTCATAATATAGATAAATCGCAAGATTTAAGCATGAGAAATGGATATACTACAAATAGAAATACTTCAGGTCTAAGCATAATTTCTTTGATTTCCATAAAAAACTGAATGGTTGTAGGACCAAGCCATTTGGATGGAAACGAAATCTTATTAAGTGGAGCTAACTCCCCTGAGAGGGACATTAAGACAGAGCGAAAACTGCCCCAGTCAAGAATGCTAAGCCCTCGTCCATACGATTCCAAAGTGAGCAACTCACCAATTGACCCTAAAATTGTCAGCTCAGACCTGAGAGTCAGTAAATCGCGCCTTACCAGGCGCTAATAATATTTATTTGCTTTGTTTTATCGATTTAAATTATGACGTAAGCAGTAATTATTTATTAATATAGACATTACAAAATCTTCCATCAATGCATGATTACTGCAAGGAAAATCAGGAAAACTGTATGGCGTTTTGATTTCTATCAGCTCTTTTTATGGTGACTTTTTATATATGATCTATAAGGTTTATTCGTTCCCATAGTAGTCATAGTGTTTATTCTAGGTGCCGTGAAATATTGATTACACTGATTATATCAAATTTTATTGAAGCTACTATAGTCCAGGTATGACAGTAGATTGTCCTGATGAAAAAAATCACTGAATCGGCTCAGAAAACTCAAGTTGACGAACCAATTTGGGGAATTTTTCCAGCATTTCCCAGCCTAAGACAATCTACTATTGTACTTAGGCTATACAGTTCAATCTTTAGGTTACTTATACCTTATTCTAATAACCCAGGTAAAATATATAATAGTTAGCTATACTAAAAATTTTAATAAAAAGAGATTAGATTAGATTAAGCCGTTTGCCTTGCAGGGCGGGGATTCGCACCCCTACACGCTCATCGCCCCTGAGGAGCCTCGGCGGACACCCTCCTTGTTGCCTCAAACAAGGGATTCGCACCACCAGTCTTGACTTCCATGGCTTCTGGAGTCTAAGGGCCAACCACCTGGGTCGAAACTCCCCAGTTTCTCGTTGGGCAAAATACCGTCTTCTGGGTCTGAAGGTCATATTGCCTTCAAACATTGGCCGACCTTGCCCTTTCCAATGGTTGTCCTGGTGGAAAACTCCAAGTCCGAGGATTAGCTCCTCGGGCTCGAAGAAAACCCAGCCCGAACACATACATAAAGGATTACCGGCCCCTTTCCACCTAAATCTCCACCACTGAGCCGTTGACTGCTGGTGTTGAAGAAATAGGGTCGAGAGGTCGGGTGGTCTGTTTGTCACCATTTTTATGTATATAATAAAAAGAGATAGAACTTCTTGGACTATTTGTCTATGAATATGCAGCAGAATTTTTTGCTATCTCTATTTTTGCTCATCATTGCCACTTTATTTCAAATATTCTTCGAGTGTATAGATTGACAGTTTTAATAAAGCGTGAATTAGGGAAATATAACTATCTTTCTTATAGTGTAAGGCAAAAGCGGCTTTCATGAAAATGAAATTTAAGGGTGATCTTGATATACACGACACTTTGCTCTGTGATCCCTTTTTTTCTATTAATATGAGCCGTCTTTTCATCAAATTCTCAAGGCAAATCTGGGGTTTACCCACGAAGTTTGTTTATGCAATTCTGATCTGTGTGAAATATCATTGAATTATTGATTTTTCTAATATTTCTTATTAAGCTATCTAAAATACGAGGAAGACTTAAATGAAAATTTGAAATGCTCTTTTACTTTTGTATTTGGCCAATTGGGATGACGTCGAATTTTATTCCTAATGATGATTATTATTGATTCAATCTCTTATACACGTTTATAATGAATTATTTATTTATTTAATAAATGCGAAAAACACAGATAGGAGATATAGAATAATATAGTAATTCCTGGAAGAAATTTATTAATTTTAGCGACTACTTTGATTGTGCTATTAAACGAAACAATTCAGACTGAAATATGCCTTCCTATGATTCTTGAGCCTGAAATGATCCTCGAAAGCAAAAAAGTCTTTTATTCATTTTGTTCTTTTATTGAAAAGAAAAAATGTCTTAATTTTTTTTACATAAATTGTTTGTTAGAGATAGAAAAATTTATCGAAATTTGCCCTACTTCATATAGTCTGGCGGAGGGGATTATAAGGAAATATATAACAAATAATGAAATTGATGTTCCTGCTGCGCTATTTGATGCTTTAACTAAAGGAACTCTGCATAGAGCTAGATCAGGCACGCTGTATCCTGATGAATTTAATGATTTGAGGAGGTACATTTTTGACTCTGCAATAAGGCCAGCTTTTGAAGCCTTCAAAAATTCAAAAAGATATAGAAGATTTTCTGACTTAGATAGCTAATTTTTGGTTTATATTACATTTAATTTTTATCTGCTCTATTTTGCTGCTAAAATAGATAATTTATATTAAATAACTTTGAAATTCTATTCTATTTAAAATCAATTAAAAGCTAGAAATCGATTAGCTCCTATTTACATTTTTTTGTTTAAAAATACTTGCTGCTCCACTTCCATAACCCTAGCCCTTCACTCCATCTGCTTTCCATAGAAACTGAATTCAATAAAACAATAATTCTTTTTATTCTTCTTTTTTCTACAGAGCAGCACAAGCAAGGCCCTGCACTTGGTGTAAACCCAGTTTTTAACCCAGAAAACCCAAATTTCAGCAATCTATTGGTATTAAACCAAATGATTTCCCTTCTATTTCCCCCATTCTTCACTTTACATCTGTAGCTCTCAGCCTGTACGATTTCTCTAACCTCTGCAATATTCATTGCATTTAAAGCCAAACTGGCTATATTTTTAGCTGTAGACACATGATTTGGGCTTGACATTCCATGAGGATTTGTAAAATGCGTCGCATTTAATTTCAAAATTTTGCACGTTTCATTCATCATTTTGATAAAAGTTTGTATTGGACTAACACTTTGTGGATCTATTATTTTCCCAATGTACTCAGCAATAGCCACTGCTGCGTCGTTACCTGAAGGTAACATTAAGCCATGCAGGAGATCTCAGAGCGTGATCTCGTCACCAGCTTGTAAAGATGCAGAAGTGCCTGCCATCGAAGCAGCTTCTTTTGAGACAGTCGCAAAGTCATAAAAGCTCATATTTCTGCTATTTATTTCTGTTATTGCAATATAGCAAGTCATGATTTTTGTCAAGCTTGCCATTTCTCTTGGGGTATCTATATCTTTCCCAGATAAGACTTTTCCTTTTTTACCGTCTATAACAATTCAGGATTGGGCAGTGACTCGAGGCTTGTGAAGATTTCTTTGGTAAATGGCTTCATCCCGACTTTTTGTTTTGTCAATTGAAAATGTAGCTGCAGCAGTTGATGGAGGCTTAATAGTAGCATTTTTAGGATTAGAGAGGATCTTGCTGAATATGTTCTTTTCAGAAGATCTACGTAAGCCTAGCTTGGGTAATGCACTGGTCCGAGATGTGTGGGTTGGGGTAGCAGGGTCTGAATTTTGGAATCTTAAAACTGGGTATGTATTATCCATTTATCGGCTTTTTTATTTTGGCATAAGAGTTATTATACAGAATGAATTCTGAGGTATTTTAAATTTCAGCTTTAATTTTCGATATTTTCATTATAAATATGTAATAAAATATTTTATAATATTTTTTTGAGTGAAAATTCTAATTGTTTATAGATCAGAAAATATATTAAGATAATAACTAATAATTGACTTTAGGCTAAAAATCTGGCTCAATTATTTTAAAAAATAAGGATATAAGTAATCTAATCATTTTGCTTATATTGATTTTATTGTAAAAGTATTTAAATTCTAAATCATTGAGAAAATTATTCAAATTTTAAGCACCATATCTCTTTGGATTATTATGCTGGAAGAATACTGCCAAAAAGCTTAATTATAATTTTATAAATAAATGGAACCTCGAGATAAGCCTTAGTTGAGACAGAGCAAACATATCATATAAGGTTACAGCCTGAAGAGACATACAATTTTTTCTGACTCCCCCCCCCTTTAAATTGGAACAAAATATAGGTAAAATTTCCACTTTTTTGGTAAATTAACCCCCTTTAAATTGGAACAAAATTTAATTTTATAATAAAAAATTATATATAATTTTTATCTAAAAAGTTTTGATATAAGTTAAATGTTTCTTCTTAACTAAAAGCACTTTTTAAAAATGGAAGATTATGCAAGTACAAACTCACCCTCTTCTCTGTCTAATGGACAAGAAAAACTTGTCATTGGTCTTGGAGAAGACAAAGTTATCTACAGCTTCTCTTCCTCAACTCATTTCCTACCAGAGCTTGAAGAAAACAAATTTTTAGAATTGTCAGTGAAATTTTATTTGTCTAAATTTCTCAAAGACTGCAACCAAAACAAGAAAAAAGAGCTCTTTTCAGCATTCTGCATCTCAGTTAACCAAAAATTTCCCCCAGAATCAATCCTAAGATGTCATAGATTACCTTCAGGAGATGCTATCCTGATTCCTAAAGAAAAATCAATACAACAAGATTTACTGAATCAAATCACATATGAATTAAAATACAAAGGAAGAGACATCATGATACCAATCGGAATCTTATGACTAGGTGGTGAAATCAACTACAATAGGTATCGGATTAATTTTACATTACCTCCTGGAATATCGATTGAGGAAACAATTAAATCATTAAAGCAAATCTGCGATATAAAAGAAATAATTATGAATAACACAATACAAAATGAAGGCAAGTTTCACAGTCTTAATTTTATACCAGAAGCAAAATACACAATATATGCTGAATTTAATTCACTAGAACAAGCATTAGATCTCACAGATATATTGAAAATAGGAAATAACTCAGTATGATTAAATCACGCAGGAACAATGCAATGCAACACTTGTAACGAAATCGGACACCTTGAATCAAACCACGATAAAATTATTGAAATCAGAGAAAAAAGAAAAAGAATTAAGCAATCTAAGAAAGTCAAGAAAGGTTCAAGAAATTTAAATTTAATCGATCAAAAATACTTAGTCTCTGATAATAAATATGAAAACAACTTAAAAACACGCAAGATCTCAACAATTAAGCCACCCAAAAAAAACATTCATCCTCCTGTTAAAACTCAGAATAATGAACCAGTTAATGCCTACAACTATGATATCAAGACATATATTCCTCTAAAGAAGAGCATCATAAAGCCGATAGAAATCATAGGAAGAACTATTCTAAAAGAAAATCACAAAAATACAATCAAAAAAATTTTTATAATTAAAAAGACTCCAGCAATAAGGAAAAATGAACCAGAAAGAGAAGATGTAAATTGAAAGCTTATTAAGGAATCCTCGCAATCCTATAATGAAACTGCTTCCAAATCTCCAAAACTTTCTCCATCATCAGAAATAAATTCATCCACTTTGATGACAGATTTTCCTGAAATAAACGTTTCTAAAATCGAAAACCCATTCTTACATAAAAAAGAAAAGAAAGAAAAACTGATAGTTGAACCCTTGATTTCAATTTATAACACCCAAAATAAGAAAAAGTTTGAAAATCCTTTCATCAATAAAGATGAAAAAGAAATTTACAAAAATAAAAAGATACAAATACTAGAGAGCAGAATGTTCCAAGATATGATTAGACCTCTATGCACAATTCTCTTTATTGAAGCATCTGATAATCTCACAGATCCAAAAAAATGATTGAAAATAACCCATTCTCCCTTAAGAAAAAATAATGTCCTACCCGTTCAAGTTGAAGAGGAAATTATAATTCCAAATCCAAGAAGATTGTGCGAAAAAATAATAAGAAAAAATTTTGGATTCATCAACATTTCAGGAATTGGAAAAGACGATCTATCACGAAGACAATTAAGAAATGTTATGATCGAAAACGATATTACTATCTTAGGAATAGCAGAAACTTGATTAAAAGATAAAGTTTATATTGATGGTTTTGTGTGAATAGGTAATAATGGACCTATAGTAGGCTACAGAGGATCAGGTGGAACTGGCTTATTAATTCATAATTCACTGGCAAATGAAATAACTTGAATTGAAACTAATAACCATAGAATAACTGCAGCAAAGATAGAAGATTTTTTGATAATATGCATATATGCACCAGTACTTGCAAACCACGAAAATGAAAAATCAATTAACGAATATATGAACTGCATCATGAATGTTCAAGAAATAATTCAAGCAAACAAAAAAAAATGATGCTAATCAATGTATATTACTTGGAGACTTCAATGCACACATAGAAGGTTACTTATCAGATATAAATGATTTAGCTGGAAAAATATTTATCAAATTTGTTAGAGACAATGGTTTACATATATTAAATGAAACTTCTATATCAACTTTCAGAGGAAATAATAGACACACTATTATCGATTATATTATTTCAGAAACCCTATCAAAAATTAAATACATAGAAGTCCCACAATTAAACACCAATCACGTATTATTACTATCTCATATAAAAAGTGTCCAGATAATACCAAAGCAAATATCCGTGATTCCATGATATAAATTAGAAGGCAAGGAATTAGAAGCGTTCCAACACAGAATCTGAATCAATTTCCAGAATAAAGGAATCTACAAAACTCTTGATCCTTTAGCAATATTTAATAACATCAAATCAACAATTGATGAAGAATCAAAATACCTACTAAAACATTTAAAACCAGACCATTTTAGAACCCCAGAAATGAAAATCTTATTAAATAGAATAAATGACTCGAGGAAATGAATAAAATTTTGCTGAACGCAAAATAATAGAGAACTTGCTAACAAACTACAAAAGGTAAAAAAGGCATGAATAAATAAACTAAAAAGACTATCTAACTATGAAAAAATCAGTGAAAGCAGATTGAAAGAATGTATGCAAGATCCATATGGAGCCTGAAACAAAATAAAACGTCAGATGAATAAAAATAGAATCGCATTATCATTAAACAAAGAAGAGATTAAAGCTTGAGCAACAGAATTTGAAAATCAATTTAAAAGTAAAATAGAATTCATACCACAAAAGGGATGCTCAAAAGAAGAACTATGAGATTTCCAAGATATCCAGAAAATCATTAAAAAATTACCAAACAAAAAAGCTCCTGGACCAGACAATATAAGAAATGAGATAATAAAGAAAGGTGGAGATATAATGGCAGAAGCAATTACACATTTCCTTAATAGTTGCAAATTAAATGGAATCCCAGACAAAGCCAATGAAGCAAAAACAATCCTTATATACAAAGGAAAAGGTAATCCGAAGGAACTTAATAGCTATAGACCCATAACCTTAATGAATAATTTTATGAAGATTCTTGACAAAGCAGAACTAAAAAGAATTGAAAATACGGTTAATATCTCAGAAAGACAACATGGATTCACAAAAGGAAAGTCATGCATGACTCAGATTTTTCTCTTAAAATCTACACTGGAATATCGTAAGTATTACAGGATTGGAAAAGGTAGAGACTCATATATATTATTTGTTGATTTCTCAAAAGCTTATGACTCAGTTAATAGAATTAGACTATTAGAGAAAATTAAAGCAAAAAATATAAAAAATGATAGCTGAAAAATAATCTCACAAATGCTAAAAGGTGAACAAACTACACTTGTCATAAATGGGATTGAAACAGAAAAAATAAACATAACAAGAGGTGTGAGACAAGGAAGTGCAATATCACCATTGTTATTTAATATATATATAGATGATATAGAAAAGGAAAATAATGACATCAATATAGAACTCCTCCCCAATCACCAATTAAAATCAAAAATCAATTTTCAATATGCGGATGATACAGCTTTTGTAATAGAAGATTGAAAAGACATTGAAAACATTTTAAATAAACTTGATAAATGATCAAAAGATAATGATATGAACTTGAATATAGGACCGGAAAAAACAGCAATAATGCCAATCATAACAAAAAATAGGAAAAATATTATAAGTAAACTACCTAAAATATCATACCAAAATCATGAAATACCAGTTGTTGAAAAATATAAATATTTAGGCAAAATAATGAATGGAAATATAAGAGGTACAGGATTCGACCAAGCGCATTATAAATACCTCAAAGATAAAAGCAAAATATCTACTTGCTCTCTAATCCCTATGATTAGAAGAATGCTTAACATCCCAAGTAAAACTCTTATAAACTGCTTCAAAGCAATATTCTTACCAAGATGCACATATGGTCTTGAAATATGCTCAAGAATTAAATGCAAAACTGCAATTAAACAAATTCAAAGATCATTCAATAAGATTATAAGAGAATGTTGCCATGTTTATGACAAAACACCTATTGAACCCATATTACTTGATTTAAATATTCCAACAATACAACAATATATTGACCAAAAATCATTGATATTTTTACAAAAAATTTTTGAATTAACACATATATCTGAGATTGCAACCCATTTCCTAAGAAATTTCGATAATACAATTACACCGACAATGAAAATCTACCAAGAGTTGCTTCAAAAATATAATTTTACAAAACCATTCGATTTTAATAACAACATGATTAGCTGAAATGACAAAAATTGAAAAGGAAATGTCAAAGATAAACTCAAAATCTATTGAAGAAACGAAAACATGAGCATAATAAATAAAAAAGTAACATTAAAGATGTTTAAAGAATTAAGGAATCAAACTTTTACCACGAATAAACTCCCAAAATTCTGAATACTGAATAAAAACCTAATTACTGAAACAAGAATAAAGGCTGCTTGAAGATATGGTGCTGGTCCATCTAAAGTATTAGTTCTATTGAGAAACAGAAATAATCAAGATAACACTTCGAATTTATGTGAATTATGTAAAGTCAAGGAAACAGATAAACATATTCTTAACGAATGCATAAAATATAAAAACGAAAGAATCAAATTTATACAAAGATTACAAGATATGATAGGCAGATATATTAACAATACAAGCATATACAATTGACTTATTTCAGATGTTACAGAATTAAAATTTTTAGAAGAATTAGGTGAAGAAAAATGAGAAAAGATTGACTTTTTAACAAAGATCACACTAAGAAGTATTGATGATAAATTGCGAACTAGCAGAGAAAACAGCAAACACAAGCATTTCTTTGAAATCCAAAATATTGAAGATGACCTCAAAAAAGAAAACATATCTATTCATGATTTAAATTTTTGAAGACTCGTTAAAAGTATAAGGCGTTTGAAATAGTACGCCAATAATTAATTTAATCCTAGATACAATTGATAATGAAGAAATGAGAAGGAAAAACCCAATATATGCTGCATATATAGGAAAAATATAACAAATATAGAAGATTGGTCATGATCTTCATCACCTGAAGATGAAAAGAATGATTATACCTAAATTATAATAAAAAGAGATAATAATTTTTAAGTTTTTCATCATATTGTAAAATTATCAGGAATTAAATTTTGCTTGCTGAAGGCAATAATAATGAATTTGGGTTGCTTTATTAATGTATCAAGTAAAAATATTTCATTTATACAAAATCGGACTACTGCCTTACCGATTTAATTATAAGATAAATATTAGCTCAATAAAAATGCCATATTAAAGAAAAATCTCATTACTGACTTAGCAAATTTAACATTCCTTACCATTGCCGAGCAATATTAATTCGCTAGCCACGAAAAGAAATAACGATATGTATTCAGCCCAAGCAATAAGAATATTCAGGCCAAAATAGAGTCAGTCAAATAAATCTATCGGTTTTTAATTTTATAAATTTTAAATGAATATCAGTATCTCACTTTTTTATAAAACATTCTTGCTAAATGTCTTTATTTTTATAATATTTCACATAAACGATTGTCATAACTATCTTATAACTTCACATGTATATTATTTCCTTATCAATCAACATTACTTACTTACAACTTACTTACTTAAAAATAATACACGCTTAAAGTCCAATACCGCATCACCTGCACTGCTTCTGGGTTTCCCCACTCCCACCAAAATGTCGTGCACCACCTGGCTTCAAGGCTGAATGGTACCATCGGCTTCGGCGTTCGGATTTCAACGGCTGTCCTTCCGCTCTCAGGCAGAACCAACTTGGGTCCATCAGACACCCTAAAGGTGCAAGTCTCCACCGCCTGGGGTTGGTGGCACCTTCCCAGAGAATTCGATTCCCTGAGGGGCAGGAGTCCTGCGCCGCGCACCGCAGGAACTTAAAGCCCAGCCATTGCCGGGTTTAAATAGACTTGGGAAAGCCAAACCTCATATTCAAGAGAATTTTCGGTCGGGAGACCAGAAAATTCGAATGACGCCATTTTTTGATTATATCAACCAATATTACAAAATTCCCTAGAATATAAACTTTACTTCTCCAAACTTTGCATGATTTCTGAAAATAAATATGCAGCTAACCTTCAAAGTATTAGACTTAGAAGCAACAGACAACACCCTTCAAATTGACTGTCTATCTGAGCACAGCGTCCAGCATGTAAAGTCAATTCTTTCTCCAATCCTAAACCAGCCACCTAATTTACTTCGGTTAATCCAACTTAAAGAAGGCCACGAAATTTTGCTATCCGATGATAATTCTATTGAATCCTACGAAATAAATGAGTCAAGTCGCTTATTGGTCGACATAATTCGACCAGAACGAGAAGAAGAACTTGCTGCAAGAGAGCGAATAAAAACAAAGCGCGGCCTAAAAGACCAACAGGAGCCAGCTCCAAGCAAAGATTGGCTTGGCATGCTCATCGCCAAAATTATGGATGGCAGCTTGTCAGGTCTGCTTCAACTTATAGGTGAATATGACCGTAAAGAGACAATTAAAAATGCTAGTTAGGTGGCAGGACTCAGGTCAGAAGTCCACAACTTCTTGAGAGTTTCGGCTCAATAGAATGGGTTTACACTGAGTTTGGTATAGATCAGAGAGAGGTCCTAAGGGAAGCAGGTCGACGGTTAGGCCGACCCACTACCATTATTCAAGAGTTATCTTAAACATAAACTCAGACCGTGAAGAGGCTGGAAATGTCATGGACGAAGAAGAAGACTTATTAAGCACCCCAAACGCTGAAGGCTGGACTGGTTTACATTTTGCTTGCCAACAAGGGCACTCTAACATTGTTCAACTTTTTGTCGCTAGAGGTGCTAACTGTAACAGAGAAACCAACGACAACTGGACCCCTCTTCTGCTAGCTTCTTATCATGGCCATGCTGAATGTGTAAGGGCTCTACTTAAACACCCAAGAATCCAAATAAATAAAATGACCTTTTCTAAAGGCACAGCGTTACACCAAGCTTGCAGAAGAGGCTATGCTGCCATTGTTCAGCTTTTATTAGAAAATAATGCAAGCATGACTATAGAAGACCATAGTGGCTTAATTCCTTTAATGGTAGCTTCGACTCATGAAATTTTTGAAATTATACCGAAATATATGGGGGAAAGAGAACTGCAAAAAGTTCGGAGCGAGCACAGAGATGAAATGACCTCATTTAATGGGGAAGTTTTTTATACTGGAAGCACACAGATTCATGATAAACAAATACTGCTATCTTTAGATATAGATCAAGGGTATTTGAACATTTTTATGGACAAAGATACTTTTATCAAAAATGAAGCACCTTTTCATAAGATGAGGCTTCTTGATATCTGGGATATCAGGATTACCAAAGGACTCCAGTATGGGAATAAAGATGCAGTTTGTTTTATTATACACTCAAAAACAGGTAATTTTAAGTTTTATACACTTATGGAAGATTTAACCAATATGTGGGTCAGAAGAATCCAGGACGGGATTGACTATTGCCAGCAGCATAAAATTGGACTAAATGAAGAAGACCAAAATGGCCCTAAAAACGAAGAACTCAGCCCAAGAGAAGACATGCTTTTTACGTCAAACTCTGCGAATGGAGAAATCATAAACTTCAAAAGCTTCACTATTTTAGAAGAGCTTGGTAGCGGGAGCTTTGGAAAAGTATATAAAGTCATTAAAAATGACACAAAACATGTATATGCCCTGAAACAGTTGAATAAACAGTTTTTAGTCAAGCATAAGCAGCTGAAGTATGCTGTTGGCGAATGCAAAATTTTGCGATATTTAAGCCACCCTTTTATTATAACAATGGACTATGCATTCCAAACACCTAAACATCTGTATATGGTCTTAGAATATTGCCCGAATGGAGATTTAATGACTCATTTATCTGAAAGAAGCAGATTTGCAGAGAGTGTTGCTAGATTTTATATAGCAGAAACCTATAGCACATACCCCTATATAGGTTTCTATACTGAAAAAAATGTAATGGGCAGTTGAATGACCAAGCCAGACTCTATCAAAGGGATGAGCTGGATCTCTATATCAGGAATGGATAAAAAGCTGCATGCCAAAAATGGTTGGCAAGTGTGAGCAAAGTTAACAAAACAAGCACGCCAATTTTTAAAATGGCTTTATTGTAAAAATTAATTTTAAATTAAAAATCTTTTATATATAAGAAGTTAGCTTATCGATATCTAATTTTCATAATTCATAATAATATTTAATTAAATAGGAAAAATAGGTAAAATACTTATCAGTGTTAGTCTAAAAATTTCCGTTGATAGAGTCTGAATTGGTTTTTCAACGTCCATTGCATTTTATTTGCTAAAGAAATCTATATAGGGATATAGGCTATATATTAGCAGTTGAATATTTACATTCATTAGATATTGTGTATAGAGATTTAAAGCCAGAAAATATTTTAATTGACCGTGCAGGACATATAAGGCTTGCAGATTTTGGTCTCGCAAAAGAAAACGTGAACCCTCTTAACCCTGCAATGTCTTTTTGTGGGTCGCCAGCTTATTTAGCTCCAGAAATGCTCAGCAAGACTGGCTCAGAAAAATCAGCAGACGTGTATGGTATTGGTGCAATTTTATATGAATTTTTAACAGGAATGCCACCATTTTATTCAGATAATATAAAAGAGCTCTTTCGAAATATCAAAAGAGGCTTGTTGCAATTCCCGAAAGTGGTGAAGCCAGAAGCTCAAGATATAATGCGAAAATTAATGAACAAAGACCCCACAAAGAGGCCAACACTTACTCAAGTCAAAAGTCATATTTTTTTCAAGGGAATAGACTGGGAAGAGCTGGAAAAGAAAAAAGTTAGGCCACCAAGGCTTGGGAGCAAGTGGGTACAGCTGGATGAGTATGAAGAAGAGCAGGCCAATGTTATGTCACACCAAAAAACTTTGGTAGAAGATGAAGACTATGCAGAAGAAGAGGAATTGCAAGAGGATAATATTGCTGAATTTAATTTTGCTAGGTCTTAATATAATAAATACAATAAGAAAAAGGGTCAGAAGCCAGGATTTGAACCTGGGTCACCCGCTTGGATAGTCGGGTATACTACCACTATACTACTTCTGAATGTGAATAATCAAGCTCTCAGAGCACCTTATAGTTTTTTACTTAATCCCCGTGAGTTTACAAAAAAGTTTTGTTGACTAAGGAAGGGGGATTAATTTATTTTAAAATTTATATATTTTTTTTTGAAATTTAAAAAAATCCTATTGGAAAGCAAATATTAATTTAATTTGTAAATTTTAAGTTCTAAAATGTAATTTGATCAAATTAAACAGATTTAACTAGAGATTTTATTATCATAATTATCACTTATATATCAAAAATTTTTGTCATAAAAAATTTTTGTTCGGGCTTTGGGGAAAAATAGTTTTTTTCCAATGATTTTTTTTACTCACGAAGGGGGAGCTAATATTAAATTAAGTGTAAAATATAATTTTACACTGTCGAGTAGTTTTATATTTATTTTTAAATTATTATTGAGGTAAAAAATCTGTTATTTTAGAAAAAATCTAAATTTTAATTTTTTTATAGAGTCAGAATGAAGGAAGCAATTCAAAATATAGCCCAAAGCCTCATTTGATCGCCTGAGTTGCAAGTTACCTTTTCAACTAGTATAGTTAGCTTGAGCAGCAACAATTTCCAAGTAACCTCTACCAGTTGATAAGTGCCATTATAGCTTTCATTTTCCAACTAATGGAGTTGACTTGGCAACTGTTGTTTTCTGAGCCTTCTCCGCCAGTTGGAAGAGCATCTTGCCGCATAGGGCAATCTAAACTAGATCCTAGGCTATATTTTAAAATTCACCTTCTAAAAGATCGTATTACTTCCCCAAAGAGATAAACAAAAGTAATTATCTATCAACTTTGATTTATTTTTTAGAAAACTAGAAGTTTGGCTAATTTAAATTTTAAAGCTCGCCCTCCAAAAATTTTATAGTCATAAAACATAAAATTAGGTCTAAAGTCTATATCAATCATTAGACTTACCCAAATATCTTTCATAGCTTTTTTCACCAAATCAACAGTTTCACAATTTTAAGCTCATTAGCCCGCTTGTGTGAATAACGGTAAGCATTTTGGTCATCCATAATTATTAAGAATTTTAAGGTAAGATTACGCAGTCTTAATCTAATGAAGTCTGCGAATGTCACATAAATTTTTAAATTTCATTTTAATAATAATTTTACGAACGATTGAGCTATATAAAATGAGCGATCAGCACAATAAAAACAATGTACATATTACTTCCCTCAGAGCCCTTACTCTTGCTGGAGACAAGGAAAAAATATTAAAAGCTTTGATAGCTAATTACGCATTCTACAAGCGTAAGGACAAAAGAAAGCTTTTGCTATCCACTCATCATAGCCACTCGAGGTCTCAGAAAAAAAGAAAATCAGCTATTGTAAAATCGAATTCTAGCCCGATATTGGGTTTCAACACCGAGTGTGTAAGAAGAGAAAGCCTAGAAAGCTTAATTCAACCATTATCAGTTAAAAAGGAAAATTTCATATTTTTTTTAAAAATAATACTTTATATTTGTTATATAAAAAGAGCTAGGTACTTATTTTCGCTTCGAAGTGTCTGATGAGAACTGAAAGTCCAAAAACAATATTTGTACCATTTATTTAGATACCAAAGAACAATATAAAATTATCCACACCAATTTTATAAATCTCTTTGATCGACATTTTTCAGACGGCGGAGCCAGAATGCACAATGGGAAGAAAGAAATCCATATATTTAATATTATACAGCACATCCTAGATTGTTATATAACTTCAATGAGTTCCTACATCCTTGCCACAGGCCCTCTTAAAGGCAGGTCATGGATTGATATGGATCTCTATGCTAATTGTATAGAAGGCTTCCAAAAGTTTATCACAGATAAAAAATACGAATTGGCGAATAATCCCCAGTTCAGGACAAATTTCACGTTTCAGTTGTTGTGCTGTAATTATTATTTACTCCCCCCCCCCTCGAAGTTCGACCAAGATTTTTTTGGTCGAACTTCGAGGGGGGTTAAGAAAAATTTTTTTAAACAAAATTATATAGAATTTTTTTTATATAATTTAGTAGTTAAAAAAAAAATATTTATCATATTCTTCTGTATGGTTGAGAGGGTGTAAGGGTTATAAAAAAATGGTGCAAGATGGTTTTGTAACGCTTTTTTAGAAAATCACAAGCTCACCCCACATAGTTTAAAATTTTTGAAAAATTGCTTATTTTCCTAGTAAATTTATATAGGTCTTGGTCGAACTTTGAGGGGTTAATTTCCAAAAAATAGGAATTTTCCCTATATCTTGGTCGAACTTCGAGGGGGGGGAGTTAGTCTTTTTTGAATACTTAAGCATCAAAAAAGGAAGATTAAATAGAAATGAGTTGAAGATTGCAATTGAAATGGCTCTGAAAAACCGAAGGGAAGGCCAAAATAATTTGGAAAATTTAGCCCTTCTAGCTTTTAAGAAGGTTGAGATTTTAGAAGGAAAAACGAAAGAAGAAATAAATTTGCAAGAATTTGTAACTGCACTGCAAAATTAAATCTTTAATTATACTCTATAATTAAGTCAAGTATTTTATAATTTATTAAAAATCACAATTTATTAAATATTTTAAAATTTATTTATTTTTATTTCTATTGCTATAGTAATTTTTAAAGGTCACGAGGGTTTTTCATTTTATTATTTCTCATTCTGCTAACTTCCCCCCTTTGTGAGCTATAAAAAAAATTTTGTTATCATGGAGAGGATTAATTATTTTTTAAAAAAATTGTATATAAATTTTAGAGTAAAATTTTTTTTTAAAAAATAAAAAAATCCCAAAAAAATTGTGAATTAAAAATTTATGCATCAATATGCAATTTATTTAAATTTAAAAAGAATTAGCTAAAAAATAATAATTATTACCATATATATATTAAAGGGATTTTCTAAATATTTTGCTCGCTTACGTGGGTTGATTGAGTCTTTTCTTAATTGCTCGTCTATGTGAAGGCCAAGCTTTGTCTGGCGATAAATCTTCAGGAAAATGAATGCTATCAATATTTAAAGGCAAGAGATGGAAATATGAAGGCAGCTTGCTTGATTTTGCCCTCAAAATTTCGTGAGCTTCTATATCAGTGATTTGTTTTGTGCAGAAATTGAATGCATTTTCACTGAGTTTATCTCGAAGTTCTTTTTTCCTTAAATTTGGCCTAAGATTGAAAATTTCAGTGAATTTTGCTTTCTCTACCCTAATCATGCTTTCTAATAAATTCATGCATGCATCTTCTTTCAAAAACTGTGAGCTGTCTTCTTCTATTGCAAGACAAATAAAAGCTAAAGTTGCGATTAATAAAATCTTTATTGCCATTTATAAGTTTTAATTTTATAATTTTTTACTTTGAATAAAATATATATAAAAATGAGATTTTTGGAATACTCTTTAATATATTTTTATTCATTTTGAAAAGATATTGAATTTGAAATTTCTTATTTTTTAAGAAATTAATCTAAACTGATTTAATATAATACAATTAATAAGATTGAAGAAAGCTTGCTATAATAAATAAAATAGCTATGTAGGAATTTAGTTCTCTATGAGAACTATTCCTCCTCCACGATATTTATTATTATAGGATTCAGTTTTCCTCTTAGACCTTTCTCTACAATGCCAAATGGAATTACCGCATAGATCAATTCGGAGGCTGAAGGAAGAAAGTAGACATATGATTTTCGCTGCCAGAAACACCCAAGGAGGTGGAGCACGTGCTGGAGTCAGGTTCGAACAAGGCCAAAGCTGCCAGTGATAATTTTTTGACCAATTTTGGTGAGTCTTTGGAATGCTTGCTAAACAAGGTGGCTTATAGCGTCACCAATTTAAGAGTGCCTAAGTATACCTAAATCACTCTCCTGAAGGAAGAACTCACGCTAAATTATAAATTATTTTATTAATATTAGAAGAAAGCTAGCTTTAAAATACTAATAATCATAATAGCGTTTATAATTATGCAAAACTTAATATCAGCTTCAACTGGTTGTTTTCAAAATTAAATAAACTTAAGCATCAGAATCCATTTACATCAAAAAAGAATAGAAAGTTATAAAATGGAGAGACCTCACAACCAATACATTCGTCCGCTTCTAACAGATCTTTACCAAATCACAATGTGCTACGCTTACTGGAAAAACGGGCATCATATGGACCACGCTGTCTTTGATGCATTTTTTAGGAAATGCCCTTTCAAAGGCGAGTACACAGTATTTGCTGGACTTTCTGAAGTCATTGAATTTCTTGAGAATTTTAGGTTTAACCAGGAAGAAGTCAACTATATTCGTACCCTAATCCCTCATGCAGAGTCAGAATTTTTTGATTGGCTTCTCTCAATTGATGCTAGCCAGCTAAAAGTATATGCGATCCCAGAAGGCACTTTGGTGTTTCCCAGAATAAATTTATTAAGAATTGAAGGACCGCTAGCTATTGCTCAGCTCTGTGAAACTACTATGCTGGTCTTATGCAATTATGCCTCTTTGATCACGACTAATGCAGCAAGATTTAGAAAAGCAGCCGGAAAAGATAAGGTTATGCTAGAATTTGGCCTCAGAAGAGCTCAAGGACCTGATGGGGCTATGACAGCTAGTAAATACAGTTATTTAGGAGGTTTTGATAGCACCAGCAACGCACTTGCAGGGATGATTTATGGAATTCCTGTCTCTGGAACTCATGCTCACTCTTATATTGCCTCATATGTGGATTATAGCGACTTTAGAGATAGATTGATTGATGGACAAGATATTCTGCAGCTAGCTTTAGATTACCGCCGGGAAAGCGGATTTACTACAAACGATGGCGAATTAACTGCATTTGCCTCATACGCAAAGGCTTTTCCGAATGCTTTTCTTGCTTTAGTTGATACGTATGATACTCTAGGCTCAGGAATTCCTAATTTCTTATGTGTAGCACTCGCGCTATATAAAATCGGCCACAAGCCAGTAGGAATCAGACTGGATTCTGGAGATCTGGCTTATTTGTCTATACAAGCCCGAGCCATGTTCAAAAAAACCAGTGAAAAATTTAACGTTCCTTTTGAAGATCTTAAAATCGTCGCTAGCAATGATATAAACGAAACAGTAATTCATTCCTTAAATGACCAAAAGCACCAAATTGACGTATTTGGAGTCGGGACTAATTTAGTTACTTGTCAGTCTCAGCCAGCTTTAGGAATGGTATATAAACTTGTAGAAATCAGAGAACACCCCAGAATAAAGCTGTCTAACGAGAAGGACAAAATCACGATCCCATGCAAGAAAAATGCCTTTAGGCTGTTTGGAGAGTCAGGGGAAGCTATTTGTGATGTATTGATGATGAGTGATGAAGCAGAGCCACAGGTAGGGACTAGAATGTTAGTCAGACATCCATTTGATGAAAGAAAAAGAATGTTTGTGGTGCCAAGCAAGGTGGAAAAATTGCATAAGTTGATATGGGATGGAAGATTAGTTGAAAAAATACCGAGCTTGAGCGAAGGCAGAGAAAGATTGCAAATGCAGATTGAGGCGATGAGAAATGATATCACGAGAGCTATTAATCCAACACCTTATAAGATTTCGCTTTCAAGCAATCTTTATGATTATTTGCAGGATTTATGGAATAGAGAAGTGCCAATACAAGAATTTAGATAATTTTAAGAATTTAAGAAGTAAAGTTTTTTGATTTTAATGAAATATATAATGCTGCTTAAGCTAATAGAATTTAATATTATGAGATATGATAAAAAAGATAAGCTTTAAATTTAAAAGCTATATTAATGGTTTCTGAAAAAAATATTTAAAGAGCAGAAATCCTTACTCGCTTATGAGCACATTAAGAATCTATATAAAGTGAAAAATCAAATTAACTGTACACTAAGGTTAATAGTTAAGGGGCTCAAAAAGGAAGTTCAGGAAATTCAAAACTCCAAGTCGTAGGTCTATTTTAAGTTTCTATAAAAATTTGTGCATAACTATGAAATTAGGCTAAGCTTAATATCACGCAAAAAGTTTTCACACTATACTTATAAAATTTGTTTATTATAATATTAGCTAAAAGTTACCTTATTGATTTCTTGGAAGTAAATCGCTGCATGCCTTGCAGTTTCCATAGACTTCAAATATGTCACAGTTTTCTGGAAACTGGCAGCATGTTACGCTCAAGCATCCCATTTCAGGATGTTTTAAATTACAAGGTCCTATATCAGAATTAATAGCTCCAGCAGCTTCATTGCCTCTGCCATCAATCAGCTTTATTGAATATTCATGATGAAGCTTATCATAGCTGGCTAACGCACCCTTGGTAATCTGTATCTCATAAAAGTATCCAAAAGTATTATACCCAAGGCTAAAATAATTAGGCAATTCGTACCAAGGATTTTCAGATGTTATTCTCTTTGAAAAATCTTGTGTATAAATTGACCATGTAACTGCACCCAAGTTGTCGTTCCAATGAAATGTGAAGAGGTTCCAACCATCTAAATAAAATTTACAGGGAGTCGGAAAAGAAAAATCATGCTTCTTATTGTGCACTTCATGAAAATCTTTATAAGAAGCTTTAAGTTTATCGTATTCTACCATTATCTGGTAACCATCATTAAGCTTACTAGCTCCCCTATTGATTTAGAACCAAAAATACTTTTCAATTTTTAGGGTTATTATAAAATTTTTTATAAATTTCTAAATTAAATTAAATAATTTTTTTTGAGTTTTAACTTATTTTTCGAAAGGATTCATTCATAAAATTAATCAATCAGAGTGGCAACTTTTTAAACAGCATTCTACTTGCATTTCAAGATTATAGTGGGTCAAAGCTATTGATATAGAAATTATTAATTTCACCTATAAAATTTTCAAGGTGAAAGTTTAAATTTTCCAATATTTTTTTTCCTAATTTGAAAGGGGAGTGAGGGAGTCTAAAAAGGAAAAAGGCCGCCCGCCCTTATTATAATCATCATTATAATACCAAACCGAAATAGTAATATCTGTTGTGAAAAACGACACAAAGTCTCTAACTCCCCCCCCCCCCTCCGTGAGCGAACAAAAAAAATTTGTTCGCTCACGGAGGGGGGTTAATTTTTTTTTTTTTTAAAAAATTTATATATATAAATTTTATATAAAAAATATTTTTTTCGAAATTTAAAAAAATCCTAATTTGCAAAAATTGGGAAGCAATATTAATTTAATTTGCAAAATTTATGTTTTAAAACGCAATTTGTTTAAAATTAAACAGAATTAGCTCTAGATTTCATTATACTAATTATCACTTATATATCAAAATTTTTTTCCATTAAAATTTTTTCTATATTAAAAAAAATTTTTGTTCACTCACGGAGGGTGGGTTTTTGGTCAAAAAATGGCGATTTTTCTAATGGTTTTGTTCGCTCACGGAGGGGGGGGGGGAGTAAGATCCCCAATTAGTCTAAAACCATCACCTTTTACTTTAGTATATTCACATTGAGCAGGTATCGGTTTGCCACTAAGCTCATATAAGTTTTTGCCTTCCCCGATTGAATCTTTTATCTTCTTACCATCATCTGTTAGGTATTTCGATGTCATGATATAGCGGGCATAAGGCATGAAGCCATCTGCAATGACAAAGGATAAAAGTGCCAGGAAGACAAAGGAAAGTTTAAGAATAGCCATTATATTATTAGATTCGCCATATAGTTCAAAATATTACTGATGCTTATAATTAGGTTCTTTATGCGCTAGCGAAATTTATATAAGTTTCGATATAAAGGAAAAAGTTCTTTATGAGCGCTAATTTAATATATATCTTTATTGTATATTTCTAAAATGGAATACCATGTAAGCAATCATATAAGTTTCGTCAAAAATTGAGATAAATAATAAGCTTATATTAGATCATTATGCACTAATAAGTGAGTCAAGCTTAGATTTGATGTTTGAAATAACTTAAATAATTTTTTTTTTAAAATTGCTTTTTTTGAGCAAATTTAATTGTCGGAGAATTAAAATTTTTAAATTATCTAAAGTTTTCATAGTTTAAAGGTTTTATTTTTTAGTTGATTCAATTAAATAAGGCATTGTCACCAATTAAAATGGTGACGTAGAAGGCTGTTCTTGTCTAAGTGATTAAAATGGCTTCATCAATTCTCTTCAATCACTTGGTACTGCCTTAATATAGTGTATTGCATTATTTTCAGATCTGCACTCCACGTGCTATTTTTTTGACACGTGAAAGTCTGTAAAATGTAGGTCTTAGCATGTCAAAAAGGTTTTGGCAATTGGAGTAATAACCAGAAAACAGTGTACTGCACTATAGAAATTATACTGAGCTTGAAATAAACAAAATTTTGAAATTTCCCTTACATATCTTGAGTCCTTATTAATTAAAATGGTTGCACTTTATATACTATTCAAAAAATTATTAAGATATCTTTAGAGAGATAAGCCTAATTATAATAAATAAGTACTATATTGTTATATATAAATAGGATAAGAGTAAAAAATTTTTTGTATATCTAGTATGCTTAGGATAAAAATTCAGCATATAATCTCCAAGTAGTAAATTAAATATTTACTATCCGAAATATAAGGCCAAATAAATATTTATTTATCAATTTAGCTATTATTAAACAGAATACTTTTAAATAAATTGCTATTTAGACAGCAAATTTCAGAGATCATATAATTAGCCATTTAAGAGAATTATGCACTAGATTTATTTCCCTTGAGCAAAATTAAGGGGAATTATCAAACATTCACAAAGTGATAAAATTACAGTAGGTCTTATTTAGCTTGCACGAGTTTCTCTGACTGCATGGATCAAGAATGCTTTGAGAAAGCTACTTGACCCTACAGACGATGAAATTTACTATAATAAAGGATGCGCACTTTATGAGTTGGGGAGCAATTGAATGCTACGACAAATTAATTGATGAAAAACCTAAAGAGCCGTTAAGGTCACAGAGAAAAACTAAAGTAATAGAAACTAATAAAAATACAGCAATATCCAAAACTGGCAAGATTTTAGCTTACTTTAATAAAGCTAATGCTCTTTGCGAGATGGGGAAAATTTCAGATGCAATAGTGTGCTATGACGAGGCAATTACACTTTTTGAGAGACATGGTTTTATTTGGAATAATAAAGGGCGTGCTCTTTCCAGATTAGAAAAGTACTATAAAGCAATAGATTGCTATAATGAAGTAGTATGAAGTAGTGCTACTAACCCTCTGCATCTTTGTTATAGGGCTAACCTTCTCAATGGTATAGGATTTGAAGTGCAAGCACTGGAGGATCTTCGTGTGGCATATGATTTGATAAAAGATAACCAAGCAGGCGAAATAAGTATTGACTCACAAGAAATCTCCTTTGAGGAAAGATATAAATGCACTATTGACACATTAAATCAAGATTGAATTGATTAAAAAGTTTTTTGAATTGCCGGATAGCAGTTTTATTTCTACAGAGGAATACCAGGAATTCAAAAATTCGGTTGCGAATGAAAATAATAGAGGGATTAATGAAACAGTTAAAGCTCAAATTTCCAACATTTCAAAAGAGCAATAAAATTTCTTGAGCTTGGTAAAAGTTTGCTAGGCAAAGCTATCCAGAAAATAGAAAAGAATAAATTTAGCATCCAAGAATGCAAATGCTATAGGCCATTTATGCTTCAGCAAGGCATATAAAACGTTGACTTTAGCACTCGTCTTTAGAAATAAAAATAAAAAATAATTCTTTCTACAATATATAGTGAAGATTTGATGCATTTAAAAACATTCACCATATGATTGAAGGTAAATAAATCAATTTTTTATAATAATAAATAATAAGCATAGTTTTATAAATGAGCTCGCTATACTTTTCAATAAGTTTAAATATCTTTAAAATTAAAGAATCCATTAAAATAAAGTAAATAAGATTGCTTTAGATTTTAGGATATTAGAAAACAAAAATTTTAATATTTTTATATTTCATGACTTTTTTCTTCATTTTAAATATTTTAGAGGGAATAAATCCTGACTAGCATTGCTGAATAGTAAAAGTTATATCTCTTTAAATACAAATTTTAGTTATAAAATATTAATAAGCTTTGAGATTTTATCAAATCACTTTAGACAAACAAATAATCTCTTGTAAATTTACTTACATATGATATTTATATTCAGTTATTTTTATTAGATTTAAAATAAAAGAATTTATAATTATTTTTTATTAAAAACAAGAGTTTAATAGAAAAGGTTATTTAAGCCTTAGTCTTGGTTTCTTCCACCTGTGCAACCATTTGGAGAATAAAGTATCTCACAATCATGTAGAAGGTCTCAAATATGAATATCTGTATCAAGATTCCATAGAGGAAACAAATAGCCCAGTATCCACTCCACTCGAAGCAGAACGAGAAGCTAAGCATAACAATTCCAATTATAGAGCCAATAATGATAGTAATACCTAGCGCAACTGCAGCAGCTGTCCAAGCTGGAGCTTTAGTTCTATCAATGCTCAACGCAATTACCATGAAAATTTCTATAGGAATTGCAATGGCAAGAGCCAAAATAGTATACCCGAAGTACTTAGCTTCATAGTCATTGAACAGGGTTTCAGTGGATGCTGAGGATCCTGAGTCAGTATTTTCAAATCCAAATAGCAACAATCCTTCAAGTAAAAGTTCAAATATAATGATTGTTGCCAGTGTGAATAGTCTAGCCCATCTTGAGAAGTTGCTTCTGAAGTAAACCAAACCAAATATCAAATGTCCTTCAATGAGCTCAGCAAGCTCAGTCTTAGACTCATCTTCAGGCTTCTCTACTTCAGTTTCAGTTGCGATTGGCTGAGCATATGAGTTTTCAGTCAAATCAATGCTTACTGAGTCAACAATGTCGTTACTGTCGTCATCTGAACTCCTTTGTTCTGACTCTTCAACAATTTCTTCGCCGTCAGCAAGCTCGATTGACTCTCTAGGCTGAGTACCCTGGAAGAAGTGTCTTGCGCTTCTTGGTGCAGTTTCAACGCTATCAGTAGAAGGCGACATCAAGGCTCGCTCAGTAGGTCTTGGAACATGAGTAGGGTGAGGAGTTGCTTCAACGGTCTTTCCTACCTTTTCAAGCCTATCATATATAATCATAATTGGAGCCAAAATCATAGAAATGAAGAGGACGACGACCAAAATATAAAGTGGAGCGTAGTTATCGCCACAAGAAGGCCCAGAAGGTTGAGGATATGGATTTGGTGGAGCTTGGGGTTCGGCTTGTCCAAGCTTGAACATAGAGAAGTGATAGACTTCAAATACAACGCTATCGTTTTTGATTTCAGTTACAGTGCAGCCATCATGAAGCCATGCCTTACTAGTCTCATTATAGAACAAGCAAGTCCAGTCATACCCTTCAGTGATATTCTGAGATATCGGCATTTCCAAGATAACTGGATAATCAGTTGTAGAGAATGGCATATAGGTCTCGTTTGTGGTTTCGAGTTTTAAGTTCTCATAAGTTCCTGAGTGTGCAAAGCTCAGCATAACAAGGTCAGAATAGTCGTTTGAGGTGTTGAAATAGTGCAGTTTAATATTCATGACGTCATTGTCAGAGTAGCTGAATTTTGCAGGCATAGAAATAGTGCGGTTGTTGGAGAACGGAACTGTGCGATTGGCCATCGAGGTTGGGAAGTCTCTGTACTTATAAATTTTAGTCATATCAGTGTTTTGAGGGCTAAATGCCTTTTCTAAGTGACATTTACTTTTGCAGCCATTCTCTGAGTAATTTTTTTCTAATCAACATTGATCAAAAAAAGGATTTGTCGACAAAATGTCTGATGAGAAAAAAATTCAGGTGCCGAGGAAAATTTCTGGAAAAATAAATTTCTTAGGTTTTGAGATCCGTCCATAGCTCCTTGAGTTACCAAATCATCCTTAGTAGCTGCTATTTCCCAATATGCCAGGAATGCATCAATATTCATAATATATCCTTCAAGAGACAGAGTAGAAAACTCAGTCATGTTTCCATACGCCAAATAATTATCAGCAAGAGCCACAATAGTATTCATGTTATCTTGGCTTGGCACAAGATCAGGGTTGTCCACAATAATTTTAGAAAGCCATAAAGCAAATGTCTGGAACATGTCTACACTCATCTGTTCTGTCTGACCTGTCATTGAGTAAGTTGCACCTAATGCATTTTCCAATACATCATTAGTCACCTCATTGCTGGAAATATAATTCTGCAAGTCAGTCCACATAAGGGAGAATAGCTCACTATCAATAGTTGCAGAGCTGCAAAATAGCGAGATTGTAGAAGGCACATTATCAACGTCAACCGTGCTTTCTTTATAAGCATCCATTAAAGAGCTTGTTTCTAAACGCCTGCTATTAAAGTTTCCAATTGTGACATCTTTCTTATAGTCATTGCAAGTCTTCAAGTGATCACAAACACGAATGGTGATTGTATTCTTCTGAGGGAAAAGGTATGTGGAGAGCGAATTTATCTCTGTGGTGTAGCCAAGAGTGTATGCTTTATTGTTGGAGTAGTCTAAATAAGTGTATGATAATGGGTAGTCTTCTTCATCTTTATCATAGCAGCCCTCAATGCTTAGCTTAAATGATGTAGTGATCGCTGTGCCGGTTTCTGGATTTAGTTTAACTTCTCCTGTACAAGCTGCCCCAAGATTAAGGGTGATTGGATATTCAGCATTAATGCTGACATCATTCAATGTAATTGTGAGGGTAAATGTATATGTCGAGCCCGCAGTTAACTGACTAGGAAGCACAGACATTGTAGACAAATAACCAGGAGAAATGCTGATTGACCCTGAACTTTCAGCCCATTTCAAGGTAGCTGAAGTAGCAGCTGTGACTTGAGCAGTTATCACAATATTGGAGTTCGGGTTATATTTTTGGACCTTGTATTCAATTTCAATTGAGACATCAGATGTCTTGCTCAGAATATTTACTCCTACCTTTAGCTAGCGAGCAAGCATACATTAAAATGGTGGGGTGAGTAGCCAAGCCTTGTAACTCCTATGAAGAGGGATATGGCGTTCTGGAATTTGTATCTGGATACATTTTAATTGATAAAGCATAATATAGGACTAATTGCCTGCTTGCTTTACTCCAAATCAAGGCTCTGCCTAGAGGAAATGGAGCCAAGAGCTGGAAAGGGATCTCCCGACAAATCCAGTAGCTATTTTCTTGGCCGATCAGGACTGCTTTCCAGCATGAAACCAGGAGTTACGCCCTCGCTTTCGGATTTCAATTTTTAGTCTTTCAGAAAATCATTTTTTAATTTTTCTTGATGGTAACCTTTGCCGGCGCATCAGAATTGCGACTCGAAAATCCGGCTACAGGATAGAGGGCGTAGGCTTCATACGGCAGGAGCAGCCTTGAAACGCGAACTGACAAGCAGACTGGGAAGTCTAAGGGATTGGGATAAGTCTTCAGAAATCTCAATTGCTTTTCGAAAAGTATAATTAAAATAAGATCAAGATTAGCGAGCAAACTATTCAAAGAATCTATTTTTAGAAAATCAGTATCCCTTGTTAGAAAAATATTTCCCAAGTAATATTTGATGTGAGATTAATTATTCAATTATATAAATGGGTTTTTAAAATCATATTAAGACGAGGAGTTAGAGATATTGTAGCAGCAGCGGTTCTTGTGTCTTTAGATATAGTGCAAGTAATCTCCCATTGAGCTCCTTTAACCATTTGTGATGAAGGAATAGTCAAAGTGGAATCAGTATCGCTACTCAAAGGAGTCTTGCCGTCAGCTCCTACACATGCACTGTTATCTAAGCTATTCAAACAAGTCCACTTATAAGTAAAATCTTCGTAAGTTGAGCTAGGACTGTCAGGGTCTTTTGAATTTTGGGCGTTAATAGTATAGTCTCTGTCAGGAGAAACATCTCCACTTGTTTTAGATAGCCCAACACTTAATGCTGAAGCAGTGACTGTAACTGAAATAGTGGCACTTCCTGTAATTGTCGACCCATTGCTGACTTGTGAAGCAGTTGCTTTAAATACATATGGAGTAGAGCTTGCTGCCAAAGCATTCGCATTAATAGTTAGCTTATCTGCATTTGCGTTAGCAAGAATTGAGGCAGAGTCTATTGTCGGTCCACTGTCATAGCTCCATGCCCAAGTGATAGTTCCAGTAGTTGTTCCGCAGAGAGAAGTGACTTTTGCTTTAAGTGTTTTAGACGTTGAAGATTTCATAGAAACTGTATTGCCTTGGTCAAATATCACTGTCAATGCATTTCCACCAGTGACTGTGGTTGTAAAGGAAGCAGTGCTTGAAATGGTCATGAAATTGGTCACTGTTAAGCTAACGGTCACTGTTGTCGTGGTAGTTGAATCAAAGTAGGAACGGTCTATAGAAATTGAAGAATCTGCTTTATTATTGATGGCGTCCGATACTTTGGAGTTAGCTGGAGATATTGAAGTAACAGCCCAGAGGTAAGATAAATTATTTCCTAGAGATCCTGTAGATTTGTCACCAGAGAAAGTAAGAGGATCAGATCCGCAGCCTAAAGTAAAGCTGGATTGGCCAGTTATAATCGCTGTTGGAACAGGACTAGATGTAGATGTGGGAATCAGCGAAAGAGGCTGATAGTTAGTAGTGCAAGGATCAGAAGAATCTTTCAGAATATAAGTTCCATCCAAATAAAGAGTACTATACCGCAGTGAAAAGCCAGTGCCTAACGCTATTTTGAGTGTCTTTTTATCAGTCCATGAGCAAACTGCACCAGTTCCAAACAAGGCTACTGTTGCTGCGGTGAAAGTTTTCGAGCAGGACGGGTCAACTGAGGTGTCCACCTTTGTATTGAAATTGATAGAAATTGACGTCCACGACGAGCTAAATTCAGCAGACAATAAGTCACTTGGTGCAAGATACCTCTTGCATACCACACACTTACTATTTGACAAAGTATACCCTGCATTGCAAGCGCACCCTCCAGCTGCACTACTATATGCAGAATTAGCAGTACAAGCACAAGCTGTTCCTGTAAGCTCAGCATTTGTCACACAACTAGAGCAAAGATTGGCATTATCAATGTCACAAACAGTGCAAAGCTTATTACAAGTAGCAACACAATATCCAGAAGTATCAGTGCTATTAAGGCCATAGCCTCTGTCACAAGTGCATTTCTTGCTTGAGTTATTTAGAGTTGCGTGTTTCTTACAACCAGTACATACTGTGGCGCTGGAACAAGTTGAACATGGGGAAGGACACATAACACATTGCTTGTCTAAAGCATAGTATCCGTTTGCACATGTGCATACACCATTGGAGACTGGGTTTGTCTTATCAACACAAGTTATGCAGGTTGAGTATGAGGAACAGGTGTTGCAGAGACCATTGCAAGTTGTGCATTTGGAATGGGTAGAGTTAAAGTATTGTTTGTCAGCACATGAGCAGACTCCAGTTTGAGAATTGAGAGTAGCTGTATCAAGACAAGATGTGCAGAAAGTATCAGAAGTACAGCTCTTGCAAGGTCCAGTGCAGGTCTTACAGGCGTTTGTAACCAAATTGAAATATTGGGTGCTTGGACAAGTACAAACTCCGTTGGTCAAAGCCATAGCTGCATCTCTACAAGCAGTGCAAGATGATGAAGAAGAGCTTGTGCATTTTCCACAGGTAGCATCGCAGTTCTTGCAGGACAGAGATTGAGTGTCGAAATATTGGCGAGCAGGACAAGTACAAACACCAGCACTAATTTCCCTTTAAACATCAATAAAATATTATATTTCTTTTTATGTGGAAAATAATTAAAAATTTAATTTATTAGATAAGAATTAAGAATTGGATCAATTAAAGTTTAACTGCAAGGCCAAGTCTCTGCCTTGATTCATGGCATCTGGCTAGGTTTGCATTTTTCATGGCCAGACATCATCAGTCCCTTTACCCGGCTACTGGAGGCCTTCGCTTCGTTTGACAAGCCCTTACTCCACAGGAATCAGCCACAATGAGCTCTCCTTTGTTTCAGCTTTGTGGGAGAAAAAACCCATGAAGGGAAAAACCCAAACTCACCAAGCTCGACGGGAAGAATTGTAAGTACGGTACGTTGGGCTTCACTTCCTCCTCCCAACGGATAATCTTGGCCTGTGCCTTCTCTTCCGGGTTAAATGGCGAAGCCCGATACCCCGGGGACTTTATGAGTCCCACAGTTTTGGCTTGACCTCTCGACTTGCTCCATATTTGTTTCGACAGGCCTGGAAATAAAGATTATATTATTAGATAGAAATAGTCTGCATTATTAATATTTATTATTAAAAAAGGATTTTGGAAAAATTTAAATTTTGTCTTCTTATCTATTAAAAGGAGTAATAGACATTGTAGGATCTTTGCAAGTAGAGCAACTTGATGAGCTAGAGCAGGTAGCACATGTAGCATCGCAAGCCAAACACTTATGACTTGTTGAATCAAAATAAGTTCCATCCTTACACCTGCAAACTCCAGTAGTTGCAGTCAAAGTCATTGTAGCATCCACACAGCTTAAACAGAACGTCAGGCTGCTACAATTCGAGCAAGGATCCGCACAGCTCTTACAAACTCCTTCACTGAAATAAGTTTTCGCTGGACATGTGCACACTCCTGTGACTGCATTATAAGTCATAGTAGAATCAATACAAGTTGAGCAGAAATCAGCTGCTCCTGTACAAGTTGAGCAGTATTGTCCACAGAGCTCACAAGTCTTACTAGAAGACCTATAATATTTACCAGCCACACAGTTACAAGTTCCAGCTCTGGCGTCAATTGAAAAGTCAGCTGTAATACAAGTATAACAGAAAGTTGAGCTCGAGCAATCCAAACAAGGAGCAGTACATGCTTTACATGAGTTTTCATCATAATAAGTTCCAGAGTCACATGTAGTCACTTTACAGCTAGACGTAGGCACATCGAAATAATATCCGCTTTCACAAGTAGTACAGCTTGTGCCACTGCTACAAACATTGCATTTATCCATACAACTGACGCATTTGCCTGAATTAGCGTCATAGTACATTCCGAGTTTGCATTCACAGTTGCGAGCGTTAATAGCATTGTAAATCATATTATCTGTGTCCACACATTGAGTACATTTGGTTGCTTCACATGCAGCACAGTAAGTTCCACAGCTCTTGCAGGTTGTGCCATCATAGTAGTTAGCAGCTTTACATTTACAGTTCTGGTTATTATTTTGGTCTAGTTCTTGAGCTGTATTATCGTTGCAAGTTGAACAAACTCCTGCATTCAAACAAGAAGCACACATTGTTCCACAAGGATTGCAGCCTGAAATGACATCATAGGTTTTAGCAGGACAAGAACATACTAATGGGAGAGCTATTTGTTCAAGGGCATAATTACTATAACATGTCGTGCATTCTGCAGTCGTATCTTTGCAAGTCTTACAGTTTTTGCCACAAGATTGACAAGTTGATCCGTCAAAGTATTCCATTGAAAGACAAGAACATGCGTCAGGATTTGATTGCTGGCTTCCTTTGCATTGGCAAATCTTATCAGAAAGGTCCATTCTGGAAGGATCAAGGCAAGTCTTGCAATTTCCAGTGTAGTCCTCACATGTGGCACAACGATCTCCGCATTTAAGACATGTAGCTCCATTATAATAGGTACCTGCTGCACAGATGCAACTAGAGGTTGCAATGACAAGCTGTTGGGTTCCTCTACATTTGCAATTTGTTTTATCTGCTGGGTCAGGATCCATTCTTTCAGTGTCTTTACAAGTTTGACAATTTCCAGTGTAATCATCGCAGGTAGCACACAAGCTTTTACAGCTTACACATTTGTTTTGGCAGCTAGGACATGTTGTGTCATCAAAGTAAGAGCCAGAGGTACAGGAGCAAGAGTTAAGATTTGTAATTTGGCCTGACTTGCATGCACAAGTAGTGGTGCCGCTGACTGGTGACATTCTCCTAGAATCAACACAAGTTAAGCATGTCTTAGTTCCAGTGTTACAAGTGCTGCAGAAATAGCCGCAATCAGAGCATACAGAACCGTTGAATTGCTTACTCCCCCCCCCCTCCGTGAGCGAACAAAAAAATTTTTGTTCGCTCACGGAGGGGGGTTAATTTTTTTTTTTTAAAAAAAATTTATATATAAATTTTATAAAAAATATTTTTTTTCGAAATTTAAAAAAATCCTAATTTGCAAAAATTGGGAACCAAATATTAATTTAATTTGCAAAATTTATGTTTTAAAAAACGCAATTTGTTTAAAATTAAACAGAATTAGCTCTAGATTTCATTATACTAATTATCACTTATATATCAAAATTTTTTTCCATTAAAATTTTTTCTATTAAAAAAATTTTTGTTCACTCACGGAGGGTGGGTTTTTGGTCAAAAAATGGCGATTTTTCTAATGGTTTTGTTCGCTCACGGAGGGGGGGGGGGGGAGTTAGTTCCTGAACATAAATAAAATGGCATTAGGTTCGAGAAATTAGCTCTGCTAATTTTTCTCCCTCATTGAATTTTATTTATGGGGTTGGTTTTCTCTCGAGAACTTCTGCACAGCAATAGCTGTTTAACTTTTGGGATAGCCAAAGGAACAGCTCCTCAATGCATTCAAGAGGCTCGGAGTTTTACCTCTCAACACATCCCCAAGGGAGGATGACCCTTAGGCGGAACACGCGTAGGAGCTGAGGCAGGGCAGAGCAACGGCAACGCGCCGGGTGAGATGTGCGGCGGCTGGAGACGAAGCGTTGATAGAAGGCTTGGCCGGTTGGGCTGACCACCGCGATTCCAAGATGGCTCCGTGATGTCATTAGTTTAGCTAAAAGCCCTTTTTAGGGTTGCTGCACTAGACACTTTAAACACCGAATAATTAAGTTAAAGCTTAGTTCCTGAACAAATGCATTGCTTATTAGAAAGAGTTTGATCGCCTATGCATTTACAGTTTTTCTTATTTGCTGTGTCAATTATCATCTTACTTGAATCAATACACCCCTGACACTCACCAGTGTAATCTTTGCAGGTTTTGCATAAGTCTGAACATTGGACACAATTGTCACCATCAAAATAGTAGCCTGCATCGCAAGTGCATGTTGATCCAGTGACCTTTTGGTTTCCTTTGCAAATACATTTACTTAAGTCACTTGGATTCTTTTGCATTCTCAAAGAGTCACTGCAGGTTTCACATAGTCCAGCTCCTTCATAACATGTAGCACAGTTGGTTGAACAGCTAGAGCATTTGGTTCCATCATAATAAGTGCCAGCTAAACATTTCCCGCAGATGCTGGTGTTACCTTCTACAATCCATTTGTATCCGCTGGCACATTTGCAAGTTTTTGGATTCGTGGAGTCAACTACAAGATTGTCGATGGCTTGACAAGTTAAGCACGTAGCAGAATTACAAGTTGAGCAAAGGGCAGAACACCTCTGGCAAGTAGAGCCATCGAAGTAACCTGAAGCGCAGTAGCATAAAGCTTTTGACACGCTGTACAGTTGAGTGCCTTTACATCTGCAATTCTTTTGATCAGCAGTGAATTCCATATTTGCCATATTTTTGCATGCGTTACATTTTCCAGAGATATCAGTGCAAGTATCGCATAAACCTCCACAGGCAGAACATGTGGAGCCGTCAAAGTAAAAGTTTGAATTGCAGGTGCAGCCTGTTGCTATGGTATTTAGACGAGGTCTACATGAGCAAGTTAACGTGCTAGCAACTGTTGTCATTGTGCTATCATTTATGCAGGCGCTACAGGAATTTGCTGCGACATTGCAAGTTTTACAAAATTTACCGCAGGTAGAGCAAATTTCACCATTAAATTGTTTGCCAGCATCACAAGCGCATACACCATTGCTAAGGTACTGATCACCTATGCATTTACAAGCTTTATTGCTGTCTGGGTCGAATATCATTGTTTGAGAATTTTTGCACGATGTGCACTGCCCAGAGTAATCTAAACAAGAGCTGCATAAGCTGGAGCATTGCACACAATTTTCGCCATTGAAGTAGAACCCTGAGTCACAGGTGCATGTTGATCCACTGGCAATTTGGTTTCCTTTACAAATGCATTTAGTTAAGTCAAGTAGGTTTGGTGTCATTCTTGAATCAGTGCATTTCCCGCATATTCCAAGCCCATCAAAGCAGCTTGCGCAATTGGTAGAGCAGGAAGTACATTGGCTCCCATCATAATAAGTTCCGGTAGCGCATTGCTCACAGGTACTAGTTGCTACTATCCATTTATAGCTAGCCGCACAATGGCAAGTCTTAGGGTTCGTAAGATCAACTTCAAGGTTAGCAATATTTTGACAAGTTAAGCACTTACTAGAATCGCATGTAGAGCAAAGGGCAGAGCAACTCTGACAAGTTGAGCCATCGAAGTAACCTGAAGCGCAGTAACATAAAGCTGTTTCACTGTTGTACTGCTGAGTGCCTTTACATTTGCAAGTCTTTGGATCAGTGCCGAATTCCATAGTTACCGAGTTTTTGCATGTTAAACATTGCCCAGTTGTTTCAGCACATGTAGCACATAAGTTACCACAGGCTGAACACGTTGTAGTGTCGAAATATGATCCTGAAGCACAAATGCAGCCTGTCGCTGTGACTTGCTGACCAGATTTGCATGTGCAAGTTACTGTGCCAGAAACTGCTGTCATTTTAACTGTATCAATACAAGTGTTGCAGATCTTCGTGTTTACATTGCAAGCGGAGCAGAACGTTCCGCAATCAGAGCACCCAGAGCCATTGAATTGTTTATTTCCAGTGCAAGTACATACATTGTTGCTAACTCCCCCTCCTTGAATGAAAAAAAAATTTTTGTTCACTCACACAGGGGGTTATTTTTTTTTTAAAAAAATTTATATTTAATTTTATAGTTTTTTTTTCGAAATTTAAAAAAATTCCACTTCGCAAAAATTGGAAAGCAAATATTAATTTAATGTGTAAAATTTATTTTTAAAACGCAATTTGTTTTAAATTAAACAGAATTAGCTAGACAATTCATTAAACTAATTATCACTTATATAGCGAGTGCTCCCTATAGATTTTTTAGAAAAATGCCATTCAAAGAAAAACTCAGTTTAAAATTCCTAAAAAGTCAAAATTCATTTTAAAAATGTCATTATATGCATCCTATTTGTCAATTCTAAAATTGACTTTTCAGATTTTTCCTTAATTTAAAATTATAATATTCTATTAAAAGTAATTGTCCTCAGAGATCTAAAATGAGGCTTGTGCTATATATCAAAAAATATTTCCATAAAAAATTTTGCTATTAAAAAATAAAGATTTTTCTAATGGTTTGTTTTCGCTCACGGACAGGAGGAGTAAGTACTTGATCTCCAATGCACTTGCAATTCTTCTTGTTTGCTGTATCAAAGGTCATCTTCGCAGAATCCTTGCATGCTGTACAAATTCCAGTGTAATCAAGGCAAGTAGCGCACAAGTCAGAGCATTTCACGCAATTGGAACCATCAAAGTAATAGCCTGAGTCGCAAGAACATGTGGATCCGCTGATCTTTTGGTTTCCTCTACATGCACAACTAGTCAAATCATTTAAGCTAATATCCATTCTTGTATCTACGCAGACGCTGCAGATTCCAGAGCCATTATAGCATTTTGCACAGTTAGTAGAGCAAGGAGCGCATTTATCTCCATCATAATAAGTTCCAGTTTGGCATTGCTCGCAAGTGCTAGTCGCAGTGATCCAGTTATATCCAGCGGCGCAATGACAAGTTGTTGGGTTGGTAGGATCTACTTCAAGATTGGTAATACTTAGACAAGCTAAACACTTAATTGCATTGCAAGAAGAACAAAGAGTTGTGCAGCTCTGACAAGTTGAGCCATCGAAGTAGCCTAAAGTGCAGGAACAAGATTTCGTTAAACTGCTATATTGCTGAGTTCCTTTGCATTTACAAGTCTTTGAATCAGTGCTGCTTATTTCCATAGTTGCAGTGTTTATACATGTATTGCATTTTCCAGTTGAGTCATCGCATGCAGCACATAAATCGCCACAAGCTTCACAATTTGAATTGTCGAAATAGTTGCCTGAAGGACAAGTGCAAGAGCCAATATTTTTCGTTTGGTTTCCTTTGCATTGGCAGGTAAGAGTGTTACTTACTTGTTCCATTCTGACTGAGTCAATACAGGTATTACATGTATTTCCAGATACATCACAAGTGCTACAGAAATATCCGCAGTCCACGCATTCCTTGCCATTAAACTGTTTAGTTCCAGAACAAGTGCATGCGTTGTTACCGTCAAGAATTTGGTCTCCAATACAAATACAGTTTTTCTTATTGGCTGGATCAATAGTCATTTTCGAACCTTTGCAAGAAAGACATTCTCCAGTGTAATCAGAGCAAGATGTGCATAAGCTTGAGCATTGGACACAATTTGAGCCATCAAAGTAGTAGCCTGAATCGCAGTAGCATGTAGATCCACTAATCTTTTGGTTTCCTTTGCAGATGCAGCTCGTCAAGTCATTTGTATTTATTGTCATTCTGACGTCTTTGCATAAAGCACAGAATCCAGTGCCGTAATAACAACTTGCACAATTCGTTGTGCAGCTAGCACATTTGTTTCCATCAAAGTAAGTTCCAGTTTCGCATACCTCACAGCTGCTGGTTGCGGTAATCCAGTTATAGCCTGCTGCACAGACACATTTAGTTAGGTTTTGAGGGTCTACTATAAGGTTTGCAATAGACTGACAAGTTAAACATTTGGCTGAGTCACAGGTCGAGCAAAGAGTTGTGCAGCTCTGACAAGTCGAGCCATCGAAGTATCCAGTAGGACAGTAGCAAGAGGATAAAACGCTGCTATATACTTGATTTCCTTTGCATTTACAAGTTTTTGGATCACTGTCGCTTACTTCCATAGTTGCAGAGCTACATGTATTGCATTTTCCAGTTAAGTCCTCACAAGTCGTGCAAAAAGTGCCACAAGCCAAACATGTTGTGCTGTCAAAGTAAAAGCCTGATTTACAACTGCAGTCAGAGGCTGAGACTAGCTGATTTCCTTTACAAGCACAAGTAACGGTGTTGCTTACTGGCTCCATTCTGTTTCCCAAGCAGACACTACATACATTTTGATTTACATTGCAAGTCGTACAGAAGGTTCCACAATCAGAACATATAGCGCCATTGAATTGCTGAGTTCCAAGACAAGTGCATGCGTTGTTACCATCAAGAATTTGGTCTCCAATACAAATACAGTTTTTCTTATTGGCTGGATCAATAGTCATTGTAGAATCTTTGCATGAAAGACATTCTCCAGTGTAATCAGAGCAAGATGTGCATAAGCTTGAGCATTGGACACAATTTGAGCCATCAAAGTAGTAGCCTGAATCGCAAGAGCATACTGATCCAGTTAATTTTTGGTTTCCTTTGCAGATGCATTTTGTTGGGTCGCTGGTGCTTATCATCATTCTTGAGTCTTTGCAGACAGCGCAAAATCCACTGCCGTTATAACAACTTGCACAATTATCTGAACAGTCAGCACATTTGTTTCCATCGTAGTAAGTTCCAACAGAGCATTGATTACAGGAGCTGCTTGCAGTAATCCAATTATAGCCTACTGCACAGACACAGTTTTTAGGGTTTTGGGTGTCGACTACAAGGTTTGCAATAGACTGGCAAGTTAAACATTTGGCCGAGTCACAGATCGAGCAAAGAGCTGTGCAGCTCTGACAAGTTGAGCCATCGAAGTATCCAGTTGGACAATAGCAAGAAGATAGCGTGTAGCTATATTTCTGAGTTCCTTTACATCTGCAAGCTTTTGTATTAGCAGGGTCCATGATTCTTTCGCACGACACCTACACATAAAACTTTTTTGTGCCTATTTTGCTTAGCCTACTTTTTTTGCCTCTTGTTTAATGCTAAAAAATTTATAATGTAACTACTACTGCATATACATTAAAATAAAATGGATTGAAAATAGCCGCGATAATCAATATGGAATCATTTCTAAAGCAAATGACCATAAAATGTCAGAAATATAGTCTAAAGAGATAGGTTAAAAAAAAGTCAAAAAAATGATAGTTCTGTAAAAAAAATATAGGTTAAAACCCCAAAATAAAAAAAATAACCAAAAATATTTATTAAAAAATAGTCGTTGTGGACTAGGTGTCGTATGAATTTACAGGGTCCACCTCCATTTTACTATCTTTACAGGCAGTGCAGACACCAGATGTATCTGTGCATGTAGTGCAGAAATCGCCGCAAGTCGAGCAAGTTGAGCTGTCAAAGTAAGAGCCTGAAGGGCAAGTACAGCCAGTGTTTGCTGGTATTTGATTCCCTTTGCAGGCACAAGTTACAGTACCACTCACAGGTGACATCTTATCTCCATCTAAACAAGTGCTGCAGACTTGACCATTAACATCACAAGTACTACAAAATACACCGCAAACAGAGCACTCATCTCCGTTGAATTGTTGGTTGCTAGGGCAGGTGCAAGTATCTCCACTAAGAATCTGATCTCCAATACATTTGCATTTTTTATTATCGTTTGAGTCGAATGTCATTAATTTCGAGTCTTTACAAGTTTTACATACTCCAGTATAATCTTCACAAGTGCTGCATAAATCTGAGCATTGAACACATGTATCTCCATCAAAGTAGTACCCTGCATCACAAGAGCATGTTGATCCGGCTATCTTTTGAGTTCCTTTACAAATGCATTTAGTTGGGTCGACAGTACTTGGAGTAAATCTTGAGTTGCATACTTTACAGAAACCAGTTCTATCGTAACAGCTTGCACAATTATCTGAGCAGGTAGCACATTTGTTGCCATCATAATAACTACCAACAAGGCATGGTTCGCAAGTACTTTTAGCGGTAATCCAGTTATAGCCGCTGGCACAGACACAGTTAGTTGGGTTTTGAGGGTCTACTATAAGGTTTGCAATACTTTGGCAAGTTAAACACTTAGTCGAGTCGCAGGTTGAGCAAAGAGTTGTGCAGCTCTGGCAAGTTGAACCATCGTAATATCCAGTAGGACAGTAGCAAGAGGATAGCGCGTAGCTATATTTTTGAGTTCCTTTGCATCTACAAACTTTCTGATTACTAGGATCCACTTCCATTTTACTATCCTTACAGGCAGTGCATACACCTGATGTATCTGTGCATGTAGTGCATAAATCGCCGCAAGTTGAGCAAGTTGAGCTATCAAAGTAAGAGCCTGAAGGGCAACTGCAACCGGCATTTGTTGATATTTGATTCCCTTTGCAGGCACAAGTTACAGTGCTGCTTACAGGAGACATCTTATTTCCATCTATACAAGTGTTGCAGGTATTAGAGCTAACAATGCAAGTTGAACAGAAAGTCCCGCAATCAGAACATCCAGAGCCGTTAAATTGTTTACTTGCAGGGCATGTACACATATTATTGTTAAGTACCTGATCTCCGATACATATACAGTTCTTCTTATTGGCTGGATCAATAGTCATTTTCGAATCATTGCAAGATTTGCATTCACCAGTGTAATCGGAGCAAGAGGAGCATAAGTTTGAGCATTGCACACAAGTAGATCCATCAAAGTAGTACCCTGCATCACAAGAACATGTTGATCCAGTTAGCTTTTGGGTTCCTTTACAAATGCATGTGATTCCACTAAGATCCATCTTAGCAGGGTCTTTGCAAGTATTACAAGTGCCAGACCCGTTATAACAGCTTGCACAATTAGCAGCGCAGCTAGCACATTTGTTGCCATCGTAGTAAGTTCCAACAGAGCATTGCTGACAAGTGCCCTCTGCTGTAATCCAATTGTAGCCACTGGCACAGACACAGTTAGTTGGGTTTTGAGGGTCTACTATAAGATTGGCAATACCTTGACAAGTTAAACACTTGGTCGAGTCACAGGTTGAGCAAAGAGTTGTGCAGCTCTGACAAGTCGAGCCATCGTAATATCCAGTAGGACAGTAGCAAGAGGATGTTAAGGGATTGTACTGTTGAGTTCCTTTACATCTACAAACTTTCGGATTACTAGGGTTAACTTCCATTTTATCATTTTTACAGACAGTACATGCACCTGATGTATCTGTACATGTAGTGCAGAAATCGCCGCAGGTCGAACAAGTTGTGCTGTCAAAGTAAGAGCCTGACGGACAAGTGCAGCCGGTGTTTGTTTTTATTTGATTCCCTTTGCAGGCACAAGTTACAGTACCACTCACAGGTGACATCTTATTTCCATCTATACAAGTGCTGCATACCTTACTACCCCTCTTCCACAGGTGAGGAAATCATCAGAAAACTCCCTCTATTTTTTGGGAAAAAAATAACACACCTGGCAAAACAATTACAAATCATTTCCAGTTTTACTGTTTTAAAAAAAGTTCCCTTATTCAAAATGTTTTTCCTCGCTTAGAATGAAGGAGTTAGCATTAACATCACAAGTATTACAAAATTCACCGCAAGTAGAGCATACATATCCGTTGAATTGTTGGTTGTTAAGGCAGGTGCAAGTATCTCCACTAAGAGTCTGATCTCCAATACATTTGCATTTTTTATTATCGTTTGAGTCGAATGTCATTAATTTCGAGTCTTTACATGTTTTACATACTCCAGTATAATCTTCGCAAGTATTGCATAAATCTGAGCATTGAACACATGTATCTCCATCAAAGTAGTACCCTGCATCACAAGAGCATGTTGATCCACTTATCTTTTGAGTTCCTTTGCAAATGCATTTAGTGGGGTCACCTCCTTTTTCCATTCTTGAGCTCTTACAGGTTTTGCAAATTCCAGTACCGTCGTAACAAGTTGCGCAATTAGTCCCACAGCTTGCACACTTGTTGCCATCGTAATAGGTCTCTGCAGAGCATTGTTCACAAATGCTTTTAGCGGTAATCCAGTTGTACCCGCCAGCACAGACACAGTTTTTAGGGTTTTGGGTGTCAACTACAAGATGGGCAATGGATTGGCAAGTTAAACACTTGGTTGAGTCACAGGTCGAGCAAAGAGTTGTACAGCTCTTACAGGTGCCGTTATCAAAATAGCCAACAGGGCAAGTACAAGCCGATAATGCGTTGCTGTATTGCTGGGTTCCTTTACATCTGCAAGTTGTGGTGTCGTCAGGGTTTACTTCCATTGTAGAATCGTTCTTGCAGGTGCTACAAATTCCTGTTGTATCTGCACATAAAGCACATAAGCTGCCGCATTGAGTGCATTTTGAGTCTTTAAAGTAAAATCCAGTAGGACAGGAACAGCCGCTTACTGTTGCAGTTTGGTCGCCTTTGCATGAACAAGTAGTAGTTCCGGCAGTTGCAAGCATCTTTGCAGAATCAACACAAATGTTACATATTTTTCCTGAAACATTGCAGGAATTGCAAAATGTTCCGCACTCAGAACATTTGACACCATTAAATTGTTGACCGATAGGGCAAGTGCATACTCCATTGTCAAGAGTCTGATCTCCGATACATATACAGCTCTTCTTATTGGCAGGGTCAAATGTCATTTTCGAATCTTTGCAAGATTTGCATTCACCAGTGTAATCGGAGCAAGAAGCGCACAGGCTTGAGCATTGAACACAAGTAGATCCATCAAAGTAGTACCCTGCATCGCAAGAACATGCTGATTCAGTTAGTTTTTGGGTTCCTTTGCAAATGCATGTGGCTCCACTAAGATCCATCCTAACAGTGTCTTTGCAAGTATTGCAAGTACCAGTTAGCCCAGAGCAAGTAGCACACGTAGCAGCGCAGCTAGCACATTTGTTGCCATCGTAGTAAGTTCCAACAGAGCATTGCTGACAAGTGCCCTCTGCTGTTATCCAATTGTAGCCACTGGCACAGACACAATTAGTTGGGTTTTGAGGATCTACTATAAGGTTGGCAATACCTTGACAAGTTAAACACTTGGTCGACTCACAGGTTGAGCAAAGAGTTGTGCAGCTCTGACAAGTCGAGCCATCGTAATATCCTGTGGGACAGTAGCAAGAGGATGTTAAGGGATTGTACTGTTGAGTTCCTTTACATCTACAAACTTTCGGATTACTAGGGCTAACTTCCATTTTATCATTTTTACAGACAGTGCATGCACCTGATAAATCTGTGCATGTAGTGCAGAAATCGCCGCAGGTCGAACAAGTTGTGCTGTCAAAGTAAGAGCCTGATGGACAAGTGCAGCCAGTGTTTGCTTTTATTTGATTCCCTTTGCAGGCACAAGTTACAGTACCACTCACAGGTGACATCTTATTTCCATCTATACAAATGCTACAGATTTTAGCATTAACATCACAAGTACTACAGAATTCGCCGCAAGCAGAGCACCCATCTCCGTTGAATTGTTGGTTGCTAGGGCAGGTGCAAGTCTCCCCACTAAGAATCTGATCTCCAATACATTTACAGTTTTTGTTGTCGTTTGAGTCGAATGTCATTTTCGAATCCTTACATGTTGTGCATACTCCGGTATAATCATTGCAAGCACTGCATAAGTTTGAGCATTTAACGCATGTATCTCCATCAAAATAGTACCCTGCATCACAAAAGCATGTTGATCCCGCTAACTTTTGATTTCCTTTACAAATGCATGTGGCTCCACTAAGATCCATCCTAGCAGGGTCTTTACAAGTATCGCAAGTGCCAGTCAACCCAGAGCAAGTAGCACACATAGCCGAGCAGCTAGCACATTTGTTGCCATCGTAGTAAGTTCCAACAGAGCATTGCTCACAACTACCCGCTGCTGTAATCCAGTTATAGCCACTAGCACAGACGCAGTCTTTACTCTCCCACGTCTATAAGTAAGCTAAAACAATTTTCCCACTCATGGAGTATGTTTTTTACAATTTAGATATAAAAATTTTAAAGTTTTTTTGGCACCCAAGATAATCCCAATTCACAAAAGTAAAAATTTATTAAATTTGCAAATTTATGTTTAAAATGCTAGCTGTTTAAATTAAGTAAAATTAATTATTATAATTTTTTTTCCCAAAATAGGGATTTTTAGTGTTTTTTGCTCACTCACAGATAAAGGTTAGAATTTTGGTTGTCAACCACAAGATGGGGAATATTTTGGCAAGTTAAACACTTAGCTGAATCACAAGTTAAGCAAAGAGTTGTGCAGCTCTGACAAGTCGAGCCGTCAAAATATCCAATTGGGCATGAACAAGTGTTTAGCACAGTGCTATACTGCTGAGTTCCTTTGCATCTACAGATTTTCTTATTAGTAGGATGGAATTCCATAGTGCTGTCTTTGCAAGCAGTACAATCGCCCGAAATATCTGCACAAGAAGTACATAAATCTCCACAAGTAAAGCATGATGAGTTGTCATAGTAAGAGCTTGCAGCACAAGTGCAGCCAGTTGTTGAGGTTATAAAGCCAGCTTTGCATTTACAAGTAACACTGCTGCTTACTGGGTCCATTCTTTTGCTGTCTATACACGCAGTGCAGACATTGTTTCCTAAATCGCAAGTTTTACAGAAGTTTCCACAAAGAGTGCATTCAGATCCGTTCCATTGTTTGCCTCCAGTGCAGACACACTGACCTGATACGACTGTTAGGTCTGAATGCTTGCATTTACAGTTTTTATTGTTTTGTGGGTCGATTGTCATTAAAGATAAATCTTTGCATTTTGTGCACTCTCCTGTCAAATCTGTGCAGACACTGCATAAGTCAGAGCATGGAGAGCAAGTGAGGTTATCAAAATAAGACCCTGAGCTGCAAGAGCAAGTCAGCCCGCTAAGAATTTGAGTTCCTTTGCATCTGCAAGCTTTGTCATCCGTAGGATGAAATTCCATTCTATCTCCGCCAACGCAAGTATTGCATTTCCCAGTAAAATTATCGCAGGCTTTACAGTTAGTAGAACAGCTAGAGCATTTGCTTCCGTCATAGTAAGTTCCTTCAGGGCATTGCTCACAGTCATTATTTGCCACAATCCAATAATATCCACTCTCACAAATACAGTTTTTGCGGTTAGATGGATCAACTATAAGATGGTCGATAGCCTTACACATAGAACATCCATTTGAGTCACAATCAGAACAGTGAGTTCCACAAAGCTGACAGGTGTTACCGTCAAAGTAGCCTGAAGTGCAAAAACAAGTGTATGCTTCAGCATCATACTGAAGACCTGGTTTGCATTTGCAACTTAAATTGTCATCACTTTTTGTCATAGTATCCTCAAAGCAAGAGCTGCAAATTCCAGTGGTATCTGCGCAGGCAGCACAAAGTGACCCGCATGAAACGCAGTCATTGTTTTTAAAGTATTTTCCAGCATCGCATATACAACCATTAGCTGTTGTAGTTTGGCTTGATCCTTTACACTCACAGATTTTATTATCTGATGAACCAAATTGCATTCTGGAGCTATCGATGCATTCAGTACAAACCAAAGTTTCAGCTGTACAAACTTTGCAAAAATGGCCACAAACGGAGCACATTGATCCGTTAAACTCTTGTCCTGCAGGACATGTACATTGTCCTGAAACTGCGACTTGGTCTCCTCTGCATTTACACTTTCTGTTATCATTAGTATCAAATGTCATTGTGGCTTGAGTATGATCGTTGCACATTGTGCATTCGCCAGTATTGTCTTTACAAGACTTACATAAGTCTAAACATTCAGCACAATCACCGTTAATAAAATACTTTCCTTGTCCACAAGTGCAAGTCAATCCGCTAAGAGTCTGGGTTCCTTTGCATCTGCAAGCTGTATTATCTAACCCCCTTTCCTCTGCTATTTAACAAAGCCATTGGAAAATCCTTAATTTTTGGGCTAAGCCCTAAAAAAAAAATTAATATAAAAATAATTTATAACAAATTTTGATATATAAACAATTTATTATAATGATACACCAAGCGAAATCTGTTCAAATTTTAAACAAATTACATTTTAAACATTAATTTTACAAATTAAATTATTTAAGCTTTCTATTTTCGGAAATGTGAATTTTTTAAAAAAATTATTATAAAATTTCTATATAAATTTTTAATCCTCAGTGGCGAACCTAATTTTTGTATTCGCTCGTGGAGGAAGGAGTAAAGGATCGTATTCCATTCTATCTCCGCCAACACAAGTATTGCATTTCCCAGTAAAATTATCGCAGGCTTTACAGTTAGTAGAGCAGCTAGAGCATTTGCTTCTGTCATAGTAAGTTCCTTCAGGGCATTGCTCACAGTCATTATTTGCCACAATCCAATAATAGCTGTTTTCACAAATACAGTTGCTGCTGTTTGAAGGATCAACTATAAGATGGCTAATACTATCACACACAGAGCATCTAGTTGAGTCGCAAACAGAACAGTGAGTTCCGCAAGGCTGGCAGGTGTTACCATCAAAGTAGTAGCCTGAACTGCATTTACAAGTGCCTGCTTGAGCATCAAGCTGAAGACCCGGCTTACATTTGCAACTTAAATTATCATCACTTTTTGTCATAGTGGCATCTTTGCAAGAGCTACAAATTCCAGTGGTATCTGCACAGGTAGCACAAAGTGACCCGCATGGAGCGCAGTCGTTGTTTGTAAAGTATTTTCCAATGGCACATTCACAGCCAGTCACAGTTTTAGTTTGGCTTGACCCTTTACACTCACAGATTTTATTATCTGATGCACCAAATTGCATTCTTGAGCTATCAATACATTCTGTACAAACCAAAGTATCAGATGCACAACCTTTGCAAAAAGTGCCACAAATGGAGCACACTAATCCATTAAACTCTTTTCCTGCAGGGCATGTGCATTGTCCTGACACATACTGTTGGTCACCCGCGCATTTACAATTTTTCTCATCGGTATCATCAAATATCATTTTGCTTTCCTCCTTGCATTTAGTGCACTTCCCAGTATGTATGTCACATTCTGCACATTTGTCTGAGCAGGACACACAGCTTCCGTCACTATAATAAGTTCCTGCTCCACAACACGTGGCTGGGTCAATCAGATCTCATTCCAGTTCTATATTCTTTTTGCAAGATGTGCAGTCACCAGTGAAATCTAAACAAGCTAAACAGTTAGTTTCGCATGATTTGCAATTAGAAATAGAAGTATCAAAGTAGCTTCCAGTAGCACAAGAACAGTCAAGTCCAGTAGTTTGATCTGATTTGCATTTGCAAGTCTTTGGCAGATTTGCGTCTAAATCCATTTTTCTCCCCTCTTTGCAAGTAATACAAGTTCCATCGTCAGCGCAGGTGGCACATCTAGCCTCACATGGTATGCAAACTTTATTGTTTGTGTCATAATAAGTCCCTTCATCACAGACACAGTCCGATCCTACTAGATGTTGGCCAGTTTTGCAGACGCATTTCTTTGAGTCATTTGAGTCAAAAGTCATCCTTGAAGATTTGCAGGAGCTACATTGTCCTGAGAGATCGGCACAGATTTGACAGTTGTCACCACATGCCTCACAAGTGCTGCCTGTATAATAAGAGCCTGAGGTACAAGAGCATTGATTGGAGACAAGCTGTTGGGATCCGAGACATTGGCATTTCTTTGAGTCAGACTGAGAGACTGCCATTCTTGGAGAAGGATCAACGCAAGTCTTGCAATTTCCAGTATTGGCGTCACAGTCAGGACAAGTGCTATCACATGAAACACAGTCGCCATTGCTGAAATATTTGCCTGCAGCGCAGCTGCAGCCGGAGTCATTTGGTGTTAGATTGATTCCTTTGCATTCACATACTTTATTATCGGTAGTGCTTAAAATCATTCTGTCGCTGTCAATGCAGGACTCGCATTTACCGGTTTCGTCACAAGTTTTGCAGAAAGTGCCGCAAGGTGAACATATTTGCCCGTTAAAAGATCCTTGTGCGCATATGCATTCTCCTCCAACTAATACTTGGTCTCCGATGCAGTGGCAAGTTTTGGTATTTGTTGGGTCCACCTCCATCTTCGTTTTCTTGCAAGTATCACATACTCCAGTGTGGGCATCGCAGGTAGCACAATTTTCCTCACAAGAAATGCAAACTGAATTTACTGAGTCATAATAATGAAATGGCTACACACAGAACGAGCTCTCTCAGAAAGCTTTTATACGAATTTTATTATAGTTCTATTTCCTGTAAAACCTTTATGCACAATATCAAAACGGATTATTATACAGGATAATACAGCTGGCTCATATAAAAATGAGGGTTAGGTTTTACTTCTTGACGCGCATGGAAGGGATCTTTACGAGGAGTACCCACCAGAGTCGAGTTTGAAAAGAGGTCAGCACAGTGAAGGATGCCTGGCTATTTGTTGAAGTCCTCATTCAAGATTGTTATGAGTGCCGTCAATTAGAACTAAAAGGGAGGTTTTTTGATATTCCTCCATGCTGAATCGCTTTAATCGTTTCATTGCATTGAGTCATAATAAGTCCCTGATGCGCAGCATAAAGCTGGATCAATTAGGCTCCATTCTAACGCTACATTTTTCACACAAGATGTGCAACCTCCAGTGTCGTCACAAATTAAACAGTTCACGCCGCATGAAGTACAGTCTCCATTGTTGAAATAAGTGTCTTGGGTTTTACAGATACAACCATTTCCATTTTCTTGTTGATTATCTCCTTTACACTTACATTCAGCTGGCTTATCGGGATTCAACATCATTCTTGAAAGATCAGTACAAGCACTACAAACTGTGCCGTCTGCATTACAAGTGTAACAGAAGTGGCCACAGGTTATACAATCAGTTCCAGACCATTTTTGTCCAGCGTCTGGACACTTGCAAACAGTTCCGTCCCAAGTCATAGGTGATTTGCACCTACATGCTTTAAGGTCTTCTGGGTTTTTCTCCATTGTAGAATCGTCTTTGCAGGTAGTGCACACTCCAGTATGTACATCACAAGTAGCGCAATTATCTTTGCAAGAAATGCAAGCAGAAGTAGTTTTATCATAAAATGTCCCTGTACTGCAGCATGAAGCAGGGTCTATCAAGGTGTCTTGAAATAATACCTTTTTAGTACAGCTTGCGCATCCACCAGTATCGTCACAAATTAAACAGTTATCGCCGCAAGAAGTACAGTCACCATTATTGAAATAAGTGTCTGGGGTTTTACAGATACAGCCGGATCCGTTTGCTTTTTCTTGTTGATTATCTCCTTTACACTTGCATTCAGCAGGCTTATCGGGATTCAACATCATTCTTGATTGATCAATACAAGTTTCGCAAGTGACGCTATCCAAGGTGCAGGTGTTGCAGAAATGGCCACAAACTGAGCATACTTGCCCATTGAAAAACTCCCCAGTTGGGCATGAGCAGACTTTCCCTGCCTGAATTTGGTCACCTATACACTTGCATTTCATGTCATTGCTACCTGAGTCTCTTTTCATCTTATCCAGACAAGTAAGGCATTTTCCAGTATCTTTATCGCAAGTAGCACAAGTTTCGTCACAGGCCACACAAGAGCCAGCGCTATAATAAGTTCCATCTGCACAGCATGATGATGGATTCACTAACTCCCCCCACTTTAAGCAAATATACCCATTGGAAAATCTTATTTTGGTTAAATGTCACCTTCGTGGGCGAATAAAATTGCTTGATATATAAATTATTATTATTATAATAAAATATCTAATTGAATTTCAATTAATTATAAAAATTTTACAAATCAAATTAGTTTGTCTTTAATTCGCATTTTATGATTTTTATGAATTTCGATAGAAAAATTACTCTAAAATTTAAATATTAGTTTCTTAAAAAATAAAACCTCCTCCGTGTTAGCGAACAAGTTTTTTGTTCGCTCGCAGGGAGAAGGGTGGATTAAGGTGCCAGTGAACTTGATTTTGTCTGAACATGTTATACATTCACCGGTCACATCTTCACAGGCATCGCATTTGCTAGGGCAAGGATCACAATTATCGCCATTTCGGTAAGTAGTTAAAGAGCAACATGTGGTCTTTTTGATATCAAGGATGTCTGTAAATTTAAACTTTTTAGCACAGTCAAGACAAGCTTCTCCATCCCCGCTATCTTCACAGATATTGCAGTTGCTGTCAAAGCAGTTAGTGCATGTAGAATGAGCGTCGCTAACAAATTTTCCATCTTCACAGCAAGTCGTTTTCTTTATTTTCAAAGTGTCAGAAATAGTTAAGATGCCAGAACATTTAAGACAAGTTGTGCCAGATCCACTATCTTCACAAATGCTGCAGTTATGGTCATCACAAGGCTTGCAGGTACTTTGAATGCTGCTAACATATTGTCCATCTGGGCAGCAAGTCGTTTTCTTTATTTTGAGAGTGCTGCTAAAGTTTAACTCCCCTCCCTCCCTGAGTGAACAAAAAATTTTGTTCGCTCACAGAGGGGTTAATTTTTTTTTTAAAAAGTTTATATAGACTTATAATAATTTTTTTTTCATAATTTAAAAAAATTACTATTTGTAAAAAGTGAGAAGCAAAAATTAATTTTATTTGCGAATTTTTATTTAAAACGCATACTGTTTAAATTAATCAGAATTTGCTAGAGATTTCGCTATAATACTTATGATTTATATATCAACTTTTTTTTCTTAAAAAATTTTTATATTAAAAAAATTGTTGTTCGATTTTTTGGGCAAAAAGGGATTTTTCTAATGGCTTTGTTCGCTCACGGAGGATGGGAGTAAGAGATTATAGCATTGAAGACATATTTCCCCGTCTCCACTATCTTCGCAGTATTTGCAATTCAGGCTATCACAAGTTGTGCATGTAGTGTGAGTACTGCTAACGAATTTTCCTTCCTGACAACATGATGTTTTCTTTATCTCCAAAGTATCCGTAAAGCTTAATTTCTTTTTGCATTGTTTACAAACTGTACCGTCTCCGCTATCTTCACAGTATTTGCAATTTGAATCAGCACAGTCTTTGCATTGTAAATGAGAAGAGCTAACAAATTTTCCTTCTTCGCAACAAGTGGTTTTCTTAACATTCAACGTATCTGAAATAGATAAAGTTTTATGGCATTGGAGACAACTTGAGCCACTTTCACTGTCCTCGCAGAGCTTGCACTTATCATCAGGGCATTTTGTGCATTCAGTGGTAGTGCTGCTAATGAAATACCCATCAAGACAGCAAGTTGTTTTCTTTACTCTCAGCGTGGGAGTCAGCGTTAAGAGATTAGAGCATTGGATGCAAGTCTCCCCTTTTCCGCTGTCTTCACAATATTTGCAATTAGCACTATCGCAGGGTGCACATGTAGTCTGATCACTACTAACATAATATCCTTCGCCACAACAAGAAGTTTTTTTAATTCTAAGTGTATTCTTGAAGGATAAAGTTTTTTTGCATTGGAAACAATTGTTCCCACTTCCACTGTCTTCACAGTATTTGCAATTTAAGTCAAAGCAATCTCTACAAGAAGGTTGCTCACTGCTTACAAATTGTCCTTCTTGACAGCATGATGTTTTCTTTACTTGAAGAGTATCTGTAACAGTTAAAATTTTGGAGCATTGAATGCAAGTATTCCCACTTCCACTGTCTTCACAGTTTTTGCAATTTTTATCAGGACAATCTTTACATGGACTAACATCGCTACTTCTAAATTGTCCATCGCCACAGCAAGAAGTTTTCTTTATTTTAAGTATTGATCTAACTCTAAAGGTCTTTGCGCATTGAAGACAAATTTCCCCACTTCCACTGTCTGCACATTGTTTACAATTGCCAGGGCAATCTGTACATGAACTAACATCGCTACTTCTAAATTTTCCATCGCCACAGCAAGAAGTTTTCTTTATTTTAACCTGTGACACCAACCTTAATTTATTAGTGCATTTATCACAACGGCCAGCAGTTCCATCTTCACAAAGCTCACAGTTTGCATCACAACCTGAACATTTTGAATTTGAGCTATCTAAATATTTGCCGTCAGGACAGCAGCTTGGACTTTTCTTGGCTTTGATTATTGATTTAACTCTTATAGACCTTGATGTTGAGCAAGCAGTGCATCCAGACCTTCCATAATAACTGCCTGATTCACAAGTTTGGCAAGTCGATCCATCAAACCAAGGTTTAGCTTGTGAACAAGTGCAGGCTCCTTCTGTATTAGTAGCATCTTTACACTCGCAGTCCTTTTTATTTGAGCTGATTTTCATTGTATAGTTGTTTTGGCAGCCCAAACAGCCTCCGTTGTCGTCACAATAAGTGCACATTGTCCCACAAGGGGAGCAAGTACCTGAGTTGTCATAATTCCCAGGAGAGCAGGGAGTTGCCGAAAGAGCTCTTCCATATCTTGATCCTTGAGGCTCTCTCATCACAGGCATGCTCTCTTGAGGAGGGTCTTCATTAGCCACGTAGTCAGATGTCAACGTAAAGTTAAACATATCACCAATTTTAGCAAGAGGAACGTTTGAATCAGCGACTTCAGCAGCATGAAGCTGCATAAAAGCTACGATAAAGCAAAGAAGAAATCGCTTACTCCCCCTCTCATGAAAAAAAAAAAATTTTTTTCGCTCACAAAATAAAAGGGCTAATTTTTTTTTTTAAAATTTTAAAAAATCCCAATTTGTAAAAAAGGAAGCTAATATTAATTTAATTTGTATGCATTAAAATGCAAGCTGTTTAAAATTAAACAGAATTAGCTAAAGATTTCATTATACTAATTATCACTTATATATCCATAGAAAATTTTCATATTAAAATTATTTTTGTTCTCTGCTTTTGGCAAAATAATAGGCTCCTTTTCAATGATTTTGTTTGCTCAGAGAGGGGAGTTAGACATATTTTTATAAGCCATAGGATTAATTAGTGAGCTTTAGGTGAATGGAAAAAATCCTAACGACCCTTTTTAGCTATAGAGTTTAGCTTATAAACTTAAATTATGAAAGGTTGTTGGACGAGACGCTTAAATTAAGATGATAAAATTATTAGCTGGATAAAAATGACGGAATTTTTAAGACAAATTAAGTAATTTTTATAATTATGGGAATTATGGAAGCCTTAAGCCAAGGACCTGAAAAGGGACTAAAAAATTAATATAGTTATTAATTAGATTAAATTATAAGAAACACGTAGAATTTAGATAAACTTTTGATAGCTTTGGATAAATTTATAATCAAAAATTATCATTCCTTTAGATCTAAAATATTACCTAGAGCTAAGAAATCAATAGAAAATTGACAAAAAGATGTCAAATTTCTAATCAGATTTTATATAATTCACCTCTAATAATTTCGATTAAAAGAATTTGAGAGAAATGAATTTATAATTTAATATTTCTATCTTAATGATAATTTTAAAGCTTCTTGTTTCCTTATGAATTTTTAGTTTAAATTAAGGTCTTTATATTTAAATAAAAAATGAATACACCATCGAAATGGAGAAAAGCTAAAGAAAGATTTTTTTGAGCATTAGGTAAAAGAAATTAAATTTGAGTAAAACATTCATCAGGAAGACCTTGGGATGAATTATTGGCAATCAGTAAATTTTTAACAAAAATCTAAATAAAAGATGGTCAGTAAAAATATTTAGCCGAGCTTTTGGTATTTTATTTAAGAAAACTATTTATCGAGTTAAATAAATATAAATTTAGTAAATGCTTGATTAAAAATTTTAGATCGATATTTTGAATTAATAAAATTTAATATAATTGAAATTTATTTAGATAAATTGATAAAAGGAACAATTAATTCCTTCATTTTATATATAAATTTTATATTGCTTTTCAAATAGCTTTTTATTGTGAATTTTGAAAATTGTTTAGGATTATTTGATTTTACTTTAAATTAATAATTTCAAATAACTTAACCTGCTAAAATTCATTTTAAAATAATAGCAACAGAGAGATGAATGATTATTTGTTTATATTGAATTTATTTATATAACTTTAGCAGATTTGCAGTCAAACCGGTGAACCTAACTAGTAGCTAAATCTAATAAGTCCATCTGAAAGCTTTGGTAGTCTGCTATGAGCTTTGGCATTATGAGAATTCATTCGTAATATGCATAAAATTCTCAGTCAACAGTGAATTTTATCTTATGCATACCAAAAGTAATATTTTGGTGCAAGAAGCTGTCTAAGAACTATTTTCGCTGATCAGTGTCTGGCTTGAGCTTTTTTGTCCAGGATGCGTATTCGAAAAGGCAGAGTGGCTTACCTACCTCAGCTGCTAAGTGATTTTGTCAGGAATTGCATAAGCGGTTTTGATTTTCATTTGAAAATGACTCAATTGAAAGGATGAAAGACTAGGCTCCAAAGAGAGCAAGTAGTAAATAAATGAGAGCCTCTTCTATCGAAAAGGATCTCTTTATTGGGCAATCTGACTGGGCTAAGCAGGGTTTGTAATTTGGTGCTCGAGTAGGAAACGGAGATTTCTGAGCGATTATGGAAATTACTCTACCGTAAAGCTAGGTTGAGGAAGCCCTCCTCGAGGCTAAGCCTTTAGATGCAATATTTTTGAAAGCGTCTAATCGAAGATGAATCTTTCTTATAACCACATATCAATATTTTAGCATTAATTTTGTGCATTGTGCTTTTGATCAATAGAATCAAAATTCATTAAATATTGAGAACTGAATAAATTATTCATATAATTTAAAAATATCAATATTTATATCTTTGGCATTATTTCCAGCATAGAATCTTCATTAAACGTTAAAGTCTTATCAAGTTTCTTTTCTTTATTAGACTCTTTTATTTCTGTAAGTTTTTGCTCCAAATCCTTATTTTCCTCTATTTTTGTTCTTGCTTTTTTAATTTCTTTTTCAGCATTTTCCCCGTAGCTTAAGTGAGAACGGAAATCCATAAATTGTGATGAGTCTCATCCATTATACTCCCATCTCATTTTGCGCCAATGACTTACCCTTCATCCTCTACAACGGGGATGGAAGTTTCTCACCAACTTCTTGGATTTTTTCTCTTTTTCATATTTTTCACAGCTTTAGGCTTCTTTTGATGCTCTGAAGCATAAATATTTTTATTTTTTGTTATTATCCCAAGATACCATTTAATTTTATTATGAAATTGTTTAATATGTCTTTCCAATTGTGACATAATTGAAACTGAAAATTGGCTTATAATAGAAAGAAACTTACTAATTTCCCAGTCTAAAATTATTATTTATTTTAGATTCCGCTCCATATATGGAACTGCATCATTGAAAATAGAGTATGCATACCATCATAATTAACTAAATTTATATATGCTTATAATTTAATCAATGCTTTCAGCATAGCATCTTCAATGCTTGACAGCTTAAAACAACCAGAGCATTTCCTTCGCTTGCTATCTTTTTTTTCAATATAAATTTTCTTCTCTTTATTAAACACTTTTATTTTTGTCAATTTTTGCTCTAAAACCTTATTATCTTCTTTTTTTTTTTTAGATTCTTCGATCTGGTTGCCAACATTTTTTCCAAAGCTGAGTTGAAAATTGAAATCCATAAAATCTGATGAGTTCATCCATTATACTCTCATCTCACTTTGCGCCACAAACTTATCTTTCATCCTCTGCAAGGGTGGAAGTATTTATTAATTAGAAATTTAACTTTTTTTGATAGAATAAATTAGTGATATGCTATTTTAGGTTTCTGTTTTAGGGCGTGCCTACTCCAGTTATGGGGACGCTGAGGAGTGGTTTTATCCAAGGCTTTCAGAGATCCATTTGAAACCCCAGGTTTTCAGTAGTTCGCATTCTGTTATTCTGGGCAATATTATTTCCAACTTCGGAGCCGTTCTAGCCAACCCTAAGGAGTTTGTCAGATTTCACTATATCTGGGACCCTCTCTAACTAAAAGACTTGCACTATTTAGATCTTGTTGAGCCTTGCCTCAATTTTTCCTCTGATTAGCCATTTGCTGCAAAGAGGCTTAATGAAATCAATAGAAAAAAGCTGATATATTATAAAACATAGCTTTGATTTAGATTAGCTAAGTTTTTGAAGAGTTTAAAACTCAATTTAGGAGATCTAAAAAATAGAATCTGTTAGTAATGTGATATGAATATAAATTTAATGACTGAATGTTAGGAATATTAGTTAAATTAAAATCGGGGGCTTGCTAATTGTGATTAATATAATGACGTATCTATGCTTTAAACTAGGCTGTGAACTTGAACCTCAAATTGCTTGCTGTTGCTCATCTCCTGAAACTTACTGCTGTGAGATCCATCTTGGAGATCATCTCAAACTCCCATGCAGAGCTCATGCCTTTGATTTTATTTATGTAGAGCCTTGCGAACGAACTAAAGATGCAATTCTTGCTCCTTTTCCTAAATAGGGACAATTTTTTTCCCCTTTACAAGATCAATTTTTTTTTATAAAAATTATATAGTCAAGAATTATGATTTTTTAAATTATATAATAAAAAATTATGTTATATTATAATAATCATCATCACTTAAGCAGTCTGGAGAGTTAGATTCCTTTCAAAAGAAAAGTCTAAGAAAGAGAAAACTTAACTCCAACCCTCTTTAATATGAAACAAATAATTCTGTTCGAATTTAAAGCAGAGTTGGCTTTTTATTTTAATCCCATCCTCCGTAAGCGAACAAAATGACTGGCAAAATTTCCTATTTTTTGAGTAAAAAGTATCCTCTGTGGGCGAACAAAATAATTGTTCAATAAAAAAATATTTTGATCTGTTAAATTTTAAACTATTAATATTTGGTTCAAAATAATTGGGTTTTTTTATAAAGATTATTATAAATTTATATATAAATTTTTATAAAAAATGTGAGCGAACAATTTTTATGTTCCCTCATTGTGGAGAGTTCCAATTTAAAGAGGCTATAACTTGCTTAAGAAGGCTGTCTTGGCTTCTTTTAGAGTAAACCTTTATAGCTCAAAAAAGAATGTTGAAGAAACTTTATCAAAGCTAAATACTGATTTAGAAGAAATAAATGAATCGATTGCAAAGATATCAAGCACTTCAAAACAAGAATCCCCCATTTCTGACCTCATGCTTTTACAGCCTGATGATGGTTTTAAGATCTCAAGAGCAACAATTCCAGATGACTTAGAACATTATAGCAGCTTTAAGTATATTTGCTCTTTAAATAAATTACAAGCAAAAAGAATTTCCTTATTAAGTAAACCAAATAGCGCAAAAACAGAGCAAGATTTCAGGAAAAATTGCTTATTAAATTAGAATCATGCTTATGGTTCTTTATTCAGCCATGCTTATCAAGATTTTGTCAACTCTTATCATCAGAACGCATCTCTCTATCTTATAGGTGAAAATAATGAAAAAACGAAGTTGCTTATTTATGACACTGAAAATGAAAGAGAAGATATGAAAGACTTTGGATACCAATGAAAATTAGATAAAATAAATTGCATTGCTCACTTCCAAATGGTGAGCTATTTGGTACATACAAATGAGAAAAGCGTGTTTTCAGTGCCTTTATAGTTGATAGAAACTATAAAGTCCGCTTATTGCCATATCAAAAGCCCCATGGCTACGCTGCTGCTATCTATTTCAACAGGAGTGTCTACTACTTTAGGGGAAACGATTTTATATCTAGTAGATATGATATAGATTTAAATACATGGCGTGAATTAACTTCAAAAAGAACATATGACGGCTGCTGTCATTGTGTCATTTTTAATGGAAATATTTTGATTTCCTTAAATCTTACTCATCATCCAAACTATCTTTTACTTTACTCAATTGATTTTGACTCATTCTCAGACATCTCTCTTCCGTTTTATGGAAACAAAACAAATGTGTTAGCAAATACAGAAGAGAGACTGTATTTGATTGAATTTGAAGGTGGATGAATCTATGAGAGTAAAATCGGAAGCTACACTACCTGAAGCCGAGTTGCAGAGTCAAATATAAATTTTAATCCTTTTCTCACATATTGTTCATATAATAAAGGAGGTATTTATATCTCAGCTATTGATATCGGCTCTGGAAGAGAATATTTCAAATTTGACTTAAATCGAAAAATTCTTATTGAAATTGGAAATAAAAATAAAAAATAATTCTTTCTACAATCTATAGTGACGATTCGAGGCATTTAAAAATGATTGAAGGCAAATAAATCAATTTTTTATAATTTTTATATATAATAAATAATAAGCATAGTTTTATAAATGAGCTCGCTATACTTTTCAATAGGTTTATGAAATCTTTAAAATATAAAGAATCCATTAAAATGAAGTAAATAACATTGCTTTAGATTTTTAGTATATAGCTTTTTTCGGGTATTTGCGTTGAAAGCGACGAGGTTTGGGATTGACGGCGAAGCCTATTTCCTATATAAAACGAGTTTTACGGCGCAAGAAGAAAATACTGACTCCCCCCCCCCCCTCCGTGAGCGAACAAAAAAATTTTGTTCGCTCACGGAGGGGGGTTTATTTTTTTTTTTAAAAAAAAATTTTATATATAAATTTTATAAAAAATATTTTTTTTCGAAATTTAAAAAAAATCCTAATTTGCAAAAATTGGGAAGCAAATATTAATTTAATTTGCAAAATTTATGTTTTAAAACGCAATTTGTTTAAAATTAAACAGAATTAGCTCTAGATTTCATTATACTAATTATCACTTATATATCAAAATTTTTTTCCATTAAAATTTTTTTCTATTAAAAAAATTTTTGTTCACTCACGGAGGGTGGGTTTTTGGTCAAAAAATGGCGATTTTTCTAATGGTTTTGTTCGCTCACGGAGGGGGGGGGGGGGGGGAGTGAGTACCTTAACTAGGTCGATAAATGTTAGATTTGCTTTTTTTAAAACCACTAAAGTGTTATAAGATTCCTTTGTCGTAATTACCTGCTGCTTGAGAAAGCAAGAACTTTCTTACTTTTACCTCTGGCCCGTTTGAGATTGGTGTGTTGATTCCATTCTATTAAAATTTTGACAAACCTAAATTTTTTAGCTAGCCATTTTAAAATTGAAATATTAAATATGGAATCTGACAACACACTCATTACTGTGAACCAAATTCCTCTAATTTTACGATTTGTGAATTCAAATTCAAGTATGATTATGTTTAATCAATCCTGATCTATTCGGCCTTATTCAAATCCAAAAATAACAGAATCTGAAGTTTATCTCAAAGTGAAATGTTTAGCTCAACAGAATTTACTCTTAAAATAAAAAGAAGTATTGAGCTATTAATCGAAATTTTATTAAGTACGAAACGCGGAAAGTAGATTCAAGCAGCCCTACAAGTGCTCAGGCTCCAGAATAATTTGAAGAAAAATCTCCAGTAGATTTTAGAGATAAATGCATTTTAAGATGGTGGTGTATATTGGATCTGGATAAATGGTACATGAAAAAAAAATTTTAGCTAAGAAAAAGTGCGAAAACGCAGAAAGCAGATTCGAGCAGCCCTACAAGTGCTCATGCTCCTGTTGTAGTTTGAAGTAAAATCTTCGGTAGAATTTAGAGAAAAATATATTTCAAGATGGCGTAAGTCAAGATGAGAGTAAATACAAAATGGTTCATGAAAAAAACCCTTCAGCTAAGAAAAAGTGCAAAAGGCGGAAAGTAGATTCTAGCAGCCCTACAAATGCTCATGCTCCAGTAGCAATTTGAAGGATAATCTCCAGCAGATTTTAGAGAACAATGTATTTCAAGATGGTGATGTATATTGGATCTGGATAAATGGTACATGAAACTAACTTTTCAGTGAAGAAAAAAGTGCGAAATGCGGAAAGCAGATTCTAGAAGCCCTACAAGTGCTCATGCTCCTGTAGCAATTTGAAGGAAAATCTCCAGTAGATTTTAGAGAACAATGCATTTCAAGATGGTGTAAGTCAAGATGAAGTACATAAAAAAAATGGCACATGAAACGAACTTTTCAGCTAAGCAAAAGTGCGAAACGCGGAAAGCAGATTCGAGCAGCCCTACAAGTGCTCATGCTCCAGTAGCAATTTTAAGAAAAATCTCCAGTAGAATTTAGAAAAAATGTATTTCAAGATGGTGTAAGTCAAGATGAAGTACATAAAAAAATGGCACATGAAACGACTTTTCAGCTAAGTAAAAGTGCGAAACGCGGAAAGCAGATTTCTAGAAGCCCTACAAGTGTTCATTCTCCAGTAACATTTTGAAGAAAAATCTCCAGTATAATTTAGAGAAAAATGCATTTCAAGATGGTGAAAGTCAAGATGCGAGTCCATACAAAATGGTTCATGAAAAACCTTTTCAGCTAAGAAAAAGTGCGAAACGCAGAAAGCAGATTCAAGCAGCCCTACAAGTGCTCATGTTCCTGTTGTAATTTGAAGGAAAATCTCCGGTAGAATTTAGAAGTGCAAAACGCGGAAAGCAGATTTTACTATCCCTACAAGTACTCATGCTCCAGTTGTAATTTGAAGAAAAATCTCCAGTAGAATTTAGAGAAAAATAAAATGCAAGATGGTGCAATAAAATGCAAGTGCATACAAAATGGTACATGAAACGAACTTCTCAGTTAAGAAAAAGTGCGAAACGCGGAAAGCACATTTTAGTTGTCCTACAAGTGCTCATGTTCCAGTTGTAGTTTAAAGAAGACTTTGGAGAAAAATAAAAAAAAATAACATAATTAAAATTAAAAAATATACACTTTAAAGAAAGAATAAAAAACCTTGAGAAAGAAAAATTGAGTCTTTTAGCTCAATGATTCCTCTAATATTAAAGACTTATATATAGCTTCAGAAGGATTTCTATCTCCATGGGTTAAAATTTAATAAGTAGCCCCCAAAATAATTAATATTTCAATTTTAAAATGACATGTTAAAAAATTTAGGTTTGTCAAAATTTTAATAAAATGGAATCAACACACCAATCCCAAGCAAGCCAGGAGGCAAAAGTGACAAAGGTCTTGCTTTCTCAAGCAGAAGGGAATCACCACAAAGGAATCTTATGTGCACCTCTAGCTCATATCAGATACTTCCTTCCCTATATCTTTCTATAATCTACTAAGTATGTTTCTTCTTGTGCCATTCGACCCGTTTTGTATAGGAAATAGGCTTCGCCGTCAATTCCCAAACTTCATCGCTTTCAACGCAAATACCCCGAAAAAAGCTATATGAGAAAACAAAAATTTTAATATTTATATATTTGATTACTTTTTTCTCTATTTTCAATAATTATGCTAAACAAATTTCAAAGGGGCAATAATCCTGACTGGCATTGCTGAATAGTAAAAGTTATACCTCTCTTTAAATACAAATTTTAGTTATAAAATATTAATAAGCTTTGAGATTTTATCAAATCACTTTAGACAAACAAATAATCTCTTGTAAATTTACTTAAATATGAGTTATTTTTATTAGATTTAAAATAGAAGAATTTATAATTATTATTTATTAAAAACAAGAGTTTAATAGAAAAGGTTATTTAAGCCTTAGTCTTGGTTTCTTCCACCTGTGGAACCATTTGGAGAATAAAGTATCTCACAATCATATAGAAGGTCTCAAATATGAATATCTGTATCAAGATTCCATAGAGGAAGCAAACAGCCCAGTATCCACTCCACTCGAAGCAGAACGAGAAGCTAAGCATAACAATTCCAATTATAGAGCCAATAATGATAGTAATACCTAGCGCAACTGCAGCAGCTGTCCAAGCTGGAGCTTTAGTTCTATCAATGCTCAACGCAATTACCATGAAAATTTCTATAGGAATTGCAATGGCAAGAGCCAAAATAGTATACCCGAAGTACTTAGCTTCATAGTCATTGAACAGAGTTTCAGTGGATGCTGAGGATCCTGAGTCAGTATTTTCAAATCCAAATAGCAGCAATCCTTCAAGTAAAAGTTCAAATATAATGATTGTTGTCAGTGTGAATAGTCTAGCCCATCTTGAGAAGTTGCTTCTGTAGTAAACTAAACCAACTATCAAATGTCCTTCAATGAGCTCAGCAAGCTCAGTCTTAGACTCATCTTCAGGCTTCTCTACTTTAGTTTCAGCTGCGACTGGCTGAGCATATGAGTTTTCAGTCAAATCAATGCTTACTGAGTCAACAATTTCGTTACTGTCGTAGTCTGAACTCCTTTGTTCAGACTCTTCAACAATTTCTTCGCCTTCAGCGAGCTCGATTGAATCTGTAGGCTGAGGACCTGGGAAGAAGTGCCTTGCGCTTCTTGGTGCAGTTTCAACGCTATCAGTAGAAGGCGACATCAAGGCTCGCTCAGTAGGTCTTGGAACATGAACAGGGCGAGGAGTTGCTTCAACAGTCTTTCCTGCCTTTTCAAACCTATCATATATAATCATAATTGGAGCCAAAATCATAGAAATGAAGAGGACGACGACCAGAATATAAAGTGGAGCGTAGTTATCGCCACAAGAAGGCCCAGAAGGTTGAGGATATGAATTCGGTGGAGCTTGGGGTTCGGCTTGTCCAAGCTTGAACATAGAGAAGTGATATACTAATTGACCAAGAATAGCCCACTAAGGAGCCATTCTTGGTCTGCCAGAAAAAAAATTTTGACAAAAGATCCTAATCTGCCATTACCACTGAGTTTTGGTGTTTCCAAATTTTTTGGGCAAGCCAAATGCAATAAAAAATTGTTCTTTTGCGATGATGCATTTGGCTTGTCAAAAAAATTTGGCAACATCAAAACTCAGTGGTAATGGCAGAAAAGATCCTAATCTGCCATTACCACTGAGTTTTGGTGTTTCCAAATTTTTTTGACAAGCCAAATGCATCATCGCAAAAGAACAATTTTTTTTATTGCATTTGGCTTGCCCAAAAAATTTGGAAACACCAAAACTCAGTGGTAATGGCAGATTAGGATCTTTTTGTCAAAATTTTTTCTGGCAGACCAAGAATGGCTCCTTAGTGGGCTATTCTTGGTCAATTAGTATAGACTTCAAATACAACGCTATCGTTTTTGATTTCAGTTACAGTGCAGCCATCATGAAGCCATGCCTTACTAGTCTCATTATAGAATAAGCAAGTCCAGTCATACCCTTCAGTGATATTCTGAGATATCGGCATTTCCAAGATAACTGGATAATCAGTGGTAGAGAATGGCACATAAGTCTCGTTTGTGGTTTCAAGTTTTAAGTTCTCATAAGTTCCTGACTGTGCAAAACTCAACATAACAAGGTCAGAATAGTCATTTAATGCGTTGAAATAGTGCAGTTTAATATTCATGACGTCAGTGTCAGAATAGCTTAATTTTGCAGGCATAGAAATAGTGCGGTTGTTGGAGAACGGAACTGTGCGATTGGCCATCGAGGTTGGGAAGTCTCTATACTTATAAATTTTAGTCATATCAGTGTTTTGAGGGCTAAGTGCCTTTTCTAAGTGACATTTCATTTTGCAGCCATTTCTAGACAATTTTTTTTCTAATCGACATCAATCGAAAAACGGATTTTGTCGACGAAATGTTCGATGAGAAAAAAATCCAGGTGCCGAGGAAAATTTCTGGAAAATAAATTTCTTAGGTTTTGAGATCCGTCCATAGCTCCTTGAGTTACCAAATCATCCTTAGTGGCTGCTATTTCCCAATATGTCAGGAATGCATCAATATTCATAATATATCCTTCAAGAGACAGACTAGAAAACTCAGTTATGTTTCCATACACCAAATAATTATCAGCAAGAGCCACAATAGTATTCATGTTATCTTGGCTTGGTACAAGATCAGGGTTGTCCACAATAATTTTAGAAAGTCATATAGCAAATGTCTGGAACATTTCTACACTCATCTGCTCTGTTTGGCCTGTCATTGAGTAAGTTGCACCTAATGCATTTTCCAATACATCATTATTCACCTGATTACTTGAAATATAATTCTGCAAATCAGTCCACATAAGGGAGAATAGATCACTATCAATAGTCGCTGAGCCGCAAAATAGCGAAATGGTAGAAGGCACATTATCAACGTCAACCGTACTTTCTTTATAATAATCCATCAATGATTTTGTTTCTAAACGCCTGCTATTAAAGTTATCAATTGTGACATCTTTCTTATATTCATTGCAAGTCTTCATGTAATCACAAACACGAATGGTGATGGTATTCTTTTGAGGGAAGAGGTATGTGGACAGCGAGTTAATTTCTGTGGTGTAGCCAAGAGTGTATGCTTTATTGTTGGAGTAGTCTAAGTAAGTATATGATAATGGGTAGTCTTCTTCATCTTTATCATAGCAGCCCTCAATGCTTAATTTAAATGATGTAATGATCGCTGTGCCATGATCTGGATTTAGACTAACATCTTTGCTACAAACTGGACCAAGATTAAAGGTGACTGGATAATGAACTTTAAAGCTAATATCATTAGATATAATTGTGAGGGTAAATGTATATGTTGAGCCTGGAGTTAGCTGACCAGAAAGCACAGACATTGTAGACAAATAGCTAGGAGAAATGGTGATTGAACCTGAATTTTCAGTCCATTTCAAAGTAGCTGTAGAAGCAGCTGTGACTTGAGCAGTTATCACAATATTCTCGGATGGATTATATTTTTTGACCTTGTATTCAATTTCAATTGAGATGTCAGATGCCTTGCTCAGAATATTTAGAGATATTGTAGCAGTAGCAGTTCTTGTGTCTTTAGTTATAGTGCAAGTAATATCCCATTGGGCTCCTTTAACCATTTGTGATGAAGGAATAGTCAAAGTGGAGTCAGTATCGCTACTCAAAGGAGTCTTGCCATCAGCTCCTACACATGCACTGTTATCTAAGCTATTCAAACAAGTCCACTTATACGTAAAATCGTTGTAAGTCGAGCTAGGATTGTCAGGGTCTTTTGAATTTTGGGCGTTAACAGTATAGTCTTTGTCAGGAGAAACATCTCCACTTGTTTTAGATAGCCCAACGCTTAATGGTGAAGCAGTTACTGTGACTGAAATAGTGGCACTTCCTGTAATTGTCGACCCATCGCTGACTTGTGAAGCAGTTGCTATAAATACATATGGATTAGAGTTTGCTGTCAAAGCATTCGCATTAATGGTTAGCTTATCTGCATTTGCGTTAGCAAGAATTGAGGTAGAGTCTATAGTCGGTCCACTGTCATAACTCCATGCCCAAGTGATAGTTCCAGTAGTTGTTCCACATAGAGAAGTGACTTTTACTTTAAGTGTTTTAGACGTCGAAGATTTCATAGAGACTGTATTGCCTTGGTCAAATATCACTGTCAATGCATTTCCACCAGTGACTGTGGTTGTAAAGGAAGCAGTGTTTGAAATGATCAAGAAATTGGTCACTGTTAAGCTGGCGGTAACTGTGGTTGTGGCAGTTGAGTCAAAGTAGGAACGGTCTATAGAAATTGAAGAATCTGCTTTATTATTGATGGCGTCCGATACTTTGGAGTTAGCTGGAGATATTGAAGTAACGGCCCAGAGGTAAGATAAATTATTTCCTAGAGATCCTGTAGATTTGTCGCCAGAGAATGTAAGAGGATCTTTAATCAATTTTAAAGTTCAATCTCTCTAGCCATAAAACTTTTTGGGGGTTGTCCTAACGAAATAATCTGGCTGCTGACCCAAACAATTTTTGTTCACTATGCAAGCTTCTTCTCAGACATTTGAATCCTAAGATTTTTATTCTTCAGCTTTTTAGCTTTTGAACAAGTCAACTTGAGTCTGTCAGGCGCACCCTAGACATCCCAGCCCCTAAAGACTAGGCGGCAGTTCAGAACATCACTGGGTTTTATATCTCTACGATTGCTAGGACAAATTGTGGAGCCAAACCTCATAATTAGAATATGCTTATTTTATAATTATGAAAGTAAGAGGATCAGTCCCGCAGCCTAAAGTAAAGCTGGATTGGCCAGTTATAACTGCTGTAGGAACAGGACTAGATGTAGATGTGGGAATCAGCGAAAGAGGCTGATAGTTAGTAGTGCAAGGATCAGAAGAATCTTTCAGAATATAAGTTCCATCCAAATAAAGAGTGCTAGACTGTAGTGAAAAGCCAGTGCCTAACGCTACTTTGAGTGTCTTTTTATCAGTCCATGAACAAACTGCACCAGTTCCAAACAAGGCTACTGTTGCTGCGGTGAAAGTTTTCGAGCATGACGGGTCAACTGAGGTGTCCACCTTTGTATTGAAATTAATAGAAATTGACGTCCACGACGAGCTGAATTCAGCAGACAATAAGTCACTTGGTGTAAGATACCTCTTGCAAACTACACACTTACTATTTGACAACGTATACCCTGCATTGCAAGCGCACCCTCCAGTGGCACTACTATATGCAGAATTAGCAGTGCAAGCACAAGTTGTTCCTGAAAGCTCAGCATTTGTCACACAACTAGAGCAAAGATTGGCATTATCAATGTCACAAACAGTGCAAAGCTTATTACAAGTAGCGACACAATATCCAGAAGTATCAGTACTATTAAGGCCATAGCCTCTGTCACAAGTGCATTTCTTGCTTGAGTTATTTAGAGTTGCGTGCTTCTTACAGCCAGTACATGATGTGGCGCTAGAACAAGTTGAGCATGGGGAAGGACACATAACACATTGCTTGTCTAAGGCATAGTATCCGTTTGCACATGTGCATATACCATTGGAGACTGGGTTTGTCTTATCAACACAAGTTATGCAGGTTGAGTATGAGGAACAGGTGTTGCAGAGACCATTGCAAGTTGTGCATTTGGAATGGGTAGAGTTAAAGTATTGTTTGTCAGCACATGAGCAGACTCCAGTTTGAGAATTGAGAGTAGCTGTATCAAGACAAGATGTGCAGAAAGTATCAGAAGTACAGCTCTTGCAAGGTCCAGTGCAGGTCTTACAGGCGTTTGTAACCAAATTGAAATATTGGGTGCTTGGACAAGTACAAACTCCATTGGTCAAAGTCATAGCTGGATCTCTGCAAGCAGTGCAAGATGATGAAGAAGAGCTTGTGCATTTTCCACAGGTAGCATCGCAGTTCTTGCAGGACAGAGATTGAGTGTCGAAATATTGGCGAGCAGAGCAAGTACAAACACCAGAACTAATTTCCCTTTAAGTATCAATAAAATTTTATATTTCTTTTTATGCGGAAAATAATTAAAAATTTAAATAGAAGTAGTCTGTAATACCTTAAAATTTACTATTAAAAAAAGGACTAAATTTTGTCTTCTTATCAATTAAAAGGATTAAGAGTCATTGTAGGATCTTTGCAAGTAGAGCAGCTTGATGAGCTAGAGCAGGTAGCACATGTAGCATCGCAAGCCAAACACTTATGACTTGTTGAATCAAAGTAAAATCCATCCTTACACCTACAAACTCCAGTAGCTGTTGTCAAGGTCATTGTAGCATCAACACAGCTTAAACAGAATGTCAGGCTGCTGCAATTCGAGCAAGGATCAGCGCAGCTCTTACAAACTCCTCCACTGAAATAAGTTTTCGCTGGACATGTGCACACTCCTGTGACTGCATTATAAGTCATAGTAGAATCAATACAAGTTGAGCAGAAATCAGCAGTTCCTGTACAAGTTGACACAAATAAAATGGCAACGACACCGACCCCGTCCTCTCCCGAACCTGTAGTGTGATTGGGGACCTTGCTGCGGCTTGAAGCCAATCCACTCAGGGAAAGGTCTGGTATGGGTACTGGTATTTGTGTCCGGCTAGGTTTCCCTCCCGGTCCAGCAATGACAATTTTCGGATCGTCCCGACGGGACATGGGACAAAAAAGGGTTTTCCTCTAGGGACTGCTGGTGCCCAAATCGGACGGCACAGCAGATGCCGATAAGAGCTAGGGAGTTAATCCCTAGCTCTAACCCTAGTCGACGACGTGAAGCATGGTGACCCAGTCCGCCTACTTCCGGAATTTCATGACCAAGCCCCATGATAGGAAGGAGCCGAGTGGTAGCCTGTGGCACTTAGGTATACACTGGGAGCAGGGCAAGGAAAGCAAGCGAGCGACCAAAAGGAGGAAGAAAAGGATCTACGGTCCTGGCCGGGAGCTACTCAATAGCATATAATTAAGATTAAGATTAAGATTAAGATCCTGTACAAGTTGAGCAGTATTGTCCACAGAGCTCACAAGTCTTACTAGAAGACTTATACCATTTACCAGCCGCACAGTTACAAGTTCCAGCTCTGGCGTCAATTGAAAGGTCAGCTGTAATGCAAGTATAACAGAAAGCTGAGCTGGAGCAAGCCAAGCAAGGAGCAGAACATGCTTTACACGAGTTTTCATCATAATAAGTTCCAGAGGTACATGTAGTTACTTTACAGCTAGACGTAGGCACATCGAAATAATATCCGCTTTCACAAGTAGTACAGCTTGTGCCACTGCTACAAACATTGCATTTATCTATACAACTGAAGCATTTGCCTGAATTAGCGTCATAGTACATTCCGAGTTTGCATTCACAATTGTGAGCGCTAATAACATTGTAAACCATATTATCTGTGTCCACACATTGAGTACATTTGGTTGCTTCACATGCAGAACAGTAAGTTCCACAGCTTTGGCAAGTTATGCCATCATAGTAGTTAGCAGCTTTACATTTACAGTTCTGGTTATTATTTTGGTCTAGTTCTTGAACTGTATCATCGTTGCAAGTTGAACAAATTCCTGCATTCAAACAAGAAGCACACATTGTTCCACAAGGATTGCAGCCTGAAATGATATCATAGGTTTTAGCAGGACAAGAACAAACTAATGGGAGAGCTAATTGTTCAAGGGCATAATTACTATAACATGATGTACATTCTGCAGTCATGTCTTTGCAAGTCTTACAGTTTTTGCCACAAGATTGGCAAGTTGATCCGTCATAGTATTGCATTGAAAGACAAGAGCATGCGTCAGAACTGGATTGCTGGTTTCCTTTACATTGGCAAATCTTATCAGAAAGGTCCATTCTGGAAGGATCAAGGCAAGTCTTGCATTTTCCAGTATAGTCCTCACATGTGGTGCAGCGATCTCCACATTTAAGACATGTAGTTCCATTATAATAGGTACCTGCTGCACAGCTACAAGTAGAGGTTGCAATGACAAGCTGTTGAGTTCCTCTGCATATGCATTTTGTTTTATCTGCTGGGTCGGTATCCATTCTTGCAGTGTCTTTACAAGTTTGACAATATCCAGTGTAATCATCGCAGGTAGCACACAAGCTTTTACAGCTTACACATTTGTTTTGGCAGCTAGGACATGTTGTGTCATCAAAGTAAGAGCCAGAAGCACAGGAACAAGAGTTAGTATTTGTAATTTGATTTGACTTACATGCACAAGTAGTGGTGCCGCTGACTGGTGCCATTCTTCTAGAATCAACACAAGTTAAGCATGTCTTAGTTTCAGTGTTACAAGTGCTGCAGAAATAGCCGCAATCAGAGCATACAGAACCGTTGAATTGTTTATTTCCTGAGCAAGTGCATTGCTTATTAGAAAGAGTTTGATCGCCTATGCATTTACAGTTTTTCTTATTTGTTGTATCAACCATCATCTTAGTTGAATCAACACACTCCTGACACTCACCAGTGTAATCTTTGCAGGTTTTGCATAAGTCTGAGCATTGGACACAATTGTCACCATCAAAATAGTAGCCTGCATCGCAAGAGCATGTTGATCCAGTGACCTTTTGGTTTCCTTTGCAAATACATTTAGTTAATTCATTTGGATTCTTTTTCATTCTCAAAGAGTCACTGCAGGTTTCACATAATCCAGCTCCTTCATAGCATGTAGCACAGTTGGTCGAGCAACTAGAGCATTTGATTCCATCATAATAAGTGCCAGCTAAACATTTCCCGCAGGTGCTGGTGTTACCTTCTACAATCCATTTGTATCCGATGGCACAATGGCAAGTCTTAGGGTTTGTAAGATCAACTTCAAGGTTAGCAATATTTTGACAAGTCAAACATTTACTAGAATCGCATGTAGAGCAAAGGACAGAGCAACTCTGACAAGTTGAGCCATCGAAGTAGCCTGGAGCGCAGTAGCATGAAGCTGTATCACTGTTATACTGCTGAGTGCCTTTGCATTTGCAATTCGTTTGATCAGTAGTGAATTCCATAGTTACCATATTTTTGCATGCATTGCATTTTCCAGAGATATCAGTGCAAGTATCGCATAAATCACCACAGGCAGAGCATTTGGAGCCGTCAAAGTAAAAGTTTGAATTACACGTGCAGCCTGTTGTTAAGGTATTTAGACCAGGTCTGCATGAACAAGTTACCGTGCTAGCAACTGCTGTCATTGTGCTATCATTTATGCAGGCGCTACAGGAATTTGCTGCGACATTGCAAGTTTTACAAAAGTTTCCGCAGGTAGAGCAAATTTCACCATTAAATTGTTTGCCAGCATCACAAGTGCATGCATCATTGCTAAGATACTGATCACCTATGCATTTACAAGCTTTATTGTTGATTGGGTTGAATATCATTGTTTGAGGATTTTTACACAATGTGCACTGCCCAGAGTAATCTAAACAAGAGCTGCATAAGCTGGAGCATTGCACACAATTTTCGCCATTGAAGTAGAACCCTGAGTCACAGGTGCATGTTGATCCACTGACAATTTGGTTTCCTTTGCAAATGCATTTAGTTAAGTTAGTTGATTAGTTAATTAAGATTATCGAGAAGCTCCCTGTTGGCGTCGTACGACGCTTTATCTCCACCTTGTTTCGTCTTGGCCGCCTGCCGCCACCCTTTAGGGGTAGACTCCTCGCCGCCTGAGGCTCGCGTCTAACGGCGAGTCATTGGGCTGGGCCACCGTGCCGTACGTCAACTTGGGTTGCCCTTCCAGAAAATTCAAAAAATGAATTTTCTGGTCAAGCTACCGACCAAGATGGAATCCGTCGCCCAGGACGCAACGCCTGGTATCGCGCTAGGAACTTGCCCAATTGGTCTTATCGACTTTTCTGGGCTTTCCCTTTCCAACGCCGGATCCATCTTCCCAAGAGGCAAAACCTTGGTACCGGGTGTGAACTTGCGGTCGGCCTAATCCGACAATGCGCTCCACCCAAACCAAGTAAAACCTGGCCGGATACACATTACCGAACGCCTATCTCCCTTCCACAAGGTCCCTGGGTAACCCCAGCTACAGATGTTAGGAGGTCGGGTTGGTTCGCCACGCCATTTTTGTGTACATGCATTTAGTTAAGTCAAGTAGGTTTGGTGTCATTCTTGAATCAGTGCATTTTCCGCATATTCCAAGCCCGTCAAAGCAGCTTGCGCAGTTGGTAGAGCAGGAAGCACATTGGCTTCCATCATAATAAGTTCCGGTAGCGCATTGCTCACAGGTACTAGTTGCTACTATCCATTTATAGCTAGCCCCACAATGGCAAGTCTTAGGGTTTGTAAGATCAACTTCAAGGTTAGCAATATTTTGACAAGTTAAGCACTTACTAGAATCGCATGTAGAGCAAAGGACAGAGCAACTCTGACAAGTTGAGCCATCGAAGTAGCCTGAAGCGCAGTAGCATGAAGCTGTATCACTGTTGTACTGCTGAGTGCCTTTGCATTTGCAAGTCTTTGGATCAGTGCCGAATTCCATAGTTACCGAGTTTTTGCATGTTAAACATTTGCCAGTTGTTTCAGCACATGTAGCACATAAGCTACCACAGGCTGAGCACGTTGTAGTGTCGAAATATGATCCTGAAGCACAAATACAGCCTGTCGCTGTGACTTGCTGACCAGATTTGCATGAGCAAGTTACTGTGCCAGAAACTGCTGTCATTTTAACTGTATCAATGCAAATGTCGCAGACTTTCGCGTTTACATTGCAAGTGGAACAGAACGTTCCGCAATCAGAGCACTCAGAGCCATTGAATTGCTTAGTTCCAGTGCAAGTACATACATTGTTGCTAACTACCCCCTCCTTGAGTGAACAAAAAATCTTTGTTCGCTCACAGAGGGGGTTAATTTTTTTTTAGAAAATTTTTTTTCGAAATTTAAAAAATCACACTTTGCAAAATTGAAAGCAAATATTAATTTAATTTGTAAAATTTATGTTTTAAAACGCAATTTGTTTAAAATCAAATATAATTATAACTTATATATCAAAATGTTTCATAAACAATTTTGCTATTAAAAAATTCGCTTACGGAGGATGGGTTTTTGAGCAAAAAATAGAAAATTTTCTAATCGTTTTATTCGCTCACAGATTGGGGAGTAAGTACTTGGTCTCCAATGCACTTGCAATTCTTCTTGTTTGCTGTATCAAAGGTCATCTTCGCAGAATCCTTGCATGCTGTACAAACTCCAGTGTAATCAAGGCAAGTAGCACACAAGTCAGAGCATTTCACGCAATTGGAACCATCAAAGTAATAGCCTGAGTCGCAAGAACATGTGGATCCGCTGATCTTTTGGTTTCCTCTACATGTACAACTAGTCAAATCATTTAAGCTAATATCCATTCTTGTATCTACGCAGACGCTGCAGATTCCAGAACCATTGTAGCATTTTGCACAGTTAGTAGAGCAAGGAGCGCATTTATCTCCATCATAATAAGTTCCAGTTTGGCATTGCTCACAAGTGCTAGTCGCAGTTATCCAGTTATATCCAGCGGCACAATGACAAGTTGTTGGGTTGTTAGGATCTACTTCAAGATTGGTAAATACTAACTCCCCCCCTTTAAATTGGAACAAAATATCGGTAAAATTTCCACTTTTTTGGTAAATTAGCCCCCCTTTAAATTGGAACAAAATTTATATATAATTTTTATCTAAAAAGTTTTGATATAAGTTAAATGTTTCTTCTAAACTAAAATTAAAAATTTATTTATATCTTGCTCTTTTTTAAAAGAAAAAAGTATAAAGAGCATCTTATTTAAATAAATTTATTATCCTTAATTGGCAAATTTTAAAAAAAAAATTAATTTTTTTTTTTTAAAAATTTTGAAAAAAAAATTTTTTGTTTTTTTTTGATAAAAATGATATTTTTTATTTGGATAGTTTTGATATAAATTCAATAGGAATTCTTTATAAAAATTTCAAAATTTACTTATTTCTTGCTTTGTTTTAAAGAATAGAGTATAAATAACATCTTATTTAAACAAAATTAGCACTTTGATCGATAAATTTTCCAAAATTTTTTGTTTTTAATTTTTTTTGTCAATAAAAAAAAAATTTTTGTGTAATTAATTTTGATACTAAGACATGCTAAACACTTAGTTACATCACAAGAAGAACAAAGAGTTGTGCAGCTCTGACAAGTTGAGCCATCGAAGTAGCCTAAAGTGCAGGAACAAGATTTCGTTAGGCTGCTATATTGTTGGGTTCCTTTGCATTTGCAAGTCTTTAAATATGTGCCGCTCGGTTCCATAGTTGCAGTGTTTATACATGTATTGCATTTCCCAGTTGAGTCATCGCATGCAGCACATAAATCGCCACAAGCTTCACAATTTGAACTGTCGAAATAGTTGCTTGAAGGACAAGTGCAAGAGCCAATATTTGCGATTTGGTTTCCTTTGCATTGGCAGGTAAGAGTGCTACTTACTTGTTCCATTCTGACTGAGTCAATACAGGTGTTGCATGCATTACCAGATACATCGCAAGTGCTACAGAAATATCCGCAGTCCACGCATTCCTTGCCATTAAACAGACATTTTTTTTTGGCCAGGTGACGCCAAAACAAAAAGGCGTCACCTGGAGGCCATGGAGCAAGGAAGTGTCAGGGGGTGAGTTTTGCTAATAAAATTGGGCCTTTTCCCTAGGCCCTTGAGGTGTGCACCAGCAATTTTGGACGGACTTCACGGCGAGAAGGAAGTGAGGATGCCTCGTGCGGAGCTTGGGGCGTGAAAAAAGGCGCGGAAAATCATCTCCAGAGCCAATACCCCTCTGGAGTAGGAACCCGTGGCCGCTAGGTCCGGAAGCTAAAGGAACAAGGGTCTCCCCTGTCGATGGTGACGTCACCCATTTTTGAGGACGTCACCAGAAAAGATGGAAATATAGTGATGAGAATTTAATTTAGCTGGAAATGAGTTGGTTTGTGCTGAGTGGAAGATGCTTGTTGTGATGCTGATGTGCTGATGGTGCTGATGGTGCTAATGGCGCTGCTGGTGCTGATGGTGCTGATGGTGCTGATGGTGCTGATTTGGTGGTAACGTAGGGTAGGGATAAACTAAACTCTTTATTATTATTGCCATTAAACTGTTTAGTTCCAGAACAAGTGCATGCGTTGTTACCATCAAGAATTTGGTCCCCAATACAAATACAGTTTTTCTTATTGGCTGGATCAATAGTCATTTTTGAACCTTTGCAAGAAAGACATTCTCCAGTGTAATCAGAGCAAGATGTGCATAAGCTTGAGCATTGGACACAATTTGAGCCATCAAAGTAGTAGCCTGAATCGCAGTAGCATGTAGATCCACTAATCTTTTGGTTTCCTTTGCAGATGCAGCTCATCAAGTCATTGACATTTATTGTCATTCTGACGTTTTTGCATAAAGCACAGAATCCAGTGCCGTAATAACAACTTGCACAATTCGTTGTGCAGCTAGCACATTTGTTTCCATCATAGTAAGTTCCAGTTTCGCATACCTCACAGCTGCTGGTTGCGGTAATCCAATTATAGCCTGCTGCACAGACACAATTAGTTGGGTTTTGAGGGTCTACTATAAGGTTTGCAATACCTTGGCAAGTTAAACACTTGGTCGAGTCACAGGCTGAGCAAAGAGTTGTACAATTCTGACAAGTAGAGCCATCGAAGTATCCAGTAGGGCAGTAGCAAGAGGATAAAACGCTGCTATATACTTGAGTTCCTTTGCATTTACAAGATTTTGAATCACTGTCGCTTACTTCCATAGTTGCAGAGTTACATGTATTGCATTTTCCAGTTAAGTCGTCACAAGCCGTGCAAAAAGTGCCACAAGCCAAACATGTTGTGCTGTCAAAGTAAGAGCCTGCAGGACAACTGCAGCCAGAGGCTGAGACTAGCTGATTTCCTTTACAAGCACAAGTAACAGTGCTGCTTACTGGCTCCATTCTGTTTCCCAAGCAGACACTACATACATTTTGATTTACATTGCAAGTCGTACAGAAGGTTCCACAATCAGAACATATAGCACCATTGAATTGTTTAGTTCCAGTACAAGTGCATGCGTTGTTACCATCAAGAATTTGGTCTCCAATACAAATACAGTTTTTCTTATTGGCTGGATCAATAGTCATTGTAGAATCTTTGCATGAAAGACATTCTCCAGTATAATCAGAGCAAGATGTGCATAAGCTTGAGCATTGGACACAATTTGAGCCATCAAAGTAGTAGCCTGAATCGCAGTAGCATGTAGATCCACTAATCTTTTGGTTTCCTTTGCAGATGCATTTTGTTGGGTCGCTGGTGCTTATTATCATTTTTGAGTCTTTGCAGACAGCGCAAAATCCACTGCCGTTATAACAACTTGCACAATTATCTGAACAGTCAGCACATTTGCTTCCATCGTAGTAAGTTCCAACAGAGCATTGATTACAGGAGCTGCTTGCAGTAATCCAATTATAGCCTAATGCACAGACACAGTTTTTAGGGTTTTGGGTGTCGACTACAAGGTTTGCAATAGACTGGCAAGTTAAACATTTGGCCGAGTCACAGGTCGAGCAAAGAGCTGTGCAGCTCTGACAAGTTGAGCCATCGAAGTATCCAGTTGGACAATAGCAAGAAGATAGCGTGTAGCTATATTTTTGAGTTCCTTTACATCTGCAAGCTTTTTGATTAGCAGGGTCCATAATTCTTTCACACGACGCCTACATAAAACTTTTTTTATGCCTATTTTGTTTAGCCTAATTTTTTTTTAGCCTCTTGCTTAATGCTAAAAAAATTTATAATGTAACTTCTGGCAAAAACATTAGAATAAATGGATTGAAAATAACCACAATAGTCAAAATGGAATCATTTTTTAAAGCAAATGGCTATAAAATGCCAAAAATAATTAACCAAAATATGGGCCAATCAAAATATATGAAAAAAGGTGAAAATATAGTCTAAAGCAATATGCCAAAAAGATCCAAAAAATAATAGTTCGTTCAAAACAATATAGGCTAAAAAACCTTAATAAATAAAAAAATAAACCAAAAATATTTATTAAAAAAATAGTCGTTGTGGACTAGGTGTCGTATGAATTTGCAGGGTCCACCTCCATTTTACTATCTTTACATGCAGTGCAGACACCAGATGTATCTGTGCATGTTGTGCAGAAATCGCCGCAAGTCGAACAAGTTGTGCTGTCAAAGTAAGAGCCTGAAGGGCAAGTACAACCAGTGTTTGTTGGTATTTGATTCCCTTTGCAGGCACAAGTAACAGAATTGCTTACAGGTGACATCTTATTTCCATCTATGCAAGTGCTGCAGACTTGACCATTGACATTACAAGTACTACAAAATACACCGCAAGTAGAGCATACATATCCGTTGAATTGCTGGCTGCTAGGGCAAGTGCAAGTATCTCCACTAAGAATCTGATCTCCAATACATTTGCATTTTTTATTATCGTTTGAGTCGAATGTCATTAATTTCGAGTCTTTACATGTTTCGCATGCTCCAGTATAATCTTCACAAGTACTGCATAAATCTGAGCATTGAACACATGTATCTCCATCAAAGTAGTACCCTGCATCACAAGAGCATGTAGATCCGGTTAACTTTTGAGTTCCTTTGCAAATGCATTTAGTGGGGTCACTTCCTTTTTCCATTCTTGAGCTCTTACAGGTTTTGCAAACTCCAGTCCCATCATAACAAGTTGCGCAATTAGTCCCGCAGCTAGCACATTTGTTGCCATCATAATAAGTATCTGCAGAGCATTGCTCACATTCACTTTTAGAGGTAATCCAGTTATAGCCGCTGGCACAAACACAGTTTTTAGGGTTTTGAGTGTCAACTACAAGATGGGCAATAGATTGGCAAGTTAAACACTTGGTGGAGTCACAGGTCGAGCAAAGAGTTGTGCAGCTCTTACAGTTGCTATTATCAAAATAGCCAATAGGGCAAGCACAAGCCGATAAAGCGTTGTTGTATTGCTGGGTTCCTTTACACCTACAAGTTGTGGTGTCGCTAGGGTTTACTTCCATTGTAGAATCATTCTTGCAGGTGCTGCAAATTCCTGTTGTATCTGCACATAAAGCACATAAGCTGCCGCATTGAGTGCATTTTGTGTCTTTAAAGTAATATCCAGTAGGACAAGAACAGCCGCTTACTGTTGCAATTTGGTCGCCTTTGCATGAACAAGTAGTAGTTCCGGTAACTGCAAGCATCTTTGTAGAATCAATACAAATGTTACATATTATTCCTGCAACATTGCAGGAATCGCAAAATGTTCCGCACTCAGAACATTTGACACCATTAAATTGTTGGCCGAGAGGGCAAGTGCATGCTCCATTGTCAAGAGTCTGATCTCCGATACATATACAGTTCTTCTTATTGGCTGGGTCAAATGTCATTTTCGAATCTTTGCAAGATTTGCATTCACCAGTGTAATCGAAGCAAGAGGCGCACAGGCTTGAGCATTGAATACAATTAGATCCATCAAAATAGTACCCTGTATCACAAGAACATGCTGATCCAGTTAGTTTTTGGGTTCCTTTGCAAATGCATGTGGTTCCACTAGCTCCCCCTCCGTGAGCGAACAAAAAATTTTGATAACTCACGAAAGGAAGTTAATGTCTTCTAAAAAAATTATTTATGTTAAATTTTAAAAAATCTAATATGAAAAGAGAAGCAAAAATTAATTTACTTTGAGAAATTTATATTTTAAAACTCAAGATGTTTAAAATTATTAGAATTTGATAGAGATTTCGTTATAATAATTATCATTTATATATAATGTTTTTCATAAAAATTTTTTGTTCGCTCAAAGAGGTGGGAGTAAGATCCATCCTAGCAGTGTCTTTGCAAGTATTACAAGTACCAGTCAGCCCAGAGCAGGTAGCACACATAGCAGCGCAGTTAGCACATTTGTTGCCATCGTAGTAAGTTCCAACAGAGCATTGATCACACTTGCCCAATTCTGTAATCCAATTGTAGCCGCTCGCACAGACACAGTTAGTTGGGTTTTGAGGGTCTACTATAAGGTTGGCAATACCTTGACAAGTTAAACACTTAGTCGAGTCGCAGGTCGAGCAAAGAGTTGTGCAACTCTGACAAGTCGAGCCATCGAAGTATCCAGTAGGACAGTAGCAGGAGGATAGCGTGTAGCTATATTGTTGAGTTCCTTTGCATCTACAAACTTTCTGATTAGTAGGGTTAACTTCCATTTTATCACTTTTACAGGCAGTGCATGCACCTGATATATCTGTGCATGTAGTACATAAATCGCCGCAAGTCGAGCAAGTTGAGCTGTCAAAGTAATAGTCTGAAGGGCAAGTGCAGCCGGTATTTGTTTTAAGTTGATTCCCTTTGCAGGCACAAGTTACTGTACCACTCACAGGTGACATCTTATTTCCATCTACACAAGTGCTGCAGATTTTAGCATTAACATCACAAGTACTGCAGAATTCGCCGCAAGCAGAGCAACCAATTCCATTGAATTGTTGGTTGCTAGGGCAGGTGCAAGTCTCTCCGCTAAGAATCTGATCTCCGATACATTTACAGTTTTTGTTGTCGTTTATGTCGAATGTCATTTTCGAATCCTTACATGTTGTGCATACTCCGGTATAATCTGTGCAAGCACTGCATAAGTTTGAACATTTAACACATGTCGAGCCATCAAAGTAATACCCAGCATCACAAAAGCATGTTGATCCGGTTAACTTTTGATTTCCTTTACAAATGCATGTGGTTCCACTAAGATCCATCCTAGCGGTGTCTTTACAAGTATCGCAAGTTCCAGTCAGCCCAGAGCAAGTAGCACACATAGCCGAGCAGCTAGCACATTTGTTGCCATCGTAGTAAGTTCCAACAGAGCATTGCTCACAACTGCCGCTTGCTGTAATCCAATTGTAGCCGCTAGCGCAGACGCAATTTTTAGGGTTAATTTTTTTTACAATTTAGATATAAAAATTTTAGAGTATTTTTAGCATCCAATTCATAAAAGGAAAAATTCATTAAATTTGCAAATTTATATTTTAAAAAATGCTAGCTGTTTAAATTAAGTAAAATTAATTATTATAATATTTAAAAAAGTTATATTCAAACAAATTTTCCTACTAATTTTTTTCCCAAAATAGGGATTTTTAGTGTTTTTTTGCTTACTCACAGATAAAGGTTAGGGTTTGGGTGTCTACAACAAGATGGGGAATATTTTGACAAGTTAAACACTTAGTTGAATCACAAGTTAAACAAAGAGTTGTGCAGCTTTGACAAGTCGAGCCGTCGTAATATCCAATTGGGCATGTACAAGTACTTAGCACGGTGCTATACTGTTGAGTTCCTTTGCATCTACATATTTTCTTATTAGTAGGATCGAATTCCATAGAGCTGTCTTTACAAGCAGTACAATCGCCTGAAACATCTGTACAATCCGTGCATAAATCTCCACAAGTAGAGCATGATGAGCTGTCATAGTAAGAGCCTGCAGCACAACTGCAGCCAGCTGTTGAGGTTATTAAGCCAGCTTTGCATTTACAAGTAACACTGCTGCTTACTGGGTCCATTCTTGTGCTGTCTATGCACGCAGTGCAGACATTGTTTCCTAAATCGCAAGTTTTACAGAAGTTTCCACAAATAGAGCATTCAGATCCATTCCATTGTTTGCCTCCAGTGCAGACACACTGACCTGATACAGCTGTTAGGTCAAAATGCTTGCATTTGCAGTTTTTAATGTTTTGTGGGTCGATAGTCATTAAAGATAAATCTTTGCATTGTGTGCAATCTCCAGTCAAATCTGTGCAGATATCGCATAAGTCAGAGCATGGAGAGCAAGTAAGGTTATCAAAATAAGACCCTGAGCTGCAAGAGCAAGTCAGCCCGCTAAGAATTTGAGTTCCTTTACATCTGCAAGCTTTGTCATCCGTAGGATGAAATTCCATTCTATCTCCGCCAACACAAGTATTGCATTTCCCAGTGAAATTATCGCAGGCTTTACAGTTAGTGGAACAGCTAGAGCATTTGCTTCCGTCATAGTAAGTTCCATCAGTGCATTGCTCACAGTCATTATTTGCTACAATCCAATAATAGCTGCTTTCACAAATACAGTTGTTGCTGTTTGATGGATCAACTATAAGATGGCTGATGCTATCACACACAGAGCATCTAGTTGAGTCGCAAACAGAACAATGAGTTCCGCAAGGCTGGCAGGTGTTACTGTCGAAGTAGTATCCTGAAGGGCATTTACAAGTACCTGCTTGATCATCGAGCTGAAGACCTGGTTTACATTTGCAGCTTAAACTATCATCACTTTTTGTCATAGTGGCATCTTTGCAAGAGCTACAAATTCCAGTGGTATCTGCACAGGCTGCACAAAGTGACCCACATGGAGCGCAGTCGTTGTTTGTAAAGTATTTTCCAACAGCACATGCACAGTCAGTCACAGTTGTAATTTGGCTGGATCCTTTACACTCACAGATTTTATTATCTGATGCACTAAATTGCATTCTTGAGCTATCAATGCATTCTGTACAAACCAAAGAATCAGATGCACAGACTTTACAAAAAGTGCCACAACTGGAGCATTTTAATCCGTTAAACTCTTGATTGTCAGGGCATGTACATTGTCCTGACGCATACTGTTGGTCACCCGCGCATTTACAATTTTTCTCATCAGTATCATCAAATATCATTTTGCTTTCCTCCTTGCATTTAGTACACTTCCCAGTATGTATGTCACATTCTGCACATTTGTTTGAGCAGGACACACAGCCTCCATCGCTATAATAAGTTCCTGTTCCACAGCACGTTGCTGGGTCAATCAGATCTCCTTCCAGATCTATATTCTTTTTGCAAGATGTGCAGTCGCCAGTGAAATCTAAACAAGCTAAACAGTTGGTTTCACATGGTTTGCAATTAGAAATAGAAGTATCAAAGTAGCTTCCAGTAGCACAAGAACAGTCAAGTCCAGTAGTTTGATCTGATTTGCATTTGCAAGTCTTTGGCTGATTTGAGTCTAAATCCATTTTTCTCCCCTCTTTGCAAGTAATGCAAGCTCCATCGTCAGAGCAGGTGGCACATCTAGCCTCACATGGTATGCAAACTTTATTGTTTGTGTCATAATAAGTTCCATCATCACAGACACAGTCCGATCCTACTAGATGTTGGCCAGCTTTGCAGACGCATTTCTTTGAGTCATTTGAGTCAAAAATCATTCTTGGAGATTTGCAAGAGCTACATTGTCCTGAGAGATCGGCACAGATTTGACAGTTGTCACCACATGCCTCACAAGTGCTGCCTGTATAATAAGAGCCTGAGGTGCAAGAGCATTGATTGGAGACAAGCTGTTGTGATCCGAGACATTGACATTTCTTTAAGTCAGACTGAGAGACTGCCATTCTTGGAGAAGGATCAACGCAAGTCTTGCAATTTCCAGTGTTAGCGTCACAGTCAGGACAAGTGATATCACATGAAACACAGTCGCCATTGCTGAAATATTTGCCTGCAGCACAGCTGCAGCCGGATTCAGTTGGTATTTGATTGAATCCTTTGCATTCGCATACTTTATTATCGGTAGTGCTTAAAATCATTCTGTCGCTGTCAATGCACGACAAGCATTTACCGGTTTCATCACAAGTTTTGCAGAAAGTGTCGCAAGTTGAGCATTTTTGCCCGTTAAAAGATCCTTGTGCGCATGTGCATTCTCCTCCAACTAATACTTGGTCTCCGATGCAGTGGCAAGTTTTGGTATTTGTTGGGTCCACCTCCATCTTCGTTTCCTTGCAAGTATCACATACTCCAGTGTGGGCATCGCAGGTAGCACAATTTTCCTCACAAGAAATGCAAACTAGATTTACTGAGTCATAATAATTAAATGGCTGCACACAGAATGAGCTCTCTCAGAAAACTCTTATACGAATTTTATTATAGTTCTATTTCCTGTAAAACCTTTATGCACAATATCAAATACGGCTTACTGTACAGGATAATACAGCTGGCCATATAAAATGAGGATAAGATTTTACTGCTTTGCACACCTGGTAGGGCATCTTTACGGGAGTACCCACATGGTCAAACCTGGCTGGCTCTATCTGGCTCTACTGGCTCTATCAGGCAGTAAGGCTCTACTGGCTCTATATGGCTGTCTGGCAGTTCGGCTCTACTGGCTCTACCGGCTCTACCTGGCAGTCTGTCTCTATGGCTCTACCTGGCAGTCTGGAAGTCTGGGTCTACCTGGCAGCCTGGCAGTCTGGCAGTCAGGCTCTACTAGCTCTACCGGCTCTACCTGGCAGTATGGCTCTACCTGGCAGCCTGGCAGTCTGGCAGTTCGGATCTATCTGGGTCTACTGGCTCTACCTGGCAGTCTGGCAGTCAGGCAGTCTGGGACTATCTGGGTCTACTGGCTCTACCTGGCAGTAAGGCTCTACCAAAAACAAAATATTATTTACTACACCATCATTTTAAATCAAAATTTTAAAGATATTTATTAGCAATAGACTGAAAACAGTGAAATCATAATTAAAATATGGCGTCTTCGTCTAGATATGGCCTCACAGCCATACATCCTCGACACATATTTTAATTATATCCGGCAAGGTTTTTCTAGCCTTGAAAAGGACAGTAATGCTATGGTAATCAATTCTGCAGGAGGCAGAGACTAGCCCAAGTCCAACTTCGAGACTGGTTTTTACCTCGAAGGTAAGGCGGGCTCAGATTTGGAAAGAGCAACCCAGCAAGGTCTACAGGTAATACCTAGACCAATCTGGCAACTGCCTAGCGTGAAACTGGGCGTTACGTCCCAAGATCTGGACTTCACCCTTTTGCCGAAAGGCTACCAGAAATTCCATTTTTTGGGATTTCGGAATGCCAATTTCGTATTCTCTCAGCCTCAGGAGGCCGCAAAAACCCATGGACGGCAATGCTAGGTAACCAATTCTGCAGGAGGCAAAGACTAGCCCAAGTCCAACTTCGAGACTGGTTCTTATCTTGAAGTAAAGGAGGGTTCAGATTTGGAAAGGGCAAGTCCAGCAAGATTTACAGATAATTTCTAGACCAATCGGGCAACTGCCTAGCGTGAAACTGGGCGTTACGTCCCAGGACCTGGATTTAACCCTTTTGCCGACAGTCTACCAGAAATTCCATTTTTTGGGATTTCAGAATGCCAACCTCATATTCCACAGCCTCAGGAGGCTGCACAAACCCGTAGCCTGCCCACTCAACACTGGAGCCTTTTACAAGAGGCAAGGAGGAGACTGGACGGAAGGAAGGTCGCAAAGCGGGTGAATCCCCCAAGGGATCTTTGATGATTGCGTTAAAATTAAGGGCATGAGCCCGTCTATCGAATAAGATAATAAGATTCAGTCATAAGAGTTAAAATTTTATATTAGAATTGTTTTATGATTTATCTATAGTTATAAAAAAAATTATAGCAGAACTAATTTTTTAATTTTAACATAATAGTATTTGCAATTAGTGAAGAGTCCTAGCTGGCTGCACCTTATTTTTATCTGAGCAAATGGCCTATAAAAGATATCTAAATTATAAAGCATGATTGGAATTTAATGAGTAGAGCCTTACTGCCAAGTAGAGCCAGTAGACCCAGGTAGAGCCAGACTGCCAGACTGCCAGACTGCCCAGGTAGAGCCAGACTGCCATATAGATCCAGTAGAGCCAGTAGAGCCGGTAGAGTCAGACTGCCATATAGGCCCAGTTAGAGCCAGTAGAGCCGGTAGAGTTAGACTGCCATATAGACCCAGTAGAGCCAGTAGTGCCATACTGCCAGACTTCCAGTAGACCCAGTAGAGCCTGGTAGAGCCGATAGAGCCAATAGAGCCGGACTGCCAGGCTGCCAGACTGCCAGGTAGAGCCTTACTGCCAGATAGAGCCATAGAGCCTGATAGAGCCAGCCAGGTTTGACACCCACACAAGGTCGAGTTTGAAAAGAGGTCAGCACAGTGAAGGATGCCTGGCTATTTTGTGAATTCCTCATTCAAGATTGTGAATCCCGTCGATTAGAAATAAAAGTGAGGCTTTGATATCCCTCCATGCTGAATCACTTTAATCGTCTCATTGCATTGAGTCATAATAAGTCCCTGATACGCAGCATAAAGCTGGATCAGTTAAAATATCTGTCATCGCTATATTTTTCACACAAGACGTGCAATCTCCAGCATCATCACAAATTAAGCAGTTTGCGCCGCAAGAAATACAGTCGCCATTGTTGAAATAGGTGTCTTGGGTTTTACAGGTACAGCCGGCTCCATTTTCTTGTTGATTATTTCCTTTACACATGCATTCAGCTGGCTTAGCGGGATTCAGCATCATTCTTGAAAGATCAGTGCAAGCACTACAAACTGTACCGTCTGCATTACAAGTAGAACAAAAGTGGCCACAGGTTATACATGCAGTTCCAGACCATTTTTCTCCAGTGCCTGGACACTTGCAAGCAGTCCCATCCCAAGTCATAGTTGATTTACATCTACATGTTTTATCATCATCTGGGTTTTTCTCCATTGTAAAATCGTCTTTACAGGTATCGCACACTCCAGTGTGCACATTACAAGTAGCGCAATTATCTTTGCAAGAAATGCAAGCAGAAGTAGTTTTATCATAAAATGTCCCTGTACTGCAGCATGAAGCAGGGTCTATCAAGGAGCCTTGGAATGATACCTTTTTAGTGCAGCTTGTGCATCCGCCAGCATCATTACAAATTAAACAGTTTACGTCACAAGGAGTACAGTCACCATTATTGAAATAAGTGTCTGGGGTTTTACAGATACAGCCGGATCCATTTGCTTTTTCTTGTTGATTATCTCCTTTACACTTGCATTCAGCAGGCTTATCGGGATTCAACATCATTCTTGATTGATCAACACAAGTTTCGCAAGTGACGCTATCCAAAGTGCAGGTGTCGCAGAAATGGCCACAGACTGAGCATACTTGCCCATTGAAAAACTCCCCAGTTGGGCATGAGCAGACTTTCCCCGTCTGAATTTGGTCACCTATACACTTGCATTTCATATCATTGCTATCTGAGTCTCTTTTCATCTTATCCAGACAAGTAAGGCATTTTCCAGTATCTTTATCGCAAGTAGCACAAGTTTCGTCACAGGCCACACAAGAGCCAGCGCTGTAATAAGTTCCATCTTCACAGCACGATGATGGATTCACTAACTCCCCCCACTTTAAGTGAACATACCCATTGGAAAATCCCTATTTTGGTTAAAAATCACATCCGTTAGCGAATAGAAATTGCTTTTATATAAAATCTTTTTATAATATTATTGTGTTATATAAATTATTATTATTATAATAAATATCTATTATAAATTTTAAAATTGGCTTTAATTTGCAAATTAGGATTTTTTATTTCGATAGAAAAAATTATTCTAAAATTTAAAATATTAATTCTTAAAGATAAATTTAGCCTCCTTCGTTTTAGCTAACAAGATTTTTTGTTCGCTCAAGGGGAGAAGGGTGGATTAAGGTGCCAGTGAACCTGATTTTGTCTGAACATGTTATACATTCACCGGTCACATCTCCACAGGCATCACATTTGCTAGGGCAAGGATCACAATTATCGCCATTTCGGTAAGTAGTTAAAGAGCAGCATGTGGTCTTTTTGATATTGAGGGTGTCTGTAAATTTAAGCTTTTTAGCACAGTCAAGACAAACTTTTCCTTCCCCGCTATCTTCACAGATATTGCAGTTGCTGTCAAAGCAGTTAGTGCATGTAGGATTAGTGCCGCTAACAAATTTCCCATCTTCACAGCAAGTCGTTTTCTTTATTTTCAAAGTGCCAGAAATAGTTAAGATGCCAGAACATTTAAGACAAGTTGTGCCAGATCCACTATCTTCACAAATGCTGCACTTATCGTCATCACATGGCTTGCAGGTTGTTTGAGTGCTACTAACATATTGTCCATCTGGGCAGCAAGTCGTTTTCTTTATTTTGAGGATGCTGCTAAAGCTTAACTCCCTTTCCTCCGTGAGCGAACAAAAAAAATTTTGTTCGCTCATGGAGGGGTTAATTTTTTTTTAAAAAGTTTATGTATAGATTTTATAGTAATTTTTTTTAAAATCAAAAAAATACAATTGTAAAAAGTGAGAAGCAAAGTTAATTTAATTTGCGAATTTATATTTAAAATGCAAGCTATTTAAAATTAATCAAAATTTGCTAGAGATCTCGTTATAATAATTATCATAAAAAATTTTTATATTAAAAAACATTTTTGTTCACTCACAGAAGTGGATATTTTGGGTAAAAAATAGGGATTTTTCTAATGGCTTTGTTCGCTCACGGAGGGAGTAAGAGATTATAGCATTGAAGACATTTTTGCCCGTCTCCACTATCTTCGCAGTACTTGCAATTCAGGCTATCACAAGTTGTGCATGCAGTGTGAGTACTGCTAACGAATTTTCCTTCCTGACAGCATGATGTTTTCTTTATCTCCAAAGTATCTGTAAAGCTTAATTTCTTTTTGCATTGTTTACAAACTGTACCGTCTCCGCTGTCTTCACAGTGTTTGCAATTTGAATCAGCACAGTCTTTGCATTGTAAATGAGAAGAGCTAACAAATTTTCCTTCTTCGCAACAAGTGGTTTTCTTAACATTCAAAGTATCTGAAATAGATAAAGTTTTATGGCATTGGAGACAACTTGAGCCACTTTCTTTGTCCTCACAGAGCTTGCACTTATCATCAGGGCATTTTGAGCATTCAGTGGTAGTGCTGCTAATGAAATACCCATCAAGACAGCAAGTTGTTTTCTTTAATCTCAGTTTGGCAGTCATCGTTAAGAGATTAGAGCATTGGATGCAAGTCTCCCCTTTTCCGCTGTCTTCACAATATTTGCAATTCACACTATCATCGCAGAGTGCACATGTAGTCTGATCACTACTAACATAATATCCTTCGTCACAGCAAGACGTTTTTTTAATTCCAAGTACATTCTTGAAGGATAATTTCTTTTTGCATTGGAGACAATTTTTTCCACTTCCACTGTCTTCACAGTATTTGCAATTTAAGTTAAAGCAGTCTCCACAAGTTGGTTGATCACTGCTTACAAATTTTCCTTCTTGACAGCATGAAGTTTTCTTTACTTGAAGTGTATCTGTGAAGGATAAGGTCTTTAAGCATTGAAGACAACTTGAGCCACTTTCTTTGTCCTCACAGAGCTTGCACTTATCATCAGGGCATTTTGAGCATTCAGTGGTAGTGCTGCTAATGAAATACCCATCAAGACAGCAAGTTGTTTTCTTTAATCTCAGTTTGGCAGTCATCGTTAAGAGATGAGAGCATTGGATGCAAGTCTCCCCTTTTCCGCTGTCTTCACAATATTTGCAATTCACACTATCATCGCAGAGTGCACATGTAGTCTGATCACTACTAACATAATATCCTTCGTCACAGCAAGACGTTTTTTTAATTCCAAGTACATTCTTGAAGGATAATTTCTTTTTGCATTGGAGACAATTTTTTCCACTTCCACTGTCTTCACAGTATTTGCAATTTAAGTTAAAGCAGTCTCCACAAGAAGGCTGATCACTGCTTACAAATTTTCCTTCTTGACAGCATGAAGTTTTCTTTATTTGAAGTTTATCTGTAAAAGAAAATGTCTTTGGGCACTGAAGACAATTTTCTCCGTCTCCACTATCCTCACAGTATTGGCAGTTTGAGTCTTTACAGGCGATGCATGAAGAATGCTTGTCACTAACAAAGTTTCCAACGCTACAGCATGATGTTTTCTTTATTCTCAAAGTATCTGTAACAGTTAAAATTTTGGAGCATTGAATGCAAGTATCCCCACTTCCATTATCTTCACAGAGCTTGCATTTATCATCAGGGCATTTTGAGCATTCAGTGGTAGTGCTGCTAATGAAATATCCATCAAGACAGCAAGTTGTTTTCTTTAATCTCAGCTTGGCAGCTATCGTTAAGAGATTAGAGCATTGGATGCAAGTCTCCCCTTTTCCGCTGTCTTCACAATATTTGCAATTCACACTATCATCGCAGAGTGCACATGAAGTCTGATCACTACTAACATAATATCCTTCGTCACAGCAAGACGTTTTTTTAATTCCAAGTACATTCTTGAAGGATAATTTCTTTTTGCATTGGAGACAATTATCCCCACTTCCACTGTCTTCACAGTTTTTGCAATTTTTATCAGGGCAATCTTTACATGGACTAACATCGCTACTTCTAAATTGTCCATCGCCACAGCAAGAAGTTTTCTTTATTTTAACCTGTGACACCAACCTTAATTTATTAATGCATTTATCACAACGGCCAGCAGTTCCATCTTCACAAAGCTCACAGTTTGTATCACAAGTTGAACATTTTGAAGTTGAGCTATCTAAATATTTGCCGTCAGGACAGCAGCTTGGACTTTTCTTGGCTTTGATTATTGATTTAACTCTAATAGACCCTGATATTGAGCAAGCAATGCATCCAGAGCTTCCATAATAACTGCCTGATTCACAAGTTTGGCAAGTCGATCCATCAAACCAAGGATTATCTTGTGGACAAACGCAGGTTCCAGCTGTAGCAGTAGCATCTTTACACTCGCAGCCCTTTTTATTTGAGCTGATTTTCATTGTATAGTTGTTTTGGCAGCCTAAACAGTTTCCATTGTCATCACAATAAGCGCACATTGTCCCACAAGGGGAGCAAGTACCTGAGTTGTCATAATTCCCAGGAGAGCAGGGAGTGGCCGAAAGAGCTCTTTCATACCTTGCTCCTTGAGGCTCTCTCATCACAGGTATATTTTCTGGAGGAGGGTCTTCATTAGCCACATAGTCAGATGTCAACGTAAAGTTAAACTTATCACTGATTTTAGCAAGAGGAACGTTCGAATCAGCGACTTCAGCAGCATGAAGCTGCATAAAAGCTACGATAAAGCAAAGAAGAAATCGCTTAGACATATTTTATAAATCGTGGCTTTAGATCAATGGCAAAATTCCTATAATTTAAGTGACCCTTTTTATCAATAAAATTTAGCTTATAAACTTAAATTATGAAAGGTTGTTGGACGAGAGGCTTAAATTAAGATGATAAAATTATTGGCTGGATAAGAATGGCGCAATTCCAAAGACAAATAAAGTTATTTTTATAATTATGGGAGCATTAAGCTAAGGACCTGATAAGGGATTAAAAGATTAATATAGTTATTAATTAGATTAAATTATAAGAAACACGTAGAATTGAGATAAACTTTTGATATCTTTTGATAAATTTTACAAACAAAAATTATCAACAACTTCCTTTGAATCTTAAATATTAGCTAGAATCAAGAAATCAATAGACAATTGACCAAAAGATGTCGAATTTCTAATAATTCGCCACTAATAATTTCTATTTAAAGTATTTGAGACAAATGAATTAATGACAATTTTAAAGTTTCTTGTTTCCTTATGAACTTTTAGTTTAAATGAGGGTCTTTATATTTTAAATAGAAAACGAACCCATCCTCGATATGGAGAAAAGCTAAAGGAAAGATTTTTTTGAGCATTAGATAAAACAAATTAAATTTGAGTAATTATTCAATCAGGAAGACTTTGGGCTGAATTATTGACAATCAGTAAATTTTTAGCAATTTCTAAATAAAAGATGGTTAGTAAAAATATTTCGCCAAGCCTTTGGTATTTTATTTAAGAAAATTATTTATCGAGTTAAATAAATATAAATTTAATAAATGTTTTGATTAAAAATTTTAAAATTTAATGTAATTGAAATTTATTTAGATAAATTGATAAAAGGGAAAATTAATTCCTTCATTTTACATAGAAATTTTGCATCGCTTTTAAATAGCTTTTTTGTGAATTTTGAAAATTGTTTAGGATTATTTGATTTTACTTTAAATTAATAATTTCAAATAACTTAACCTGCTAAAATTCATTTTAAAATAATAGCAACAGAGAGATGAATGTTTATTTGTTTATATTGAATTTATTTATATAAATTTAGCAGATTTGTGGTCAAACCGGTGAACCTAATAAGTCCATCTGAAAGCTTTGGCAGTCTGCTATGAGCTTTGGCATTATGAGAATTTATTCGTAATATGCATAAAATGGTCAGTGACTCTTATCTTATGCATACCAAAGTAGTATTTTGGCGCAAGAAGCTGTCTAAGAACTATTTCCACTGATCAGTGGCTGGCTTGAGCTTTTTTGTCCAGAATGCGTGTTCGAAAGAGGCAAAGTGGCTTACCTGCCTCAACTGCTAAGTGATTTTGTCAGGAATTGCATAAGCGGTTTTGATTACATTTGAAAAGGACTCAATTGAAAGGATGAAAGACTAGGCTCCACAGAGAGCAAGTAGTAAAGAAGTGAGAGTCTCTTCTGTCGAAAAAAACTCAATCTGAACGGGCTAAGCAGGGTTTGTAATTTGGTGCTCGAGTAGGAAACGGAGATCTCTGAGCGATTATGGAAATTACTCTACCGTAAAGCTAGGTTGAGGAAGCCGACCTCGTGGCTAAGCCTTTAGATGCAATATGTCTTGAAAGCGACTAATCGAAGATGAATCTACCTTATAACCAAATATCAATATTTTAGCATTAATTTTGTGCATTATGCTTTTGATCGATAGAATCAAAATTCATTAAATATTGAGAACTAAATAAATTATTCATATAATTTAAAAATATCAATATTTATATCTTTGACAATATTTCCAGCATAGCATCTTCAATGGTTGACAGCTTAAACTTATAAACATCTAAATATTCTCCTCGCCTTTTATATTTTTTTGCCTTATCAAGTTTCTTTTCTTTATTAGACTCTTTTATTTCTGTAAGTTTTTGCTCCAAATCCTTATTTTCTTCTATTTTTGCTCGGGCGTTTTTAATTTCTTTTTCAGCATTTTCCCCGTAGCTTAAGTGAGAAGGGAAATCCATAAATTGTGATGAGTCTCATCCATTATACTCCCATCTCATTTTGCGCCAATGACTTACCCTTCATCCTCTACAACGGGGATGGAAGTTTCTCACCAATTTCTTTGGAGTTTTTCTCTTTTTCATATTTTTTACAGCTTTAGGCTTCTTTTTAGGCTCTGAAGCATAAATATTTTTACTTTCTGTTGCTATCCAAAATGTCATTTAATTTTTATTATGAAATTTTTTAATATGTCTTTCCAATGGTGACATAATTAAACTGAAAATTGGCTTATAATAGAAAGAAAATTACTAATCTCCTAGTCTAAAATTATAATTTATTTTAGATTCTGCTCCATATATGGAATGGCATCATTGAAAATAGAGTATGCATACCATCATAATTAACTAAATTTATAATTTAATCATTGCTTTCAGCATAGCATCTTCAATGCTTGACAACTTAAAACAACCAGATTTTCCATCGCTTGCTATATTTTTTGCAATATAAATTTTCTTTTCTTTATTAGACTCTTTTATTTCTGTCAATTTTTGCTCTAAAACCTTATTATCTTCTATTTTTTTTCTAGATTCTTCAATCTGGTTGTCAACATTTTTCCAAAGCTGGGTTGAAAATCGAAATCCATAAAATCTGATGAGTTTCATCCATTATACTCTCATCTCACTTTGCGCCACAAACTTATCTTTCATCCTCTGCGAGGGTGGAAGTTTTTTATAAATTTTTTAGGCATTTTTCTTTTTTTCATATTTTTAACGCTTTTGATCTTCTTTTGAGGCATTTTAACTTGAATATTTTGACGTTGCGTAACTGTGCACAATGCCATTTTACTTGATAAAGCTTATAAAGGCAAATGATATTGCGAAAAAATAGCAGCTTTTAGAACAATTTGAGCCTACTAATTGATCATAGATATAAGAAAGCATATATCTGACTAAAATCATAATTAAGTTAAGCACTAAATTATTTATTAAGAATTGCATTTATAAAAAATCTAAATCTTCTAGCCCTCGCTCAATGATCGAGCAATTTTAGGTGGATTAATTTAATTTTTTTAAAAATTTATGTTAAAAATAATTAAGATTAAAGTTTAATATGGCCATAAGACTTTCCAGTATAAGTCGACGAATAAACACCATGATCTAGGAATTCTGCATGATTTTCCGACTGCAATCAGCAATTTAAAATTACAGTTTTCTTTTCTACAAAAGTTTTAAAAATTTCTTAAGCTTCTTCAATTCTGAATCTTGAGTGTGTTCACCTGCTAAATTGAAAATAATTAGGAAAGTAAAAAATTATAAATTGCAATCTAAAATATATTTTATAATTTATTGTTTCAAGTATTTACATATTTAAATATGTAAAGCCCAAAAAAAAATTTTAAATATAAGTTTCTCTATGAGTTGGAAATCTTATGAGAGTCAAGTCATAAGCAATCCTAAGCTATGACTATTCTTTAATTTTTATTTTCTTGAAGAAATTTAACTTTTTTGATAGAATAAGTTGGTGATATGCTATTTTAGGGCGTGCCTACTCCAGAGCAATCCAGCTATGGGGACGCTGAGGAGTGGTTTTATCCAAGGCTTTTAGAGCCTAATCTGAAACCCCAGGGTTTTCAGTAGTTCGCATTCTATTATTCTGGGTAATATTATTTCCAACTTCGGAGCCGTTCTAGCCAACCCTAAGGAGCTTGCCAGATTTCATTATATCTGGAACCCTCTCTAACTAAAAGATTTGCACTATTTAGATCTTGTTGAGCCTTGCCTCAATTTTTCCTCTGATTAGCCCATTTGCTGCAAAGAGGCTTAATGAATTCAATAGAAAAAAGCTGATAGTATTATAAAGCAGAGCTTTGATTTAGATTAGCTAAGTTTTTGAAGAGCTTAAAGCTCAATTTAAGAGATCTAAAACAATAGAATCTGTTAGCTAAAATGATATCAATATAAACTTAATGCCTGAATGTTAGGAATATCAGTTAAATTAAAATTGGGGGGCTTCTAATTGTGATTAATATAATGGCGCACCTATGCTTTAAACTAGGCTGTGAATATACATAAAATGGCCGGAGACGAGCGACCCGTCCTTCCGTGGCGGGTGTCCTTATGTATGCCGGACATGGTTTTTGGATGCGGAGAGCTACCCAAGGGGAGAGTTAGCCTCAAGGCGAAAGGCCCAGCCCAATTTCCGCTGATTTTGGGACTTGACCCGAGCAGCAGTTTTTCGCATTCTTTTTGCCAGTAGCGCAGAGGCCCAGACTCGGTGTCCGAAAGCGGAAGGGTGAGTTACCTGCCTAGAATACTTTGTGGCTTAGCCCCGAATCCCGCAAGGGGTTGAGTTCTTTCTTGGAGATGATCCAGAAAAGAGGGGAGGCGAAGCTAGACCAGAGAACCCAAGGGCGCAAGTCTCTCCAGTTAAAAGGGTCCTCTCAGGAGGGCGATCTGGCCAACCGGAGGCAAAGACTGGCGTAATTCGGTGCGAAAGGCTGAGTTGGAAATGGTGGTGCCCAGCGACAGTCGGCTGACGACTCAATAGGGCAACCCACTACCGAGAAACCAGGGGTTTCGGCCTGGGCTCAGAGAACCAGTGATGGAAGTCCATCCTTTTCGCTCGTGCCAGCACGGCTCCTCAAGGAGCGCGGAGGAATACCACGCATGGAAGTGGGGACTATAAAGACACATCGTTAATCTAATCTAATCTAATCTAAACTAGGCTGTGAACTTGAACCTCAAATTGTTTGCTGTTGTTCATCTCCTGAAACTTACTGCTGCGAGATCCATCTTGGAGATCATCTCAAACTCCCATGCAGAGCTCATGCCTTTGATTTTATTTATGTAGAGCCTTGCAAACGAACTAAAGATGCAATTCTTGCTCCTTTTTCCTTAATAGGGACAATTTTTTTATCCTTTATGAGATTAATTTTTTTTTATAAAATTATATAGTCAAGAATTATGATTTTTTAAATTGTATAATAAAAAACTTATGTTTATTATTTATCATTTTTAATAGTCATTGCTCACTTAAGCAGTCTGGAGAGTTAGATTCCTTTCAAGAGAAAAGTCTAAGAAAGAGAAACTTAACTCCAACCCTCTTTAATATGGAACAAGAATTCTGTTCGAATTTCAAACAGGGTTGGCTTTTTGTTTTAATCCCATCCTCCGTAAGCTAACAAAATGACTAGTAAATTAGTATTTTTTGTGTAAAAAGTATTATCTTTGAGCGAACAAAAAAAATTTGCAATAAAAAAATATTTTGATATATTAAATTTTAAACAATTAATATTTAAATAATTGGGTTTTTTTATAAAAAAAGTGTGAGCGAAAAAATTTTTTATGTTCCCTCATTGTTGAGAGTTCCAATTTAAAGAGGCTATAACTTGCTTCAATTTAAAGGGCGGGAGTAAGAAGGTTGTCCTGGGTTCTTTTAGAGTAAATCTTTATAGCTCAAAAAAGAGTGTTGAAGAAACTTTATCAAAGCTAAATACTGATTTAGAAGAAATAAATGAATCAATTGCAAAGATATCAAATACTTCAAAACAAGAAGCCCCCATTTCTGATCTCATGCTTTTACAGCCTTATGATGATTTTAAGATCGCAAGAGCAACAATTCCAGATGACTTAGAACATTATACCAGCTTTAAGTATATTTGCTCTTTAAATGAATTGCAATCAAAAAGAATTTCCTTATTAAGTAAACCCAATAGCGCAAAAGCAGAGCAAAATTTCAGGAAAAATTGCTTATTATATGAGAATCATGCCTATGGTTTTTTATTCAGCCAAGCTTATCAAGGTTTTGTCAACTCTTATCATCAGAACGCATCTCTCTATCTTATAGGTGAAAGTAATGAAAAAACTAAGCTGTTTATTTATGACACTGAAAATGAAAGAGAAGATATGAAAGACTTTAGATACCAATGAAAATTAGATAAAATACATTGCATTGCTCAGCTTCCAAATGGTGAGCTATTTGGTACATATGAATCAGAAAAGCATGCTTTCAGTGCCTTTATAGTTGATAGAAATTATAAAGTCCGCTTATTGCCATATCAGAAGCCCCATGGCTACGCTGTTGCTGTCTATTTCAACAGGAGTGTCTATTGCTTTGGGGGATACGATTTTATATCTAGTAGATATGATATGGATTTAAACATATGGCGTGAATTAACTATAAAAAGAGTATATGACAACTGCTGTCATTGCATAATTTTTAATGGAAATATTTTAATTTCCATAAATTTTACTCATAATCCAAACTATCTTTTACTTTACTCAATTGATATTGACTCATTCTCAGATATTCCTCTTCCGTTTTATGGAAACAAAACAAATGTGTTAGTAAATACAGAAGAGAGACTGTATTTGATTGAATTTGAAGGTGGATGAATCTATGAGAGTAAAATCTCAAGCTACACTACCTGAAGTCGAGTTGCAGAGTCAAATATAAATTTTAATCCTTTTCTCACATATTGTTCATATAATAAAGGAGGGATTTATATCTCAGCTATTGATAGCGGCTCTGGAAGAGAATATTTAAAATTTGACTTAGATCGAAAAGTTCTTATTGAAATTGCTTGCTATAATAAGCATGTTGCTCTTAAAAGGTCAGATACCAAGCTCGAAACAATAAAGTGCTGTGATAGAACCTATAAACTCAGTCCTGATGAAGCAGCAGATTATATTAATAAAGGATACGGACTTTATGATTTGTGCAGAAGGCTTGAAAAAATAGAACGCTACAACAAAAAACTAGCACTCAATCCTCGAGATGCATTTAAACTTTATAGCAAAAAAGGGCGTGCCCTTTATGATTTGGATAGAAATGAGGAAGCAATAGAGTGCTATAATAATGCAATTATACTTGACCCTACAGACGATGAAATTTACTATAATAAAGGATGCGCACTTTATGAATTGGGGAGAAATGATGAAGCAATTGAATGCTACGACAAATTGCTTGAGGAAAAACCTAAAAAGCCGTTAAGGTCAAAGAGAAAAGCTAAATTAATAGAAAGTAATAAAAATATAGCAATATCCAAAACTGGCAAGATTTTAGCTTACTTTAATAAAGCTAATGCTCTTTGCGATATGGGGAAATTTTCAGATGCAATAGTATGTTATGACGAGGCAATTAAACTTTTTGAGAGACATGCTTTTATTTGGAATAATAAAGGGCATGCTCTTTCCAGATTAGGAAAGTACTATGACGCAATAGATTGCTATAATGAAGCAGTATGAAGTAAAGCTACTAACCCTCTGTATCTTTGTTATAGGGCTAGCCTTCTCAATGATATAGGATTTGAAGTGCAAGCGCTGGAGGATCTTCGTGCGGCATATGATTTGATAAAAGATAACCAAGCAGGTGAAATAAGTATTGAATCACATGAAATCTCCTTTGAGGAAAGATATAAATGCACTATTGACACATTAAATCAAGATTGGATTGAATTGATTAAAAAGTTTTTTGAATTGCCGGATAATAGTTTTATTTCTAAAGAGGAATACCAGGAATTCAAAAATTCTATTAAAAATTCGGTTCCAAATGAAAATAATAGAGGGATTAATGAAACAGTTAAAGCTCAAATTTCCAACATTATCAAAAGGGCGATACAATTTCTTGAGCTTAATAACAGTTTGCCAGGCAAAGCTATCCAGAAAATAGAAAAGAATAAATTTAGCATCCAAGAATGCAAATGCTATAGGCCATTTATGTTTCAGCAAGGCATATAAAACATTGACTTTAACATTTATCTTTAGAAATAAAAATAAAAAATAATTCTTTCTACACTATATAGTGAGGATTTGATGCATTTAAAAATATTCACCTTATGATTGAAGGCAAATAAATCAATTTTTTATAATTTTCATGTATAATATTGCTTTAGATTTTAGTATATGAGAAAACAAAAATTTTAATATTTATATATTTGATGACTTTTTTCTCTATTATCAATAATTATGCATAAAAATTTCAGAGGGGCAATAATCCTGACTAGCGTTGCTGAATAGTAAAAGTTATACCTCTCTTTAAATGCAAATTTTAGTTATAAAATATTAATAAGCTTCGAGATTTTATCAAATTACTTTAGACAAACAAATAATCTCTTGTAAATTTACTTAAATATGAGTTATTTTTATTAGATTTAAAATAGAAGAATTTATAATTATTATTTATTAAAAACAAGAGTTTAATAGAAAAGGTTATTTAAGCCTTAGTCTTGGTTTCTTCCACCTGTGGAACCATTTGGAGAATAAAATATCTCACAATCATGTAGAAGGTCTCAAATATGAATATCTGTATCAAGATTCCATAGAGGAAGCAAATAGCCCAGTATCCACTCCACTCGAAGCAGAACGAGAAGCTAAGCATAACAATTCCAATTATAGAGCCAATAATGATAGTAATACCTAGTGCAACTGCAGCAGCTGTCCAAGCTGGAGCTTTAGTTCTATCAATACTCAACGCAATTATCATGAAAATTTCTATAGGAATTGCAATGGCAAGAGCCAAAATAGTATACCCGAAGTACTTAGCTTCATAGTCATTGAACAGTGTTTCAGTGGATGCTGAGGATCCTGAGTCAGTGTTTTCAAATCCAAATAGCAACAATCCTTCAAGTAAAAGTTCAAATATAATGATTGTTGTCAGCGTGAATAGCCTAGCCCATCTTGAGAAGTTGCTTCTGAAGTAAACCAAACCAAATATCAAATGTCCTTCAATCAATTCAGCAAGCTCTGTCTTAGACTCATCTTCAGGTTTCTCTACTTCAGTTTCAGTTGCAACTGGCTGAGCATATGAGTTTTCAGTCAAATCAATGTTTACTGAGTCTACAATTTCGTCACTGTCGTTGTCGGAACTCCTTTGCTCTGATGCTTCAACAATTTCTTCTCCTTCAGCGAGCTCGATTGAATCTGAAGGCTGAGCACCTGTGAAGAAGTGCCTTGTGGTTCTTTGTTCAGTTTCAAAGCCATCAGTAGAAGGCGACATCAAGGCTCGCTCAGTAGGTCTTGGAGCATGAGCAGGATGAGGAGTTTCTTCCACGGTCTTTCCTACCTTTTCAAGCCTATCATATATAATCATAATTGGAGCCAAAATCATAGAAATGAAGAGGACGACGACCAGAATATAAAGTGGAGCGTAGTTATCGCCACAAGAAGGCCCAGAAGGTTGAGGATATGGATTCGGTGGAGCTTGGGGTTCAGCTTGTCCAAGCTTGAACATAGAGAAGTGATAGACTTCAAATACAACGCTATCATTTTTGATTTCAGTTACAGTGCAGCCATCATGAAGCCATGCCTTACTAGTCTCATTATAGAACAAGCAAGTCCATTCATACTCTTCAGTGATATTCTGAGATATCGGCATTTCCAAGATAACTGGATAATCAGTGGTAGAGAATGGCACATACGTCTCGTTTGTAGTTTCAAGTTTTAAGTTCTCATAAGTTCCTGACTGTGCAAAGCTCAGCATAACAAGGTCAGAATAGTCGTTTGAGGTGTTGAAATAGTGCAATTTAATATTCATGATGTCAGTGTCAGAATAGCTGAATTTTGTAGGCATAGAAATAGTGCGGTTGTTGGAGAGCGGGACTGTTTGATTGGCCATCGCGGTCGGGAAGTCTCTGTACTTATAAATTTTAGTTATATCAGTGTTTTGAGGGCTGAATACTTTTCTAAGTGACATTTCCTTTTGCAGCCATTTCTGAGTAATTTTTTTCTAATCGATATTGATCAAAAAAAGGATTTTGTCGACAAAATGTCTGACAAGAAAAAAATTCAATCAAATAGTGCAGAGGAAAATTTCTGGAAAAATAAATTTCTTAGGTTTTGAGATCCATCCATAGCTCCTTGAGTTACCAAATCATCCTTAGTAGCTGCTATTTCCCAATATGTCAGGAATGTATCAATGTTCATAATATATCCTTCAAGAGACAGACTAGAAAACTCAGTCATGTTTCCATATGCCAAATAATTATCAGCAAGAGCCACTATAGTATTCATGTTATCTTGGCTTGGCACAAGATCAGAGTTATCCACAATGATTTTAGAAAGCCATAAAGCAAATGTCTGGAACATGTCTACACTCATCTGTTCTGTCTGGCCTGTCATTGAGTAAGTTGCACCTAATGCATTTTCCAATACATCATTATTCACCTCATTGCTGGAAATATAATTCTGCAAATCAGTCCACATAAGGGAGAATAGATCACTATCAATAGTCGCTGAGCTGCAAAATAGCGAAATGGTAGAAGGCACATTATCAACGTCAACCGTGCTTTCTTTATAAGAATCCATTAAAGAGCTTGTTTCTAAACGCCTGCTATTAAAGTTTCCAATTGTGACATCTTTCTTATAGTCATTGCAAGTCTTCAAGTAATCACAAACACGAATGGTGATGGTATTCTTCTGAGGGAAAAGGTATGTGGAGAGCGAATTAATTTCTGAGGTGTAGCCAAGAGTGTATGCTTTATTGTTGGAGTAGTCTAAGTAAGTGTATGATAATGGGTAGTCTTCTTCGTCTTTATCATAGCAGTCCTCAATGCTTAGCTTAAATATTGTAGTGATTGCTGTGCCAGTATCTGGACTTATACTAGGATCTTTGGTACAAACTGCACCAAGATTAAGGGTGACTGGATATTCAACGGTTATGCTAACATCATTAGATGTAATTGTAAGGGTAAATGTATAGGTCGAGCCTGCAATTAGCTGACTAGAAGGCACAGACATTGTAGACAAATAGTTAGGAGAAATGCTGATTGATCCTGAATTTTCAGTCCATTTCAAAGTAGCTGTAGAAGCAGCTGTGACTTGAGCAGTTATCACAATATTCGAGGATAGGCTAAACTTTTCGACTTTGTATTCAATTTCAATTGAGACGTCAGATGTCTTGCTCAGAATATTTACTCCCACCTTTTGACTAGCGAGCAAGCATGAATTAAAATGGCGAACGAAGTAGCCCAGCTTCGCAGCTCCTGTGAGGAGGGATATGGCGCTTTTGAATTTGCATCTGGATACATTTTAATTGATAAAGCGTAATATAGGACTAATTGCCTGCATGCTTTACTTCAAATCAAAGCTCTGCCTAGAGGAAGGAGCCAAGAGTTGGAAAGGGATCACACGACAAATCCACTGGCTATTTTCTTTGCCGATTAGGACCATTTTCCAGCATGAAGCGAGGAATTATGCCCTTGCTTCGGATTTAATTTATTAATCTCTTAATCATTTTTTTAATTTTCCATGATGGTAATATTTGCTGGCACATACTCGACAATCTGACTACCGGATAGCGGGCGTAGGCCTCATACGGCAGGAACAACCTTTGTCTTGTCGTGAAACGCAAATCACAAGCAGAAAGGGAAGTCTAAGGGGTTAGGATAAGCCTTCAGGACTTTCAATATGCTTTAGGCAAGTATAATTAAAATAAGATAAAGATTAGCGAGCAAACTATTTAAAGAGTCTATTTTTATAAAATCAGCATTCCTTTGCTAGAAAAAGTATCTTCAAGCAATAATTTGATTTAAGATTAATTATTCAATATATATAAATCGGGTTTTTAAAATCATCATAAGACGAGGAGTTAGAGATATTGTAGCAGATGCGGTTCTTGTGTCTTTAGATATAGTGCAAGTAATCTCCCATTGGGCTCCTTTAACCATTTGTGATGAAGGAATAGTCAAAGTGGAGTCAGTATCGCTACTCAAAGGAGTCTTGCCATCAGCTCCTACACATGCACTGTTATCTAAGCTATTCAAACAAGTCCACTTATATTTGAAATCGTTGTAAGTCGAGCTAGGATTGTCAGGGTCTTTTGAATTTTGGGCGTTAACAGTATAGTCTCTGTCAGGAGAAACATCTCCACTTGTTTTAGATAGCCCAACACTTAATGGTGAAGCGGTTACTGTAACTGAAATAGTGGCACTTCCTGTAATTGTCGACCCATTGCTGACTTGTGAAGCAGTTGCTTTAAATACATATGGAGTAGAGCTTGCTGCCAAAGCATTCGCATTAATAGTTAGCTTATCTGCATTTGCGTTAGCAAGAATTGAGGCAGAGTCTATTGTCGGCCCGCTGTCGTAGCTCCATGCCCAAGTGATAGTTCCAGTAGTTGTTCCACAGAGAGAAGTGACTTTTGCTTTAAGTGTTTTAGACGTTGAAGATTTCATAGAGACTGTATTGCCTTGGTCAAATATTACTGTCAATGCATTTCCACCAGTGACTGTGGTTGTAAAGGAAGCAGTGTTTGAAATGGTCAAGAAATTGGTCACTGTTAAACTGACAGTCACTGTAGTCGTGGTAGTTGAGTCAAAGTAGGAACGGTCTATAGAAATTGAAGCAGTTGCTTTCTTATTGATGGCGTCCGATACTTTGGAGTTAGCTGGAGATATTGAAGTAACGGCCCAGAGGTAAGATAAATTATTTCCTAGAGATCCTGTAGATTTGTCACCAGAGAATGTAAGAGGATCTTAATCAATTTTAAAATTTCATCTCTCTCTAGCCATAAAACTTTTTGGGGGTTGTCCCAAAGAGTTCGCTCTTGAGATTATCTGGCTGCTGACCCAAACAATTTTTGTCCATTATGCAAGCTTCTTCTTAGACATTTGAATCCTAAGATTTTTATTCTTCAGCTCTTGACAGTCAGCATGAGTCTGTCAGGCACACCCTAGATATTCCAGCCCCTAAAGACTGGGTGTAGTTCAGAACATCACTGGATTTTATTACTCTATCATTACTAGGACAAATTCACAGGGTGGAGACAAACCTCATAATTAGAATATGCCTATTTTATAATTATGATAGTAAGAGGATCAGATCCGCAGCCTAAAGTAAAGCTGGATTGGCCAGTTATAACTGCTGCTGGAACAGGACTAGATGTAGCTGTTGGATTCAGCGAAAGAGGCTGATAGTTAGTAGTGCAAGGATCAGTAGAATCTTTCAGAATATAAGTCCCATCCAAATAAAGAGTGCTATACCTCAGTGAAAAGCCAGTGCCTAACGCTATTTTGAGTGTCTTTTTATCAGTCCATGAGCAAACTGCACCAGTTCCAAACAAGGCTACTGTTGCTGCGGTGAAAGTTTTCGAGCAGGACGGGTCAACTGAGGTGTCCACCTTTGTATTGAAATTAATAGAAATTGACGTCCACGACGAGCTGAATTCAGCAGACAATAAGTCACTTGGTGCAAGATACCTCTTGCATACCACACACTTACTATTTGACAAAGTATACCCTGCATTGCAAGCGCACCCTCCAGCTGCACTACTATATGCAGAATTAGCAGTACAAGCACAAGCTGTTCCTGTAAGCTCAGCATTTGTCACACAACTAGAGCAAAGATTGGCATTATCAATGTCACAAACAGTGCAAAGCTTATTACAAGTAGCAACACAATATCCAGAAGTATCAGTGCTATTAAGGCCATAGCCTCTGTCACAAGTGCATTTTTTGCTTGAGTTATTTAGAGTTGCGTGTTTCTTACAACCAGTACATACTGTGGCGCTGGAACAAGTTGAGCATGGGGAAGGACACTTAACACATTGTTTATCTAAGGCATAGTATCCGTTTGCACATGTGCATACACCATTGGAGATTGGGTTTGTCTTATCAACACAAGTTATGCAGGTTGAGTATGAGGAGCAGGTGTCGCAGAGACCATTGCAAGTTGTGCATTTGGAAAGGGTAGAGTTAAAGTATTGGCCGTCAGCACATGAGCAGACTCCGGTTTGAGAATTGAGAGTAGCTGTATCAAGACAAGATGTGCAGAAAGTATCAGAGGTACAGCTCTTGCAAGGTCCAGTGCAGGTCTTACAGGCGTTTGTAACCAAATTGAAATATTGGGTGCTTTGACAAGTACAAACTCCATTGGTCAAAGTCATAGCTGCATCTCTGCAAGCAGTGCAAGATGATGAAGAAGAGTTTGTGCATTTTCCACAGGTAGCATCGCAGTTCTTGCAGGACAGAGATTGAGTGTCGAAATATTGGCGAGCAGGACAAGTACAAACACCGCACTAATTTCCCGTTAAGTATCAATAAAATTTATCTTTCTTTTTATGTGGAAAATAATTTAAAATTTAAATAGAAGTAGTCTATAATACCTTAAAATTTACTATTAAAAAGGATTAAATTTTGTCTTCTTATCAATTAAAAGCACTAATAGACATTGTAGGATCTTTGCAAGTAGAGCAACTTGATGAGCTAGAGCAGGTAGCACATGTAACATCGCAAGCCAAACACTTATGACTTGCTGAATCAAAGTAAAATCCATCCTTACACCTACAAACACCAGTAGCTGCTGCCAAGGTCATTGTAGCATCAACACAGCTTAAACAGAACGTCAGGCTGCTGCAATTCGAACAAGGATCAGCGCAGCTCTTACAGACTCCTGTACTGAAATAAGTTTTCGCTGGACATGTGCACACTCCTGTTACTGCATTATAAGTCATAGTAGAATCAATACAAGTTGAGCAGAATTCAGCTGATCCTGTGCAAGTTGAGCAGTACTGGCCACAGAGCTCACAAGTCTTACTAGAAGACTTATACCATTTACCAGCCACACAGTTGCAAGTTCCAGCTCTGGCGTCAATTGAAAAGTCAGCTGTAATACAAGTATAACAGAAAGTTGAGCTGGAGCAAGCCAAACAAGGAGCAGAACATGCTTTACACGAGTTTTCATCATAATAAGTTCCAGAGTCACATGTAGTCACTTTACAGCTAGACGTAGGCACATCGAAATAATATCCGCTTTCACAAGTAGTACAGCTTGTGCCACTGCTACAAACATTGCATTTATCCATACAACTGACACATTTAGCTGAATTAGCGTCATAGTACATTCCGAGTTTGCATTCACAATTGTGAGCCTTAATAGTATTGTAAATCATATTATCTGTGTCCACACATTGAGTACATTTGGTTGCTTCACATGCAGCACAGTAAGTTCCACAGCTCTTGCAGGTTGTGCCATCATAGTAGGTAGCAGCTTTACATTTACAGTTCTGGCTATTATTTGGGTCGAGTTCTTGAACTGTATCATCGTTGCAAGTTGAACAAATTCCTGCATTCAAACAAGAAGCACACATTGTTCCACAAGGATTGCAGCCTGAAATGACATCATAGGTTTTAGCAGGACAAGAACATACTAATGGGAGAGCTATTTGTTCAAGGGCATAATTACTATAACATGATGTGCATTCTGCAGTCGTGTCTTTGCAAGTCTTACAGTTTTTGCCACAAGATTGGCAAGTTGATCCGTCATAGTATTGATTTGGATAGCAAGAGCATGCGGTAGAGCTGGATTGCTGGTTTCCTTTACATTGGCAAGTCTTACCAGAAAGGCTCATTCTAGAAGAATCAAGGCAAGTTTTGCAATTTCCAGTGTAGTTCTCACATGTGGCGCAGCGATCTCCGCATTTAAGACATGTAGTTCCATTATAATAGGTACCTGCTGCACAGCTGCAAGTAGAGGTTCCAGTGGCAAGCTGTTGGGTTCCTCTGCATTTGCAATTTGTTTTATCTGCAGGGTCAATATCCATTCTTGCAGTGTCTTTACAAGTTTGACAATTTCCAGTGTAATCATCGCAGGTAGCACACAAGCCTTTACAGCTAACGCATTTGTTTTGGCAACTAGGACATGTTACGTCATCAAAGTAAGAGCCAGAAGCACAGGAACAAGAGTTAGTATTTGTAATTTGATTTGACTTACATGCGCAAGTAGTGGTGCCACTGACTGGTGCCATTCTTCTAGAATCAACACAAGTTAAGCATGTCTTAGTTCCAGTGTTACAAGTGCTGCAGAAATAGCCGCAATCAGAGCATACAGAACCGTTGAATTGTTTATTTCCTGAGCAAATGCATTGCTTATTAGAAAGAGTTTGATCGCCTATGCATTTACAGTTTTTCTTATTTGTTGTATCAACCATCATCTTAGTTGAATCAATACACTCCTGACACTCACCAGTGTAATCTTTGCAGGTTTTGCATAAGTCTGAACATTGGACACAATTGTTGCCATCAAAATAGTAGCCTGCATCGCAAGAGCATGTTGATCCAGTGACCTTTTGGTTTCCTTTGCAAATACATTTACTTAAGTCACTTGGATTCTTTTGCATTCTCAAAGAGTCACTGCAAGTTCGACATAACCCAGATCCTTCATAACATGTAGCACAGTTGGTTGAACAACTAGAGCATTTGGTTCCATCATAATAAGTGCCAGATAAACATTTCCCGCAGGTGCTGGTGCTACCTGATACAATCCATTTGTATCCGCTGGCACATTTGCAAGTCTTTGGATTCGTCGAGTCAACTATAAGATTGTCGATGGCTTGACAAGTTAAGCACTTACTCCCCCTTTGTGAGCAAACAAAAAATCTTGTTCGCTCACGGAGGGGGGGATAAATTTTATAGAAAAAAAACTTTTTCGAAATTTTAAAAAAAATCCTAATTGGCAAAAAATTGGGAAGCAAATATTAATTTAATTTATAAAATTTATGTTTTAAAGCGCAGTTTGTTTAAAATTAAGCAGAATTAGCTATAGATTTCGTAAAAATAATTATCACTTATATATCCAATTCTTTTTTTTTTAAACAATTTTTGTTCACTCACTTGGGTGGTTTTTAGGCGAAAAATAGCTATTTTTCTAATGGTTTTGTTCACTTACGGTAATGGGGAGTTAGCAGAATTACAAGTTGAGCAAAGGGAAGAGCAACTCTGGCAAGTAGAGCCATCGAAGTAGCCTGAAGCGCAGTAGCACGAAGCTGTATTACTGTTGTATAGTTGAGTGCCTTTACATTTGCAATTCTTTTGATCAGCAGTGAATTCCATAGTTGCCATATTTTTGCATGTATTACATTTTCCAGAGGTATCAGCGCAAGTATCGCATAAATCACCACAGGCAGAACATTTGGAGCCGTCAAAGTAAGAGTTTGAATTACACGTGCAGCCTGTTGCTATGGTATTTAGACCAGATTTGCATGAACAAGCTGCTGTGCCAGCAACTGTTGTCATTGTGCTATCGTTTATACAGGCGCTACAGGAATTTGCTAAAAGATTGCAAGTCTTGCAAAAGTTTCCGCAGGTAGAGCAAATTTCACCATTAAATTGTTTGCCAGCATCACAAGTGCATACACCATTGCTAAGGTACTGATCACCGATGCATTTGCAAGCTTTATTGTTGACTGGGTCAAATATCATTGTTTGAGAATCTTTACACGATGTGCACTGCCCAGAGTAATCTAAACAAGTGCTGCATAAGCTAGAGCATTGAACACAATTTTCGCCATTGAAGTAGAAACCTGAGTTACAGGTGCATGTTGATCCACTGACAATTTGGTTTCCTTTACAAATGCATTTAGTTAAGTCAAGTAGGTTTGGTGTCATTCTTGAATCAGTGCATTTTCCGCATATTCCAAGTCCATCAAGACAGCTTGCACAGTGGGTGGAGCAGGAAGCACATTTGCTTCCATCATAATAAGTTCCGGTAGCGCATTGCTCACAAGTGCTCTTTGCTACTATCCATTTATAGCCGGCCGCACAATGGCAAGTCTTAGGATTTGTAATATCAACTTCAAGGTTAGCAATATTTTGACAAGTCAAACACTTACTAGAATCGCATGTAGAACAAAGGGCAGAGCAACTCTGACAAGTTGAGCCATCGAAGTAGCCTGAAGCGCAGTAGCATGAAGCTGTATCACTGTTGTACTGCTGAGTGCCTTTGCATTTGCAAGTCTTTGGATCAGTGCCGAATTCCATAGTTACCGAGTTTTTGCATGTTAAACATTTGCCAGTTGTTTCAGCACATGCAGCACATAAGCTACCGCAGGCTGAGCACGTTGTAGTGTCGAAATATGATCCTGAAGCACAAATACAGCCTGTCGCTGTGACTTGCTGACCAGATTTGCATGAGCAAGTTACTGTGCCAGAAACTGCTGTCATTTTAACTGTATCAAGACAAGTGTTGCAGACCTTCGTGTTTACATTGCAAGTGGAGCAGAACGTTCCGCAATCAGAGCACCCAGAGCCATTGAATTGCTTAGTTCCAGTGCAAGTACATACATTGTTGCTAACTACCCCCTGCTTTTGAGTGAACAAAAAAATCTTTTTCGCTCACAGGGGGTTAATTTTTTTTTTTAAATTTTTTTTTCGAAATTTAAAAAAAATCCCGCTTCATAAAAATTGGAAAGCAAATATTAGTTTAATTTGTTAAATTTCTGTTTTAAAAAGCAGTTTTTTTAAAATTAAACAAAATTAGCTAGAGACTCCATTATAATAACTATCAGCAATATATTAAAAATTTTGCTATTAAAAAAATCGTTCACAGAGGGATTTTTCTAATAGTTTTATTCGCTAACGGACAGGGGGAGTAAGTACTTGGTCTCCAATGCACTTGCAATTCTTCTTGTTTGCTGTATCAAAGGTCATCTTCGCAGTATCCTTGCATGCTGTACAAACTCCAGTGTAATCAAGGCAAGTAGCACACAAGTCAGAGCATTTCACGCAATTGGAACCATCAAAGTAATAGCCTGAGTCGCAAGAGCATGTGGATCCGCTGATCTTTTGGTTTCCTCTACATACACAACTAGTCAAATCATTTAAGCCAATGTCCATTCTTGTATCTACGCAGACGCTGCAGACTCCAGAGCCATTATAGCATTTAGCACAGTTAGTAGAACAAGGAGCGCATTTATCTCCATCATAGTAAGTTCCAGCTTGGCATTGCTCGCAAGTGTTAGTCGCAGTTATCCAGTTATATCCAGCGGCGCAATGACAGGTTGTTGGATTGGTAGGATCTACTTCAAGATTGTCAATACTAAGACAAGCTAAACACTTAGTTGCATTACAAGAAGAACAAAGAGTTGTGCAGCTCTGACAAGTTGAGCCATCAAAGTAGCCTAAAGTGCAGGAACAAGATTTCGTTAGGCTGCTATATTGTTGGGTTCCTTTGCATTTACAAGTCTTTGAATCAGTGCTGCTTATTTCCATAGTTGCAGTGTTTATGCATGTATTACATTTTCCAGTTGAGTCATCGCATGCTGCACATAAATCGCCACAAGCTTGGCAATTTGAATTGTCGAAATAGTTGCCTGAAGGACAAGTGCAAGAGCCAATATTTGCGATTTGGTTTCCTTTGCATTGGCAGGTAAGAGTGTTACTTACTTGTTCCATTCTGACTGAGTCAATACAGGTGTTACATGTATTATGAGATACATCGCAAGTGCTACAGAAATATCCGCAATCCACGCATCCCTTGCCATTAAACTGTTTAGTTCCAGTACAAGTGCATGCGTTGTTACCGTCAAGGATTTGGTCTCCAATACATATACAGTTTTTCTTATTGGCTGGATCAATAATCATTTTCGAATCTTTGCAAGAAAGACATTCTCCAGTGTAATCAGAGCAAGATGTGCATAAACTTGAGCATTGGACACAATTAGATCCGTCAAAGTAATAGCCTGAATCGCAATAGCATGTAGATCCACTAATCTTTTGGTTTCCTTTGCAGATGCAGCTTGTCAAGTCATTCACATTTATTGCCATTCTGGTGTCTTTGCATAAAGCGCAGACTCCAGTGCCGTAATAACAACTTGCACAATTCGTTGTGCAGCTGGCACATTTGTTTCCATCATAATAAGTTCCAGTTTCGCATACCTCACAGCTGCTGGTTGCGGTAATCCAATTGAAGCCTGCTGCACAGACACAATTTTTAGGGTTTTGAGGGTCAACTATAAGGTTTGCAATAGACTGACAAGTTAAGCATTTGGCTGAGTCACAGGTTGAGCAAAGAGTTGTGCAGCTCTGACAAGTAGAGCCATCGAAGTATCCAGTGGGGCAGTAGCAAGAGGATAAAACGCTGCTATATACTTGAGTTCCTTTGCATTTACAAGATTTTGGATCACTGTCGCTTACTTCCATAGTTACAGAGTTACATGTATTGCATTTTCCAGTTAAGTCATCACAAGCCGTGCAAAAAGTGCCACAAGCCAAACATGTTGTGCTGTCAAAGTAAGAGCCTGCAGGACAACTGCAGCCACTAGCTGAGACTAGTTGATTTCCTTTACAAGCACAAGTAACAGTGCCGCTTACTGGTTCCATTCTGTTTCCCAAACAGACACTACATGCTTTTGGATTTACATTGCAAGTCGTACAGAAGGTTCCACAATCAGAGCATATAGCACCATTGAATTGTTTAGTTCCAGAACAAGTGCATGCGTTGTTACCGTCAAGTATTTGGTCTCCAATACAAATACAGTTTTTCTTATTGGCTGGATCAATAGTCATTTTCGAATCTTTGCAAGTTTTGCATTCGCCAGTGTAATCTGAGCAAGATGTGCATAAGCTTGAGCATTTGACACAAGTAGATCCATCAAAGTAATAGCCTGAATCACAAGAGCATGTTGATCCAGTTAGTTTTTGGTTTCCTTTGCAAATGCATTTTGCTGGGTCACTTGTGCTTATCATCATTCTTGAGTCTTTGCAAACAGCGCAAAATCCACTACCGTTATAGCAACTTGCACAATTATCTGAACAGGCAGCACATTTGGAGCCATCGAAGTAAGTTCCAACAGGGCATTGATCACAGGAGCTGCTTGCTGTAATCCAATTGTAGCCGCTCGCACAGACACATTTAGTTGGGTTTTGAGGGTCTACTATAAGGTTGGCAATACCTTGGCAAGTTAAACACTTAGTCGAGTCACAGGTTGAGCAAAGAGTTGTGCAACTCTGACAAGTTGTGCCATCGTAGTATCCAGTTGGACAATAGCAAGAAGATAGAGTGTAGCTATATTTTTGAGTTCCTTTACATCTGCAAGCTTTTTGATTAGCAGGGTCCATGATTTATTTGCACGATGCCTACATATAAAACTTTTTTGTTCATATTTTTTTTGCCTTTTGCTTATTGCTAAAAAAATTTATAATATAACTTCTAGCAAATACATTAAAATAAAATGGACTAAAAATAATTGCGATAGTCAATATGGAATCATTTTTAAATCAAATAACTATAAAGTGTAAAAAATAATTAACTAAAATGTAGGCCAATCAAAATAAGAATGAAGGTTAAAAATATAGTCTAAATAAATAGGTCAAAAAAATAATAGTTCTGTCAAAATAATATAGGTTAAAAAAACTCAAATAAAAAAATAAAAATATTTATTTAAAAAAAGTCGCTGTGGTATTAGATATAATATGAAATTACAGGGTCCACCTCCATTTTACTATCTTTACAGGCAGTGCAGATACCAGTTGTATCTGTGCATGTAGCGCAGAAATCACCGCAAGTCGAGCAAGTTGTGCTGTCAAAGTAAGAGCCTGACGGGCAAGTGCAGCCAGTATTTGTTTTAAGTTGATTCCCTTTGCAGGAACAAGTTACAGCTCCAATAGCAGGTGACATCTTATTTCCATCTATACAAGTGTTGCAGACTATATTAATAACATCACAAGAACTACAAAATTCACCACAAGCAGAACACCCAAGTCCATTGAATTGTTTGTTGCTAGGGCAGCTGCAAGTATCACCGCTAAGAATCTGATCTCCAATACATTTGCATTTTTTACTATTGTTTGAATCCGATGTCATTAATTTCGAGTCTTTACATGTTTTACATACTCCAGTTAAATCTTCACAAGTGCTGCATAAATCTGAGCATTGAACACATGTATCTCCATCAAAGTAGTACCCTGCATGACAAGAGCATGTAGATCCGGTTAACTTTTGGGTTCCTTTGCAAATGCATTTAGTTGGGTCGACAAGACTTGGAGTAAATCTTGAGTTGCATGCTTTACAGAACCCAGTTCTATCGTAGCAGCTTGCACAATTAGCAGCGCAGCTAGCACATTTGTTGCCATCATAATAAGTTCCAACAGAGCATTGCTCACATGTGCTTTTATCGGTAATCCAGTTATAGCCGCTGGCACAAACACAGTTTGTAGGGTTTTGGGTATCAACAATAAGATGATCAATGGCTTGGCAAGTTAAACACTTGGTCGAGTTGCAGGCTGAGCAAAGAGTTGTGCAACTCTGACAAGTTGAACCATCGTAATATCCAGTAGGACAGTAGCAAGAGGATAGCGTGTAGCTATATTTTTGAGTTCCTTTGCATCTACAAACTTTCTGATTAGTAGGATCCACTTCCATTTTACTATCCTTACAAGCAGTGCAGACACCAGATATATCTGTGCATGTAGTGCAGAAATCACCGCAAGTTGAGCAGGTTGAGCTATCAAAGTAAGAGCCTGAAGTACAACTGCAACCAGCATTTGTTGCGATTTGATTCCCTTTGCAGGCACAAGTTAGAGTGTTGCTTACAGGAGACATTTTGTTTCCATCTATACAAGTGTTGCAGGTATTAGAGCCAACATTGCAAGTTAAACAGAAAGTGCTGCAATCAGAACATCCAGATCCGTTGAATTGTTTGCTTCCAGAGCATGTACACATATTATTGTTAAGTATCTGATCTCCGATACATATGCAGTTCTTCTTATTGGCTGCATCAATAGTCATTTTCGAATCTTTGCAAGTTTTGCATTCGCCAGTGTAATCTGAGCAAGATGTGCATAAGCTTGAGCATTGAACACAAGTAGATCCGTCAAAGTAGAATCCTGCATCGCAAGAACATGTTGATCCAGTTAGTTTTTGGGTTCCTTTGCAAATGCATTTTGCTGGGTCACTTGTGCTTATCATCATTCTTGAGTCCTTGCAGATAGCACAAAATCCACTACCGTTATAACAACTTGCACAATTATCTGAACAGCTAGCACATTTGGAGCCGTCGTAGTAAGTTCCAACAGAGCATTGATCACATTTGCCCGTTGCTGTAATCCAATTGTAGCCGGTGGCACAGACACAGTTACTTGGGTTTTGAGGGTCTAATATAAGGTTGGCAATACCTTGGCAAGTTAAACACTTAGTCGAGTCACAGGTCGAGCAAAGAGTTGTGCAGCTTTGGCAAGTCGAGCCATCGTAGTATCCAGTTGGACAATAGCAAGAAGATAGCGTGTAGCTATATTTTTGAGTTCCTTTACATCTGCAAGCTTTTTGATTAGCAGGGTCCACCTCCATTTTACTATCTTTACAAACAGTGCAGATACCAGTTGTATCTGTGCATGTAGTGCAGAAATCACCGCAAGTCGAGCAAGTTGTGCTGTCAAAGTAAGAGCCTGACGGACAAGTGCAGCCAGTATTTGTTTTAAGTTGATTCCCTTTGCAGGCACAAGTTAGAGTGTTACTTACAGGAGACATTTTGCTTCCATCTAAACAAGTGTTGCAGACTATATTATTAACATCGCAAGCACTACAAAATTCACCACAACTAGAGCACCCAAGTCCATTGAATTGTTTGTTGCTAGGGCAGCTGCAAGTATCACCGCTAAGAATCTGATCTCCAATACATTTGCATTTTTTATTATCGTTTGAGTCGAATGTCATTAATTTCGAGTCTTTACATGTTTTACATACTCCAGTTAAATCTTCACAAGTGCTGCATAAATCTGAGCATTGAACACATGTATCTCCATCAAAGTAGTACCCTGCATCACAAGAGCATGTAGATCCGGTTAACTTTTGGGTTCCTTTGCAAATGCATTTAGTTGGTTCGACAAGACTTGGAGTAAATCTTGAGTTGCATGCTTTACAGAACCCAGTTCTATCGTAACAGCTTGCACAATTATCTGAGCAGGCAGCACATTTATTACCATCATAATAAGTTCCAACAGAACATTGATCACACTTGCCCGATTCTGTAATCCAATTGTAGCCGCTGGCACAGACACAGTTAGTTGGGTTTTGAGGGTCTACTATAAGGTTGGCAATACCTTGGCAAGTTAAACACTTGGTCGAATCACAAGTTGAGCAAAGAGTTGTACAACTCTGACAAGTTGAACCATCGTAATATCCAGTAGGGCAGTAGCAAGAGGATGTTACGGTATTGTACTGTTGAGTTCCTTTGCATCTACAAACTTTCTGATTAGTAGGGTTAACTTCCATTTTACTATCCTTACAAGCAGTGCAGACACCAGATATATCTGTGCATGTAGTGCAGAAATCACCGCAAGTTGAGCAGGTTGAGCTATCAAAGTAAGAGCCTGAAGGACAACTGCAACCGGCATTAGTTACTATTTGATTCCCTTTGCAGGCACAAGTTAGAGTGTTGCTTACAGGAGACATCCTGGTTCCATCTAAACAAGTGTTGCAGGTATTAGAGCCAACATTGCAATTTGAACAGAAAGTGCTGCAATCAGAACATCCAGCGCCGTTAAATTGTTTACTTCCAGGGCATGTACACATATTATTGTTAAGTACCTGATCTCCGATACATATGCAGTTCTTCTTATTGGCTGCATCAATAGTCATTTTCGAATCTTTGCAAGTTTTGCATTCACCAGTGTAATCTGAGCAAGATGTGCATAAGCTTGAGCATTGGACACAAGTAGATCCGTCAAAGTAATAGCCTGCATCGCAAGAACATGTTGATCCAGTTAGTTTTTGGGTTCCTTTGCAAATGCATTTTGCTGGGTCACTTGTGCTTATCATCATTCTTGAGTCTTTGCAAACAGCGCAAAATCCACTACCGTTATAACAACTTGCACAATTATCTGAGCAGCTAGCACATTTGTTGCCATCGAAGTAAGTTCCAACAGAGCATTGATCACACTTGCCCGTTGCTGTAATCCAATTGTAGCCGGTGGCACAGACACAATTGGTTGGGTTTTGAGGGTCTACTATAAGGTTGGCAATACCTTGGCAAGTTAAACACTTAGTCGAGTCACAGGTCGAGCAAAGAGTTGTGCAGCTTTGGCAAGTCGAGCCATCGAAGTATCCAGTTGGACAATAGCAAGAAGATAGCGTGTAGCTATATTTTTGAGTTCCTTTACATCTGCAAGCTTTTTGATTAGCAGGGTCCACCTCCATTTTACTATCTTTACAAACAGTGCAGATACCAGTTGTATCTGTGCATGTAGTGCAGAAATCACCGCAAGTCGAGCAAGTTGTGCTGTCAAAGTAAGAGCCTGACGGACATGTGCAGCCAGAATTTGTTTTAAGCTGATTCCCTTTACAGGCACAAGTTACAGCACCACTCACAGGTGACATCTTATTTCCATCTATGCAAGTGTTGCAGACTTTAGCATTAACATCACAAGCACTACAAAATTCACCACAACTAGAGCACCCAAGTCCATTGAATTGTTGGTTGCTAGGGCAGCTGCAAGTATCACCGCTACGAACTCTGGTTTCCAATACATTTGCATTTTTTATTATCGTTTGAGTCAAATGTCATCAATTTCGAGTCTTTACAAGTTTTACATACTCCAGTTAAATCTTCACAAGTGCTGCATAAATCTGAGCATTGAACACATGTATCTCCATCAAAGTAGTACCCTGCATCACAAGAGCAAGTTGATCCGATTAACTTTTGGGTTCCTTTGCAAATGCATTTAGCTGGGTTGATGGTACTTGGAGTAAATCTTGAGTTGCATGCTTTGCAATAGCCAGTTCTATCGTAGCAGCTTGCACAATTATCTGAGCAGACAGCACATTTGTTACCATCATAATAAGTTCCAACAGAGCATTGTTCACACTTGCCCGATTCTGTAATCCAATTGTATCCGCTGGCACAGACACAGTTAGTTGGATTTTGAGGGTCTACTATAAGGTTGGCAATACCTTGACAAGTTAAACATTTAGTCGAGTCGCAGGTCGAGCAAAGAGTTGTGCAACTCTGACAAGTTGAACCGTCGTAGTATCCAGTAGGGCAGTAGCAAGAGGATGTTACGGTATTGTACTGTTGAGTTCCTTTGCATCTACAAACTTTCTGATTAGTAGGGTTAACTTCCATTTTACTATCCTTACAAACAGTGCAGATACCAGTTGTATCTGTGCATGTAGTGCATAAATCGCCGCAAGTCGAGCAGGTTGAGCTATCAAAGTAAGAGCCTGCCGGACAACTGCAGCCGGCATTAGTTGCTATTTGATTCCCTTTGCAGGCACAAGTTAGAGTGTTGCTTACAGGAGACATCCTGTTTCCATCTAAACAAATGTTGCAGGTATTAGAGCCAACATTGCAATTTGAACAGAAAGTGCTGCAATCAGAACATCCAGCGCCGTTGAATTGTTTGCTTCCAGGGCATGTACACATATTATTGTTAAGTACCTGATCTCCGATACATATACAGTTCTTCTTATTGGCTGAGTCAATAGTCATTTTCGAATCTTTGCAAGTTTTGCATTCACCAGTGTAATCTGAGCAAGAGGAGCATAAGCTTGAGCATTGGACACAAGTAGATCCGTCAAAGTAGTACCCTGCATCGCAAGAACATGTTGATCCAGTTAGTTTTTGGGTTCCTTTGCAAGTGCATGTCGTTCCACTAAGATCCATTCTATTAGGGTCTTTACAGATTTTACAAATTCCAGACCCGTTATAACAGCTTGCACAATTAGCAGCGCAGTTGTCACATTTTTTGCCATCGTAGTAAGTTCCAACAGAGCATTGTTCGCAGGAACTGCTAGCTGTAATCCAATTGTAGCCGCTAGCACAGACACAGTTAGTTGGATTTTGAGGGTCTACTATAAGGTTTGCAATACCTTGGCAAGTTAAACACTTAGTCGAGTCACAAGTTGAGCAAAGTGTGGTGCAACTCTGACAAGTTGAGTCATCGTAATATCCAGTAGGGCAGTAGCAAGAGGATGTTACGGTATTGTACTGTTGAGTTCCTTTGCATCTACAAACTTTCTGATTAGTAGGATCCACTTCCATTTTATCACTTTTACAGGCAGTGCAGACACCAGTTGTATCTGTGCATGTAGTGCATAAATCACCGCAAGTCGAGCAAGTTGAGCTATCAAAGTAAGAGCCTGAAGGACAACTGCAACCGGCATTTGTTACTATTTGATTCCCTTTGCAGGCACAAGTTAGAGTGTTGCTTACAGGAGACATCTTATTTCCATCTAAACAAATGTTGCAGGTATTAGAGCCAACATTGCAATTTGAACAGAAAGTGCTGCAATCAGAACATCCAGCGCCGTTGAATTGTTTGCTTCCAGGGCATGTACACATATTATTGTTAAGTATCTGATCTCCGATACATATACAGTTCTTCTTATTGGTTGGGTCAATAGTCATTTTCGAATCTTTGCAAGTTTTGCATTCGCCAGTATAATCAGAGCAAGAGGAGCATAAGCTTGAGCATTGGACACAAGTAGATCCGTCAAAGTAGTACCCTGCATCGCAAGAACATGTTGATCCAGTTAGTTTTTGGGTTCCTTTGCAAATGCATTTTGCTGGTTCGCTAGTGCTTATCATCATTCTTGAGTCCTTGCAGATAGCACAAAATCCACTACCGTTATAACAACTTGCACAATTATCTGAACAGCTAGCACATTTGGAGCCGTCGTAGTAAGTTCCAACAGAGCATTGATCACATTTGCCCGTTGCTGTAATCCAATTGTAGCCGGTGGCACAGACACAGTTACTTGGGTTTTGAGGGTCTAATATAAGGTTGGCAATACCTTGGCAAGTTAAACACTTAGTCGAGTCACAGGTCGAGCAGAGAGTTGTGCAGCTCTGGCATGTTGAGCCATCGAAGTACCCAGTTGGACAATAGCAAGAAGACAACACTGTGCTATATTTTTGAGTTCCTTTACATCTGCAAGCTTTTTGATTAGCAGGGTCCACCTCCATTTTACTATCTTTACAAACAGTGCAGATACCAGTTGTATCTGTGCATGTAGTGCAGAAATCACCGCAAGTCGAGCAAGTTGTGCTGTCAAAGTAAGAGCCTGACGGACATGTGCAGCCAGTATTTGTTTTAAGTTGATTCCCTTTGCAGGCACAAGTTAGAGTAATGCTTACAGGAGACATTTTGCTTCCATCTAAACAAGTGTTGCAGACTATATTATTAACATCGCAAGCACTACAAAATTCACCACAACTAGAGCACCCAAGTCCATTGAATTGTTTGTTGCTAGGGCAGCTGCAAGTATCACCGCTAAGAATCTGATCTCCAATACATTTGCATTTTTTATTATTGTTTGAGTCGAATGTCATTAATTTCGAGTCTTTACATGTTTTACATACTCCAGTTAAATCTTCACAAGTGCTGCATAAATCTGAGCATTGAACACATGTATCTCCATCAAAGTAGTACCCTGCATCACAAGAGCATGTAGATCCGATTAACTTTTGAGTTCCTTTGCAAATGCATTTAGTTGGGTCGACAAGACTTGGAGTAAATCTTGACTTGCATGCTTTACAGAGCCCAGTTCTATCATAACAACTTGCACAATTATCTGAGCAGGCAGCACATTTATTACCATCATAATAAGTTCCAACAGAGCATTGATCACACTTGCCCGATTCTGTAATCCAATTGTATCCGCTGGCGCAAACACAGTTAGTTGGGTTTTGAGGGTCTACTATAAGGTTGGCAATACCTTGGCAAGTTAAACACTTGGTCGAATCACAAGTTGAGCAAAGAGTTGTACAACTCTGACAAGTTGAACCGTCGTAATATCCAGTAGGGCAGTAGCAAGAGGATAACGTGTAGCTATATTGTTGAGTTCCTTTGCATCTACAAACTTTCTGATTAGTAGGGTTAACTTCCATTTTATCACTTTTACAGGCAGTGCAGACACCAGATATATCTGTGCATGTAGTGCAGAAATCACCGCAAGTTGAACAGGTTGAGCTATCAAAGTAAGAGCCTGAAGGACAACTGCAACCGGCATTTGTTACTATTTGATTCCCTTTGCAGGCACAAGTTAGAGTGTTGCTTACAGGCGACATCCTGGTTCCATCTAAACAAATGTTGCAGGTAGTAGAGCCAACATTGCAATTTGAACAGAAAGTGCTGCAATCAGAACATCCAGATCCGTTAAATTGTTTGCTTCCAGGACATGTACACATATTATTGTTAAGTATCTGATCTCCGATACATATACAGTTCTTCTTATTGGCTGCATCAATAGTCATTTTCGAATCTTTGCAAGTTTTGCATTCACCAGTGTAATCAGAGCAAGAGGAGCATAAGCTTGAGCATTGGACACAAGTAGATCCGTCAAAGTAGTACCCTGCATCGCAAGAACATGTTGATCCAGTTAGTTTTTGGGTTCCTTTGCAAATGCATTTTGCTGGTTCGCTAGTGCTTATCATCATTCTTGAGTCTTTGCAAACACCACAAAATCCACTACCGTTATAACAACTTGCACAATTATCTGAACAGCTAGCACATTTGGAGCCGTCGTAGTAAGTTCCAACAGAGCATTGATCACATTTGCCCGTTGCTGTAATCCAATTGTAGCCGCTCGCACAGACACAGTTAGTTGGGTTTTGAGGGTCTACTATAAGGTTGGCAATACCTTGGCAAGTTAAACACTTAGTCGAGTCGCAGGTCGAGCAGAGAGTTGTGCAGCTCTGGCAAGTTGAGCCATCGAAGTATCCAGTTGGACAATAGCAAGAAGACAACACTGTGCTATATTTTTGAGTTCCTTTACATCTGCAAGCTTTTTGATTAGCAGGGTCCACCTCCATTTTACTATCTTTACAAACAGTGCAGATACCAGTTGTGTCTGTGCATGTAGTGCAGAAATCACCGCAAGTCGAGCAAGTTGTGCTGTCAAAGTAAGAGCCTGACGGACATGTGCAGCCAGTATTTGTTTTAAGTTGATTCCCTTTGCAGGCACAAGTTAGAGTGTTGCTTACAGGAGACATTTTGCTTCCATCTAAACAAGTGTTGCAGACTATATTATTAACATCGCAAGCACTACAAAATTCACCACAACTAGAGCACCCAAGACCATTGAATTGTTTGTTGCTAGGGCAGCTGCAAGTATCACCGCTAAGAATCTGATCTCCAATACATTTGCATTTTTTATTATTGTTTGAGTCGAATGTCATTAATTTCGAGTCTTTACATGTTTTACATACTCCAGTTAAATCTTCACAAGTGCTGCATAAATCTGAGCATTGAACACATGTATCTCCATCAAAGTAGTACCCTGCATCACAAGAGCATGTAGATCCGATTAACTTTTGAGTTCCTTTGCAAATGCATTTAGCTGGGTTGATGGTACTTGGAGTAAATCTTGAGTTGCATGCTTTGCAATAACCAGTTCTATCATAACAACTTGCACAATTATCTGAGCAGGCAGCACATTTATTACCATCATAATAAGTTCCAACAGAACATTGATCACACTTGCCCGATTCTGTAATCCAATTGTATCCGCTGGCGCAAACACAGTTAGTTGGGTTTTGAGGGTCTACTATAAGGTTGGCAATACCTTGGCAAGTTAAACACTTGGTCGAGTCGCAGGTCGAGCAAAGAGTTGTGCAACTCTGACAAGTTGAACCGTCGTAATATCCAGTAGGGCAGTAGCAAGAGGATAACGTGTAGCTATATTGTTGAGTTCCTTTGCATCTACAAACTTTCTGATTAGTAGGGTTAACTTCCATTTTACTATCCTTACAAGCAGTGCAGACACCAGATATATCTGTGCATGTAGTGCAGAAATCACCGCAAGTTGAACAGGTTGAGCTATCAAAGTAAGAGCCTGAAGGACAACTGCAACCGGCATTAGTTACTATTTGATTCCCTTTGCAGGCACAAGTTAGAGTGTTGCTTACAGGAGACATCCTGGTTCCATCTAAACAAATGTTGCAGGTATTAGAGCCAACATTGCAATTTGAACAGAAAGTGCTGCAATCAGAACATCCAGCGCCGTTGAATTGTTTACTTCCAGGGCATGTACACATATTATTGTTAAGTATCTGATCTCCGATACATATACAGTTCTTCTTATTGGCTGCATCAATAGTCATTTTCGAATCTTTGCAAGTTTTGCATTCGCCAGTGTAATCGGAGCAAGAGGAGCATAAGCTTGAGCATTGGACACAAGTAGATCCGTCAAAGTAGTACCCTGCATCGCAAGAACATGTTGATCCAGTTAGTTTTTGGGTTCCTTTGCAAATGCATTTTGCTGGCTCGCTTGTGCTTATCATCATTCTTGAGTCTTTGCAAACACCACAAAATCCACTGCCGTTATAACAACTTGCACAATTATCTGAGCAGCTAGCACATTTGTTGCCATCGTAGTAAGTTCCAACAGAGCATTGATCACACTTGCCCGTTGCTGTAATCCAATTGTAACCGCTCGCACAGACACAATTGGTTGGGTTTTGAGGGTCTACTATAAGGTTGGCAATACCTTGACAAGTTAAACACTTAGTCGAGTCGCATGTCGAGCAAAGAGTTGTGCAACTCTGGCAAGTTGAGCCATCGTAGTATCCAGTTGGACAATAGCAAGAAGATAGCGTGTAGCTATATTTTTGAGTTCCTTTACATCTGCAAGCTTTTTGATTAGCAGGGTCCACCTCCATTTTACTATCTTTACAAACAGTGCAGATACCAGTTGTGTCTGTGCATGTAGTGCAGAAATCACCGCAAGCCGAGCAAGTTGTGCTGTCAAAGTAAGAGCCTGACGGACATGTGCAGCCAGATATTTGTTTTAAGTTGATTCCCTTTGCAGGCACAAGTTAGAGTGTTGCTTACAGGAGACATTTTGTTTCCATCTAAACAAGTGTTGCAGATTATATTACTAACATCACAAGCACTACAAAATTCACCACAACTAGAGCACCCAAGACCATTGAATTGTTTGTTGCTAGGGCAGCTGCAAGTATCACCGCTAAGAATCTGATCTCCAATACATTTGCATTTTTTATTATTGTTTGAGTCGAATGTCATTAATTTCGAGTCTTTACATGTTTTACATACTCCAGTTAAATCTTCACAAGTGCTGCATAAATCTGAGCATTGAACACATGTATCTCCATCAAAGTAGTACCCTGCATCACAAGAGCATGTAGATCCAGTTAATTTTTGAGTTCCTTTGCAAATGCATTTAGCTGGGTTGATGGTACTTGGAGTAAATCTTGAGTTGCATGCTTTGCAATAACCAGTTCTATCGTAACAGCTTGCACAATTATCTGAGCAGGCAGCACATTTGTTACCATCATAATAAGTTCCAACAGAGCATTGTTCACACTTGCCCGTTGCTGTAATCCAATTGTATCCGCTGGCACAAACACAGTTAGTTGGATTTTGAGGGTCTACTATAAGGTTTGCAATACCTTGACAAGTTAAACATTTAGTCGAGTCGCAGGTCGAGCAAAGAGTTGTGCAACTCTGACAAGTTGAACCGTCGTAGTATCCAGTAGGGCAGTAGCAAGAGGATGTTACGGTATTGTACTGTTGAGTTCCTTTGCATCTACAAACTTTCTGATTAGTAGGGTTAACTTCCATTTTATCACTTTTACAGACAGTGCAGACACCAGTTGTATCTGTGCATGTAGTGCATAAATCGCCGCAAGTCGAGCAAGTTGAGCTATCAAAGTAAGAGCCTGAAGGACAACTGCAACCATCATTAGTTGCTATTTGATTCCCTTTGCAGGCACAAGTTAGAGTGTTGCTTACAGGAGACATCCTGTTTCCATCTAAACAAGTGTTGCAGGTATTAGAGCCAACATTGCAATTTGAACAGAAAGTGCTGCAATCAGAACATCCAGATCCGTTGAATTGTTTGCTTCCAGGGCATGTACACATATTATTGTTAAGTACCTGATCTCCGATACATATACAGTTCTTCTTATTGGCTGAGTCAATAGTCATTTTCGAATCTTTGCAAGTTTTGCATTCACCAGTGTAATCTGAGCAAGAGGAGCATAAGCTTGAGCATTGGACACAAGTAGATCCGTCAAAGTAGTACCCTGCATCGCAAGAACATGTTGATCCAGTTAGTTTTTGGGTTCCTTTGCAAGTGCATGTCGTTCCACTAAGATCCATTCTATTAGGGTCTTTACAGATTTTACAAATTCCAGACCCGTTATAACAGCTTGCACAATTAGCAGCGCAGCTAGCACATTTGTTGCCATCGTAGTAAGTTCCAACAGAGCATTGTTCACACTTGCCCGATTCTGTAATCCAATTGTATCCGCTGGCACAGACACAGTTAGTTGGGTTTTGAGGGTCTACTATAAGGTTTGCAATACCTTGACAAGTTAAACATTTAGTCGAGTCACAGGTCGAGCAAAGAGTTGTGCAACTCTGACAAGTTGTGCCATCGTAGTATCCAGTAGGACAGTAGCAAGAGGATGTTATGGTATTGTACTGTTGAGTTCCTTTGCATCTACAAACTTTCTGATTAGTAGGGTTAACTTCCATTTTATCACTTTTACAGACAGTGCAGATACCAGTTGTATCTGTGCATGTAGTGCATAAATCGCCGCAAGTTGAGCAGGTTGAGCTATCAAAGTAGGAGCCTGAAGGACAACTGCAACCAGCATTTGCTACTATTTGATTCCCTTTGCAGGCACAAGTTAGAGTGTTGCTTACAGGAGACATCTTATTTCCATCTAAACAAGTGTTGCAGGTATTAGAGCCAACATTGCAATTTGAACAGAAAGTGCTGCAATCAGAACATCCAGATCCGTTAAATTGTTTGCCTCCAGCGCATGTACACATATTATTGTTAAGTATCTGATCTCCGATACATATACAGTTCTTCTTATTGGCTGGATCAATAGTCATTTTCGAATCTTTGCAAGTTTTGCATTCACCAGTGTAATCAGAGCAAGAGGAGCATAAGCTTGAGCATTGGACACAAGTAGATCCATCAAAGTAGTACCCTGCATCGCAAGAACATGTTGATCCAGTTAGTTTTTGGGTTCCTTTGCAAATGCATTTTGCTGGTTCGCTAGTGCTTATCATCATTCTTGAGTCTTTGCAAACACCACAAAATCCACTGCCGTTATAACAACTTGCACAATTATCTGAACAGCTAGCACATTTGTTGCCATCGTAGTAAGTTCCAACAGAGCATTGATCACACTTGCCCGTTGCTGTAATCCAATTGTAGCCGCTCGCACAGACACAATTGGTTGGGTTTTGAGGGTCTACTATAAGGTTTGCAATACCTTGGCAAGTTAAACACTTAGTCGAGTCGCATGTCGAGCAGAGAGTTGTGCAGCTCTGGCATGTTGAGCCATCGAAGTATCCAGTTGGACAATAGCAAGAAGACAGCACGGTGCTATATTTTTGAGTTCCTTTACATCTGCAAGCTTTTTGATTAGCAGGGTCCACCTCCATTTTACTATCTTTACAAACAGTGCAGACACCAGTTGTATCTGTGCATGTAGTGCAGAAATCACCGCAAGTCGAGCAAGTTGTGCTGTCAAAGTAAGAGCCTGACGGACATGTGCAGCCAGTATTTGTTTTAAGTTGATTCCCTTTGCAGGCACAAGTTAGAGTGTTGCTTACAGGAGACATTTTGTTTCCATCTAAACAAGTGTTGCAGACTATATTATTAACATCACAAGCACTACAAAATTCACCACAACTAGAGCACCCAAGACCATTGAATTGTTTGTTGCTAGGGCAGCTGCAAGTATCACCGTTAAGAATCTGATCTCCAATACATTTGCATTTTTTATTATTGTTTGAGTCGAATGTCATTAATTTCGAGTCTTTACATGTTTTACATACTCCAGTTAAATCTTCACAAGTGCTGCATAAATCTGAGCATTGAACACATGTATCTCCATCAAAGTAGTACCCTGCATCACAAGAGCATGTAGATCCAGTTAGCTTTTGGGCTCCTTTGCAAATGCATTTAGCTGGGTTGATGGTACTTGGAGTAAATCTTGAGTTGCATACTTTGCAATAACCAGTTCTATCGTAACAGCTTGCACAATTATCTGAGCAGGCAGCACATTTATTACCATCATAATAAGTTCCAACAGAGCATTGATCACACTTGCCCGTTGCTGTAATCCAATTGTATCCGCTCGCACAGACACAGTTAGTTGGGTTTTGAGGGTCTACTATAAGGTTGGCAATACCTTGGCAAGTTAAACACTTGGTCGAGTCGCAGGTCGAGCAAAGAGTTGTGCAACTCTGACAAGTTGTGCCATCGTAGTATCCAGTAGGACAGTAGCAAGAGGATGTTATGGTATTGTACTGTTGAGCTCCTTTGCATCTACAAACTTTCTGATTAGTAGGGTTAACTTCCATTTTACTATCCTTACAAGCAGTGCAGACACCAGATATATCTGTGCATGTAGTGCATAAATCACCGCAAGTTGAGCAAGTTGAGCTATCAAAGTAAGAGCCTGAAGGACAACTGCAACCGGCATTTGTTACTATTTGATTCCCTTTGCAGGCACAAGTTAGAGTGTTGCTTACAGGAGACATCCTGTTTCCATCTAAACAAGTGTTGCAGGTATTAGAGCCAACATTGCAATTTGAACAGAAAGTGCTGCAATCAGAACATCCAGCGCCGTTGAATTGTTTACTTCCAGAGCATGTACACATATTATTGTTAAGTATCTGATCTCCAATACATATACAGTTCTTCTTATTGGCTGGGTCAATAGTCATTTTCGAATCTTTGCAAGAAAGACATTCGCCAGTGTAATCGGAGCAAGAGGAGCATAAGCTTGAGCACTGGACACAAGTAGATCCGTCAAAGTAGTACCCTGCATTGCAAGAACATGTTGATCCAGTTAGTTTTTGGGTTCCTTTGCAAATGCATTTTGCTGGCTCGCTAGTGCTTATCATCATTCTTGAGTCTTTGCAAACACCACAAAATCCACTACCGTTATAACAACTTGCACAATTATCTGAACAGCTAGCACATTTGTTGCCATCGTAGTAAGTTCCAACAGAGCATTGATCACACTTGCCCGTTGCTGTAATCCAATTGTAGCCGCTCGCACAGACACAATTAGTTGGGTTTTGAGGATCTACTATAAGGTTTGCAATACCTTGGCAAGTTAAACACTTAGTCGAGTCGCAGGTCGAGCAAAGAGTTGTACAACTCTGGCATGTTGAGCCATCGAAGTATCCAGTTGGACAATAGCAAGAAGACAACACGGTGCTATATTTTTGAGTTCCTTTACATCTGCAAACTTTTTGATTAGCAGGGTCCACCTCCATTTTACTATCTTTACAAACAGTGCAGATACCAGTTGTATCTGTGCATGTAGTGCAGAAATCACCGCAAGTCGAGCAAGTTGTGCTGTCAAAGTAAGAGCCTGATGGACATGTGCAGCCAGTATTTGTTTTAAGCTGATTCCCTTTGCAGGCACAAGTTAGAGTGTTGCTTACAGGAGACATTTTGCTTCCATCTAAACAAGTGTTGCAGACTATATTATTAACATCACAAGCACTACAAAATTCACCACAACTAGAACACCCAAGTCCATTGAATTGTTTGTTGCTAGGGCAGCTGCAAGTATCACCGTTAAGAATCTGATCTCCAATACATTTGCATTTTTTATTATTGTTTGAGTCGAATGCCATTAATTTCGAGTCTTTACATGTTTTACATACTCCAGTTAAATCTTCACAAGTGCTGCATAAATCTGAGCATTGAACACATGTATCTCCATCAAAGTAGTACCCTACATCACAAGAGCATATAGATCCGGTTAATTTTTGGGTTCCTTTGCAAATGCATTTAGCTGGGTTGATGGTACTTGGAGTAAATCTTGAGTTGCATGCTTTGCAATAGCCAGTTCTATCGTAACAACTTGCACAATTATCTAAGCAGGCAACACATTTGTTACCATCATAATAAGTTCCAACAGAGCATTGTTCACACTTGCCCGATTCTGTAATCCAATTGTATCCGCTCGCACAGACACAGTTAGTTGGATTTTGAGGGTCTACTATAAGGTTTGCAATACCTTGACAAGTTAAACATTTAGTCGAGTCGCAGGTCGAGCAAAGAGTTGTGCAACTCTGACAAGTTGAACCATCGTAGTATCCAGTAGGGCAGTAGCAGGAGGATAGCGTGTAGCTATATTGTTGAGTTCCTTTGCATCTACAAACTTTCTGATTAGTAGGGTTAACTTCCATTTTATCACTTTTACAGGCAGTGCAGACACCAGATATATCTGTGCATGTAGTGCAGAAATCACCGCAAGTCGAGCAAGTTGAGCTATCAAAGTAAGAGCCTGAAGGACAACCGCAACCATCATTATTTGCTATTTGATTTCCTTTGCAGGCACATGTTAGAGTGTTGCTTACAGGAGACATCCTGTTTCCATCTAAACAAGTGTTGCAGGTATTAGAGCCAACATTGCAATTTGAACAGAAAGTGCTGCAATCAGAACATCCAGATCCGTTAAATTGTTTGCTTCCAGGGCATGTACACATATTATTGTTAATTCCCCCTCCGAAAGTAAACAAAATAATTGGAAAAATCGCTATTTTTTGTCCAAAAAACCCACCCTCCGTGAGTGAACAAAAATTCGATATATAAATGATAATTAGTATAATTTAAATCTAGATCTAGCTAAATTTAATTTTAAACTATTTTAGTTCCAATTTTTGTAAATTAGGATTTTTTTTAAAATTTCGAAAAATAATTTTGTATATAGCATTTCCCATGAATAGCGCTATTTGGCTATGAATTGGCTACGGGATTGCTTTTTTTTGGGTCCGACCAAAAATTGATTAAAAAATTTTTAATTTGGTCGGACCAAAAAAAGCAACCCAACCCCGTGGTCAATTCATGCCCAAATGGTGCTTTTCATAGGAAAAAATTTATAATTCTATATTTAAAATTTTTTACAAAAAAAAATTAACCTCCTCCGAAATAAACAAAATTTTTTGTTCACTCACGGAAGGTGTGAGTAAGTACCTGGTCTCCGATACATATACAGTTCTTCTTATTGGCTGAGTCAATAGTCATTTTCGAATCTTTGCAAGTTTTGCATTCGCCAGTGTAATCTGAGCAAGAGGAGCATAAGCTTGAGCATTGGACACAAGTAGATCCGTCAAAGTAATAGCCTGAATCGCAAGAACATGTTGATCCAGTTAGTTTTTGGGTTCCTTTGCAAGTGCATATCGTTCCGCTAAGATCCATCCTATTAGGGTCTTTACAGATTTTACAAGTTCCAGACCCGTCATAGCAACTTGCACAATTAGCAGCGCAGCTAGCACATTTGTTACCATCGTAGTAAGTTCCAACAGAGCATTGTTCACACTTGCCCGTTGCTGTAATCCAATTGTATCCGCTGGCACAGATACAGTTAGTTGGGTTTTGAGGGTCTACTATAAGGTTGGCAATAGCTTGGCAAGTTAAACACTTGGTCGAGTCGCAGTTTGAGCAAAGAGTTGTGCAACTCTGACAAGTTGTGCCATCGTAGTATCCAGTAGGACAGTAGCAAGAGGATGTTATGGTATTGTACTGTTGAGTTCCTTTGCATCTACAAACTTTTTGATTAGTAGGGTTAACTTCCATTTTATCACTTTTACAGACAGTGCAGACACCAGTTGTATCTGTGCATGTAGTGCATAAATCACCGCAAGTTGAGCAGGTTGAGCTATCAAAGTAAGAGCCTGACGGGCAAGTACAGCCGGCGTTTGTCTTAAGTTGATTCCCTTTGCAGGCACAAGTTACAGTACCACTCACAGGTGACATCTTATTTATATCTATACATGCGCTACATACGTTACTATCCCTCTTCCTAAGGAAACGAAATTATTAGAATTATCCTCCTATTTTTTGGGGAAAAAATTCAATTAAATTAGTTATGAATTTTAGTTTTACTGTTTAAAAAGTTCCCTTATTCAAAATGTTTTACTGGCTTACGAATGAAGAGTTTAGAATTGACATTACAGGTATCACAAAATTCACCGCAAGTAGAGCATCCATTTCCGTTGAATTGTTGGTTGCTAGGACAGGTGCAAGTATCACCGCTACGAACTTGGTTTCCAATACATTTGCATTTTTTATTATCGTTTGAGTCGAATGTCATTAATTTCGAGTCTTTACATGTTTTACATACTCCAGTTAAATCTTCACAAGTGCTGCATAAATCTGAGCATTGAACACATGTATCTCCATCAAAGTAGTACCCTGCATCGCAAGAGCATGTAGATCCGGTTAACTTTTGGGTTCCTTTGCAAATGCATTTAGTAGGGTCACTTCCTTTTTCCATTCTTGAGCTCTTACAGGTTTTGCAAACTCCAGTCCCGTCATAACAAGTTGCGCAATTAGTTCCGCAGCTAGCACACTTGTTGCCATCGTAATACATATCTGAAGAACATTGTTCACAAGTGCTTTTAGCGGTAATCCAGTTGTAGCCGCTAGCACAGACACAGTTTTTAGGGTTTTGGGTGTCAACTACAAGATGGTCAATGGATTGGCAAGTTAAACATATCATCACATTAACTTTCGCTCAGAGAGGGGCTTTTTTTTCGAAATTTAAAAAACCAAATTTACAAAATTAGATAGCAAATATTTAATTAATTTGCAAAATTGATGTTTTAAAATACAATATGCTCAAAAATTTTCTCGAAAGTTCAATTATATAATTATCACTAATATATCAACACTTTTTCATAAAAAAGCTTTGTTTGCTCAAGGAGGGTGGGCTTTTAGCAAAAATAGTAATTTTTTAATGTATTTTTTTTTCGCCCAGGAGGGGCGGGGTGAGTGAGTAGAGCATTTAGACGCTCATCACACACTTCTACTAAAAGAGACAGGGCCAAAATGGTGACATGACAAGCATTTTCCATCCAAAACATTGTGCATTCCCAAATAAGCCGCCCGTCATCTTGATTAGCGCCTCTTACCTGGAGCGTTACCATCGCATTTGCCCAGCTAATAATTAATATGACTGTGGAGACAAAGTATTCACTTGTGGATGAGGACCCTCTTTGGGTGCAAAATGGCTTTATAGCCTAGACCAAGGTTTATACTCTTTGATTCTAACCCTAATCTTGCTATATGGACGTATTGGTAGATGATCTATGGAGTCTCTTGCCAGTTTAGGAGGGGTGTGGTTCATTTTTCCTGGGTGACATCCAACCTGAAGGAGGCTAACAGGAAGCATCGCGCTGAATTACCTTTATAACGCCTAAAAGATGTTCACCACAGAGGGTCTTTCAAACCCGTCAAGCTCAGGGATGCAGTGTAAGCTCATATATCTAGGAGAAAGCTGTTATTGATGGAGCTCTGGCAACTGATTCTTCTGCTGACAAGTAAGAGTCCGATGGTTCGAAAGCACATGGAGGCATCAAATCTGTAAGATCTCAAGATTTTAAATTTAATTTTCCTCAGCTCAGCTCCTGCACGCATTTCTCCTGCATTTCATGCTCCTCAGATTAGCTTTATAATAAACTTTGAGAGTCTTGTTGCAGCGTGGAGTAGTTCTATCCCCAAAGTTAAGCCGTGAGTCTATCCAGAAGTTCTCGAAGATAAATAAAATTTGATTAGGAGAAAAAATTATCTCCACTAATTTCTCCTAATCTAAATACCATTTTATTTATGATTGGCAAGTTAAACACTTGGTGGAGTCACAGGTCGAGCAAAGAGTTGTGCAGCTCTTACAGGTGTCGTTATCAAAATAGCCAACAGGGCAAGCACAAGCCGATAAAGCGGTATTGTATTGCTGGGTTCCTTTACACCTACAAGTTGTGGTGTCGCTAGGGTTTACTTCCATTGTAGAACCATTTTTGCAGGTGCTACAAATTCCTGTTGTATCTGCACATAAAGAACATAAGCTACCGCATTGAGTGCATTTTGTGTCTTTAAAGTAATATCCGGCAGGACAGGAACAGCCGCTTACTGTTGCAGTTTGGTCGCCTTTGCATGAACAAGTAGTAGTTCCAGAAACTGCAAGCATCTTTACAGAATCAATACAAATGTTACATATTATTCCTGAAGTTTTGCTGCAAGAATTGCAAAATGTTCCGCACTCATCCCTCTCACCTATAGATAGAACAAAAAAATCCTGTTCTGATTTAAGATGCTATGTTTGAAAATAAAATTTAAAATATAAATAGAGCATACATACATTAAATTGACTAAGGGTCTTCCTTCGTTTAGCATTCAATACCGCATCACTCAGGCCGGCTTCCGTCCAACCAATCGTCTTCTACCACCTGTTCTTGATTTGAAATAGTCCCTCGGCTTCTGGTGCTCAGATTTAGACTGCAATCCTTCTTGCTCTCAGACAAGCCAGCTTGCGTCCGTTTGGCATAATAAAGGTCCCATTCTCCGCCACCTGGGTTGGTAGCTCACTTCCAGATCCCGGCTAGGTTTCCCTCCCAGTCCAGCAGTGACGATCCTAGGGTCGTCTCGATAGGACACGGGGCAAAAAGGGTTTTTCCTCTAGGGACTGTTAGTGCCAATTTGGAGGGCATAGCAGGAGCCGACAAGAGCTAAGGAGTTAATCCTTAGCTCTAACCCTAGTCTGGCGACGTGAAGCATGGTGACCCAGTCCGCCTACTTCCGGGATAGCATGACCAAGCCCCATGACCGGAAGGAGCTGAGTGGTAGCCTGTGGCACTTAGGTGCACACTGGGAGCAGGGCAAGGAAAGCAAGCGAGGCGTCCAAAAGGCGGAAGAAAAGGACCTTCGGTCCTGGCAGGGAGCTACTCTATAATTTAACTAAGACTAAGACTAAGACTAAGCTCACTTCCAGAAATTCTCTGTTCTTGGGAATGGGCGTCCAAGGTCGCGCACCCTTGGTCATAATATACCATAATGCTAGGATAAATTACTGGGTGAAGCAAACCTCATAAGCAAAAAGTGCAGAAGGAAGAATTTCTGTCCGGAGAATAGAATATCTAAATGACGCCATATTTTGATTAAAAATATAAATAGAACAAATTATTTTATTTTTATAAAGTTTTTTTAAAAAATTAATCAATTTAGGCACAAAGATTTCAATAATAATATATTCTTCTAGTAATATAAAATCCAAAACTTGGCATATAAAAGCTATTATTTTCATTTGTAAAAATTATAATTTTGTTCCATTTAAAGGGGGGGTACCAAAAAATGAAAACTTTACCGATATCATTTTCCAATTTTAAGGAGGATGAGTCAGAACATTTGTCACCATTAAATTGTTGACCGATAGGGCAAGGATAATTGAAATATGGCGTCGTTCGAATTCTCTGGTCTCCTGACCGAAAATTCTTGTGTACATTTTAACTATGAGGTTTAACTTCCATGATGAATTTATCCACACTATTTCAGGGAAACAAGAGAGAGTGGCATTTCCTACCTGACTCCTGCTTAGGGAATCGAACTTTTCAGAAGGATGCCACCTACCTCAGGCAATAGAGATTGGGATCTTTCGGGTGCATAATGAATAGTTGATAGCCTAAGCTCAAAAAAGAGCCAGGGAAGCCCAAACAAAATTAAAAACTGGCGTTCTGTCGTAAAACAAATTCAGGATGCCACAATTTGGCCGGCCGGAGGAATATGGCTCATACGTCCTAAAGTGGTATTTAAGGCAGCTGTGGTATAGAAAGCACAATAAATTTAAATTTGAATAAATTGGTGGGGAGGGCAAGTGCATGATCCATTGTCAAGAGTCTGATCTCCAATACATATACAGTTCTTCTTATTGGCTTGGTCAATAGTCATTTTCGAATCTTTGCAAGATTTGCATTCACCAGTGTAATCGTTGCAAGAGGCGCACAGGCTTGAGCATTGAACACAAGTAGATCCATCAAAGTAGTATCCTGCATCACAAGAACATGTTGATCCAGTTAGTTTTTGGGTTCCTTTGCAAATGCATGTGGTTCCACTAACTCCCCTTCCGTGGGCGAACAAAAACTTTTGTTCGTTTAAGGAAGGGGGTTAATGTTTTTTAATAAATTATTTTTTAAATTTTAAAAATTTCCAATAATGTAAAACTGAGAAGCAAAATTATTTTAATATAAGAAATTTATATTTTAAAAACGGAAGCTGCTTTATATTCATCAAAATTATTTAGGGATTTCGTTATAATAATTGTCATTTATATATATATATATTCCCTTATTAGAAATTTTTGTTCGGGGGATTAAGATTCATCCTAGCAGCGTCTTTGCAAGTATTGCAAGTGCCAATCTGCCCAGAGCAAGTAGCACATGTAGCAGCGCAGCTAACACACTTGCTGCCATCGTAATAAGTTCCATCAGAGCATTTATCGCAACTGCCCGCTGCTGTAATCCAATTGTAACCGCTCGCACAGGCACAGTTAGTTGGGTTTTGAGGGTCTACTATAAGGTTGGCAATAGCTTGACAAGTTAAACATTTAGTCGAGTCACAGGTTGAGCAAAGAGTTGTGCAACTCTGACAAGTCGAGCCATCGTAGTATCCAGTAGGACAGTAGCAAGAGGATGTTATGGTATTGTACTGTTGAGTTCCTTTGCATCTACAAACTTTTTGATTAGTAGGGTTAACTTCCATTTTATCACTTTTACAGACAGTGCAGACACCAGTTGTATCTGTGCATGTAGTGCATAAATCACCGCAAGTTGAGCAAGTTGAGCTATCAAAGTAAGAGCCTGACGGGCAAGTACAGCCGGCGTTTGCTTTAAGTTGATTTCCTTTGCAGGCACAAGTTACAGTACCACTCACAGGTGACATCTTATTTCCATCTATACAAGTGCTGCAGACAATATTATTAACATCACAAGTACTACAGAATTCACCGCAAGTAGAACACCCATTTCCGTTGAATTGTTGGTTGCTAGGACAGGTGCAAGTCTCCCCGCTAAGAATCTGATCTCCAATACATTTACAGTTTTTGTTGTCGTTTGAATCGAATGTCATTTTCGAATCCTTACATGTTGTGCATACTCCGGTATAATCTTTACAAGCACTGCATAAGCTTGAACATTTAAGACATGTCGAGCCATCAAAGTAGTATCCTGCATCACAAGAGCATGTAGATCCGGTTAACTTTTGATTTCCTTTACAAATGCATGTGGTTCCACTAAGAGCCATCCTAGCGGTGTCTTTACAAGTATCACAAGTGCCAGTCAGCCCAGAGCAAGTAGCACACATAGCTGAGCAGCTAGCACATTTGTTGCCATCGTAGTAAGTTCCAACAGAGCATTGCTCACAACTGCCGCTTGCTGTAATCCAATTGTAGCCGCTAGCGCAGACGCAATCTTTACTCTCCCACATCAGTAAGCTAAAACAATTTTCCCACTCATGGAGTATTTTTTTACAATTTTTTTGCATCCAAAATAATCCCAATTCACAAAAATAATAATATTTTTAATTTTCCTATTATTTCTTTTACCAAAAAATAGAGATTTTTCTCGTGTTTTTTTTGCTTACTCACAGATAAAAGTTAGGGTTTTGGGTGTCAACCACAAGATGGAGAATATTTTGACAAGTTAAACACTTAGTTGAATCACAAGTTAAACAAAGAGTTGTGCAGCTCTGACAAGTAGAGCCGTCGAAATATCCAATTGGGCATGTACAAGTGCTTAGCACGGTGCTATACTGCTGAGTTCCTTTGCATCTACAGATTTTCTTATTAGTAGGATGGAATTCCATAGTGCTGTCTTTGCAAGCAGTACAATCGCCCGAAATATCTGCACAGGTAGAGCATAAATCTCCACAAGTAAAACATGCTGAGTTGTCATAGTAAGAGCTTGCAGCACAAGTGCAGCCAGCTGCCGAGGTTATAAAGCTAGTTTTGCATTTACAAGTAACACTGCTGCTTACCGGGTCCATTCTTGCGCTGTCTGTACACTCAGTGCAGACATTGCTTACTACATTACAAGTTTTACAGAAGTTTCCACAACTAGAGCATTCAGATCCATTCCATTGCTTGCCTCCAGTGCAGACACACTGGCCTGATACAGCTGTTAGGTCAGAAAACTTGCATTTGCAGTTTTTATTGTTTTGTGAGTCGATAGTCATTAAAGCTTCATCGTTGCATTTTGTGCACTCTCCAGTCAAATCTGTGCAGACAGCGCATAATTCAGAGCATGGAGAGCAAGTAAGGCTATCAAAGTAAGATCCTGAGCTGCAAGAGCAAGTCAGCCCGCTAAGAATTTGATTTCCTTTGCATCTGCAAGCTTTGTCATCCGTAGGATCAAATTCCATTCTATCTCCGCCAGCACAAGTATTGCATTTCCCAGTGAAATTATCGCAGGCTTTACAGTTAGTGGAACAGCTAGAGCATTTGCTTCCGTCATAATAAGTTCCTTCAGCGCATTGCTCACAGTCATTATTTGCTACAATCCAATAATAGCTGCTTTCACAAATACAATTGTTGCGGTTTGATGGATCAACAATAAGATGGCTGATACTATCACACACAGAGCATCTAGTTGAGTCGCAAACAGAACAGTGAGTTCCGCAAGGCTGGCAGGTGTTACTATCGAAGTAGTAGCCTGAAGAGCATTTACAAGTGCCTGCTTGTTCATCGAGCTGAAGACCTGGTTTACATTTGCAACTTAAATTATCATCACTTTTTGTCATAGTGATATCTTTGCAAGAGCTGCAAATTCCAGTGGTATCTGCACAGGCTGCACAAAGTGACCCACATGGAGCGCAGCCGTTGTTTGTAAAGTATTTTCCAACAGCACATTCACAGCCAGTTGCAGTTGTAGTTTGGCTTGATCCTTTACACTCACAGATTTTATTATCTGATGCACCAAATTGCATTCTTGAGCTATCAAGACATTCGGTGCAAATCAAAGTTGTATCTGCACAGACTTTGCAAAAAGTGCCACAAGTGGAGCACACTAATCCGTTAAACTTTTGATTGTCAGGGCATGTGCATTTTTCTGAAACATACAGTTGGTCACCTGCGCATTTACATTTTTTCTCATCAGTATCATCAAATATCATTTTGCTTTCCTCCTTGCATTTAGTACACTTCCCAGTATGTATGTCGCATTCTGCACATTTATCTGAACAGGGTACACAGCCTCCGTTACTATAGTAAGTTCCTGTTAGGCAGCAAGTCGCTGGGTCAATCAGATCTCCTGTAAAAGCTATATTCTTTTTGCAAGATGTACAATCGCCAGTGAAGTCTAAACAAGCTAAACAGTTGGTTTCGCATGATTTGCAATTAGAAATTGAAGTATCAAAGTAGCTTCCAGTAGCACAAGAACAATCAAGTCCAGTAGTTTGATCTGATTTGCATTTGCAAGTCTTTGGCAGATTTGCGTCTAAATCCATTTTTCTGCCCTCTTTGCAAGTAATGCAAGTTCCATCGTCAGAGCAGGTGGCACATCTAGACTCACATGGTATGCAAACTTTATTGTTTGTGTCATAATAAGTCCCTTCATCACAAACACAGTCAGACCCTACTAGATGTTGGCCAGCTTTGCAGACGCATTTCTTTGAGTCATTTGAGTCAAAAATCATTCTTGAAGATTTGCAGGAGCTACATTGTCCTGAGAGATCGGCACAGATTTGACAGTTGTCACCGCATGTCTCACACGTGCTGCCTGCATAATAAGAGCCTGAGGCACAAGAACATTGATTGGAGACAAGCTGTTGCGATCCGAGACATTGACATTTCTTTGAGTCAGACTGAGAGACTGCCATTCTTGAAGAAGTATCAACGCAAGTCTTGCAATTTCCAGTGATAGCATCACAGTCAGGACAAGTGCTATCACAATTTACACAGTCGCCATTGCTGAAATATTTGCCTGCAGCGCAGGTGCAGCTGGTGGCTGTTGGTGTTTGATTGACTCCTTTGCATTCGCATACTTTATTATTGGTAGTGCTTAAATTCATTCTGTCACTGTCAATACAGGCCGAGCATTTACCGGTATTGTCCTCACAAGTTTTGCAGAAAGTGCCACAAGATGAGCATGTTTGCCCATTAAAAAATAATCCTTGTGAGCATGTGCATTCTCCTCCAACTAATGCTTGGTCTCCGATGCAGTGGCAAGTTTTGGTATTTGTTGGGTCCACCTCCATCTTCGATTTCTTGCAAGTAGCACATACTCCAGTGTGGGCATCACAGGTAGCACAATTTTCCTCACAAGGAATACAACGTAGATTTACTGAGTCATAATAATTAAATGGCGATCAAAGAGGGAGCTCTCTCTTGAAAGCTTTTATGAGAATTTTATTATAGGTCTATTTCCTATAAAAACTTTATTCCACAATATCAAAACGGCTTATTATACAGGTAATACAGCTAGCTTATATAAAAATGAAGATAGGGGTTTACTGCTTGGTACATCTGGGAGGGCATCTTTATAGTTTGAAAAGAGGTCTGCAAAGTGAAGGATGCCTGGCTACTATGTGAATTCCCCGTTCAAGATCGTTGAGAGTGTCGTCAATTAGAACTAAAAGGGAGGCTTTGATATCCCTCCGTGCTAAATCACTTTAATCATCTTGTTGCATTGAGTCATAATAATTCCCTGATGCGCAGCATAAAGCTGGATCAGTTAAGCTACCTTTTAGCGCTACATTTTTCACACAAGATGTGCAACCTCCAGTATCGTCACAAATTAAACAGTTCACGCCGCAAGAAATACAGTCATCATTTTTGAAATAAGTGTCTGGGGTTTTACAGATGCAGCCGGATCCATTTGCTTTTTCTTGTTGATTATTTCCTTTGCACTTGCATTCAGCAGGCTTATCGGTATTCAGCATCATTCTTGATTGATCAATGCAAGTTTTGCAAGTGACACTATCCAAGGTGCAAGTGTCGCAGAAATGGCCACAGACTGAGCATACTTGTCCATTGAAAAACTTCCCAATTGGGCATGAGCAGACTTTCCCTGACTGAGTTTGGTCACCTATACACTTGCATTTCATGTCATCGCTATCTGAGTCTCTTTCCATCTTATCCAGACAAGTAAGGCATTTTCCAGTATCTTTATCGCAGGTAGCACAAGTTTCATCACAGGACACACAAGTGCCACCGCTATAATAAGTTCCATCTACGCAGCATGATGATGGCTTCACTAACTCCCCCATTTTAAAGCGAATATACCTATTGGAAAAATCCCTATTTTGGTTAAAAGCTGCTTCCGTAAGTGAATAAAAATTGTTTTAGTATAAAAACTTTTTATAAAATTATTATATGTATATTTTTAATTATTATAAAATAAAGTTGAATTTCAATTAATTATAAATTTTTACAAATCAAATCTATTTGAATTTTATGATTTTTATGAATTTCGATAGAAAAATACTCTAAAATTTTTAACATTAGTTCTTAAAAAATAAAACCTCCTCCGTGTTAGCGAACAAGTTATTTGTTCGTCACGGGGAGAAGGGTGGATTAAGGAGCCAGTGAACTTGACTTTTTCTGAACATGTTATACATTCACCGGTCACATCTTCACAGGCATCACATTTGCTAGGGCAAGGGTCACATTTACCTCCATTTAGGTAAGTAGTTAAAGTGCAGCATGTGGTCTTTTTGATATTGAGGGTGTCTGTAAATTTAAGCTTTTTAGCACAGTCAAGACAAACTTTTCCATCCCCGCTATCTTCACAGATCTTGCAGTTGCTGTCAAAGCAGTTAGTGCATGCAGGATTAGTGCCGCTAACAAATTTCCCATCTTCACAGCAAGTCGTTTTCTTTATATTCAAAGTGTCAGAAACAGTTAAAATTCCAGAGCATTTAAGACAAGTTGTGCCAGATCCACTATCCTCACAAATGCTGCATTTATTGTCAGCACATGGCGCGCAGGTTGCTTGAGTGCTACTAACATATTGTCCATCTGGGCAGCAAGTCGTTTTCTTTATTTTGAGAGTGTTGCTAAAGCTTAAGAGATTAGAGCATTGAAGACATTTTTCCCCGTCTCCACTATCTTCACAGTATTTGCAATTTGGGCTGTCACAAGCTATACATGCAGTGTGAGCATCGCTAACAAATTTTCCTTCACTACAGCATGATGTTTTCTTTATCTCCAAAGTATCTGTAAAGCTAAATGTCTTTTTGCATTGATTGCAAACTGTACCTTCTCCGCTATCTTCACAGTATTTGCAATTTGAATCAGCACAGTTTGAGCATTGTAAATGAGTAGCGCTTACAAATTTTCCTTCATTGCAACAAGTGGTTTTCTTAATATTCAAAGTATCTGAAATTGATAAAGTTTTAGCGCATTGGAGACAACTTGAACCAGCTCCACTGTCCTCGCAGATATTGCAATTAGTATCAGGGCATTTTGTGCATTCAGTGGTAGTGCTGCTAATGAAATACCCATCAAGACAGCAAGTTGTTTTCTTTACTTTCAGTTGGGGAGTCATCGTTAAGAGATTAGAGCATTGAAGGCAAGTATCCCCACTTCCACTGTCTTCACAGTAATTGCAATTCGGGCTAGCACAGGCTGCACATGTAAGTTGACTACTACTAACATAATATCCTTTGTCACAGCAAGAGGTCTTTTTAATTTTCACCTTATACGCTAAGGATAAGGTGTTTTGGCATTGGAGACAGTTTGTCCCAGTTCCACTGTCTTCACAGAATTTGCAATTTGAGTCAGGGCAGCTTGCACAAGTCGTTTGAGAACCGCTTATGAATTTTCCTTCTTGACAGCATGATGTTTTCTTTACTTGAAGTGCGTCTGTGAAGGATAAGGTCTTCTTGCATTGAAGACAAGTTGTTCCAGTTCCACTGTCTTCGCAGAATTTGCAATTTGAATCAGCACAATTTTCACATTGGGTTTTAGTACCGGTAATGTACTTTCCTTCATCACAGCATGTTGTTTTCTTAATCTTCAAAGTATCTGCCACAGTTAAAAGATTAGAGCATTGAAGGCAAGTATTCCCACTTCCACTGTCTTCACAGTAATTGCAATTCGGGCTAGCACAGGCTGCACATGTAAGCTGGCTACTACTAACATAAAATCCTTCGTCACAGCAAGAGGTCTTTTTAATTTTCAGCTTATTCGCTAAGGATAAGGTGCTTTGGCATTGGAGACAGTTTGTCCCAGTTCCACTGTCTTCACAGAATTTGCAATTTGAGTCAGGGCAGTTTGCACAAGTCGTTTGAGAGCTGCTTACAAAATTTCCTTCTTGACAGCATGATGTTTTCTTTACTTGAAGTTTATCTGAGAAAGAGAAGGTCTTTGAGCACTGAAGACAATTGTCTCCGTCTCCACTATCCTCACAGTATTGACAGTTTGAGTCTTTACAGGCGGTGCATGAAGAATGCTTGTCACTAACAAAGTTTTTAGCGTCGCAGCATGATGTTTTCTTTATTTTCAAAGTATCTGTAACAGTTAAAAGATTGGAGCATTGAATGCAAGTGTTCCCACTTCCACTGTCTGTACATTGTTTGCAATTTTCATCAGGGCATTTTGTGCATTGAGTTGTAGTGCTGCTAATGAAATACCCATCATCACAACAAGTAGTTTTCTTTACTTTCAGTTGGGTAGTCATCGTCAAAAGATCAGAGCATTGAAGGCAAGTATTCCCACTTCCACTGTCTCCACAGTATTTGCAATTCGGGCTAGCACAGGCTGCACACGTAAGCTGACTACTACTAACATAAAATCCTTCGTCACAGCAAGAGGTCTTTTTAATTTTCAGCTTATTCGCTAAGGATAAGGTGTTTTGGCATTGGAGACAGTTTGTCCCAGTTCCACTATCTTCACAGAATTTGCAATTTGAGTCAGGGCAGCTTGCACAAGTCGTTTGAGAGCCGCTTACAAAATTTCCTTCTTGACAGCATGATGTTTTCTTTACTTGAAGTTTATCTGAGAAAGAGAAGGTCTTTGAGCACTGAAGACAATTGTCTCCGTCTCCACTATCCTCACAGTATTGACAGTTTGAGTCTTTACAGGCGGTGCATGAAGAATGCTTGTCACTAACAAAGTTTTTAGCGTCGCAGCATGATGTTTTCTTTATTTTCAAAGTATCTGTAACAGTTAAAAGATTGGAGCATTGAATGCAAGTGTTCCCACTTCCATTATCTTGACAGAGCTTGCAATTAGTATCAGGGCATTTTGTGCATTGAGTGGTAGTGCTGCTAATGAAATACCCATCATCACAACAAGTAGTTTTCTTTACTTTCAGTTTGGGAGTCATCGTTATAAGATTTGAGCATTGAAGGCAAGTATCCCCACTTCCACTGTCTTCACAGTATTTGCAATTCGGGCTAGCACAGGCTGCACATGTAGTTTGACTACTACTAACATAAAATCCTTCTAAACAGCAAGAGGTCTTTTTAATTTTCACCTTATTCGCTAAGGATAAGGTGTTTTGGCATTGGAGACAGTTTGTCCCAGTTCCACTGTCTTCACAGAATTTGCAATTTGAGTCAGGACAGCTTGCACAAGTCGTTTGAGAGCCGCTTATGAATTTTCCTTCTTGACAGCATGTTGTTTTCTTTACTTGAAGTGTATCTGCAACAGTTAAGGTCTTTGCACATTGAAGGCAATTATTCCCACTTCCACTATCTTCACAGTATTTGCAATTAATATCAGGGCATGATGTGCATGGACTAACAGTGCTGCTTACGAATTTTCCTTCGTCACAGCAAGAAGTTTTCTTCACTTTAAGTCTTGATGCAACGGTAAAGGTTTTTGAGCATTGAATGCAAGTATTCCCACTTCCACTGTCTTCGCATTGCTTGCAATTAGTATCAGGGCATGGTGTGCATAAACTAACAGTGCTGCTTCTAAATTGTCCATCTACACAGCACGAAGTTTTCTTCACTTTAAGACTTGATGCGACAGTTAAGGTCTTTGCGCATTGAATGCAAGTATTCCCACTTCCACTATCTGCACAGTATTTGCAATGAGTATCAGGGCATGGTGTGCATGAACTAACAGTGCTGCTTCTAAATTGTCCTTCGACACAGCACGAAGTTTTCTTAATTTTAACATTTGCTGCGACGGTTAATGTCTTTGCGCATTGAAGGCAAGTATTCCCACTTCCACTGTCTTCGCAGAATTTGCAATTTAAGTCAGGACAGTTTGCACAACTTGCTTGAGAGCTGCTTACGAATTTTCCTTCTTGACAGCATGTTGTTTTCTTTACTTGAAGTGTATCTGCAACAGTTAAGGTCTTTGCACATTGAAGGCAATTATTCCCACTTCCACTATCTTCACAGTATTTGCAATTAATATCAGGGCATGGTGTGCATGGACTAACAGTGCTGCTTCTAAATTTTCCTTCGTCACAGCAAGAAGTTTTCTTCACTTTAAGTCTTGATGTAACGGTAAAGGTTTTTGAACATTGAATGCAAGTATTCCCACTTCCACTATCTGCACATTGATTGCAATTCACATCAGGGCATGGTGTGCATGAACTAACAGTGCTGCTTCTAAACTGTCCATCGACACAACAAGAAGTTTTCTTTATTTTAACTTTTGACGCCAAAATTAATTTTTTAGTGCATTTATCACAACGGCCAGCAGCTCCATCTTCACAAAGCTCACAGTTTGCATCACAAGTTGAACATTTTGAATTTGAGCTATCTAAATATTTGCCGTCAGGACAGCAGCTTGGACTTTTCTTGGCTTTGATCATTGATCTAACTCTAATAGACCCTGATGTTGAACAAGCAGTGCATCCAGAGCTTCCATAATAACTGCCTGATTCACAAGTTTGGCAAGTCGATCCATCAAACCAAGGATTAGCTTGTGGACAAATGCAGGTTCCAGCTGTAGCAGTAGCATCGTTACACTCGCAGTCCTTTTTATTTGAGCTGATTATCATTGTATAGTTGTTTTGGCAGCCCAAACAGTTTCCATTGTCATCACAATAAGCGCACATTGTCCCACAAGGTGAGCAAATACCTGAGTTGTCATAATTCCCAGGAGAACAGGGAGTGACCAAAAGAGCTCTTCCATATCTTGATCCTTGAGGCTCTCTCATCACAGATATATTCTTTTGAGGAGGGTCTTCAATACCCGCATAGTCAGATGTCAACGTAAAGTTAAACATCTCACTCATTTTAGCAAGAGGAACGCTCGAATCAGCGACTTCAGCAGCATGAAGCTGCATAAAAGCTATGATAAAGCAAAGAAGAAATCGCTTAAACATATTTTTATAAGCCATGGCTTTAATAGGTAAATTTTTGAACAATGGAAAAAAATCCTTAACTTAAGTGACCCTTTTTAACAATAAAATTTAGCTTATAAACTTAAATTATGGAAGATTGTGGAGCCAGAGGTTCAAATTAAGATAATAAAATTATTAGCTGGATAAAAATGACGGAATTTTTACGACAAATTAAGAAATTTTTATAATTATGGGAGCCTTAACCCAAGGACCTGATAAGGGATTAAAAGATTAATATAGTTATTAATTAGATTAAATTATAAGAAACATTTAGAATTGAAATAAACTTTGATAGCTTTTGATAAATTTTATCAACAAAAACTATCAACTATTTCCATTGAATCTTAAATATTAGCTAGGGCCAAAAAATCGATAGAAAATTGACCAAAAGATGTCGAATTTTTAACTAGGTTGTATATAATTCGCGGCTAAATATTTTCTATTTAAAGAATTCGGGAGAAATAAATTTATAATTTAATATTTCCATCTTAATGATATTTATAAAGCTTCTTGTTTCCTTATGAATTTTTAGTTTAAATTAAGGTCTTTATATTTAAATAGAAAATAAATACACCATCGATATGAAGAAAAGCTAAAGGAAAGATTTTTTTGAGCATTAGGTAAAATAAATTAAATTTGAGTAAAACATTCAGGATGAAATTATTGGCAATCAGTAAATTTTTAGCAAAACCAAAATAAAAGATGGTTAGTAAAAATATTTAGTCAAGTTTATGGGATTTTATTTAAGAAAATTATTTATCGAGTTAAATAAATATAAATTTAATAAATGTTTGATTAAATATATAGATCTATCTTTAGAATTAATAAAATTTAATATAAGAATTGAAATTTATTTAGATAAATTCATAAAAGGAAAAATTTATTCCTTAATTTTATATATAAATTTTGCATTGCTTTTTCAAATAGCTTTTTATTGTGCATTTTGAAAATTGTTTAGGATTATTTAATTTTACTTTAAATTAAAAGTTTCAAATAACTTAACCTGCTAAAATTCATTTTAAAATAACAGCAACAGAGAGATGAATGTTTATTTATTTATATTGAATTTTAGAAGATTTGCGGTCAAGCCAGTGAATCTAACTTGAAGTTAGTAGCTAAATCTAGCAGGTCCATCTGAAAGCTTTGGTAGTAAGTTATGAGCTTTGGCATTATGATAATTTATTCGTGTTTATATGCATAAAATTGTCAATGATCAGTGAATTCTATCTTATGTATATATAAAAGTAGTATTTTGGTGCAAGAAGCTGTCTAAGAACTATTTCCGCTTTTTAGTGGTGGCTTGATTTTTTTTGTCAGCAGCTCCAGAATGCGTGTTCGAAAAATGGAGAGTGGTATACCAGCCTCAGCTGCTAAGTGATTTTGTCAAGAATTGCTGATTTTCATTTGAGAATGACCCAATTGAAAAGGCTCCACAGAGAGCAAGTATAAAGAAATGAGAGCCTTTTCTGTCGAAAAAGATCCCTTCATTGGACAATCTGATTAGGCAAGCGGGGTTTGCAATTTGGTGTTCGAGTAGGAAATGGTGATTTCTGGCCGATTATGGGAATACCTCTACTGTAAAGTTGGGCTGAGAAGCCCACCTCATGGCTAAGCCTTTAGACACAATATGTCTTGGAAGCCTTTTATAGAAGATAAATCTTGCCTTATAACCAAATTTCAATATTTTAGAATTAATTATGTGCATTATGCTTTTGATCGATAGAATTAAAATTCATTAAATATTGAGAACTGAATAAATTATTCATATATTTTAAAAATATCAATATTTATATCTTTGACATTATTTCCAGCATAGTATCTTCAATGGTTGACAGCTTAAACTTATAAATATCTAAATATTCCCCTCGCCTTTTATATTTTTTTGCCTTATCAACTTTCAAAATCAAATATGGGGAATTGGCCTTCTATAGCCTGCTTGAAACATATTTAGCTATATAATAGCAGGTTTTAATAGCTCAGGAGGGAGGGCAAAATCCTGGTATATCCTTGGCTGACGCAATGGTCCCAATCCGGCCCCTTCTTTTAACTTCCTTCCAGGTCTCTGCTTCAGCACCTTTTAATAAAACCTCTTAGTTGCCCCTTTCACTTGGGAAGATGTTTTATATTTATATCCAGTCTAAAAAGAGTATCTTAAATTTAAAATCAAGTTAATAAAAAGCCACTTAAAAACTGCACGCGCTACTTATCAACTTTTTTCACACTTGTCAACCATTTTTGGTGTGCCACTTTTCAACGCTTACCTTTATAAGATCCAGCTCATCCATTTGAAAGAGTCTGTCTTGGTCGTTCAACTGTCCATTGCATTTTGCTCAATAAAGAAATTTATATAGGGATATTGACTATCTTCATTAAATGTTAAGGTCTTATCAAGTTTCTTTTCTTTATTAGACTCTTTTATTTCTGTAAGTTTTTGCTCCAAATCCTTATTTTCTTCTATTTTTGCTCGGGCATTTTTAATTTCTTTTTCAGCATTTTCCCCATAACTTAAGTGAGAACCGAAATCCATAAAGTGTGAGGAGTCTCATCCATTATACTCCCATCTCATTTTGCGCCAATAGCCTACCCCTCATCCTCTACAACGGGGATAAAAGTTTTTTATTAATTTCTTCGGAGTTTTTCTCTTTTTCATATTTTTTACACCTTTAGGCTTCTTTTGAGGCTCTGAAGCATAAATATTTTTTTGTTCTGTTGCTATCCAAAATGTCATTTAATTTTTATTATGAAACTGTCTAATATGTCTTTCCAATTTTACATAATTGAAAGAAAATTACAATTTCTTAGTCTAAAATTATAATTTATTTAGACATCTAATAAATATCGAAATATATCTTTTGCTTCGCCCTTTTAGCTTAGCTTAGATATTATTAAGAAGCTCCTAGCCAGCTATAATGGTTTTTCATGTCCCTTAATTCGCTCAGATTTCTGCTTACAAGTTCTAAAACGAAGTTTCACCATCTTACTTCTCTTGGGAGAGGGCTTGCACTAGCTATAATCTTGACCATTCTACCTCTTTGCAAGACCCATAGAGATCTAAGCTCTCATTTAGTAGCCTCTGAATTTCTTGTTCTGAAAGCAGCCCAGCTGGGTATAAATCATCTTCTTCTAAAATCGAGAGCTTTTCGCAGCTTGGCTTTGGGTGCCAATATGAGCTAACCCCTTTACAGGCCGAGCTTATGACAGTAAACACCCGCAGTTTACACTTATAGCTCTCCCATTTCTATCGTAATATGACTTGCTCTAGCTATCCCGAAAGTGAGAACGATGGTTCGCCTTACTACATGCTAGGGTTACTATTTCCAAAAATTCGAAAAGAGAATTTTCTAGACTGGCTGCTGATCAAAATGAAACCCGTAGCACAGGGAACGGCATCATTGAAAATAGAGTATGCATACCTATCATAATTAACTAAATTTATAGATACTTATAATTTAATCATTGCTTTCAGCATTGCCAATTAAACATGGCGTCTCAGCCAGGGTATAGCCTCCCTTTTCAGGATTTGATATTCTTAGGGAAGGAAAGGCTTGGAGCTGGAAAGGGGAAATTCAACAGCTCCTGCTAGATAATTTGGGCAACTCCTACAGTGAAATCAGGAGTTAATCTATGGGCTACAATTTGGACTTTTTGCCGACAGTTGACTAAAATTCTATTTTTGGGATTTGTGTAGACAACCCATTTCAAGTCCAAGAGTTGGAATGACAGCTGCCGAAATCGGAACGCCCGAAGCTGAGGAACCATTCAGTCATAAAGCCAGGTGGTGCATGAAGCGATGATAGGCTGGGGAAGACCGCGCAGCAATGTGGTATTGGCCACTAAACGCAAGATATCAAGCTTAATGCAATGTTTCCAGCATAGCATCTTCAATGCTTGGCAACTTAAAACAACCAGAGCATTTTCCTCGCTTGCTATCTTTTTTTGCAATATAAATTTTCTTCTCTTTATTAGAAACTTTTATTTCTGTCAATTTTTGCTCTAAAACTTTATTATCTTCTATTTTTTTCTAGATTCTTCAATCTGGTTGTCAACATTTTTTCCAAAGCTGAGTTGAAAATTGAAATCCATAAAATCTGATGAGTTCCATCCATTATACTCTCACATTTAAAAGTAATTAAAACATAAAATCTTGTATCTGATTATATTTTTTTGCAAATTTTTAGCACATATACACTTTTTTTGAATAAGAATAGAGGAAGGGTAGATATTTTTCTTTTTTTCATATTTTTAACGCTTTTGATCTTCTTTTGAGGCTCTTTAACTTGAATATTTTGATGTTGCGTAACTGTGCACAATGCCATTTTACTTGATAAAGTTTATAAAGGTTTAGTCATAATCTAAATGCAGGTGGGCTTAGCCTTTTTGGGTTCTAGTCACCAAGGAACTTTTATCGGCTTTGTCCGCTTTGCGACATATCCTGTCGAAACTCTTGATAGGCCAGATGGCTTTTTGTAAATACCTTGCTCCTTCTTTAGCTCTTGATGGAGAATCGCGTGTTGAGGATGCCTACTCCATTACTTTTGAGTTGGCAGACTATTGACTTCTGCGGCGGTGGTCCTGCTTCGGACTATTATAAAATAGCCCTATCTAGGAGGGAATGTTGGAGTCTATCAGATACCGAAGTGCCTTTCTCCTGCAACTGCTTAATTTTGTGGCCCAAAATTGTAACATCTAACTTCTGGAGAAAGATGGTCTTTAGTTCTAAAGGACATTGCAGGCCACCTCAGAAACAAAACCAAAGCGTATTCTGAAATAAGTAACCCATGCCAGCCTTTATTCTCTAATGCTTCTTGCTAATTCGAAGTGGCCGTGCGGTTGAAAAGTTAGGTCAAGGGGTTGGGTGCTTATGTGACCATTTTTTCGCATAAATTTATAAAGGCAAATGATACTGGCACAACAATAACTTTTAGAACAATTTGAGCCTATTAATTGGCCACAGATATAAGAAAGCATATATCTTACTAGCAATCATAATTAAGCTAAGCTTAAGAATTACATTTATAAAAATTCTAAATCTTCTAATCCTCGCTCAATGATAGAGCAATTTTAGGTGGATTAATTTAATTTTTTTAAAAATTTACATTGAAAAATAATTAATTAAGATTAAAGTTTAAATATGGACATAAGACTTTCCACATGACCTTTTTTGAATAAATTCTCTTTCAATGTAATTCTAATCTAAAAATAAAATTTCTGATATTTTTATTTCTTCCAAATCGACGATTAAACACTATGATCTAGGAATTCCACATTAGTTCTCCGATTAAAAAAATAAGCAATTTAAAAATTACAGATATCGTTTCTACAAGAGTTTTAAACATTTCTTAAGCTTCTTCATGTCTAAATCCTTAAGTGTGTCACCTGCTAAATTGAAAATAATTAGGAAAGTAAAAAATCCTAATTGCAAAAAATTTGGAAGTAAAATATTATTTAATCTCGAGCAAATTATATTGAAATTTGCATAAATTGCAATCTAAAATATATTTTATATTTTATAATTTATTGTTTCAAGTATTTACAAATTTAATTATTTTTAAAGCCAAAAACAATTTTTAAATCTAAGTTCTTTTTCAACAAAGAGGAGTATGCAGCTAAACATTATATTTTTTATGTGCGGTATTTTAAAATTTCTAATTTTAGGACATTACTTATTATATAGAGTTTAACCCTTAATAGCCCGATAAGGGCAGATGATTCCCGTGGAATCATCTATTTGGTCCAGCCAACTTAGTGCAATGGTCGGACCAACTCACTTGCTGGTTTGACCAACTCGATGATTCTAGCGGGAATTATCTGCCCCTTATCGGACTATTAAGGGTAAAACCCTACACATACTTTAATTTACTTAAAAGTTAATTCATTTAACTTTTTACATTTGATAAATCTATATTTATAATTATCCAATAATCAAGTTTTTTTTATTAATCATAATATTTAAAATCAGAGTTTATACTGGAGAAGATGATTCTTTACATCCTTAAGGTTTATTTAACTTATTCCTGATTTTGAATCTTCGCTCAATTTTCGGTTGTTGTGCTTGACATACTTTTTTCTTTTATAGCCATCTGGTGTAAAGGCTATTGCATTGGCATTTATCAGCTCTGAAGCTCTTTTACCTTCTGATCCAGTTTGTTTTGAAACACTAGAGATTTCCAAGCTTGATATAGCCAAATTCGAGTGATTTGATGAGGAGTTACTTGCATCATCTTTCACGATTTTTACATTAAACTTTTTTGTACTTATATCTATATTGCCCTTTTCTGTAGGATTGATAACTTCAATTTCCTTTTCTTGCTCTTTCTTGGCTTTTTCGAAGCAGGAAAAACATAATCTGTATATTTGTTTCATGCAGAGATTTATTCTCCTTTGATTTTAGATAATAAAAGAATTTAAAAATTTTGTAATATTAAGGTTTAAATTGAGACAGATATTAAGAACATTTAGAGCTGCATGAATATTTCTTTATGTAAGTGCGCTTAAAAATAAGTGTTTACAATATGGTTTAGGATTTATGAAGTGTTTAGGAAATATCATGTTTATGTGATAATCAAAACTAACTCTTTGATAACTTCTAATTAGATGGATAAAATGCAATTTTTTAACCAAACGACTGAAAATTTACTTTGCATGTCTGTTGAAATTGGCTTCGAATAGGTTTTGATTTATTGAAACAAATATTTTAAATGGCTCAGCAGCAAATCTTAAAATAATAAAGGCACATGATGAGTTAAGTATATTTAATATTTGAGATTTTAATTCACATTTATCAATATAAAAAAGGTAAAACCCATGATCACCCCTTCATATTGAAATCCCAAAAGCCCAAGCACTTGAAATTGTGTCACAGTTAATTAGAATTATCAAAATTTACTGCATACTCTTCATTCGATCTATAATCTTGACTATTCCCTACCTCTTTGCAAGACCCATAGAGATCTAAGCTCTCATTCAGCAGCCTCTGAATTTCTTGTTCTGAAAGCAGCCCAGCTGGGTATAAATCATCTTCTTCTAAAATCGAGAGCTTTTCGCAGCTTGGCTTTGGATGCCAATATGAGCTAACCCCTTTACAGGCCGAGCTTATGACAGTAAAGCACCCGCAGTTTACACTTATAGCTCCTCCCATTTCTATCGTAATATTTTTAATCCGTTTTATTCGAAAATTATTAGATAATTCTGATCAAATTTAGTCTAAAATACTGAATTTACATCACTGAGCCTTTAAAACTCAGAAGTGTGCAGCTTTGTGCCATCACTCGAAGCTACGCTGCTTCGCTTGGTTTTCTCGAATTCTTTGACTAAGGAGTCGCAAACGCCCATAGTTGCCCTTCTGGTCTGGGATTTGGCTTCCCAGCTCTGGTGATTTCGCTTGATCTGCTCAAGGACAAGCAAGTTTATCGAGTCTGAGCGAAGATAGTGACACCATGCTTCAAATAGAGGAATACAAATATTTTTTAAAAATCCAGCTTGACTTTTAGGGATATCAGTTGTATCTCTATCACAAAACATAGATACTGGTTGATGCTTGGCTTTTTCTATATCTCCTTGGTTGAAAAATTCTTCACATACAAGTTTAGTTCATTTTTCATGTAAATCGGTAGCTTTGGCACTGTGACCGATGTCAGCACATTTTAGACCCATTGACAAAAGCTGGACTTTGTCGTCTTGGTTATTTATATTGAAATCTGACAAAGAATAAGCTCTGATCTTGAACCTTCCGAGAATTTCAAAATGCTTGGACATGTCAGTTTCTAGGATCATTTCCACGATTAATTTTCTGGACTTAACCCAATCTTCTGGAGTCAAACTTCCAAATAAGTTGCAATCTGGTTTGTTCATGATTTGGTAGGTTTTAGAGCAATGCATATTTTCTAGCACGCTGCTGTCATTATAAATCAGAGCAATTTCGTCTCGATTATTTACCAAAAATCTGTTATTAAGAGCTTGGTGTCCTACATCATGCCCTAAGGCAGCAACTATTGAGGATAGCAGATCAAGAGGACTTAGGGATTTCAATAAATCCCCATGATGATAAAAGAACAGAACTGTGTGTAATACGTCAGCAGCATGGCAGGCATTATGATAAGGGTTTTTATAATAACTCTAAATATTTATTACCTTTTCTAAGGTCTGGAAATATCGGTCAATGACCAGATCAGGAATTTTAAAAGAATCATTGAGGCTCCATTTCTTTAATAAATATTTACTCCCCCCCTCGAAGTTCGACCAACATTTTTTTGGTCGAACTTCGAAGGGGGTTAAGAAAAATTTTTTTAAAAAAAATTATATAGAATTTTTTTTTATATAATTTAGTAGTTAAAAAAAAAAAAAAATATTTATCATATTCTTCTGTATGGTTGAGAGGGTGTAAGGGTTAGAAAAAATAGTGCAAGATGGTTTTGTAACACTTTTTTAGAACTTGAATACAAAAATCGCAAGCTCACCCCCACATAGATTAAAATTTTTGAAAAAATTGCTTATTTCCTAGTAAATTTATATAGGTCTTGGTCAAACTTTGAGGGGGGTTAATTTTCCAAAAAAATAGGAATTTTCCCTATATCTTGGTCGAACTTCGAGGGGGAGGAGTTAGCAATCACATAAATGCTGTGCCCAGTCGAGTTATAAACAAACCATATGTCAAAGTTTCAATTCTTCCCAACTGTCGCTAGGACACTTTCTAACTCGTGGACGCCATAGCTCATAAAAGGAAAATTAATTTTCTTTTCACTGATTTCGCTAATAGACATTAACGATGAAGGGATTCTTGGGTTGTTTGGCTGAGGGCTCATAAAATTCTGCTCAATAAAAGTTTTATCGTCTTCATCCATGTCTCTTTCTCTTGCGATATTAATGACATTCAAAAAGTTTCCGTGGGCGATAATTCTGATTATTTTTTCGATTTCTAAGCAAGTGGATTTGAGTCTTTTTTTAAGATCGTTGTATATAATCATCCTCCCAGCATATCGAATTTCTCTTTTAATGCTGTCAAGCGTCCTCACAATCATCTCAATTTCTGTCTTTATCGCTTCTTTTTCATTTTCGCTCCCCAAAACCACTTTTGCCTTACCGTCTTGTTCCTCCATATGCATTCTCAGGAAAATTTGTCTGGATCTGTATTCTAACTGATACGCGTCTATAATTTGTAAAAACAGAAAAACCGAAAAAAGGGTAAACTCACTAAAAATTGAATAATAAGAGCTTGTAGATAGAGTAATATTTGCGCCTAAATACAACACCATGCTAGCGATTGACAACATAGCTATCAAATAAAAACACTCAAAGAGCGGTTTTCTGACCATTACAATGTAGCAGGTTATCCCCACCGAGCATGGCAGCCAATTTTCTGAATCAGAACTCGTAGAAAAAATTTCTGATAAAACTTTTCCGTCCCCGATGACAAGGTAAATAAGAAAAGCAAAGCTCAAAATCATTAATAAAGGTCTATAATTCATCAAAGATCAGCTCGAAAATAAAATTAGGACCAGTATTGAATATGCAATAATTGTCAACGCCAAAATGCATACTTCCCCTCGAGGCAACGAGTCAAACCATTAGAAAAATCCTATTTTTTGGGGAAAATCTCACTCTATAACAAAAATTTTATTTTAATAAAATTTTTATGAAAAATATTTTGATATATAAATTATAAATAATATAATGAAATTTCTAGCTTTCATTTAAAAAAAAATTAACCCTTCCATGAGCTAAACCATTTTGTTTGCTCGGCAGAAGAGGGGGGATTTAGCAGGTGGAATATTAGGTGATAATAATTCAAATCGCCTTTTCGGTAGAGCAGCAATGAAGTAGCGAGTAAAATGCCTAAATATGCTGTTATGAAGATATACTAAATCTCTTATATTTCTTATAAATAAAGGCTTAAGATATTTATTTAAGATTCATAAAAAAAAGGTATATAAAAAATCATCAAATTATTTTTGAATTCAGCTGAAGGCTTTGTGAAACTGTAACTTTCACAAATTAAAGCTTGCCTGTATTTTCATTCCAAAAAGTTGTCATTGTAATGAAGAAGATTGGGACAAACTGGAAGATTTTTGCTCTCCGCTTTTTCGTGGTCAAGTAAGCTATAGATAACAGAACTAGCCTGCTTTGAGATGCTTTCGTTGCTTGGTGACTTTTCTAGCTCTTTTGATGCCATAAAATATGTTTATTCTTATAGGAGATTTCATGATAGGAATTAAATTATTGATTAAAAACCCATTGAAAAGAAATTGTTAACTCCCCCTCCATGAGCGAACAAAACTATTGGAAAATCCTATTTTTTTGACCAAAAGCTCACTCTCCGTGAGCAAACAAAAATTTTTAAATAGAAAAAAATTTTTTTTATGAAAAAAATTGATATATAAGTGATAATTATTATCATGAAATATCTAGCTAATTCTGTTTAATTTTAAAGAAATTGCGTTTTAAAACATAAATTTTACAAATTGAATTAATACTTGCTTTCCTATTTTTGCGAAGTTTGGATTTTTTTACAAAATTTCTATATAAATTTTTTAAAAAAAAATCAACCCTCTTTGAGCGAACAAAATTTTTTTGTTCACTCACGGAGGGGGGAGTAAGGAGATTTCTTTGGCATTTCAAATTGTAGCAAAAACGAATTTAATGAATTAATAATTTTAAATAAAAATAAATCAGATGAAAGTCATTTTTATGAAGGAATCCAATATTTTTGGAAATGATGAGAAAGTAAAAAAAGAAATAAATTCTTTATACTGAGTTCTAGAATTTATAATCTGGTACAAGAAAAATATAGGGAAATTGAATTAATTTGTTGTTTTGAACCTTATTAAATATTAAAATTTAAATTTCAGTTAAAAGATTTTTATAACTCTCTCTTCGTATAAAAATTCAAAAAATGATTCTGACTAAAAAATTTGTTTTAATATGGCAAATTCTTATTAAATAATTTTAATATATAAGTGATTAGATTATAAACAAGAGATAGGATAGAGATATAAGTGGATTACCCTTTTCAGCCTGTTTTCTCTTTTTCTATGGATGATCTCCAAAAAAAGAAAAGCTTAAAAACTTCGTTATATAAGACAGGCCACCAAGTTTTTAGCAAAATGTCGTCCTGCTCCTATCGAGCACCAACCTGGGCCTGAGTGCTGCTGGTAAAAATATGCTAAAAATTGCCACCCAAATTGACCACTAATCAGTGGAAATAGTGTTTACCCTCTATCCTTGAGGTTAGTCTAGCACTTGGCTAGCTTTTAAGCCAAAAGCCACTATGTATATGCATAAGAACGCCCGCCAAAATGTACGGATCCATCGTAGCTAGCCATTTTATGTAAATAATATAAAGTGATAATTATTATAACAAAATCTCTAACTAATTCTTTTGAATTTTCAGCAGCTTGAATACTAAAGTCATAAAGTTCGCAAATAAATAAAAATTTTACTTTAATTGTTTTGTGGATTTCGGAAAAAAATTATTATAAATTTTTAAAATAATTAACTCTTGCTAGAAAAATAAATTTATCGCTCACAAATAGGGAGTTAGGAAAATTCTTGACAAAGACTTTATATTAATTGATAGAACATTGTTTTTAATCCCATGAATAGTAATTCAACAGTTAATTTTTAAGACACAAAAATAATTTTTTAATTCATATAGTGATATTATTCTATTAAGATTTCTATAGCTCCAGTAATGTATAAAAACACTTACCACTCGGCAGATATTACTGAGTTTCTATATAATAAAAAATTGTGGATCATGACTATAAAATGTTTTTAATCAGTTTGCTATTGAGAATAATCTTGTCTGCATTAAAATCGCATGGTATCATCGGCATACCATATTCTAGGTTGCGATTTTCCTTTAATTTTTTCATTTCTTGGAGCATGGATATCGAAAATCTAACTCCATCCTCCGTGAAAGAACAAAACCATTGGAAAAATGCCTATTTTTGGGATACCCCACAACAAAAATGTTTTAATATAAAATCTTTTAGGAAAAAAATATTTTGATATATAAGTGATAATTACTATAATAAAATCTCTAGTAATTCTGTTTAATTTAAAAGGATTAGATTTTAAAAATCAACTTTACAAATTAAATTAATATTTGCTTTAAAATTATTTCGAATTTGGATGTTTTTTTTAAATATATGAAAAAAAAAATATAAAATTTAGATGTAAATTTAAAAAAAGCCTCTTCATAAGTGAACAATGTTTTTTGTGGCTGATGGGGGGAGTAAGCATTTTGCAAGTCAAGATAAATTGGCATGTGAAAAAGTGGAAACGAGTCTCCCAAATCATAATAACTGAATTACACCAAAATTCCTTACTGAAGCTTTTGATTTTATGATAATATCTATCGTATCATAGAATCATAATCTAGCATTTAATTTAACATAAAAACATGCTGATCCCTGCTGTTAAAGAGGTCAGGTCACTAAGGATCTCGATTGAGATTTTTCCAACTTGCAATGCAATTGGCTGAATTGAACATTTGAGATAATTTGCTTGAAAGTTAGCTCGAACGACACCTTTCTCTTTCTTCAGCCTCTGATGCCATAGGACATCTAACTTGTCGCTCTTCGTCACTTCCTCTTTACCTTTTGGATCAAGTATTGATTAGGCAATATAGCCATGTTTGTAATGTGCTGAACGAAGGCGGTCCACCAAAAACCAAAAAGATCGAGTTTTGTTCTGCTATCGAAAGAAATGGAAAATAAGTAGCCCAGAGCGTAACTTCTTGCTTCATTCTGGAGAGTTGCTAGATTTTGCCTGCAGGCTTTGCTGGACTTCCCAACTCCAAACTACCTTTTTTCTCGGGATAAATCCAACTCTGAAAGTGAATTAGGCCTAGGCTCTGTACATTCTAGAATTATTTGCCTAGCATAGCAGTCCATTTCGAGTTGGTCAACCATTGCAAATATAATAATTAAAATTAACTATTTAATCAAAAAGCGATGCACCACCTTGACCTCAAAAAAAACTCTATAACTCTAATCCTTGGCATACTCCGCCGAGCTGTATGGGGTGTATTCTTGAGAGCCAGCTTATGGTGGCTCCTGACGAGATATTAATTATTCTGATGGTATTTGGGCGGGCTTTATCCCTTTCAACTCTGGATAGAGTGCTTTCTTTTTCCTGGGTGTCACTATTCCTCGAGGTGGCCGATAGTGGTATTGGGCTAACCTGTACCTTTTTAGTGGCCGATGACATTCTGACGAAAGAGTACATTTCGACGTGTCGAGACTCTTGGAGACCTAAATGCAAGCCCCACCCCTATAGTAGACCAATTTTCAAATAGCATCTGAATTTCTGCTCAGCTAGCAGGCTTCATTGGTTGAAGTGAACAAGGCAAAAAAATTATGAAGAAGACTTTAATTTGTTTTAATTTAATTCGCAGGATATAATTAAATACGAGCTCAAGGCCGGGAAGTCATTCCTAGACTTAGCTCTGTATTTAATTAATCTAAATTACAGCTTTTGTTCTATAAGTTTTTTTTAAAAATTTTAAATTATGGAAAGCCTTATTAATTAGTAAAGGAAGTTTATTAAAGCAAAGTCGATTATCTCTAAATATAATAATTTTGATTCAGCAACTAATGATGGATTAGATTAGGCTATTAAAGTTAGGCGTTAGCCATATTGGTGCGGGCGATTGGAGTAGCTTGATTCCACTGATCAGCTCCTTGTAGTCTATTAGATACCGAAATGCCTTCCTTCGACAGCTAAACAAAAAGACTACTCACCTATGATCTGGGCCGAAAAAAAACTCGGCTTCTCGATAGAGGAAAGCCCATAGTTCCTCGGATCTAAGGATGCTGCTGAATACCTCCATTTATAATCACAGGGAAGCAGCTAAAACCTACTCGGATACACATCTTTTGAGTATCCTCTTGATTCTCAACTCGAAGTCTGTCCCAGTTCGCCTTAGCCATCTAGACTGTTGCGCCAAGAGGCATGCTGACACATGTATAACCATTTTAATGCATATTCAACAACTAGTGCCACTTAAACTTATTTTATTAATGTCAACCTTAATATGACTAAAAATTTAGACCAGCAATTAAATATGCTTATTACTTAGTCCTGAATTCTTCCTTTCCAGCATCATTAAGCAAACAAATGTGAGGGAGATCCCTAAAGTAGTTGTTATAGTCCGTATGATACCCAATAATCCACTCATTTGGCACCGAAAATCCAATGTGATCAGGCACAATGCGTGTGTTTTCAGGATTTCTCTTATAAATTAGCACGCAGATTTTCAATGAAGCTGGGTTTTTTTTCTCTTACTCCTACCCTGGAAGAAAGCACAACCATTAGAAAAAGGAAAAAATTAATCCCTTTTTTAGCAACCAAAACAGTTTGTTATATAATTAATAACGATTATGGTGAAAGCTCTATGAAATTATAAATTAGCCCCCCTCTTATGATACTTGCGACTCTTGAAAGTGTATTTCCACTATCAACTAAGTCTTCCACAATGACCACCTCTTTTCCTTCTAGGTCCAGGGCGTCCAGGCCTTCAAGGATAATGTCATGCTGGGTTTGACCTACGTAGCTCCTTGCACGGATAAAGTCAATTGTATAGACAAACTGCTCTTTATAGCAGGCGCGGTCGATGCCATCAACTAAATCCTTGGCAAATCTAAAGGCTCCTCGCAAGATCACGATAAGGGCGATTGAGCGAGTTTTTGACTCGCTTGTGAGGGTTTCAGCGAGCCTTAAAATCCTGTCTTCGATTTGACCTTTGGAGATGAAAACTAAGTCGATGTATGCTTTGTATTTCTCAGGGATGCATAATAAGTTGGCAGAAGTATATGCTCCATCTTCGATATAAACATAGTCTCCTTGCCGCTCCATTTATTAAGCTGCATTTTCTTTAAATTTCAGCTTATTCAAAGATTAGTAAAAATTATAATAAAAAACCAAAAGGTTTAAAGGTGTTGAAAGCATTGATATTCTTTATGATATTTATTGGGAATAATCTCCATAAGCTGGAATTAAAAAAGAGTATTGTTTAAGGAGAGTCAAGGATGCAAGCTTGATATGATATTGGACTCTGCATTAAGGAGCTTATATATTCTTCATATTTATGGCACAATTTTAGTCTTGCTTGGCTAATTCTAAATGGAGTCAATTGACAGAAAAGCTGACATAAAAAGGCTTTTATTTATCTTCTCCCATTTTTTGACTCACACATACGAGCAAGTATTATTTTATATAATAAAAATAGTTATTTAAGCAGAATCGGAAATGAAGAAGCTCTCTCATGATAGACTCAAAAATATAAAAAATTATTTTCCCTATATCAATAGTCATTTTAAGCAGATCTTGAATAGTAATGAAAGAGGGAAATTTTTTGGCTTATTACTCGATTATTAGCTTGATCATAATTATGGGACTTCATTTTTAAATCTCCCAATCAAACCTTGAATAGAAAATCTAAAACTTCCTTTATCGCTTGAAAATCTGTTTAGAGAACTATGGTTTATTTTAAATTATTAATCACTGATTATAGATTACTTAATCGGGCGACAATTCAAACTTTCTCTCTGGCTGAAGCATCTTCTTGAAGATGGAGGAGTATCATATGATGCTTTAATTATTTTGCTTTCTGACATTTACATATAAAGCATTTTAGTGGCATAGACTGAACCGGCCAGTCCTCAAATTAATTTGGTACCCAAGATATCAAAGCAAAAAATTTCAAGGGATTATAGTCTTTTACAGGGAATATCAGAATTTGCAAAAAACCAACGATAATCATTTCTGAGCACAGCAATAAATTATTTGTCCAGCTTGTAATTTCTTCTTTGGAGTAGTCATCAGTATTAGCTATCCACCCCTGATCTGCACAGAATGAAATTATTATAGGCTGAAGTTCTGTGAACACCATGGAAAGCTGAACCAAGTTGAATTTCGCTTTAAGCTGCAAATCATATAGCTCAGGAATTCTAGCCGCAAAAAAAGAATAATTTACCAAATAAAACAAGGCCAATCCAGAACTGATCGATCTAATAGCGCTTAGTCAAAACCAGAGAGAGTCTGTGCTACTGTCTCCAATAGAGAAGCCATCAATATCAAAAGCCAACAAAAATGAGATGGCAATCGTAAACACTATTATCACAAAAACCACCTGAAATGTCCCTATTCTTATTTTTGTTAAATAAGACATTGTCTGCTCAGGGGTAGATAAGGGGCTTGGCTTAATGCAAGGTAAGATTCACTTGGCTTCTTTCATGCTCATTATAGTTTTGAGTTCAGCATCCTTGCTGAAGTAATAAACCCCATTTGATTCAGTTCAACCTATGAGCATCTCTATAAGAACCAAAAACATTGCAAAACAAAATGCTTTGTCAATTGCAATTATTGGATCTAAATTTTTCAGCCTATCACCTACATATAAGCATGCCCATGCTGACCAGCCAACTATTATAGGTGTCGTGAATAAGAGCATGCATATAACTTGGGCTGATTTATACTTCATATTTCTAGCATACGACAAAATTTGATGGAGACAGATAAACGTGGAAATAACTAAGATAACTGCTGTTACTCCGATAGCAGAGCTTTCTCCTAAATTATCGTGGTTTACCATTTAAAATACCAATTTTCACCATTTTTCAATTTGCTCTCCTTAGTGCTCAAAATTGGAGAATATTTTCTAAAGACGAGCTCTAAATACCAAAACTTGAATTAGTGATTAATTAATAAATTTTGCAACTTGCTATACTGTATAAATTTAACAGAAGCTGTGGGAATAAGATTAATGCAAATTCTATTAGACTTGAAGCTAATTTTTATGACAACAGCAGAAAACATATCCCTGTTTTAAAACCAATTTGTGCAAAGATCAAGAATTTGAGGCTTTTAGAGAGGCTTTATAATTGAGGAGAACGGTTATACCATCTTGGTTTAATAAATTCTTGACTCTTCTCGTTTTGAAACATCCTTGTAAAGTTTTGATATTGTGATCATGCCATGGCATAGGCTAAGTTTTTAATATTAATTAAATTAAGCTAAGCTAATGCTATTTAAAGCTCCCAGCATTACTTCGTGAGCAATGAATTCCCCCGCTAACTTCGCCTCAGTTATCTTGTCAACATCGATCCGATGGACAACTCTTAAATCATTTCCTAGGGTGCATGGACTGAGTCACTGCTCCTCGCGTCAACGGGTTGCCCTTCCGAGCCGTCGATCAAAGTGGAGCTTCGTAACTCGAGACGCAGCACCAGCTATCGCGCTTGACAGTTTCATAATGAAACTCTTGGCCTTGCTGGGTTTCCCTTTAAGCGCCACTCAAGACTGAAGTTTCAAGGTGAGGATGAGACAGAAGGTGCTGGAAGTGGCATCCACCTTCGGGGGAAGACCCTCTGAGCTGGAGTTGAAAAGCGGTAGAACCTGCCGTACTGAAGGTCTTTGGTGGCTGTTCACCAATAGGCTGACGACTTTTAATCATCCTAATCCTAATGCTGGGCTTTCCTTTTCCAACTCCGAATGATAATCTCCCTCTAGGTAAAAACCCTGATCTGGATGTGAGATTAATGTTGGCAAATCCGAAATTGCACTCCATTAGACAAGGTAAATACTGGGTGGATAAATTTAAACAAAAAACTCAGTTCCAATTTAAAGAGGGGTTAATTTTTAGAAAAAAATTAAAAATTGAGACAATACTTTGAATTCTAATGCGTTTTTATGAGAGAGAATATTATCTTATTTTAAGCCATTATTCCAGGGTTTATCTAGATTTAATAATTCTTTTACCTCTTGATTTTTAATTCTTCCATATTGCTAAATATTCTTCAGTTATAAATTTTGAATTTTCTGCGTCCGTCTAAATTTGATTTTTGATTTCTTGACTGAATTTTCTTTTTCTTGGGATGGAGTCGAAAAAAAGCAGTAGAAACTCCCATATGGGAGGTCTTTGGTGACCTTCTCACTTAACACCCGACTTTAATAACTTAACTTAACTTAACCTAGCCTAACTTAATCTTTTGAAAATTAAAATCTTTGCTTTTTCTAACTGCTCTTCATAGCGAATATGCATCCAATTTACAAGGATTTCATAGAATTATTAAAAATCTTGCTTCACTTGCAATTTTCATTTCATTTTTAAAATTATGTCTTAAATTTTATATTATTAAAAATAGATTTTTTCGTGATGCACTTTTTTATCACTCCATTCCAAATGATCATCTACTTGCGATAGTGTTCATCTCATCGAAGTACATTTGGTCGAAAATTTTTATATAGTGTAGCATTTTGAAATCTAACGTTTTTTTGGTCTAATACCTCACTTCAAAAAAATTCAACCAATTTTTGACTAATTCACTTCGGTGAAGTGTATACTATCAAAAGTACATAATCATTGTGCCTGCACCCTTGTTTTAACTACTTATTCTTAGTTTTTAAAGTATTAGTATTTAATCACAGACAACAAGAAGCTAATACTTTTAACTTTTTTTTACAAAAATCTCCTTAAAAGACGTATAGTAATTTCTTGAAGACATTTCTTGATCCATAAAAATTATATAAAGAATTTAACTTCCCCCTTCCGTGAGCGAACAAAAATATTTTGTTCGCTCACGAAGGGGGTTAATATTTTTTTAAAATTTATATATAAATTTTATCATAATTTTTTTTTTCGAAATTTAAAAACTCCAAATGGAAAGCAAGTATTTATTTAATTTGTAAAATTTATGTTTTAAAATTCAATTTGTTCAAAATTAAACAGAATTAGCTAGATGTTTCATTATAATAATAATAATTTGTATATCAAATTTTTCCTAAAAATTGGTAAATTAAAAAATTATTTTTTCGCTACGGAGGGTGGGTTTTTGGGATAAATAGGGAATTTTTCCAATGTTTGGTTCGTTCATGAAGGGCGAAAGGGGGAGTAAGCAGAATAATATATAATAGCCAGAAACTCACTTACTCTCTCAGTGAGTGGCTAAAAAAATTTCGTTTGCTCACGGAGGATTATTTTTTTTAAAAATTTTATATTTAAATTTTATATTAGGTTCTTTTAAAAATTTTAAAAAAAATCCTAATTTGAAATAATGTTAAAACAAATATTAATTTAATTTATAAATTTAGGTTTTAAAAATGAAAATTAAACAGAATTAGTTTAAGATTTCATTATAATAATTATCACTCATATATAAAATGAATTTTTATAAAAATTTTTATATAAAAAATACTCACAGAGGGTGGGCTTTTAAATAAAAATTAGCGACTTTTCCAATGATTTGTTCGCTAACGGTGGAGTGAGCTATAAAAAGATGCTGATCTATTATTTTTCTAGGATAAGATATTCACAACAAGGAAAAAGGAGTCTGGATCTCACCCTTTACTAAATTCACAAAATAGAAAATAATAATTACTTAAAGACATCTTTGTCCAGGCTTCACATGTATAATAAAAAATTTTACCCCTATATAAAATTTACTTATAAAATCTAATTTTTAATGTTGCACTTGAATTTTTATCAAAAATACAGTTTTAACTTTGAAAATGAATTTTATTATAAATATAAAGCAATTTTCGAAGTATGATCTTGCATAATATTCAAAAATTGCTGAAAATTCCTTCAAAGAAAAACGGAAAAACAAAGAAAAAGGCAAAAGAGACTAATAAAAGGTCTAAAGCAGAAACAATATGTCGCCCACAAAAGAGGAACTTCCTAATTTACAGTTTAGAGTGATGGAATTTTAGAGATAAATGAGATCAATATATTGAATCAATAAAAAATGATCTAAAACTGAAAAATGAAAAATCAGTTTATATGAAGAATCAGCGAATTCTTTATAAAATGGAAAATGAATTTAATTCACAAGAAATTATAGTCAAAAAGAACAGGAAATTCAAGCTTTCTAAATTAAAATTAACGGGAGTTATGTTGAAAATTGGAATATAATGTGCGGATATCTATTATAATTCTTTAAAACCTATTTTGTCTAAAAATCGACATTAATTGAAATTATTAATTCTTAACTTGCTTTATAAATAATATGCAGACACCAAAAATGTTCCCCAAAAATGATATGATAATGGCTTCAGAGTAAGTTTTAAATTTAATTTATTTTTTAGTCTCTTTGAAGTCTCAAATAAATGGCAGACAACACTGTAAAAGTTTACGGACACATTCTCTCGCCTCCTGTTAGGGCTGTCCTCATATTTTGTCAACTTCATAACATTCCTATCGAATTCCTTGATGTTGATATGGCCCACGGTGGTCATAAGTCCCCAGAATATTTAGCAATTAATCCTTATGGCTTGGTTCCTGCCATTACTCATGGAGACTTCCATTTGGGTGAGAGTGGAGCAATTGTCTTCTATTTAGCTGAAACTTTTCACTTAGACAGTCAATGGTTCCCTGCAGACCTCCAACAGAAAGCTAAAATCAACTCATCACTCCATTGGCATCATACCAATACTGTAAAAAATATTATCCCTTATACCTACAATAAGGTCGTCGCTCCTATGTTTTTGGGGAAGCCTCCAGTTACTCCTGAGTTTGATGCTGAGCTTATTGCAAATGCACGCACATTCCTTAAATCCCTTGACGATTTATTCGCAACTGGGGTTTACATTGCAAGAACTGCTCACCCAACTTACGCAGATGTTCTTTTGTATTGCTATGTCAGTCACTTGGAATTTGCTTCGTTTGATTTCAGTACTTATCCAGCCCTTAATAGATGGAGAGACGAGATAGGTGCAATTGAAGCTGTAAGAGAAGTGCATGAGCAATTCAGACAAATGGTGGCATGTATTCTTGAAAAATTCCAAGCTCCTCAGCCCTCAGCATAATTTATTCTAATTAAAACTTAAATTGCTCTCCCATAAGGGCGAGTCGGGGGCTTTTTTCCAGCCCGCTAATTTAAACCCTGACCCTCTTTGAAGTCTCTCTTATGGATAAACAATTTTCTGTTTGAAGATTCTGGCCGAAAGCATTATTAATAATAAAAATAGCTGGCAAGGCAAAAACGGTTTTTACTTATAATTATTATCATATTGATAAGCCATCACTGGTGTTTTAAATATAAGTAGAATGCCTTAAATTTGCTCATAATTTTGCGCATTAGTATCTGAAATGACATAAAATCTTATTGGCTCATACAGCAGAATTATCCAAATTATCTCGCTGGCTATTTAAATTAAATCTGTTTGCATTTCAATTTAATTGTCTTTGTATTAATGAATCGTTATCGTTATATTATCTATTACATTTAAAGTACACTACGGGGTAGCCGTTTCCAGAGCTGTCACCATATTTGTCCACGTGTTTGGGCCCATGGACCTCTGGATCGATCCACTTTGTTATATCATGGCACGGCAAAATACAACGTTCCGGCTTCGACGGGCTGGGTTGCCTTGCCTTCCTTGACTCAGCTCCTGCGCGTGCTCCGTCTAAGGGTCACCTTCCTCGGGTGTGCTGAGAGGCAAAACTTCGAGCCTCTTGATGTACTCGGAGCAGTGCCTCAGCTTATATGCCTGAGTTAAATGTTGTTGCTGTACAGAAGTTCTCAGAAGAAAACCTAAACCCATAAATAAAATTGCTTGAGAATGCCATTTTATTTGTTTTATTAAAGAATCAATAGCTTTGAGCCATACCGATGAGGGATCTGCCAATTTTTATAGTTGTGATATCTAAATTACTCTAGCTTAGATCTTTCAAATTTAGAATATTTTAAATTCAGCTCAATCTTATTTTTATAGAATTCGCTTACAAAAAACTTAAAGTATAGAATTGTTTCCAATTACAACGTGAACTTAAATATTCATTGGGAGAAACTAAAATCTATATCATGAATTTGATAGATTAATATGAAGATTAATTAATAAAGCGACATGCTTTCTCCTGGCCAAGAGATATTCTTAAAGATGGTGGGGTCTCATAGAAGATGGGGGAAACACTAAATTAAAACACTAACAATAATCATTTCTGAGCACAGTAACAAAGAGCTCGTCCAGCTTGTAATTCTGATTGAGAATATTTATCTTTATTTGCAATTCAGCCTTGATCCGCAAATAATTCTTTAAAAAACTATTAGCCTTTCATAATTCTGCAAATAAAATAAACTTTAAATCTAAATACAGAAATAACTTGCTATTATTTATTGATTATTATTAATAGAATGAAAACCAATTCTTTTTAAATTTGTTCTTAGTTAGCGATAAACTTTCTTGATGATGGCGGAGTTTTATAATCACTTAGGGGGAAAACAAGAATTTGCAAAAACCCCATAATAATCATTTCTGAGCACAGCAACAAAGAATTAGTTCAGCCTATAATTTCCACCTGGGAGTAATTATCAGTGTTCGCAATCCAGCCTCTATCTGCACAAAATGATATGATTGAAGGTTGAATTTCAGTGAAAACCATAGAAAGCTGAATCAAGTTGAATTTTGATTTAATTCTCAGCTCATTTAGTTCTGGAATTTTTGCTGCGAAAAAGGCATAATTTACCAAAAAAAACACTGCTACTACTGAACTTAAAGATCTTATTGAGCTTAGTCAAAACCAAATAGAGTCGGTGCTATTTTCGCCGATTTTAAAGTCATCATAATCAAAAATAAGAAAAGGAGTGCTTATAATTGTAATGGCTATAATCACAAAGATCACTTGGAATATTCCAATTCTTATTTTTCTTAAATAAGAGATTGCTTGCTTACTCGAGGATAAAGGACTTGGCTTAATACAAGGCAAAAGCCATTTGGCTTCCTTCATATCCATTAGTACTCTAATTTCAGCCTCTTTAGTAAAAAAATATGTGCCGTTAGACTCAGTCCATCCAAGAAGCATCTCAATAAGTATCAAAAACATTGCGATGCAAAAGGCTTTGTCTAAAGCGATTAGAGCTTCATAATTTTTCATTGTTTCACCTACGTATAAGCACGCCCACGCTGACCATCCGACTATTACAGGTGTCGTAAATAGAAGCATGCATGCGATTTGAGCCGATTTGTACTTCATATTCCTTGCATACGAGAATATATGATGAAGACATATGAAGGTGGAAATTATTAAGACAACTGCGGTGACTCCTATCGCAGAGCTCTCTTCCAGATTATCACGATTGACCATTTACAATTATTAAGGTTTCATTTTATAATTATCTCTCCCATTCTAATAAAAATTGGAGAAAATTTTATTATCATTAAGAAGATCAAGCAATATAATGCATTCTATTCAATATTTTGGTTTTTAAATAAAATTAAAAATGCATACTATCAGCGTTACAAATTTTAATAATTAATCAAAAATATTATGAATTCCCTCAGATTGCCCGAAATCTTTCTGTCTTGAGATTTTTCGTATATGCATAGTTTAAGAGACCTGACAAAATATAAATGTTTCATATTTATTATATCGATTTCTATTAATTTGCACACAAAATAAAAATATTTTATAGTTGATAATAATAACTCAATTTATTTTATTAAGTGCATGATTATTAAGTGATTATGCTAAAGCAATTATTAGTTATCTTATATGTTAATATTAAAGCAAAAATTTCAAATTTATCACAGTTTTGAGCTGAGTCTTTTCTAATTTGCTCCTTTCCAAATTGATAGGTTTGTAAAACCATTCTCATCGACTCATAACCAGTGCGATATTTGGTATTGTGTCCCAGGTCTCATGTATCACATCGATACGAAAATAGCCAAAAATTTGTGTTTCAAATTTTCGAAATGGCAGCCTAGGTAGGCAAACTCGAACAAGAATCAAGATGATTTTTGAGAGGTAAAATTAATAAAATCAGCAAATTCAACAATCTGGGTAAATTGCCTTCATATAAGCAAATTCTTATTCTCGAGTCTAAAAACTACCATATTTTCATATTGATTCAGGAGTTTCAATTTTTAGATTTTTATCTTTTTTAAAATTGATTAGAAATAGAGAATTTGATTTTATATAAATGAAAATACTTTTATTTTAAATCTTCGATATAACCCAGGGCGCCGTTTAGATCGCCTTAGGCTACAAAATGCTCTTACAACTCTTGTTTCGCGAGTCATTCCACCAGTTGGAATGCATTTATAGCCCAGAGCAATCTAAAAAAGAGACTCTGGCTATATTTCTTTAAATTTTGTATTTTTATAATTTTTTTTTATTTGAAGCTATTAATTGATGATATTATTTAAGAAGCCGATCAGAGTTTTCCCCATGAGTGCTGAATTTTCGTGATGATGGAGGTGTATCATAATCGCTTACAGGAAACACTAAAATTTGTATAAACCCAACAATAATCATTTCTGAGCACAGCAATAAAGAATTCGTTCAGCTTGTAATTTCTTCTTGCGAATAGTCATCGGTGTCTGCTATCCAGCCCTTTCCTGCACAATATGAAATAATTAAAGGCTGGATTTCAGTGAAAATCATAGAAAGCTTGATCAGGTAGAATTTTGATCGAATTTTCAGGTCATTAAGCTCAGGAATTCTTGCAGCAAAAAATGCATAATTTACTAAATAAAATAAAGCAACCGCACAGCTTATTGACCTTATAGAATTCAACCAAAGCCAGACAGAGTTGCTATTATTGTCTCCGATTTTAAAATCTTCACTGTCAAAGATAAGCAAAGCTGCAGTAATAATTGTGACTGTTATAATCACAAACACCACTTGATATGTCCCTATTCTTACTTTTCACAAGTAAGATAACGCTTGATCTGGCGTAGATAAAGGGCTTGGCTTGATGCAGGGCAAAAGCCATTTGGCTTCTTTCATGTTTACTATGGTTCTTACTTCTGTTTCTTTGGTGTAAAAATATTTCCCATTCGACTCAGTCCACCCTAGAAGCATTTCTGTGAGGATCAGAAACATTGTAATGCAGAATGCTTTGTCTATTGTGACTAGTGAGTCTAGATTTTTCAGTTCTTCACCTACATATAACGACGCTCACGCTGACCAGCCGACTATCATAGGTGTTGTAAATAAAAGCATGCACGCAATTTGAGCAGATTTGTATTTCATATTTCTTGCATAGGAGACTATTTGGTAGAGAGAAATAAAGGTCGAGATTACTAAAACTACTGCTGTGACTCCTACAGCAGAACTTTCTGCTAAGTTATGATGATCGACCATTTAAATTCTGTTAGTTTCATTTATCAACAAACCTAATAAAATTAGAAAATAATTAATTCATCGGAGATATCAAATTATCATTCTTTTTATAATAAACAATTTATAAAATATATTAAAATCTCAAATTTTTTAATAAAATTAAGTTGATCGAGACTGCCTCCATAAAATTTCAAAAAAAAGGTCTTCCATTAGACCCATTAAAAATTTATCGCAGATATGGCCGAATATTTTATACATGCCTTTAAAGGCAAATTAAAGAATCCCTCTCGACTCGAATCCGCACCAGGGACCCCAAAAAAATTATCTCAAGGAATCGACAAATTTAATATCCCTCCTATGACCCCAAGAAAACTTTCCGCAAATGATGAAAGTAACCATTTGCTTGAAGGAAATAACGCAGAGACTGCCCATTCAAAATATTATGAAATCTGGCAGAGAGCAAAACGAAAGATTTTCACAAACATTAGAATGAAGAAGTTAATGAACAACATAAGGCTTTTTGGGCCTGGGATGAACGAAGAGATGGAAGAAGGAGATATAGAAAACTATTTCAAAAAAAAAAAAAACCAAATTCTCACTGTCAGGTCAGGCCTTATAGCTACCAATAGCACTCCCTGTGGAATTATTCATCCATCAAAAGGATGCAGAATTGTATGAAACTGCTACATTGGGGCAGTGCTGATATTCACTGCTATTTTCATCCCTTATTCAATGGCATTTATTAACTCACTTGTCTTTGATACTTGGTGGTGGATGAATACGATCATTGATTTTAGCTTTTTGATTGATTTTTTGCTGAATTTAAATACAGCTTATATAGATAGCGAAGGGGGATTGGTAACATCCCGATGGAAAATCTTTATCAACTACTTAAAAGGATGGCTTATTTTAGATCTGATCTCAGCAATCCCGTTTGGATTTTTTGAAGCATTTTCGGGACAAAATGAAAGTTCTTCAAATAACAGAAAATATAGCTCACTTGTAAGACTTTTTCGCTTAAAAGGGCTCCCAAAGCTGTTGAGGATGCTTAAAGCTATGAAAGTTGAAGGAAATTCGAAAAAGGCTGAAATTTTGGAAACCTTTCAGCATTTTTTTAATTTGGGACATACTACGATACGATTCGTCAGCACAGTTTTTGGGCTACTTATAGCTTTACATTGTGTCACATGCTTTTGGTACATTTGTGATAAATTTGATGACTTTGGTCCTGATACCTGGGTTGTGAGGTATGGATATATAGACTCAGACCATTTTACAATATATTTAACCTCTATGTATTGGGCATTAACAACCCTTGTAACGCTGGGATATGGCGACATCACCCCATTAACACTGACAGAAAAATCATTTACAATGTGCTGAATGGTGATATCAATGTATGCACTATCCTTTGTGGTAAGCAGTCTTTCTTCAATGTTTGCACAAACAGATATAAGGAATAACCAATTGACACAAAGGTTAGCAGAGGTTGATGAGTTTGTAAGTGAGTGCAATTTAAGCAAAGAAATCCAGTCAAAAATGCATAAAGTAATTACGATGAATACAGAACAAAGAGCATTTTCAGTTGAAAATAAAGAAAATTTGTTATATGAGCTGCCGATGAAGCTTAAATATGATATTGCTATGAATATGTATCACTCTGTCATTAAAACGTTATACTTTTTTAATGACAGAGATGAAAATTTCATTGCAAAAATAATGCCACTCTTGCAGCCGTTTTTTGTCCAGGCACTCGAGTCGATCTATTCTATAGGAGAAAATTCAACAGACATTATGTTTATCATGAGAGGAAGATGCCAGTATGTTTATGGACAAGAAAATACCACATTCAGGCCAATGTCAGAAGGGCAGCATTTTGGAGATATAGAAACTGTCCAAAAAATCACTCGAAAATACAATGTTCAATCCTCTCAAGAATGTAACTTATTAGTAATGGGCTCAAGGGTAATTTTTAATTAGACTGTGCAAATTATTGAGGAAGAGTTCCCTGAGGTGTGGAAGACAATGGAAAAACAAGCACTCGAAAATGATAAAAAACTAAGAAATGCCCTTGCAGAAATGAAAATATTGCACGCAGCTAATAAAGAAGGAAACATCAAAAGCATGACTTCTGTGCTGTTTAAAGAGTTGCTGACACAAGAAGTCATAAATTTAAAAAACTTAGAAAACAATACCCCTGGAAACTCCAAATTCGACTTCATAAAAACTGCTAACGAAAAAATCGACAATCTCCATAACTTGACATCAGAAAATGCAAAGATAATTGAAAAGATTCTTCGAACTGTAAAAGAGCTGAAAAATAAAAAAGAAAATAATATAGAAGCAAGGCAATCTTTGTGCATAAAGCAAGATAATAATCAAAATATGGCGTCATCAAAATTTCTGGTCTTACAATCAAAAAATCTGCTCTTGAATATCTTAATTATGAGTTTTGGCTTAACCAGACAAATTAATTCTTGGCTATTTCAAGGGGAAAAAAATTTTCTGATAAAGCGCCAATAGCCAAAGCTGTAGAGTCTGACATGATTAGAGCACTAGCTCGAACTAAAAATTTTTGGCTGAAAGAGGGAATGACAAATACCTTACTCCCACAGCAATAAAAAAATTTTTGCTTATTTGTTAGAAATTTTATATGAATTTATCGAAATTTGCTTATTATTGGAGGTTTTCAGATCAAAAGTGAAAAAATGCAAATTTTGGGCATGTGCCCAAATAATAGACAAATTTCGATTATTCATATAAATTACACTTTGTTAATTTTTGCTTAAAAATCACCCACTAATAAACAAATTTGCTTACTCCCCCCTTCTTGAGCGAACAAACCAAATGGAAAAATTCCTATTTTTTGCCAAAAACCCACCTTCCGTGAGCGAAACAAAATCCATTAATAATATAACAATTTTCCATAAAAAATAATTTTGATATATAAGAGATAATTATTATAAGAAAATCACTAGCTAATTCTGTTTAATTTTAAATAAATTGCATTTTACAACATAAATTCTATAAATTTAATAAATATATGATTCTAATTTTTTGCGGATTTGGATTTTTTTAAATTTTTCGAAAAAAAAATTATACTATAAATTTTTAAAAAAATAAATTCCTCTCCGTGACCGAACAAAATTGTTTGTTCGCTCAGGAGGGGTAGTTAAGGGCAAATGAAATTGTATTTTTTGATAAGATCAGTCGAATTTGGGTGGTCTTGAGAGGATTTTATCAGAGAAAGGTAGATAGGAGACGTGGTATATAAAAACATTATAGCTAAAGCTAATCAATATGCAAGCATAAAGCAAGACCAGTCTACTCAAACAATTTTTGAGGACTAGAATGGTTCGTAATGGTATAATAAAATATAAAAATATTAATAATCTGTTTTAAGATTTGATTCTTATAGCTTAAGACTTTAAATAGTATAATGCAAAGCTCTGAATTATCCATAAAAATTTTTCTGCATGATAAATGAAAAATCAGCCCTTCTCCCATGAAATATTTAGCTCTCAAAATCGAAAATCTCTACAATTCTGCTTATTTCATGGCAAGGTTGACCACAGTTTCGATCAGACCTCGAGAGGCTACATAATTAATCTCAACGCTGCAAGTCTTCAAATCCCTCGAAACAACCGTGAAAGTTTGCAATTAGTTCATCCGTTTATTGTCTTTCAGTTTTTTATTCATAAAAATAAGCCTCTGACAATAGAGCTAACAACCTCAGACTCACAATCGATAAAGCGACGATTAGTTTTTACTCATGGACGAAAGGTAATAAAGAACCCGTTGCATGCAAGAATTCCTCATACAATAATCGAGCGTGGGGTTTGGCTGAATTTATTCTTTAACATTGAGTCTTTATTTGCTATGTGCTTCTCTACTCTAGTTTATAGATCTCTTGAGTCCGTATCATTAACTGGTACATGCATAGTTAGAAGGATCTTTACGCTTCAGAAGCTCGACCCTTATCAGACAATCCCAATCGGCTGTGAAATGCCTCCAGGCTCAAATATCAAGCAGCAAACAATCGATGCTGTGTCTTTTCAAGAGACACCTCGGCCTGTATTTTTTTCGAATTCTCCTCCCAGAGGTAAAAAATATTTATATAAGGATAACCCAAGTATTTTTAGAAATCTCTCACTCCTGCCCTCCATGAGAGAACAAAACCATTGGAAAAATCCTATTTTTTGCCCAAAAAACACCCTCCATGAGGAAAAGTTTTTTTATGAAAAAATTTTTTATATTTAAATGATAATTATTATAATCTGGCTAATTCTGTTTAATTTCAAGTAGCTTGTATTTAAAACATAAAATTCGCAAATTAAATTAATTTTTACCCTCTCGATTGTAGTTTTTTAAAATTTTGAGAAAAAAAATTAATAGCCGTGAGTGAACAAAATTTTTTGTTCACTCACGGAGGAGGTAGGTCTCTCTTCTCTTATCTTACTACTTATAACGCTTAACATCCACTATGGGGTTGGCAAAGCCCAGACATCGGCTCGCCTTTCGTCGCATCGGGCCCACAGACCTCTGGGCCGGTCCGCTTCGTTCACCAAAGGTGCGCCTAGGGGCAAGTGTTGCCGGCTTCGACGGCTCATGGATGAGCTACTTGCTTGTAACATGGGTTGCCATTCCGAAAACCCAAAAAATGGATTTTCTGGTAGGCTTTCGGCAAAAAGGAAAAACACGTAGCCTGGGACGTAACGCCCAGTTTCACGCTAGGGAGCTACCCGATAGGTCGTGTGGACTCTGCTAGGCTTCCCCTTTCCAACTGCCGTGCTTTCCTTCCCCACGAGGAAAAAACCATCTCTGAGAGTAGACTAGGGCTAGGCTCTGTACTCCACCAGAATTGCTTACCTAGCATTGCCGTCCATCTCTGAAATGGCAAAACCTTGCCGGATATAATTAAAATATGAGTCGAGGCTGCATGGCCGGAGGCCATGTCCAGACGAAGACGCCATATTTTAATTATGGAGGAGGTAAGTCAGTAGAAAAAGAGATCAAGGATTTAAAAGAAGCGTACTTACGGAGCGTAAATACAGAGAAAAAAGCATTATTCCCACGATTCAGAAGAAAAGAACAAAAAGAGCTTGATGAAGAGCGCTATAAAGTGTTAAGTAGAAAAATAACACATAACTATACAAGACCAGCTGAGCCATCAGACGACATAGAAGAAAAAATTGAAGTGGATGCGCCAGAGGTGCCCATTGACACCTCTGCTTGAATTAATATCATAAACGCAGACTCTCCAACAGACAAATTCAAAGAGCCAAAATTTTTTGAAAATCAGATGTCAATTATTATGCAAATGCGGCATTTTACTCCTCCATTCGTAAATGTGACAGAAAATGTAGAAGATGGGCAGGAAATTCGTTATAACCCTAAACAAAAATGCTATGAGTCAATTTAGATATGTGTAATTAATAAAATTAAGCCAAATGTTCTGCCCTCATGTGCTGGATGAGATCGCCACTTTTGGGAAAAACTCGAGGGCAGCGCTTACACTGAAAACCTCCGTGTGGCTTGGTGATTCTTTCTAAATTAAAAAGTTTTAAAGTCTCCAAGATTTGATACCCTCAAGCTTCCGATAAATGATATAGCGCCTTTCTTAAGATGGCGTGCAATGCGCCATCTTAGGAAAAGCGCTATATAACCTACTTGTCAGGCGGGAATTTAGCTACTATTGGAATAAAGATCTTAAGGTAAAGGGCTTTCACTGTGAATCCCAAGAGTTTCAATGAGTTACTAAGTCCGCTTTCAGCATACCATAAGGCTAGTACGATCGTTCCTATAGGTTAACTTTCGGAGAGATGACACCCAGGAAAAAAGAACCTCACTCTCTAGAAAATTACCGTTGCCCTAAACCGTCTGGATAATCAATATAGTGCGTACCCTTTATATAGATCTTTAAGAGCAATGACTTTTAAAAAGGAAAAATTGAAAAATAAATTTAAAAATTTCATCTTTATCTCCTGTTTTAAATTTGTTTTTTAAAATGACTAAAGGTATTTTTCTTTCATAAATTAATAAAGAGTCAGGTGCAATACTTGATCTTGACTCAGCACCAACTGACTCGAAGGTCACCTACCTCCAAACATCTAAAATCCAATAGGTAAACGTTAGAGTTAAAGAGCCTGAACCGTGATTTAGACTACATAGTGACCCTTACGATCAGGATGGTTTACTGGCATATTTCGTCGACACCATCATATCAATTATGATTCTTTCTAAGGGATGAACACAGTTATGAGTGTCGGAGTATCGGTGGGTTAAGCAGAAAGTTTGATGGCATCGATTGCACTCGACACAGTTGACTCCAGTTAATGTTTTATTGCACTTGGGAACTGGACACTTTTTCTTTTCTGGTTCTTGACAGCCTCCAGAGTTCATATGGCTTTCCCACGTTATATTAGGGTCTTGGCCAGGGATTAGGTCAATAGCTCGATTGCAAATAGGGCATTTGAAAATTTCCCAGCCTTTCGGTTCTCTTGTACAGCGATGTTCTGTCAAGCTCCTATGATATTGGCAAAAGTCGAGCCTGCATAAATCGCACTTGAAGGGTAAAAAATCTTGCTGGTTGCATCCTGGATGTGCGCAATGTGCTCCTAAGTTAGCAAATTCCATTTTTTCGAAAATATTCTAAACGTATCTGAACAGTAAAATGAATTTTTCAATAAGAGAAAATGCTATAGTCAGTGACACTGACTGGCACGGGGTGCTTTTGGCTCAGTTTCGAGCCAAAAGCACCCCGTGCCAGTCAGTGTCACTAACTATAGAATTTATAGGAAACTTTTAATATAGCATTAATAGATAAAAAAATTGAATAATAAAATGTTTTTCGTCAAAGTATTAATAAACTGGGAAGTAATGCAAATTAATAGCTCCGTAATTAGTTAGACTATATTTAGGATTCATGTTGCTCTTTTTTCAAAAATGGATGAATTTTCTAATAAGTTAAAAAATATGAACAATTTATATAGGCAAAAACAGCCAAAACCTTTAAGCAGAGCAGCAATAATGTTTGGACTGCCAAAAATTCGCAGAGTCCAAACTACTGTTCCAGGTAGCATTGGCTTAACAAGAACTTCCAGTATTACTGAGCTCAATACTCCAGGATCAGACCGACAGCTAATGAACGAGCTTGGAAAAAAAGTAGAAGAACAAAGAAAAGACCTTGAGGAAAGATCGATTGCTTTAGAAAGCCTTGGAAAACATTTTGAGGCCATTGGAAATGCTTGCAGAGAAGAAAAAAACAAAAATATCGAACTTCGAGAGAAAAATATGGAACTACAAAAAGAAAATAGCTCCTTGAAAAGACACATTGGCGAGTTAAAAGAAAAAAACGAAGCCGAGCAAAGTTTAAATAATCAAGAAAAATTGCTGAGCTCAAAACTCAAAGAAAATCAGGCAGATTTGACTAACGAAATCAAAAAACTTAATCAAGTTATTATTGATAAGGTAATCTCTATTAAGGACAAGAGAAAATAATGACTGAGAGAGGGTTTGCAAAAAATTAGAACATGAAATTGCAGTTTCTAAAGGCCAAATGCAAAGACTAGATAAAAAATTGCAAGAAGCAACTGATGATCTGGCTGAAGAAAAATTAAAGTTAATCGATGAGCTAAATCATCTCAAAAAGGCCAACGAAACCTTAAAAGATGAAATAAGCCAAGTCCGAAAATCAAAATCTGATCTCGAATCACAAAATTCTAAATTAAATGAAAAAGTCATAATTTTACAAGAAAATTTAAATAACGTTGAAAGTCAATTGGAAATTTCGAGCTCAATGATAAGTGAACTCAAAGAAGCATTAAAAAAAATGCAGGCTGAAAATCAGAATAAAACGCAAGCAGTGAATCAAATTTCTGTAAACTCTGACGACGATTTAAGGCAAAAATTGGAAGAGTTTCAAAAGCAAGCTTATTCTCTTGGTGATCAGCTATATTCAATGACTAAACAAAAGAATGACGCTGAAGATAAGCTGGAACGATCAATGAACTCACGCTATGAGCTGCTAGCTAGTGTAGAGGAATTGAGAAAAAAGCAGCAAATAGAGTCCTTCAGATATGAAAAATTAATCCAAACAATCTCACAGGATTTAAAGGTTAAAACTCTTGAAATCAGAGAAATGGAGGAAAATATAAAGAAAAATGAAAACCAGATAAAGTCTTATAGTGAAAATCTGAGGCATTTAGGAGAAGAAATAAATACCAAAAACAGCCAAATAGCTGAGTCAAATGGAAAATGTGAAGATTTAATAAGCGAAATCGATGCCCTTACTCCCCCTCCTGAGCGATCAAAACAATTTTGTTCCAGAGGGGGGTTATAAAACAATTTATATAAAAATTTAAATTTAAAAAAATATCGAATATGTAAAAATTAATTTAATTTGTAGATTAAAAGAATAAGCTAAAATTGAATTATAATAAATTATCTTTTATATATATCAAAATTTTTTCTCATAAAAAAATTTGCTTACCCACGGAGGTAGGTTTTGAGTAAAAACTAGGGATTATTCCAATGATTTTGTTTGCTCACGGAGGAGGAAGTTAATAAAGAAAAGCTTGAAAAAGAAAAGAATTTCCAAGAATTTCAAGAAAAAGCTTTAAAATTCGACCAAATTATAAAAGAGCTTAAGGAAAATAAAGAAGAAAATTCTTCAATGAAATCGAAGTTTAAGAAGCTTGAAAAAAGTCTCGAAGAAGCAATGCGCAAAAAGGAAAGATTAAAGCTGAAATATAAAGACCAGGAATCTCTATTTCAAGCCAAAATTTATGAACTTCAAGCAGAGCTAAATAATGAAAAAAATTTCAACTCCAGCCATCTCCAAGAAGTCATAAAACTAAAGCGAGAATTATCACAGCGTGAAAAGCCTATCCAATTTTCACCTATAAAAGAAGACCAAAATCGCTTACAAGCAAGAATAGCTCAGCTAGAAATAGAGTGTGCGGAGCTAAAAGAAGAAATTTTGAATCACTTAAAGGCTCAAGAATATATGAAAACCATGTCTTTAAGCCAAACTCAAATAATTTCTCAGCTGGAGTCTCAGCTTGAAGATGCAAAATCCCAGCTGAACGATCCAAAATTCAAAGACTTAAAAAAACAATTGGAGCTTCTTAGAGAGAAAGAAGAAAATCTGCCAAAGGTCATTGAGAAATTAGATCACGCGATGAGTGCTTTTGAAAGTGATTTTTCGTGTATGAATTGCTTAAATTTAGTAGAAGAAGCAGTTTTTACAATTCCTTGTGGTCATATACTTTGCAGAAAATGCAGTAGGATTAGCGACTCAACCTGCTCTCAATGCTGTGTGAAGGTGCAGGCTTTTGCAAGAGCAACTTTGCTTGATGAGTTAGTTGGAAAACTAATTTATTTGCGGCAAACTATAGATATATTATTATAGAGAGAATGCGCATTTGATGGTTCGTTAATACCTTATTTCTATAAATATAAGTAAGTGCTGCTATTATTTAAATATTAAATACCTTTAAGGAAAGTAAGTAAATGGCCTAAAAGAAATATCATTGTTTTAAATTTATAATGAGAAATATAATAATAAACTATAGAAATAAATATACTTTAGTTCATTAATTCTATTATCTTTCATTCAAAAAATTGATAAGTAAACTTTAATTTTTCTCAAATTTTATTTTGAGAATAATATAATTAGCTATTAGACTAATATGAAAACCTGTTTGGAAAGATTTAAAGCATAAAATTATCCAGAAAATTCCCAGCATGAAAGATAATTAATATGGTGATGGCGTTAATATGTCCTTGATGACTCACAACTTTGAACACCAAAATGAATTACCATAAATGCTAGATCTCAAATTGAGATAGATAAATATGACTTACTCGCTGCTTAAATTTGATTTTTTAATATACATAAAACCAGGGCTCTTTAATTTTCTCAAGCAGCACTAGTTTCGCAATTGTCCGTGGCGACCATCTTGATTTAACTATTCTCGGAGGTCGAAAAGTGTCCAGGTATGCGGATCTTGCAAACTGGATTGTCCCAGCCAAAATGGTGAAGGGAATGGGAGGAGGGATGGACTTAGTTGATAGCCGCTCGAAATGCATGCCTGTATGGAGCACACTTCCAAAGGTGCTTAAAAGATTTTCAAAAAAGTTCTGTAGGTATATTTCTTATAATTTAAGAGTAACTAAAATAGTATCGAAAAAAGTGAATTGAAATCTGATATTCAGCAAGACTGTTTCATAATCCTTGCTGCAGATCTTAATCATGAATAATAAGGTCAATGCCCTTTTCATTTTCATCTTACCAAACAAAGTCCATAGTTAAACTATTATTGACTTTACTGATGCGTTTATTGATAAATAAATACTCTACGTAAGGATGTTTCTCACTATGCTGTATATTCAATTCAAAAACTTATTTCAATAATAAGCAGGCATATTCAAAGAGAGCTACTAGTCTGAAGAGCCTATTTGTAAAATTAAATTATAGTGCTTTTCCTACAAAATAATGTTTGTCTTTCAGGCCAAAATAAATAATAGAATCACTAGTCAAGTCGCAATTTGATTATATAGATTAACCATTTAACACAAAATTAATGTTTATTTTTATAGAAGAGCATATAAGCGTTTCTAAAATCAGCTTATCCACAAAAGATACCATCTAGTCATTATACTCAACTCATGAACTCTCAGCTTCACAATAAGTATAAGCAAAATAGTGCCCAGAATTACTTGTCCCAATATGTCAGATAACTCCATAAAGCACATAAATGTTGTTTTCAATTGATATGCTGTCTTCTGCAGTGAAAGAGGCTGAGGATGGAGCGAAATAGAAAGCTAAATTAGCTGAAGTATCAATACGCTTTGTCTCAATTATGGTATCTCTCAAGAAGTCGTATTTGTCACAATAAGGAGTATTCTCTCCTTGAAATTTCTATGAATTCTTTAGCCCATCTATATAGCTTTGGATACTCCTTTAATGTAGGCACAACAAAAACGAGTTGCTTTCATATGAAGAGTCTGAATCATGCCCTCTACAAATAAATCTTTTTATTAAGAACAAGCCAAAATTAGGCTTTTCATCAGCTACTTTTTGAGATGATAATTTGGAAAAGCTCTTTGGAGTCATTTTTGGTTGTATCCTTTGAACTAAATAAAGGTTACGATTGTGAATTCTGAGCTTAATTAATTTTTGAATTGGGATATAGCAGAAGATAAATTGCCTGGTTTTGATTTCATGAGCTTTAAAATATTAGCAAGATAAGTGAAAAAGGGAGCCTTATGCAAGTTGTTATACCTTCAAAACCTTTAGTATTAGATAAAATTTGCAATACTGAATTCATATCGTGAGTATTTCCGATATTAGGTAAGACAAATTCTATTGTCCATCACAATTGACTTATTTCACTTCAATTTAGCAGGCATATTCGCATAGCTTTAGCTGAATAAGGGCATGGGCATATAAATAGATTGATTAATAAAAGAATTTAAAGAGTTAAGATTTAATAGTAAAAGATTATCAAATGAAACCTATTTATTACCTATGAATTTCATCCAGCTTGGTTAATATTTTTCCCTCTAAATTGAACTTGAAGTAACTAATAAACTCCCACTTGCATAAAAATTCCAATTCAAGGAGTGTTTAAATATTTATAAAGAAATAGATTTTATAATAGTTAAAAATTTTATATAAACTTTTATAAAATAACATATTTTTATAAAATTTGTCTTTTTTCAAAGTTCTATTTGCTTAATAGTATTCTGTTTCCCTTCTCCATTTAAAATAGAATTATTTTATCGTTAAAATTCGATTTTGGTGGCATTAAATTGAGTATTAAACTATTTATATATAAATTGCTATTTTTACTTATAAAATTTTGTTCAAATAGAAAGGAGGGCTAATTTATATTTTACGGATCTCTTGTTCCGATTTAAAGAGGGGAGTAACTACACTATAAATGAGTGCAATATAGTCTATTACACTTTCGAGCGAAGCTCAGATTTGTCTAGCCAGCAGTAATCGGGTTTTTAAAAGCAAATGTCTACTTATAAAGTCAAGAATTCCAATTTATATAATTAAAAACCGATTAATGCCAAACCAATTATTTCAAAATTTCGTTACAGGATATAAACAGCTATGTTTATTCCTCCTTTATTATATGACACATAAATTTGATGAAAAGAATTTATTATTGAGTCTCCAATTGGCCTCCAGGCAGTGTCACTTGACAATTCACTTTCATAGATTGATCCATTTTGGCATTCAATTAAATACAATCTCTCTGCACTTAAAAGAATCTTTTGTTTAAATTCTTTAAAATCATAAGGAATTTTTGCGAAAGTGTTCTTACCAATTGAGTACCTCAAAAGATGTTTATTATATCCAGAAATCACAATATTCCCATTAAACATTACACTCTTGCAACCGTGATCAGCTTGTGGTAGTGACTTTAATTTAGTTCATCTGTTTTTATTTAAATCAAATCTCTCTGATAGAGTTATAGAACCCTTATTATTAATTCCCCCAAAGCAATAAACACTATTATTGAAATAGATAGCTGATGATGAATAGCAATGAGTTCCAGATGGCAGCTCCCGAGCTCTATAATTCTCATCAATTATCAATGTAGTCCCAGAAATTATTGGTGAGTCTTTACCAAAGCAAAATAAATTACCATTAGGAAGCTGAGCAATGCAAGTGCCTAAATCCAGAGATTCATGAGTATCAACTATCCTGACTTCCCTACTATCATTTTCTGTATCATAAATAATCAAATTAGTTCTGTTTAAATCATTATCAATTGTATAAAGAGATGTTTTCTGGCGATAAGCATTAGTATAATCTTGATAAGCTTGCTCATCAGCATAGATATCGCTACTGTACTTTGAGCAGGTTCTCCTAAAATCTTGCTCTAAGTCTTGGCCATTTGATCTATTTCAAATTTCAAATCTTTTCTCTCTTAGCTCTTGGATCTTTTGGGCTTTTTCTGCTTCGTTATTTTTGATAAGATCTTGAGTAATCTTAATTCTTTGAGAATTTATCAATTCTTCATTACTGTCTTTGAGGTCTTTCTCGTTTTTTTTATTGTCATTTATTATACTGTTTAAGTGAGCTATTTCTTCTTTAAGCAACTCAATTTCACTTGTTTTGGCTGTATTCTTTTTTCTATATTTAGATAACTTTTTTTCAAGCTGCTCATTTCTTTCCCTTTCTTTATTAAGTTGAATTTTGCAAATAGCTACATTCATAGCAGATGTTTGTGGAATTGTAATGCCTAAACTTAGAGTTTTGTTGACTAAAAACTCATTAGTTAAGATATCAAATATTGTTGGCCTTTCTGCTCGCTGCTTTATTAGGGTGTTAGGGGTGTTAGGGTGTTAGGGTGTTAGGGTGTTAGGGTGTTAGGGTGTTAGGGTGTTAGGGTGTTAGGGTGTTAGGGTGTTAGGGTGTTAGGGTGTTAGGGTGTTAGGGTGTTAGGGTGTTAGGGTGTTAGGGTGTTAGGGTGTTAGGGTGTTAGGGTGTTAGGGTGTTAGGGTGTTAGGGTGTTAGGGTGTTAGGGTGTTAGGGTGTTAGGGTGTTAGGGTGTTAGGGTGTTAGGGTGTTAGGGTGTTAGGGTGTTAGGGTGTTAGGGTGTTAGGGTGTTAGGGTGTTAGGGTGTTAGGGTGTTAGGGTGTTAGGGTGTTAGGGTGTTAGGGTGTTAGGGTGTTAGGGTGTTAGGGTGTTAGGGTGTTAGGGTGTTAGGGTGTTAGGGTGTTAGGGTGTTAGGGTGTGTTAGGGTGTTAGGGTGTTAGGGTGTTAGGGTGTTAGGGTGTTAGGGGTGTTTAGGGTGTTAGGGTGTTAGGGTGTTAGGGTGTTAGGGGTGTTAGGGTGTTAGGGTGTTAGGGTGTTAGGGTGTTAGGGTGTTAGGGTGTTAGGGTGTTAGGGTGTTAGGGTGTTAGGGTGTTAGGGTGTTAGGGTGTTAGGGTGTTAGGGTGTTAGGGTGTTAGGGTGTTAGGGTGTTAGGGTGTTAGGGTGTTAGGGTGTTAGGGTGTTAGGGTGTTTAGGGTGTTAGGGTGTTAGGGTGTTAGGGTGTTAGGGTGTTAGGGTGTTAGGGTGTTAGGGTGTTAGGGTGTTAGGGTGTTAGGGTGTTAGGGTGTTAGGGTGTTAGGGTGTTAGGGTGTTAGGGTGTTAGGGTGTTAGGGTGTTAGGGTGTTAGGGTGTTAGGGTGTTAGGGTGTTAGGGTGTTAGGGTGTTAGGGTGTTAGGGTGTTAGGGTGTTAGGGTGTTAGGGTGTTAGGGTGTTAGGGGTGTTAGGGTGTTAGGGTGTTAGGGTGTTAGGGTGTTAGGGTGTTAGGGTGTTAGGGTGTTAGGGTGTTAGGGTGTTAGGGTGTTAGGGTGTTAGGGTGTTAGGGTGTTAGGGTGTTAGGGTGTTAGGGTGTTTAGGGTGTTAGGGTGTTAGGGTGTTAGGGTGTTAGGGTGTTAGGGGTGTTAGGGTGTTAGGGTGTTAGGGTGTTAGGGTGTTAGGGTGTTAGGGTGTTAGGGTGTTAGGGTGTTAGGGTGTTAGGGTGTTAGGGTGTTAGGGTGTTAGGGTGTTAGGGGTGTTAGGGTGTTAGGGTGTTAGGGTGTTTAGGGTGTTAGGGTGTTAGGGTGTTAGGGTGTTAGGGTGTTAGGGGTGTTAGGGTGTTAGGGTGTTAGGGTGTTAGGGTGTTAGGGTGTTAGGGTGTTAGGGTGTTAGGGTGTTAGGGTGTTAGGGTGTTAGGGTGTTAGGGTGTTAGGGTGTTAGGGTGTTAGGGTGTTAGGGTGTTAGGGTGTTAGGGTGTTAGGGTGTTAGGGTGTTAGGGTGTTAGGGTGTTAGGGTGTTAGGGTGTTTAGGGTGTTAGGGTGTTAGGGTGTTAGGGTGTTAGGGTGTTAGGGTGTTAGGGTGTTAGGGTGTTAGGGTGTTAGGGTGTTAGGGTGTTAGGGTGTTAGGGTGTTAGGGTGTTAGGGTGTTAGGGTGTTAGGGTGTTAGGGTGTTAGGGTAGTTAGGGTGTTAGGGTGTTAGGGTGTTAGGGTGTTAGGGTGTTAGGGTGTTAGGGTGTTAGGGTGTTAGGGTGTCTAGGGTGTTAGGGTGTTAGGGTGTCTAGGGTGTTAGGGTGTTAGGGTGTTA